AACATCATACAGCTCGGAATCACTCATAATAACAATGATTGTATTAATTGTATTAAATGTTAATCTAAAAAGCTATATATTAAGGACGGCGACAAGCCTTCACAGCTAGACGCTTGGACATATTATATGTCTTGGCAAGTATTCGAATCATTCAAATACTGGCCGAATCATGATTCGAATCATTAAGAAATAGCCCGAATCAGATCATGATTCGAGTCTGATTCGGGGCGAATCATGCCGAGTCACGATTCGCTGCACACTGCAACCTAGACTAGAAACACAATGCTTGAATCTTACTTGATTAAACTTTAAAATGTGCAACTGGTAAAGAAATACAAATTATAATTTCTAGAAATATATTTCCCGAAATATACATTCTTTGAACACTTTGAATATTTTATTTCCTGTCAAAAAATAATAAATAATTTGGAGAGACAAAGAATAACTCGGGCATTATCCCAAGCCATTTAGTCATCAATGGCCGTATTTACATCTCATTGTGGACATCCTAGTAGCTCGTAATAAGGCGTTCGCATCAGTAAGAACCCCCTGCTGGTGAGTGTTTGTATATCTTGGCAATATTTTTGTAGATGAAGATGAACGGGATTGATCAACAGTTGTCCCCGTCGGCAGCCTCGCGCTAATAACCCCATACCCATGTCCGAGGCACCCCACCATACGACAAGGATCTCCCCCATCCTCAACCTCACCCCGCGACAACATAAGCTGGAACAATGCAACCCAGTCGTCTCGTCGCCCGCTCCCTCCAGCTCCAGAATCACATACGGCATGGTCCCTTGTCCACATCGCAAGAGCCAATAAACACCACAATGCCGACGCCCACCGCCCCCTCCCCGGCGCTCCCGGAAAGACGAGCTCTCAAAATCCTTATGCTCCACGGTACCTACTACCCCCCCCAACCTCTCCGCGACCTTCTGACACATAACAGGGTACACCCAATCCGGCGCCTCCTTCCATGCCAAAACCCGCGCCCTGGAAAAGGCCCTCGATAAAGCCTTCCCCGCCATCCCTAGCACCCCCAACGCCCGCGCCCCTCCAGGCTCCCTCGCTGCGTACCCGGGCGGCATCCGCCTCATCTACCCCACCGCCCCGCACCGCCTGCGCCCGTCCCAGATCCCGGGATACGTGAGCGCGACTACCACATCCCAGGGCGGGCCGATTGCGGCTGGCGCGGCGGCGGATGATGAGGACGATGTGGATGCGTGGGCGTGGTGGCGCCGCGATGACCGCACTGGGATATATACGGGCCTCGATGAGGGTGTGGACCGGATCGCCGAGACGATCTGCGAAGTTGGTGGCGTGGACGCGGTGATGGGATTCTCACAGGGTGGAGCTGCTGCGGCTATGGTAGCGGCGCTGTTGGAGCCGGGAAGGAAAGAAAAGATGGCGAAGGCAGGGGGGTGGAAGTTCCCCGCCTCGTTTGAGGATCTGGAGTGCGCGCCACTGAAGTTTGGGGTTGTGTATTCTGGGTTCTTTGCGCCGCATGACGATTATAAGGGACTTTATGAGGCGTGCGAGGGGATAACGAAGACGCTGCATTTTATTGGAGGCCTGGACACGGTTGTCGAGGAGAGTAGGTCGAGAGGTTTAGTGGATAGGGTTGGAGGAGATGTGGTTGTGCACCCAGGAGGTCACTTTGTGCCAATTGGGAAGGAGTGGGTAGCTGCTTTGGTAGGGTTTATTAGACAAGCTATTGAGGGCGGCGGAGTTTCAAAGGAGGAGGAGGATGCGAACGTCGAAGATATGGATGTCCCATTTTGAGAGGGGAACCACTGGAAGATAAAACCGTTGGTGAGAAATATGGGATACATCGAAGACGGCATAGATATTAGATGTTCACGCTGACATATACCAAAGATAGATTCCTGGCTTTGTAAGAACCGTTTGGTCTAGGCTATTATATAGTACACCATATCACGCCTCCCAATTTATCATCCCGATACCCGTCTAAGTTGACTTCTCGCCTTTCGGTGCAATCCTGGCCATCATCTCCTCCTTCGTGATCAAGTGGTCGATCCTCTCCAGCAGCCCAAGCAAGCTCTTCATGTTCCCACTCCACTCGTTCAACACATCATCCGCATCCCTCTTCTTCTCAAAGCTGACTAGTCGTGCTGGTCTGTCAATCTTGGCAAACACCGTCTTGGCAGTCACAAGCTCGCTGATGTACTGCTCCGTCTCCTCCTCTGTTAGGTCCAGCAACTGGGTAAGTCGGCCCATCTGGATACGCGTGTAATACTTCGCAACAACGCGGACGTTGTGCTCAATAACGCGTTTGCGCAGTTCGTTCCAGCGGTACTTCGCGTCCGCCGAATTTTGATCAAAGACGTCCGTAGCGCACAGGTGCGGTCCGAAGTGCTTCTCTACTTCGGGCCAGCGCATCAGCTCGTGGATGGTGAAGAGCTTGAGGAGCTCGGCCTCGACGGGGATTTGGGTGTTGCGTGTGTCAGCATGGATGCGGTGGAGGAGATCGGATTGCTCGTTGTCGTATGGAGCGAGGATCACGTAGTAGATAACGCGCTGGAGGGTCTGGGACAAGTTAGTAATACTCCGCCCAGCGAGTTCGTGAGACTTACTGCATGTAACTTCTCTGGGTCATCCTCTACTGCCTGGGTATCAAGGACCTGTCTGTAGTCCTTGCAAGCATCGAGATACTTCTTGTCGTGCTTGGCCAAGATAATCTGTTGCTCGTAATACCTCAACTTCAGGTCTGTGACATCATCCTCCTTAACTTCCGGCACATCCTCGCCCCTGTTTCTCCTCTTCTCGCGCTCCTTGGCCTCCTTCTCCAACTGCTCTGGTGACTTCGGGATCTGTCGTGCAAGGTATTTCGTGCTGATCTTCCTGCTGAGAATACCAGCCTGTGTCCAGTCGTCATTCTCTATGCATAATGCGACCTGTTCGAGGATAAATTCCGTCTTCTCCCTACGCTCCATTGACCCGAATGTCTCGACCTGCAACTCGCACAGGATGTCCGCCGCAGACTTGAGGTCGCCCTGCTCCTTCTTGATATCCGAGAGAACCTTTGTGACACGAGCCCGCTCCACCTCGACAAAAATCTTCCCCTCCGTCACCGTTCGTAGTGTCTCGATAACCGATAATTTCGTCTCGAGATCTGGCGTCTCGTCCAGGAAGCTCATCACGACCTGCACCATCTTTGTAATCGCCTGCTTGAGTTGTCCATGCTTCTTCGACAGCAGAGAGACCTGCTCGTTCACCAGGTTCCAGTCCCCCGAATCTTTGCTTAGTGTGACTATCTTGACAATAACTCGCGAGGTGGAAGCAAGATCTGACGACTATATGTTTGTCAGCGAATGTTACTGCAAACGTAAAGGCAAGGCTGTCTACCTGTCTCGTTTGCTTCTCCAGCGCCGTCAGCTTTTCAATAGCTGCCTGTATGTTCGTCTATAGCGCAAAGTTAGATACAATCAGGCTATTGCAGATACTGGCGGCATACCTTGGCCAGCTCTTCTGCCTCTGGAAGCTGTTTGTCGACGTCGGCCGAGTGGTCCTTATCGGGCCTCATAACAGCTTCCCCGGACATCTTTGCGGGTGAGGAGAGTAATCTGAGGTGTCACAGGTACGATTGGGGTGAGGTATTGGAATAAGAGGGATAGATAGGTTGGTATATCGCAATGTGTGAGGTTTGGGGAAGCTCTTGTTGATGGTACGTACTCAGAGCGCAACCTGGAATATTGAACGCGGCGAGAGCTTGTCAGCACAGACCATTCGCGACAATAGTAATTAGGTCACGTGCTAATACACTTTGATTACTAATCATCATGGAAGCATATCATAAGTGTGGAAAGTTTGACCAATATAGAACCTCTTTTACATTTTAGAGGTACATTTAATTCATAGATGCATATTGAATTCATTATAAAGTAACAAAAGAGCAATCTGTGGTATAAAATAGTGTTACCATTACAGTCACCTATATAACTCTCATCCTGAAAGCAAAACGGTATGGCTGCGCCAAACTCCTCTGAGAATCAATATTATAACACTGCTATTCGTGGCTTAAAGCTTCGTATGCCTCCCATGGAATCCCGCTGGCACAACTCCATCCACATCCGCGCGGCCCATCTCCGACAAGTCCTTCGCATCCAAGCACAGCAGATAGCTCTTTCCCGTATTCCCGTCATAGTTAACCACAAGCAGCACGCCATCGTCCTCGCTCTTCCCCTCCGGGTTCGGCACAAAGATGGCCTCGCCGGGTGTATGGTGGTCCTGAGTCCAAAACACGGACTTCTTCGTCTCGAGGTCTGTCTTGGCTATGGAATCGAAGTACGACGACTTTCCGCTGTCGACAATGGTGTACAGGAAGCGATTCGGGCGGGTCGCATAGTCTGGGTTTATCGTCGGAAATTCCCCCAGTAGCGGCCCGTCAATGGTGAGGATACGTTCCGCGGTTGATGTTGTGATGCGCGCAGGTTTCTCCGTGGTAGGGATGCCGGCGAGACGGTAGCGCGCGAAATGAGGTTTAACAGTCTCGCGATGAGTCTTGATGAACTCGCCAGCCTTGGAGCTGGTGGAGAGGAAGTTCTCAAAGTAAAAGCGATGGATGATATCCAGGTTCTCGTACTCGACATGGTCGCACACGATACTTGTCGTCCCGTCTGCGGCAGTCTCCTCCCACGCGTTGGACGAGTGGAACATGAAGCATGCTGGGCTTGTGAACTTTGCAACTAGGCCACGGCCGTGCTTGCGATCCACGACGAGCCAGATAGATTTACGCGCTGGATCGAAGCGCGAGATGGAGTCCACGATATTGCGTTGCCATAGGATACCGAGGCCATTGCTGGCGATATGCGAGGACCAGATGCCGAGGACCATGAAATTCTCAGTGAGGAAGGAAGAGTGGATGTAAGCAGGCTTAATGTCGGGTCCGCTGATGGTGGCAAGAATTTCGGTCTTCCCTGTAGCTCTAGAAGTTTTGAAGACGCGATAGATAGAGTTCCGCCCAAAGGTTAGGTTATGGTTAAGAACATCTCCATTGACAGGGTCGTAATTTGCATGGGCCGCGCTGAGTGGTCCGGCAAGGGCAGGATGAAGAGAGCTTTGGTCGGCGACTCCAAGGGGCTCAAGTGTCTCAGGGTCAAATTGCTTGTACGAAGCATTGTCAGTAAACGCGGTGAGAGTCTTGAATCTCGACTTTCCGTCACTTGAATTTCCGTTGATCCCGGGAACATCTGGAGCAATAGTGACTCCAATATTATTCTCTTCAGGAGTCGGGCCCCTTGATACTGCCGTGAATACGGTCTTCATCTTTTTGAAGAGGCCATCGCATGGGTCCCGCTTCTGGCCGAAGGTTAATTGGTCATAATTCCCAGTGGAGCGAATCTTCTCGACCAAGGCGTCTACATTTTGGCGTGAGTTGTAAGTAACCTCCACCGAGCCATCAGCTGAAAGGGTAAGTTCAAACCGATGTATCGAGGAAAAACCATCGAACCAGTGGTCGATTTTAAAATCACCCTTTGGGGTATCTTTGACAATATACTGAGACGGACCGGTTCGGTATAGAGTACCGGCAGCGTAGGAAGGAATAAGGCCTTTCACCGACAGTTTAACTGGCGTATGTTGGTACCCATCCGCTTGGAACTGGTATATATTAGATGGGGAGTCTTAATCAGATGGGTGTTACATCCTCTGATATAAAAGAATAGAACTTACAGCAGCTTCATTTGGCCACCCTTGGAAGTGCTCAGAAGATGCAACCATAATTGCGGTTGTTGATTAGTTTGTGGATATGCAACTGCGGTTGAGAATAGTGAGAACAAGGAATATGGCAAAAGTGAAAGATTTATATACAGCAATCAACGCGTGAAAGCAAGGAGGACGCGTATATTTGGAAGAAGGTTACCCCGAGTAGAAGGTGTATGACGAGGACACAACAACAGATATAAATGTCTGATATAGCTCAAAGTAGTAAACTTTGGCGGAGTTGCAGTAGAGACATGACACGGCGGGGATGATGGGGGGGTTCAGGGTCATGAAGAGGCGACGCGGCTCATGGCCTTACGTCCGTACGCATTCTCTAGCCCCATCATGCGGAGCATACCACGTAACTTTATTGTAGTGGCTCCATTTATTCCGTAAAATAAGTGTAGTGTGGCTTGTGGGTCAGCGTAGAGTATTTTCCACAGATATTAAAAAGGCATTTGTGCTTCAAATGCCAGCTACCGACGACCCTCGTGTCGCACTGTCTCAGTATCGCTCGATTTCCAATGACAGTGTCGCATAGGCGAGAGAAGCACTTGGGCGACATGGGTGGGCTTCGTGGGACCGCATCGCTCGATCAAGCCTCGTATGTATAGTACCAATCGTCGGATCCGACAATTAGTATATCACTGTATCCATGTATGATTGTACTACGGGAATAGCGAGTGATGGAATGTGGATTTCAAAGGGATGGGGTTACAGACAGATGTCGGGCTGACGTTGACCCGCTCAAAATCTCCCCAGTCGCGGACCAACTTCGGTTATGGGTATTGGCAGCCTGTGGCTGTGGGTACGACGAAGCTGACAAACATTACCTTTTATCACTCTTATTTCCACGACATCGCTGTCTCAGACATCCGTGGGTTGTCAGTCGCGGGAAAATAATACCAATGAGTGATAGCTAAGCCACCGAAACTATATGCGCAGCCATAAATACCCTCCATTATTATGGCCGAGCCGGCTATGAAAGGCTGTAAAGAAGCTACCTGTGGAGGATCGCACCTTCCCGATTTTACGTCCGTAAGGTGAACGGGGCAGCGGAGATGCCAATATTGTTTGCCCGGCGTCAGATGCTTTTTGGACAGAACTCCGAGCTTCTGATCACCGCACACTGCAATCACCGTCATCGTCGCCATCACTGATGCTGACAATCGCTATGTCTACCGTCTTTTGATATTTACTTCAAGATATGCTTAGTAAGCAATAATGTAGCAAACTGAAGGTCGAATATACACCACCGGTTTGTATGTAGCCTCGAAGTTTCTGGTAATTGTGTTTGTGCCAAACGTGAGCTAAAAATCGGAAGGAGGAGATTGTTAGTACTGTTCTCCCAGCGATGAGATTGCTAGGTAGGGTTTTCTTTGAGCAATCTTTTCTAAGTTGGATTTGCTTTTCACGTCATCAAAGAGGAACCCTTTATCCTCGTCCAGTGTGGAAATGTTTCTATTCAAGACTGCCCCGTTTCAACAAACGTAAAATGGCTCAAAGCAAGCCGCCTTTTTTCCTGGTCGCTATTATACATGCCTTTAAAACTATATATAAAAGGAAAGATTAAATCCTTATTCAGGTCTTTCTCAGCCAACCTTTCTTTCACATCGTTCCCACAATACCAAAGTTAGATCCACTCTGTATCAAGCACTTTTCCAACATCATGACTGATATCACGAATAGCAAGATAGAAGGATCTTCTGATGGATCCATTTGCACGCGGGAGGGTTTCACCCCAAATATCATTGGGCTGTATGGTATACCTGGCGCTGGTAAATCTCATTATCTTTCCAAGCTAGAGGTGCTCTCTCAGTCAGAAGTAACCCACCCGTTTCAATTCTTCGAGGGCACTTTAGTGATCGACTCTCTCATTCCCGGTGGCCTTCTCGCATTCAAGGAGTTGCCAGAGGAGCAGAAAGTGAAGTTGCGCGAAAAAGCCATTTGTTCCATCAAAGATGAATGCACAATCGGCAGAACTAATGGGGTAGTGGCGGGGCATGCCACGTTCTGGGGCGGAAAGGACGATTCCGAGATCATTGTGATTACACCGAAAGATCTTGAGATATATTCGCATATACTGTACTTGAGAACTGACCCCGAGGTTATTCAACAACACCGCTTGAGAGACTGGGTGAGAGACCGTGATATCGTGCCACTTGAACACCTGGAGAAGTGGCAGAAACAGGAAGAAAACATGCTGCGCACACTTTGTCGCGTCCATGGTATTCATTTCTGTGCATCATCTCGAGGAAACGACATGGAGTCCGAAGAAATGTTTGCAGTCAGACTCATGAGTTTGGTCACCGATCTCGGCCATCACAATGAGCATGTTAACCAGAGGAACGCGATTGCCAGGCTAGGAGAGGCTATGGACAGTGACGCCACTCGCGATGGTCGAGTCAAGAAAATGTTGGTAATGGATGCGGACAAGACACTGGCTCCGCAGGATGTTGCCGATATGTTCTGGGAAAAAGTCTCTAACCACGGGGCATCGACAGGGGCAAAAAACCCATTGAAAAAGTTGTTCGGCGGTCCTGGTGGCTACTCGTACCACTCCTTTCGGCAGGCCACCTTGCTCTACGAAGAAGCCACCAATGACGAAGTGTTCGATAGCGTATGTAACGAGGTAGCCTCGGAGGTGACTATGTATCCAGAGTTGGTATCTTTGTTGCATCAAGCGGCAGAGCTTGATCATGTCGGCGCTGTGGTCGTAACTTGCGGGCTACAACGTGTCTGGGAGAAAGTTCTTGAGAGAGAAGGTCTGGGCGACTACGTGGCAGTTATTGGCGGTGGACGCATTTCGGATGGATTCGTGGTGACTGCTGAGCTTAAAGCAGACTTGGTTGCTCACATCCGAGACGCATACCAGGTAGAAGTCTGCGCATTTGGAGACAGTCCGCTGGATTTGCCAATGTTAATCCAGGCAGACAGGGCTATAGTCGTTGTTGGCGATGAGGACTCTAGGAGCAAATCAATGGAAGCTGCCTTGACGGATGCTATTAAAACCCAAGGTTTGGTCGCCACCCAGGTCGTGCTGCCAAGTACAGCAACCCCTCGGTTGGATTCGGTCAAGCTCCCGCTTCTACAGCTCTCACAGGCTGATATAGAGGCAATTCTGTGCGATTCCGAGTTTCGGCTCATCCACGGAACCAATAACAGCGCAACCGCCCTGCTCACAACTCAGACTCGTGATGCAACTGTTGCCGGCCCGGCTCTCAAGGAAGCTCATCGCCGTATTGGGTGGTATTTAGCTGTCGAGTACATTGGCAAGGTTATTGGGCTCGAGAGCTACCAGATCCCGCACGTTCAGGGCGGACACACGGAGGGTCATTGCCTGAGAGGCGAGACAAGGACGACAATTGTGCCTTTGATGCGCGGAGGAGGACCTATGGCAGAGGGTATCAACGAAGCTTTTCCTCTCGCAATGTTGGTGCATGCGAGCCAGCCTGAGGACCTCAAACTCCATCACGTAGAGCAGCAAGATAGCATCATCCTCGTCGACTCGGTCATCAACACCGGAAAATCGATTCTGGAATTCATAGAGCATGTCCGCAAGTTACATGCCACTGTCCGCATCGTTGTCGCTGCCAATGTTGTTCAAGACAAGTTCATCTCTGGAGAAACTGCGGCGAATCTAGCCATCCATGGGAATATCAGTCTTGTCGCTCTCCGCCTGTCTAAAAACCAGTTTACAGGCAGTGGCGAGGCCGATACGGGTAACCGCTTGTTCAATACCACTCATCTGGCATAACTGGAACTTGACGGCTTGTGTGATATGTCATGGGAAATGTACGTTGGTTGTTTCAATGCTGTCACCTGGGTCATATGTTTATATACTTCCTATTATTGCAGTAGTGTGAGAGATATGCAGTGTTTTCATTTTATTCGGACTTGGTGTGATAGTGTGATATGCGTGCTGTGATATATGGAAACTAAGGCTAGCTAGTGAACTACCATCGCCTGTCATAGCCATGGGCCAAAATAGCCACTAGGTCTAGGAACACCCCATGATATAAAACCATTCCCCAGTCAAATAATAAGCTTATCCCCATGTCATTCAATCTTTCTATTAGCCTATCTGTTAGTTCAAGGCCACGTAAACTTTAAAGAACACACTATTGTTTTGTAGTGGGTGGGACCACTTCTCATTTCACTACACTATGTAACCAGTTCGCTCCTTCCAGATATCATGCGTGGGTTCCTTCCCCGTGTCATCCTTTCGCTCCTTCCATATATCGTTTTAACGGTCGCGCCTTCCATATATCACCCTAGCCGTTGCTCCTTCCATATATTGTCTTAGCCGTTGCTCCTTCGTCAATATCATAATTCCGCAACACATAATAGGACCAGCCCAAGCCATACGCCAAACAGCCAACATGGACTATTCCGGACCTATTAGTGGTCCTTCAAGACGAGAAGACTTATCTACGGGAGCATCACAGTCTCTCCCCACAGCCTCACAACCACCATATATCGATGGTCTTGGCTATGAAAACGGTCACGGCCACTCCTATGAACCCACCTACAATGGTGATCGAGCCACGAGAAATCACCAAATCCAATCCCAGGTATCCAAAGAGCCGGTCTATTCCGCTGCTGAAAGTGCAGATCCTTCTCAGCTTGCGCTCCCAGTATTAGAAGAGTCCGTTTATGCATCCGAAGAGAGCTCAGACGCTCCCTCAACGCCATACTCGATGCCCGATGACTACGTCTTAACCCCACCCCGAATTCACTCCCCGAGGCCCAACGAGTCTTCTCGCCACGGTACTGAGGGCGCAGACGCTTGTCCGACCTCACTCCCAATGTATTCAGCCATCCCACGACAGATATCACATCGGACATATGCCCAAACGCCACTGTCGTGGAAGAGTCTCAAACTAAGCGTACGAGTAAGCATACACGTGGACAATATACGCCTAGAGATGTTTGAAAAGGTGATTGCGGAAGAAGTTGAGAGACGATTCGATGCACACGTAACACTTGCCCAAGATGCGCGTCTTCTTCATGGCCTAGAGAACGGAGAGATAATATACCTGAGTGGTGATGTTATCGACGAAAGTGATACGCTACGCGTGATTGCGCGTGATGTAGAGGCATTGCAGCGCGAGATGGACATATTTAGATTCATGACCTCATTTACGCGGTTGCATGGATCGGTCGTGGTCTGCGGAAGCAACAACCCAATCGGGAGTGTGTTGTTACGTAGCAACACAGTCCTCATTGCACCCGATGAATCGGTAGTATGAATGGACAGGAACTATTATTTACGCCCTCGTCCACGTCTTCTCAGGCAGAGACGTATAACAAGGGAATAAGAAATAGGGTGGGCCAGGATATAGGAGCAAGGAGAAGGGGTTAAGAAAGTGTTGGCGCTGTCTTCATTTTTGATATAACTTCAACACGGCATATTTCTAACATACTGTGTTGCAAAATTGTCATCAAGGAGTAGGCGGTTAAAGAGAAATAACTCTGTCATTCAAATCCATTATCTATATGGCCTGTGCCTATATAGTATGTGCTCTCTAAAGTAATGCTCGTTTCTACTCATAGAAACATATCCAGCGCCTCCAGTACTCACTACCTCGCAAGGTATATTTCCAGTACCCCATACCTCGTAACGCCGTGCGTCCTTTTATCATAACGCCATATCCGATAACTCCATCCCCCTTCTAACCATAACGCCATAAATCGTAAAATCATAAATCATAGAGCCGTAACTCGTAACTCCGTATCTCATTAATGTCGTAAATCGTAAACTCCGTAAATCATGCCGCCGTAAATTTAATAACTCCGTCGGTCGTAACGCCATGTGGTGCCTCGGATTTCTTATCCATAAATCCATGCTGAGTAGCAACCACCCACATCTCGAGATGTATCGTCGTCTCATATCGTATCAAACATCTTGCAACTTCTCCTCGTTCCATATCGTAACACATAAATGGCAGCCCACTAGCTCCAACTCAAGATCTCTCAGACCTTCCCATTCTCTCCACTCCCCACCCGACTCTCCCACCTTCTCTCCACTCTCCGCAGAAATACTTCACTTCTCCCCTTCCTCTCTCTCTCGCTCCCACCAGCCTTGTTCGTAAATCGGTGCGTCCCCGAACGGCACGGAACGCCGCATCAGATCTTAACCCGCTCTGCCCAATCACGCTCACCACCTCGGCCAGGCAGCTCATACTGCTTGGAAGCTTCATCTTCTCCTGTGCCTCCCACGGCACGAGCGCAACCGCAACAGCCAGCAGAGCAATGAAATACCCAATCAGCAGCGCAAGAATGACATAGAACGCTGCCATATCTGTGAGCACGAGTAGAGTCTGCGATGGGAACGTCGTGTATGCTGCAAACATCCCACCACCGAGTATCGGTAGCAGGATCATGAACGGCTGCATAACAGCCAGAAGAGCGACAAGCCAATGTCCGTTCTCAATCGCTAGTGAGAGAGCGGCGAATGGAACACTGGAACTCGCGCTGTAGTCTGCGAGGAGGGATGGTAGAGCGCGAGTCCCGTAGGTGCGCGCCAGTTCAGACAAGGGTGTGAGGCGGGCGATGGAGTATGCAATAGGCCTCAGGGCTCCGTAAAGGACGAGACCGATGGTGGATGGGACGAAGGAGTAGAAGAACGACAAAGGGATGAAGTGTGCCTCATTCGGGGTGGAGGAAAGTTGTGGGCGGAATCCAGAGCTGAGGGCTATCGACGGGAGGAAGCTGACGACGAAGAGGGAAACAAGTAGAGCGCCGAAGGCAACGGGCCAGAGCAACAAGGCTGAGCGCCTAAGGCACCACGGAATGTAGGTTGCACGGGTGGTCAACATCTGCGCCTCGGTGTCACCGCTGTAACGGGTCTTGTCATTAATTGATGGCTCAGCACGGCCGCGGCTCATGCCGTGTCGGCGTAGCGGTGCGCCCTCCTCGCCGATGCAGTAGAAAATATCTTGCGTAGGGTTTGTGGTGCGCCAGTACCCCAGACGATCAGCGCGGTGCCCAAGCTTCTCGCGCAGCTCAGCTAGGTCCGAGGCGTCCTCGGCGCCTTCATAGTCATCCATGCAGTTGCTTCGGGAGAGCAGCGCGATGACATCGGCCAGAGATCGTGGGTCCCAGAGCAGACCGGTCTCACGGCGGACGAAATTAAGGATGATCCCAACAAGGCCGAGCACGATTAAGACGTAGATGGCGATGAGGACACCAGCAATGCTTGTCACGGTGCTGTATTTCCAGAGTCCGTTGATGTTTGTAACAGTGAAAAGGCAACTGGCAAGGGGGATGGTAAGAACAGCCGGCCAGATGAGCACGCTGCATACACCTAGGTGGACTTGATCGGAAGAGAAGTAGCTGAATCGTGGCCTGAGGAGGGTCGTAGGCTGGAAAGGTAGAAATAGGGACTTTTGGCGAGCTTGATGGTCCTCGGATGTCATCTGAACGTAAGGGACGATGCGTCCAACGGCTGCCATAACGCCTTCAAGCCAGAGGAATAGAGAGGCGGCGATGATCTGAGGAAGGAAGCGGAATGTGAAGTACCTCGCGTCGAAGGAACCAGAGTGGGCCCATAGGCCGTCCGCGAATTCGATACAGAGGCCCAAGCCAACGATTGTGGAGATACATAGGAACACCAAAACCGCAAGACTGTAGGTTCGTAGAGTTTTTGGCACAAACGTGAGTGCTGGGTACCGTGCAGTGTGTACTGGAGGTTCGGCGGCGAGGTATAGCTCAGATCCGGATGTTGGCAAGGCGAGACTGGCTAACGAGTCTTTCGGGTTGTACTTGGCTGTTGGTCGGGGGGCCATAGATTTGATGTCTTCTTTTGACCCAATATCGGGACCAGGTCCACTATAAAAGTCGGGCTTGTCATCATATTTGGGTCTAACATAGTCTTGCTTGAGGCTTCGCTCAGGAAACCTTGGGTACGAAGAGCTGCTGTCCCCGCTTGTCCCTCTCAGGGTTGAGCTCCTCGTGTCGTCTTCTCTTGTAATCTGATCAATTGCATATCGGAGGTACGGCATGTCGTCGTTTGTTGGCGTTGGTGGTCCCGAGTAGGTAAATTGTGATTGTGTCGACTGCATAGAAGGCCTCAGCACTCTCGTCCCGATATTCGAACTCATCCGTGCAGCAGGAGGCATGGTCACATAACGGCCTGCTGGCGGTGTAATCCGTGGCGCCCGTGGGAATTTTGCGGTGAGTGCTTCCAGCGCCTCGGAATAAGAGCGTTGGTTGATCTGGTCCTGTGTCCGAGGATTGATTGGGGCGTCAGGTAGGAGAACTGTTTCGGCGCTGGGGTTGCTTGATATATCGAAGGCATCTTCGTCGTCCGTATGTAAATCCTCAGCACTGTATCTATCCTTGGAATATTTTTCATTCGCTCTTTCGACTAAAAGTTCCTTAACTATCATTGTCATTGTCAGTCTTGGTCCTCTCATTGTGCTACCATGAGTCGTAGCCTTCAGCGAACTTACACTGCACAGAGCGAACGTCAACTCTTCGAGAATTCATGATTGCTATAATTGATCGGTGAGTAGCTGCGAGCTGCTATTGCTTGATGCAAGATGCGCATCTTCCCGCAGCTACTGCAGGTCAGAGGTATATACGTCGAATTATGATGCGGCGTCGGAAGGCTGGGAGGGCTGGGGCGACCGAGGTGGCTGGCGACGCGACAACCAACCACCCAGGTCTCACGTCGCGTTGGACGAAACATCAAAACCCCACCACAATGCAAGGGTTATGGGATTCAGCTCGCGCTATTCAGTGGAAATACGGTAAAATATCCGTGAAAAAATATACAATTAACTGAGATCATTCAGACTCTGATTTAAATGAGTCCTAACGGTTTTCCCAGATGTTTGTTGCGCTACTGTACCTCGGCTTGGCGCGCTAAGCCCTACCAAAATGTATACCAACCCCAGCCACCTCAAAACCTCAACGCGTTATAACAATGAAAAGTCCACACATTCTAATGGCAATGTGTATCAGATCAGGGATGAAGCTGAGATTTATTTTGCAAATGTATAATATCCGTAGAGCTGATACTGTCATACGAATATCTATAAATCAGCTTACTAAACGTGGCTTAGCGTGGTGGTGGTCGCTCCTGCTTCTTTTTCCAAATTCTCGAGCTACTATGGGCGCTCCTTCCTTCGCTGCACACCCACCGCCGCCCTTCCCCGCATTCTGAATATGTACGGAGGGCCGCCGACAGGGCCGCCAAAGGGCCTCTAAGTGGATATATCTTCACACGGCCTAGCGTATTATTTAATCGCTGATTTTAGGTCGCGTTTATCCCGAACTTATCAATCTGTCTTGGGTCTAACGATTCTACATCTTTTTAACTCTAAGGTATATTTCTGGCCACATAATCATGACCTTCTGAACCCACAGGACGCGCTGTTGTTATACCTTGCAATATAATATCGGCCTTGGATAGACACGGAGTAGTGGCGGGTATCGCTCCCGCAGTTCATCAAAAGCCAGTGGCTCTTCGGGTCCGCTAAGAATTTAGCTCTCGTTGGCAACAAGTGGAGCTATATCACAGATGCTTGCCGCTATTCAAGCGTCACTTCGGTGTACCTACTAAATATTTCATTATTTTGTCCCGCGGGGATATTCGCCTATTAAACAACTGTGACACTTGTATTCCCATGCTAGAAAAATACAATATCCGATTCATCCCACCCAAGTTGTAGCAAGACCTTGTGAACAGATTGCTCCATCGCCTTCGGTCCACAGATCAGCACCATACATGTCTCAGTCGGAGACGCGTAGTCTTTCAGATTCTGCGCCGAGACGCGGCCCCTTTGGCCAGACCATGAACTAGAACCATCTGTAAGTGTGTGGATAATTGAACACCTCTTGCTGTCGGCCGCTGCAAAGGAATCTAGCTCATCCTTGCAGAGGATATCTTCTTCTTTCTTGTTTCCATCGAGGAGGACGCAGGTGGTTGGATCATCGCGGTCTTGAATAACCGCACGTAAAACTTGAAAGATCGGCGTGATGCCGCTTCCGCCACATATCATCTTGAATGACCGTACAGAGCGTTCTTTGTCGTTGATGGAAACTCTGCCCTTTCCAAGGTACTTGAATTTGCCAATAGGTCCTTTAAACTCCACAGACGACCCAATAGCAAGTTTTTCAAGAGCCATTGTCATCTTACCACCTTCCATAGTAGGAGTACTAAAATATATCTTAACAAGTACATCCACTATCCCTTTCTTGTCCGTCTGTGATATTGGTGTATATGCTCTGATAATGCTGGTTTTCTCTGGTGAATCATCTTCAGCTTTTAGCATGATATGCTGACCAGTTGGTAGGCCAAACGATTGCTCGTCATGATCCAATGCAAAAGAAAATATCCGTGTATCGCTCGATACTGCTACTTTCTTGCAAAGCTTCGCTTTCCTCCAAAATTTAGGCCTTAGGAATATCTCAGTTGGCCCTGAACTTAGCTCTTCGTCCGGTTCTTTGTTAAGAATTGCCAATGAGGCCTTATCTAGCGTGCCAACGTGGTACTCGCTCATCATCGCTTTTGCGGTCTCGCTGTCTATTTTGGAGGTCAGTATCACACCACCATGATCATTGAAAGGCAACTCACGGATTGCAAGGAATTCCTCTGACACATCCATTGCAGCTGCCGATATTATGCTTTGGGCTCCACCCGGATGGCCGTCTAGGAATCCTGTACCATCGTACACTTCGCCATTCACAACAAACCATGGCGACTCAGGACCGCCATGTTGCTTTAGTTCCTCGATGTTAATGCTTTTGTTCAACCCCTTTGCCCTCATATCGATCTCCTCTACAATCGTTGGCTCTCTTGGCGCTTCTCCGTTGGGTCTCTGTCCCCAAGACCCGTTTGTCAAATCCCCACCTTCTTTCTTCACACGTTCCATCCATCCTCCGGGCATTAAAGCAGGCTGTGTCGGGTGTTCGAATTTCAGGACCCCGTTGTTTTTGGTGATAGTAACTCTAAACCATGGGTTGTTCATCATCCCCAAAACAGACCAGTACATATCTCGGGGTTGTATATTCATTGCTTCGTCCATCGCCCGGACAAGTATCGCATCGCTGGCATCAAGATCGGAGACTGGTATACTGAGAGACCACTGGCACCAGCAGAAGCAAGCCTCTCGAGAGTACATATCCACTCGACCGCCGTATAATTGTGACTCGAAATCGCGATATTTGTCTTCCGGATAATCAATATCTGCCAGTCGCCAAGCTGCGGATCTTGGGTCAGCTAGAGAAGACGCAAATGGGTGATTGTCATACATTTTCCACCGTCTAATGATATCTCAACTCTGGTTATTCGTCGACCGCCGCCACCATATGCGTAGCCTCGCGCATTATATGTCGCTTCGGGTGTCGTAATCGGCAATTCTTCATTGTGTTGAGGGTATGCAGTGGCCGAGTTAACGCTTAGATCGTAAATAGCGTATCGGTCGTCTTGCCACCAGGACTTATCTTTCGATGCCATCTCAGGGCTAACCATAGTTCTATAAAGTGGTTAATTATAGTTTACAACAACCAAACTTTGGATAGGGCCAGACTCACGGTAGCACTCGATTATCATAAATATGGTACCAATTATCACTTGGAGCTTCGGTGACAATCAATTTGGTCAACCATTTGACACTCCTTCCGCCAATTTGTCCCGGGATTACCGCCCTTAAAGGACGGCCATGATCTGGGTGTAGCGGCTCGCCGTTCATTTTGTGAGCAAGCATAATGCCTCTGTTTGGGTCCATCACCCAATTCAGTTTCACTGACGTTCCGTAATATCCGTTGGGCTATAGAAGCATTAGCCGCCCGCACTCAGGATTTAGAAGAGCTATTATACCAGTTTATCGGCTCCCTCCATGCATACGTATCTAGCCCTGCGTAATGGTTTTGCCCTCCGTATGATATCGGCCATCATAGGTCCTGTGAAAAGGGCAGTCGACACTCCAGCCGCTCCCCATGAAAACCCGTTCGACTTCCGCACTTGGTTCTGCTCCTTGCGCCTATTACCAGCGCATACGAGGGTGACAGGTGCAGTTATCTGATCGAATTGTTGCAGGATTTGTCGGAAAGTTAGTGTTATCGGATGTTCAACCAACCTATGCATTCCGTCAGCTGTCAATAATCAAGGCACTCCATGGGTGTAGTACCCTTCAATACTCAGCTCCCAGGTGGGAATTTCAGAATCCAGGACTTCTGGGACCGGTCCATGATTCCTAACGTAGAAAAGTTGCGAGCTTGTCAAAAAGCCTGGAGCTTGTTCAGTACCGCGTCATTCGTAAAACAGCATTTCAAAGTTTACCCACCATCATTGAAGAGGTCTGTCAGCGGTGCTTCTACATTGAATGGATGCACACCAGTCAACCTTATTAGACGCGGATCTCGAGGGACGTGGCGGTCCGGAGTGTCCTTATCCAAACTGAGGATTTCTCTGAGGGGCTTTGATAATGGGGGCAATGGAATGTTCCGCAATGCAATTGTCGATATATCTTCATGTTTGAGTGCAGATGTCTTTTCACGTATGATTGCGGGCTTTATTTCTTGTGTGAAAATGGCGGATTTCAGAGAGTGCACATTTAGGGGTGTCCCAAAAGTCAGGGATTCTGTGAGGGTCGCCATACTGAGGAAAATTGTGATAGTGGTTCAACTACCATTATTATTATGTCCACGTATATATACGACGCATTGCAATTCTCCAAGTCATACTCCAAGTCATACTCGGTTCCGCATTCCACATGAGCCGTGCTCGGCGCAGACTTCCCGCGGACCATGGGAATTTGCTGTAAGTTAGGTCAGCAAAGTCTGCAAGCCCCCTATCGACAGGCAAGTTTGGATACAAAGCAAAAACTCACGTAAATGGCTTGTTCAGCCAGTGGCATGTCCGCGGAATTATACATTTCTCGTCTTCAACTATTACAGTACTCCAATATCTCCTGTTGTACAAAAGATAAGGGTCAAACCGGCAAGGGTCATATCAGCATCCCGACATTGGCCGGCTCTATAAGCTGAAGTCGTCGCAACGTGGGAATCATTGGCCTAAAACTTAAACACCAGTCAACAAACGCATGGGCCAGTTATCTTCAGCGACGTGTGGGGGTTTATTCAACTCAGATAAGGTCAACACAGAAAATGTGGAGCGTCGGGTGTCTATCTTTGGCCTCATTAGTTGTGGCCTAGGCCCCTGAAGCCCTTATCTCTTCGAATTCTGACGTCCAGATAAGCTCATGATAAGAGATTATTTGGGAGACCATACCAAAAAACCATCGCCGGAGATGCAGGAACCATATCCAAAGGAAGTTTTACGCCGAATAATCGAAGTAGCCGGCGGCTGTAGATGTGTCGCCTTCAAGCAGATAGATATCTGCTCTGTTCCGTGGAGAGTCTATCCCGTCATCGACCCGCGGAGAAACAGCAGTATGGGCAATTGCCACAATAATGCCCGACAAGTTACGATGTCCGTCTCTAGTAAGAAAAGCAGAAAATTAAACCATATAATAGAAAGTTCTGCTTGCGAATATTGTGCAGTTGACTTTGATACGGATGATTTGACATCGCTCGCCTCGCTGCACGCTCGATATCACAGTTCGGAAAAATGCATTTACCGAGCGGAGCAGGGGTGGAATCGTCGACCCTTCCGGACATTCCAAACAGCATTTACAACGGAAACGGCTTCGACATTTCTGGACACGCCGTCCATAGCGACGGAAACATTGGAATATGCACTCCACGAAAGAAAATCGTGATTGTTGGGCTGGGCATGGTTGCTCTCTCATTCATGTATGTTGTCCCACTACGACCATATTGTGCGAAATTACGGATTTTGCATTTCGAGACGCAGTAAATTTATTTGCGTTAATCCAATACTGATTCCGAGCAGTGAAAAAATTATTAAATTAGATGCAAAAAAGCGACAGTATGATATTGTCGTTATTGGCGAAGAGTCCCACGTGGCATATAATCGAGTCGGGCTCACATCATTTTTCGAGCATCGCGAGGTCGAACAATTATATTTGAACCCCAAAGAATGGGTTGGTGCAAAAGACTACAAGAAAATGTTTCCAATAGCTAATACTTTCTGTAGTACGGGTCATTCGAGGATGGTTCTTTGAATTATCACCTAAACACCAGGGTTGAAGAAGTCCTCCCCGACCAAAAAACGGTCAGAACATCCACCGGCGATTCGGTCTCATACGACATCTTAGTCCTAGCAACAGGATCTGATGCAATCCTTCCAAGTCATACTCCTGGCTATAATGCCAATGGGGTATTTGTTTACAGAACAATTTCCGACCTTGAGAGGCTCATGGAGTTTGCCTCGAGGCATAAAGACTCAACGGGTGTTGTTATCGGAGGTGGTTTGCTCGGCCTCGAAGCTGCTCATGCAATGATGAGTCTGAACGCATTCAAAAGTGCGAAGCTAATCGACCGCAACAAGTGGGTATTGGCCAGACAATTGGACGCTGATGCAGGATCCCTGGTGACGGACACCATTCGCCAACTAGGTCTAGAAGTTATGCTTCGAAAGCGTGTGGCGACCATCAATACAGACAGCAGCAACAATGTCCAGGGAATCACATTCGAGGATGGTGAGTCTATAGATTGTTCATGTATATGTTTTGCAGTAAGTTCCTCAAGTGTTGTTATTGTTTCCTGCTTGTTACTAAATCGCCATTTAGATCGGTGTAACTCCCAGAGATGATCTTGGTCAAAAGGCTGGCATAAGATGTACCGAACGAGGAGGCTTCATTGTTGATTCAGGGTGATTATAATTTGCACATGTGCTATGCAAAAACACCTAGCTAACTTAAATCTAGCCTACGAACATCAATTCCTGATATCTACGCCATCGGAGAGTGCGCATCTTGGGAGAACCAAACATTCGGCATTATAGCACCTGGAATTGAGATGGCAGACGTACTATCCTTCAACCTCACGAATCCAGAAAAGGCGCCGAAAGGCTTCGATCGACCTGACTTGAGCACAAAACTCAAGCTCTTAGGTGTAAACGTTGCCAGCTTTGGCGACTTCTTCGCCGATAGAGATGGACCAAGGTTTCTTCCTGGAAGACGGACATCAAAGCCTAACCCCGTGGAAAATGGCAGAAGAAGCTTAACTCCGCCAACGAAAGGCCCCTTAGTTAAGGCTTTAACTTACAAAGATCCATTCAGTGCCGTGTATAAGAAGTATCTTTTTACCATGGATGGAAAATACCTACTCGGAGGAATGATGATTGGAGATACCAATGATTACGTCAAATTGAACCAGATGGTCAAAAGTCAGAAAGAGCTCGAGGTCCCGCCCAGCCAGTTTATTCTCGGCACCCAGAATGGGGGAGAGGAGAACGCTGACGACTTGTATGAAAACATATACTCAACCTCACCGCCATTGCTAATTATATCACTACAGGGACGATGACACTCAGGTCTGCTCATGCCACAACGTTACCAAACGCGACGTGGTTGATAAAGTAAAGGAGGGCAGCTGCAAAACAATCGCCGATGTCAAATCATGCACAAAGGCGGGGACTGGGTGCGGTGGCTGCATGCCTCTCATTCAATCAATCTTCAACAATACGATGAAAGAAATGGGCCAAGAAGTTTCGAATCATTGTGAGTTCTGCAACCCACTGATGTTGTATGTGGCTAATAAGATGCAGTATGTTCTCACATTCCATACTCCCGGGCCGACCTCTATAATATCGTGTCCGTCAAGCAGTTGAAAACGTTTGTGGACATAATGCAGGCAGTAGGTAAAGTTCCAGATTCGCTAGGATGTGAGCTATGCAAGCCAGCCATTGGATCCATTCTTGCGAGTATGTACAACCGTCATGTTCTGGATAAGCCAGTCCGTGACCTTCAAGACACCAACGACAAGTTTCTTGCGAATATACAAAGGAACGGAACATTCTCCGTGGTGCCTCGCGTTGCGGGTGGAGAGATTACGGCCGATAGGTTGATAACCATTGGCCAAGTTGCGAAGAAATACAACCTTTACTGCAAAATCACTGGTGGACAGCGAATCGACATGTTTGGTGCCAAGAAGCAAGATCTCCTCGATATTTGGACCGAACTTGTCAATGCTGGGATGGAAAGCGGCCATGCCTATGCGAAATCTCTCCGAACAGTCAAGGTTCGTGGCTAGAAAATATTACCCATACCGTTGTGAAAACTCACTAACAAATTTGTAGAGTTGTGTAGGAACTACATGGTGTCGGTTTGGAGTCGGTGACAGTGTTGGAATGGCAATTCGGCTCGAGCAGCGCTACAAGAGTATTCGGTCGCCACATAAAATCAAGGGTGGAGTTTCGGGATGCGTGAGAGAATGTGCGGAAGCACAGAATAAGGAGTAGGTTTTTGCATTGTTATTTGTCGATGGATACTGACTGTGTTCAAGTTTTGGGTTGATTGCCACAGAAAAGGGGTTCAACGTCTTCGTCGGCGGCAATGGCGGCGCAAAGCCGCGGCACTCAGAGCTACTAGCAAAGGACGTCCCACCTGACGAAGTCATTTCTCTTCTCGACCGTTATCTTATATTCTACATACGAACAGCCGATAAACTACAACGTACCGCGCGGTGGATAGAGAATCTTCCAGGCGGAATTGATTACCTCCGCGAGGTGGTTATCAATGACAAACTTGGTATATGCGCGGAATTAGAGCGACAGATGGAAGAGCTGGTGGGCTCCTATTTCTGTGAATGGGCCGAAACTATTAAAGATCCAGAAAGACGCAAACACTTTGAGCAATTCAGTAACACTCCGGAAACTGTGGATACCGTCGAGATCATTGAAGAGCGTGGGCAACAAAGGCCGACGTACTGGCCCCAAGGTTCAGTCACTGAGAATTTCAAGGGCCACCAATGGTCGCATGTCTCCTGGCAGCCAATTCTCAAGAGCAATCAGTTCTCGGAAGAAAAGCCACAAGTATCGTCTGCTAACGTCAAACGCGGCGACACACAGCTTGCAATCTTCAAAGTCAAGGGCAACTACTACGCAACACAGCAAATGTGTCCACACAAGCGTGCTTTCGTACTCTCGGATGGTTTTATCGGCGACACTGACGCTGGAACATATTGGATTTCTTGCCCGTTATGTAAACGAAATTTTGAGCTCAATGGCGAACAAGCTGGGCGATGCTCGAGCGATGAGACGACCAGTGTTGCCATCTTTGCAGCTGAGGAACGCGATGATGGCTGGGTATATTTGAAATTGCCGCCCGTCGAAGAACTTGATGCGCTGCTTGGGACGGAGAAGTGGAAGGTTAGGAGAGAGGAAGCGGTGGATCCGTTTGAGAAAGTTGACAGAGTCTATAAGAGCTTCAGGGGAAAGAAGGTTGCTGATATTAAGGTTGAAATAATAGGGAAGCGTGCTACGGCACCTGGTGGGATTGATTGGTAGTTAACAACTTTGTACGCATATTTGGTGTTATTGGTTCATCTCACTACATTTTATACCCTCACATATGTATTAATGTGTCTAGACTTCCACACTAGGCAATTGAGCAAAATAGGCAAGGTAATTAACATCTGCATTAATTATACATAAAACAACATTCATAACTGCATGTTATTGTGGTTATTTGCATTGGTTTATATGATATAACGTGACTAATTAGACCAAAGAGACAGAGGTAGGAGAGGCAAGAAGCTCTCGAAATATCAACCCACAGCTATCCAATCAGTATGAATCCAGAGGGAATATCCGGAATATAACTACAGTGAGGGGCACAAAGTCTAAAGAAAAGCCTCCAATCGTTAGCTTCTGATTAGTGCTTCCCCCCACGAGCAAACGGCCGCTATCGTCTTAGCTAGGAGAGGGAGCCCCTCCCCTGAAAACTTTATCGACGAAAACCATCTCCGCGGAGATGCTAAAATACGATCTATATAGCCATGCATACTAGTGCAGCCTTATCTTTGGTTATTTCATGTGCTAGGCTCTTATCCCCGTGGGTTAGATAGGATCGATGTTGGGGGTGTTGCCTCCACCCCCCTTATCTTTGGTGTCAGCAAGCGGGTCCTCTACCGATAGCCACTATGAAGAAACCAGTCGGGACAATTCTTCCCGCAACATCATTCCCGTTCCGATATTGAGCGAGTATTCTCGTGGTGAATCATCGCCCAATATTTTATCACTTTTCGTTCAGGCAGCGTTGGTAAGTGCTAACAGGGCTGAGACGCGCTTATCTTGTTTTCACAATCAGCGCCTCTACCTAAATTCGTATCACGCCACCATCACAATTAGTTGTAGGTTTTGGGTTTACATGCCTTGATCGTTGGGTGATAAGCTGGTTTGATCTTTGAGACACTGATGGGCTGCTATCTAAAGGCTGGCAAATCCTCAGATGCGAAATGGACATCTCCTCGGACTGTAAGTTAGAATTTCATGGCCAGTATATATGAGCTTCATAATACGAATACAGAAGCTCTCATTTAATTTAACCATCAACATTTTCCGCAGTCTACTTTGATCTCAGTGCTGTTTAGACCGACTGTTTTGTTTTTGAACTTAATCCTGTCAATTTGAAATCATCACAGATGGCTCCAAACTTTTTGAGGCTGCTCGTAGCCTCGCCAGAAATCAATCCCATCAACCAAAAAGCAAGATCGATACCTATATTAAACCCATTCGATAAATATGGAAGAGTGTTCTTTTTCTCGTGGTTAGGATTCTTCGTTGCGTTTCTCTCGTGGTACTCGTTCCCGCCTCTGGTAAGTCACATTTTTTGGTAGAATCCTCAAGATATATCAGATCTCTAATACATAACCTTTAGTTGGCTGTGACAATTAAAAAGGATCTTCACCTAAGCCAGACCGATATTGCCAACTCTAATATAATTGCTTTGCTAGCAACGTAAGCATCACCCCAATTTCAACAGGTTTCCGGTCTGACTTCTCTAGTCTTCTTGTTCGATTTTTCTCTGGGCCACTATGTGATCGCTACGGTCCACGATTGGTTTTTGTGGGCATATTACTGGCCGGCGCCATACCAACGGCTATGGCATTCTGGGTGCCAGCTTCGTGCCATGTCAGGTTTGGACAACTGGATACTTCGATAAAAACGTCATTGGCTCTGCAAATGCCTTGACAGCGGGCTGGGGAAATGCAGGAGGGGGTATTACATAGTAAGTCTGTCCAGTCTGTCACAAAGCACATCTATTAATACCGGTGTTACAGCTACGTGATGCCTGCGGTCTTCGATTCTCTGGTCCAGCACAGTGGACTTGCTCCCCACAAGGCATGGAGGGTGGCATACATTGTCCCGTTTATCATTATTGTCGTTGTTGCTCTAGGGATGCTATTCACTTGTGACGATACACCCACCGGCAGATGGTCCGACCGTGCCTTGCCCATGGCAGGAGGTTCATCTGATAGCAGCATCAGAGGTGAAATAGATACGCCGTCTTCAGTGTCCATTGCTAAGGATATCAACAACATCGATGAGAAGCACCCACAAACGATTTCAGATATTGAATCTCAGAGCGACGGCACAACATACCTTGACCTTGCCAAGAGCGAGTTTATTGTTCCCCCGACCACCAAGGAGATCATGCACGTTGTTATTAGCCCTCAGACATTCGCTCTCTTTGGAGTTTACGCATGCTCCTTTGGTACTGAGCTCGCCGTCAACTCTATACTCGCGTCATTCTACGAAAGAAACTTCCCTCACCTGGGACAGACGGAAGCTGGAGAATGGGCAGCCATGTTTGGGCTTCTTAATGTTCTATTTCGGCCATTGGGTGGAATAATATCCGATCTAATCTACAAGAAGACTCAATCCGTATGGGCAAAGAAGATTTGGCTTATATTCCTCGGCGTGGCAGCAGGTGCTCACCTCATCGCGATCGGGGTATCGAATCCCAAAACTGAAGCCACCATGTTTGGCCTCTTCGTCGGCTTGGCCGTATTCATGGAGGCGGCCAATGGGGCAAATTTCTCCCTTGTGCCTCATGTGTACCCAGCAGCAAATGGTTCGTTGTTCCCAGCTCAATTACACCTACTTAGGTCCGTTTACTAACTTTATTTCTGCAGGTATCGTTTCTGGCACTGTTGGAGCCGCTGGAAATTTTGGAGGAATCATATTCAGCATAATTTTCCGATACAACGGGACGCATTACGATAGATCGATTTGGATAATTGGTGTCATATGCATCGTTGTCAATATGTCTGTGTTTTGGATTAGGCCAGTTCCTACATTGCACAAATAGGCACTTTTCCTTTCAATTCTGATTTTTTTATTTGCCTAGAATAGCGTTGTTTAAAATTCCGATGGCCATTACTTAGAAATAGAACGAGCCTCAAAACCAGCCTCAAAACCACCAGGTTTATGCCGTAGTTATCATGTGATAAATGAAAGTTCTCATCTTCCGGTCGTTGCTCAACTCCGTCGGTTTTGCCAAGAAAGGCCCCTGAAATCCGTTGTGGTCAGGATTATCAATCACTCCAATTCTTCCAACGAAGACAAAGAAGCGGAGATTGCTTTACTTTTTGCAAAGTCATATTAGATAATCATTAACACGGGGATAGCATGGAGTTAACATGGAGATATGTTCTGGATTTAATATTTATTTTCGAAAGTTTGAATATTTAATGGATTGTCATGCCCCCTATTATTCTACATACCCAGAGACAACTCGCTATTAAATTACAAAATATGTCATCCCAAATCAAGCCCATCAAGATCTATGGCAAAACGGGCCCTAATCCTCTCAAGGTCACCATAATATTCAAGGAGCTAGACATTCCCCACGAAATAGTCACCGTCCCATTCTCAGATATCAAGAAAGCCGAATATGTCGCCATCAATCCGAATGGCCGATTGCCATCTATTCATGATCCTAACACCGGTATCACCTTGTGGGAGTCTGGCGCAATTATTGAATACCTCATCGATAATTACGACCCCCACCATAAACTAAGCTTCTCTCCCGGTTCAGCAGAGTGGCATCATTCCAAGCAGTGGCTTCATTACCAAATGAGTGGACAGGGCCCATATTTTGGACAGGTTATTTGGTTTATGAGGCTTCATGGAGAGAAAATACCAAGCGCCATTGAACGCTACGTAAAAGAGGTTAATCGAGTAACCGCCGTCTTGGAGGGGCAACTTGCCAGGCAACAATTAGCTTCTGGCAGTGATGAGGCATGGCTCGTTGGCAATAAGATCTCTTTTGCGGATCTTGCCTTTCTCCCATGGCATACTATAATGGGCATGCTTCCACCGGACGAATATAATGTCAACAATTACCCGCATGTAAAGCAGTGGCTAGAAAACATGAGTTCTCGAAAGTCGGTGAAAGATGCCATGGAAAGCGTTTCGCTAACAGCATAGTAGCTACTGTTCTATAAGGTAAGTAGGCGCATACGCACATTTTCGAAACCTAACAAGATGAAGGACCACGTTAAGAGGCATTTAGAAAAGAGGACACTAGGAAAGTATGAATGCTGCTATCCAGTTTGCAAGGCTAAAGGGCTACTTCTCGACAACATTATCCTTTTTAAGAATCACGTAGAGATGGTCCACGGAATTAGACTTAGAGAGGAAAAAGATGTATCTTGAATAACTGTTACGGACCACCAGCCTTATTTCACAGCCCTTTTGCTCACCTAGGCTCCTGCAGCTGCCGGGACGTATACTGTAGTCGAGTTTAAATCCATAGTACGCATATTTAATTCCGTAAGCAGCTTAGTACTTTGGCTTTGTAGAACGTTCCAGAACTGTTCTTTCATCTCCTTGGATTGGGAATTTCCTTGGAACCTGCCAGTCTCATGTTCAGCCAACCCTGTATATGGAAATCATGTCCATTTAAATAGGAAATTAGAATCAACGGAGAGGCTCACATTCAGATTTTGTAACCTCCCTGACGTTTTCCCAAGCTCTTTCAACAAGTGTCACTTTACATGTGAGTATCGCACCTCCATCCTGACACTGACAATCTTCGATGGGAAGTTTATCGTTAGATTTTTTGCATTCAGTTGTGCATAGAATCTATTTATTCTTAGTTAGCACTAGCGCATACAATAGAAGTCACACTGCCGTAGGGTGGCCATCATCACTCACAAGTTTGAATCTATACTTGAACCCAGCCACAACCTTTCTCTTCACGTCGCTAATTTCCGTCACTTTCAAATGATATTGAGAATTGTTCTGCATATCTATGTGCAAACGAGCCTTCTCGATCAAGTTTGTTATATCTGTCGAGTTAGGGTCCACATCCTGCCAACAACTAGTACATCGAGATGCCATCACCGAACTGATACTGAACAAGAACGCAATAGTAGTCAGTGGGAAACGCATATCGGGTGGTGGTAAGCCTCTGACACCGGATGCTATTTCAATGACTATAGTTGAGGGGCTAATATCGCTATTTAAAAGAAGTGCAATGCTTAGCTAACAAAGCTGTGTAGATCGCAACCTCATGTTGACTAATGGTCCGAGATGCGACAATTAAATAGTGCGGGTCCGTTCAGTATGACCATTTAAATTCGGATTATAGCTTTAGGAACACTGACCTTATTGGCGTATAAAGAAAGCTGATTTAACGTGTCTTCCAGCGTGAAACATTTGATCTGCTTGGTTGGTTGTGAATGTTACAGACGTGTCAAACGCAGATCTGCTGTTCATGTGGCATTTTTGTATTGGATGCCTTCTGCTAGGTAAGACAGGAAAACATTACTATGTTGGGATACAGTACCGAAGACTCGAGAAGACAACTGAGATCCGTGGCCCGTGCATTATAGTTGGTCGACGCTAAAATGCGCTGGTCCATGATAAATCTCCGCTAGGCTCATCTATACCTCCACAGCACCCACAGGGGATCCAGTTTCGCTAGCGACCGTAAGCATCGTTTGGTAGCTTTCGTTTGGTAGCTTTGGTCAGAAGTGTTAAGTACGGTGCTCCATGGAGCCGGCATTGGTGACCGAGTGTTCGCTAGCTGCCTGTCAAGGCCACGCATGGTGTAGTTCAGCTCGCGTCAGCCACAGCCCCTAATCAGCCACAACCACCTTGCTAAATGATGACATAAGCTAAATTACATCATAATCATTATTGGATGTAGGGGTCTTTTACACTAACCAAAAATGGTTTGTTGCTTTGGCTCGAGGTATTGATTTGTATGGCGACCATGAATGAATTTGCCCGTCATAGCAGCTACAAGGCCGATGACGATTTCCCGCATAGTGGTGAGGCTCTAAAGCTTAGATGAGACCCTTTTATAAGTATCAGGAGTGATAAGAGCTTAATGGTAGAGGTGTGGTAGAGGAACTCTGTTGCACTATAAAAGGAGGCTCTCCGCAAATCAGGCGTGAGGGCGACGAGGCAAACGTGATTTTCTAGTAGGAGGGGTTCTGAGTGTTTAGGAGTGGTCACAGAACACAGCTTATGCAAAAATATGAGAGATGTCAATGCGTGCACAAATTTTAAGATGATTGAAGTCAAAGTACCCATCATATTTTCCTGCACAGTGGGTTTTCCTCTACGTGGGGAGGGACGTTACAAGAGTTTAGATTCTAGAAGAGCTCTTCTACAAGAGTTTAGATTCTAGAAAAGGTCTTCTACGAGAGTTGAGTAGTAGGTAGAAGAGTATTTCTCCGGGAAGATATCGGAGCTTGGCTTTCGGATGTGAAACTACTGCAGTACTCTAAAACCATCATGCCGCCGAGCTGCAAGTAAGTAAATTCAGTCCATTAACAGCAAGGGCAGTCGTCTTTCCATTTCTCCGCCCCACCCCTACTTTTGAGTTTCCTGACTCAAGGTCTCCTTCCGCTCTCGGAGTTTCCGACTCTGAATTTTCTGACTTCCCGCTGTTATCAGCAAGTAATGTCATGGATTTCTTTATATACTTTCCCGAGACCTCTGCCAGGAAAGTCTTGAGTAATGGCGCGGCCCTGGATACATCACAGCACGCTCACCGAATGGGTTCTTCAGGAAATCGCTGGACTCGAGGTAGATTGAGATTGAGAAAATTTGGCCAAGTTGTTCGTTAGCGAGACAATTCAAGAGACCATGGTCTAACTTGTCTGTATCTAACGCTGTGTTCAGCAGCAGCTGGGCGGCAAGACCGTCGTCTGGCATTGTTAGGTTTTGTGTAAAAGCAAGTTAGACTCTTACCTTTATCCCAGATCTGCCAAGGAGGTGTATCCAATGAGCTTGGGCCAAGTGGGCATTGTAGCCATAGATTGGGCTCCCACGAGATCACCATAAACGGGTGATTAGACCAAAAGCTGACGGAGAGTATCCATAAGTTAACATACTGCCCATTAACAATTTTCAGCGGCTTCCGTAGGTGAAGACGGTTCTTGAGCGTACCCGAATCGTGGGTAATGGTGGCCCGCGAGGGTGGTACCAAGAGATTTTGTTATGGCGTATAACGCTATAGCTTTGTAAGAGGAACATGGATACAATCAACCCTGCAGAGACATATAAATAAACGCGAGGGGTGGGCTTGTCTGAGGGAAGATGGCACCACACCGTATAAGCGAAGTCATTGCGAGCGCTTGATGCGTCCGGAGGAAAAGTCATAGTGACTCCTTCGGAAAGGAAGAAGACACGAGCAGGAGGAGAGACAAAGGAGCGACCCTCCCTATACCGCTATCAGTTAACGATATGCAGATGCGGGGTGGGACACATAACATAACCGCAAATATATCCCGCGTTACGTCTAAATGGAGTGATACGTTGGACGCCACGGCCACGACAGCATGGAGAAGGCCCGTGGAACGATGAACAAAACGGATGGTTTTGAGAGACATCCCAAGCAAGTCCGCAGCGAAGGCGAGGTGGTGTGCGGCCAAAAGGGGGATCATGTTGACCACCGCAAGGGTTCCCGCTCGTAGAAGCTCCAAAGCCAGCACAAAATAAGTTTGCTGCGATGTAGGCCAGCTGCACGATGACACCCGCTTGAGTCCATGGCACAAGGGTTCGATGGCGATTGAGGAGCTATGGGTACGTGAGGTCCTTTAAGATACCAGAGGGAGACGTACGTAACGAAAGAGGAGATAAAAGGGAGAAGGTGAACAAGAGCAGTAGGAAAGGTGCCGCCTGCGGCGATTCCATATATTTGAACTATATCCATGCTTGCGAAATATGATGAAATAAATAAAAATGAATGAGGGGGACGTTGGGGCCAGGGTAAGAGCGAGCAATGTGCAGGATCCATAGGAAATAAACGAGCTGACAGGTGCAAGAAAGTGATGCAGAGGCTAAGTTTTTAATCTTGCCGGCCAGGTTTTGAGGTAGAAGTGCACTTTCAAGCTGAAAAGGTCTCACGGATAAGGCCAGCACGAGGTTTAGAATTCATAAATTTCCTCGGCATCAGATTAAGCCCTTTTTAGACTACATCGACTTTCTTTAACCAGGTTTGAGGGAGGATATCAGCGGCTTGTCTGCCCTTAAGAGCGTAGTAGAAGTTGGGCTACCATCACGTTATATAATATAGCTGCTACTTAAACACTCTTAATTTAGTAAAGTTTAATTGCTTAGATAGCTAATAGTATTCTACCCTCTTAATTAGAGGATTTAGCTTATGTTAGTTATAGCATTGTTAATTAAAGATAGGTTGACGCGTTTTAGTGTTTTCGTGTCCGACCTGCTTGGGTGTCCAACTCGCTTGTGAAATACGTTAGATATGTTAGGAAATCATTTATACTCTCTACCCACTTATAAATCGTTAAATCCGCTCTATAAATAAATCTCGGTTTTATAACTATACTATCTCACTATATACTTCCATTCCTATTTACTCAACAATAGCAAGCACGAAGCTCATTATCTAACATGCTGCAGAAACAGCGGTTCCTTTGCTGTTCAAATATTGAAGCAGCTGCGATGTACAAGATACACACTTAACGGCTTCAACAAACGTCTCGGCATTAACTAAAACCCAAATTAACATTGATTCTACCAAGTAATTACCAAGATGGAGAATTTACTAACTGCACCTGCTGGTCTAGTGTGGGTGTTATCATTTGGGAAGTATGTCTTGGCAGTCGTTGGGCCCATGGACTGCCATTTCTTGACAGAATACTTTGTGTGATCAATATACTCGACAGAAGCTTGTTTTGCAACCTGTAATAATAATGAATATTAATATAAGGATATGGGCCATGTATAGTAGCTTACCTGTTGAGCATAAATAGCGAATTGCCAGTCGCTTTGAAGAGTCGTTCCATCCCAGTAATTTCTGTTAACCATGCCGGAGAGTATAGGGATACCGCCAACGGCTTGGACATCCTTGATCATCTTCCGTAGGTAGTGACCAAAAGAGTAGACAACCTCAGATTCACCCGTAGAAGTCGTGATGGTGACGGAGTCTTCACCAATTCCGGGCAGAGTCCCACGGTCAGCAGTGTCAGTGCTTAGGCCGACGTCGTCATTGTGGCCCATCTCAATCACAACCAAGTCACCCTCAGCGGTATCCGATAGTAAAGTGTCCCAGAGGCCCTGGTTGATAAAGGATCGAGTACTAGCGCCCATTTTTGGCTTGGTTGGAAACCGTTATAGACAGATAATCCCCGATATAATAACCCCATCTGAGTAGCTTGTCAGTTGTATTAATTTATGCCTTGATCAGACCCGACTTACCCCTGGAGAGCCCCTGATGCATAGTTTGCGGTTGTACTATCAGAGCAAATGAGGAGCTTTGGTGCTGCCTCAACAACGGCCAGTATGGCACCCAATGCAAGAATGACGCAGTTTGAGGAAGTGGTTAACTTCATTTTGATTTTTTCGAATGGACTGTGCAAATTTACAGTTTCGTAAAGAGATTCATAAAATGCAAACCAATTCTCTCTTATATACGCCGTCGGCAAGTAAATAATTAGCTCGTGTCGTTCAATATAATTTACCTTTCCATAACTGCAGTTTCATAAGTTAGAGTTCTTCCGTTTAGATTAACGATCGTTACTTAACCCCGCATCTTCCTTAAGTGGCACGGAACGCACCGCAATCGCTCCTGCCACATGTGTCATCGCCCGCTGCGGCCTCCTAGCGCATCCGCTATTCCAAGGTGAAGAGCGACAACGGGAATGGCAACCGCACCAACAGCCATTGGAGATTTTCCGACATAGGCCCTATAGCCACCCAATACCTGTCATCAGTGAATCCGCTGATAGACAGTGAGCCGAGTTTAAGGCGCTTAAGGTCGTCAAATGACTGTCGTTAACCAATTGGCAATGTGTAGGTAAGCAAAGATAATGTGGGGTAAGTACTCACCCCGGATTATCAGCTCCGGTTTACTGCGCGATGCATTGCCTTCAAGGACCGAAATCGACAAATCCGCCTGGTCAGTTCCCATTAGCCTTCAGGCGGATCCGCGCCTACATATCTTTGGTGCAGCGCGGCACAGCCTCGAGAGCACATCGTTTCGCGTAGCTCCCCCTGTGATTCATTATCCGGGCTCCAGGTTAGGCAGCCGCAAATAACCAACAGCATGGTATTTACACCGCCTGACTCACCCAATATTGCAGTCACGATTCAGTTTTCTGGTAATTTCATTGGGAGTACGGTAAATTGGTAAATATGTGGACTGCGATGTCTCAGCACATAAAGCTGGCATCAATCCCTTGATAGACTTTTGATTTCTTCCAATCTCCATCCATTAATCCACGATGGCATCCAATTCAGTAGAGGTCTATGACCTCCTCATTTTGGTTGATGCTACTTATTCCATGTCTTCATATCTCCATTCTCTCCAAACATCTCTACCGCAAATTATTTCCATAACAACCGTCACCGATTGCTTCTCGCGGATAGGTCTGCTCGCATACCGCGACTACTGCGACATAAACCTGCTAGAGTGGTCAGGATGGCTCTCTCCGTCATCTTTGTCGGATGAGAAGCAGCCGGATTTGATTGCCAAAGCAAAGAGCCTCGAACCTATAGGCGGAGGCGACATGCCCGAAGCTACCAAGACCGGGTTGGCAAGGGCGTACGAGCTCATGAGACCCGATGCGACGACTATCATTCTCCTCTACACCGATGCCCCCCCGCATACCTTTGCGAATGGCTCAATGAAAGAGAGCTGCTCGCACTTGCGCAATGAGCAAATAGCCCTTAGCAATCCAAATGACAAGAAAGGGCTTTGGCGGGCCATCACAGATGGTGTTTCCAAACCCAAATGGGCCAATGCCGCACCAGTATCATACGGAGGTTTCGGCCATAACTTTGCAGATTGGGTTTCCGCATCCAAATGGCTGTCCAAGCGTTCTGGAGACAAGAAAGCTCAGGTATTCTGTGTCCTTGACCATAGTATGAACTGTGACACTGTTGGTTACTACAATTACCTATCAACGATGACTGGAGGGGCCTGTTTCCGCCTAACTGACTCTGGATCTACTTCAATTTCACAGTTGACGGTTGAGGTGCTGTTGGCCTGGATGGGAGTTGAGAAAGCTCAACTCGTAACGCCCGTCGGACTTCTTCCAGCGCATATGTTGCGGTACAAATCTGTTGAGAAAATAGAGACGCTCGTAGACGAGAAGGATCCCAATGCAGCCCCATTCTTCTTGTCTGATAAATCCGACAAGAAGTTCGGGCCTTCTACAGTCACCGAGCTTCGAGTAACCGCAGACACTCTCGAATCGTATCTTCCAAAGAAATCGACACCTGTTCAGGACTTTGCCAAGCGGTATACAGAAAACCCGCAGTACAGGAAGACTGCCTTTGAAGAGGTCGGGAAACTCATACGTGATGATGTCTCTGCGATATCTCTTAACCCTGTATTCGGCTCACTGTGGAGGGTTGTCTCCAGTGACCGAAAGAATCCTTATCGAGATGAAATAATCACCGCATTCGGCCGTCAGGTGGACAAGATACAAAATGCTGACGAGAAGGCTCGCATGAAGATTTGGCTCGAGGAGTCATACGACTTCACTGCTGAGGCGATGGAGACCATTGCATCAGTGCCAAAAGAACTGCGTTTCCCCTGTGTTTGCCTCGACCCAACAATAGTATTCACACAGGAGGCCGACGACGACGAGGAGGAGGAAAACAAGCCAATCACTTCCCTCCAGCGAAAAGATCTTCTTGAAATCGGCCGCTCCTGCGACTATCGCATACTCCGCCGACTTGGCCGAGTCCTGACACGCCTCACGTATATCAACTCGGTAGAGGAGATGCCGGCTCACATTGCTGCCACGTCGGAGGTGCAGATTCCTAGAATTCCTATGGCCTTGGCGTCGGAGGAATATAACAACTATTTCTGGCGGATTCTACTCCACATTGTGGTGCCAGGGACGATGCTTTCTTCCAGACCCGCAGCATTACTCGCCGCATTGAGCATTCAACTAGGCCTTGAGCCGCTCTTGCAAGTTGCTAACCGTGAGATGATGCGTTGGCGGGATAAGTGGAATGACTTGGATATTCCTGAGACATGGAATACGAGCTGTCTAGGACTATTGCTCGATGCCGATGATGCATATCAGAAGAGAGAGGCAGAGGAGCAAGGAACACAAGTAAGCATCTACCTACTATGCGAAGACGAACCTCCCGCAAAACGTCTTTGCCTTGAAAATTCATCACTAACATACCATTTAAAGGCAAATGAGACCGATACGTCGGATAAGAGGCTGCTAAACCCCCAGGATCGCGCGCTCTTCGAACGACTCGTATCGTACAAAATGCTCGAGTTCAACTTGGAGACAACCCTGCGACCACAAATCGGATGGACCCCCGAAAAGACCACGGTGGCAATGGGCCCAACCGTCATCTGTGTAGCATGCGAGTACCCACGTTCAATCACGATAATGGGCGTAGATGGCAAATGCGGAAAGTGCCTCTGGGCTGATTACGCCACCCCAGAAGCTCGCCAGGAGGCCATAACAGTGAACGCCACGAAGCAAGACGATGAGACGACGCCGATAACTTGGGTTGAATGCGGTCAGAGTACCTGCCGTGCACAATATGTCGTTTATAACCCGGCGAAACTGTCGATCAAACCAAAATGTCACTATTGTAGGGAACATGGCAAGGCGCCTGTGCTCGAGTGCTCGAAGTGCTTGAACAGGGTAATATGGCCTGAAGCGTATCGTCCTGCCGACATGGGGGATTTCACATGTTACGCCTGCACAGCTGGGGTGGGAACTATTGTTGGGGTGGAAACAAATGCCCTCGAGATATCAAAGGAAAGCAACACCGATTGGCTCCTCCGCAACGAGGGTAGCAAGATTTCAGCCCCCTTCACCAAGCGCTCACTCTTCAAAACAATCACAGAGGCCGGCATCAAAGACTTCGTCGAGAAAGTCGAACCGCTCCCTTCCACATCCCAAAGCGACCTCACACTCCACGGCAAGCTCATCCGCAACACCCCCTCCATCGTCGCAGAACTCCGCTCCTGGGTCCTCCGCCGCAAAACCGAATCCGGTACTTGCTCCCTCTGCTTCGTCTCTTTCAAGAAATGCAATCTCATCGCCTCCTGTGGCCGCACCGGATGTTCTCAGCGCGTATGCAAAGGTTGCCTGGCTCATTGGTACGGACTCAATGTCGCGGGGGGTCTCATCAACATCGCCGCCCTCTCGTGCGCATTCTGCCGGCGCAGACCAGTCGCCAAGACGTTTGCGAAGCATGGGTTTGGCATCCACGCTGTTGTTGGGCTGGAAAATGCGGTGAAGGAGGCGGGGGAATGGATATACGCTTGGTGCGAGGGGTGTGGGGTGGCCAAGCAGTATATGCAGCGGGTTTGTGCGAATGGGGCGCCGGAGGAGGTGAAGAATTGGAAGTGTGGAGAGTGTGAGACGGCGAAGGAGGAGGGGAGGTTTAAGTCGTGTCCGGGGTGTACGACGATGGTGGAGAAGGCGGATGGGTGTGATCATATTACGTGTACGGTTGAAGGGTGCGAGACGGAGTGGTGTTTTGTTTGTAGGGGGGTGTTTGATGAGGAGACGATTTATGGGCATATGGAGGAGGAGCATGGGGGGTATGGTGATGAGTAGAGGATTTCTAGGGTTAATGGGTGTTGGGGTTGCGTTATCTGTTATATACCCCTAATAACTGTTGTAATCTTTGCTTTGGATGTATTGCGTATTTGGTGACGTGCAAGTGATAATCGAGGCAGAAGATTATGAATATATAACAGAACGGCATCCAAAGAGTTCGGACTACTGGACACCGCATGCAACGATCATTCAGATACGTGGTGTTCGAACGCGTGTGTGGACAGCCCATTGCCACCCGAAGATTCGCCCATACCAGACCAGGAGCAGCATATCGGAACCACCAACGAAGTCTAAGAAGGCAAGGTGAGAATGAGTAACGGTGACAAGAAGAGATGTGGCTAAGAAGGAAAGGAGACGAGAAGAAATAGCGACAAAAAATGGTAGCATGACAAGAAGTAAACGTCGTCTACTGCATCCCTCCGTAATTGCATTTCAGTGCAATCAGTGATAGCAAGCCCCCTTTGGTAGCGCTCGCGGCAAACGTCCCATTCCCATATGCCCATTTAGCGCTCATTTGATACCTACCGGGTTATACGTGCGGGAGTCAATCTACTTATTCGTATCTGCAAATATTGAGATCATAACGTTTTTAAAGCGACGCACTTGCAGATCAGCTTCTTATGACGCCTCAGTTCGCTCCTGTCCACGTACATACAGGTACAGCCCACCCCCTTCCTCCCCCAGCATGGCCAAGCCATTCGCTACCTTCTTCTTCTTCGCCACCATCATCTCCGCCTCCTACAATATCTCCTCCAAATATCCCATCACATCTCCAATGCTCTCAAGAATCGCCGATGCATCACCCCCGCCGCCCTCAAAAATCGAATTCAGATCACCACTTATAGAAAAAACTACGGCCCAACTATCAACACCTTCACTCCGGCCGGTAGGATATTATAAAAACCAGCCACCGCAGCGCCCTAGTGTACAGCCAGCTACTAGACAAAACTCTGCTGAGACATCCCTCGATACGGAGAAGATCAAACTCATCTACCTCGTCGTTGTGGCGATTCGCGAACTAAGATGGCTTTCTGGGTGATGATGATGAGTGGTGTGTGGTGAGAAACAGCAGCTGGAGCAGTTGTGACAGTGGGGATATGGCGACAGCAAGAATACAACGACAGCAAAATATATCGACAGCAACAATATATCTACAGCAAGAACACACCCACCCGACAGCAGGATCATCTCATAACTCCCCACTCCCCCACGCCCACTCCCACAACTGCCAAATCGCACAAACTCCGTTCAACCACGACGGCAGGAGTAGAATGCCATATCTGGTATATTCCGTGTGATACCCATCTAGAGACGGTGATGTTCGTCGAGGGCGTGGGGGTATATATACCCTCCAGGTTGCCTGTCACAGCGCATCTCTTCAACATCATCATCCTACATATTCAGATCCCTTGGAAATCCACTCCAACTCCAGATCACTTGCTCCAAGAAAGTTGAGGTTTGTTCAAATGATATTACTTTTCTTTTCTTTCCATATTATATAACCCCCATCTATGTAAAACCCCGCCATTAGAGTGGATATGTTAGCCCCCTAAACCCCTATTACCCAATGCCCCCAAATACGCCCATCCCCTTCTTCACCCAACGAACCCATTCTACCCGCCAAAGAAATTACACAAATAAAAATGTAACCCAAGGGATATATGTGAACCAAAAACCCGCTCTATAAACACAAAAAAAAGAAAATGGCAGGCAGATAGCCTAAAAAAAATGAGTGGAAATTAAACCACAGTATCAACCTCAGCAGCCTTGACCGACTCAGCCTTCTCCGCCTTCTCAACAGGGCTAGCAGCAGGCTTAGCCTTCATACTCTTCCACTCCACCCCAACGGCACCGAGGATGCTCAAACAGCTCAGAATCAAACCAAGCTGGAATGTCTTCATAATCGCCGCATTATACGCTACCAGCACCTCTGGGAGTCTCTCCGGGGCAACCATGTGGCGCAAGTTCGTCGCGCCGGCGTGGACAATATCATTCGGGTCGAAGTTCGGGATGTGGAGCGCAGTAAGGTTCTTAACCAGGTTGGTGGTGAAGAGATTCTGCGCTACGCCGACGAAGACTGCTCCACCCAGGATCTGGACGAAGAGAACGACTGCGGTGCCAATCGGGACATCGGAGAATTTCAACACGGCTTGAGCAGCGACGCCACCCTGTTGGAAACCGAGACCCACGCCGAGACCGTAGATGAATTGGAACCCGACCCACGCGCCCTTCGAGGAGTCGACTTTAAGAAGGGTGAGCAGACCGGCACCAATGGACATGACGACGCTGCTAGCAATGAAGAAGGGTGCGAAGTAGCCGAAGTAGGTGACGAGGCCGCCGGAAACGATGATAGCGAAGACCTGTGCGAGGATGAGGGGGAGGGAGTCGACGCCAGCGCCGATGGCGCTGGTTCCTAGAATGGCCTGGAACCAGATGGGGATGAAGTAGACGTAGATGAAGAAGGAACCGCCGATGCAGAGACCGAAGAGGACTGAGGAGGCGATGGTGCGCTGGGAGGCGATGCGCGCGGGGACGGTGGCGTCGTCTTTGAGGTAGATCTGGAGACCGATGAAGACCATGATTGTGAGGCCGAAGAGGACGAATAAGGCGATGATGCGGCCGTTACCCCACTCGTAGATCACGCCACCCCACTGCAGAGCGAGGAGGAGACAGATGATAGCAGGTACGAAAATAGCGGTTCCGAGAGGATCGAGGTGCTTGAAGGTGATCCAGAAAGACTGCTCCTTGCGCTTTGGCTTGGGCTTGAGCTTGAGGAAGGCGAGGAGTCCGACGGTGGTGACGGCGCCGATGGGGAGGTTGATGTAGAAACACCATCTCCAGGTGAGCTTCTCTGTGAATGCGCCGCCCATGAGCGGGCCAGCGACAGAGGCAATACCGTACATAGCGCCGATGAGACCGAAGAATGCGGGGCGTCTCTCGACGCGGACGGTGTGCGCGAGGACGACAAGGGCGCCGGTGAAGATACCAGCGCTACCGACGCCGGCGACGGCGCGGCCGATAATGAGGGCCATGGAGGTGGGGGCGAGGGCGCAGACGAGGGAGCCGATCTCGAAGATGGCGAGGCCGGTGAGGAGCACCCATTTGACGTTGAACATGGAGTAGAACTTGCCGAAGAGGAGCTGGAAGGAGCAGGTGGTTAGGAGGTAGGCGGAACCGTACCAGCCGACGTCGTTGAGGTTGTGGAATTGATCTGTGATGCGGGGGATGGCGACGGCGATGATCTGGGGGGGGGGTTAGTGAGAGTCCACAACTGCGGCCTTTCTTTTCTATTTGGGTAAACTCACGGTGTTGTCGAGGGCGACGCAGAAGACGGCCATCATTAAGCTGAAGACGATGAGGTAGAGTTTAGGGCCCATGGGGAGGTAGTCGGCCGCATCGTCGTCGGCGAGCTCTTCAGACTTATTGTCGTCGACATCGAGGGCAGCGGCATCTTTCTCATCCGTCTCCATGGCGATATCCTTCTCATTCGCATTCGCCAATTCAGCCTTTGCAGCCTCAACTGAAGTCAGCGAAGTGGTAGTTGCAGTTTCGTGGCCGGACTCCTTTGCGTAGGCGGGGACATAGACCGACTGGCCTTCGACTTGGGACGTCATTGCAAGGCAAGGCAGGTGAGAGTCTGATTGTTTGTTGAATTATCCTGATGAACTACGAACAGAGAAAAAAAAGAAATCAGATTACAGGTGCCATGCCGCCTCCTATTATAGAACAAAGGATCATGGTTAGAAGTGGAGTTAACCATCTGCGCCAGATCCATTACAGGGCGCGGATTTAAGAGTCAGCCTCTTTTTCGCTCCGGAGACAAGAAACAGACAAGGCTACTGGAAATTATAGAGGTCCGCGTACATTTTTCAAACGTACCCCCTGACGTCTGCCTCGCGGCTAGACCCGATACGGACAAGTGGGGGTAGGTTGAGATGGTGATGGGATTGACTGGTGGCCAATGAGAAGCCTAGAAGTGGATAGGATGTGGATTATTAATGGGCAGGGACAATCATGACAATCAGGACTACCATGGGGGAATACTCTGAACTCCCCATAATTATACCGCTAGTCCCCTTTCGTCGATTCCTTTACACTTTTCCTCGCTGCGGCGCGGATTTTACTGAAGTCCCGTGGCACCGGAGCGCAGCGATTGGCTGGCCCTAACCGCATGGATGACCAATTTCTCGACGCCAAGCGACCAAGTGAGCAGTCGGGGCAAGTTTGGACCCGACAATTTCCTGCTAACCTCCGCTAATCTCTGCCAATCTGTCAATCAGAGGCTTCTTTACACCTCCTGAGATCACGTGAAGACGCGTGTGGGCGCACGGGACGCACACAGCTGTAACCTACATACTGCAACCGACATATTGTACATGTTGTAGAGGCCAATATTGTATTGTATGCGCAATACTGTTATGCGCCTGATATGTTATATTCCTCCGTCCCCGGCGGAGAGATAGATGATGATGATGATGATGATACAAACACTGCCTAGAATCACAACAACACCATGCTGTGTGCTGCACAATATGCATACCACCCACTCTACTCTACATCCCAACCAAGATGATCTCCATCCCCAATCCTCAATTCACCCGATCGTGAACCACCAAATGTGACTTCCAGGAGCCTACGCCTACATACCACGCATTGCGTAACCTAACACTACCTACCACTACCTACACTTACACCTTCATACACCCTTCGTATCGCAGTCGTCCACTCACCTCACCGCAACCAAACCCTAACCCCCGACATTCCCCGACCGCCTGACTCCCTGACCGGCGAACACCCACCACGTGGCGGCCATGTATTTCACGGCGGTAAGCGAACCCAACATCAAATGTGAGACAGTAGCACAGCACTGCAGTACTATTTACGGTAGGGCAGTGAGACAGCCAAGACTCGAAAAGAAGATGAGAAACAGGGCTCGCTTGGGGGTTTGCGGCTTTGGGGCTATTGCGGGAATGGAGCGGGTTTAGGTATTGCGGGATTGGCTATTGCGGGTTTAGCATTGGGATTGGTGAAAGGGTGGGAAGATGAGGTGGGGGGGATTAAGTCCGAGACAGATCGGGGATAACTTATGTGTGCACGGCGATATCTACGGCGATATGAGATGGATGGGGGTTTGTTCGTGATTTACCTTATTCGTATTTATGGTAGCCTATGCACAGACATACCTACAATTCAAGAGAGGGGGGGAAGATGCGTTGATACGAACGAGCAAGTATACTTACTTCAATAAAAAAAGTTCTGATATGAAGACGGGAGTGGGATGGGACGGAGCCGAGTCAGCTGTCAAGTGTCAACTGTCAGTAGTTAACTTCCGCGATTTGGCGGACCTAGTGCTGATGCTTACGTGTGCTGGGTGGTGGTTGGTGGCTGGTGAGGTGAGGTGAGGTGATGACGAAGCGGATTGTGCCTGGGTGAGTGGGTAGTGAGAGAGAGGAGGGTTGGAGGTGAGTGTTTATTGTGTATCGCGTTTATTTGGTGGGAGGGTGCTGTTGGTACTATTCTGTCTATCAAGAACTCGTCATTGTCATATCTACCTAACCATCAACTCTGTCAATAGCCCTTTGTCACCATTCCTCACCACCCATCAACCCTTCATCATATCTACCCCCAATCACTCTCCCCTTCATCACATTCCTCATCGACCTTAATCACCACTCCTCACCCCTCACTCCCCATCAACACCTCAAAACAATTTTACATCCCCTCTATCAACCCCCATTTTCACTTCCCCTCCCCATATCCCCATCAACGCCTCATACTCACTTCCCCTCCCCCTCCCCCTTACCACCCTCCTTCCCCCTAACCGGCGAAGAAAGCACCGTAATCTGCAAAATCGCCGCCCTCTCCTCCCTACTCAGCTTCACCTGCGGCTCCCCCTCATCCGTCTCCACATAGCTCGGCAGCCTCTCCATGCGCTCCGGTGGGATCGCCGTAGAAGTGCTAGAGTTGCTGGAGATAGAGGTGCTGGAGATAGAGGCGGATGTAGAAGAGGTGGTGTTGGAGGTCCTGGTTGAGGAGGGTCGATCGTCTGAGGCGCCGTCGTAGCCGAGGAGATGGAGTTTGGCTGTTGCGCCTGCGAGGGTTTGGGCTGTGCGGTCGTTGGTGGTTGAGGGTTGGGGGGGAATTATGCCTTTCTCGGCCTTCTCCTTTGCTTGCTTCTGAGCATCAACCTTACCCTCGGTATGGGCTGGGGCTGCGTTCTCGGGCTGGATTGTGACCTCTTTGGTGTTCTCTTCCTGAGGCTGCGGAGTATCCTTCTCAGCCTCATCCTTCACTTGCTGAGCTTCAACCTCACTCTCGTTCACTCCATCAACCTCCCCCCTCAACTGCCTCCTCCCCGCCTCCGTCTCCCAAATCTCCGCCCCCACCAACTCCTCCCCCCACCCCTCCCCCTCCACCTCCTCAACCCCCTCAACATCAACCTCAACAACCATCTCATTCACATACCCCTCCACCCCCGCCACCTCTGTCATCCAATCCACAATCCCCTTAAAATGTCTCGGAAACACACTCTCCTCCGCCACCTCGACAGGGAGTCCATAGACATTCATCCCATACCCCCACTGCCATGCCTCTCTCCCGCCGTCTGGGCCAAATACTCCCATTCCCGGAGGGGACTCAGACATGATGTATCCACGAGATCGCTCTAGCAAGAACGTTTTGAATCCGGAGTCTTGATTCACCTTGCTGTCGTGGAAGGGAAATACGCAGGCTAGACTTTGCATTCTCCCGCCCAGCTGCTCCCAATTCTCATCAAGGACTTCACAAACATACCTAGCGCTGTCGGCGATGGCGATGACGTCCAACTTCCCGCCCTCCTTGCACAGCGCGGGTACGACGGTGGATAGGAGGTACGAAATATGCGCCTTCTGATCCCTATTCCCCTCAACCGTATTCACAGCCGGTTCATAAAGCGGCGCATCATGCACGGCCGACTCTCTCGTCTGGGAATCCCAAGACACCCTCGTCATCGCCTTTCCCTGTCGTCTATTCCAGCGCAACTTCCCACAGTTCGCCAAGATAACAGCTGGGCGACCCGCCTGGTTGTGCACGTACTTGACGAAATCGACGCAGGAGCCGGCGTTGATGCCGCCGTGGCCGCCGATGATGCGCAGGGCCAGGATGCCGAGGTCTTGGACTGAGTCGCCGAGGAGGAGGAGGGTGCGGGGGGTGGTGGAGGTGTGGGTGGAGGCGAGGATGGGGATGTGGGGGGCTGAGGTTGCGACTCCGAGGGGGAGGAGGTGGGTTTGCATGCCCTCTGCGGCAAGGCGCGAGGAGACGATTTCGCGGATTGCGGCTATTTTGGGTGTGAGCTTGTGGTTATGATGGGAGAATGGTGGGGGGACAAACTATTCATACTCTCTCGCTGGCGCTCGTTGTAGCGCTCGGTGCGGTTGATGAAGTATTTGAAGTAATACTTTGGGTTTTCGATGCTGCGGATCTCGTCGTCGTCGTTGACGAAGTAGCTAAAGAGGGTGGAGATTAAAATTGTGTGATCGGGGTGAGGTTGGGGTGATAACGTACCCGAGCTGCTTTAGATCGGTTGGGTATTCCGGGTCTTTTGGAAGACCGTGGGGGAGGAGTCGGAACATGGTTGCTGGTTAAATGGGTTTGGAGTGGAGTTAGGTTGTGTTGATATGAGGAAAGGTTGGTTGTTGATGTTGTAGGAAGGTGTGTGTGAGAAGTCAGGAGTTTGTGGGGGGACTTCTTTGAAGTTGAAGCTGTGAAAGGTGTTTCAATTCATGTGAGGTGTGAGACAAGATGTGCACCGATCCTGGAATTGATCTTCTGAAGTAGAATGTGTCAGTGAGTTGGAGTGAAAGGAAAGGTGATGAAGTGAAACATGGTTGATTATGAAGGGAAATTCAAGGTCAACGGTGACAATTTGTCAAAATATTGACCTTGCCGTTCGTAGAAATGCCACAAGAAGAATTTGGCGTCCTAGGCACCTGAAATATACACCCACAACAAAGCGAAATTGTGAACAAAACGTGTCTGCCCAAACACCAAAGGGTGAATTGTTTGTGACTACGATATGCCATTGCCGACACCTGAGCACCTCAAGAACCAGGACGCAAACGAAGAAGAAATCACAACCTTACCCAAACCTCTGGCAAATGCAAAACCAACACACAAAAGAACAGCCAAAGACGCACTTCCATGGGAGCAAAACAGCTACCTCCAGGAAATTCCACTCTTGATTGAAATTTTATTCATACATGTCCGTCTTTTAACGCCTCCCCCCAAATGCATACATATATACACACATTGATATACAACTGATCGTCCTCCAACCAGATATCCCACCCCCTCTTTCTCCCCCAATTCAATCTACCAACTCGCCTTCTTCACCCCCGGAACATCGCCCCGAAGTGCGTGCATACGGAAGACGTACTATAACGCGCACAAAGTCAGCATCCCATCTCCTCACCACCACCAATGGCACCAAAAAACACATACCCTCGACATCTTAAAGGCCCTCAAGACACCCCGTCCCTTTCCTCCCTCAATACAGCGGTTTCGAATCTGCGTAGGGCGCGTGTAACAGTGCATCTGGGAGAGCTCGAGCTGTGCTTGGGCGCGCATGCGGCCGGGGAGCGTAGTGTTGCGGATGATGTAGCGGAGGGCTTGTCTGTAAGGCGCCAATTGTCAGCTGCTGGGTCCAATCATCCATCCATATTACTGTCTTTCGATCGCGGTGAGGAGAAGGAGTGGGCGTGGTCCGTACCTCTGCGTCTCGTTCTCGGCGAAGACCTTGCGCTTGGTGTGGTCCCGGATGACCTTGATGTTGATGAAGCAGCCGAGGTCGAGCTTCTTGGAGCGGAACATGGACATGATGGCGGTGGTGGGGGTGATGAGGATGACGGTGAGGGAGGAGGTGTCGTCGTCGTCGTCGTCGTTGAGGTGAAGGTAGGTGCCCCGGTATTTTTTGGTGATCAGCGCGCGGCGCCAAGCGTCAGAGCCTCGCCAAGCATTTTTATTGGGCAATGTGCCGCGGGGGTTTATGATACTTTGCGCTTTCCTCACGAATACTAGACTAGGTAATACAAGTACGCACTGGAGATATAAAAATATGGATTATTGAAGTGGCATGTGCTAAAGTTAAGTTTCGTCTGATCTGTATTTAACCTATATCACTCAATATATATGCACACCCATATCCAAAATGTGACCTTGTGAAGCGTCGTACATGCGGGCCGCGAGTACTCAGTGACAACCCTCATACGCGTCAAAAGAGGTCGTCGGCCCGTTGAGTCCCAACGAGGAAATTCAGTTGGTGGGCCGCGCCTCAGTGGCTTTTGCGGCCACGAGTTTGCTGATTTGAGGCGTATTCGCGCCTGGCCTTCTCCAAGGCTATTCTGAGTGTTGAGCGTCCTAGAGCCTGATACAGTCATACCTTGTACTACAATAAGAACAATTCCTGCAACTCGTTCACCCCAATCACACAGTTCTACTTATCGTGGCGCCCAATAGTCGGAATATTGGCACATAACACGGTGTTTACAGCAATTATACTTCAAGTAGAAGCATTCAGTCCCCGAAGCGCACAATTGACAAACCGAAGAAATACGGCAGCTAAAATCTCTCAGAGCATAACTGCAAAATGTTTGATAGGTCAAGAAATGTGGTAGATTTGACTCGGCAGTCACCACCAATCGACCTGTCTCAGCCTTACGACCCTGACTGGGTGTCTGGCAAGACAATTCTGATTACTGGTGGTGCATCAGGGTTCGGCGAGCATTTCTTCAGGAAGTGGGCATCACACGGCGCAAATGTCATCATTGGGGATATCAACGACAAAAAGGGGATATCACTTGTCGAGGAGATTCGGGCTTCGACAGGCAATAAAAACCATCACTATATCCACTGCGATGTCACAATATGGCAATCGCAGGTGGACTTCTTCCATCAGGCACTCAAGCTCAGCCCAACCGGTGGGATAGACAGCGTGGTCGCAAACGCCGGAATAAATGGGTACCACGGCACGCCATTCTGGGATCCTCAGGGTCTCGACGCAGACAGTCCCCCTCCACCAGATATGAAGTGCCTCGAGGTGAACCTGATCGGTGTCACATACACCGTCCATCTCGCCCTCTTCTTCTTGAAGCGGAACCCAAACTCTGATGTAGCAGACCACAAAGCACAGCCCTCAGCAAACAGGCCTGACCGGCATCTGCTCCTCATCGGGTCTATCGCTTCCTTGGTTACTATCCCAGGGTTAACGCAGTATAATGCCTCAAAACACGGCGTCCTCGGTTTGTTCAAGTCGTTGAGAACAACTGCCTTCATGGGCGGCCTCCGTGTCAATATCGTCCTCCCTTACTTCGTCAGCACGCCTCTTCTCCAGGCCGGCGCCCGCGTCCTACTCGCTGGCAACCCCATAGCTACGCCTGAGGATGTGATAGACGCCGGCACGCGCTTCATGGCAGATACGAGGATTTCCGGGCGCGCCTTGATGATCGGGCCGAAGGTTAAGGTCAGAGCCGATAATGAATGGGAAGTCGTGCCGCAAGAGGACAAGGAGGGAATGGAAGTGGCAGTACGTGAGGTATTCGTGGACGACTTTGAGGTCGTGGAGGCGTTCTGTGCGAGGTTGATCAAGCTGCTGAATGTGCTCGAGGCGGCTCGTGGGTGGAGCGGGTGGCTCTCTGATATGTTTGCTGCGATAACATATCGTGTCCTTGTTATATTTGGTGTGAGGAGGAAATGATGGGGTAATAAGTGGAAGAGTTAATGATTACTATACGCCCTTACATTTACAGGCACCCTTCTCACCTTCCTAATCCACGTACCAAGAATGTTGCTGTCGAATTGGCGAATCCTTTTGAGCCGCTGGCGGGGTTCTGGTATATTTGTAAATCTGGATCGCGGGGCGGTCAACCATGCTTTTCCGAATCGGGCATAGACAACCACAGACCCCGTCTATGCTGATGGTGCCTCAGCTTAGTGTTTACGAGAGAGGCTGTCAGACGGGTAGTATAACGAGTCATAACGCCGATCTAGCCTAAAAATCAGATATATACATACTTGAAGACTTCCCAGCCGACGGTTTTTATCCTCAACAACACATTTGTAACATCCGCACAAAAATATTATATAATACAGAACTTTATAATTTCGGCAGCAAAACATATCACTTGGCATGGCTGACAAACCCGCACAACAAAAGATTACCCTCATCCCCTGGGACCCTGAGTCGCAAGAGCACATCGACAGGCTCTACATACAGCGTGTAGCCTGTGGATGGAAGGCCGATAAGATTGAGAAGTGGCGCATCTGCCAGAGAGATGGGTCTATGTCTCTTCACTGGGTTGTAAGTTTTACTATCACGTGATAATATATTGCGTGTCTTCACGATTCATCCAGCTCTCTAGTTCTAACTTTGATCTCTGACTTCGTATAATTGTCTCAGCTACTGACATATTTCAGGTCCTCGACCCTTCCGATCCACAAACGGCCGATCGGATTTCCAAACATGTCGCCACTCAGCCAGACGAGACCACTCCCCTTGAAGACTCAGCCGTAGCCGTCGGCGGCCGCCCTCGAGATTCTTCCTCCTCGCGTTCGCTGGTACCTTTCATGCCTGTAGGCCACATCAGTGTAGACACTGTAGCCTCCACACCGGAGCCAACTGCCCTCTTAGCCGATCCAGCAAACCATCGCTTCCACCTGTCAGCCTTCTACATCTCCAAGGCCATCCAGGGCGGGGGCCTCGGCAATACAACGATGAGGACGGCTGAGCACATGGCTGCTAGCGTTCTCGGCGCCAAAGTCATCACGCTCGACACGTGGGATCGGAGGCTCATCATTGGCGACGAGAAGAAGGAGTGGCGAGAGAAGTTTGATTATTACTCGACGGGGGGTTTACTTATGAAATTTGACCCCCAAGGCTGGTATCAGAGGCTCGGGTACAAGGTTATTAAGGAGATTGAGGAGTTCAATTCAACCAGTGGGTATTGTCTGAAGAGGCCAGACGGTCAGGCCTGGTGCATTCCGAGCGTGTATATGGAGAAGGCGGTGGTATAGGCGCAGGACAGGTCTGCCTGGTACTAGGTGTCAGCCATGTTGATTAGAACAGCGAAATAGACGTGTTTGGATAAAGTATCATAGCCAAACCATCCATACAATAGAATGGGGATAACTTACCAGTCTCTCCGCATGCTGTGCCATTTCAACACCAGGAAGGAGCTGTGACCCGCCAGCCCATACATTCTGTCCTGCTTCTGATGCCGGTTTCATTGCGACCCTGGTGATTTATCAACCCAAGGCTTATATCCGCCCATTCCTGGGCAGTAAAATAATGGCTACGCCTCAATGCGGTCATATCAACGTGATTCCCACCTCCAAAACGGAAGCCTTCCTAACCCTAGCACTCTCCTCTCCGTCAATCTCAATGTCATCCACAGCGCCAACTTCTCCCGTCCGCAGAACCGCCCTGCAGTCGTCCTGCTTTTGGAAATATAACGCAACATTCAACGCCTTCTCGATAGCCCGTCCGGTAGCTTTGACGACGACTTCTTCCTGTTGTCCATCCCGTCCCTTGCCTGCGGATGCGATAAGGTCTCGGTCTGAGAGAGAAGAATTCGACAGGTCAATCGTTCCCATCGATCGATTGTCGATTTCTTTGAGATAGCCCCGCACACGCTTCACGGCGCTGATAAACGGGGTATTTGAGCGGAGGTAGACGACTTTCTGGACGCGGGAGCCGGTTCGCGGAGGCGCAATGGCAGGGTGTATTAAGGGTCGCTTGGTAATTTGCGCTCCTGAAAATAGCAGATTAGTATATGTAATGACTTAAATGGCTGCGCGTTTACCTTTTGGGAGACGAGGGAGTTTGGGGTGCTCTGGTTTTGCGCTTTTTGTCGTTGCAGCAGCCTCCTTCCCCATTGCCGCGATTTAACACTTATAATATCCTTGGATGGCCTTTGCGATCGCTATGGATCATAAGTAGGCAAATTAAAGACTATTATAACGTCTTGTGCTGTTCTTTATCTTTGCGATTCTCAGTCAAATCATAGAGTGGAACCGTTCCGTTATTGATGAAGTTGACGACACTAAAATATGGCAGAAATCCTACCGCCTTGCCAAAACGTCATAGCGACGACACCTCCACAGGTCGTCGTCCAGCTTCACCATCCATACAGAACACCCGGCAGGCTGCCATGTCAACAGCAATATGGCCACCTATAGCTCCCGATGAGCTTAAAAGGGCTGAATCGGACTCACTGGTATGTTTTATTTCCATCAATCTCTTGCTCTGAGGTTACGCGCAATGAAAGCTCCTATTAACGCAACACAGGCCAGAGAGCTAGCATGGCTGCTCGACCATCTACAGGAGACTCTTGCAGGTTTCAAAGAAGCGCTCGAGGAATGCAAGGCTCTCCTAGCGCCTACAGAGCCAGGCTCTACCCTGGCTATGAGCAGCGTGCGTAGCGAGGCCGTCAAGGGATATATAAATCGTGTAGGAACAATGATCGTCAAAGGCGTCAGTTTGTGCTGCTGTCTGAGAGACCCCCCGCTAACCTTCTCGCAGTCCCTCGTCTTGAGATTGAGACACTACTCTCCGACACAGCTGGCAATCAATGCGACCCATCCGCTTATCCTCCCGACCCTCTCGTCCCTACGGGAACTACTGAACCAATCTCTCGACTGTATAGACATCACCTGCTGGACCGGTGACCGCACCTCGGCTCCCTATATATCTTCTCAACTCCGCCTCCTACATGGCCTCTTGGGTGAGGCGCATTCTAGTCTCAAAGGCACCGCGGCCGCTCAGGCCGATCGTGAATCGTGGTTACGACCTGTGGACGCAAACCACTTTCAGCCTCCATTGCCCGATAACCTCAGCTTGGATTTCAGCATCCAGGAAGCTAGTATTGTGCTCACAATAAGGGTTTTAGAGTCGGCAGATGCGGCTCCAGATATTAGGAGTCGCTTCGCGACGGTATTTCTGACCAAAAGGGCCGAGCATGACGAGGAGGATCTTCGCTTTAACTATAATGGGACTGAGGTAAAGGTCAAGGAAAAGGTGAAGATCGAGTCGGCTGACCCGAATTTGATGGCTGCAATGGCGAAGCTGGCTGCGCTAGAGCATGCGGTGGGGATGGCACGGTGCTGTCTGGCTGTTGTCATGGAAGAGGATGTGGAGGAGATTGAACGCTTAACCGCGTGATTAATGATAATGCCCGAGCAAAGATGCTCAGAAGTTCAAATGATAGTGCCTATAACACAACGTAATAATCTTAAATTATATCCCACCCACAAACATAACGCCGCTGACGCCAACCCCACCCATTCACTCTGTCTGACTGTCATAGGTCAGATAGCGTGCCTACCCTTCTACCAGCGGTTCCTGCAGCAGGTGCGCTTCCGCCTACTTTCCTTCCTCTAACCCAGGCTCCAGGGCCCCCAGCCGGTGGAACGCTATTCACGTTCCACACGCTGTCCTCAGCGGCCTTATAAGCGTCAAAGGAGAACAGACTTGTGAAGTAAAGCCCAAAAAACGCAACGACAGCATTGATAAAATTCCGGACATCCCAAGATACAGGGCGCTGCAGCGATTGCGCAGGTCGACCTGGAAGAGGGGTTCCGCCCAGTGTTCGACCTGGTGTTGCGAGCGGAGATGCAGGCGCGGCCATCTTAGCGGCCTCCTCGACAGCGGATGTGAGGCCACGAGGGTCAGCGCCACGGAGGGTCTTAATCACCGAGCCATTGCGGAAGATGAGGAAGGTGGGCATTCTGGTACATGGTCAGTAAAATGTACAGTATGGCGGAAGTGGGGGGGGGGGGGGAGACATACGCGCTGACTCCATACTTTTGGGCAATCTCCTGTTGATTATCCACATTGACTTTGGTGAAGGTAATGGCGCGAGGCTTTGAGAATTTGGTAGAGAGTGATTCGAATACTGGAGAGATGGTTTTGCAAGGTCCGCACCAATCGGCGTAAACTGGGCGCATTAGAATGGGATCTAGGACATCAGGCAGCAGGTCGAGGGCAGAGCTTACAGTCAGTGATAACAACACTAGATGACTTGAGGATGCTAGCAAACTCGGCCGCTGAGCCGATGCTCACTGTTGAAGGCATTTTGGGCTTCAAGTTGTTTAACAGGTACAGATATCGTGAAAGGCTGTTATTGATTTCAAAGCTCAGAGCAACCGGCAAGGTGGTGAGATGTGGCGGTTGTAGGAAGGCCCAGGATCATCGGCGCTAAGCTTCTTATCGCAGAGTTGGACAATTTCTGCCCGTCTTTGGTGTCACCGCCCGGAAATATATCAATGAAACCAAATCCACCATCCGCCTTCATTACGCAAATCAAGCAACATGGGGCACGAGGGGTTAAATAACAAGGTAGGTCCCTATCGCCAATGGTTGAACTATGTATCTAATATGTACGCAGAAGCGTAATCGCAATGGCGATGCCAAAGGCTCACAGGACGCGGCCATTTATGGCCCGGGAAAGGGGCGAAGCTGGACAACCAGCCTTGCAATTCCAGGGAACATCATAGATATGTAAGCTCAATTACTCTACCAGCTTTAAAGATTTGAACTGACTTCTCGCAGGAACACGAGCCTAGAATCCCGCTCCATTGTCGCTTCTCAAATCGCCCGCGCAATCTCCACCTTCAGAATCGACGAGGTTATCATCCTCTCGACCTCAACCTCCGCACTCGATTCCACCGCTGCCTCTACTGATTCAGCCACGTTTCTCCTCCGCGTGCTCTCTTACCTTGAGACACCTCCATATATGCGCGATCGCCTTTTCCAGCCTGGCAAATCGGCAATTCACCCAGACCTCGCTCACATCTCCACCCTTCCCGCCGAATCTACGGCTCTCCCCCACCACGCCTCTTACGCCGACACACTTTACCGCGAAGGTGTCACACTCAAGGCCCAAGAAGAAGGGACATACCATCGTCTCGTCAACTGCGGGTTGCCCAATGGCATCTTAGCCTCCATCCCCGACCCCATACCAAAGAGTACGCGGGTTACGGTGAAACTCTCGTCGCAAACCCCGTCGGGAGACAGGACATCTATTCCAGCGGAAGTCGTCGCACCGTCCGAACCACGCGAGGAGATTGGGCAATACCTCGGCTATGAAACTCGCACGTCGCCATCTCTGGTCTCTCTATTCGAAGACTGCCCATACGAAGGCGGCTACGATATCTCTATTCTGGTGTCTGACTCTGAGGGTGACGATGCTGGGAACATATCTGCGGCGAATGCAAAGTTTCAGCATATTCTTCTTGCGTTTGGCGGGGCCGGAAACTTTGAGGAGTTGACGAAGAACGACCCGAAACTTGGGAGCCTGGATTTGGACAACTTTGCTGACCTGTTTGATCACACGGTTAATGTTGCAAAGGGCTTACCTTTTGCAAATTCAGGTTCATTACGCGTGGAAGAGTTGGTATTGGTGGGATTGGCTGGCCTCAAACCACTGCTTGCGGAGCAGTATAGATCATAATGGTATCCACGACTTTCTACTATATTCCCCCTGTTGCGAATCGGTTATTTGATGGGCATTGTGACTTTCTTATATATATATATATAGCTATAGTAATTAGGCTATGAATTGATTTAGCTTCCCAGCCAATACAGTCTCAAAACGCAGTTTTCCCTGGTCTGACTCGGAAATTTCAGCCATTTGGTCGCATCCCTCCTGAATATCTTCATCCCACACGGGATATCCGATCCTGCCTTTCATACTGAGCAACACGGCCATGCGGAAATGATGCCTGAGAAGTGCATTGCATGGCTGGTACTTGTCAGGGATATCGGGACGGTGAAACATAGTTAACCCTTCATATTGAGGTTCGTTCGCGAAGGAAACCACTTTGTGATCATCCTTGGATTTCGCGTTAGGGGGGTTGAAAATAATGCCAAAAGTTAAGAGGGTAGAGAGCACATACATCGGGATTGATCGATATAGCATATATATTAAAGAATTGGTGCGTAGTGCTATCAAGGAGAATCCCGCTTTGGATTGAATTAATCCCCGTGTCTGACATTCCAATATCATCGTCGGTAATCTGCTGTTTCCATCCCTCAGCTACCCACTATAAAAATATCCGCCAGAGTGCCTATCCTACATATAGTGATTATCAGTGGCTATACAATACCATTTCAAGTTGCGCCACTGGAAAAATATGTGCTACCTCGAGGGCTAAAAAGTCTCCGCTTTTCGCTTTTCGGCCTGTAATAACACATCGGCCATCACGTTCACGTACCCGGTTGCGAAGCTTCAGGCTCTGTTTGCAGGACGCAATGTTAGAAGTCCACTCATAATTATAAGATGGCAGAGCTTACGAGCGGGTCATTCGGGCTAGATAGAGGCCGGGATAGAGCGCGGGGCAGAGGCATCTCTGGGTTAACTGGGATGTCGACCGGCTCTCCATCTGGGCTGAGGAGGACGTAGAAGCCAGGCTTGATTATATTCGGCTTCTGTAACTTAATAGGCGGGCCATGGTGACTGAGAGGATCATTAGGGTCCCCGTCTTCAAGGCAAGGGAACAGGGCAAAATTTGTAGTAGGAAGTTCAAAGAGGATCTCCATACGCTGGGTCATCTCGGCCCAGGTGAGCGAACCCGCCTGCCAGGCACCTCCGAGCTCATCATTTTCGCTATTGACGAAGTGGATATTGCGTTCATATCGCGATGATAACCGATAACCAGGCATTATAAGGTTGGCCTTCAAAGATAGGTTTTGTTGGGGAAAATCGAGGTTATAGTGTCTCAAAATATGAGAAAAGGGGTTCGTACGATAATGACCTCATTATTTATTATATACTAGAAACTACAATTTATAGTATGGTTGTGGTGTTGGAGCTGCTGTTTTCAGCTAGCGCTTGTTGCTGTTTTATGCATCCCCGAATACCCAAAATCTCATCACCTGCAAGATTAACGATCGGCCACCAGCGAATTATCGGGCCGACGACACTGTTCCTGAAATCCCAAAACTAAAATCTGTTGTCTAGTCTTCTACATCTAGCCTACAAGCGTCCTAATTATACCTCTGTATAGATGATACCCCCTAACATCAAGAGGCCCTTCCTAACTCCTCTGCTACCATGATAGCTACCCTTCTGGCACTTTGAACTCCTCTCCTACTATCTATGTGCCCAATATTATTTTTAGTAATGCGAATTTTAATTGTGCTAGATATGTATTGTTTTAATTCCTGCTGAAATTATCAAAGTACATAAAATAAAAGTACAATCCATATGATAAATTAACCCAGCAGGCATATATATAACAGTATACTATAAGATTACAAACAGAGGCAGAAACTGCGACATCTGTTAGCCCTTTAGCCGCGTATAATTGCTAATTATATACCCTAAGGAGTTAGGTAAACTTTGCATAGACAATAATGGATAGATAAGGGCTATAATAAGTGCTATGTACTACTATGCATTAAAAAATCCTACTAATTAAACGCCTAGACACTCCTTTAAACTACTTAGAACTAGTTGGGTCGTCGTCTCTCCCTTAAACGTCCGCAAAATGTGTTGATCGGGTCTAATAAGCACAGTACTGCCGTCTTCTAACTGCAGTGCTTCTACCCATTCCTCACCTTGTGCGCTAGGCACGAGGTGAAAGTCCTTGCCAAGAGCTAGGACGTTGATTCTTAGTGTGCTCGGCAGCTGGGCGAGAACTCCGTCAATTACTTGAGTCCAACGAAACAGTGATTTGCTGTCTACGATAAGAGTAAAAGCATCAAGAGCGCAGAGGTCGAGGGTTGAAAACTCTTTGCGTCTGACATCCTCGGGCTGCAGTTCTGTGACATATGAGGAGTCGATTGGCGGCAGTTTCGGAATCGAGGACGGGATATGGGTGACCCATGCATGCGGAAGTCTCGCACCAGGGGCAAACGCTGGCCTGTACGTTGATGCGCAGCTGGGGATGTCGGTGCTGCCGTACACATATCCTATATGCAAACCGAGGTTATCGAAGTGTTCGCGCTGGTTTTCAATACCTTCAAGGACGCTCTCTTTTGTTTTTGGGTCGGATATCCGGTGGTAGAGGTTCTCTTTAGCCCTTTGAAGGTCTGCGTCGGTGGTTCCAAGGGATTTGAGCAGATTAAAAATCTTAATGCCGTTTTTGACGCTTTGCTGCGAGTTCACAAGTGCGACTTGGCGCCGCTCGTATTGATACGTGCTGAGGAGGCTGTCGCCGCCCCAGCCTTGGTGATAGGCGGCAATTTTCCAGGCGAGGTTGTGCACGTCTGCTAGGCCGGAGTTGAGCCCCAAACCGCCTGTAGGTGGAAACGAGTGGGCAGCATCTCCAGCGCTTATATTTGGAATATTAGCACAGAAGTATGAGTAGACTGGGTGTGTTGAAAGACGTACAGAAAAACATTACCAACACGGTAGCTCTTGGCAACCTTGCGGCTAAGTATCCATGGTCTCCAGCTAAGGATGTCGAATAAAATTGACTTGCCGATTGCGGCAGTGACTACCTTCCGGCAATGTTCTTCGTTCCAATTCTCCACTGGGTGCTTCTTAGACTACGTAAATATTAGTAACTATCCTTAGAGAGTGCCATTGCATGCCTACATCGAAATTGCAGATCAATACTTGGTTTCCACTAAGATCATATGCGATAATGAAGCCAGAGACCTCCGGATCCATAATCCAATGAAGCATGCCCACTTTGTCAACAATTGAGCGAAGATTCGCGTTGAAATGTATTGTCATCATTGTGTCGTCTGTTGTCTTATCAGATTCAAATATGAACTCAAAGCGTAGAGAAAAGACTTGCATGAAGATTCTCCCTCGCAGCCGACGCCTAGAAACTCTCTAACTTTGCTTTTGGCGCCATCACATGCAATGACTTGTGTCGAACAGATCGTGTATTGTTTCCGGTCTCTGCGGTCCTCCACCGTGGTTATGACTCGATCGTGAACCTACTTGTCGCGTAAGAATAGACCTGTGAGACAGAGAGAGTGAAATCATTGTATGGGGGTAGACTGACTTGTCTACATCCAACAAAAGAATGACCCTTGCGGACCTCTACGCCATCCTTAGAAAGTCGGCTCGCGACCAGCTCTTCAAAGGCTGGTTGTGGAATGTTATGTATCATCTATAGCCTTTAATCAGCAGATATTCTCAGAGGCTTCGTCGCAGTATTACCGTAGGCGTATGGTCAAGGACCTCAGCGTCCATTCTTTCGTATGGAAGGTCCCCAACATGATGACCCGCGAGACTAGTCACAAAGTTGACCCAGTATGCATCTTCTCTTTTAGTACCAATATTTCGTATCTCATTCACATCAATTCTAAATTGCCGACACGCTTCTAGAGATCTAGGGCATAATGCATGCGCCTTAGGTGCAGCCAATCGTGTGGGATATCGTTCGATAACGAGGGACTTGACTGTAGCGCAGCGCTCGATTAGACTTGCTCAACGACTTCATTCTAGGGAGATGTACCTCCAAGCTGAGATAGACAATGTGCTTGTAAGAGGCCTGCAGGTCCGCCACCAACAATAAGCACCGGGACATCAATTGGAATAGGTTCATTGGAGGCAAAAGATCCCAAATCGTGGTCGATGTGTGGCGCCATCTGGTCTTTGCACAAACCGCTTTTGTGTTAGTTAGACGTGTGTTCGAAACCCCAGAAGGTATCTATTAGAAAAATTGTCGATATTGTTTATAGGGCTGCGAAGGGAAAGGATTTGAAGCCCACAGAATGGCTTTGGAGAGGGGTTTAGAAGGAGGCACATTTAGATATACAAACACTTCACAAACTGACATGATCCAGGTTAAAATATCCGGAGCAGCAAGGTGGGGCGCCGAGCATGTTTTCAGGATGGGAATTCCGACCCATAGCCACTATACTTGCACCCCTTTTAAAGACAATACAGGTAGAGGTGGGCGTGAGTCTCTGTATGTCCTGGGGGGGTTCGGCAAGGTGCTATTCTCCATACACGAGTCCTCCGTATGGCATCAGGAGGGATTTCTAGGACATGAGCGTCAGAGGTGGAAAGTGAGGAAGCACGGAGGTGGGGAGGTGGGGAGGTGGGAACGTGAAGAGGTGAAGAGGTGAAGAAGTGGGGAAGGTGGGGAAGGTGGGGAGGTGGGACACATTTGCATCCACCTCCCACCTCCATCGGCGTGACAACCTATACCTGTATTAAAATGGCCATCAGATTTCTGCTCTGTGCTTGTGATTACAATTAGGCCGGTATAAGGTAAACGCAGTGTTAGAGCAACACATGTAGTGGTAGTAGAGTTTGTGGTGGTTATGAAAGGTGGTAGAAAAAGATGACTGTGTTACTAATTTCTAGAGTACTTGCTATATAATTCGGGAAGGATAGAAGCCAAAATAGCCATTTCCTCAGTAGCATGCTGGCACAACCCCTTCGGCAAAAAGTCTGGCACTCCCGCCGCCCTCTGTGCGGGATCAATAACTCCCTCTATGTCACCTAGCCAAAAATGCGAGCGCATCCGACATCCAATCCGCTCCTCCTTAATCAAATGGATCAAATGTCCAGTATACAGCACCTCTCCCGTCTCTGGGGTCCAATTACCCACCCTCCCACACACTGCTGTTACATAGCCTGCAGCAGCGAAATCTTCCTTCCAGCTGTCTCCAAAATACTCGGCAGGGTCGCGAAACGAGATCTTCAGCTTAGCTAAATGCCCGCCGATGTACTCTTGCACTAAATGATGGCCGCCAATATACGTGGAATTGTTGTCCCGGGGACCCTCCCAATCGGAAAAAACGTGGTCGTTAGGATGCCAGAGCTGATACTGCGCAGTGTCGTGGATCCAACCAAACCACCAGTCGATCATGCGGCCGGTGCAGCGCGGCATGTAGGTGCAGGCGGCGATATGGTGCATTCCTTCTGCGTTTACAGCGTAGCCAGCTTCATGCTGTAGATACGGGATATTCAGGAGGAGCTTCGCGTCTGAAAGCAGCAAGGGTTTTAAGCTTTCTTGTCCAATACTAGCTGTAGGCGTAGAATGACTAGAGGCATGTTGGCTTTGAGCATCGTTGCACTGAGTTGTCATCGTAGTTAATGAATATAAGTCAAGCCAGGTGATAAGACAGCGGACCGTGCTGTAGTGTGTTTTCGAGAATTTAATTTAATTTGAAACTACTGTTGCTAAGCTGCTAAAGTTGAATAGAAGGCGGTTTAAGCACTGCTTAAGTATAGTAAATACAAACGTTAATACTTAGGTCAGGTGCTCTTGGGGTTTAGTTTCGGCTTCAACGGGCGTCATATATGTGGAAAGTGGGGAAGTGGGGAAGTGGGGAACTGTTGGAGGTAATTCTAGAATATGGGAACCCCACACAGAATCGTGTGAAAATCTCTGGTTTCCGTAATCGGTTCCTATGGGCAGCAGAACAGAGGCTTCAGCAGTAGAATACAGTAAATAGAATAATATAATCAATTGAATTATTAACTAAACTACGGGTCTACGTACGCTATTTGATGGCCTGAGGGAAACCCCAAACCCCGGAGGACTGGGCTTCTACACTCTGACCAGCTGGGGAGTGGGACAATTCCACGGGGAAAAGCGGTCGTCTGGGCGCAAAAGCCCACCATATCCCTTAGGACAGTCCGTTCCCCCCCACACAACAGGAACGAGAAGATTGTGGTAGCAGCTCATATGGGGATTTTTTGGTTGCTTAAAGAATTTCCTAATTTCCCAAAGAAGCTCAAAGTGCCACATTAACTGTTGATAGTAGCATTTCACGTCGCGCGTTTCATAAACTGCGTAAATATAATAATTTGCGATGCCTTTGCTTTAACCAAGACGAATCTGTATAATAGACAATAGTCGGCTACCTTTCCTAAAAACCACTGTCCATTGCACCACTAGGTTTGCTTAACACAACAGCCCGTAACTCCACTAGCACTGACGATTTTCAGTCTAAGCCAGCACGGCTGAGAAAGTTCTTCTTATAAGTCCAGATCCGGAATGATTTACCTTTAAAATAGAAAATAATAGTAGTTAGATAGACAGCGACATTAATTGCAGCAACTGTCATGAACACGACTATTATACCATCAGCAACAAGCCAATCGTTAACCACCCACGTCCAAATCCATGCAATGAGCGACTTAAGGCAGGAGATTGTGACCATGAGCTCGCCAGAGAGCTTAATAATGGTCAGCCATCAATCCAATTACGGCGATAGATATTCAGAAACATACCTCCTTGTGAGAATCAAGTGAATATGACATTGCTAAAGTAGCACCCATCTGAGCCCCAGCAGATAGTACGCCCAAGCCCACAATTGGACCAGCCCAATGTGTCTTCGCCTGATACGTAAGTGAAGCCATAAGAGCGCCCAAGAACGTGAGCACTGCAGCAATCACACAGGCTGGAAGTCGCATCTCAGGCTCTCGAATACCGTGGTTTCTCTTCGTGGCCCAGGTTGCAATGCGATCGGCAAGCGGACCGCATAAGTAAGTCCCTGCCAGCGATCCAATGAACGGGGACAGAAACACAAGACCTTGCGCGCCGGATTTAAAATTATACGGTCTGTCGGAATCTTGGTTCAGAATGGTAGACAAGTGATAGGAGTGGCGAGGTGGAACTTACGGAGGAGCAAAGAGTTGTGCTACGCTAACTCCTAGGATGACGTTCCATCCAAGGGCCAGACCGTAAATCACACTTGACCACAGGACAATTGGATAGGCTGTGAGAATAAACGGACGCAGGAATGCGCGTTTCAAACTAACAAGATGATCGACTTCGGAGTAGAATGCAAGACTTTCCCAGTATGACTTTTTCGTAATACTGTGCGAGGTGTCAGGTGAGCAGCCATCAATCACTTCACAGTGCTCTGACTGTGCCTTGTCAGATGGGATAGTTGTTGTCTCGTCATTATCAACGATGGTAATGGCAGGTCTAGGGCCCGTGAATTTTGTTTCTGGCATGAAGAAAATTAAAGTTATCATGTTGACACCAATGCATGCTGCGATAATGAAGAAGGCCCATCGCACGCTAAGGGCCTGGATGATGTACGCAGATACGAGGGGGCCAATCTCATTGCCGCCCAAGACACCGAGACCGTAGATGGAGATTTTTTCTCCACGTTCGTGAAGGTGGAAGATGTCGGTAACTGTACTTGGGACGATGGCTTCGATAGGGGCCTGAAAAAGGCCGAGGAAGGCTCGCCCAACGATGAAGGGTACGTATGATTTCTCGGCTGTAATAGCAAGCCAGATACAAGCAATTCCCATTAAAAGATTGGACGTCAAGTACACCGGCCGTCGCCCATACTTAATTGCCAGCGGCCTAAGACCAATTAGAAGGATGAATAGCAATTTATGAGTAGATGAGATGTACATACATCCAAAAGAGGTTGCCAAATCCTTGGCAGATCAAAGTTGCTCCGTTGGCATAAGACACCATAGCAAGTGACACATCAAAGAAAGATGCAAGTTGAAGCATTCCTTCGAACATTAGCAGGCACTATTATGTCTAGATAATTTCAAGATGCCTACCTCCAGCCATCATTGGCCCAGTCACAGCACCATTAAATGCATAGGCGACACCATTTAGGAGAACTGTCCATTTCTTGAAAGAAGACCAACGGAGAGGATCATTTGGGTCAATGAGAGATGGCTGTGAACCAGGAGAATATGGTCATGACCAACAGTCGCATGTTGAAGGTTGCGTAGGCGTCTCTCTGTTGTCCCAGGGGCACCCTCATCCATCATAATCTCTGTGCCAGGAGCAGCTACAAAGATCTTCTCGATGAAGCCGCTGGACTGAATTCGTTCTGCCATTTTGTGGCATATACTGGGCGACTGGATATATGCTTCGCAAAGACAGAGGTGTATTTAGGTTTCTTAATTAAAGTCGTAAAAGCCCTAAATACATCTGAGTAACAGGTTGCAGCGCCATCGACTCTTAATCTGGATCTGGAAGTTATATGAAGGACGTTAAGATGTTAGGTAATATCTAGGGTGTGCCAGTCACCCCACGATGGGTCACCCGTAAAGCCAATATTAGAACTGCTATGTGGGGTTTCCCCACATCCCCACACACGTTACTTTCAAGGCGTCGCATGATGAACCTCACCATTACGAGCTGCCGTACCCTACCGCCCCACGATTCTGTCAATTGTTCCGAGACCTGTGTCTAGACCCGTGAATAGGAACTTTCGTTGACGATCGAGATCCACTGGTGTAGAATAGCATCCATCTCATGAGATACACCCCAGCGTAAGGATATCGATCCTAGCATAATTTGGAGTGAATTTAGTTCGTACGTCAAATTTCGCATTAAAGACTTTCCCGAGCTCGTAACGTATCTGCCTTGCATGAATTCATTTGTGTCGTTATTAGGTGTTGGAATGTTGTCGAAATTGGTCTCATTTTGAGATTCCACTCCCCATGCGTCTTCCCACCGGATAGTTGCTGGTACAGCAACGGAAGCTTTGTCTGCCATACACCGTGCACTGTATATAGACGCCACTGCAAATATAGCAGCAGGTAGGTGAATAGTGTGCGACCGACCAAGCGGCAACCTATCCACGAGATCTTGGATTGCCATTGAGTGCAAAAGAGCTCGGCGTCCCTCGTCACTTTGAGCCCAGACGACAAGATCAGATTCGTGGCCGGTGTAATCTGCTCCGCTGTAAAGCTGCTGCGGGATATTGTAGGTGGCACAAATCCATCTACAGAGCTGTGTTGTTGGAGTGGCTAGATTAAGGCAGATGCTGTGCCACCTGATAAGCAATTCCATGCTTTCAGCCGCTGCAGGATTAAGGAAGCGTAGGCTCAGGTTGTAGAGAGATATGAGAGCCTGGGCGATACTAATCTTCGACGGTGTTCCAACAGCAGGGCCCTTTAGTTGCTGCACATCTGAAATCAGAGATTGGAATCCCTCTAGTACCACTCGGACGGAGAAATTGGACATCGGTTGATTAAGGCACAGAAGATTGGGGGAGAACATGTCCACAAATATCATTTGGAATGATCGCTGCGGGGTTGCCTGCTTCTGAACTTCCACAATCCATTCATCCGCAGTCGTTGCAGCGAAAGCCTGATCGGATGCGGGCGTCAGAAGAGGGTTTGTGACATGGCGTACGCATGTTGCGTGCCCAGAGAACTGTGAAATCTGCCCGTCGAGAATGTAGTGGCCAAGAATTGCCCTTTTATGAACCTCAAGGGCAGCCCAGATCTTCCATTGCTCGTTTTTTTCATCTTCTGGTGTATCGAAGGTTGGCAAATGGAAAGAACCTTCATTAATTTGATACATCCCACATTGTCTTGCCCAATAGAATCCCAGTCCGTGAAAGACTTGACACGTCATTCGTAAACTTTCGTTCTTTGATAATAGCGCATATGTCTGTCCAAGCAGTGCTGTTAAGATAAGCTGTACCCCATTACATTGGTCTCTCGGACCCCTGGTAGCCATAAGAGCTTGCCATGAAGTTGCAACGGACATGTGAGCCAGCCTCCACAAAGCCTCGCCCTTAGTTACAGCGTCCTCTGCTGCTACAAACAGCGACCCAAGCGAAATAATGTTCAACAGGAGAGGGTGACTCGTCTCTCGTGCTAGAAAAGTAGGCTTGTGCAGCACAGGAAATGACGGCATGAATTTGTCGAAGAAGACATAGATACATGTGTCCAAAAACGCAGATGTAATGCCCTTAGAAGCAATCTCAGCAGTTAAACTAGAAGACAGATTTCCAATCAGTCTGCTCATCTGTTGCATAGCCTGCTGCCCAGGACTGTCGAAAGCGTCGATTTGTTCGTTTGCGGGAGGCAGGACTTCTGAACTGTCCATCCTTAGAGCAGCGGATGGCTGAAACTGCATTACAGGCAATGTGATAGGCCAGTTGCTGTTGAAGTCTGACATCAAAATTTCAAGCAACTCGCCAGATTCGGCCCACGATTGCATCGTTTCTGGTCCTGCCGGTATGGAGCTATGACTTGTGTCTGTATGGAGCTCCGGAAGACATGAGGGTTTGCGGCTAGTTACTTCAGCCATGGGCTCCTCAAGCCGCGTGTTCTCTTCAGCTACTGAGGCTGGCGGGGTTGCCGAGGATTCTGCCAAAACACGTGCCTTTCCATTCTCGTGTAGTTTAGCATGTCTTCGCAATACGTCCTGCCGGCCAAAGCTCTTATTGCACCGTAGGCAAGAGAATGGTTTCCGGTTAAGGTCTTTTAAAATCAGCTTAGTGTAACAAAATCAGAAGGATTGTACAAACGGCTCCTTTCATGTCTCTAAAAGTATGTCAGCAAAACAACTAGACAACCAAGGCTTAATAACTTACTGCAAGGTGCTCGGCTTTAGTAAAGTTTCTACAGCAGGTAGTGCACCGAAACCTTCCGCTGAGATCATTTTCTGTATGATTGTCGTCATTGCCTGGAGAAGTAATACTACTCATGTTAGGGACTTTATCAGTGCTTCATTTAAGATGGCAGAAATGGGGAACAGGATCATAATAATGAGGTTCCAAGGATGCGAGGTTGGCCGAGCTGGGGGATCTGTTGGGTGGGGCCATGCAGTATGGAGGAGGCTGATGGGCCAAGCGTCGCACGATGAGCGCAAAAGGTGAGAAATTGTTGGTAAGGACGACGGGGAGTGAAAGTCAGGGAAGGAGAGCTGCCCTTTTGTACAGCTTGAAACCGGCGGCAGGCCTCTGCGCGCGCGTTCCCCAATTAGGCGAGCGCCAAACCCCACAGGTTGAACACCACGATCTATATTATAAAAAATAGTAACTATAAATTCGTTTTCTATTTTGTTATTTTATTAAATTAAGCTCTTATAATAATCTTTAATTTGGTAATCTCACTTAATAGTGATTAAGACGCTCATTGGACTATATGAAATATTAACGACCACTATTTAAATAGTCTTTTATAATAGTATGAGCACAACGGTCTATTTTCTGCGTCCGTTTGGACAAGACGAATGGAACTCTTACATTCTTAGAGATGAATTTAATTTGTTTCGAACTCTCGTCTATCTTACTGGCTTCGTAGCATTTCTGCGTTTTGCTTATTTATACAACACCACAAACGCCACTCCAACCATTTTATCGTACAACATATGCAACACAATATCTTACAACAATCACCCCATACATATCAATACACTCCTCAAAACTCGTCATCCTCCCCATACTTACCCCCCCCCCTCCGACTCTCCGTCCCATCATCAATCCTCTTCTCCCTCACCACCCTCCCCCCCCTCGTCCTCCTCTCTCCCCTCGACGGCTTCCCCCCGGTAACCTCCTTAATCCCCTCGAACCCCTCATCGCCCATATCAACCTGATAAACATCCTTCCCGGTCTTCTTCCTCTTCTGCGCCTCCACCACATCCCTCCCCTTCCACTTCCCCGCCTTCTTCGAAGCCTTCATAACCTCCTTCGCCTTATCCATCGGCTTCCCCAACCTCGCCGTCCTCTGCACCCTCGTCTTCGCCCCCAGCGCCCACAAATCACCCCACTTCGCCTTCCTCGCATCGCGATACGCCTGCGCGCTGAACGACTTGGGGACTGTCCAGCGCTCGAGTGTGCCGGAAGGCGTGCAGAGGTCGATGGATACGTGGCCGCGGCGCTTGAGGGGCGTGAGGACCATGCGCGGTAAGGATAGGGTTGAGAAAGAGTCCGCCGGCTTCTGGGTGTGGTAGCCTAGATCGGGGTCGGAGCCGGCTTCGTGGCCGGCGAATGCGGCGTCTGTGGCTGATTGACCTTGGACTAGGGGCGTGGAGGAGGTGGATGGGTCGCGGGCGTCGACGCCGCGGCGCACGGCGAGGTAGGAGAACTGTGCGTCTTCGTGGTTTTTTCTGTTGGCGCCGAGAACGCGCTGTTGGAAGCCGGGGCGGATGAAGCGTTGCCCGAAGTGGCAGAAGTCCTTTCTCCCGGAGCTGATGCCGGGGACGGGATACATCGGGCAGGGCAGGTGGTTGGTGCAGGGTGCGATAATCATGCCCTTGTCCTTTGCGATGTCTGGGTCGTCGTTATTGAGGTTCCCGTTAACAATATGTGTCGCGCCTGGCGAGGCTATGTGCTTGTCGAGGAGCTGCGAGCGAGCTTCAGCGACGGCCTCGAAACCTCTTGGAATGCCCTTCTCGATTATAATCAGGACGCCACCATTTGGGTTCAGCAGAGACCACAGGTTCCTGACTTGATTCTTGCGCTTGAAGTCTTCTTTAAGCGGGAAGAGTGTGTGCGGTGCGATAATGACATCGTAGCTCTTGCGGGGCTGAGGCTTGCTGCTGTCCATGCGCCGCTCGTAGTTGGCGGAGTGTATGTACTCCGGCAGCCTAGGGAGGAAGGAAGTATTTTCAAGGATGACAGACATGCGATCGCGCAGTGTCTCGGGTCCTGTAAGAACAGTAGATTTCCCAGGAACCTTTGACCCCGCCTCAACAAGCCCCTCATCAGCCATAATATCCCACTCCGTCTGCATGATCTCCTTCCAAGCGATAGCGCCAGCACCACCAGCACCGGCATCAAGCACGCTCGGTCCTTGACCGTCTTCGCGGAGAAGCATGTCTCGGATCCATTTAGGACCCAAACGCTTGCGTGTCTCGACAAGCGTTCCCATGACCGAGGCGTAGACACCCGGCATAACAGCTGCCATGTACGCATCGGCTTCAATCTCGCTCATCCTGTATTGCGATGCTTCGAGACCAATGTGCTTTTGCGGGAGTAGACTGGAAGCTTTAGGCGTCGATGCCGAGTACGGGAGTCCTGGGCCACCAAACGCCTTCTCCGCAGCTTCGGTCAAATGCTTGATATCCGATCGTTTAAGCAAGTCCGTCAGAGGCTGCACGAAGCTCTCCTCCGGGAGAAAGATCGTACTTGGGTTCGTGCCAAAACGTCCCGCCATCGTATACGGATGCGTGCGGATCTCATCGCTATTGCTCCCAAACTCATCATCATCCCTCTCCCAAAAGTTGTCCTCCTCCATATCCTCCTCCACGTCCTCGATACCCTCCTCATACACCTCGAGTTCCTCCTCCACGTCCTGTGTCTCCTCTAACGGTTGTTGCGCGAGCGCATTCTCCATATCCTGTCGTAGTCGCATGATAGCGTCGACCTCGCGCTGGTTTTTGCCCTGGACGAGCATATTCGCCTCCACCGCCTCCTCAACAGCAACCTCCATCTCCTGCAACTGCGCCGAGATAGAATCCCTAGTATGCCCAATGATTTCGTAATCGACATCCTCCGCGGCGTTCGCTTGCTCTCCCAGCCCCTCCCCAGCATACTCCTCTCCCATCTCGACCTCCTCAAACTCCCCATCAGCGTTCTCCCTGAGAATCACATTACTAACCGGCCCATCCCACTCCCCACCCTCCAGCTCCGCATCCTCCACAATCTGCAAATCCTCATACGTCGTCTCCCTCAAAGGAGCCCCATATAGCCGTTCATACAACTGGTATTCCTCCCCCGACAAAAAGTCCTTCGGCAACGTCTCCCCAAACGTCTGACGCGCATGTCTAACCGTCTCTTCAATCCCCCCCTCTGCTACATTCTCCTTGACCGGTTCCGCATCCCTAACCCGCAAAGTCGTCGAGAAAGCCCTCAAGGAGGTCGGAGTGGCGAAGCCGCCGCGACGGGCAATAATAGGACGCGCTCTGGTCGTGGTGGTGGCGGTGGTGCGCGTAAATCCGCCTTCAAATAACGATTGCAGATGGAATCGACAAGCTTGACATGCCTGCGGCACTCTTCGTGCAGCGAGCATTGTTGGATAATCGAGGGCGCTTTTTTGCGGATGATGGGGGATGGGGGATGGGAGATCGTTTTTCTTGGAGAAGGCTGAGATATTTCATGGAAGGCTGCTTGGGGCCTGAGGCGATTATGTTTATTTCGGGGTGCGGTGATTGGTTGGGCGGATTGGGTAGGTAAGTCAGGACCCCTGTACCTTCGCGGGACCCACCGAGCCGCGTTTTGATAATAGTTACGGTTACCAATACTAACCATAATGGTAGATCCATAGCCTTCTTCAACAAGGCTGATTGCACCCGGAGGCCAATTCCCGCGCGCATCACCACTTCACCTCCATCATCAGCCTCACTCCCGACAATGCCGCTCCTTTAATACAACACACACCTCCTCCCACCTCACGCATCTCAACCATGCCACCCCTCCACCTCCAACACCTCCACCTCCCCCTCCTAACCCCCTACGCCACCGCGCAATCCCTCCAATCCTCCCTCGTCCGCGCCTTCCTAACCCACAAACACACCCCCTCCACCCCCCTCCCCCCCCCAACCCTCCTCACCTTCACTCCCCCCCCCATCTACACCACCGGGCGCCGCGAGCTTCCCTCCTCCTACCCTCCCTCACTAAGAGCCACCCTCCGCGCCCCTCTCGATTCAAATACCAGCGGGGCGGATTTCACTCCAGCTTCAAGAGGGGGGTTGATTACCTTCCATGGCCCGGGACAGTTGGTTATCTACCCGACGATATCACTCAACCACCCCCCCAGCTTCAGGAAACCGACAAGTCCGCGCTGCTACGTCTCTCTCCTCGAAACAGTCACCATCCGCACCCTAGCCCACTATGGCATCGAAGGCTTCCGCACAGCTGATCCAGGGGTATGGGTTAACCCCCGCCACAACCGTCTCGCCGACCCATCATCACCATCGATAGAAGGGGCCACAGAAAAAAAAATCGCAGCCCTAGGCGTCCACCTCCGGCGCAACATAACAAGCCACGGCGTCGGGCTAAACATCAGCACCGACCTGCGGTGGTTCGATCGCATAGTCGCCTGCGGGATCGAGGGGAAGGGCGTTACCAGCCTCGCTGAGGAAGGGGTGGTGGGTAAAACTGTGGAAGAAGTTGCGAGGGTCTGGGTAGATGCATTTGCTGCGGAGGTTGGCGCGGAGGTGGTGAGGAGTGTGGAGGTGGGGGAGGTGTTGGAGCAGGTGGGGGTGGGGAGGTTGGAGGATTTGGTGGAGGGGAGGGGGGGGATGGGGATGTGATGTAGGGGGAGGAGGTGGTTATCACATACGACGGGGAACTTAGAATCCGACATACAACGAGGGCGCGCCGACACTATACTGCGGCAGCACATCCCTCATCTCACAGCGATTAAACATCTCGCAACACACACACACACACACATACATAGACACATCATACCCCAGAACTCGTAAAAATTCATAACCAGCTCAACAACATGTCAACGTATTAATCAACTACCGTTTGCTTGTCGAAACCCCCCCCCACCACTCGTTCGCTCGTCCCCCACACACCATGTTGCCACCACAATCATCAACCATCAACAACGCCCCACGCCCCAAACAGTATATCATAAAAATAAAAAGACGCGCAAGTTTCGCTGTCCTCAAGACAATCCCATCAAAAAATCATTCGTTGCCTACCTAGCATTTCGCTTCCCCCGATCGCTTCCCCCATAAACGCCGTGTGTTTCAAGAACCAACATTTATTACCTGTTGGAAGAATTTCCCCAAAGCTATGCGCCACATCTTTCTCATTAATTCAATCAAACGCTCCCACCAGCCAACACAGCTCTGTTGAAATTCGGCGTAATCCTAGAGATAGATACTATCTCGAATTAAGGCACACACGTGCGTGCCACAATCAGTTCCTGTCTCTCTCTCATATCCCATATCCCATGTCCCATGATAGTTTGTTTGTTTCCTTTTCCTCCCTATTCCCTGGTGCCGGGGGTATGCCAGTAAATTTTTATTCCGAAAACCCTCGCGTCTGCAAATCCCAGCCCTATCTCCACCCCACCTACGCAGATTTATGCCTCGCCGAGTCCCTCCTCGGCGCCTGCGGTCTCTCCTCATCATCCGGACACCACTCTTCCGGCTGAAAATTGGGGTTATTGTAGTGCGCAGTGTTATAATGGCTGTTCTTAAACGTGTTCGTCTGAAACGACGACTGCTGCGCGGACGGATCGTTCCAGTCGCTCTCATACTCGTATTTCGAGTGCCTGAACTGACTGCCTAGGTTCGGCGGCGGCGGGGCTTCGGTCGGCGTGGGCGGGATGGCGCGGGAGAGTTGTGGTTGTGAGGGGCCGCTATGTATTGGTAGTGCTGCGGAGGGGAATATCGGGGTGCTGGAGGCCTGGGATGGTACTGCCGATATCGGCGAGACGGACGGCATGGTTGGTGTTGAGGCCGACGTATCGAGTGAGTATGAAGGTGACATTACGGGCTTGCAGTCACCAAGAGGGGCGTATGCTGGAGAAAACCCCTGGTTACCGAGAGGCGCCATTGACAGGCCGGGAATGCCCGCAATACCCGACAGATCGAAGGCGTTAAAGTTTGTCATTGGAGACGGGTCCTGGACGCGGTTGAGGATACCAGCGCGGTGGACCTGGATATTTGCCGAGGCGGATGCGCCGTCGATGATCTGTTGCTGCCTCAATGAAAGAGCGGGGGATCTCTCCTTATACAGGATATCATAATGACCAGGACGGTACAGCAGGTGGACCATTGGGGCGCCAGCGTGGATTGGGGTACCAGTCTCATCTTCAGCCTGGATGATATGACTATTAACATCCGTTCCCTCACTCCTGTCCAGATAAACAATCTCGACGGCGATACCGACCGGCTTCATTAGGACGTCGATCAAAAGGGTCATGCCCAAGTGCTCAATCTCTGTTTTTGAAGGCTCGATCATGTTTTTGCTGTAGTTGTCGACACCAAGTCCATCTGGGATAAAATCTCTGTAGGTGACAGCGTTGGCCTTGAGCCACGCGCTGGAAAGCAGTCTGAAGTAGTAGATAATGGCATTAGAAACCTCCTCGTCGTTAAAGCGTAGGAGGGTTAGTGAATCCGAATCAGGCGTCGGCCGCACATGTACTGTGGCAGCAAGGTCTCTCAAAAGGCTGAGCACTTCCTCCCTCATGTCCTCAAAGAGCCATTCTTGGTAGCCGCACCATGTTTCGATGAAACTCGTTAGTGACATCATACGTGCGATTTCTTCTTCAAGCTGGTCTTTGCTCCCTAGCTTGTTGAGCGTCTCGAAGTACGAGAAGCCAATCGCTAGAGAAGTCAGTATCGTGTTCCATCATAAATTGAACAGAGGCTGAATATATCTGCAGCTGAGTCTGGAAGGAAATGTGCAAATGAATAGATGAGTGAGAATACATACCACGCCATCCACAGTTGCCATCGCCAAGTACAGGTCGGTAATGGCTGTAAGTCTGCGGCAATTTCTTTGCGGAAGCAAGTCAGTAATGATTACCATATGCAGGTGAAGCCAACATACCGCAGTTTTGGCAACGAATATCGGATCAGCTTTTGCGTATTCTTCCGTGATGGCATGACTGCTCTTCTTAGGCCCAACCAAGGGTCCCTATAACACTGTAAGTTCATTGGGCTCATGTCAAAGTGCAGTAACGAGGTCCTACTTTTAAGTCTGGTTGATATTTTCTTGCAAGCGCCTCTTGGGCCTCCAAGTCATCGGCAACGGGCGGGGTAGTCATGGTGTTGTTGTAGCGCTGAGGTAGGTTGAGGTGTTGGTTCAAATTGCCGCCGAATGAGCCAACGGTGTTGAAGATCGGCTCGTCGAAGGTGATCGGCCCTCCGCTGTTTAACCCCAGATTGGACGTCGCGGCTTGGAAGTTATAGTCACCATGTGGGTTATTGTTTGGTATTGAAGAGGTGTAAGCAAAGGACGCGAACGGGGTCGCTTGCGGTTGAAACATCTCCCCGCTAAAAGACTGGAAAGTCGTCTGTTCCTTTTATTCTAAAGTAGGTAGGCACGAACGAACGGGAGAACGGGAGAACGGAGAACGGACGATACTGTGCGTTTAACGCAAAGACAGGCCACTGGTAAGATAAGCGACGGGAGAGAACCAGGTAATAACTAGGTCGCTCGGGCTTTCGATATGTCCGTACTCTTTAAATTAGTGATATTGAGTCCTGGCACTGTATAATTCGTGAACTGTCCAAGAGGGTATATGATTGCGCGATATATGGTATGTTCTTTCAATGGTGGAAGCTCCAGATAGGCTCCTCTTTTATCAACGCTATTTGTCGATGCTCGCGCAACAGCGAAAGTGGGAGCAGGTAGTATGGATGGATGGGCAACGAGTGGCTTCGATGACTGGGAACGAGTGTCAATAACGCATTAATTGCAGCGTTTCGATGATGAGGGCGATATAGTCAACGAGGATCAATTGAGTATGTATTCCAATTCCGCATCGGTTGCACCCGGGTATACCTGGTGCCGGCTGACGGCGGCGAAAAGGATGTAGAGGTCGTAGAGATATTGCGGAAGAGTGAGTATTCGGACCAGGTCAAGTCAGAGGATGGTGGAAGCAGGAAGAGCGAAGGAGGAGAGTTGCAGAGCGAGAGAGCGAGAGAGCGCTCGTTTCGTCTTGGATGAGGGTCGATGGGGGGTATTTGGAGTAGCTCAGCGTCCCTGTAGTCTCCACTCCTCATGCGTGCTGCCGTCGAGGAGACCCTTTTTTACCCGCGCAAAAGGCACGTCGCAAGATGGAGAAGGAGATGGAGGAGGAGAGAGCTCGAAGGTGTATTGGGGAGGGATATCGGAGCCGATGGATGTATGTATTTCTGTATCCTGGCAGCTGCGAGCTTTCGGTGTGTTTATGCGACCGCGGGCATGCTGAAACGGATAAATTCTGCACGTGAGTATAAATATATATTGATGGAGCGTCGTAGTAAGGTAGGTCGAAGGCTGGCCGATGATGGATGATTTGATGGGGGGCGGAGTCAGCGGAGAGTAGCAGTGTGAGTAAAGTGACGGCCAGTTTATGGGCTGATGGGAGTTATTTTGATAGGTACAGAGAGGAGGACAAGGACAGTTCAGGATGTATAGGATGGACAGGATGGACAGGGCAGGATAGTAACTGTACGTACGGTATGTGTGTGTGAATGTATGTACAGTGCATATATATAGTGCATATAGCAATGGAGTAGCAATGGAGGAGGTAGTACAATACTTTAGATACTTTACAATACAGGCATCCTACATACATTATAGATAGCCGTAGAGGTAGAGATAGATATATATATACTCCCCTACCGCCGACTAACTAAACTAAATGGACAGCGGGAGGAGGGGACGGGGGGGGCGGACGGGGGACGGGGGATGGGATGAGGAGTTACTGTATGGATATGGGTATGGATATGGGTATGAGTATGGGTATGGTAGTATGTATATGGATGGGTATGGGGGGGGAAGTGTAGGGGGGTAGGGGGTAGGGGGGTAGGGGGATATAGCTGAGAGAGGGGATAGATAGGTGAGGGGAAAGAAGGGCACACTGTCTCAGCTTAGAGATGTCTCCGTTACAGGGTATATCGTAGTAATCTATGTACCATCCAGTACAATAATGTACTACACTATACTTATACCATACAAATTACAATACAAATGATTTGAGGGATGGGAAGGGATGGGGAGGGATCACAGTAGGAGGGGGGAGGGATCAGTGGAAGAGAGGTAGGAGCATAATGGCCCCTTGTACGATCTACCTTGGTCTCATCCACCATCCTCTTACCTCTCCACCATCCTCTCCACCTCTCCATCTCCACCATCTCCACCATCGTCAACTCCCATCATCCACTTTATAATCCAACAAAGCCACTTCCACCCACTTCCAACCAACAACTCTTCCCGCTGAGACAAACCCTCCAACCGGGCCAACCTGCCCCGAACCGCGCGGCTACCTCTCCACTTGGCCTCAAACTCCCATACACACTGCGGCTGGAATGGTCGGAAAATAGACCTCCCCCCCAAAAAAGAGGTAGGTACCGTACTTGATTTCCCCCCATCTGAGACCTCTGTCTGACATTCAAGGCCCTTTTTTACTCCGTCCCCAGGATCTATCTATCTATGGTAAGGTATGGTATGGTATGGTATGGTATGCTTGCCTGCCTCCCCCCATCCATGGCTAGGATTGATCGATTCTCCCTCTTGACGACACGGACGACGCTGGTGCTGGTGCTGGTGCTGTTGCTGCTGTTTTACTACCCCACTTCATGCACCCACCGCCGCCGCTACACAAAAATGTACATCCCTAACACATACATACATACATACTTACACCGTTTCCTGACCAATCCACGGCCCAGCCCCGGTTACCTCGCGCGCGCGCGGCCGGGCCTGATATTGTGTGTAGGTAAGTAGGGTAGGTATGTGTGTTCGTGCTGTTTCCTGTCTTACTCGGCTTCGGATACTCGCATGTAATGAACCCGTCCGTCGAGATGCGCGAGGGGAGGGAAGGGAGGGGAAGCTGCTGCATGGACAAGCAAGCAAGACAAGCAAGCAGGCAAGACAAGAGTTACCCTTGAAGTGTGTGTGTGTCTGGACTATCTAGACAGAGCTACCCTTGAAGTTTGTCTAGACTATCTAGACATCCAGGCCGGAGACTACTTGCTCCGGCTTACATGGGTATACATAATCGAGTCGGTCTGTCGGTCGGTCTGTCGCATCGACCAAATCGCAGGCATCACCACCACCACCACCACCAACAGTATAGTATAGTAATAGTTGTAGTTTTGTGAAGCAGCACTCCTTCTCCTACCCTGCCTGCCACCCTGCCGCTCACACCCACAAAAAACACCTAGCCGACTTCACGGCACACACACCCCCCCTCGCAAGAGCTAGAGCTATACGTATACCGTATACAAGGGTAGATCATCACGTCCCACCTCTGCCAGGGCAAGACTAAACGGCCTCTCCTCTCTCGACGCCGCCGCCGGACCACCCACCCACAGGGCTGTCACATCTCATCTCACCCCCGCCCTCCTCCCGGTCGGCCAGAAAGCTCATCCACCGATCATCCTCTCCCCCTCCTCCTCTCCTCCAATCCCCATCCAACGGGCATCACCTCTCCCCTCCTCCCCTGCCGTCTTCTACGACAGACAGACAGATAGGACAGCGCCCTAGACAAGGGCATCGCATGATCGAGTCCCCCGGCATGGGAGGATGTCGCCAATGACAACCTCCCTCCCATGCCGGGGAACTCCCTGCATTGTAAGGACGACCTGCCGAGTGTTTTGGCGCGACGAATCAGGGGTGGTGGGGGGGATGGGGGGGGGGAGGATCTTCAACGCCTTGGGGGAAGGGAGGGGATGGAACAGGTAGGTAGGTAGGTAGGTAGGGTGGGTGGTATTGACTAGGAGTGCGCGGGCGCATGGATAGGGGGTGTTAGAGAGGGGGAGGGAGAGAGGGAGGGAGACAGGCCAAGTTCACAACAAGCAAGCTCCCGCCTTGTCCCGCCTAGCCCGCGCCGCGAGGGTGCCAGTACACCCAGCATCTCCCCATCCAGCCAGCCAGCTAGCATCAATCACGACGTCCCCCCCGCCCGTCCATCCCGCTCGATTTGTTGAGGCGGCGGGTGGGCTACTAAGCTCCCCTCCCCCCCTCGAACAGCGGGTGTGTGTGTCTGTGTGTGTGCATGGGAGAGGGAAGAAAAATTGGGGAGAGGGCCCTTTCGCTGTTCGAGATCTACCATACCCATGGTAGGTAACCTGGGGTGTGGAGACGGACTGTGCGTGCGTGCGGGCGGGCGCTCGCTGCGGATCCTTGGGGGGTGGCTTGGCTCGTTGTGAACTGGTGTGAAGTGGGCGGTCCCTCGCTAAAGGGGGGGATATGTAAAACTGGCGGTTACTTGCAAGGAAGGGAGGGGGGGAGCAATTTGATTGTTGTACACTCATATACTTAGTAGTGGTGCGCCGTTGGCCGGGTAGGTAATATGTGTATATCGCATTCATATATCATATCCCCCTCCCATCCATAATCCATGCAGTCATTGCAGCAGCTTGCCTGTGCACTGGCACGCTGCGTTTAAGTCCCTCAAACCTCAACCCTCACCCCTCAAGCCTCAACCCCAGAGACCAACCCATCACACGTACGATTTTTAGTTATTTCCCTCTCTTCTCTCCTACGCGCGCTGAGAACCAGCCCAGCCCACAAAGCTATCGAAGTAGGCGGATGTATCCGAGCACTACTGTACCCCCCCTACCTCCCCTGTTTGGAGCTATGGGCAGGCAGGAGCTAGACAGGACGCATCGGTCTAATGTACACAGTAAGCAGTAAAGCAGTGGGAAAGCTGCTAGTCTTATCAGCCCAGTCAGTCAGCTCCGCCGTCAGTCAGTCAGCTCCCACGTACTGCCGGTTCCAAGTCTCTCGTATCGTAATCGCACATCGGAGATCCAGCTCAGCCGGGCGGGCGATCGATGATGATGCCATCTGTTTCACCCCCCTCAATCGTATTACTAATCTTCCAAGAAAACTCCATAGTCAATAGTTCCGTCCCATAGTCTGGAGAGGAGATTCGATAGACCGGGTATACCTCCACGGCATCTACGGCATCACGGCATTCACGGCACGGGTCTTGGTACTGCACTGTACCTTACACTACCCTACCCCGAGGCCCCGCAAGGGAAGGGAGAGAGGGGAGAAGGGGAAGAAGCTCCATTATTGTTGTTGTTGTTGTTGTCATCGTCCCCGCCCGGCTTGACAGACCAGCTAGCTAGCTAGCTAGTTACCCAGGCTAGCTAGTTCGCGCGCGCGCCCGCTCTACCTCCTTTTCTCAGTCAAAGCTCCGTTTCGTACGGCTTCATCCGCCAGTTAACGCCACAAAAAAACCTAGGATGCACTGCACACACACAGACACACACTATCAAAACCCCACAATATTCGGTAAGCGGGGAAGAAGGCGCGAACTAGACCTGCCTGTCCTGCGTATAGGGGGACGGACGGGAGTTACAGTTTGGTTACATTGCATACAGTACAGTATAGTATAGTATAGTACCTCCTCACCATCTTTCTCTCGAACGCCCACAGCCGCTGCTCAGCAGCACCACCAGGAACATATTCAACACATCACTAGTTAGCGCGGAGGCGGGGGAGAACAATCAGTCAAGGGTCTTGGCACACATACATACACGTCTTTCTGTCTAAGACATATATTTTTTGGGGGCTTGCAGAAATGCTAAAATGCAACGCAACCGAACTCCAGGCTAATGCGACTCGCTCGCTGGCAGTCGTTCAGAGGTCGTCAGCCCGCTTGACCTTCAGGGCGGTCTAGGTCCAGAACCCCTCCTCCCCTCCTTCCCCCCTATCGCGACAATTCCCACTAGGAGCGCTATCGAGTGCAGATCTCCGGTTTCTACCGGGGTCGTCCCCCCTCCAAGCAAGCCCCCCTCCTGACACCCCAATCCCCTCCCCCCAGAATCATGCAAAAACGCCTCCTTTCCCCCGTCCCTGGAACGCCGGTCCCCTCTTCTGGCCCGTGTTCCTCACCGCGGCCCCCCTCCCCAGCACCGACGGCACCATCTCCACCTGATCGTCCGCTAATCCCATATCCGCGTTCTGTGGCGCCTTGAAGCCCTCTCCGTCCCTAAACACCGTCTGGTACAGGGACGTGACAGCTGTGCTCCATTTCTGCATCGCGAGCAGGCGCTCCTCGTCCGTGGCGTCGTCGATCTCCATCGTGCCCGCGTGCTGGTTGATGCGGCCGCGCACTTTCTTGTCGACGATTAGGAAGCCGAGGATGTCTTGGACTTCGGGGATGGAGATGGAGAGTTGTTTGGAGATGAAGGAGAGGCGGAAGCGGGTGTAGGGCGCGATGAGCTTGAGGACTGCTTTGGTGCGCATGTTGCGCGTTACTTCGTCGATGTTTTCGGCGATGAAGGGGTCGGCGAGAAGGTCGGTGTTGGTTTGCAGGACGGATTCGTATTTTTGGATGTCGTCCCGCTGGTAGGCGTCTACCAAGTCTGTCATGGCGGCGATTCTCGCATCGCCTTTGTACGGCTTGGTCTCTTGCGATTCGAAGGGGTTGATGTCCGACTTCATCAGCATGGTCGTGAGGACGAGATATTTCAGAACTTGGATCCTCTGCAGAGACCCGGCTTCATCGTAGTTTCGGAACGACTCGAAGAAGTCGCTCTGCGCGTCCTTCCAGTTCTCCTCGCTCATGTGCATCTTCCCCCCGCATTCTCGGATGATTCCCATGATCTTGGGATGCGGAACAGCTGATCGCACCTTGAGCGCTCTCTCGTACAGGCGCTTTAGCTGCTTATTATTCTTGGTATCTGCGTACATCTGGATCTCCATTGCGTAGACTTCTAGCGAGTATGTACCCTTATTCGGGTCGTCCGTCCCATCTTCCCTCTCACAAGCCCTGTGAAGCTCTCGCACCTTCTTCATGAGAGATGTGTAATCTTTCCGGTCGAGGAATAGCTTCGCGAGCTTGATATTTGTCTTGAGCCATAGCCTTTCGTTGTTGGTGCTCTGGAATGATTCGAGCGTCTGGGAGTAGAAGTCCTCCATACATTTCCGAGCTTTCGGGTCGTCGGATCCCTTCTCGATATAGTCGAGCATGTTATTTATTGATTTCTCGGAGTAATTCCTCGTAACGGCGGATTTGACGTATGTGAGGAGCTCCTTGTAGTGCTCGACGGCCTTCGTAAACGTTAGCAGAGCTCCATACCACCACACGATTTAGTAAAATAGAAGAACACACCTCGTCATATTTCCCAGTCTTAAATTCCAGCTTGATAGCCTGCTTAAGTCCTTTAAACCCCCACTCGCCCTTCTCCTGCTCCAGCTTGGGCACCTCCAGAAATTCCTCTATCGCCTCCGCGGGATATTCGGATTTCATCTGCTTCGCATTATAATATTTGTTTTCGATATCGACATCCCCGTCCTCTTCCTCTCCATCATCTTCATATTCGAAGTCATATCTAAGAATGTCAGTTGATTCCGGAGCTTGCGGAGGGGCACAGCAGCTTCATAACTTACTCCTCCGCATCTGAATCTTGCATGAAGTCGTCGCCATCGTCGGACATTTTGAATGTGGGGGGGAAATGCGTCTCCCAGAAATATAGACCTCAAATGAGTACTGGCTACGGTGCAGATCTGAAGTTTGGGTTATGAGCGGTGTCGTGCTGCTTGTTTGAGTTGTTTGGTGAGAGATGTCGTAAGGCTACCCTCACAGGCCAGTCGCTATCGATTGGTTATCGCCTAAAACGTACTAGCGCATGACCCCAAAGTTTCCGCCTCGCGGTATTTGTGGATCGGTCTCAGCCTTCTGGTTTATCGATCGCAACTTCTTGTTGCCTCTGACGTTCAACAACACCAAGAAGTTGACCTGCTCTGCGACAGCGACTACCCGCACTGCTTTAGAGGATCAGCTTCAAACGATTCTTATTTCTATATAATACCTACCTGGTGCTAATCTGACAACACCGCCAAGATGGGTGGCGACCTCAATTTGAAGAAGTCATGGCACCCAGTGCTCATGAGCAATCAGAAGAAGGTGTGGGAAGAAGAAAAGAAAGCCTTAGACGAACGCAAGAAAACCGAACTTCGAATCAAGGAATTGAAGGAGGAACGAGCCAAGGAGGAGATTCAGCAAAAACTCGAAGCAGCAGGGAGCCGAAAGCGTGTCGACAGAGTCGACTGGATGTACCAGGGGCCGTCGAATGGGCAGTCTGGTACGACGGAGGAGATGGAGGGATACCTTCTGGGGAAGAGGCGCATAGATACCTTGATTAAGGGAAACGATCACAAGAAGCTGGAGAAGCAGGCTTCGGAGGACAGCTTTATGGCCCTACAGAAGGCAAATACTCTAAAGGACACGGCGGCAAAAGTGAGGGAGGATCCTATGTTGGCGATCAAGAGGCAGGAACAAGCTGCATACGAAGCGATGATGAACGACCCTATCAAGCGGAAACAACTACTCGCGGTCATTGGCGGGGAGCCGGAGGGGAAGGAGAAAACGAAGGAGAGGAAGCATAGGCATCATCACAGACGTCACCATGATGATGCGTCGGATGATAGGAGACATAAGCGCAGAAGGGTGGATGATTCGGAGAGAGATGGGAGGAGTAGTAGGCATCGTCAAAGCAGGAGGCGATCGCGGTCGAGGACGCCGGATTCGAGGTCCCGGTCGCCTGAGCGCGGGAGTGCTAGAGGTGGAGAGAAGCGTGATTCAAGGGATGAGTCGCCTCGGAGGCGACGCCAAAGATCAGTGTCACCTCGAAGAGGGCGGTATTCGCGATCACCTTCCCCGCGAAGGAGACGGCATTCACGATCACCAACACCACCTGCAGGAGGAGAAGCGAGACGAGACCGACGTCCTTCGCCATCTCGCAGAGTATCCGTATCCCCGCGTCGGCGATCTTATTCTCGTGAACGATCCGGACCAAAGGGGTACCCTAGCCAACAACCTCGTCGGGATACCTACAGAGACAGAGATTCGCGGCCCGATGGCAATGCAACGGGACGAAACGGAGATAGACCAAGAACGAGCTACAACGCCGGGCAACCCTCAAGGCCCCCATTTCGAGGTGATGATCGACCACGGAATGCTGCTGCACCTAGCCAGAGCGTAGAGGAACGGGAGGCGGAGAGGCAGCGGAAACTCGCAGCCATGCAGGAGGACGCATCGGCGTTGGACCAGGACCGCGAGAAGCGGCTTGCTGCACTGGCGGAGAAGGAGAAGATCGATCGTGATGCGGATGAGGCGGCTAGGGTGAAGTCGTCGAAGTATAGCGATAAAGCGGATTTCGTGAATGGGATGCATCAGAAGGTGGGGAGTATGGGGCTTGCGGATCGGATTGGGAGGGGACGACAGGGACTTCAGCGGGATGATTGAAGAGGGGCATTGGGCAGTGTGGGATCGCTGGCTTTTATCCTATTGTATTTTTGGAAGGAGTCCATGAGCAGTCACTCTTGTGGTATATATATATATATATATACGCAAATAGCACATAACTACCACCGGCAGATCATTTGTCGTAGATAGCCAAATCCATATACAGACACTGGACAAAACATCCAGAATCAAATCATTCGAACAAGGAACAAACAATCACCATGCGTAGATCATCAGCCACGTGTGCCACCCATGCTGTGCGTCTGAGGCCCAGATGTACAGTACAACACGACGTGCTGTATTTGAGTTCCTGACGATGACGATGATTTGCAAACAGCACTGCAACATCCAATACATATCTACCCCGCTAGATTTGATCCCACTAGATCGTGAAGCTCCAATCAATTTAATTGCCGTGCCGCGAGAGGAGGAGTTTGCTTGCTGCAAGGTACGGGGCATATGTGGAGAGCCAGATCGAGTAGCTGTGGATGTGGATGTGGATGTGGATTTAGCACCAGTAGTTCAGTAGTTCAGGACATATATATCACAAAAGTAGACAACTAGAGAGATTAACACTTTCCTTCTAGCAAACCCTTACATTCTCCTCATTCTCCTTACATCTCCCAATTTGCTGTTGTTGATGCCACGAAACTGATAAAAGACCCTAGAAATTTGCTGTCATGTACACCCTGGCTGTGTTGTTGTTGTTGTTGTTGTTGTTGTTGTTGTTGTCGTCTGTGTTGTCCACGTTCTCCGCGTTGTCCGTGTTGTCGTTTCTGTGGATCTCCAACTCTCCCCTCCCCTCTAGTCACTCTCGGCGGCTGTCATTGCCGGCTCAAATTGGCCCCGACTCCTCCTGTCACTCACTTCAATCTCCACGTTCTCGCGTAACGAAATATGTATCTGCCGTACCAAAGTATGCTACAACCTTGCGACTAAAAGTATACTACGTAACCATATGCCTTCAATGGGACCGTAATCTCTAATGCCACCACCTCCTCCACTACGCTTGCATCTACCCCAATCTCAATCTCACTGACACTTCGTCTACTGTCAACAGCACAGTCAACACAATCAATACAGTCAACAACCTTATATCCTCAAAGGATATACCCCAACCCTCTCATCGTGCTCAGTCACGATCAGCCTCGGACCCTTTCGCTCCTCAATCGACCACCACCATGCAGCTCTGCGGCGGAAGCAAGACCACCCAGCGCAAGCTGGTCCTACTGTACGTTGAGCACTCTTCAATCCATTCCCCGGCGGCTTCAATCCGCGCGACCATGCGATCACCTCCGACATACTGACCGAATCCCAGGGGCGACGGCGCAAGCGGCAAGACCTCGCTGCTAAATGTCTTCACGCGAGGGTAAGAAATCTGCATGTGCAAATCACCACAATACGCAATAGGAGTTAACGCCCACACCACAGATACTTCCCCACCGTCTACGAGCCTACAGTCTTCGAGAACTACGTCCATGGTAAGAAAAAAATACACCACTCACCCCCCCCCCCCCCCCAAATTACTTCACCCCAGCTAACCCATCTCCCCCTCTCTCCAGATATCTTCGTAGACAACGTCCACATCGAGCTCTCCCTCTGGGACACCGCCGGCCAAGAAGAATTCGACCGTCTCCGCTCCCTCTCCTACGACGACACCCACGCAATCATGCTCTGTTTCTCGGTCGAATCCAAAGACTCCCTCGAGAACATCGAATCCAAATGGGTCGGCGAGATCGCCGAGAACTGCCCGGGCGTAAAACTCGTCCTGGTAGCGCTGAAGTGCGATCTCCGCGAGAACGACGACGCGGCTGAGGAGGAACCAACCGCCCCAGCCGCGGGGGGAGGGAAGAAGGAGTGTATCACGTACCAGCAGGGTCTTGAGGTCGCGAGGCGCATTGGCGCGTTGAGGTATTTGGAGTGCTCGGCTATGCGGAATCGCGGGGTTAATGAGGCGTTTACGGAGGCGGCGAGGGTAGCGCTTTCGGTGAAGGGGGTTGGTGGAAAGGACGATTCGAAGTGTGTGATGATGTGAGGGGGGCGCGCACGCGATGGTTGGTGGTGGTGTTCAGCGAGGCGTATTGGCGTTGGTGGATAGGTTGAGCGCCGTCCCTGCTTATGTGCGGGTTTTTTATATGTTACTATTACTTATTTTTTTCTTCTTTTCTTTCTTTCTACGACGCTGTTGTTTCGCTGATGCATTTGCAGGCGGGCAAGGTTGTTAGTTTCGACGCGAGTGCCTTGGGGGGGGTTTTACGGCGATACACACTATGGGCCACCACATATGCTAAATAATTATGGGATTTGCATATATTGGAAGATATGGGATCATGGGGAGGCTGTCTGAGGATGGCAGATACTGGAGCCGGGTCGTCGTTAGTTTTACTGCACTGTAATTGTATATGGACTTGTATATGGCTGCACTGATTTGTTGTTATAAAACCTTTCTAGATTTACAAATGGGGGTGGCAAGCTTGCCATTTTGCATTCTAGTCTATCTATTCTTGGATAATTTGAGCTTGTGAATACTTACGCAGGGCTTTTAAATAATAATGTTTGCTTCAACGTGTTATATATGCTTCATAGAAGGGTTCTAGAATTCTATAGGTGCCAGCAGCCCAGGCAGAGACAGATGGCATCATTGCGTAGAAGGCTCTGAACCAAGCGGTATGGGATGAGCATCGTCTACTTTAGGCTCTGTCGATGCTGCCGTCTTCTCTTTAGTCTCTACCGGTATACTCGATGTGGTGTCGTTATTCTCTGTGTCTTTCGATAACGAAGATTCTTTTTCTCCCGTGTGAATGTCTGACTCTGCCACCGTGGAACTTATCACGGCTGTGTCGCCGGTTTTACCACCTTCCGAGACTTGGTCACTACTCGGTTCTTGTGCCTTCTGCTCTACGTCTGGCTTCTCGGTGTCTTGCTTTTGTGCCTTTTCATCATCTGCTGGTGATACGGTCTCGGTAGGTCCTGTAGCCACCTTCGTAGCCAGGTGCTTCTCTAACCAATCCTTATGTCCATCTGAGATCTTCAGTGCGTGATCAACGCTCTTGTGATCAACGCTCTTGTGATCAACGTTCTTATGACCATCCGATAGCTTCAGAGCTTGCTCAACTTCTGTGGTCAACTTCTCAATCTCCTCTTCCAATATCTCCTGTTTAGCAGCAGGCGTTGCAGGCTCCCTCGCTGCTTCAGGCCCACCGACCTCCTTATAAAGGGCCTCCAGGTCGTCCCTCCAACCCAACTCATCTGCCAACCTCCGGACCTGACTATCGCAGTCTCCTAGCAACAGGACATCATCAGGTCTGCTCCCTAGGGTCCCTACCCTCTCCATATTTAGTAAGACCCTCGGGGTTCCTTCCAGGGCCATATCAGGCAGCGAAGCAAACGGATGAACAGTCAAGCTCGTCCCAATAATAATCATCAAATCCGCCTGCGACGGCACATGCGTATTCATATGAAACCTCTGCGGCAGCGACTCCCCAAAAAACGTGATATCCGGCTTAACAAGCCCCCCACACGCCTCATCCTCACAATACGGTATATCCCCCGACCTAACAAACTCCCTCATAAACTCATCCGGGTACTCCGTCTTACAATCAATACACCTCTGCGACGCGAAGCTCCCATGCGCCTCCACGACTTTCTCGGGCGGCACCCCCGCCGCGCGTTCCAGACAATCGATGTTCTGCGTAAACAGCATATGCAGCAGCCCCTTCTTCGCCAGTAGGGCAATAAACGCATGCGCCACCGTCGGTTTGTATTTCCCGGGATACAGCTCCTGAGCCAGCATGTAGAACGGCGCGGGGTTCTCGCGGAAGAAGGAGATGTCGAAGACGGCTTCGGGGTAGGGAAGGTTTAGACGCGCGAGGTTGGAGTATAGCCCCGTGTCTGGGGAGCGGAAGTCGGGGATCCCAGCGCTGGTGGAGATGCCGGCGCCGGTGAGGACGACGACGCGCTGGGCTTTGGGCGAGTTGAGGTAGGTGGCTACGGAGCTGAGGGAGCGGTCTTGGAGGGTTTTGGAGGGGAGGGCCTCGTCGACCAGCTCGTGGGAGGTGTCTTGGCCCATTTTTGCGGTGAGGGCGCGGGGTCGTTTTGGGGGGTGAGGGAGGCGAGGTTGTCTGCTTTCGAGGTATTGAGGTATTGGCGCAGAAGTTCAACTTGTATATAAGAAATAGGAGGTTAGGTAGCTGTAATAGCCTCAATCCTTGGGCGGAGTGTTAAGGCTTTAAACTCGAAATCATAAATATTATATCGCTGGAGCCTGATTCATTGGTCCACGGCGGGTTGAATTTTGGTGGGGTGAGCGGGAGGGAACATGGCACGGTACAGTCCATGGTAAATCCCCAAAACGCTCGGGCCGTTATAAGATCCGGACTTTCTGCACTTGTGCTTCTTTTGTATGGCTTTCCAGACCTTATTAATCTACGGTACACCATTCAGGCCACTGATGCACTTTTCCACTTGCCCGTAAGCGCCAACTACGACGAACTTTGGTGTCGTGGTTACTCCAACTAACAATGGTAAACCCCTAAACAAACTTTTAGGTTATATTTTGACGTAAATATGTAAATATATAAATGTGTATATATTCAAAATGCTGAGCTGAAGCTATATTCATATACCTAAAGCGCGAACAACCTGGGCACATAACATGAGAAATTGATCACACGTATGACTTTGTGCAGTACTTGTCGTGCAGGTACTTGTTCTACAGCTTGAGTCGCCTACCAACAGTCTTGGCGAACCTCCTCACAGTGTGAACAAGTGGAGCGACACTACTCCCGTACACCAGACAAATAAATATCCATCGACAACAACCCCCCAGCGACAACTCTGGTGCTAGAAGACGCCGCTCAATCCTCGCACCGGCTTCATCGAATCGTGCACAGGACGCTATCGACTCTACCTCGAACTTCGCCACCCCCTCGTCGTTGTCGTCGCACGATACCCCCCCTGGCTGACCAAGGCGAAGCTCCCTCAAATAACCTCGTCTTCCGCCTTCCTATCGCTGCTAGAAGCCTATATCGAAGTCGTATATCACAGTATTCAAGACCAGATTTGTATATCACCGCACCTGAGCTCAAATCCGAGGTTTCTGGGTCCCCGAGAACGACGCGAATGAGAAGGACCGTGGTCACACGACAACGCGCCGGAGGAATCTTCTCCTAGGATATATCTGTCATTCCACTCTCTCGATAGGAGCACAGATGACGGCAGTTGCGAACCCACCGAGTTTCCAGCAACCACTCAATCGGACGCAATGGAGTTCTAATGGTCAAGGAGCCCTTAATTCTATGAACCCCGACGAAGTCGCTCGGATGTTCATGCCGCGGAAGAGTGTACAGCGTGCCAATTCATCATCCTCCCTCTCCTCTAACTCGTCGACCTCGTCCTCGGGCACGTCTACGATGTCGAACGCCTCCCAGCAATCGACCGGAACCTTGACTCCCGTGAGTGACGTCGGTACATGGTCGAGCACGACGGCGGCAGGGACGCGGAAAAAGCCTCAGAGAACTGGTCCGTGGCCTGTGAGCAAGTCGGAACCGGTATCGGGAGTCACGTCGGCGCGTCCTCAGTCGATCCTCGCTCCAAATGGAGTCTCTGCTGCGTCGTCCATATCGTCGATGCAGCAGCAACCACACTCGGTCAACCCTTCAAACCTTCAGAATCCTTCTCAACAACAGAATGGAGCCCGAGCGGGCGCACCGCCTAATGATGGAAACCCCGTGTTATACCTTCTATCGATGAATGGGACGTTCGAACGCAAAACAATCACTGTTCCGTATTACCCAGACAATTTACGTATTGGCCGACAGACAAATGCGAAATCGTCACCGACCGCCACCAATGGATTCTTTGACTCCAAGGTCCTATCAAGGCAGCACGCAGAGATTTGGGCAGATAGAAACGGCAAGGTCTGGATTCGTGATATTAGGTCTTCGAACGGCACATTTGTCAATGGTGCACGGCTATCGCCCGAGAACCGAGACTCGGAACCCCATGAGCTTCAGACTCAAGATCATCTAGAGTTGGGAATTGATATCGTGAGCGAAGATCAGAAGACTGTGGTCCACCACAAAGTTGCGGCAAAAGTTGAGCACGCTGGCTTTCTGGGCGCTACAAATAATGTTCTCGATATGAACTTTGGTGATCTCGACCCCGCAAATGGAGTGCTCATGCTTCCCTCGCAGAATGGAATGATACGAGGCAGAACAAACAGTCAAGGATCTATTATGAACAATGGGCGTGCACCAGGCCCGGGAGTAATGCAAGTCGCACAACGCCCAATGAACTTCTGGTTAACGCCTGTAACGACCGAGCAGATAATGAAAAGACTAACGGTAGGTACGCTCCTACAGTTGTTAGATACAAGCTAATCAATATTTAGAATGAGGTGAGGCACGCGAAACTACAGAATAACGATCTTTCTCGCACCGAATTGTTCTTGGACACCTTGGTTTCGCAGCAGCTATTCAAAGAAGAAGAAAAGCCGGAAGAGCCTATCAAGTCCCTCCAGCCCAATGGCGTTTCGTTCAAAATCGATGCGAAGCCGCGCTTCAGCGACCCACCTGCACCACCACCCCAGCAGCCACTACCGGAGAAGCCAGATGCGCCTCGGGTACAGACATCCGAGACGTCATTGAAGCGCGCGAATACAGAACGGCCACGATCTGCAACGTCGGCGTCTCCAGTCAAAGAATCCTCCAGCCAAATTATTGCGCTCATAGAATCGCTAGAATCGGCGAAGAGAGAGATTGACGAACAAAATGAGCGTATGCGTACTCTAGAGAAGATGCTTCAAGAGGAGCGAGAGGCAAGGCAAGCTGCCGAAGAACTAGCGAAGAGGCTTGAAGAAGAATCAACTAGGATACATGTGAATGGGTTTGCCAAGGGCGGCTCTATAGTTGAAGAGGCGTTTGAACCACCGAAGGAAGTCGCGCCAGAGGTTGTAGGTCTGGAATCTACAGCCGCAGATGAGGACAAGTCGAGTACCTTGAACGCTGAAAATGTGGAAGCATCTACGAATACCTTACAGGAGAAGCTGGAACTGATGATGGTTGAAATGAGGGAAATGAAGTTGCAAATGGAAACTTATCGACACCGTGCAGATACGGCAGAGACGGAAAGAGATGATGGGAGGAAGTCATTGGCAGAGATGGTTGAGAAGATCAGAGCAGATGATCAGGCAAAACGAGAGACGGCTGAGCGTGCTAAGGCAGCGCTGGCTGCCTCGAATGCAGCTGCCTCGTCGACTGCTGGGGCGGACAAAGAGGTAGAAGATCTACCACTGGCGACAAAAGATATTGGCCAAAACGGTACCATATCAACGCCACATGTCACCAAACCTCCCGAGAACCAGCCCGCCACTGCTCTACAACATCACCCTGGCAGCCAAGATCACAGGCTACTCGAACACTCCGCTCCTTACGCATCTATGATCGGAGTCGTTCTTCTCGGCATGGGCTTGATGGCCTACATGAACGGGTGGCAGAAAGGCGAGCGATGATTTCCAACAAGTATTTTGAGCCAAACACAAACAATTCACGTAATCCAGCCGGCGTCAAAGCATTCATTAGTAGCACGGCGATCCTTTCCTTTGTCACGATATGTTTTAAAGCATGCACGCGTGCATTGCAGGTCTCGGCGTTTTAGGGGACGGGCCGGAGCACGGTCCGGCGCGTGCCGGATGGGGGGGGGTGGTGTTTTTTTTAACTCTCTCTCTTATTATAAGTTTGTGAATATACTGGGAGTGCGATATAACATTAGGACCTTCCCTTGTCGGCGTGTTTGGGGTGGGGGGGGGGAGGAGGAGGGGGTTCGATACCCTGTTGTCGGGGCGGGGGCGCGACCAAGATAATTGTGGTTTTTTTTGGGGAGGCCTTGTATTGCTGAACTTTCGCTATACTGCGGCTGGGTCCTTTGGATGGGTGGCAAGGCGGCGTTCGTAGCATGTGTGGAATTTGATTGCGATCCAAGATCTTCAGTGACTTCTTCACTCGAACGAAAGAACCATGACTGATTGACCCTGACCCATTTGTTGTGAGCTAATGTTGTGCGTCCACACGTAAGACAAGACATATGGGAGCGGGCCGGAGCGTAATTTTGCGCGTCACCAGCTCTGGCGGGACAACAACTCCATCAGCGAACAGTAGTAGGGCGGGGATTATTTCCAGGCAACTTCTACAGATAGACTACGCGGTTTGATTGATACAATTGACTAAGCGTAGGATAAACCACACGGTAATTCTTGAAACAATGCTTGTTCTGTCCCAGCCCCCCACTATGCATGAATGCGTGATATCCTATTTCAAAATCCGAGCCAATGAACACGATAGCGCTCTGCAGGCCCATACACCGGTGGAACATTTATCGATAAATCAGTGTGTGCACCAACAGGGGCGATTGGACGGCCAAAGAAAGCCCTGTCAGACACCCCTCATGGTAACCCAGCCAGCGCCGCGATCCTTCACGCGGCCGACGCCCATGCATGCTTCTAATCGCGGGGTCCATGTTTCCACTCCAAGGCTGAGGGGAGGGCGGCTGAGCAACAGGTTCGCGGTGTTTTGGGGTTTGGCCGGGTAGGGATGTGTGCATATAAATAAATCGAATAAGTAGAGGTGGGTGTGCTACGTACGAGCTTCTCTTATCATACATATATTTTTTATTCCCCGCTGTGCAGTGTGTGTGTGTGCCTGACGACAGACGACATGACAGACCATCGCGTTAAGGCGCTGACATATCGCGTGGAGAATATCCCGCCAGGAACGTCGAAGGAGGAGCTTCTCGAGCGGTACTTTTACAGAGAGGATAGGGAGGATATCAAGGTCAAGTCGCTGTGTCCCTCGTGCGACAGCGTCGATCCGGATGAGGATGACTGGACAGCGACGATTTTCTTCCGACCCCGCGATGCGGGGAGAGGGGAATTGCGCCTGGCGAATGATGATACGTTGACGCTCTCGAGGGATTTCTTCGGTTTCACGCCTCTTTATGTGCCGCCGAAAGAGAAGGGGCCTGTTGCGGCAGAGTGAGTTGTTTTTGTTGTTTTCCGCGCCAGCCGCGTGCCTGTTGCTGTGCTGACGGTCTTCACTAGTATCATCGCCGTTACCGGCCTAGGTGGCCATGCTTATGGGTCGTGGAGCCATTCCGACGAGCGCATGTGGCTGCGCGACTATCTTCCGAAAGACGCGCCGAATGCACGGATTTTGACTTATGGGTACCAATCGGCTTTGCAGAGCGACTCTATTAGTGTGTTGGAGGATCATACAAATAAATTTGTGCATAAACTTGTTGATATGAGAGATGCGTCTGAGGTTAGTAAATCAAACTATGCGCTACACCTTGGAAGCCATACTAATATATAATTTGCAGTGTGAAAGCAGGTATGCGATAACGAGCGCACAGCGAAACGGATGATAAAATGCTAATTCCGAAAGACCTATAATATTTGTTGGACATAGTTTAGGATGTCTAATTATCAAGAAGGTATGTATTCAGCTTATTGGTCCCCCCTTTATTATCATACTGACTGTAGATAGGCACTTACTGGCATTGGCCCAATGGGCATGTAAGTTTAATACCCGCTTTAGCATACAGTGCTGTGATAGATCATGCATTGACAAGTTCTAGCCCAATGTCCCGCCTACCAGTTCGCGCCATCATCTTCTTAGCTGCACCCCACAGAGGACTCAATATCGATGCACTGCAAACACTAGTTATGGGCCAGGCGACTGAGGGCATGATAAATGAGCTCAGAGCCAACTCGCCGACACTAAGAGAACTCACCAATAGATTCCGTGACATTGTAGAAGATAACATTGACCTCTTGACATGTTACGAGCAAAGGCCTACAAAGACAGTGGTCAAGGTATGTACTAGAGAGCTGAGCAACATTTTCCCATACTAACCCAGTTGCAGGGTGCCGACGGCATATGGAGACGAGAAGGCACGCCAGTGATAATGGTTGGGCCAGATTCGGCACGGCTTGACTACAAAAAGGAGAAGTGCGTCTCTGTTGACTGCGACCACTCGCAAATTGCCAAGCTCAAGAAAGGAGAGGGTGGCATTTACCCTACTGTCAAATCAGCTATCAAGCATGGTCTCATAAGCACCGCTAGGATAGTAGCGGGGAAAGATGTAAGTCTTGAATATCCCCGTGGTGGCAAGGTAAGCCATCTACTATGTCTTGTTCTATAATGCGGAAGAAAAGGACTAATCCCGAGACAGGAGTTGACACACGGCGGCGCTGGATCTATGACTGGTTATATGCATTCTGTCCCTCCTCCATACGTTCAAGACAAAATCGCCGCCAGCAATGCGGCGTATATACCGCAGCAACCACAGCAAGCGCCTCCAACCCTTGCCCCTTATCAAGACCGCCATATTGTGGTAGAACGTGCGATCACGCCGACCTATGAAAGCGCCGCTCATTACACTCAACCAGAGGCCCAATCATCACCTCCTTCCCATGACCGTGGAACGAGCCATGCAATCGAGAGCCGTTATCTCTCCGAGGCACATGGCAAGGCAGACGATGTTGTCAATGTAGAGCCTGATATTTCAGCCTTGACGATTTCTGAGCCACCTCAGGCCCCAGTCTTCTTGGACAAATCCGAAGTCACTGTGGAGGAGGATATGGATGATGGGTACGAAGTTGACCCTGACAACATCTCAACCACAGCAATATGCAGCCGCTGCGATGAGGGTGTACCGGACTCGACATTTCACTACTATTGCTACATGCCGATCACTAACCAATCCGGAGAAGATGACGATAAAGACAGGGTAGAAGAGCACAAGAACACTACTGTGTGTCAGTCCTGCGCTTACCTTGACCCCAATTGCGAGATACACAACGAACTACTCGTCAAGCGAGGCGTAAAGCCCCACGAAGCCCTCGAGCCATTTCTGCCATACATCGAGACCGACATACTGAGGTCAGACAACAGCCTCATTCGCGCGGTGAAGGAAAATGATTTGGACAAGATCGGACGTCTATCAAACAACTCCAAACTTCTCAGTGGAAAGACCTATGAGGGCTGCACTCCTCTCGTCTTGGCAGTCCAGCTAGGGCTGGTTGATGCTGTCAAGCTTATGCTCGCCAATGGAGCTTCCCCGACTGAGAGAGACTCCACTGGCTTCACGCCACTTTTCATGGCAGTCCAGTACAACCGGTACAAGGTGGCTAAAGTGCTTCTCGATGCCGGTGCAGACGTTGAGGACACTGGGGGACAATCATCCGCACTGCACCTGGCGGCGTCAAATGGAAGACCAAGGATGTTACAGCTCCTCCTAAACCGACAAGCCCCCGTCGACGTTTCATTCATCGGCTTCGGCACACCCCTCCACCAAGCCGCTCAATTAGGGAGCAACGAGTGCGTGAAGATTCTCCTTGCTGCAGGTGCTGATCCAAACGCAATGGCCAAGAGCGGCGCCACGGCCCTGAAATGGGCGGCTCTTAAAGGATACCGTGACGTCGTAAAGACGCTTCTTAGGAATAAGGCAATTGCCTCTCACATTGGAACAGATGGTGAAACGCCGATATACTGTGCTGTGGATGGCGGCCATGGGGAGATATGCGGAGACTTGATCGATGCTGGAGCAGACTTCATATCAGAAGTCGCACGTCCGGTAATGACACCTCTTGGACACGCAGCACGTCTTGGCCGCAGGAATATCGTAAAAGTATTACTAGCGCGCGGGGCTCCAGTCGACGGTATAAGCGATGAGAACACCCCCCTGGGCTCTGCAGCAGTAGAAGGACATCTCGACGTCTGTCGGGATCTCATTGAAGCCGGCGCGAACCTCAATGCCACATACGGACCTTTATCAACCAGCCCCGTCGGATTCGCGGCGAAATTCGGATATGAGGAGATTGCCGAGCTGCTCTTGAGCCGTGGCGCGAAGGTCGATATTAATGACAGTGATGGACACCCCCCTATATACGTCGCGGTCGTCACGGAGCATGTGAGGGTCTGCCAGCTTCTTCTCGCGTTTGGTGCGGATGCGGGGTTCAAGACCGAAGATACAGAAAGGACTGTGCTGGCTATTACAACTATAGACGGAAACCTCTCCATGGTCAAACTTCTGATAGAATACCACGCTGATCTCGACGATGCTGATACTTACGGATGGACTCCTATAGGCCACGCCGCATTCAAAGGCTTCGTCGACATCTGCCGCGTCCTCATCGACGCCGGCGCCAACCTCGATCTCCTCGTGTCCGGGAAGACGGCGCTGACAGAAGCTGCGCGCGCTGGCCACAGCGAGATTGTGCAGATGCTGTTAGCGGGAGGCGCGTGGGGTATGCCGCCCCCAGCGTATAAGGGGAAATGGAAGAATCTGGAATTCAAGAGCGAGGTGACGCCTTGGAAGAGGGAGGAGATTCTGAGGATTCTGAGGGCTGCGAAGCATATGTAGTGCTGTTCGGGGGTGATGGCCAATTTGGTGAATTTAAGGCTACGGCTGACGCTGGGGGATGTTTTTAACGTTTATGACCATTTATATATACTGCTGTTATTTAAGTTTGAGCTTATTATCATTTACGAATGACAATTAGAGAGTTTTTTTTGTTATGGTTATGAGGGAAATTTGATTCGTTATTGGTAGCATTAGTTCTCAGATTGCATGCAAAGAATGTGCCGTCTCCACAAGAGAAACGAAAGCATGCCAGCTCAGCTAATGCCACTAAACCGCATCGTGAGTAGAGTAAATACCTCGCCCACGTTCATTGTGGTGCAAATAACTCTAATCCCCAACCTTGATTCCTCTATTCATCTCGTGGATCCCCTTCGACGTCGGGCTCTACGGACCCACAGCCACCACGCTTCTCAACTATAACCCCGTTCTCAACGGTGAAGCACCCGCCACGCTTTTCAACCGCAGCCAAAGGATCTCGTGGGTCACCTTCAGCCACGTCAGTCAAGGGGTCTCGTGGATCACCCTCGGCAAGGGGGAACGGCGGCCCAACACCGCGATTTGGGTCATCACAATTGGGCTGCGCGTATACGATCCCGTTTTCCTTCACGAAGCAACCAACGCGCTTTTCAACCGCAGCTAGGGGATCGCGTGGATCTCCTTCAGCCACGGGAGTCAGGGGGTCTCGTGGATCACCTTCGACGACAGGTTTTACGAACCCACAGCCACCGCGCTTCTCGATTATAACCCCATTCTCGATGGTAAAGCACCCACCACGCTTTTCAACCGCAGCTAGGGGGTCTCGTGGGTCACCTTCAGCGACAGCAACTAAGGGGTCTCGTGGATCCCCTTCAGCCACTGCAGTCAGGGGGTCTCGCGGATCCCCTTCGACGTCAGGCTCCACGGATCCGCAGCCACCGCGCTTCTCAACTATAACTCCGTTCTCGACAGTGAAGCACCCACCACGTTTCTTGACATCGACGTTAACATCCGCATCGACACCCGCGTCAATGTCGCCGTTATTATCCACAGTGCCACAGGCACTGCTAACTATAGCTCCGTTTTCAACAGTGTAGCAAGCGCGCTTTCCGGGGTGAGTAATCGACCTCAGCCTCTCCATCATTGCGGCATCAGGGGTGACCGGTCCACCCGGGCCGTCATCGATGAGGCGAGCATACTCCTTCATAAACTCATCCCGCTCATGTAAAACGTGCGATTCTGGCTTTAATTGCTCATTCTTTTCCAGGGCATCGGCTTCAATAGTAGAACGTCTTGCGAGGTAGCTGGTGAAAGGGGTGGATTCGGGGATATTGGTTGGTGCTTCGATATTTGGATTGGTGGGGTATTTGTCAATTACGCCGCCGTCTCTTTGAGGGGCTGGGTTGGCGCTGGCTTCACGGCCTTCATATTGGTGGCGTTTATGGGCACAAGGGTCTGGTTTGGTACCGAGTTGGACAGTGAGGCAACCAGTATCCATAACGCACGTCTATTTGAATATTAGACCATGCTTGTGAGATCAAGAGGGAAGATAGCATTGAAGTATAAATGGTCGGGTTAACGTACAGGATCAGTACGTCCATTAAATCCTTGGCCTGGGCAGGAACAAATTGAACAGTGAGACCAGTCTGGGTCAAAAATATTGATGCCGAAGCATGAACCTGCTTTGAAGCATTGGCCAGAAAGACCACATTTGCCGAGAACGCAAGACGATTTAGAGGAAAGAGAGTTGGGTGCGTCTGGGATCAAAATTGGGCTGGCTAGGACGGATGCAAGGAAGGAGAATAGAGCGAGGGAATTTGTGAGCAGGGCTTCGCTCGGGGTGCTGTCCATGGGTTTGAACTTCATGGTGAATTGATTGGTTGGAATTCGATAGCTATTGAGGATGTTAGGTATGAAAATATCGGAGGTTTAAGTAGTGAAAGTCTTAGAGATTGGGTAAGTAGGGTATTGTAGGAAAGAGCTGGAGGTATAAAAGAATCAACAACATCCAGTGGGGTTGACCTGAAGTGTAGTCTTACTTTAAAGTGTGGTATTGGTTGACCCTTTGGTGCTGTGCCAAGGGAGTGTTGTTGTTTGTTCGAGGCAACAATCTCGGTGGTCGACGGTGAATTTATAGGTAAGCCTTCAGGTTTTGTTCTGTGCCTTCGCTGTCCCAGACCCCGTTGAAGCCGGAGTGATCGAATAACACTGTGCTATGATGCTATAAAGAGAGTGATTGGAAAGGTTTCATGTCCGGTCGAAGTTGTCGTGGAATGCATACAGTATGTGCCATAAACGCAAGGCAAGGTCTATCGGGATACCAACGGGCTTAATTTTCCCTTTGCAAGGCACAATGCAAATAGAGCGGCCATCCGAAAGCAAGGGGCTTTATAGGTAACGGCTACAGAATTGGAAGTAGCAAACGCTTGATTTGGAGAAGATGTTGAATGCAACGAGATCACATTTCCTTTCAATATAAAGGGTTAATATTTTGAAATGATATGCCGAATCTCAGTGGAATGAAAATATGAAGCCGTGTCGGAATATATATTTTTAGAATTATTAAGGTTAGGGCAGACTGTATTTAAGAAATCCGGGCACACTTTACCACGTAATATTCATAGACAAACAATAACCCGGCTCTAATTCGTTGCGAACAAGGCATCAATGCCTTGTGCCACCATTTGATTCTTGCCGCCACTCACCACAGTCGGACCCGCTTGAAAGTCTTGTTCCCCTACGAAGAATCTTGGAAGGCGGCAAGGAGCGGGCTCTCGGTGGCCTCATGGGTCTCTCCGTCTCACCTTCTAGGAGATAACAATGAACTCTGTCTCACCCCCCAAGGTATAACAATGCACAGCATATTTGTCATTGGCTGGTGTTGGCAAAGCTTGTTCTATTCAAGACTCTCTCGCAGCTCCCTTACTTCCTGTACAACCAGCCCCGGTAACGGCACTTCTGTGAGACCCTAGATCTATTAGCGCCATTGATAGCAAATGAATGTCGAATGCCGTCTTAAATCCAAATACAGTCTCATCCGGAGACCTAATGTAACTGTAGTTAATCTCTGATCTCAGCTTAAAAAATTGGGGTATCTATTTTGATGTCGTGGCCATCACAGTGCTTAAACGCTGGGTACAGCCCCCTCAGCATCAGCGACGGATCAAGGAGTGTAGATCGTTGTAAATATTATAGATCTACTGAGAGATCAACATACCTCCTGCCTCCTGGACCTTGTTCCCGTTATTTTTGACAGGTTCGAATCGATCGAGAAACCGATCTCTAGTGGAGCCGCGAGGCCGCAGGACAACTAACCGCAATAGGCAATATCAAACGTCAAGTGCGACTTGACATTTATGGACGAATGCAGCCACACCCAAAATAAACGGGGCCTTCTATCAAAGAAAACATATCACAAACCTGGAACCCTGCAAACAAACTCCAAAGTATGAAACACAAGAATACCAACCCCAAGAAGAGCACCGCCAAAAGCGCGCCATCCGAACCCCCACCAAACTGGCCTGCATTCAAACCCCTCCTCCCCGCCTCCGACCTCTACCTAGAACCCATTGTTGACTCGCAAATCATTGTCACCCGCAACTTCTGGACCTCGACGCTGTGTAAAGATTACGTCTCCTTCCTCAGATCCCTGCCCCTGGTCACAACACCAGGGAAGCCGAAAAAGGGCGACGCTGTGCGCGTCAACGATCGCTTCCAGATCACAGACCCGGCGTTCGCTAACAGATTATGGCTGGAGACCGGTCTACGAGAGCTGGTGAATGGGAGGACAGACGAGGAGGAGGGTGAGTCGATGAGTAAAGAAGAGAGGACAAGACTGTGGTATGTTCCACACGTGACGTGACACTGGACAGAGACATGCAAATGCGCTCCTACTAACGAACACAGGGGCGGAGAAGTCGTAGGCCTGAATCCCTCAATCCGGATATACCGTTACACGCCAGGTCAATTTTTCGACCAGCATTGTACGCCCTCCCTCTCCTCCCCTGTTATCCCTTCCTAACCCTCCCCCTAGACGACGAATCGAACATCATCAACCTCCCCACCACCCCTACCACCCCCGCAAAAACAACCTGGACTCTCCTCCTCTACCTTACTTCCCCCGCCACAGGCTGTGAAGGCGGACAAACGGTCTTTTACCCGGACGACCTGCCGTTCAAGAACTCGCCGATCCAGAAGGAGGTTGTGGTAGAGCTGGAGACGGGCATGTTGCTGCTGCATAAGCACGGGAATGAGTGCATGCTGCATGAGGGGCGGGAGGTGACGGCGGGTGAGAAATGGGTCATTCGGACGGATCTGTGCGTTAGAAGGTAGGGTCGGTGAGTGTGACGACAGGGTGGTTGGATGGGCTCGGGTCGGCTGGTCATGGGCGGTTATTTATGGTTATGGTAAGACGAATTTAGAGATTATTTACGGGGGTGAAGAATAAAGACGGCCCTGTATGCAATTGAGCTTTAATCGCTTTGCGGTAGCGTAGGTTCGAGTAAGGCCTTCTTCACGTGAGTTTCTAAGTAATATCAAACTCCTGGGATCCCACCAAAATTCCCAACCATCTCCAACCCACCTCCCCCCCAACATCAAGCTAAGTCCACCCTTATAACCCAACTTTAGTATCTATAAATCAAGCGGCAGAGTGGCGCAGTGGAGGTACCACTGTCTGGACAATCTGGCTAGCTGGAGGATAAAGAGGTTATGGATTCGACAACCGGGATGGATAAAAGGAAAAAAATAAAGAAAGAGCTTGGAAACGATCAATAACGACAAAAAGTAAAATCACAAAGTTGATTTTCTCCCTCATCAGATCTTGAAAACGAAGAGATCTGATGAGTCTTTTGCCATTTTTTTGCTTGCTATCCCTAATAGCAGGTGGTGTCGCGAGTAGATAGCACGTTCCTATGTTATTATAGAAGCAATTCAGAAGAAAGAAGTCCATTGCTCTAGATACGCACAGTCAATGTACCCAGCATGACTCTATGAACGCCATCCCAAACCGAGCACCAAACGGACCCAGTCCCCCCTAAAACTCCACCCAGAACACATACCCAAGCCCGCTCAGCTCATCTGCTCAAACCTTTCCTTGGCCTTATCCTTCGCCCGACTCACAAAATCCGCATACGACCCCCCCGTTGCCCGATTCGCCTCCTCAACCGCATCTCCCACCTTCCCGCCCTGCGCTCCCAACCCCACACCCTGCGCATAAAGGTGTGTCTCAATCGCCTCCGTCCTTCCCGTCCCCTGCGCCCCTAGCCCCTCCCCAGCTGTCCACCCCATCTTGCCCAACAGAGCTGCGCCCTTCGACTGCACTGGTTTCAACGGCTCCTCTGCTACGGGTGCAGTAGTGTCTTTTCCTTTCTTATGCTGTGATGAGGGCTGCTTGGGTTGGTTGAAGGCCTTCCGGCGTTCCTGAGCGCGGTCGCGGTAGGCGGCGTCATTGAGCTTGCCCAGTTTCGTCAGGGCTTTCTCGACCAAATCTTCTTTGAGCATGTTATCGCGATGCAGCTGGCTGAGGCGCTCGTGCTTGTTAACTTCGGCGTCCGTCTTGAATTGGCGCGAGCAGAGGAGGCAGCACTTCCGGATTGGGTCGGCGAAGGTTTGGGTGGGTGGTGCATCGGCATCGTTCTGCTGGGCTTCCTTGGCATTGCTATCCCCAGGGCCCTCGGCACTGTTTGCAGGTAGCCCATGTAATTCTGCGTGCTGGTTTGACCAAAATTTCAGATGGGGCGCGATGATTTTTTTGGTAGCCGCAGTGTCTTCTTTTTCTGCCTTCCGCTTTTTTGATGCTCCGGCCTTTGCCGCATCAACCAGGCCTTCGCCAGCTGCTGCTGCCGCCAGCTTCGCGTTGGGGTTCTCTTTCGCCCTGGCATCCGCCGAAGCTTCACGCGCCACAGCCATCTCGCTAGCAAACGCGCCCTCATCCCAGTACATGAGTTTCATCGCTGGGTTGGACAACGGACTGAAGGTGAACTTTTCAAACTCTTCACTTGGGGCCTGTAGCACTGGCACAAAAACACCAGCATGGATATATGAAGCGAGTACAGGCTTCGAGGAGATTGTGAACTTATCTGACGAATTATACTTCGCCATTGCGGCCTGCGCGTCGTCCACAGAGCCAAATTCAGCAAACCCGTATCGCCAGCTCTCGTTTGTCTTTCTGTCTCGCACAAGAAATACCCTCATTAAAGAGCCTTCCTTCGCCCCAAGGTTTGCATCAGTGGACGTGGACATCATCTTGGGTTTCTTGTTTGCTTGCGTTTCTGGCGGGGTAGTCGAACCCTTGACGCGGTACAGCTTCGCCACACCTTTGGCGAGCAACTCCTCAGAGACGCCTGGCTCAAGATTTCTGAAGAGTAGGAACTGGGAGGCTTTATTATCTGGGGACACATCGCTGTCTCCCGTGGTGGTGACACCTGAAAATGCAGATACGCTGGCCTGGGTGGCTACTCCAACTATACCAGTTGCGCTCGGTCCTGATACGGTCAGCTAGATCCAATATATAGATCATAGGTACTCACTCATACGAGGAGCATGGCATCTAAAACAAAGCGTTCTTTGCTGGTAATTCGCCAAGCCGCACTGGAAGGAGTCAGCATTTTGTTCCCGGTGAGGTGCCGGTTGGGCCTACAACTTCGCACATCCAGTCCCCCTCGCCCTTTCCAGGCCGATCTCTATCTTCCTTCTCTCGACTATAGGCCAATCCAGCTCCTGCATACCCTTCGCCCGTCTGAGGCATACCGTACGACCCTCGAAACTGTATCGAGGGGTAGTACATCTCGAGGAAAACCTTGGAATCTCTCAGCGTGGCGAATTTCGCAAACGCAAACTGCCTCGATTGACCTGTGCCACATTATCAGACAAACTTCCCCTCCCCAGAAATGCTGTTATACACGCACCAGTTCGTTTATCCCTAATCAGGCGCACCTGTTCCAGGCCATCCGCAGTAAAGCTCGTCTTCAATTCATGGGCAATCTGTAAAAATCCGCAAAAGGCCAAGAAGGCCATTCCCTATGCTTAGCCAGCGTCCCAGTCCAATCGCTCACGAACACTTAGGGTGATGATAATTGCCGGGCATGCATCATGCTGCCACACACGGCGTGAAACACGGAAGAATTGGGCCGGGGGGGGTGAGGGGTGCCAACGTCTTCCTGTGTCATCTCCACCGGCAGCCCATCCATGATGAGCGTCCGGCTCGGCGGCCCGCCATACGGCTCGCGGCTCCTGCTCCTGCTGTATTCGCGTCGCGGCGACCGGTAGCCCTCGCGATCGCGGTCGGTGTAGCGCACCCGGCCTTCTCGGCGGGGGGATCGCGGCGCATCTGAACGGCGCTCGTATGGGGCGTCGCCTGTTGGGCTGTGGCGCCTCGTTGTCGTCGGCCTTGCGTAATCTTTCAAAACTCCATTATCAGCAGTGCTTCGTGGTAGTAGTCCCGCAATAAACCATCGTTACCGTGCGGCGCTTCCGGGCTGTGGCTGTAGCTGTAGCCCTGTTGGCGGCCTGAGTCGGGGTGATCGTCGTACATGTCTGGCCTGTCGTAGGGGGCCCTGTGGCCGTGAGGGCGACTCATGTTGGTATATGGATAGCAAGCAATATATAAGATTGTCGTTGCAATAGAGATGTGAGTTAGTGGTGAGCGCGTTTGACTGGTTCCAGTCCGAAGTTTGTCCAGAGGTGACCGTCTGTGTTTGACAACCACGCAAACACCAACCAACGGCAATGCCCGTCGACCTGCCGGGAAGCAACAAAGCCGCCTTTACTTTCGTGATATCGCCGTTGACAAGCCACTTTCTATACTACCGGACCTGTCCTTCTCCCATCTTATCTTCTACATAATATCGCAAACATGCCGGTCCCCGCAGGAGCAAACATGGGCGGGCCGTCGACCTTTGACAAGCGTAGGTCTTAACAGCTCCCCCAGACCACCCAGATGCTAACGTTCAAACAGTGAAGATGGGCGCAATGATGGGCGGCAGTGCGTGTGCAACTCTCCATACCCCGTACGATGAACTAACAAGTGCCTAGCTGTGGGCGTCATCATCGGCTTCATCTTTGGTTTGCCTCTCCCCCCCGCGGGCATACAATTGCAAAATCTGACCAGCAACAGGAAGCGTCAACATTATGCGCTACGGCGCTGGACCCAACGGCGTGATGAGGTCTCTAGGGCAATACATGGCTGGATCCGGGGCAACATTTGGGTTCGTCTAGACATCATGCGCAAGTTGCGATTGTTTACTGATTCCCTCAATTAGGTTCTTCATGGGTATCGGTAGCACCATTCGCCAAGACACCTCTCCCATCATGGCCGAGGCATACCTCAATGCACGAAGGCGCGCAATGATCATGCCACGCGCGCGCCCAAACTCGAATTAAATGGAGAGGGGAACTATATACGGGGGAAGAGGAGGGAGGGGAGGCTGTAACGATTAGTGTACAAAGACTGTGATATTAGCCGGTGACTTCTCTCAAGACTCTGGGGATATCAAAAATATATCAAAAATCTGGGCCAACCATGGAAGAGAGGAGAAGGAGGGCATACAGCTCCAGAGCATGCTGCGATGGGTTGTTATAAAAAATCATAAATAAACTTCAAATACAGCACATGTTCATCTTCTTCATTGAGCTCCAGACAAAATTTGCTTGGCACATGAAAGCCAGCCAGCCTCCGCATAGAAGCTTGGGTATAAAGCTAACAACCTTCATGTCCAATACATACGCCGAACCACCACAGGCCTATTTCTGATGTACAACCGGTCCATGCCCTTTCTCGAGCGGCGGCCCAGGTCGCCTGGTATCTTCCTCTTCCGGAAGGGGGTCAGATTTTACGATTATCTGCTCCGGCGCAGCATCCTCTTCCACAGCATCCCCCGCCACCTTCTCCCCCCCAACTTCCTCCTCCACACCTTCATCCACCTTCTCCCCCCCAACCTTCCCCTCCACCCCCCCATCATCCACCCTCTCCCCCACCCCCCCATCCCTATTAGCCCTCCACACCCCCCCGCTTTCAAACCTCTCCATCTTCCACACCTCCACCTCCCCCTTACACCTCTCCAACGCCTCCTCCCCCCCCCTCCACGCCTCCCCCCTATGCTTCGTCGCCAACGCAACCAGAATACTCTCCTCCCCCACCCCCACCTCCCCCAACCTATGAACGATCGCCACCCCCGACGCCCCGTACTTCTCCTGTATGTCCGTGCAGATTCGCAGCATGGAGCGCAGCGCGAGAGGCGCGTAGGCGGAGTAGGATAAGCCCGTTACGGTTTCGGTGCCGAAGGTCGAGCGTGTTGTGCCGGAGAAGAGGACGTTGGCGCCGGAGTGGGGGGAGCGCACTAGGGAGAGGATGTGTGTGGCGGAGAGGGGGAGGGTGGTGAGGGTCGCGTGGCAGGTGGGGGTTGAGAGGGTGGTGGTGGAGGGGTTGGGGTGGGTGAGTGTTGGTTGGGGGGAGGTGGTGGTGGTGGTGGAGGGGTTGCTTGAGGTGGTCGTGGGTCGGTTTGAGGGCGAGGTGGTGGAGGGGCTGTCGATTGGGGCGTTAGAGGCCATAATGAGCGTTTTTTACGGTGATGAGGCGCAAGATTTGGTGGTGGATGAGGGGTTGTTGATGCGTCGAGGTGAGGTGGGGTTGTATGAACGGAGGCCGCCGACGTGTCTGGCGGCGACAATCTATTGATAAGGCGGCAAAGTTTTGGAGACCCCAATTGATATTATCGAGCCACAACAACGAACAGTCCGCCGTAAAGCCAACGAAAGGGGAAAAAAGATGAGGAGTAAGGTTATAAATATTGAAGTACGTACAATTGTCCCCGGAATTGGAAATCCGCTACCACCATCGTCATCCCGCGCGGGTTAAGTTTACGCCGCAGCCGATCTTCCTGACGCCGATAAATCGGGATGGCTCTACCAGAGAACCACGGCAGGAAATCTGACAAGTCTCACATACAATAAACAGATAATACCGGTGGTGGTGTATGCAATACATAGATCCAGCCTCCTCCCAGCCAGCCAAAAAAATACACTATATACAAGCCCCAAGCTCAGCTCAAGACTCCCCTAGTACCCTAGTAACCCCCCTTTATCCCACCCCTTTACTCCGTTAACCTCCTACTCCTCCCCCTCAACCCCCCCATCCCAATTTCCCTTACCTCCAACCCCAACCCCACCCCCCTTCTCCTAACATCCCTCTTCCCACCTCCCCCCACAACCCCCTCCCCAGCATCAACCTTCCACCCCAAAAAGTCCACACTAACACCACTCCCCACCGTCACATTCCCCGCGCTGGTATACACATTCCCCACCAAAAAACTCGTAATCTTCGTCTGCGCCACCGCCGCAGCATCGAGAGAGAGGGTTTGCAAGATATACAACACAGCGGTGCGCGAGAAATCGAGTGTAGATTCCGATACCGTGAAGTTCGCCGCCGCCGCTGCTTCTGCTGCGGATGCCGCTGAGGAAGAAGAAGAATCCGATGACGAGGAAGTGGGAGTAGAAGTAGGCGCAGAAGTAGAGGACTGTGATTCCGCAGGCATACTCGACGTTTCCGACGGCATAACCTCCTCCGTCCTCGGCGCCAACCGCGCATCAACTTCTTCCGCGCGCCGCCTCCTCGCACCCGATCCCTGGACAATACTCGTTGGCCCCGTCGTCGCCGCCGCGGAAGTCCTGGACGTCCCCGCACTCGGCGCAACGGCGGCGCTCTGGCTCACGGCGCCGGGGTTAAATGACACAATCGCGTTCTGGGCGTCACAGCTTAGATCCGCGTCGCTGAAGCGGGAGACGACTTTGGCGAAGTCGAGGGGGATGTTGTAATCCACTGCTGCGTTGGAGATGAGGGCGGGAATGGAGACGCCGATAGTGACGTCTGTGTATGTTTTTGCTTTTGTGGAGGTGGTGGCGGTGGATGTGAAGTTGACGGTGGTGCAACCGACGGCTGATTCGTCGTCGCAGTTTGTGCCGGTGAAATTGTTGACGCAGATACAACTACACACCCCCCCATTAATGATGCTCTGCCCGCCATTATTACACGTGCTATCCTTCTCGCAGATTTGCAGCGCCGAGAGGTTTTGATTCGCATCAGGTTTTTTATTCAACACCAGTAGTTCTAGCGGAACCACGATAGCGGCGGCGATCACAAGTAACAAAACGATGAGGAGGATTAGGAACCAACAGATCGGCATTCCGCAGCAGCGCCGTCCGTTGCGCGGACGTGCGTCGTTTTCGTCGTTGGGGGTGCGGAGGTCGGCGAGGGAGGACTCGTAGGCGGGCCAGCGGGTTCCGGACTTCGGTGTGTCTACCGGCGTAGCTAGACCCGGCGGAGGGAAGGCGGCGAGCATACCGGAGATTCCAGAAGGAGTATTGCGATGGCGACCTGTTGAGTTAGTTAGTGGCTGGACGGAAGTTGTGTAATAGGAGTAAAGGTAGTGGCATACCATTCCCAGCCTTCCCCTTCTCTCCCCCAGGGGGAGGGAAATCATTAAGATCGTTCAGCCGGCTCGCAGGTCGTTTGCCCTCATTCATCATGGATGCTAACCTCGTAGCTCGTCTAATCAAATCCGGTAAACTCGTCAGACTCCCCCTCGCCTCCGCGTCGCGCACCGCATCCATGTTCAGCCGCGGGGGCCGACGGATCGCGGAGTTGCGGCTATATTGGATCTCCTTCTCCCCGCCGCCCAAATCGAATGGACTTCCCGACGGACTTCGCGAATTCATCTTCGCTGCCGCGGGGACTGCTGCGATCGGCGCCAATTTCTCCATCTCGATCCCGGTAGGCGAGGATGTGAGCGTCGAGTCGGAATCAGATGATGATAACAAATCACCTAACTCCTTATTCCCCTCCGTCGGCGAATCAGGGCCAAAAGTAGGCCACGTCGTATCCCTCTGCATCGCCATTGGCACCAACATCCCCCCCTGCGCACCATTCGCCCGCTGTTGCGGCACCCCCTTCCTCCCCGTCCCCTCAATAACCCCCGCATTCTGCAGATTCCTCGTCTTCTCCAACACCCCTCCTCTCGACTGCGGAGGCGTCTTCTCCTGCTGGTTCTTCGTCACGATAATACTCGGCTTCGCCCTCTTCCCCACGCTCGCGCTGCGGACGATGCCCACGCTCGGTTCAGCGTCCTCAGTGTCCTCGCCCATCATCATCTCCTTATCGAAGAGCGCTTGCTGGTCCGTCTCGTAGCCGTACCTCATCTCGCCCCAGTTGGATGGGATGGCGGTGCTAGAGGCGTAGGAGCCGTGCGAGGTGGTGGCTTTGGGGCTTTCTTCCGGGATGGGGGAGACGAAGGATTGCATTGAGTAGTAGGAGGACGGCCCGCGGCGGGATGAAGGGGGTGGTCCGAGTCCGGTCGAGTTGCTGTGGTTTGCGCCGGTTACTGGGATGGGGAAGTCGGGGATTGTCCCAATTGTCCCAACGGATGAGTTCGTCGAGGCTCTTGATTGCATGGTCATGGGGGTGACAGGCGACAACATATCCGGTGATCGCATGTCATCTAAATGCTGTTGCGCCTCCCTCGACTGTGATCCGGATTGTGACGGTCCTGATTTCGGTTGATACGGAAACGACGGCGTATGATCCTGCACCTTCGAGGCATCAAGAATCGACGGTACAAAACTAGGACGAGGCGGCCTCTGAGGAGCCTTACCCCGCCCCGACGGAGGTTGGTATTGCTGTGCGTTATCATTTATCTCCGGCCTCCCCGTTTGCGACGAAAGAGGCCATTGCGGGGCAGGCGTAGGGCGCGATATCGCTGCTCCTATCCCCTGTCCTGTTCGTGACGCCGTAATAGCTTGTGGTAAAGGTTGCCTCGGGCGGTTCTCGCCGCGCGCCTGTTGTTGGCCTTGGCGCATCCGTGGTGGTGATTCTGAGGTCGCCTGTAGACGTTCCCTTTCCGCCTGTTCCCTCGCGCGCTTCACGGAGCCGCCATTGCGGCTTAATTCGGTGGGTTTTTGTATGGGCAAATCCATTGCAACCAATTCGGGTGTAATGGTTTATAGTAGAATATATGTAGAGCGCCTTTGCATCTTCGAAGTCGGAAATGGTGTGCGCGCAATTGTTAGAATCGGATAGGCGTATGTCCTCTGCCAGAAAGTATATAGAATGTGAAGAATGCCAGCATCCGCAAGGCCGCACTGCACTACTCTGCGACTCCGGGCGACTGGCGCAAAATCGGAAGAAGGAAGACCTGGTATATTTTCCGAAGTTCGAGTCGAAGAAGTGAATTTGTTGTGAAACGAGATTGGTGTTGGTTCAAATGAGGCAAACAAAGAAAAGTCGCCTTGGTGGGTATATCGTAGAATCGAATAATCGGAATGCAACACACACACAAAAAGAGTGAAAGGGCCAGCCAAGCAGCCGATGGAGGTGTCGAATTTAGTAGCGTATGCGTATGAGAAAAACTAGAGAGAATCCGATATTAGAACATCATCATCCCATACATTGGAAGCAAAGTTGGCAACAGTCGAACGAACGGATGGGAAACAGGTCAGGGTGGGATGGTGAAGCGTCGTATCGCAGCAGACATTCGACCGAAACAGGCAGAGTCCGAGGGCGATTGCGACGTCGTCGTCGACTTGGAACGCACAACCTCTCCCAATGCGGTATCACGGGGGGGTGTGAATGAAAAGAGCGGTCACATACAATTGGCGTTTCAGGACCTGCAACAACGGTTCATGCGCGATATGTCCGCGTGAGAGTAAAGGCAACCACAATCCGAAGCTCCGAGCGAGTTAATTGACGACAGGTTACTTTTTTTTGGTAGTTTCCAGTGTTTTTGTCGAGTGTATCCTGTTCACTCTTGTTTTGGTTTGGCGTCGAGCCTGTGGGTAGTCCTGTGACTGCTGGCGGTGATGATGAGAGGGGAAAACGAACGGCAAGGCAGCCAAATGGCCAAGGTGAGCAAAGAACAGAATCGCAAGATGCGAAGAGCAGCTCGATCAAAGCCAAGAGTCGATCAAGAGCCGGTGAAAGGGAAGGAAGGGAAGGAAAAGAGGAGGGAAAGTAGAAAGGCAGCGGAGTGAGTGAGTGAGGGTTTGCTGACAGGCTTGCTGTCTAACTGCAGTGCACGCACAGCTTTGTTGGAGTCGAGCGAGCCGCAATGAGGGACGGAGGCATACACTATGCGCGAAGGAAGGAAGGGAGAGGGGAGAGAAGTGAGCAAGGGAGATTCAGGTGCCTAGTCTCCACTGACAGAACACTGATATGAGCTGATACGAAAGTATCTCCTCCTCCAGCCAGAGTACAGCAGTATCCATCACCGTCCCGACCACCTTATGCTCCGTGCATCCTCCTTTCCCCCATAAACCCAGACTTACCCGACATTGGCAGGTGTGCTGTCGTGGTTAGGCATTGGAGGATTCCCAGCGAAATTGAGCCCACAGCACAGTCCTATCCAGCAGTAGCAGCTCTTCTCCTGCGGCCCACGACCAGACGAACAGCCCGACCCACGCTTGAACCCTGAGATACTGTACTGTACAGCGCGCTGTGATCCGTCGCGTCGTCGCTGATCCCTGACTCTCCTGCACCACCAGCACGCTACGCACGCTACGCCCCCACTGATCCCTGACCCACGTCACATCCGAGCCACGCTACACCCGTGTGGAGGCGTTCGAGTGGCCTGGGAGAGGACCCATTTGGCAGCGGCGGACGATTCAGAAGTTGCTGGCGGCGGTCCAGTGGGGGAGCTGGGAGTAAGCCTTGGAGGCTTGGAGGTGCCACTAGAAGAAGTTATCCTAGGATTCAGCGTTGTGCAGTGCGGGAGGCACGCGTGAGTGGACGTACGGAGTATAGTGCCTGCGGGTGGGATGTGAAGAAAGGCCGTGCAGGGGATTGGGAGTGGTGGTTAATCTGCGTTGGTAGTGGTACAGAGTGTGCACAAATAACAGGTAATCACAGCCAACAAACAATAATAATACGTACAAATATCACAGTAATACGCAACCAATGACAAATCCCCAAAAATACGAAAATCACTCTATTCTCGACAACAACAACTCCCAATAGTACAACAATTTTCTTCTATTTTTCCATTTTCCCCAATTATCCCAATTATCCCAATTATCCCAATTATCCCCCCTCTCTAACCCACCTCGCCTAAACACCACACAACCACTCACCCCTGGACGTATGGCCCGTGCCCCGTTGACCCCCAGCTGGCTTTGTTTCAGATTCCTGCACAGCACGACACCCGGCTTATGGGTCCGGTCCATCAGCTTCATTTATCCCTGCGAATTTTGCTCAACACCAGACACCGACATATTATACATATTATACCCTCAATTACGCTCATTACAGTGGTTATGCGAATAAAAGGATACGAGGATGCAGTTATACTACAGCTCAGTAATGATCTAAAGATACACACATATCAAAGCATTCCATTCCGATATCACCATCCTCCAACCCACTCAACGCAACCACATAACCACCAACACGGGATCACCATTTCATCTCCACCACACCTCCACCACCCTTCTAGCCCCATGCACAGAACCCCTACCCTCCCTCCACCACACGCGTTTGACGCTTACAACCTCAAGCCCAGACCCCTTCATCATCGCATCTCTTCCCCAAACCAGCAAAGCCCTCCTTGCCATCCCTCACTAACCCCCCGACGTCATCCCTATCGCTACTGCTGTAGATATGTAGCGGGAGGAGAGATTGCGACGGCGGCGACGATCACATTATTTTTGGACGCGGCAAGGGAGGGAGGGAGATGAGCGCGCGGTGGGGATTGCGATTCATGGATGTAGTCGAGATGAGGTGTGGTGATCGACGGGGAGCTGTTGGGATGGGTGAAGGTGCGTGGTTTATTGTGGTCGAGACCAGAGGATGCACGCTGGTGAGTGCTGATCAACGGGAGCTGTTGGGGAAGGTGCATGTCTTCATCGCGGCCGAAGCTGCAGATGAGCTGCGCTTCTAGCGTCGTGCATGCTGCTGATCAATAGGAGCTGCTCGTGGGACGGGCGAAGGTGCATAGCATTTGGATGTTTGTTTATTGTATTGTGGCCTAAGCTGAGGGGAGCTGCAGGTGAGCTGCGCTTCTAGCTTCTTGCATGCTGTTCTGGGGGTGGTGATCCCTCGTCCACTCGTCGTATGGACAACTGCCTGTGAGGTCTATCCCTTCCCTTCGGCATCCAGCCTGCCACTCGGGACGACAACAGCTCCCTCCCCTCGCCTTGAAGCACCATGGCACCGAACCGTCACCACGGCTTACCCCGTCCGTCCCGATTCCCATCTACATAGTCCTCACCGGCTCCTATCCTTCCCTCTTCACCCCTTCACCCCTCCACCTTCCCCGAAGCCACCTTCCGATACTTACTCCACGTCGACTTCTGCACCTCATTCTGCTCATTCACAATCGCCCACAACTCCTCATTCTCCTTCCTAAGCGCTTCATCCGTCTTCCCCCCCTTCACCGCTGCCGCCGCCGCAGGAGCCGCCGAGAACTCCAAAATCGCCCTCTCCAACTCCCCCTCATCAAACCCAACCTCCTTAACCTGCACCCCCTTCCTCCCCTCCCCCTTCCCTAACAACCCGCCCAAAAACTGCCCAACGAACACCCCATTTCCCTCTCCCAGCCGCGGCTTCGATACACCCACCGCCGCTACCCTCTCAGCACCCTTTAGAGGGTCAAGCATGACTAGATTCGTAACGGGGGCGTTCACATCCCCTAACTCCGCGACGAACTTCTTCGCCCCGCTCTCCCACTGCGTGATCTTGCCCGATGCGTGCCCGGATACGAGAGTTGTGCCGTCGTAGCTCACGCCTAGGCAATGCACCTCCCCCAGCTCTGTAGGTGCGCCGGTAAGGGGCGTAGGAGGGACTTGGATAGGCGTAGCCTGTTGCTCCGCGTCATGAAGTGCGTTCACCGCCGCCTTCGGCACGAACAAATCAACCGCCTGCACATCCCCATTCTCGAACCCTATGTAAACCGCACGATCGCACGGGTCGAGGGCGAGGCATGTTGGGGTTGCTGGGAGGAGGAATGTGCGTAGTAGTTCACCAGTCTGGTAGTTCCATACGATCGCCGTATTATCCTTACTCGCCGAGACACAGATATTCGTCCCGCTCCCCCCATGGCCGAGGACTACATCCGTGACTCCCGCGCGATGATTCGACAGCGCGCGCAGCGGCTCGTGGGGGCCACTCGTAGCTTGAGAAAGCAGCGCGGGTACAGACCACACATACAATTTCGAGTCCGCGGACCCAGAAACCAAGTGCGTCGCATCACCACTCAAACACGTAACAGGCTGTAAATGCGACGTCGGCGTCGACACCTGTCGTCCCGTCAACACCTCCCACAGAATAACTCTCCCCTCCGCCGTCCCCAGCGCGAGCAATCCATCATGCAGCAACGCGAGACTGTGTATCCGCTCCGGAAACGAGACGAGAGCTTCCTGGTTCGCGCGCTGGCGCGAGTAGATGTGCACGACGGCCTTGTCGGCTTGCGCGGCGAAGATGTGCGTGCTGCTCACGGCGAGGCAGTGGGGGGTGGTGGAGGATTTCTTGAAGGCGCTGTCGATGGTGTAGGTCGGGTGGAGGGTGTGCGTGTAGATCCCGATGTCTTTGGAGATGGCGGTGTTGGCGGATTTGGGGGCGGCGCGGATGGAGGTTATGAAGTTTTCGGAGAGGGACATGGTGATGGTTGGGGGGGGGTGAGTGAGGGTGGGCGTGGGCGCTTTGAGAGAGAGAAAATGGAAGAGACTGCGGAGTTCTCCCTGGGTAGGATATGCGCAAGTGTCGCAATGGGGGTAATTGAGTGCGCTGGCTTGGAAATATGGCGTGTATTTCTGTCGAGTACAATCCTTCTCGAATCAAAGAAGGTGGTGTGAAGTGAATGCCCCAATCAATTGGAGTTTCCGTACTGAGAAGTTTCTCGGTGCAAGGCTGATAACGATGGGATTTCCAAAATTTAGATAATATGTTTGCTTTGATGGCAAACTTCGGCGGTCGAAGGCGGTCAGCCACATTTAGCTCGCGCCACAAATAAATTCAGCCACACCCAACCACCACGAACCACCGACCAACCACCAACCACCAACCTCAGCCGAATCCGGTGATTTGTACTGCAACAAATGTCTCACCCTCCTCTCACAATGCATGGTACTGAAGAATGCACCATGTCCGGAAACAACAAGTTATGTAAACACCATCCCCCTTCCAACGCTTTCAACCTTTGTGCCACCGCTTTGAGAACCCCCCTCTCCCCCTACGCAGCCATAGCATTCTTTGTCCCAACATTCTAGCTTCAAGCAAGGGGTACATTAACCAGTCGATCCATCCTGTTCCGGGTTCACATCCCCAATAATACCGAATACAGTACTCTCGGTGGCGCCTCCTTGCTAAATTCTACATTACTCGGTGCAAGGAGAGAGAGAGAGGCGTTAGGAGATGGCTTCAACCATCTTCGCAGCGCCCTCCAAGGCCCATCCCGGATCCTTCGCATGACTGCACGCGGTTCTACAATCCAGTTCCTCCACAAGTATAAGTCCATTCAATATTAGGGATGCTACTGTCTCTCATGTCTCTCATGTCTCTCATATTGATTTTCCTTTTATTATTTCCCTTCCCTTGCGTCTCCAGAATATCAACTATCATATTCCCCTACCCCATGTTACAGCGTGAATTTCTTTTTTTAGAGGAGCAGCGAGCAACAGGATTCCACCAAATACCAACAACCTACCACACCTTTTTTTTTAACCTGAACGATGGGTTGCGAATCATCCACCCATCCTCGTCTTCGCGCCGTTTTACCAGCTTTGCAACGCAGGCCACATGTAACCCGCCGCTCGACGCAAGGTCAAGGTCAAGGTCAAGGTCAAGGTCGTTCCAGGGCAGCTGCAAGCTGGAGCTCGATGCCGGAATCTCGAGCTCAAGTTCAAGCTGTCAGCGACGAGTTTGTGAGTGGGATGCCGCGACCGAAGTGCTATTATGGCGATGAGATGCCTGGTCCTCTGCCTGTAGCAAGTGCGACTTTTGAAATCGTTTCGGCGATGCCGGAATGCATGAAGGAAACGAGTTTGGATCTCCCCGCCTGGGTGGAGAATACGAATCGCCATACACTGAAATCGGGAGGGGGGGTTGTGGATGAAGAGCTGGTGCCGTGGATGCAGATGCCCCAGCCAGAGCTGTTCAGCGGTATTAGCAAAGAGCAGTATAGGGAAACTCCTCTTTATTCTGAGGCTGGATCGCCAAATTTAGCGCGGGCATATGTCACAGACGAGGTGGCATGTCCGCAACCGAGACCGCCGATAGTTTCGTGGGCGTCATGGGAGACGTTTGGGTTGGGTGATAACTTTGCCGATTTTGAGGCTCTAATTTCGCCTAAGAGAGGTGCTTCGTCAAATTCTGGGGCTGGAGATGGTAGAAGCTACTATGGCGATGCGTCTAGAGAGGATGGAGTCTCGGTATCATCGCGGCGGAGTTCGGGTCTCTCCATCAAATGCCAAGGCCATAATATCCCAGAACTCGCACCATTGACATTTGGTCAATCAGTAACCCAGCAAGTTGAGGACAGCATGGTGCCAACCTCGATGGGTTCGGAGTTTATGGATTGGGCTGGGAATAGAGGAAGTGGTAGAAGTTCGCCGTGTTACTCCGAGGGTGTTTATGAGGTTAGTAAATTGCTCTCTTCTAATAAACTTATAATAACACATGCCAGGAATTCGCGACACCGCTAGCACCAGCGAGAGCACGTATTGTTCACATATCGAGAGACAGCTCCCAGTTTCGTACCAGGTCTACATCTCTATTCCAACGAGACTCCTCCGAACCTTCGCCGGCCAGAGTTTCTATGGATGAAGTGGCAACCCCAGCTCGCCATCCAGCCTCGCCAGATACGCCCGATTCCACGCCCAAATCCCGCTCAAGGCCATTCACTCCCTACCCCCACGCCATCATCTCCCTCGACACCCCGCCTCTAACACCAACCTACCCCCTCCCCCCCCCAACGCGCCTCCCCCCCCCCCCCCCCTTCGCTCCCACGCCCCCCCTCAACATCCACCCCCTTCCCGCCCTCCTCCGGCAACGAAAACACATCTCAGGGTCCACCACCACCGAACTCTCCTCCGAAATTCTAAACGATATCTACTCCGCCACGCGCCTCTCCTCTATCAAAAAACTTTCCCTCTCACACCCCTGCGTCACCACTATCCGCAACGCGCGGCGCCGCTGGCGCACTTACGATGGGCGGTACACCAATCCCTCCGCCGCCTCGCCAGGATATCTGGATTCCTTGTCCACTTCGCTGTCTTTATCAAGCGGCAATCAGAGTCCTGCTCCCCCTTCCTCCAGGCCAGCTTCGTTCCCACCTTCGGAGGTGGGGTCGAAGGATACGGAGAGTGAGGCTGTTTGGTCGCAGGGACTGGTTACGCGGACGGCGACGCCGGTTACGGATTTAGAGTCTGAGGCGGGGGATGCGGAGGGTGCAGAGGGGAGATTATTGCCCGAGGCGGATTTGGGGGCGTTGAGACGGATATTTCCTGAGAGTAATGCGAAGTGGTATGGGATATTGTATGCGCATATTGTGTGTTACAATCATGTGATGGATTTGGAGCAGGGGACTTCGTTTCAGCATTTGGAGGTGGACGAGGGGGATAGGAGGGGGAAAGAGGAGGAGGAGAGTGTGAGGTGTGGGTTGATTATGAGAAATTTGGAGTACTGTGTTAGTCGCATTATTTGCCGGATGAGGGGGAAGAATGGGAGGAAGGCGGATAAGGAGGCGGGTGGGGAGCTGAGGGAGTCGCACTTGGTGCTTACAGGCTCGTTGTCGACGTTGATAAGGTCGTGTGAGGGGTCGATAATGTAGAATTATCGGGGCTGTGTGGTGTGGTTTTTATAAATCTTTAGAATTATTTTAATTAGACTAGAATAGACTTTTATTCAATTGGAGTTGATTTTTAATTCTAAGATAATGGAGGAAAATATTATTCTGTCAAATAAATGTTTAGGCAATTATCGGATTGGGATCAACTGAGTAATAGCTCAATTTACAATGAAAAGCTTGGTATAAGAATATCCTTTAGAGCCGGGATATAGATTTTCATGTCTAGGAACCCTTGTGCAAAGTTTCTGTAATCGCCAGACTGGCGGGGTCGAGATCATAAATTGGTACAACTAATTATTTTTAGAACAGCAGATCTCTTTTTCGATGATTTACTTTAAAACCAACTTCATTACAAAACCACGACATATGATAACTGAAGGCCACAGCATTACGCGAAATGTTGACGATCGATAGCTTGTGAAAGTGGGCTCGGCGAGTTTCCGCACCAAAATGCGGGGTTACCCCAAAACCCGCAGCTCCATCTCCTACCTTTACCGTGTACTGCCGGCCTGCTTACGCCCATAATTAATAATCATATATAGAAGTGAGTCAATCGGCAAGTCTGCTATATAACTACACATAAATCATACAAGTTGTTCAAACAAATTACCTCTCCTTAAGCCTCCAGAACAGAACCCAAAGGAAACATCCAATCTTACCCCTCACCATGTCGACCACCGCCGTCACCGACACCTTCCAGGCCTACGTCTACTACCGCTCCTCCTGCTCTGGCCGCCTCCGCATCGCCCTAAACCTCAAATCCATAACCCCAACCTACAAATATGTCAACCTCATCGCCAAAGAGCAGCGCAGCGAGGAATACACCCTCATCAACCCCTCCCACACCGTCCCCACCCTGATCATCACCCCCTCCTCTGGCGGCCCCCCCACAAAAATAACCCAATCCATCCCCGCCCTCGAGTACCTGGAGGAAGCCTACCCCTCCCTCCGCCCCCTCCTCCCCAAAGACCTCGCCGGCCGCGCAACAGTCCGCACCCTAACCGCCATCATCGCCGCGGACCTGCAGCCCATCACCAATCTCTCGATTCTGAACCGCGTCGGGGATATCGGCGGGGACAAGGCGCTATGGGCGAAGGAGATTATGGCGCAGGGCTTGCTGGCGTATGAGGCGGTTGTGAAGAACACCGCGGGGACGTTCTCGGTGGGCGATGAGATCTCGATGGCGGATGTGTGTTTGGTGCCTGCGATGTGGGGGGCGGAGAGGTTTGGGGTCGATTTTGAGGAGATGCCGACGGTGATGAGGATTTATGAACGGTTGGCGGCGATGGAGGAGGTGAAGAGGGCGCATTGGTCGAGGCAGGAGGATACGCCTAAGGAGCTTAGGAGTGAGTGATTTTTGGGGATGTTAGTTGAGGAGAAGAGGGGGGGGAACAGGTCTGGTGAGTTTGGACGAGTGAGTTTGCGCGATATTGGATGAGAGGGGAGGCAAGCATCGTGAACCTCAAGGAAGGGTTTGGGTAGCATCGATGGGAGGCACAGCAGCAGGAAGAAGGAAGAATGAAGCCGGAAGCAGGAACAATGAGGCCGGAGAACGCTCCAGACTTAGCCAGCCTGCCAAAAAATTGATAGGTTCGACAATTTGGAGGCGGAGGCCGGAGATAATACTTTAATTATCAAGCAAGTGATCACAGCTGTCATGCACCGGAAAGAGAGTCTCACGCGCCAGCATGAAGCTCTCACGGACTCAATTTTTGCGTGAGCCGGAGAGATGATCGAGATGATCGGCGAATGACTCGCTCGATATGTCTCGCCTTAGAGCGTCATCTCCGCAGCCAAATACGACATTGTGTTCGCCTTAGAACAAGTTTATACGCCAGATGCGGAAGTGACTGCCGTGCTCCGGTCCCAAAATATAAGCCTGCCACGCCCATCTGCCGCCTGGGCCCAGGCTTCCCCCACGAGGTTTTACTATTCCGTCATCCGTAGAATAAAATACACATTTTAAACTTCTCATTCCAGAATGGGGAAACCTTTATACCATACCGGCGCCGAGACCAGCTATTGATGGAAAATACTGGCCGTCGGGGGATGTTGAAACAACCTTCATATAAATTCCTTGGCGGCCAAAATGGCACCCCCCGACCAGCTTCCCCACCGACCCTTATTCGTGGAATGTTAGCGCTCCGCCGGTTCAGTCGCCGTCCCTCGAGGGGGTAGAGACCTTCGAGAATACCTTGATTGAAACGGCTGTTGTGGATGGCTGCGTCCTGAAGAATATTGTTTCCTTGGCCGGCCGCGTATCCTTCTCGGGCTACTTGGAGGGCTCTGACACCGGCACAGATCGCCACTAGGATCTACCCCGCAACACCTTAATCTATCTGGCGAGCCCAGAGAGGAGCTGCCGGCGTTAACTCCCAATGTGTGCCTTCCTTGGCAGCTGGGCGTTTATGCTTCGACGACGCCATGCTCAGGAGACCCTGGGATGGGATGGACTTCCGTGGACCACATGGCGATCACTTCTCTTTCCTTAATTTCTTAATATCAGTGGGGAATTGTAGTTCCGGACTATGGAGGTTTCTATAATCATCCTCCGTGGCATCACAGGAGTATAAGTATGTGATGATCCCGCCTGGATTCTTGCTCTTCACTCCACTCAGCATCTCTCTATCTTCACACACATTCAACAGTTACCTATTCCAACTCATCATCAATATGAAGCTCTCCATTCTCTCTGTCGGCCTCCTGGCTGGAGCCGTTGCTGCTGTGCCAACCGCCACAACTGACAGCCCTATTGTCAAGCGCGCCACCCTCAATGATGTGAGCTTCCACATTTTGCTAGATGCCATGGCCATCACTAATCACTTCCCAGGTTGGAACCGGTTACGCCAGCCAGAACGGCGGAACCTCCGGAGGAGCCGGCGGAACCACCACCACTGTCTCCTCCTTCGCTCAGTTCACCGCCGCTGTTGCCGGCACCGCGAAGAAGGTCGTCGTTGTCTCTGGCCCCATCACCCAGACCGCCGACCAGATCAAGATTGGCAGCAACACCAGCATCATTGGCAAGAGCTCCAAGGCCGTCCTCACTGGCTTCGGACTGTAAGCTTGAACCCCCCTTCTTATCTCCATAAACCCCATACTAACGCATATCCTAGCCTCGTCAAGGAACAGTCCAACGTCATCATCCGCAACATTGCCATCTCCAAGGTTCTTGCTGGGAACGGAGATGCCATTGGTGTTCGTAAGTTCTCCCAACTCGCCATGCCCACCGAAATCCCCCCTCTAACAATCCACAGAAAAGGCCACCAACGTCTGGATCGACCACGTCGACCTCTCCTCTGACCGTGACCACGACAAGGACTACTACGATGGACTGATCGACTTCACCCACGCCGCTGACTTCGTCACCGTCTCCAACAGCTACATCCACGACCACTGGAAGGCGTCCCTCATCGGGCACTCCGACTCCAACAGCGCCGAGGACACCGGCCACCTCCGCGTGACCCAGAACAACAACCACTGGTCCAACATCAACTCCCGCACACCCAGCATCCGCTTCGGCACCGGCCACATCTTCAACTCCTACTTCTCCGCGTGCAGCGACGGAATCAACACCCGCGATGGTGCCCAGGTCCTCGTCGAGAGCAACGTCTTCTCCGGCAGCTCCAAGCCCCTTTACTCCACCGACGCTGGATACGCCGTCGCAAGCGACAACGACTTCGGAGGCGGCTCCAACACCGCCCTTGCCGGTACCCTCAAGTCCGTGCCTTACTCGTACACCAAGTTGGGCAGCTCCAACGTCAAGGCCGCTGTTGAGGGCAAGGTTGGCAACAACCTCAGCTTCTAAATGCGCTGTGAAACATAGGGGGGGAGAGGAGAATAGGGGGAGAAAGGGGGCAACTGAGTTGCTTGACCTAGTTAAGGGCATATTTCATGCTAGTTCCGTGTAGATACTTTTTCAAATTCATTGTGTATGCCTCACTTCTCGCTCCCCATGCTTTATTTACACTTTGTGTGGACCGCCAGCCAAAAAAAAAATATCATGTCCAAGAAATTCCTCCCCTCAGCCGCTTCGCTAAAAATCGCTCAGAAAGGCACCACCACTCAAACCAGATTCCCCCTCCCCTCTTGGTCCCTCTCGAGCGCCTCGAACAGACTCCTGAAGTTCCCTGCTCCGAACCCCTCGAAGTTGTTGCGCTGGATAATCTCAATAAACACCGTTGGGCGATCGAGCAAATGCTTCGTGAACAGCTGCAACAAGTATCCACCCTCGTCGAAATCAATCAATATCCCCAAGCGCTGCAGCGTCGCGAAGTCCTCCTCAAGGGTCATCCCCTGCTTCTTCAACTTCAACTTCATATCCACATAATAGCTATCCGGGATCGTAATGAACTCCACACCGCGCGCACGCAGCGCCGTAACGGCGGAAATGATATCCTTCGTCCGCAGCGCGATGTGCTGCACGCCCGCGCCGCCGTAGAAGTCGACGTACTCCTCGATCTGGGACTTCTTCTTGCCGACGGCGGGCTCGTTGATAGGCATCTTGATGCGCTCGTCGGGGGACGCCATGACGACGGATTTTAGGGCCGAGAACTCGGTGCAGATGTCTTTGTCGTCGACGGACCAGAAGCGGTGGAAGCCGAGGACGCGCTCGTAGCTGGGTGGGGTGTTAGTAGGTGGTTCGTTGGTGTGAAGAGGTGGGAAAGGGGAAAGGGGGAAAGACGTACTATTCGCAGATGTTGTCCATCTCGTCCCAATCTTGGTTGCCGACGCAGTGATCCATAGCCTCGAGGGTGATCTTGGGGAGATAGGTGTTCAGTGGGTCTTCGGCATCAGGTGCAGCCTTGAACCCTGGCAGGAAGACACCCTTGTACTCCTTCCTCGAGATGAGAGTATGTGTCGTCTCACCATACGTCTGAATCGTGGCAACTCTAACGCTACCAGACTCATCCGTTACCGTCTCCGGCGGCGAAACACTCTTCCCGCCGTTCTTCACAGCCTGGTTATATACCTCATCCACATCGTCAACCTCAAACGCAACATCCTTCACCGCATCACCGTGCTTCTCCATATGCGCTTGGATCTCCGCGAGCAGCTTCTTATCCTTCGGGTCCTCAGCCTGGCTAGCTGAGCGCAGAGGTGAGGTGAGCACGAAGGTCACGCTGCCGTTGCGGACGGCGTAGGAGGCGATGGCACGGGAGCCGGTGGACAGGTCGCGGAAGGCTACCTTGTGGAAGCCCATGCGGGCGATGTAGTAGGTCGCAGCCTGCTTTGCGTTGCCGACATACCAGTGAACATGGTCGTAGCCCCTGTAGTCTAATGTGGAAGCTTCTTGTGTGGATGAAGGAGCAAATGTGGCTGGAGATGTGGTTGGGGGGGACGAGCTGAGCTCAGCGTGAGGGGCCATTTTTTCAGGTCCTGTGAGGGGTGATGTGATGATGGTATCAAGAGAGGGTGAAGCTTCTTGATCTCCTTCAGGAGTATATATGAATATGAGAGATTGATATCAAAAGATACGGTATCGAATGAGAATGGTCTGAAATGAGACGTTTCACGGGTATCTATATCTAATATATAGAAAAACAAGCGTGAAATCATGAACAAGAGAGACATATATGTACCTACCGTATGATTTCTCCAGGTATAGCCCATGGCCGCCATGCCCTTAGCAACTCCCCTTTCCAACTCGCCGACCAAATGCGATGACGCTGAGGTAGGGGCGGAACGGTAGCAGGCGAAGAGGGTGGTCAGCCATAATGCCGCGAGGAACCGCCCTGAAGCGACGGATTTGGATGACTAAGCGACTGCGGAACAGCACCGCAGCACCATACGCCGGGGATGGGGGGAAGCGGCAAAGTACGGCGGCGGCTGGCGCTAGACGTTATTGAGTTAGTGCAGTACAAGCTTAAGTCTCGATGGCTTCATTTTGAGAGAGGGAAGGCGCGCCCCGACGGAAGCCGAAGTCACTCTTCAGCGGATTTCGCGGGGGAGGTACAATGGGTGAATATCCGATTGAATTGTATGGATGAATAAATAAACGGTAAGCGCAGGAAAGTAGCTAGCCAGACATCTTCTACGTCACGTTATTTTTATATTTTATTTGATAACTTAACTTCATCTCTATCCTCTGTCTCCTTATCATCCGTACTTCTCAAAGCTGTCGCGGATATTCACACAAGGATACACACGGATATTGGAGCTACAGCCTACTGTTAGATATATATACAGCAATTAGAGTTACACGCCACTATAAGAACGCACACGGCTATCAATCAGACAGGGAGCTATCAGAGATACACCAAGCTATCAGAAAAACACTCAGCTATCCTATCATCTCTTCAACACCATCCGTCCCAATGTCCATCCTCACCCCCCGCGACTCCGCCATCCTCTCCTCCCTCTTCACGGCCGAACCCCCCGCTCCCGCCTCGCTCCCCCCTCCCCCTCCACCCCCCGGACTCCCCAACTTCCCCTCCTCCCTCCTCCAAAGCATCCAAACCCTCGAATCCTCCGCCCTAAAACCTCTCAACACCGCCTCACCCCCTGCATCCACAATCACCACCGCCATCGAGGAGCTGACATCGCTTATCGAAGCACACCCTACATATCCCTCCGCCTATAACAATCGCGCCCAGGCGCTACGGTTATTACATGGCTCGGACCTTACAGTCGCTTCAGCGGGGGAGAGTGGTATAATGGCTGATCTCGCCCAAGCAATCCGACTATGCACGCCCACCACAACAGGGCTCCAAGCCGACATCCTCGCAAAAGCGTACACCCAGCGCGGCGCCGTTCTCCTCTTAACCTCCACCACAATGCGAACTCTCGAGTCCGGCAGAAGTAAAGATGGTGGAGCAGTGCAGGTGCAGGTGCTGGGAGGGAGGAACGCGGATGAGGTGGAGGAGATGGCAAGAGCGGATTTTAGGGAGGGGAAGAGGGCGGGGGGGGAGGTGGCGGGCGAGATGGATGTTAAGATGAATCCGGTGAGGAAGCTGTGTGGGGAGATTGTGAGGGAGGCGATGGTGAGGGATTTGAGGGAGAGTGGGGTGTTGCCGGCTGAGGATTGAGGGGGATAAGTTGGGAGTACTGGCGTTTGGATGGGAATTTTGCAAGCGCTTTATTGATGGGCGAATGATGGGATGAGAGATGGCGGGTGTAAGATGCAGTAGAGAATGATAATGAGAAATGTTAGACAATACTAAGCTATGATTATGATTTTTATGTCGTTAAGTCGTAGAGTTCGTTGAGTCGTATAAGCTTTCTTAGCTCAGTCCCACAGGTTTGTCTGTGCTTGCATAACAGCCATAAATGAGAACCAAAGCCACTCCCGTTCCGTCCCAAGTATCCCATGCCCCCCAACCTTTCCCCTAACTCAGCATCCAGCAAGAAGCAAGCAATCGAACAATCCCCATATACCTCTCCATTACCCACCATCATATCATGAACCACTGCCATTCTCTGCAGCCACACCATGCCTTCGGCTTTACGCAACGAGTCTGCAGTTAGTCACTATCGTCTTCATCATCCCCGGCGATAAATTCCCGCCCATATGTTGCCTCAGCCTTCCCTTCGTCCCCTTTATCATCCATCTCCCTCCTCAGCGACGTGATCTGCTGGCACAGCACGCGGAAGAAGACATTCCCCTTTAGCTCCTCTGGGATCTCATCTTCCGAAATCGGCTTGACAACCACCTTCTCCTTCTCCTTCTTCTCCACCGCCGGCGTCTCAATTTTCGCCTTATCAGCCCCGCCCTCCATAACCGCATCAGCCTTCTCAACAACAACCGTACTATCCGACGATGCACTCCCCCCCTCCTCCTCCACCTCCGCCTCCCCAGCCGCCTGCTCCACCTCCGTCTTCGTAGCCACCGCCACCAACGACGCCAAAAACAGCTCCTTCAAATACGCAAAGCTAAACCCCTCCGTAAACCCCGCCAACACTCCCGCCATCTGCGCCGTAACCTGTACCATCTCCTTCCCCTCCAACTTCTTCCCCCAGTACGCGCAGTACGCTTCTCGCTCTGCCAGCTCGGGGAGTCCGAAGTGGTACTTCCTATCGAAACGGCTGGGGCGCTTGGCGATGGCGGGGTCGAGCTTGTTGAGGTGGTTCGTGGAGCCGATCATGCAGATTCCGTCGTTGGATTCGAGGCCGTCTACCTCGTTGAGGAAGTAGGCGCGGATTTTATCCGTGACGAGCGAATCGAGGTCCTCGAAGATGAGGAGGCACGGTGCCAATGTGCGCGCGCGATTGAAGATCTCGCGGATACTGTGTTTCGGGCCATACGAGCAGTTATCGAGGTTCTTAACGTACAAGCTAGGGATCTTTCTCTCCCCAGTCTGCAGGGTATTGATGAGCGCCTTGATGCTCAGCGTCTTCCCATTTCCAGGGGTGCCGTGAAGGATGATCCCGCGCTTCCAGGGGATGTTGAGAGAGGTGTACATTTCCTCCGAGTCGAAGAAGGTGGTGATGTCGTTGATGATTCCGTCTTTGAGGGCAGGGGAGAGTATCACATCAGACCACTTTGTGCCCATCACGCTGAGGTAGAGGTTTCGGTCTTTGCGCCAGGTGGTGTTGTCGAAGACGTAGATCTCGCTGTGCACGTCTGCGCTCCATTTTCCCACCGCCATGAGCAGTTTGTCGATCCGTTCCTTTGCGGCTTCGGAGGCGGCGGTGATGGCCTCGGGGGTGGTTTCCGGGGTGGCACCTACTGGCCATTTGCGGCTGAGGAGGAAGACGACGATCTCTTTCGAGCCATATGAATTGGCGTCGTACTCTACGTGGTAATAGAGATACTCGTTCCCTTCCCATACATACTCCCAAAGCCCAACTCGGACTTTGTCCTTTAACTTGCCGTCGGCGTTTTTCTTTTTATTGCGCTGCGTTGGCGGCTTGTACTCCCGACTGATGTCATGGTTGTTGCCATGTATGGGCGTAGCTGTCGCCAGCCCGTAGTCGACAAAGCTTAGGAGGTGGCAGAAGGTGACTTTGGTGGCAACGACTTCGTACTCCGGGTAGTCCCTGCGGAGGGCTTTGTAGATGGTAAGCTCGGTCGATGGGCGTCTCTCGCTGAAATGGGAGTGGATGGCAAAGAAGGCGTGCTCATGAGCAGTTGGGGGAGCAGGGTAGTCAGTCATGGCGGTGGAATTGAGGGAAGATTGGATGATATGAACGATGAGGAGGGGGATGGAATTGTAGGAGAGAGGAGGGGTAATGAGAACTATGAGAGAAGGTCCCAGCCTTACTTATAGAGACCTGATGATGCTCATGGCCTGCGTAACCCTTCCAGGGAGATGTGAAATCCTTCACATGTATGCAGTGATATCAAAGCAGGCAACAGGCAGCAAGGCTGAAGATCGGAGAGTCTTCTTGGTTAGCTGGCTGGGTAGCTGCATATAGTGGTGCTACCCAAAAAGCCCGCTGATGGATTCAGACTCGTGGTGGACCGTGCACCGCCAGCTGAGAATAGATTCTCTGCCTAAAGTAAAGCAGTATGACAGCTTTCATAAGCTTGATTTTGAAGTTTCTAAATGAATAAAACAGCTTCAATATGACAATTATAACTCCAAGTGATAAGGAACCTTTACTTATTCTCAACATTGCAAACATATGAAGCTTTCGTAGCAGCTGCACGTTATTCCGAAGCTCAAGCTGGCTCTCATGCACGGTCCGCCCCAGAGTTGTCCAGCATTAGGATTCGGGAGCGTACTGCATACCCAGGCATCAACGGCCCTATCAGACCAGCGAAGCTCGTACATTCGTCGTGGCTGTCTGCACATCAGCCCCTTGCATTAGCCAATGGCGGTGAGCTCCTGTGCAGCACCTACAATAACCTGATCGTCGATGTCTGCCTGGCGTTTGAACCTCTAATATTCACCATACAGCCTCCTTTCGGAGCAGCCAAGTGAGATGACAGCGTTCTAGACCCGTGTAGGGGGTATGGTGGTAATCCTGTGAAACCTCATGTAAGGAGAGTTTTGAACCGGGATTTGGATCCTGATCTGCGAGAATCCCTTGGGTAAAGTTCCCGTGACCAGGTCCAAACGGACGGTACAGGGTTCTGTATCTAAGAATCCATTGAGAAAAGTCTCCATGACGTGACCGAAAACCCAAACGGACGTGTGACCGAGATCATAGTCCTTACAGCTTCAGAGGTGCCCGCATGTACAGGGCCCTATATCGCGGTTTTACCGTACACACAAGATCTACATCAAATCATCATCAGACTCTTCTCACAGAAAACTTCAGCCGTCTAGAATCCTTCAGCCACGCCTCATCCGAGTCCTCATTTCCAGCAAGTACTCTCGGCGGATCTTCCATCCACGCCTCAACCACGAACTTCACCCCCGTCTGTTCGCTCACCTCTCGCCACAATCCCGCCCACGACTCCTCGTCATGCCTATAAAGAATCTTCTTTCCATCCTCGCTCCGCAACGCCCCAGTATCCGAGCTGCTACCCACCTGCCACCCAACCAGTAGCGAGCCCTCCACCGGCCTCATCAGCTTGACAGTCCTCTTCGCGACCTCAATCTGCTGCTCATAGCTAAACAGATGGAAAAACAAGCCCGCATGCAGAACATCCACCTTCCCATCCAACTTCCCCAGTTCAGACGCAGGGTCAAACACATCCCCCGTCAAAAACTGGGCTTTGAAGCTGGCCTTGTCGCGAAACAGCGCGTAGCCCAGGTCCCAGAACTCGGAGCGCAGGTCCGTGCCGTAGAGGTTCTCGCTCGGGGCGCCGTCGGCGACGAGCTTTCTGATCTCGGTCCCGAGACAGCAGCCGAGGTCGAGGAAGGTCTGCTTGTCGTCTTTGAGGCGCGAGAGGATGGTAGGATAGAGGGGGGAGGTGCGTAGGTTCAGGCCGACGAAGGAGAAGATGCCTATGCATGGGTAGGGGAACTGGGAGGGTGGTTAGTGAGGTGTTCGTAGAGGGGAGAGAAGGAGGTGGTACGATTGCCCATGCTCGGTCTCGCTGGAGAGGTGTTAGTTTTTAGACGTCGGCTGTGGCTAGGAGGAGACGCACGATTTCTTCTACGTGAGGAACTACGCGGTCTGGCTCGATGCCGCTGTAATTCTCGAGTAGATCTCGAGCTTCCTTTGACAGGTTGTCTAAGGTCGGCTTATAGAATGGCGAGTCCTTTGACTGTGTGCTGAAGGCGACAGTTCGACAGAAGCTGTCTTTGCCTGTCATCTTCGAGGTTGCAGGCGGTATAAGTGTGTGAAAATCGAGGTATATCACAGGTCTCCGGCAAGTTACTCGACATGTGGTGCTCTCATAGCAATGTGCATGGCACTAATATACCCATATGATTGTCGACAATTGAGGGAATCGCAATAGTCCAGCTTACCGTAGTGCAACCCAAGTGAGGGGACAAGTCAATCGGGCGCCTGAGAGGCAGCCACGACATGCCCTCATTCTTTCAATAGGTTTGTGACGACCTCATTCACATGATATGACGCATGTAGAATGTAGAACCAAATTCTGTTTACTTTGGTATAAGACAGCCACCGCGCCCTCCCTTACCTCCGCTCCGCTCTCCCCCAACACCAAGCTTTCCCATGGTCCCACTCCGCTCTGCCAGCCAAGCCACCCGCCATAATCCGGGGAATCCCAAGCACCGAACGCCGACCTCTTCCTCCCCCGCCATCTTCCCCCTCCTCCCCACCGTAAAACAAAGACTAACCCCGTGATTCCGCTCGCCAAGTTCTCCAACTTACCCCATTCACAATGCCGACACAACCCGCGGTCTAAAACTGCCGCCTCGTAAATCGGACAAACCACTACAATCCACCCAATCACGGGAGTCCGGCGATGACGACGAGGAGGACTTGACGAGGGCTTGACGATAGCTTGACGAAGGCTCTACCATTGAACGGAACCTATGCGTTGGAGTGGGTGTCTCGGGGAGAGGGGTTGGGGGAGCGGGTTGTCGAATCACAGCTCTGAAGATGGTGATTAGTGAGCTCCCCAGATGCGGCATCTCTACCTTGGTATACCGCGGTGTACTTTGGGGTGAGATATGGATACACGGGTAGACATGGAGCGCGGCGGGGTCTAGGGTTGCAGACGGATATTCACAGTCTGTGTATATTGCATTATATATATATCCAAAGACACCTTTTCACCGTCTTTTACACCTTTATCAACTTCCACAGTGAAAAAGACAGCCATCAAGATGTTGGCTCAGCTACAGGATGTCGCGCCCACGAGGCTGGCCATGCTGGTCCTCGGTGGACTGGTGGCATCGCTTTTTATCTACGTAGGTCGCCCGGCTTCAGATCTCGAGATCACCGCGTTTCTCACGCTCTTCCCCGTTCTTGAGCTAACCAGATCTCACAAAGGCCCTCCTCGTCTCATTCTACCGCCTCACTCTCCACCCTCTGGCCTCCTACCCAGGCCCCTTCCTCGCAAAGATCACAGACTGGCACCAAGTATACCACGCCTACCATGGAAACCGCCATCTCTCTCTCTACCTCATGCACGAGAAATATGGTATTTCCTCTCTCCCCAGCCTGTCTAAACCCCTCCTCTAATAATCCCAGGTCCCCTCGTCCGCTACGGCCCCAACAGCCTCTCCACCAACACCGCAACTGCCCTCCACAGCATCTACGGCTTCCACTCCCCCGTCCAGAAGGGTAACTTCTACACCGCCTTCCCCGCCAACAAGCACGCCTACAACACGCACAGCAGCATCGACAAGACGCAGCACGCGCGCAAGCGCCGCGTTCTTTCTCACGCCTTCTCCGACGGCGCCGTGAAGGCCATGGAGCGCTACATTCTGCAAAACGTGCGGGCCTTCACTGAAGGTCTGGGCGCGAGCTCTGCCACTGTTGGCCCAGAGAGGAAGGGCTGGGGATTAGGCCAGAATATGGCAGATTGGTGCAACTATCTCACTTTTGATGTCATGGGAGATCTGTGCTTCGGAAAGGCGTTTGGCATGTTGGAGAAGGAGGATAACCGGTTCGCGATTGAACTTATTGGAAATGCCGCGCATCGCCATCTTATTGTTCGTCCCCCCTTCCCATTTTCTCACTCACAGCAACAAGTTAGAGAGCGCACAACTAACACCCTCCCCAGTGCGGCGCCATGCCCCTCCTCCACGAATACCACCTCGACCACGTCCTCTTCCCCCACCTCGCCGCCGGGCGCGCCCGCTACATGGCGTACAGCAAATCGCAATCCGTTGAGCGCATGAAGAACCCCGACGTCGACCGCAAAGACTTCTTCTACTACCTTCTCAAAGCCAAAGATCCCGAGACCGGCGCAGGCTTCGCCCTCCCCGAGCTCTGGGGCGAGTCCAACCTCCTCATCATCGCCGGCTCAGACACCACATCCACCGCTCTCTCAGCCGCTTTCTTCTACCTCGTCCACAACCCCTCTACCTTACAAATCGTCCAGGCTGAAGTCCGCAAGGCCTTCTCGGATGAAGAGGAGATCGTCGCTGGCGCTACCCTGAATTCTTGCATCTACCTCCGCGCCGTCCTCGACGAGTCCATGCGTCTCAGTCCCCCCGTCGGCGGTATCCTCCCCCGCGAAGTCCTCGGAAACGGAATCGACATCGACGGACACCACATCCCCGCCGGCGTCGACGTCGGAACCTCCCACTACGCCGTCCACCACAACCCCGCCTACTACCCCTCCCCCTTCAGCTTCAAGCCTGAGCGCTGGATCGCCTCTGGTGACGTGACAGCCGAGGACGTGGCGAAGGCGAAGAGCGCATTCTGTGCCTTTAGCGTCGGGCCGCGCGCGTGTATCGGCCGCGCGCTGGCGTACACGGAGTTGATGATTGCGTTGGGGAGGGTGGTGTGGGCTTTTGAGATGAGGGTTGCGGGTGGGCTGAGGGTGGGGGAGGGAGGCAGGGGGTTGGGAGAGGGGAGGGAGAGGCAGACGGAGTATCAGTTGAGGGATTCGTTTACGAGTTTGAAGGATGGGCCGATGGTGGAGTTTAGGCGGCGCTGAATGGGGGAGGGAGGGGCGTTCTGGGGGGTGGAAGTGATGAAAAGACGATTATGTTGATTTTTGCGCGCATGGTGTAGGAGATTCAGCTTAATGGATGTGATTGCCTTCCTACCCCTCGTCGCCGTGAATCCCTTTATTTGCCTTCCCATTCCCACAACCTCTCCCAAATTCCCTATATCACATCGTCTTCTCCTTCTAAACCTAATCCCCACCCCCATATTCTCTGCACCACTACACTCGAATACACCATCATATACCACCACCTACGCACAAACACAACACAAAATGTCCTTCCGCAACCCCTTCACCGGCGCCTACGCCCACGCTGCCACCCCCTCCCAAACAAAAACGCAAACACAAACCCGCCCTCCCCCAACCCAAACACAAACCCGTCCCCCCCCCACACAAACTCAATCCCGCCCTCCACCCCCACAAACACAATCCCGTCCTCCTCCCCCAACTTTCGCGCAGCCACAACCCCCGCCATGGCAGCAGAGTCGCGGGGGCCAGAACCAGGGGGGTTCTATCATGATTCCCGGTATGGGTGGCCAGAATCAAGGGGGGACTACTATGATGCCGGGGGGAGGATCGATTATGATGCAGCCGGGGATGGGAGGGATGGGGGGGCGTATTCCTTGTGGGTCTTGTCCACCTGGGATGATGGGGGGTATGGGAGGACAAATGGGCGGCATGGGAGGACATATGGGGGGTATGGGTGGACAAATGGGAGGGCAGATGGGAGGAGGCTGCTCCAACAAGGTCGTCTGCGGATGCGACTCCGACTCTGACGATGAGCAGTGGGGAGGCCAGTCCGGGCAGCAGGGTGGATGCGGGTGTGGACCTTGTGGACCGTGTGGACCCATGGGGATGGGTGGGATGGGGATGGGTGGGTGGAGGGGGTGTTAGGAGAGTAATTGGGGGTGCTGGGTTGGTGATGGTGGGTGCTGCGATGGGGGGGTGAGATATGTGTCTGGGATATGTGTTGATAGTAAACCTGCTGATGGTGGCGGGTTCTCCTGGCGGGTTCTAGGAGAGAAGGGAGAAGGGAGGTTTATTGCGAGATCTTATGGTATTTAGTAGTAATAGCTAAGTTATATATTATGGGATGATAAAGGATAGGTTTTGTGAATCTAGTGAATACGCTATAGTTACTGTGACTGAAAGCTTTGTGGGAGGGAACCTGAGAAGGGAAAGGGGGTTTTGGATTAAAACATGATGATAATAATAGCGTACGGCAAGTACAATCACACAAAACTATAAACTCAATACAGTCCAGCTCTTCCACACACAGGCTTGCAATTTAGTTGATTGCAAGGTAGATATTTCCAATTTCTAGTATAGTTTATATATCATTGGCCATGAACGAGAAACCACGAAACTCTTCTTGCATCCTGCTGGTAAGTGCTGTGACGTGTAAGCATCGTATAGAACCTGAGTGGGATTAATGTTACCTACCACTTTCCACTGGGGCGAGCTTCGGAGTCTGCATCGTGAACGCGGAATCAAAATTAGAAGTATCCATCTCACTTTCTACAGTAGGCATAAAGGGTGGAGTAACCCTCTTATTGTAAATACCTTCCCAATCTACCGGCTCGAACCAGACATGCGACATGACTTCCTGAGCATCAGTTGGGCCACTGCCCAATCTTCGTTCTGGATCCCTCGTCAATAACTTTTGCAGAACTGAGACTGCATCCCGTGACATGTGGATCGGATAATGAGGTTCACTTGTAAGGATCGCATCGTAGATTTTGTCTTCGTCGTCGCCAGAGAATGGCGACTGGGCTAACAACATTTGGTATAGTAAGATTCCCAGAGCCCACCAGTCGACAGAGCGGCCGTAGGCTTTATCAAGCAGCATCTAATGGCATGTTAATAAATATATAAACCGAATACCACTCCTAAGTCAGAGGAGAGTAGGAGTAGAGTTATAAGTTAACTTACTTCAGGGGCCATGAATTCAAGGCTGCCGCAAAACGATGTTGTTGTGGATCCGTACCATATATCATCTTTAGAACAACCAAAGCCCGCGAGCTTGATATGTCCATCCAATGCTAGTAGCACGTTATCAGCCTTTACATCTCGGTGAATAATCCCATTCCCATGAATATATTTTAAAGCTAGACACAATTCGGCAGCGTAGAACCTATTTTTACGTCAGTTATATTAGTCGAGAAAAGGAGAGGGCACTAACATTGCCTGCTGTGTACTAAACCGGCCGTTTTGGAGGTGGAATAGTAGGTCGCCACCAGCAAAATACTCCATAACAAAGTACAACCTTGTCTCTGTCTGGAATGTGGCAACTAGATGACATAGAAAGGGATGTTTGTACTCTGTCCCCAGCATGAGTAATATCCTCTTCTTTCTTCTCACAGACTCCTGTTCATTATTCCTACTGACAAATTCTTTCCTGAGGGTTTTGCAGGCGTACAGTTTTCTCGACTTCTTCATCTGGATCAGAGCAACTTTGCCAGAGCTTCCTTGACCCAGCATGGCCAGGAAGTGCATGTCATCCAAGATCATTTCTTCTGGGGTCGGCTTTCTTGCAGCTGCATTGTATGGATTGCCGCTAAGGCCAGCGGGTTCTTCGTCGGCCTCGTCTAGTACCGCGGGTAGACTCCCATTTAATGGCGCAGAAGGGTGTTCGGCATCAGGGCCGATATCTGGGTCTGAGACCCTAGGAAGAACTACCAAGGTGATTTCTCCCATTTGTTAAAAGCGGTTTGTCCTGGAATGACTACATATAACTGATGAAGTCCCCAGTCTTCTCAAAACGGGTAAACTAAGAATTCAGAGTATTCCCATACTTTCCTTTGATGTTGTGGACATATTTAATGGAGCAAGGCTTAGGCGATATGCAAGAACTGCGCCACTACTCGCTCGCTCAGCCTCTGTATGGTCGATTAGATCAAAAATCGTAACCGACAGAAATATGATATTCCCGGGCATTCCCTAATAATAGTCCCAACGCCCAGCCTTTAACAGCCAAAACCAACGCTAATGTCAGGCAACCAATGTAAAATATTGAAATTAATATACGTAGATGAACTGTGCCATTGTCAATAGACGCAACAGGATGAATATATATTCCCCACCCTCAACTTTATAGGATGGCTTTAAATAATGTATCACGTTGGAGCGGGCGAGCTTGACGACAGCATACAACTTTGCAAAGATGAGGCTCTCTAGCTTTCTTGTTGGCGTGTCTATTGTCAGCCTTGCAGCTGCGCTCACTCCTTACAGTATGTACTTCTTGTTTACTCTATTTCCCTGGTCAGCTACTAAGTCATGGGAAACAAGTTATGACTGTGGTTTTGCTAAAACCGTAATGTTCAATGGCACAGGCGTCGATATTTTTGTTCGCTGCGCAGAAACCACCTACCACTGCAATCGCACGCTACGCGGTGAAGAATTGTTCTTAATTAATAGCACAAACGAAGCCGTTCCCGCCGATTGTGAAAAAGAGACATACAGCCTACAGCCTTCCTGGTTCAGTGGACTGCTGGCGATGCCTGGCTTGACCGAACTTAGTGGAATCAGTATTATACCCTATTATAACCATGGTCCTCACAAAATTACCAGCATTGAGCTACCAGACCTTGTTAATATCACGGGGGGTATCTCCATCATCGATGCCGATTCGATCTCGAATTTCAGCGTACCGAAGCTCAAACATATCGATGGAATCCTGGAACTCAACTTCACGGGAGGGCCGGCCATAGATTTGTCTTTTCCGAGCCTGTTCCAGTCTCGATTTCCCCGTTCTAAACGAATCTAGTCATTACACTGGTACTAAAGGGTGAGTGCCATCTATACACCCTCGCTATCGAGCGGATGATACTAATCCGACATTTCAGTATGGGTCGCTCTGGCTACTCTGGCTATTCAAGCTATTCGATTAGTATCGACTCGAGTGGAAATCTCGATTGCAATGCTTTTGCAGCGAGCGTCGTAAACTCGACTGGCTACGAAAGAAACGGCGTATCGTGTACTTCAAAGAAGGGAAGCATTACCCTCACCCAGCCCAAGCCTGAGGTCACTAGTACTGCATTTAGGATTCACGGTGGGGGTTTCCTGGCTTTGATAGCTCTTCTAGCGTATATATTGGCGCTGTAAGAGGGATAGAGCCTCTACCTATTAGCACGATTGAGACTATTATCCAGAGGATACGCAAGCTTGTGTATGGCAGAGTCGACAGGATGCCCAATTCTCTTAAGTCTATGGTCGCATGTAGTAGTTATAGTGATACTCCACATTAAGTACTCCATTCTCATCGTATTTATCTAGTACGACGTCTAACTCTTCCCTTAAGACCCGAAATCATCACAGTTATTACTCTCACCAATCTCAATCCAGAATTCGTACTGGCTCTGCTTCGTTCCTCTCACTACCTCAACCCCATCATCTCTTTTTCTAATACACTTGTCATGAATGGCCTGAGCATTTTGTGCGATCTCGGCTTGCTTCATACAGAAATGCGGCGCGCCCCATCGCTGGAAATATAATCAGTATCATAGAATATAATGGAAGAAGAGCGCATACATAGGTCTGTAGCCAGATCCCAGCGTGAATGCCACCGGGCTGATGGCATTCGCCTGCACGCGTCCAACCCTGGTTTGGAGTACGCAAGTCATCCTGGGGCATTGCGATGTCTTGTCTGTCGAGATCGTAGTGAACGGGGAAGTTCTTTTTCTTGCTCCCATCGTTGAAGGCGCAGATGACTTTTTCGGGGTCTTCGTTCAGACTGTCGATGGCTAGTTGCATTGCTAATGCAGAGACTTCTTCTTGTTGGTCGCAGGCAATTTCTCCATCCTTCATACCAGCATGAACCTAGGAAAACATGTTTAGTATAATGGACTGTAAAGAAAGGATGTATTAAGCCATTTACCCCTAAGCTGGCTGTTAAAACCACGAGTAGAAAGCTTAGCTTTGGAAGCGACTTTGCAAAGAAGGAAAGGATAGCCATTATAGCTCTCAAGGCGTTTATCAAGATACGAGATATTTTCAGATGAAGAAGGTGCTTCCCAGAACTGTTATATCTTTGTAATGAGTTTGAGCTGTAGAACGGTTATGAGTGGACTGGTAGAAGTTGCTCGATTAAGAGGACTGGCAGCTTCTTTATTATGGCTTCAGCGCAGCTCCTTCGAATCTAGATTGACAGATAACTATTTTTAGGACATGTCTATGAAGTTATCAACCTAGTGACTGCGGGACTATCGGATAGACACAGCCCGTGGACCTATTCTCTATGTAGTGTGATATACTGACGATTTAATGCTGAAACAAAGCTAAGGAATCCTATATAATCCTCTTCCTTCTAAAGAAAGCCTAGTATAATATTAGGCGGAGAATTCAAGATCGATCTTTAAGCTCTTTCCGACTATTGTGTGGGGTTGGATTGTAACGAGCCCCTCATAGTATCGTTTAAACTGGGGAAGAGTTGCAACTCTCATATTGATCGGCGGGTATGCCGTCATGTAGACCCAGATTTAATGTGCATCGGCAGCTAATCGCGAACGAAGGAGCTGCCAATGCTTTATATGGAGAAGCTAACAAACCTGCCATCAATCAGCTGCCAGAGTTACATGAGCTGTAAATAACTTCAATCTCAACCGTCCTTAGCGTTGTTCATAGCCATGTGCCCATTTAAGCATCAATCCACAACATACATCCTTAGAGTGGTGCACATCATCGGCCATTATCGACGATACATTCCGAATTAAGTTTTGAGAGGATTCAACGCTAAATCCTTCATAGCAATGCCCTCTACGGTGATCAAGCACGCGACGATCATGTTACTGCAGGTGCTGCGGTGTTGGTTTACCATCGCTCTCTTCCGAGTCTAACTTTTTGAAAGGGTGACTATTATTAGGCTTAGGATGTTCTGATATAAAGAGAACCCTCGCGCCTTATCATATATTAAGTGGTCCAGATTCACATACGCCATCTCGCTGCCTCATATTGGTTCTCCCTTGGCTTTTTATCCTTATTTCAGCTTGATTATTCCTATTACACGACAGAAATGCTTTCTTCCATCTTTCTCGCCGGTCTCTTGACCGCGTCTACGTTTGCTTTTCCTTTCGAAATCCCCGCGGCTATTCAAGCACGAGGCGATCAAAAGTACTGTGATGCCGATGTCATGAATGCCGACCCGCCAAATGAGTACTGCTATCAGTTCTGCGATTTTAAGACGGTCAGGAGAGTTTCAGAAAAACGTAAGTCTTCCCCGACTACTACTTTTGTGCTGTCCAAAATCAGAAAGCTAGAGGCTGACATTATCTGCGTACCACAGCTGTCCAGGTATCTGAGAGGAGCCACTGCACCGGCGGTCCCGCAGGAGGATGCCCAATTGCCATCTTAGACCAGGCAACGATTGAAGTATCGTCCACCGAGACCCACGGAACTTCAGACACAACGACAGTAAATGCCGGGATTTCGTTTTTCGGTGCTAATCTTGGAGTCTCCTTCGCGCATTCGGTAGAATCATCGCATGCAAGCACGCACGGGACATCAACATCAACAGCTTCAACAAACACGCTATACATCCCCGAAGGCAAGGAAGGGCACGTGGTGTTCTTCGCCTACTACGAGGAGCATTGTGGCATTTCGGCTGCGATACGCAAGGCAAACCTACAGGACGACAAGGATTTCGACTGCAATCCTGATTACAACCTCCTAATTAGCCACGACGCCAATGTGGATAGCATAAAGGGGATGCAGTACAACTGGGACGGGATTCATCCGGGTGATATCTATAACTACGTAGACGTAAGTATTTTTTCTTTTCTTTTACGGCTACTTATTAGAACTTCTAAATTAACGCGTCGCAGGCTTGCATCCGACTTCCAATGACAACAGTTAACGGCCATGCCAAGGGCCAGTACCAAGTATGCGACAGTGACAACACGGATAACGCTTGCAAGGAGTGTCTGGGTTGCGATGCGGAAGAAGATGCTTAGTGGGTGATTGTAATTACATTGGCAGATAGAAAGGCAGGGCATAAGTTATATCTGGAGGATTGATGATAGAACGAATTAGAACAAACATGCCAACATAACACATTAGGCTTATTGTAGCTTGATCAGCTTCAATGAAAGCAGGCTTACATGTTTTTTGCCGTTTATTCCTATGATAGGTATAAGCGGCATGCCTCTGCCATCTTGTGACTGCATGTCGTCATGTTTGAAGTTAGTCGCGGGATGACGATGTCTAGGGCAATGTGATAATTTCAAGTTTTCTCGTCAACAAACCACACCAAAGGCGAGCCCCCAATCTACCAGTCCACAGCGAAGCAGATGTAGTCTTGGAATTTTAGTTTTAATTATGCCTACATTTATTGTTATCGGGCAATGTATACACGTTAAAAAACTGGGCATATTCCAACGCCAACACACAACACGCCCTGGGCGAACCTATTAAATCGCTGTTCTATCAACAGCATGCTTTTTCTCTCTCGCGTCTTCTGTTAACCCTCCCCCCGGGCTCCAGTTAATATTACATCTTGTCGTCGCCCTCTTCTTCCCCGTATTGTTTCTTGTCCCCGGCCGAGTCGCCCCGTCGAGTCGTCGAGTCGTCGACCCAATGCCCTATACCACCGACGCCTCCCTATGCCTCGGGAACAAGCCCCTCATCCCCTGCCCACCCTTCGTCGTCGTCGTCGTCGCCGTCGGCTCCGGCACCTCCTCACGAATAATGTTCGACCGCTGCGGCGCATTGGTCGTATACCCCGACTGGACGTTATCAGTCGCGAACCCCTGGTTTCCCGGTGGATATCCGACGTTGCCATTGTACGCCGTCTCCTTGGCGTAGCTGCCCGAGTCGCGCTTCTTGCGACCGATCAGGACCCCGCCGAGGAACAGGCAGGCGGAGAGGAAGAGCAGCACGAGGGAGGTCCAGGTGAAGGCGAATGCGTAGCGGCCGACGCTGGCGCTGCGGCCGTCGCTCTGGAACCGGTCGCGGGCTTTCACGAATACGGCGCTGGGAGGGAGGTTAGTTGTTGGAGGATGGAGGATTGGAGCGAGGGTAACTCACCTCATCAAGCAGGCGGCCAAGCATAGCCAGAAGGTCGCAGCGAGGGTGAGCAGACCGGTTGCGCCTGCGACCACGCGGATGCATGACAGGACACCGCTCAGGGCGGCAAAATTGGCAAAGATGAAAGCGATGAAGAAAAACACCCATCCGAAGCGCCACATGTAGTAGTAGTACTTGGACGTAGTATTATGGCCGTGGGATCTACGCCTCCATTAGCCCCGCACTTCCAACAATTTCATTCCACAAAAACTCACCCGACCAGCGCCGAAGGCGCACCCGTTGAGTTTCCTCTCCACGCATAACCCAGCGGCAAAGCCGGAACCGGGCTCCCGCAGTTATTATTATTGTCGCCGCAGACGTACCAGAACGTCCACTGGGAATTGGGTCGCGCGTCCCCAATGCCCGATGTGTCGGCGCGGAGGAACCAGATCTTGTTCAGTGGGGTGTGGTTCGTGACGCCCGATAGGACCACCAGCCACAGCATCACCAGGGCACCGGCGAGGAGGATCCATGATACGGCCCCGAGGAGGCCACCTGGGGTTTAGTTTAGCTAGGAGCTCTCCGAGACCCGGTGGGCTACATACGCTTTCCCGCGCCTGCCATTTTTGAGAATTAAGAGGGGTCTGTAATCGAGCGTTACGGGTTACGCTGGGCTTTGGAGATAAGTCAGTTTTCAACTTCGTCGGGACACCTCGCAGCCGACTTGCCTTCCAATTTTATTTGTTGAAGAGCCCGGGATGTGGTTACTGGACCGTGATCGTAAGGTGACAAATATTAAGATTCCGCAGCAAAATTTTAGAATCAATCAAGAGGAAGTAACAAGGTCAAAGGAAGGTAAACGAGGGTGTGCTGATACTTAAGCCTTAAATTATTCCCAACATCCAAGTTCTCGTAACAAACGTACGAACAACGTAAGTGCGGACCCTGATATCATCGAATGACGACAACCACTTCTCCCACCCAACTCACCCCCAATTCGCTGCACAACGAAGCCCGTTTGTGTCAAAACCCAGCGAGAAATCTTGCATCACTGCCCAAACTATAGCATCGAGCTATGAGATAATGGCGTGGTTCGGAAGTCATAAATGACGCCTACTCTGTGAGACTAGGTGAGACCATGTGAGACTACATTGGACGAAAGTGCCGCTAGAAGAGTAGAAGTTGGCTAGACGGCTGGCCGGAACTCACACATAAGACAGCCGCCATGCCCGAGGGGGTAAAGTTGCTGTCTCAGAAAAACTTTTAGAGAAAGCAGGGAATGGCCGAATTGGAGCGAGGCGGGATCTGGTAATATGGCGGTAATGGTTGACAGCATCACTGGCATCTTGTCATAGTTCGGACGGATGACTAAGCGGATCTGATTAGATCGTGATGGCATCTTGGAACTTTTCAAAACATAACATTGCGGTCGTGCGTGGGTAAGAAAGGGAAGGCAGGAATAAATAATTTGATTGCTTTCTCCGCCCCAAAATCACACATAACAATAACACATCTCAGTCCATATTCCCTTCTCCCTCCCACCCAGGCGGTACTTCAACTCCAGGGGCCAAAAATTCAACAAAATAAAACGGCAAAAACCGAAAAAGAAATAACAAAAATATACAACGGTGGGTATTCGCTGGTGGTCAACGCACCCAACTACTAATCCACCGATCTCAAGCAACCACTTACTTTTTACTTTAGTTAGTGACATCTAGCCTAGCAGGTGAGCCCCTTGCCTTAAGGGGGAAAGCGAATAGGGGACCATGGCACGATGCCACTATATAAGTGGATAGTTATTTCTTAGATAAGAGCTTCGTGCTCAACTCAATATAGTATTCCGTTATATACTGTAACGTGTTACTTGAAGCCTTTGTGTCTGATCCCCTGCCTCCTCTAATAGGTTAACCCTTACGCAAGAAACCTCTGTGACTATCATTGTTTGATAGCCAGCGTTACAAGATGGTAGAACTGCCTGGTGTTGAACAATGTCACGTGCATCATTGAGGTTATGCGTGTAATTCTGGCCCTATGATTAGGCAGAGTAAGGCAACAACACCTGTATCATGGCCCTGTACGGTAACGGTAACCGTACAGGATGCTGCGCCGCAAATATTAAAAACATACTATAAGACCACCGACGATACGCAATAGCCGTGAAACTTTGTTCCTCGCCTTTATTGTTTCCACGGGATAGGATCGTCACCATCGTCGTTATCGTCACCATCATCACATCTAAAATATAATGGGAATCCCACCTCAAATCCCTAAAGAGGTGCTCCGCGAAATCGTATCCTATCTAAACCGCAGCGATGATCTCACCCCCTGTCCCTTAAGTGGTGTTGCGCTCTCGGCGCTGTATGGACATGTAGATCTGCGGACGTTCCCGTGGCTGGATAGTGCGTACGTCTACGATATGGAAGATAGCGATAGCGATGCCGATGCCGATGCCGACGACGACGATGATGAAGAGGTTCTCCAGGATAAGTCAGCCGGGCAAGATGTGATAAGTTTGAAGAGGCAGAAGAATCTAATTTCTTCCCTGGCAACGTGAGAGCATGATTCCATTCGCTCCAATGCCAATGCCACACATCTCATCTACGTACCTCCTCCCTTTGCTAACCATACATTACCTTTGCAGAAATCCCAATCTAGGACAACTCGCCTCAGCCTTTTCGGATGGGACACAGTTGCACTATTTTTCAGATGCCGCCGCTCCCGATTCCCTCACGCTGGATACGATCATATCCGCAGCGTCAAGCATGACATCCCTCACCTCGGCGAAGTTGACCAGGAACGTGCTCTCGGCATGTATCATCTCGTCACTGCATAGCTACCCTCATCTCGGGCGTTTATATGTGCAGAATCTCAGTCCCTTTGAGGTTATTTGGGATTCGACAAAAGTGACATCCTTGAGGAGTCTGAAGTGGAGGATTCCAAACGTGCGTCGTGGGCCAAATGGGGATGAGGAGCTTCGCGGGATTATTCGCGGGATTATTGGATATATAGCCAACGTCGTGAGGCGTACCTGTCCCTTGTTAACGGAGTTGGATATCATCATTGAGGACTCGTTTAGTGATGTAGGCGGGGAGGGCTACAAATTACCTGATATCCCGCAACAAGCGATTGAGGGAGTTGAAGACAGGGTACGTTTTTACCAGGACACGACCCCCGACGACGACGACGACGACGACGACGAGAGCTTGACGCTGGGAAATCTACAGCACCTAGGTCTCCAATGGAAGCACTACAACATAGTAGACTCCCAGACATGGCAGCTGGTGGAACGACTCATCCGTCAAAACAGTTCGACACTAACCAGTTTAACCATCGAGTCTGATCTCTGCGATCCCATCCTCAATTCGTCCATCACCCTCAAAAACTTAACATCCTTGAGTATCGCTGGAACCGTACGGACCCCCATAATCGCCGAGGGCATAACATCGCGATTCGGCGCCCAACTCGAACGCTTCTCCCTCTCGGACACGGACACCCCATTCACCGCATCGCTAGGTCAAACCTTTGGATCATGGACCCGCCTCAAATACCTCTGCATCGGCGACGTCGAGATGGCAGGTGGACCCTATGGCAAGGATGGCCGACCTGATTTCGAAGCTTACGATCTCATGGAATTCATCACCCACCTTCCCCGCGGACTAGAAGAGCTCCACCTCAGAATTCACGGCGACAGGTTGTGGCTCGATGATCCCTCTGATTTCGAGCCGGTGCGTCGACTCGCGGGGCCGATTTTCACGAAGCTGAGATGCTTGCATACTTGTGATATACTCGCATACATAAGTAACATGGATGGTGGGTTGAGCATGGAACAGCCTGAGAATGCGGTGCATTACCGACGACTTCCTCTTCTCCGAGTCGGATGCGGAGATGCTGATGGTGGTGTTCCTGCTGCTAGTGAAGAAGGTCCGAATAAGGAGCGGCGAGGGTTAGATACGACGAGTAGGAGTAAAGATATCTGGACGTCAACGATGGATTCCGTATACCAAGACGAAAATAACCCTCTCATATCTCATTCATGTCAGACGATCGAGGTTGATGAAGATGGGGATAGGGATGCTGGCTTCGAGGGTCGTGATGCGGAAGGTGTCTGGATGGGCGGGGAGACGGTGTTCTGTGGTGGTGATAAGACGTGGCCTGGCCAGACGGGGTTTAGGCTTTGGAGGTATGAGGAGTATGTGAGGGCGGGGAGTGGGAAGGGGGTTTAAAAGAAGGTGGATGGATGGTGGTCGAGGGATGGCGGCAATAGATACCCCAATGAAAACAAACTGATTCACCCAAATTACGCAGGTCATAATTATAGTCCCCAACAACAAAAAACTTTACCACCATCACCATCACCAACATCACATCACACAACATCACATCTCACAATCTCACACTCTCACCCCCCCTAAAAACCCATCAAAACCACTCAGCACACATGCTTTTATTCACCCCCCTCACCCCCCCCCTCACAAAAATATTACACTATCAACTAAAATCCCACACAAACCCCCTCTCGATCGCTCGCTCCTTTTATACCCCCCCCTCCCCTTCTCTCTCGCAGACAAAGGCTTCTCAAAAACGAGGTTTAAAAAAAGAGATTCATCATGGCATCATCACCCCCCTTCCCTCCCTTCCCTTCCCCATCTCCCTCCCCCATCCATCCCTCTCAAAAAAAACTGTATCTTTCAAGGGAGAGGTAGAGAGAGGATAGAAAAGAAAAGAAACGGAACCCCCTCAATATAGTAAGTCGTCATAAAAGTCATCATCTCCTCCTTCTCCGCCTAAATCGCAAACGAAAAACAAACCACACTTCCCTCTCTCTCTCAGAAAAACAAATCGCAAAAACGACAAAAATCGACGGCGCGGATGGGATCTAGAAACACTCGCTCTCCCCACTCCACCTTTCCCTCAGCACAGGCGGCGCCGTGGTACCGTCAAATCCAAACGTATCTGCAAAAAAAAATCACCAACAATCAGCTTTCTCCTCAACAAACAACAACACCACTAACAACAGAAAAACACCCCTTTCCCGCCGCCCGCGCCCACCAGCACAGCCAACTACGAGGTCTACCAATACCGGTACTCCCCCCCCGGCCCCGGACTCGGCGAAGACTCACCACGCTTCCCCGCACCCCCCTCCCCTCCATTTCCTGCTCCACTCCCCCCCCCAGCCACTGCTCCAGCACCCCTTGGACTACCCATACTCCTCGGCCCAGTCGGTTTCCTCGTCGGCACCGCCGCAAGCCCACTCACACTCCTATGCACAGCCCTCGGACTCCCCTCGTAGGTCCTCGCGCTACTAGCTGCGCTGGCGCTGCGTCGTGTGTCATTATCCTCGTTGTTGGTGGCGGAGTAGTCGATACGCTGTTCTGTGGCGAGGGGGCTGGGTTTCGTCAATTTCCCTCCCCTCACCGCCGGCTTGGGTGGGTACTGCGCCGGCTCCAACGGTTCCTTCGGCGGTCTCGCAGGTCCCTCATCATAATGCCCCTGCCCCCCCTGACTATCCTCCGTCCCCGTGGTGCCGTTGCTGTAGCGATTCACGTTTGCGTTCTGTGGTAGCCTGTCAAGGCTAGTGGTACTCCCCCAGTCCACGCTGCGGGGACTCCCCATGCCCCTGAAATCCTGCGCCTCCCTCTCCAGTGTGCCCTGATAATGGTGGCCCGTGCGTGGCTGCGGGTGCTGGAGGTTCAGGGAGTTGCGGTGGGCTTTGTATTTTGGGTCTTCCGGGGGGAGGAGGGGGGGGAGGTTCGAGAGATCTTCTGGGTGATGCTGCTGCTGCTGCTGGGAGGAGGAGTTGCCAGTTTGTTGCACAAAACTATCAGCGCTCTGCTGCAGCGGTAGCGTAGCAGCCGAGAAACCACTGTGCAGTTTATCCCCCGCCCCGTAGACATCATGATCGTAATTCCCCAGATCACTCCCACTCCGTGACGGCGGATGACTATTCGAACCCGGCGAATTCGGGGCCGCGTCTTTTTTCCCGCCACTCCCCCTAAACCCCTTGGCGACAGTACTAGCAGTCGTCTCACTCCACCTCGAGATCTTAGGAATAGGATTCCACCCAAACGACGACGATGACTTATGCTTCTTACTCTTATCCGTGCGAGGCGTATTCTCATGACTCAAATTCGCCGCCTCCACGCGCTGGGGCGGGGTGCCCAGCGGTGCCGATCCAGCGCGCGGATTACGTTCGTCGAGCGGGGAAAGCGGTTCCGCGTCATCATACGCATTATCCAGGATAGCTTGCTCGCGATAATCGAGGACGACATTGTTATCATCCTCATCGTCGTCCTCGGGGACGGTACTAACCCTGTTCTCGCTGAGCTTCCTCCCCCCCCCGCCGAAGCCCTGCGACGCGCTCGTGCCGCGCGAGAGGGGGTTGGAGAAATGTCCGCTCTGGCTGGCATGGCTGGCTGTCGTGGTGCCCGCGTGGCCTTCAGGTTCGTATCCGCGATCCTGCTCTGCCGCGCCCTCCTGATGAACGTCATCATACTCGTCGTCCTCGAACCCCCCCTCGCGCGCTACACTCGACAATCCCTGCGCTACTTTCAACCCCTCCACATCTCCCAGTAGCTGAACAAGCATCCGCTCAATCTGCGCAAGATCATTAGTAGAGCGCATACTCAACCCCTTCAGAGCGCGCTTAAACACGTTCCGTCGCTTCGTAGGGAGGTCGTCGTCATCGCCTGTGCCGGAGCGGAGGGACTTGACGGATTGCGGGAGCGGGCGCGGGCCGTTAATAGCTTTCATGATTGATTTGTCGGTGTTGCGTTGGACTTCTGTGATGACTACGTCTTCGGTGTCGGCGAGGAGGCGTTTCATGTCCTCGAAGGAGTTGCGCATCTCGGCGGCGGCGCGGACGAGGGTTACCAGGATCTCGGTGTCGCGGGCGTTGCGCTGGGCGTCTCGGACGGTGAGCTGTAGTTGTCAGTAACCTGCACCAACCCCATATAAATCCGTTAGAAGAAGAAGGAAGGGAAAAACTCACATGATCCATCAGCGCCACAATATCCTTACTCTTAATAGCCTCCCTATGCCTCCCCATCGCCCCATCATAAAGCGGCGACTCCATCCCCTGCGACATCCCACTCAACTGCCTCTGATGCCTCTGCAGCTGCGGGGTATAAAACGGATCCCCCGCCCCCGTGTCAAACTCCCCCGGCCCCATCCCCTCCAAATCCGTAAACCCCACCACCCCCCTCTTCGGCTCCGGCGTCACCACCCCCGGCGACCGCGCATTGGGCGCAGAGGAGATATACCCCTCATCCTTCGGCACCGCGCCGGGGCTCCCATTATTATACCCCCCGGCCTCACCACCGAGATTTTGGCGCACGCCCTCATACCCGAGCTGACCCAGGAGATTCCGATCTTTCTCCCCCCCGAGCAGCGTGACGGGGCTGGAGCCCTCATACGGGTTCGTAATAAGTGTATCCCTCTTCCTCTCATCAGATGTACGGTGCCACTCCTCATCCAGACTCTGGTCCCTCGTATGTCCCTTCGCCACCAGGGGCGCAGAATCCATAAGTCCCATCTGCGCGGCGCGGAGTCCGGTATCGCTATCTGCCCCGCGCAGGAGTCCGCTCCCGCTCCCGCTCCCAGCGCTACCGCTACCGACAGCCTTCCGCGTCGGCGTGGGAGTCTTGTAGTACCAATCCCTATCACCCTGTTGGACCTCGCGGTCATCAGCGGGACTATACGGTTCGCTCGGTCCATTAATAACGCTCGGGTTCGTAGTAACACTCGCGTCCTCCGCGAACATGGGGTCGACTGGATCGCCCATCCCGGGAGCGGCATTAGCGCTCATCTTAGCCCTTGAACTCTCCTCGTCGGAGTCGAGATACATGTCCCCCCTCCTTGGCGAGGGGGGGATATAATCCCTCGCGCGGTCTTTGAAGGATTTCTGCAGCGGCGCGCCGGGGATCTGATCATGTCCCCCCCCTGGCTGCTGCTGGGCGTAGTGCTGTTCGGGGACTTCGTGGCGGTTAACCAGCATCGTAGCTGCGGTGCCGGCTGCTGCACCAATGATGCCAGCGATTACGGCGTCTTTCCCGCTATTGTGCTGCTTGTAATTCGGCATTGTGATCTTGCGACCTTGCTCGTCCAGTTCGTACTCGGGGTAGGTGTCCACGCCATGGCTGTCGATAGGGCCGAGGTCGCGAGTTAAAGGCGACGCGACAGGAGCGGGACTAATCCCCTTGGCTGTGAAGCGGCGCTCAGAACCCTCGTCATAGGACGCATAGCTAGCCTGGCGATTCACCCCCGCGCCAGCACCCTTCGCGTCGCCGAGGTGACTCTCATATCCACCCTCGAGCGCTGGGCTCGGCTCCCCTGTGAGTCCAGTCAGGACACTCGCGTCGAGCAGACTGGCGACGGCGCTTTCGACCGCTACAGGCGTGTGGACATAATCCGGGTTCGCGCCCGCCCAGTCGCCTCCCTCAAACGCCGCGCTGCGGTGACGCTGATACTCCGCTTCCGACGCAGCATCCGCATCCGCATCAGCGTCGTGATCAAGATCTCCCTCTTGAGTAAGCTCCGAGTCAGTGAGCCCACCCATCCGGACATCCCTGAAATCGAAACTGCGCGGGTCAACGCCCAGAACGCCATCAGAGCGGATAGACCCCGCCTTGTGCGCAGGACTCTGATCAAGCGAAGTCGAAGCCAGAGATCCGCGCGAGCGCGAACTCTGCGTCATCGTCGCTCTCGAATCGCGCTGTTTCTGGAGACGCTCCTGCTCATCAGCCTCCGTGTAGCCAGAGACGCTCTGGATAGGTGAGAGGCCGCGCTTTTCCTGGTTGTAAGGCACGTATTTGAGCGGCGAAGGGACGTGTTGCGTGTGTGCGTAGTATGCCGCATCCGCATCATCGTCTTCTTCGTCGAGGTAGCGCGCGTCGTCCTCGTGGTGCGGGTCGGGGTGTTGGTTATGATGCGCCATTGAGTTAGCTGCTAGAACACCCAAAGCTCCACCACCAACTGCCGCAGCGGCTGCTTTGCCATAACCGCCCTTGTTGGCGTCGTGGTACGCTTGCTGGTCATACGCGGAATCGTCCACAGATCGGTTGAGAGGGACTTTCCGTCCATACTCATCGAGATCATACTCGCCCTCACCCATCCGCAAGTCCATCCGACTCACATCCGGCGTCGAGCCATTATGATGCATCATCCCCAACCCGCGTTGCCCCTGCCCACCATACGGACTCCCAAACCCCCTCGCAACATCCTGCACCGGCGTCCCCTCCTTCTCCGCCGCCGCCGACCTCGGCCGCTCCGTCGACGCAGACAAGATAGACGAACGCGTGATATCCGACGCATTAACCTCACTCATCATCGGCATGGGCGGGACCTCCTCCTCCGCACGATCAAAGCTCTCCACATCATCCCCGCGACTCCGACTCCTCGCGCGCCGTCTCCGCCGTTCCGCACGCTCTTTGTCGTCATAATCTTTCTCGTCATGCCCGCCGCTGTGGTTCTTCAATCCTCCAGCAAGAGCACCGAGTCCAATCCCCGCCGCCAGCGCGCCAAACGCGGATTTCTTAGTATCCCCGCTCCGCTTCTGTCGCGACGCCGACTCATCACCCGTCATGCGGTCTGCACTACGCGGTGTCCGCGGCGTGTGAGGGCGCGGAGACTCAGAGCCACCACGCGAGCTGCGCCGGTCTTTGGAGGGGCGCACGGTGCCGGAGGAGACGTTGCGGTCGCGGTCGTCGCCGAGTTTAGATTTCAACGAGGCCTCACCGGCGCTAGTGCGTTTACTGCGCGTCTCACCATCACGAGACTCCTGTGAGAGCGCGCTGCTTGAAGTGAGGGAGCTGCGACGGTGGCGCGGCTCGCGCTGCTCGCGGTCATACTTGTCGCGGCTAGCGTTCTCCTTCTTGAGTGCGTTGAGCTCCGGCAGGATGAGGCGGCGGATAGCGTCCTCGACGGTCTCGAGGAGCTTCGGGTTGGTGATTGATGATTTCCCCGATGCGGCGGAGCGGTGGGACCGCTCTGATAGTTTAGACGAAGTGAGCAGACTCGATTCCCCACTTAGTAGGGAGTCATCGTGGTGTCCGCGGCTCGACCGCCTGCGCGGCGACCCTCCACTCACCTCGCTGTGCTTCTCGGCGCGTTTAGCGTTATCGCTGACACTGCGGTCACGGCTGTGCTTATGCCTATGCTCCGACTTAGCGCTCCGCACCTTCTCCGCCGCCTTCTGCGTAATGATGCGCTCACGGCTAAGGCTGCGACTACGGCGACGGGCCGGGGCTTTAAGTGCCTCACCCAGAGCAGCGGCGCCTAGTGCAGCGGCCGCTCCCGAGATTAGCGCTTCGTTCTTCGAGAAGCCCCTACTTCCCCTCTCGGAGCGGAGGCCGGAGTCTCCATCGAGGAAGCTGTTTGCTGGCATGGACGAGACGTCTGATCCGAGAACCTGCTCGCGGATCGGGGCGTCGGGGTCAGGGATCAGCGGACTGCGGTGGCGCCGAGGGCCAACTTCAATCTCGATCGGGTTGCGCGAGACGTTCGACTCCTCCGTCGCCGAGGCGTACGAGCTGAGACTCTGTCCATCGCCGTCGAGATCTATTAATCGCGCATTCTTCGTATTCCCGCCCGACGACGACAGGTGAATGCGCTTCGTATACGACGGTTTCCTCCCCCCGTCCTTCTCCTCCTTCCCCCCGGACCGGGACTTGGTAATCTGTATATGCCCGCTACCCCCCCCACTCCTCCCCTTACTCTTCCCACTACTCGGCGTGACCTTAACCCTCACGCTCGGCCGTCTCGATTCGACATGACTCTCCTTCCCCCCCTCAAAATACTCAATCAGCAGCGACGTCTGCGACGGATGCGACTCCCTCGACATGCGATCCGCGCCCTCCCTCCTGCGATTCGTCGGGATCGTCACGGGACTCCCATCCTCGGGGATCGAATACGACGTCTGGTCGCTCTGGTCGGTGACGCGGGAGAGCTCCGTGCCGTCTAGACCGGCTGCGTCGGCGCCTGCGCCGCCACCGCTGTGGTTCACCCCGACGCCGGAGTTGCTCGAGGTGTCGGTGGGCGCGGGCAGCGGCGGGCCGCGCGAGGTGTGCTGGGCCATTGGGCTTCAGAGGCGTGTGGGTGCGGGCTGCATGGGCAGGTGTGCAGGCGCGTGGGTGTTGGTGAGAGGGTTCTTGTGTTCAATGGCGGGTTGTGGTGGTTGTGGGTTGTGTATGTTTGTGTTTTCGTCTGGTAGAATGTCTGTATCGCTCAGGCTGGTATCCTACAACAATTCACATCTGTCAGCTCCTGTTCTCCTCCTCAGCCTCTCTCTCATCTCACTCCTCCTGTCCATCTGGGAGCATAAACAACAAGCAACTCACTCACCAGCTAGCAAACTCCCGTGGTCAAGACCAACCACCTCAGCAAGCAAAAAAAAGCAGCCGCTCCTTCACTCTTATCCACCGTCAATAAACCAGCCGTCGTAGATAGCAGTAACAACAACAAAAAAAGGTCAGAATCGCAAGGTGTTGTTTATGAAAAGACCCAAACAACTTGCTTATCCGTGTTTATGCCCTGCCTGCCTTGTCTCTCTCTCTCTCTCTCTGGATCGCTGGACTGGGCTTGCTGGGTAGTAGTTCACTCTGGAAATCGGGGCTGACCTTCCTTGAGCGAGTGAGCAGCAACAGCGACGGTGGTGGATCGGGTTTGGCGAGCTCTGCGTTGGCGTTTGGAGGGTTGTTGTGGTGCCAACGGGTGGCTGTGGACGAATCAGTTGGTGGGTACTTGGAGACTGTGCGTGGGGGATGTACCTGTGTGTGATGGTACAGGTGAGAGAGCAGGGGGGAGAGGGCCAATGAGTGGAGGTTGTGGGTATGTGTGTGAATGTGAATGGGATGTGAATTAGGGATTGAGGCTGAGTGAGTGAGTGAGGGAGAGAGAGTATATGTTTGTGCGAGAGAGTGAGGATATATGAGGGTATAAAGGATATCGATCGTGTCAGTTAGGGCATTCCTCTTAGGGCTGTTCTTCTCGCAGATAGAATCAGTAAATAGGAGAAACAGACAGACGGCAATGTGACTGAAATGACCGAAGCAGCTGGCTGCAATGTGATCAAGTGCACTGCTGTGGCTGGCTGTAGCAGGCACTGTTGTTGATCGTCTTGTTTACATTTCACTACTACAATACCACTACTACCACTTACCACTACTACCACTTACCACTACTACCACCACCCACCATTATCCGCATTCTCCGCTGGGGATACTCCACACCAGTACCTCTCCCCTCCACCACATCACCATACAATCCACAAGTATCATCCACCTCCATCCCCAATCCCCACCACCACCGCCACCAAAGCCCCAAGCGGCAACTACTGGCAACTACTTGATCCCCTAGAGTACAGTACCACAAACAGTGCCGCCGCCGCAGCATGCATAACTCGCACCACTTCTCACTCACCACTCACCACCCGGCTCAGCTTCCTGTCCAGTAATCCAGTAAATCCAGTCAATCCATACAACCCAAGCCCCTCGATCCGTCCCTCCCGACCTACCGACCGACGCCACCACCAAAGGGAGGAAGGGAGGGAGCGCGTGAAATCCCGAATGAATGAAGACAAATAGAGCCAAGGAAGTGATAGGTCGTGATACAACAGACGAGCATGGGAGAGTAGCAAACAGGATACCCAAACCTCCAACTATCCTCAGCACAGCAGCAGCAGGAAGCAGCAAACAGAAACCACCATACCCGAATCAACATCCACGCCCGCCTCTATCTCCGTCTGTATCGGCTCACCCATCCGCTGTTTGTAGTGCAGACGACAAACGCAACCCCCCTCCCTCCCTCCTCCGAGAGAGACACACATCATCATCGTGCATCCCCATCCTGCACCGCCTCCTATCCATCTGTCCACTCACTCCGACTCCTAACACTTCTAACACATCCCCCTCTCTCTCCGACAGTCAGTCTCACTGCGCTGCACAGCTGCTGCAGCGTAGCCTTGGTTTCCTCCCTCCTAGCAGTCTGTTTGCGTACTCCTCCGTGCCCCTGCGCCATACATACATGCGCGCGGGAGATTTTCTGCTTCTCATGTGTGGCGTGGCGCATGTGAGTTTGTGTGTGCCACGAGTGAGGGGGTTGTCACATTTCACTCCTCACCTCTTTTTGCCCCCTCCCTTCCCTTTCCCCCTTTGCCCCTTCACCCCTTTTCTCGTAACAGTACCAATATCTCCGTAGTAGCGAATCCGCCTTTCCCCCTTCCCTCCTTAGCCTCCCGTTCCTTCCCTCCCTTCCCGGTCCCGACAACTCCCTCCCGATCCTCCCGACACCCATACCAGAGATCCAACACACCGGTAACCACCCAAAGAATCGCAGCACATCCCATCCCATCACGGTACGCTAAAACGAGACCCCTAGGCGGGGATCGTGGGGCTTGGGACGGGTGCTAAGGGATGTGCTAACGAGCCCTAACGAGTCCTAGGGATGTGCTAATGATGTGCTAACCAGTGCTAAGAGATGTGCTAATAATGTGCTAGACGGGATTTGGTAGTGTGGTGCTGGGTAGTCTGCTTTTGTTGATGGTTGAGGGGTCAACGGCGGGGTGTTGGCTGGGTGATGGGGGACGGATTGGGACGGATTGGGATGGGTGTGGGGTGGGGACCACGACGGATGGGGAGGGGGATGGAGGAGTGATGGATTGGGTAATTAATGCGATTCTTTAGGTAGTTATGGATGTAGTATTGCAGATATTGGCGACTGGTTTGGTTTCTGCGAAGCTGGAATTGAGAGGGAGTAGAAAAAAAACAATTGTAGGTATTATTTTCGTCACATGAAATAATATTGTGAATTTAATTAATTTTTAAAGCTATGCCAAATTGAAAAATTCAATAGAGAAATAGACGCAACCAACCAACCAACGACTTGCTTTTACAGTTCAGCACAGCAGTAACAGAAGACAGCATCACATCTATAACACCAGACTGCAATATAATTTTCCGTTTAAGCAAAATAAAAAACAATACGTTTTGGTTGACATAGTGGTGATGTGTGCGTGTGTCTATCTATCATCGCTCCAAAAATAACAAAAGAAAATAAAAAAAGGGTCGGCTGAATATTTCGAAAAGTTAAAAGAAAAATTCAATCATAAACGCCCAGAATGTGTTGTTGTGCAGTCATCTTCATCTTCATCTCATATCTCGTCCCTCCATCATTTCCATATCCCATCCCTTCATCCCATCCATCTTCACCTCACAACCCCCCCCCGCTTCCCTTATCCCACGTTAATACCCACCCCCCCCATTAACCCCAAAAAACCTCCCCCCCCCACCACCACCCCTCTCCTCCTTCCTCGGCACCGGCGGCGCCGGCAACGGCCCCCCCGGCGGCGCATTCCTAATCGGCAACACATGACTGTTCCCCCCTCCAAACCCCCCCTGCTCAATCTCCGGACTCATCGCCTTCCTGCTCACAAACCCCTGTCCCTGCTGTCTCTGCTCCCCCTGAAACCCCTGCTGCTGCTGCTGCTGTCCCTGCATTGGCAGTCCCGGCGTTCTAGCGCTAGGAGTCGTGGACGAGGGAACAGGCGGTGGTGGTTTCGTCGGGGAGCGTATACCGTTGATGGTATTAACCACCATTTCCCTCGGACTAATAGCTGCCATCCTCGGATCAGTCGTGATTGGGATTTCACCACTAGTCGAGCCTGGCGTTGGGATGGACGACGAGGTGATGGAAGAGGAAGTTTGTGGAGGGGGTGTGGCGGACGGAGCGTCGGAGGAGCGCAGGAGTTCCTGTGTTGCGGGGGAGAGTTGGGGAGCGAGGTGGGAGCGACGGTTGTGTTTTTCCATTAAGGAGACGGCCCAGTCGCGGAGGTCGACTGGGGTGCGTTTTGCGGCTTGGACGAAGGGTTCGCGTTCCTATAGGGTGTTAGGTTGGCTCGGTTTGGGGGTCATGGCGGGGTGAGTTAAGGGTGGAATGGGAAGGGGAGGGGAGATGGGGGAGGAGGGGAATGGGGAGAGGGGAAGGGGAAAAGGGGGAAATAGAGAGGGACATACGTAGAGTTCCTGCGGCGTAGGACGCTCCTCAGGACGCTTCGACATGCATTTCTGAATCATATCCTCCAAAATCTGCGGGAACGCCTCGCTCTTCGGCAGCCTCGGCGCAGGCTCATGGACAATCTGCTGCAGCAGATCCAAAATCCCCGCCGGCGCAGAATCGCCATCCGAGAGGTGCTCACTAGCATCGAACGGAAACTTGCCAATAGCCAACTCCATAATCGACAGACCGAAACTCCACACATCAGACTTGACAGTGTACTTCTCGCCCTGGATGCGCTCGGGAGCCATGTATGTCGATGTCCCGACGAAGGTGTCGGCGACGGAGTTGACGAGCTCGCCGGAGACGCCGAAGTCGCAGAGCTTGATGAAGCCGCGGGAGTTGACGAGGATGTTGGAGGGCTTGATGTCGCGGTGCATGATGTGGTGCTTGATGTAGAGGTAGGTTAGGCCGCCGAGGGTGGCTTCGGCGATCTTGCCGAGGACGTCGACGCGGATGGGGCCGAAGTCGCGGGAGACGCGGTCGAGGGCGCTGGAGGGGGGTTAGTTGGGGTGGTTGAGAGAGGATGATGGGGGGGGGGAAGGGGGGAGAGGGGTGGACTCACCCAACGTCCATGTATTCCATGCACATGATGACATCGTTGCTCTCGCTCAGGAAGGCGCCGTAGAAGTTCACAATGTAGTCCGAGTTGCACTCGTGCATGATATGCAGCTCCCGCACGATCCGGCGACGGATCTCCTTCTTCGCCTCGACATGTATGACCTATTCACAAAAAAATCAGCACCTCCGCACACCCACACACACTCCATACCACCCAGGAATCCAGCACTCACCTTCCTCGCCATCACCGTCCCCGTAGCAATATGCCGGACCTTACTAACAGTCCCCCCATTCCCACTCCCCAGCTCCTTCAGCACCTCGAGATCCTCCCTCTTCAAATCAAGCTTATACTCGATCCCGATCTCGAGCTGCGCTGTGCGTCCGCTCGCCGCATCATCGAGAGCAGCGTGGTCGTCGTTCGAGGGCGCTGGGGCGCGGGGGGCGGGTGCGTTAAGTGCCAGGCCCTTTACGTTCTTGCGCTTCATCGTGCGCACGCCGAAGCCTTCGCCCGACATCGTTGCGGGTGGGGTGGGGTGTATGCGCCGATGCGGTGGTTTGTGTGTGTGTTTAGGAGCAGCAGTATTCTCTGCAACGGCCGTGGCCTTTGGTTTGCGTTTGGGTTTTGTAGATTATTTTTCTTCCTGGCGAGAGGGAGGGGTGAGGTTGGGTTGCGTGTGCGGGTCGGGCGGTGCGGGTTTGTTCGTCGTGAAGGTGCGGAGGTGCGAGGAGGTCGGTGTCTAGGCACGGAATGAATGCAGGAGGTAGGTTGCACAAAGGGGGAATGGACGGGTTCAGGAAGGGTGTCAGTGGCTGTTGCTGTTCCACTGGATCGATTTGCTGTGGTGTTGTCGCAGCCGCCAGTTGATTTTGGCGATTCGTGGTGGTGCTTGCTGGGTTGGGTCGCAGATTGGGCGGATGGCGCTTAAGAGATACAAGTGCTGCGAGAGATAGCGGAGTCGAAAGAGCTTGAAAGACTGGACGGAAGGGGGGAATCGTGGTATATCGTATATGCTATGCTGTAGAAGTCCAGGAGAGAGAGCCAAGCCGAGTAGAGCAGGATTCAAATAATTCAAATAGAGGGGTTCGAGGGGAATAGGGGCCCCGGTTTCTTGTTAGTTCTGTTAGGAAATATTGAATTATTGGAACTGTATGGGGGGGTTGGCATCACGGACGGACCCCGTTGGAAGACACTCGCTGTGTCATGTCCTTTGAGTAGCCATTCACCTTTGAGAGACCAGGATTGGCAGAATTCTTAAGTATATTAAATGTTTTATAGTTTGGTAGTATTGGTAGTTTCATAGATTCTCAAGATAATATAATATTCTCCTTCTTATTGTATTTCTAGTGAATTTACATTTACATTGTACGTATGGGTTTGGTACCTGTGACATGGCGGGGCAAGTTTGATCATGTTCAGGTCAATTCAGGTCTGGCACGAGTAAAGTCACGAATAAAGTTTGGATGGTACCTGGATGTACTTAATTGTGGTGTACATTAGTATGAATCATTATGTACTAGTATGTATACTCCGAGCTATTTTTACAGAGTCTCGAACAGTTTCCAGCACTACTTACTCCTAACTCTATCTAACAGCCTCAGGCACAAGTAATTTACTACTAACTGGGGCCTTAAACATAAGGTGCCAGTAACTGAAGCCTTAAACATAAGGTACTAATAACTGAAACCTTAAACATAAGGCATAAACTTAGCTTTGCCACCCCTACCCTTCAAGTGAATTCGTGACTTCTTTCGTGACAGGTCCCTCTGCCTACCCCTACTAACTTCAGAACGTCGCGACTTTTTGAGGGTGTTCAATGAACAAGTGAGCTTCTAATAACCCACCCCACGCTCAACCACTCTTTTCTCTTTCATTTCCATTTCCCCTTCTACACCTTCACTTCCTGTCGCGGGGGAAGATACAAGGTTACCCTACTTGCACCCGCCATCCAAACCCAACACCCGGCCACTCGCCCCATCCACAACAGCAGCCTCGTTGCCCAGCATGAGTATGCGCGACCTCATCTCGGGCGAGGCCGAGCTTGCCTCCGACGAGGAAGATGACCAGTCCTTCGACGAAGAGACTGGCGAGGGCCGCCCACGGAAGGAGGCTCGTCCTGACATGGACGACTCCAGTGAGGAGGAAGAGGACGACGATGACGCCGAGGCTGCACGCGCTGTATGTTCCGCCCAGAGCGCGTGGCGCAGTGGCAATGACAGAGACTAACCGCTCTTCCAGGTCCGCGAAGGTTTCATTATCGATGACGAGGAGGATGAGGAGCCCGAGGCGCGGGAACGGCGACGGGGAAAGCGCCGTCGTGCTGAGCGCGAGAAGGAGGAGGCCGCTCTGGACGAAGAGGATCTCGATCTGATTGGGGAGGCGAACCCAGAGTGGCAGGCCAAGACGACAACTGATGTACATATACCGACTCACTGCTACGATTACTGTGCTAATTACCCCTGTAGCATAAATACAAGCGTCTCAAGCGTGGTCATAGGGACGAAGACGAGCGCGATAGGGAGCGAGGGCTCGATGAAATCTTCTCCGAAGACGAAGCCGCCGATGTCGATGAAGCTCCCCGACACCCTCTCCGCGCGGACCACCGAAATGTCGACGAGTTTGCCGATTTCATTGAGGAGGACGAGCTCGAGGATGAAGACCAGAAGCTGCGATACCAGGAGGAGATGGAGGTTGCTAGGCCGCGCGACCGTGCATACGTCGGGGCGGGAACTGAGGCTTCGGGTCTCGACAAGGACACCCTGGAGGATATGGAGGCTGTCTTTGGCAATGGCGAGGATTACGATTGGGCCCTCGATATGGAACAGGAGGATGAGATCCGCGAGGTTGGCGACCAGCAGCTCGAGCTGAAGGACGTCTTCGAGCCATCTCAGCTCGCTGAGAGGCTCTTGACGGATGAAGACAACGAGATCCGCTGGGCCGATGAGCCGGAGCGCTTCCAGCTCGAGCGGAAGGCATATAGACATGTCCAGATCACCGACGAGCAGTTCAAGGAGGAGGCGAAGTGGATCACCAACCTCATCTGGCCAAAGAAGCGCCCGAATTTGCCGCCGGGAGGCGATCTCCAGGGTCCATTCCAGAAGGCTATTGGCAAGGTGCTGGAGTTCTTCGTTGTCGACGAGGTGGAAGTGCCATATGTGTTTCAACATCGCAAGGACTATTTGATTCACGCAAAAAGAACGAGACTTGCTCCCGATCCATCGAATCCTGACCAGCCAGAGTATGGCGTAACCGCTCAGAAGCTGCTCAACCAGGATGACCTCTGGAGAATCCTCGAGCTCGACCTGAAGTTCAGGGCTTTTGTCGACAAGCGCAATATCTTGGAGAAGGCATACGATAACCTTAAATCAGCATCCGATGTCAAGGACCTGATGTTCGAGGAGATGATACCCGTTGCGGCCACCATGGAAGAGCTGCAGGATCTCCAGGAATACCTTCATTTCACCTACTCTGGACAGCTCAAGGACCTTGCTGTCATTGATGGAAATGCAAAGGAACCCCAGCAGCGACGACCAGGCTCTAGGTCCTCAGTCTTTGAGCGCGTCCGCAACGGCCAGGCCTACAACCTCGTGCGCGCCTACGGTATTAGCGCCGAGGACATCGCGAAGAACGCTCTCCGCGAAGGTCGCAAACAGTACACCGAGGATCCCGCGGTTCGTCCCATTGAGCTGGCGGATACACTTACGAGCGACGATGAGTTCAGAACGGGGGAGCAGGTCCTGCTCGCTGCTCGCCAGATGTTCAGCGAGGAGATGGTTATGAACCCGAGGATGCGCAAGCACTTCCGCATGAGCTATTTCCAGATGGGCACAGTCAGCTGTCAGCGCACTGAGAAGGGATTACGGCGCATCGATGATCAGAACCAATATTACGAGCTCAAGTATCTCCGGAACATGACCATTCCTGATATTGCCAGGCAACCCGAGGTCTTCCTCAAGATGCTGAAGGCAGAAGAAGAGGGCCTTCTGGAGGTCAGGATTACTATGCAGCAGGAGCGCGATTTCAGGAGGCAGCTTCTCCAGGAGTTCACCTCCGACAATTACAGTGAGGTGGCCGATGCATGGAACGACGAGCGTCTGAAGGTCCTTGACCTTGCGTTCCGCCGTCTCGACAGGATCATGGTGAAGAGCGTCAAGGAAAACATGCGCAACGAGTGCGAGTCCGAAGTTCTCAAGGCGTGCCGCGACGAATACTCAAAGAAGTTGGACCAGGCGCCATACAAGCCTAAGGGAATGGTTCTTGGCACCACCCCTCGCGTTTTGGCGCTCTCCAGCGGAAGCGGCGATGCAGCGCGCGGCCCGGTTTACTGGGCCTGGGTCGAAGACGACGGACGTGTCTTGGAGAATGGGCAGTTTGAGAACCTGTCTCGCGATGACCGATCGCGCGACGCGTTTGCCGAGCTGGTGCAGCGCCGGAAGCCCGATGTTATCGGAGTAGGTGGCTTCTCGATCGAGACCAACAAGATGATTAAAGATATCAAGGACTTGGTCGCGGAGCGAGACCTCAGGGGGCCGGACTTTGATGTGCGCGATACTAATGAGACGCATAACGAGCAGCTCGAGGTGGTGGTTGTTAACGACGAAGTTGCACGTCTGTATCGTGATAGTCAGAGGGCTCTCGGCGACTACCCGGGGCTCTCGTCTGTCACTCGGTACTGTGTGGCCTTGGCGAAATACCTTCAAAACCCTATGAAGGAGTATGCGGCCCTCGGAAACGATATCGTATCGTTGATATTCCACCGATGCCAGCACCTGGTGCCGGAGGAGAAACTGCGCAAGCAGCTGGATACGGCCATGGTTGACATGGTGAACCTGTGCGGTATCGATATCAACGAAGCCGTCACTGACCCATACGTCGCCAACCTTCTGCCTTATGTTTGTGGACTCGGGCCCCGTAAGGCGACAAGTGTGATCAAGGCCATCAACATGAATGGTGGCATGGTCAATACCCGCGACGAGCTCGTCGGCGACCCAGACAGCCAGAAACTGCCCGTCGTTGGCCCTCGCGTATGGAACAACTGCGCCAGTTTCCTGAGCATCGAGTACGATCCTTCCATGTCTACATCCGATTACCTAGACAATACCCGTGTGCACCCCGAGGACTACGAGCTGGGCAGGAAGATGGCTGCCGACGCGCTCGAGCTCGACGAGGAAGATGTCAAGGCTGAAGTCGACGAGAACGGCCCCGGAGCCGTCGTGAGGAAGCTGATCAAGGACGATGAGCAGGACAAGGTCAACGATCTCATTCTTGAGGAGTATGCGGAGCAGCTGGAGCAGAATTATAACCAGAAGAAGCGCGCTACTCTCGAGACTATCCGCGCTGAGCTCATCCAGCCATACGAGGAGCTGCGCCGCAACTTCGCCATGTTGAGCGATGATGATGTTTTCACGATGCTCACTGGCGAGACTAATGATTCGCTTTGCGAGGGCATGGTTGTCTCGATCAATGTCCGCGTTGTTAACGACGAGTTCCTCATCGTCAAGCTCGACTCGGGCTTGGAAGGTCGCGTGGAGGCATATGAGGCCACGGACAACAATGATGTGCCGCTACCGAGACTCTTTTCTCAAGGACAAGCCGCCCAAGCTAAGCTGTTATCGGTGGACAGGCGCGAGTTCTCGGCTAAGCTATCGATGAGAGAGCAGGAAATCAAGAGACCATTCCGTCGTCGCTTGAACCACATGGATGACCAGTGGGACTCGAACCAGGAAGCGAGGGATAGGGAGGAGCTGAGGGAGAAGGACAAGGTTACTGGGCGTGCTCAGCGTGTCATCAAGCATCCTCTGTTCCGCCCATTCAATTCCACCCAGGCCGAGGAGTATCTCGGATCGCAGAGCTCTGGCGACGCTGTTATCAGGACGTCGTCCAAGGGTAATGATCACTTGACTGTTACGTGGAAGGTGGCAGATGGTGTGTACCAACACATTGACGTCCTCGAGCTGCTCAAGGAGAACGAGTTCACAGTCGGCAAGCAGCTTCGTATTGGCGGCAAGTACACCTACAGCGATCTGGACGAACTGATCGTGGATCACGTCAAAGCCATGGCTCGCAAGGTGGACGAGATGATGCAGCATGAGAAGTACCAAAAAGGCAGCAAGGCCGATACAGGTATGTTACCCTACCCCCCGCCCCAACTCTTAACCAACTTATCACTTATACTAACCCCCCACCCCCTAGAACGCTGGTTAACGACCTACACCGAGGCCAACCCCAAGCGCTCCGTCTACGCCTTCTGCATCGACCCCAAGCACCCGGGTTACTTCCACCTGTGCTTCAAGGGCGGACAGAACGCCAAGCTCAACGCCTGGCCTGTTAAGGTCATCCCGAACGCGTTTGAGCTGCTCAAGAACCCGTACCCGGATATGCGCGCGCTGTGCAATGGGTTTAAGCTCCGCTTTGCGAGTGAGGCGAATAAGAGCCGTGGATGAGGCGGTGGGGGGGTTGTTCGCTCCTGCGGTTGTTTCTCGTTTTTAGTTTTATTGTTGCTGCTGTCGTGGAATGGTGGCTGCGGCGGTTGGAACAGATTGGTGAAGGTGGTGGTGGTGGTGGGCGCATCGCGCGAGGAGTTCGGGGATATGTTGGGGAGGTGATTTTTATTTGGATCCATCTGAGGGAGGGAGAGGAGGGAGGGTCTAGCTGAACCATCCCGCATCTACGGCTGCGTTTTGCGCAATGTCGATCCTGTATTTTTGTATTATAACAACATGGTTTCTTTTACAGCGGGGGGCTAGTTTAAGGGTTGGTGGTGGCGGGGGGGGAGAAAAGCTAAAGAGGATAGTTTTAAGAAAATAGAAAGAATGTCCTGATGTTACTATAGTGTCGATACTGTGGTTAGTACAAATGCACATGGAGACTTTTGTGAATTGAGGCTAGATATGTCTTCGCCGTGGAACTCTTAGGCTCTTGGATCGGCCGGCATGGGTATATTCTATTTGCGGGTGCAGACGTCATTGTCGTGAATCAGCGGCTTGGTGTTGTGTAGTGTACCATAGGACAAAAATGCTGTAGGCCGTCTGGTACAGTAAGCTGGCCAAGACACAAATATTCTAAGCAGAAAGCAATGTTGAGTAAGACTATCTGTCTTGTCTGACTGCCGACGGTAATATAGATAATATAATATAAATGCAAGGAATGGAAGGAGCGCTCCTTTCTTCCTTCCCTTGCACATGTTAAGACTTCGCTGTTGGTCGTGACTTCCCCCCTCGTTACATATGTCACAAGTGAAATCTGTCCATGCGCCCTTCCTTCTTCCCCGCGACGCCGCCGGCAAACCGAAATCTGGACAGGGTATGTATAATTAGTGTACGAGCAGCACCTACTCGTATACTTTTGAACATCAAAACAAATCGATCGCCCCTCCTACAACTCAATCTTCACGGGCAAAGGCGCTTTACCAGCTAACAAAGTTGCTACAAGTGCTAGACCCGAATATTACAAAAATAAGCTGTCTGTAACCGACACATTCAGCTTTCCTCCTAGACACAGTCCATCTACATCTACCTACAAACCTAGCAAACCATAATACTCGCCCTCACTCACCCGTCCACCACCCGTCGTTCAAGGCACCAGCACGAATTGATGATTGACTCCTCCACCAACCGCCACCAACACCAGCTGTCCTCATCCGACCAGCTATGGCGGGCATGGAGCAGCTCGAGATACACAGCAAGGTACCGTCCCGCGCGCTCCCGGCGCCAGACACCCAGCTAACGCGCCGCCGCAGTCGTACATCGTCCGCTGGGTAAAAGTCGAGGAGGGGCACACCATATCATGGAGCGTCCAACCTCACAAGAAGTCCATGTAAGCCGCCTTCCCCCCCTCCCCCCCGGCCCCATCCGGTGTGTGCGCGCAGGTGCTAACCCGCAGCTACTAGAAACTTCGGCATCGTCAAGCACCCCGGCGCCGGCGCGACGAGCGCAGCTTCCACACTTCGACCTCCGAATGAGCGCCTTGAATCCGAGACCGCGCAGACGCAGGGGGAGGCAGGGGAGCGGCAGCGGAGGTCGAGCACCGTGAGGAATGATCTCTCGACTGCGGAGGTGCAGCTTAAGGCGAAGGGGTTTATACCGGTGGAGTGGTATGGGAAGTGCGATGCGGATAAGGTGACGATTGGGACGTATGCTGTTAACGCGGGCAATGGGGGAATGTTCGGACTGGTTTTCGATAATACGTTCTCGAAGGCTGTGTCGAAGACGGCGACGTTCGTGCTGTTGACGTATCCGAGCAATTTTCCGCCGAACTCGACACATCATAATTTGCAGGGCGGGCCGGGGGGGAAGGCCATGAGCACGGTGGCGCTGGCGCCGAAGAGCAGCAATGCGAATTTGTCGGCCGCGGCGAACGAGAGCGTCGATAGTCTGCACAGCCGGACGCACTCGGCGTCGAGTCGGGGGACATCGGTGGTGGGGAAGGGGATGGAGACTGCGCAGCCGTCGTTCCATGTGGGCATCCTGATGAAGCGGAGACGGAAGAGGGGGCAGGGATACGCGCGGCGCTTCTTCTCGCTGGACTTTGTGTCGTGCACGCTGTCGTACTACTATAACCGCAACTCGTCTGCGCTGCGGGGCGCGATCCCGCTGAGCTTGGCGGCGATTGCGGCGGATGAGAGGAGGAGGGAGATTAGCATTGATTCCGGCGCTGAGATCTGGCACTTGAAGGCGGGGAATGCGAAGGACTTTGCGGAGTGGACGAAGGCGCTTGAGTTGGCGAGTAATAAGGCGAGAGGGAATGTTCCGGATGAGGTGGTGAGCAAGACGGGGAAGCCGCTGGGGATGCATATGAGGTCGAATAGCGTGTTTAACCGGCCTGTGCGGCCGCCGTCGGAGGAGGACTTGGAGTGGGATCAAGTTGAGTCGCTGGTGAGTAGGATTGTGGGGACGAGGGATGCGGTTCGCAGGCTGGCGAATGATACGAAGTCATCTTATAAGCAATCGTGGGCTGGGCTCAGTCTCGGAGCAGGCAATCCTGCAGTGGTTCCAGAGGAGAATGGGGACTACTTCAACAATCCGGCTGAGAGGAGGCCCTTCTGGAAACGGAAGACGAGCAATCAGAGCACGTTGAAGAAGGGGGCTAAAGGGGCTTCCGGCTCGGCGAATACGAGTTCCAATATCACGCCTCAGTCGACGTCTAGTGCGCCGTCTCCTGCGCCGCCGGGTCAGGTTGCAAAGTCATCACGAAGGTCTCAGGCGACTAGCTCGGAGGAGGAGAGTAGCATCAATGATCATTGCGAGGCGCTGCTCAAGGACCTCGACCTTGTTCTATCAGACCTCAACCAGCTGATTACCCGCAGCAAGCAACGACGTTATCCCCCCGGACCCGCTCTGGCGGTGCCGCGTAGGAGCATGGATTCTACGTCTACTGGTGAATTCTACGACGCCGAGGCTGGCGATGGCAATGATTCTCAGATCATCGTGGTGGGTCGAAGCAGTGATGAGGACACGCCAGCATCTGATCGTGAGGATGAGTTCTTGAGCGGTGACGATGCATCATCAGCTGCTTCTGACCTAGATGAAACTCGCAAGCCCGCAGGCGCCGTGTCCTTCTTCCCGCCGAAGCCGAAAACTCTCGCGCCGCTGCCTGTGACGAGCAAGCCTAAGCGACGCACTACCCTCAAGCCTGCTACGATGTTACCGCCTTCTCTCATATCTTTCCTGCGCAAAAACGTGGGGAAAGACCTCTCTACAATATCCATGCCCGTCAGCTCCAACGAGCCGCTATCCGCTCTACAGCGCGTAGCCGAGGGCCTGGAGTACGCGCAGCTCCTCGACGCAGCAGCCAAGAGCCCGTCGCCTCAACACCGCCACCTCCTCATCGCCGCCTTCTCAATCTCCTACTTCTCATCGAGCCGCGCCCGCGAGCGCGCCATCCGCAAGCCCTTCAACCCCATGCTAGGCGAGACATTCGAGCTCGTCCGCTCCGACTCCGAGACGCCGGGTAATTTCCGCTTCCTGGCTGAGAAGGTGAGCCACCGCCCCGTCAAGATGGCGTGCCAGGCCGACAGCCCGCTGTGGTCGTTTGCGCACTCGTCGATGCCGATACAGAAGTTCTGGGGAAAGAGCGCGGAGCTCATCACTGAGGGGAAGGTGTACGTTGTCCTCCGCCTCGCGGATGGCGTGGATGAGTGCTACAGCTGGCCCATCGCGACGGTGTTCCTCCGCAACGTCGTGATGGGAGAGAAGTACTTCGAGCCCGTCGGCTCGGTGTCTGTGCTCAACGAGTCGAGCGGCGCTGTGGCGGTCGTAGAGTATAAGAGCAAAGGCATGTTCGGCGGGCGCTCTGAGGACGTCGAAGTCGGGCTCTGGGACGCGGCGGGGGGGAAGACCGCGCTTGGCCTCGAAGGTACATGGACGTCTAGCCTCAAGATGACGGAGAAGGGGAAGGTTAAGGGCGAGGTGTGGCACGTTGGCTCGCTGGTTAGTAGTGCCGAATCCCGCTACGGATTCACCACCTTCGCGGCGACGCTTAACGAGCTCACGGCTGTGGAAGAAGGGAAGATGGCCGTGACGGATAGTAGGCTGCGGCCTGATCAGCGGGCGGCGGAGGAGGGGGATCTGGATACGGCGGAGGAGCTTAAGAGGGGGCTTGAGGAGAGGCAGAGAGAGAGGAGGGCGGAGATGGAGGGGAGGGGGGAGGTGTGGGTGCCGAGGTGGTTTGAGAGGGTTGAGGGGGACGGGGAGGGGGAGGAGTGCTGGAGGTTGAAGACGGGGGGGAGGGGGTATTGGGAGGAGAGGGTTAAGGGGGGGTGGGAGGGGGTGGAGGATGTTTTTAAGTTGGATTAGGTGGGGAAGAAAAGGGGGCGGGGGGGTGGTGGTATTTGGGGGGTATTATGCGGGTTTTGGGGGTTGGTAAAATGGGAGGGAGGAGGCTTGAATTTGGAGAAATTCCCGAATTGAATGGAATGGAATGGATGGTTTAGAGTTAGTTACGGTAGTTTTACAAATGTGCCGCTCCGGAGGTTGTCTCCGTTACAGCACCACACTGAATTTGAACGGGTTCGGGATTGCCCGGTGAAAACAATGGGGATTGGTTGATTGTTTTAGTGGAGATTTCGAGAGTGTTTGAAGGATGCCGGAGTGGGGATTTTAGGCACGAGACAGGGGCCCTGTTGGGTGTGGGTTTGTTTTGTCAAATAGAGATAGAGATGTGCGTCCGCCCTGTTAGTGTCGTTGTGTGATAGATTGGAGGGAAGCGAGGAAATGGAAAATTGTAGTTGGAAGTAGAAAGATTAACCTTCTGCTCCCCTTCTGAGCCGTCTGTTCTGGACTCTCCTCTCTCCCTCCTAATGTATGTTTCGCAGCGGGCGGGCCGATACAAAGGCAAGCCACAAACAAGCCACAAGCCACACGGCAAACGGCGTAACACAACATCCCCATCTTACCTTCCCCTTCCTGAACCCTGCGTCCTTCCCCCCAAAACGACACACCGAGGCAGGCGGACCCCAGCCAAGCCGCCTAGCGTGACAGCGACAGTGGGCCTAGCGAGCGGCACAGCCACTGGTGATAGATTAACCCTCGCGAAAGATTAGCATGGGGCTGAGTTGCGCTGGGGGGAGGGTAGGAGGGGGTTAAACGAGATTTGATGCGCGCTGGTAATAGCTTTCCCAGCGCTCTCAACCGGGGTTATTGAGCCACAGGGAAAGGAGCGGAGGGATGTGATGGGGATCGTCGCCAGAGGGCTTGGCGGGGGTTTGGAATGGAGTGATGGATGACCCGAGGAGGGTGGTGGGGGTGTGGCTGGGGAAGGGAAGAGGAAGGGATGGGCATGCGACTGGGCTTTTTGGGGGGAGGAGGGTTCTTTTTCTCCTGGGTGATTGATTTGATTTGATTTGATCTGTTCTGACGACTTTGACGGTTTTTGTGCTTGTGGTTGTTCTGTTTGTTGTTTGATATACTGTGGAAGAAAGTGCAATTGCGCATCGCATCGCATCGCATCGCATCGGTGACCGATCTTGGCTTTGGTACTTCGACGAATCTACGATACTACAGCGCGCAAACTGCCTAAGAGGAGTTACAGTATCGTGTATTCCACACGTTTCGAGCTCGCACTTGTTGCCTGGAGTTGCCATCTACCAACCTACCTACCAACCTACCCACCTATCTACTACACACACCACCACGATGCCAGCGCGGTACGCAGCCGTCGACGCGGCCGACCTGCTCTTTGGGCGAGCGACGACGGTTAGGAATGGATATGCGGCGCGCGAGACTACAACGTGTCGGTTGGGCGAGCAGGATTGCGGACAGACGGTTAAGCCGTACCATGCGTGTTGTCCGGGGAATACGGAGTGTGTGTCTCCGAGGTACAATGCATATGTGAGTTTTGATATTTCTCGTTACATATGTGTCAGTTTGCTGGGGGGCTTGGGGGAAGCCACAGAGAGGGATTGAGGGAGGGAGGGAGGAGGGCGACGGCGATATTGCGGTTGTGGGTTTAGGGATCGGGATGGATTATAATGCGGATGCATGTGCTGACAGCTATTTTTTTGATAGTGTTGCGAGCCCGACAAAGACTGCAAAAAACAGCTCACCAATCTCCCGCAATGCGCAAACCCAGAACATGACATGTACGATTTCGGCGGCTTCTTCTGCTGCGAGCAAGGGCGGAAAGGATACGGAAACACGGGCACCGACGGCGACGGGTGCGCTGCCCCAGACTACGTACTCCAAGAAAAGGACGAGTGGTTAACCATCGCCGTCCCCGGAATAGGTAATTCCCCTCCCCTCTCACTACCTTCTCTTCCTTTCAACCCCAACTAACCCCACCAAACAGCCATCAAAACCGGCACCTCCAAGACCAGCACCGGCGCCCCCAGCGCAACAAACTCAGCCAACACAAAATCCTCCAGCACAACCCAAACCTCCGGTCACGCCTCCTCCACCGACGCCTCCTCCTCCACCACCTCCTCCCCCACCGCAAGCGACACCCCCAGCACCACCGCCCCCTCCGCCGATGCCCCCTCCTCCACCGACGCCGCCGCCGCCAAATCCTCCAACGCCGGACCCATCGCCGGCGGCGTCGTAGGCGGCATCGTAGCACTCGCCCTCATCGCATTCCTAGTCTGGTTCCTGCGCCGACGCAAGGCACGATCATACGCCACTGCGGCACCCGCGAGTCCATCGGGGCCGTACCAAGCTGTTGAGGGGCAGGGGCCGGAGAAGGGTGTGCCGCTTGCGGATATGGGGACGGGCGCGGCGGAGCAGAAGGGCGAGGGGGGGTTGAGCGAGTTACCGGGGAAGGAGAGGGGGGCGGAGGGGGCGGCGGAGATGTATTCACCTGGGACGCCTGGGACGCCGGGGCAGGCGGCGGCTGCGGAGTTGTATTCCCCTGTTGTGGCGACGACGGCGGAGTTGCATGGGGTGGAGAGGGGGCCGGGGGAGTTGCCGGCGTGGGATGGGAGGGAGGCGGGGGCGGGGCAGGTGAGAGCGGGGGATAGGGGGGGGCCGGTGGAGCTGCCGTGAGGTGGAGGACGAGGAGGGGAGGTTTGTTTTGGGGAGTAACTTTTGTTTTGTTGAAAATGGGGTGGGAAGGGGGGAAGGGGGCTTTTAATTTTGGTGTATATAGATTTGTTGTGGTTCTTAACGATTTGATTTTGGAAATGGGGGAGGGGTGAAAATCGATTATTTGGATGCTGGATTTTGGAGAGCGCCTAATAGATATATATGAAGTTAAATAAGAATATTCATACATACTTTGACAAGCTCCCAAATACTTATGGATGAACGCTTTGTGTACTTCGATATTTGTATAGTTACGTTGCACCAGTGCCCTCACAGTAGTTGGTGTAGATAGAGATAAATCCACATGATTTAATTTATAGATACAGTGCCGTACTCAATGGCTATGACCTAATATATGCACGTATATCCGTTTTATAGTATCCCACCAAAATATGCTAAACCAAATGCCGCTCCAAAATGATAGATAATTCCCATATGAGGTATAAGCCCTCATACAATATCCTCCTCACCAGCCACAGCGTGTCATTGCTCTCTACCATCGCGTTTGAGAGCGTCGTGATCGCAAGTGCAGCGGCTTCACCAACTGCGCTCGGAGAGGGGAGATGGGCAATCAGACCCTATAGTTCACTAATGGGGTGGATATCCATCCCCGCGACTACCTCAGCTTAACATACCCCTACATACATCCTATTTCAAATCCCCATCCCCCATCCCCATCACCCCTAGCAGCGGTATATACAACCCCCTAAGCAAAGAACCACCACATACGACCATAGACTCAAGAGACCTGGGCATCCCGTCCGCTCTGCCATACATAACCTTGAGATCGGTGGATTAGTAGTTGGGTGGGTGACCACCAGCGAATACCTACTGTTGTATGTATGTTTGTTTGCTTTCCTCTCTCTTTTTTTTAGGACTTTTTTTTGGAAGGGGAAGACTGTACGTCTCTCCCTCGCTCTCCTTTTTTAGGGGGGGTCGTCGTCAGAGGGGGGAAGGGTTGGGGAGATTGTGGGACTGGGGATGCACTGTGATGCATCACGATGCACACACCGAGAACCGCAAGGCTGATTCGTGGTGGATTAGAAGATATTTAATGTGGTGGGGGACGGACGACAGCTTAAAAACCCAAAAAAAGGCCAATAAAAAAGGTAAAAAAAAAGGGAAGGGAGACATACAACAGTGGGTATTCGCTGGTGGTCACCCACCCAACTACTAATCCACCGATCTCAAGGTTATGTATGGCAGAGCGGACGGGATGCCCAGTTCTCTCGAGTCTATGGTCGTATGTATCAGTTTGTGGGTTGGCGGGGTATATATGGTGGTGCTGGGTGGTAGTTTGGTATGATAATTCTAAGAAAGGGAGTTAGTTAGGGTGGCTGTGGCGAGGTGCTTGCGGTATTTCCCATAGTCGGTGTCGTTAGGGATGGTATAAATGGCATGTGGTCCAATCTAGATATAGGGAACCCTCTATATAAAGACGCATGCATAATCTAGTCCTCTTAGCCTTCTGTATAGTAGTAAGATAGGGCCTCGTTATAGGCCATAGGGATGCCCTTCTAGAAAGATCGGCGATGTCCGGCAAGGGGATCTGGGGTCGAAGGGTATGCTCATGCCAGGTTTGACTGCAGTTCAAACCACTAGATACATGGGGATTCACATAGGGTTCAGACCGGGGCCTTGAAATACCTTCCTCCTAATGGCGCACTCTTGTATTAGGCACGACCTTTCATTTACCTTCAACCAACATGTAGCAACATAGTAAAGGGCACTGTCTATGCTACGCCATTGAACATTCAAAATATATCGCTATAGAGCTCTAACTGTCAACAGTGGCGATAAGAGTACTCCAGAATGATACACACTTTTCAGCCCATACCCAACAAGCAAGGCCAAGTTAAGCCTCCCGGCAAAGAAGAAAAAAAGAGAAGAAGAGAAGGAGAGAAGAACAATAACCATGCTCAATCAAATATACAATCACGTGTATTATAGGTGTATTATTGGTGCACCGCACGTGTCTCACCGAGTTTCAGACGGTTGTCGTTGAGAGCGGCCAATGAGAAGTTGTAGTGGGAGCACGCCCGTTGGCGTTCAGGCACATTTTGGTTAGTGGTTGGTTAGTGGTGGTTAGTGGGCCCTGTCAACTCCAAGCGGAAGGCGGCATCTCTGAGACTCCATCAACCAACATAATGGGGAGCATGGGAGAGAATGTACCGCGCGTTCTAGTTGCCCTAGAGAACTTCTATGAGTAAACTAGTGAGGAGGCCCTTTAGGCCCTTTATCAGATCTCCCGTCTTATTACACACTTTTCTCATACTAGATGCATGTAAGAAATCTCCGAATCCAAATTTCTCCAACACAGCTCCCTCTTATGGCCGCCAAGAAAGGGCCGCCCATGTTCATACACATCCGCCGAGAGCAACGTGCTTCTCACCCCCTCCATGATTCCCCAGCGCCCTGAACAGCTCGGCCGCCTGGCGCCTTGGTGTTCTTGGCCCTTCTTGGCCTGCGCCACTAGCCGGCGCGGGATGCATCTTCCAGAGCAACAGCGACCACGGTTTTGCAGGAACGGAGCACATCAGTCCTGCACCGAAAGCACTAGGTTTCTGAGCTGATCGCTCATGGGAATGGGATCTGGGAAACGTGGGACAAGGGTGCGCGTGGGGGAAGGTCTTGCAGCGGTGGTGAGGGGAGGAGGCTGGCGATCACTATATAAGAGCGTGCCTGTTCCTCTGTCGTCGCGGTCGTGCTGCTTGTCTCTGTAGTCGTGCAACGCGGATCTCCAATTGCCCTTGTCTCAACTCATACATCATGGTTGCTTTCTCCAAGATCGCCGCTGCGGCGACGTTCGCTACGTTGGCTTCGGCGCAGACTTTCCAGAGACTCGGTGCTTGCCCGGACTTGGGATGTGTTTTCCCTCCCGATCAGTGAGTATGATGGCGGTGGCTGATGGCGTTGGATGGATGGGGAGCTGACGGGTGGCAGGGCTGATTTCCTGGCGGGACAATACTTCGATATCCGTGTCGAGGTCCATGCGCCAGTCAATGGCTCTGAGGGTTAGTTCTCAAGCTTCCAATTGAAGACCCAAGCTGACGCGAATGTGATACAGCCAACGGTGGTATCCCGGATAAGAGGTTCTCGCTCGCCATCCAGAAGAAGGGCGGTGCCTCGCAGCCAGTGTCGAAGTTCTTCGACATCACTGAGCCAGCCATTGAGGAGTGGAAGTTCAAGTGGTACGAGGACTACTTCGCCGAGGACGCGAAGACGCCTTCCCACGTCAATGTCGCAGCCAAGGCCTACCGCCGCGTTGCGCTTTACGAGCCAGGCGAGTATACTGCTACTCTGTCTTACTACAATGGCTCCAAGACTGTTGCCAACTGGGTTGTCCGCGACCTTGCTGAGGAGAAGAAGGCTAAGAACGTCATCCTCTTCATTGGTGACGGTATGACCACCAGCATGATCACGGCTGCACGCCTGATCGGACACAAGAGCATCAACGGAAAGTACTTGAGCAAGATGGCCATGGACAAGTTCCCCATTCTCGGTCACCAGATGACCCACTCCATCGACAGCTACCTCACCGATTCCGCCAACTCTGCCTCGGCCCTCTACTCTGGCCACAAGAGCACCGTCAACGCCATGGGTGTCTACAGTGATTCGTCCCCAGATGCATTTGACGACCCCAAGGTCGAGACCATCGTTGAGCTTCTCACCCGTATTTGGGGCTCGGCCATTGGTATTGTCTCCACTGCCTTCCTCGCTGATGCCACCCCCATTGCCTTGACCGGCCACACCCGCACCCGTGGTCACTACGGACCTCTCGTTGACCAGATGCTCAACGGTGTTACCAACTACACCTGGACTCCCTTTGACGGCCCCGATGTCGTCTTCGGTTCTGGAGCTGAGAACTTCAACCCGGGTGAGGGCTCCTACCAGGGCAAGGACTACGTTGAGGAGTTCCGCAAGAAGGGCTACAAGGTCGCCATGGACAACACCACCCTCGCCACCCTCCCCAGCAAGGAGCGCGCCCTCGGTCTCTTCAGCACAAGCAATCTTCCCGTCTGGCTCGACCGCAACGTCTACACCGAGAACATCATCAACTCGACCAACCACCCCAGCGGCAACAAGAAGCCCGCCACGGACCTCCCCGGCCTCAAGGACATGGTCCTCAAGGCCGTCGACATCCTGCACGAGCGCGGTGGTGACCGCGGTTTCTTCATGATGGCCGAGGCTGCCAGCATCGACAAGCAGATGCACTCCCTCGACTACGACCGCGCCCTCGGCGACCTCCTCGAGCTCGACGACACCGTCGCCGCCACCATCGCCCGCCTCACCGAGCTTAACATCCTCAACAACACCCTCGTCCTCGTGACTGCCGATCACGGTCACGGCTTCGACGTCTACGGCTCTGCCGACACCAAGTACATGGCCTCCATCGACGACAACGACGTGCGCGGCAAGCGCGCCGCCATCGGCACCTACCAGAACTCCGGCCTGTCCCAATACCAGGTCGTCGACGCCGCCGTCTCCTACAACACTGGCGTCAACTTCCCCGTCAACTGGGAGCCCCGCTACTGCCTCGCACAGGGCACCGTCGCCTTCCCCGACCGCCGCGAGAACTACGAGGTCCACGCCGAGCCCCGCGTCCCCGCCACCAAGGGCGCCGATAAGAGCTACTACGTCAACCCGGTCGATGGCCTCGGCGGCATGGTCGTGAACGGTACCCTCCGCACCGATGATGCCCAGGGTGTCCACTCGCTCACTGATGTCCCCGTGTACGCTATGGGACCTTGCCAGGAGAAGTTCCAGGGCACGTACAACAACATTGACATCTTCTTTGAGATGGCCAACTGCTTGGGTCTCGCGAGACACGATAACAAGACTGGTGATAAGGGTGCTCTGCTGCCAGGTGCTAACACGACTATTCTTACCGGAGCGGCCTCGGGTATGGAGGTGTTAAATGGAGGGGGTATTACTGCTGTGCTGGGGGTTATGGTTGCTGCGTTTGTCGGTGCCGCTGTGTTGGTTTAAGTGTGGAGATGTTTGTTGGAGTTGGGGTGGGAGATGAATTTAGATGAGATGTGTATCATAGCTGGAATAAACAGAACAGATATATTGAACTTGGGAAGCGATGTGAGAATGTGAGGAAAGGCATCCTGCGATGAAGCCCAGGACATGGCAGCTACAGATACCATTAAACACCGAATCCCAACGAGGGCCATGGCGAAACCGCGCATGTGCGTGCAATCCGGCTCTATATTCCGAATTTGAGAGAAGATATTAAGATAAGTTCCTGAGGGAGCTTGAAGCCGGGAACATCATAGCGCGAATAACCTCACCACGGTCTGCGTATTCATCCTACAGTGAACAAGCGGAAATATGCGCATGGTACACTCATTCCTCCCGATCAATGACGCAACAATAAAGGATGCATATACAGGGAAAAGAAACACTTCTTCAATGACCTCTACTCTCTCTGCCTCGTTGGGTACAGGTTCTAGGAACAGTTTGGGACTGTTGCTGTTGGCACTCCCGCTGCTGTCGTTGCCTCTTATCACCGATGCAGCTGTTGTTGTCAGCACTTCTGCTGCTGTCCCTATTGCTTATCGCTGATTGTGGACTATTGCCACTGACATACTACTGTTAATCGTCGCGGCGAAACTTTCGCTTTGCTTGAGTGAAGTTGGAGTTCGGTCACGATGTTACTTACCTAAGTGCGTCGCGTGAGGTTTTACCCTTTTCGTCCATCTTGCGCCCATGCGCATTGTTGATAACCGCACTACAGATATGAACGAGGGCTGTATTACTGCTTCTTCATTTGCTTTCCTTCCTCCTCCTCACCGTCCGCAATATTGAGGAACCTCTATGATCCAATTGAAGCAGCACCGGCGAGCAATGTACACAAGCACGTGAAAAAAGCCTCGAAGGCGGCAAAGGGGCCGGAGTAACGCAAGACTGTTTAGCCTAAGAACCCCATCACCGAATCTCCAAGAAAAGCCCATCACAGAATCCCCAAGCCACCGATTCCCCCAAACAAGCCACAAAAGCAAGCCATCCCATCCCGGAATCCTACGGTCCCTTCGCCTTGGCGTCGAAATTTCGTCTTGGCATCACCGGCACGACTTGCACTGCCCCGGCCCGCCCCCAAATCCGCTCCCTGAAAAATGAACATCAAACCCATATTTATCCCATCCTTGGCGATCCCCTATTCATCCCTGCCTCTACGGTATGGAGCGCGCAGAATTCGCTCCCCTCGCAATGTGGCCGCTGCTGCTGGTGGCGGCCATTCAAGACTCTCCCTCCCCCCTCCCACGCCTTCTTAAATCAATCACACGAGAATACGAGAATCCGCCACCGGCGTTTCCCCACGCTTGCCGCTGTCACCTGTCACAACTTCAATAGTTCGATGACCACACCGGCAAACCAGTGCACACCCTCCACGTCCTAGCTCCCGCTGTCTGACACCCGCCCCGCCCGCCACAATGAGGCCAGCACCTGCCCTGGCGTCTGCGCTCCTCCTCGCCATCCTCCCACTCGCCAGCGCCGTCACAGTCCGCACATGTTGGGGATACGATGGTAAGAACTGGGAGAACAATGTGCTGTGTCCTGGCTCTCAGGCTTGCTGTGGAGTAAATGGCATGTGTCTCCCCAACAAGCTGTGTAATAGCAAGAAAGATGGAACGGGGGAGATAATCCGCGGGCCCTGTGCGACACAACCGTATGATCCGGTGGAATGCGGTGAGATCTGCTTATATGGTAAGTCCATTGCTTCCTCTCCCAGCTCTATAGAGGTGTGCTGGGCTGCGCTGATGAATTGGTGTAGATGAGATCGATGATAGGTTCCCTCGCGTGACCATCTGCGAAGATGATGGGAAGTACTGCTGCAACAACGACAAGGACTGCTGCGCCGAAGGTAGGGGCGTGATCTTGAACGGCGCAGGGAAGGTGGTGGGAAAGGCAGTCTCGAGTTCAAGCTCGACTACCTCAGTGCCATCGACAATGTCGACATCATCAACCTCGCCGCCCGAAACTACAACATCGGACTCCTCGTCAACATCAGACCCCACCACTACATCCACCAAACCAACCACCCCCACAGCAGCCTCCGAAACCACAGCCCTCAATGACGCCGCTTCCCCCTCAGAGACCGCCGCAGCAGGCGGCCTAGCAACCGGTGCCAAAATCGGCATTGGAATCGCTGTTCCCCTGGGCGTCCTCGCAGCTGCCGGACTCGGAGCGTTTCTCTGGTTCAGGCGCCGACGCGTGTACTCTGCAAGCAATGATGGGTATAAACCGTCGCCCCAGGGGTCACCGGCCCAGGAACTAGTGGCAACGGATATTCCCCGGGAGTTGCAGGCTTTCCCGAAAGAGCAGAGTAACATACCTATTGAGTTGCCGGCGGATGAGGCGGGGATGCAGGCGGCGAAGGTGAATTATAAGCCGTATGTGAGAGGGGCGTAGTCAGGGATAGAGGGATTGGTGAGGGTGTGTAAATAATGGAGATGATGTTATGTGAGTTGAATAAACGATGTGTATATAGTATAGAGGAGATGTTATATAAGCCTTGTCTCTGTAGCTTGTGATTCTCTCAAAGTTGTAAAGTTCTTGTTGGGAATTTTTATGGAATTGATAATAATGACTGCGCAATAACAAGCTTGTAGGAAAATGAATCTATACGCTTAAACCGAAAAACAATAAAACAGCGCCAATAATACAACCCCGCGCCCCTTTCCAAACCCCTCAGTAGGTGAGAGTAACAAAGGAATTCTCGTACCTCCCCACCTTCCCCTTATTCCCCTTCAAGACCTCCTCAAAAATCCAATTCCCCACATCCTCCCTCGAGATCGTATACCCAATCGCCATACTCTCGAACCCCTTAGCCCTCTCAACCCCAACCTTCAACGCCGCCACACCCTTCGCAGCACCACTCGTCAACAAGCTGGGCCTGATCCCGATAAACCCACCGAAAGCCGGAGACGCCGAATTCACATCATCAGACATCGCAACCTCCATCTCCTTCTTATCCTTATGCGGCACCGCCAACAACCAATGGTACAGCGGCACCATCGCCACCGGGATGTCGCGCCCAAAGTTACTAATCCCCGTCGACGAGATACCAACAACGATCGGCTTCGTAGGCGCCCTCAGCGTGCGGACGGCGGAGATGAGGGCCGCCATGCTGGTGGAGCAGACGACCGGGTCGTCGATAGATGGTACCCCGAAGCGACTGAATTTTGGGGCGGCGCCGACAGAGGAGAGGATCAGGTCGACGGGGCGGTTGCGGATGAGGAGGGCGGGCGCGATGGTGGCGGCGTCTTTGGAGTTGCCGGTGTGCACGGTGAGGTGGCGGGTGATGGTGGTGGAGGTGACGCCTTTGGAGTCCAGGAGGGCCATGAGCTTGGAGGGGGTGCGGACCACTGGGGGGTGTTAGTGTGTTATTCGTGGTCTTTGAGGGAAGGGAGACGTACAAACGCTACAGTCGTAGCCGGCGTTGAGGGCGCGGACGAGGAAGGCGAGGGCGCAACCGCCGGTAGAGCCAAGGACCAGGGTTGTAGGCTTAGGCATTGTGGAGGAAGACATGATGTTGTTTGTGGTTTGGGATAGTGGAAGAAACTGAAATGATTCTGGAGATAGAGGAGCGAGAAAGTGAGGCTCTGAATGTAGATCTTGATGTGAGGTAATGAGAATAGGCTGTTGATGATGATGATAAGAAAAAGACACCTTCTCGTGGCTCACCCACCTCTCTTTATACAAACTTACCGTCCTTACCAACCCACCGCGCCACGACGCCGAAATCCATACTCGGATATCCTTTTCCACCGACTGCCTAGTAGTTTGAAGCCACAAAACCGCAAGCCACCTCGCCGGCGACCACCCTCGGACGAAAGTTCCCCAGCGTCGGGAATATCTGGCGTCTATTTGGCGTATGTTACGGGGATGGCGTCGCGCTAGCACAGGATCGTGCAGATGGTGGCGTTCCGTGGCGCTTGTGGCGTTGTTGAGTTCCTCCGCGTCTAGCCAGATATGGTCATGGCTTGGGCGGATGCCTCGTCGCATCGATTTTGTGGCGCCCTGTGCCATATGCGTGCGTATACATATTTGGAAAGTTACGCGGCGGGATGGATGGGGGGGAACTCTAGAAAAAGCTTGTGACGAGGTTAGGATAGGACTTTAATATTTGCTGGTAAGTGATTGTTGGTTGATTCTATCTATTTTATTTTTAGACCCGGAAGGAGAGAGAGAATTATCGTAAATGAATCGTTGAAATCACATGCAGCCTTGTATGTAACTTGTCTACAGCCTTTCCACCCTTCTCATTCCCGCCCCTCAAACGCCGACAGCAACTCATAAGGATTCTCACCCCGCTCGCCGTCCTCACCCCCTGCCTCGCCAGACTCATCACCGCCTCCAGCAGCCGTATCCCTGCCACTCGTAGACGTCGCGGCCGAAGCTGTAACTTCCTGGGTCCTCAGCGACGGACCTACCACCCAAGGACGGTGCTTACCAAACGGGTTCTGCGGCTGCAGTTGCGGCTGCGAATCCGGCGCATAAGGCCCAGCAGTCGGATTCAACACGGCAGGCGCATAGATCGATGACTCCAGCCCCGGCGTACTCCCTGGGATGATGATCTTCGTCGCTGGGCGCTGGGCAACGGGGCGTGCGATACTCCCTATTTCCGTCAGCGCGTGCTACATTCCACCGGGGCGTTAAAACTCACCAAATTCGTTGCGACGTAATGGTAGCGGCGCAGACAGCTTCGCTGCCGTAGCCACGGCGCTGCTGAACCCATTCTCCCGCGTAGCAGCTACCGGCTTCAGATGCGCCGCACCACCTCCGCGCGATTGCCCAGGACCAGGCCGCCAGCTAGGCAACGCGGTTGGCGGTGGTAATCCGTCACGCACTCCCGCAGTCCCTGCCGGCCCCTCACCATTAGCCTTCTCATCCGCCCTCGGCGTCCGCAGCTCCAAGCTATGCTCCTTCTTATACCACATCGGCAGGCCCTGAAAAAGGCCAAGCGCGTGCTGCGTCGCGATATCGAGGGGCATCTCGTGCTTGTACCTGCATCCCTGCTGGGAGAAGGCGCAGACGCCCTCGTGGACCCATTTGTCGCAGTAGACCTTGTCTTTGCGTGGACCGCGGGAGGGGCGGGAGGGGGTGGAGACGGGAGGGAGGGGGCTGTAGAGGGGTGTTGGTTTCCCGGCTGTGTTGGGAGGGGTGAGTGGGAAGGGGTTTGGGGCGTGAAAGGTGAGAGGGCCGAGGGGTGTGAGGTTCAGGGGCGTGGGGAGGATGATGAGACCGTCTGCTCCTTGGTTCACGCCCGGCCCTTGGAGGGGAGGGAGTTCGTCCGCGGCGATTAGGCGGGTGTAGCGGCCGTTTCCGCGGTTGAGGGCGTAGCCTGTCGCGGATTGGAGGTGGCGGTTTGTGATTATCATTCTGGGGGTGTCGGCGGGGCTTGTTGGGGGGGCGCTGGGAGTTTGCGGGTATGCGAGGTGGTCCTTATACACCGACAATCCGGCGTTGTTGGTGACTGCCGACTTGTTGAGAAGCCATGGATCCTGTGATGGTCTTCCGTCAAATGGTTGACCTAGTGTAGGTCGGCCTCCACGAATACGTGCGCCGCTATAGACTCCATTTCCACTGTTCCCATCATTAGCTGTAAATTCTGGCAAATAAAACGCCCTTGCCAGAAATCCGTAGTACTAACGAAGAGTTGTTGCCGTTCAAGTTCAAGTTGGCTGTCAAGGGCCACACATCGTCTATATCTGCCGAGTCCGGATACCTCGCGGAACGCTCCAAGGAAGAAAAAAACTGGTTCATGGGAAAGAATCAGCGTAGTATACGTGCAAAATACGTGCATATAAAAGCCGGCTCTCTGAAATCGCAAAGGCTCGTCGGAGGGATTTGAGAAAAGCCGACTGGAAGGAAGGAAGGTGTGTTCTATACAGCGCGCGTGGCATAAATGAGAGATTGAGAGAGAGAGAAAAAATCAGAGAATGAGAGGAAAGCAGAGACGATATATACAAACTGGATCTCTCCGATTATTTGGCATGGTTTGGTGAGGCGGCGTTTGTTAGAAACAGCAAATACCCAGCTGCGGGTGGTTGCAGTGCGTTTTAGCTGGCAAGCTTAAACCTCACATGCGGTGATTTTTGGTTCGTGCCATGGCACGTCGCGAGGATTCCCACGCGATAACGCCGCTCTGTACGAGCCAAGGGGATAGATATCGTGAATGACCGGTAATCGGAGCCTCTCCTCCTCTTAATGCAAATCCCAACAGCCCGCGGGAGCTGTGATCGAAGCGCTTCGACACGAAACCGATGTGTCGGTGAGGCGCAAACAGTGTCATATGCAGGCGGAGCTTCACCGACGGTCTGTATGATTGAACTTTGTGCTTGGCTTGTCAAGACGCGGCGGGAGGGTGCTCTGCTTCAATAATGGAGGAGGGTGGGGATTTGATTGGATGCGGGTAGTAGGTAAGAGAGTTGAAGAGATCAGGGCTGATGCGATGAGAGACATGAATGACTAGACACGTAGGCTGTCGTTCCCAGAAAAGCGCAAACATTGGTAATGTTTGATGGGACAAGGAATATGAAATTTATATCCTGGAAGTTGTAGATGGAATGACAAGCATTCATGTCCGGCTGCGGACAATGTTTGCATGTTTTTGAGTTGGTTTCTGAAGAAAGACATGGAAATTAAAAGCGAGCGAGAGGGGCATCATTGACGAAAAATCAGAATTTACAGTGACTTATAGTATCAACAGCATCAAGGCTTTCATCAGAGTATAAATCACAGGAGTGAAAATCCTGTTTATAGTATGATGGTATTCGTGTTGGTATCAGGTGGACAAACGCCAGAATCCCCCATGCCAGCCGGCCATTAACCGTATGCAAAGCAATCTCCCACCATCTAAAATACCCCAAACGCCTCAAACCTCATTATGCATATCCGATACCTAACGTCTCTGAGGAGGAGCAACACGCCATTGAGGCTGCATGGCTCCAGGTCGGGAAGGCGGCAAAATAGGCCTACTCCTCGCCGCCTGCAACTCCAAGTCTTTCTTCTTCTTCTTGACCAAATTCCCAATAACCCCCCGTAAGTACATCCGCGCCGGCTCAATTATTTCCTTCGGCTCCGTACTCATCTTCAGCGAATCGAGCATGAGTCGAACCTGTGTTTCGGAGGAAAATTTAGGACACGCGGCTTCAGACCCGCTTTGTATGAAGCCGTAGTGTGCCATGCCGCAGAGCCCACAATGTTCGACCCCAGATCGCTTCAAGGGGCACTGGCCAACAGCGTGCATTGAATCGCAGGCTAGGCATAGGCGGTTGTGAGTAGCGGTGTTGCCAAACGTTCTCATGAAGTCGGGGTCGTCGGACAAATTCGGCACGTCGCGGACGATTCTGGCGCGCTGAAAGGCGTCGACTGTAAAAAAGAGTCAATAAAGCCCAAATTGTTGTATGAAATGAAAAAGAGAACATGGTTTGAAATGCGTAAAATCAAGCATCTTCGCTGGCCGACATGTACTCGGTCGCCTCTGAATCGGACTGTGGAGTTCTGGATCCTTTGGATCGCTTCGCGTCACGCACAGGAATTGGGTCAGCAAGACGTGGGCGCTTCCCGGAAACTGCATTGGACGTAGGAGTAGTCCGCTCCACAACCTTTGGCGCCGACTTCGCCAGAGATAATGACTTCCCAGATGCATCCCCCAATGGGTTTGTCTGCGGCACAAGAACCTTTGGGACGACTGTGACAACGCGGACAGAAGTATTCCATTTCTTCGGGGCCGGCTTCTGAGAGACTGTCTCAGAAGATGGCGTCTGGACTTCAAAGCCATCATTTGGAGCACGACCGACAGCAGCCATAACTTTTGGCTTGCGCGGTGCGCCCTGGGCACTGCCCATCTTCTTGTCCAGTACAATAGGATTTACAGCCGAGCCAGGCCCAGAAGAAGCCATGGTCGGTTTTTTCACAGCTGGAGGACCCGGAGCCGGATTTTGCTTCACAGCATTCTTCGGAGGACGAGCTGACCTCACAGCACTCTTCGGAGGCTGATCCCGTTTCACAGCTTTCTTCGGAGGCCGATCCGACTTCACAGATTTCTTCGGAGGCTGAGCCTGCTTGGCAGACTTCTTTGGAGTAGCGTTCGCTTGAACACTTGACGATTTCTTCTCATTCTTGAGGGGAAGGATTTTTGCAGGACTCTTTGCAGCAGGGGATGTTTGTGTCATACCTCTTCCTCCCGATCGAGCCTTCGCTTGCGCGAGCTCAGTGGGATCAACGAATCCAGCATCAGACTCTTCTTCTTCTTCAGCCTCACTGCTTTGGCGAGTGAACTCTCCATCGCTTTCGCCCAACACGCGGAGTTTCTTGAATTTACGAGGGGTCATCTCCTCGTTGGCTGCGTCGGTATATCCGCTGGTTACCTAGTAAAAAGTTAGTATCATATTAAAATATGGGTCCAAATAGAATAACAAACCTGTCGAGCTCGCTTTCCCCGTCCGAACTGCTTCTGCTTGGCCAACTCTTCACGGGCCGCCTCCGCCTCACGTTCCTTAAGAATCTTCTCCCAGAAATCGGTGTTCGGCATCGGTTCTTCAGAATCAGGGTCTCCAACATCGTCTTGAAGTGCGCCAGAATCGTTGGCCCAGATCCGGGCATACGAGAATTGGGATTCTGCGGACTTGTCGTCTCCAGTGTTGGTGGTTTCCATCTGGGTTCGGTCAAGCAGCTTATCGACCGAGGCTGAGTCGTATCTAATATCGTTTTGGTCATCATCCTCGAATAGAGCCGTAGCGCCGTGCTGTAGGATCGTCTGAAGATCAACCCCAGCATCGTCGTCTTCGTCCATGGCCTCAATAAGGGCATGGTCAAGAGCCATCTTCTTGCGGCCAATCTGGACGATTTTCTCCTCGGCACTATCTTTCGTCATCAATTGAAAGACGAGGACTTTGTTCTTCTGCCCAATTCGATGAGCTCTCGAAAGCGCCTGGAGATCTTGATGGGGATTGAAATCAGGATCCATGATAATGACCGTGTCGGCAGTAGCTAGGTTAATGCCGACGCCTCCTGCACGAGTGGATAGCAAGAAGGCAAATAAGGGCGAATCAGGCGCGTTGAAAGCATCGATACGCTTCTGTTTCTCAAGAGTACCAACATTGCCATCGAGGCGTTGAAATTGAAGTCCAAGCCCATCGAGAAAGTCTTCAATGATATCCAGCTGTTTCAAGAACTGGCTGAAAATCAACACACGATGTCCTCTCTCCTGGAGCTTCTGGAGCATAATCTCAAGGAGTTGAAGCTTTGAGGAGGCGTCGACGAGATTTCTATGTAGCACAGCGCGGTTGTTTGATCTTTCTTCGATAGCCTCACTGTAGACAAATGGATGGCAGAGACATTTTCTCAGCTGCATCAAAATATTGTTCAAGCTTCCTCTTTCGCTTGGCTTTAGTTGTGCCTGATCTTTGCCGAAAATAGACCTTAGCAGCTCTGGGCTCTTTGAAAGAATCGACTTGTAAAGCTTCTTCTGGACTGTGCTCATAGTCACGGGAATGATGACTTGGGCCATTGGAGGAAGGAACTTGAGAACCATAGCCTTTGTGCGACGAAGGAAATACGGTCGGATAAGATCGTGCAGCTCTGGCAAGTTTTCGTTGGTCAACTCTTCGTACTTCTCATCTAGGGTAGTAGCATTGATCTCAGGGTCGAGAAATTGAAGGAGTGTGAAGAGTTCCTTCTTGTTATTCTGCAAGGGCGTGCCTGAGTCACCATTAGCAAAAGGTTAGCAGCTGTGATTATAGATTAAATACCTGTTAGTAGAACTCGGAACGGAACGTGCAGTGCAGTCAATGCCCCATAAAGAAGATTCTTGTCGTTCTTAAGGCGTTGGCCCTCGTCGACGATCAAACCAGCCCATTTGGTTTTGCGAAAGAAGGCCCGGCTGCTCTCGTCGACAGGGGCTTCATATGAGGTGACGACAATATGAGCTGCCAGTTCACTGCGACCTTCGGGGAATAGCTCGTACTTCATGGCGGTCTCCCTAGCTTCCCGAGAACCATAATAAGTGACAACTCGTAACGACGGAGCCCACTGTTTGATTTCGCGGCGCCAGTTAGGGCATGTTGAGTTCGGCACAACAATTAAGAATGGCCAGCACTATACTTGTTAGCATAAATCTAAGTAGAAGTCGTGTGTCTCTACCTTTGGTTTCTCCTTAATCAGAGCTGTGAGTGCCGCAATAACCTGGATAGTTTTGCCCAGACCCATCTCGTCTGCAAGAATCACATTCTTCTCCCGATGGAAATTGTAGAGAAGCCAATTCATGCCCTCCATCTGATATTCCATCAACTTCCCTCCAGTCAGCGCAGCTGGCTGGGCTTCCAGAAGGACGTTCCTTTCAAAATTGGACTGCCTGTATTGGGTCAAACGTTCCTTAACTTTAGAACCGTGCTGCTTGAAGTATTTTCCGGCAACAAACTCAAGATAGGCCGCATGGTAATCGGCATACCGTTCCGTCTCTATGGGCTGAGGCGGACTCTCCCAAGCTATCTCATCATAACCCAATCCAGTGAATTTCACAAGGACCTCGTCGACCTCCTTGATGCGAGCTTTGTCGATCTCCTCGGTGCGGGTTGATACTCGGCTCGAGTACTTCACGTCGAGGACAATCTCGATGCGTAGATACTCTTCTGGGATAGCATCGCTTTCCGTCATAATTGGCAGGCCATTGTTCTGTTCTATGCAGCGGCGAGCAAAGGCATTTCTCATGATGCCCGCAGTAATGCCCCATACCCATGCTCCAGGTGCCCACGTACAGCTGAAGTAGGACATTCCTTGCCACTTGATGAGATACTCTTTCTCATCTTCAGTGAGTGACTCGAGCGTACGGCCAGGGGCATATGTCTCCAGGTTGGCAGGCCTCCATGCAACCATCCCTTGGGGTTTCCCTGGTACGTCAAGACAGTCCTTGCAGTTCCAATGTAGTTCGTACTCGGCGAATCGAGCTTCTTGTAAATCCGCCACGTCGTCAGGGCTATAACCCGAGCTATTGAGAGGCGGAAGGTGCTCAAAATGGAAGCCGCGCTTGCATGAAACGCACCGAAACAGGAGAGTGGCGTGGTTGTTGAGCAAGTCTGGGGAAACAAGGGTAATCGGATCAGTTCCTCCATTATCTTCTCTCAGCTTTTCCTCCTGCTTGGATGTCTTTTTGGTCGAAAATGGAGCACAGGCTAGGCCAGGCTTCTTGCATTCTTGGCAGGCACCAAGATCAGGAGCACTCCTATCCTTCTTCCGCGCCAGGCCAATACAACGTCGGCATTGCAAAACGAAATCGCCCTCGCCGACTTTGGTAACCAAGTGCTCTCTCTGGCTCCTGTACCCAAGGCAGACCTTGTGTATGGAAGTCGTACAGCCTTGGCATTGTATAAGCGGGCTAGGTCCTTTGTTGGATGCCGCGTTCGCTCCGGAACATACGTCGCAACGCCGATTGTGGATGACGCTGAAGTGATTATTTGCAGCTAGAGGTTGAAATATTTCCCGCACACTTATAATCTTTGGGCCTGTCTCTTCAACGTCTGAATCGGCATACAGCTCCTCATCTTCAAGCTGGTCTCTCATATTCTTCGACACCTTCGTGCTCCTGCCAGATTTACGGGTGGGCTCTGGTGCCTCAGAAGAGTCATCGTAATCTTTCTTGCGGCGCCCGAACATGCCCGATTTTTTGGACATGCCGCCTCTGCCTGGCCTGCCTCTCGTGGGATGGCCGCGGCCTAGGCGACCACTTGAGCGCTTCACCACGATACCGCTCGCATCGCTATCGACATCACCAGTCACATCATCACTATAGTCGACATTCATTGACGGTCGGGCAAATTTGCCTCGTGTGCGACGGTCATTTGATGACAGGGCGCCTAAACTGCGGCGACCCAGGGACCGTGACGCAAGCTCATCTGACGAAGACCCTTCATCAGGTGAAGTCATCCCGCTGTAACGTTTATTCTTTGGTGCGTGTGAATCTGTCTTAGATCGCAATGATCGTCTGGGGCTGGCGGCTCGTCGTCTTCTAGAGTCAGATTGATTGATGGATAACTCGTCCTCGTCAGAGGTGTTGCAACTTTGCAGGTGTCCTCGTGTGCTTGTCCTCTTTCTTGTGTATGATAAAATGTTAGCCTGCCTTTTCGACAGTTCTCTAGACTTTCCTGTTCGGCGTGGTATATCTGATTCTTCTTCTACTTCATTTGGGTTGTGGAAGACATCAAGAGCGTTTTGGCCGTTGCAAAGTTGAAGTAGACGTTCAAATGGGACCTAAGTTGGTAAAAAATGAGCTGATGTTGTAAAAGTGAGGTTGAAGCAGCAATAGTGTTAAACTTCAAAAGAGAAATCCGCTTAAAACTGAGTAGAACAAGTGGTTTGTGCTAATAGCTCTGGGGTTGAACGATTGGTGGTTGGTGATGTTGGATGGAAGGTAGGCGGTTGTAGAGGAATGATATGTCAAGCGTGTGCCATTCGTGGGTGATGTTGTGCGAATATAATACAAAACACTTACAATGTCGTCTCCTCCATCGTCATACCGAATATGGTAGCTGACATTCTCGGAGTCCTCTATTTCTGACTCCACGCAGTCCACATAGCCGTCATCTGATTCCGCCGAGACATATGTGTATTGTTCGGTGTTTATAGCAGGTGGTAACTCGATTCGGAATGCAACGTCGCCATCATCCTCTATGGCATCTTCTGATGCGCCATCAGCATTTTTGTCCTCCCCCGTTCCATGGTTTGCATCGGAAGGGCTGGACATTCGGGGCCTATGTTGGAGCGCGGTAACGGATGGCGCATCTGCGCTCTTCCTAGGGGAAAATTCCTGGAAGCTCTGCAGCTCATCCACAGAGTCATCCCCATCATCGGCGCTGGAGGCCATGATTGTCGAGGTCCCGAAAGTTATCAACGGCGGCGCACCGAGACCATTGAGGTGCTGCGAGTACTATCCCACTATTGGAGGTCAGCTGGGCTGCGGTAACAAGTTAATAGTATGGGGCATCATACATATCTATCCCCAGCAGATCTTAATTCCCTGGAAGCGCAAGTCATACTCCCACATGAGTAGGTCCCTGGTGTTGTTGTTAATTATCTGAGCTGTACCTTTGTGGTCTCCGATAACGTAGACGCGCTCCTTTATCTTAGCGGATTGGGACGCGATCAATCGCGTAGAGATGTCTCCTTGTATAAAACCACTATCGGGACCGGAAAGATCACTGCTAAAGGTTCAAAGTACCACTGGGATATTCTACATAAGTTATTTTCCTATTGTATACAAATACAAATAAATTTCCACTTAGATGCAGTGCAAAGTGAGACTCTGATATCCCGCCGTCATGGCACGGACAACCCTGCACTTCGGCCAATCGCCGCTAAGAAGGTACATCGGAAATGTTTCTGGGGAAAAAATATCACCGCCTGCGCTGTGACAACCAACACCAACGATTAATGAAATGAGCAGCGTTACTCTTTCCGGGAGTTGCCAGCGCATAGCAGCCAAGTCGCTCATTCTACCGCTCCTATACCCGTCTCTCCTTCAGTCCCGGTCCGCGTCGTTGAACTCTGCCATCGGCAAGGGTCTTCGCAAGTCGAAAGGAGTAGGCTTTAGGGGAAGGGAGAGAGGCCAGTATGAAGTCTCCAATGGCGGCCGTGAGTCGAGAAACGACGGCGCAGATGTGAGGAGGACGTCAGAATCTGCTGGAGGGAGCCGTGGGTTTTCTCGCGACGACTGGAAAGGAGACAGCCAAGCCAGTGGCGGCAAAGCAGAGAAGCCTCGCACTGGACGGGACGTACGCATACGAGCTGGGAAACGAGAAATCAAAGATGACAGGATACCCGTTCGACGCTCACGAGCAGCTCGATTCTACGACCCCAATTCAAGCTTTGGAAAGCGAAGCGCCGTTGGCAGGGAAAAGAAGGGGCTCGATGCGCCAGCTGCACCCGAAGCCAAACAAGACTGGCGTGGCTTTTCTAAGAAGGTGGATAGGGACTTCCCGCGGAAGAGGGATGATTTCAAGGAGGGAAGAATGAGGGAGAGCCGGGATACACAGGAGCCCAGGGGAAGCTGGGGCCGCGAGCAATGGAAGCCAAGCTCTACGCAGGAATCATCGCCAGCGCGCTCGAGCTTCCGGTCTAATTCAGACGACCAGAGCTTCCCTTTGAAGAAATCCTTCAGGATTGATCGGGGAGGCTTTGCTCCGGTGACTAGGACATCACAAGATAAAGACTTCTCCTTCTCATCGAAGAAGGGGTTCGAAGCCGAACGCCGAAGACCTACTCTAGCAGCCAGGTCGCAAGATTCCGACACCACTGGGACTGAAGCTGTTCCCCAGAAAACCAAATCCACCCTATCCATCATGGACAAGCGCATGCCCGTGACCATCCCATACACCACCCCAGCCTCCGAATTCCTCTACGGGACATCAGTCGTCGAAGCCGCGCTCAATTCACGCGCCAATCCCCGTCGCACCCTCTACAAGTTCTATATCTACCGCGGCGCGAACCGCGAGAACGAGGAACAGGACCGCACCTTGGCCAAACTCGCGAGGAAACAAGACGTCCCCGTCGAGTACGTTACCGACGACTGGCTGCGCAGGATGGACAAGATGTCCGCCGGCAGACCACACAACGGTTACATCCTCGAGGCTTCGCCGCTGCCCAAACTCCCGGTTCTGAGTCTCGGCGAGCTTTCAGTCACGAATGAGAAGCAGGGCTTCAAGCTCGTGCTGGGCCATCAGTCTCGCGAGGAGGCAAACGTGAATGGAACTTCTGACTTCGTGCATGTTAGCTCCCTTGCCAAATCGGGTGACGGACGCAAGCCCTTCGTCCTCCTCCTCGACTCCATCCTCGACCCAGGCAACCTCGGCGGTATCATCCGCACGGCTGCGTTCCTCGGTGTGACAGCGATTGCCATCTCGAGCCGCAACTCGGCAGGCTTTTCACCAGTAGTGCTCAAGGCCTCGGCTGGGGCTTGCGAAAACGTCAGGTTGTTCACGGTCGATACGCCCGCTGGCTTTGTGGCCGACTCAAAGGCTGCTGGGTGGAAGATCTATGCCGCTGTTGCACCGTCGACGAATCGCTCCGCGAATGCGCCGTTGGCTATGACGACAGATGAGCTGTGCAACCCGCTTCAGGAGGCGCCGTGTATTCTCATGCTGGGTAGCGAGGGAGCTGGTCTGAGGTGGAACTTGAGGAGTAAGGCTGATGTGGAGCTGTCCATTGAAGGAAGTGGACAGAGGGGGCTTGTGGACAGCATGAATGTGAGCGTGGCGACTGGTGTGCTGTGCAATGCGTTTGTGAGTAAGAAGGCGCCAGCTGCACCACGGCCTGCACAACCTGAAGCTGAGAAGAAGCCTGTGAAGGATCTCTTTTAGAGTGTAAGATTATACCTGTACTGTACAATTGTAAGAGTAGGATAAAGCAAGGGAGGGTCAGGGATATATTTGTATTATATCTGTATATTATATTTGTCCTATACGTAGCCTACTGTGTGTAATACCACCACAAATTCAACTTGCATCGGTATCAATTGGTTAATTTCTGTGCATGTGGAGTCACAAATAAGTGTAAATTTTCCAACTCGAGAACCCTCATAACCTACATATACCCCAATAAGTGGCCGTCGACCAATAATCTCCTCCGCTAAACGCGGTGGGATGGTGTAATGGTAGCACGTGACGTTGTGGTATAACAGTCTTCTGATATAACATACAATCCCGTTTCAATCTGGGTTCGATTCCCAGTCCCGCCAGGAGATTGAAAACGTAGGTGGTTTGATTCCACCACACCAAATAATTTTTTGGGCTTTTTTTTGCCCCGCTGATTCAGGCGAGCGAGGCAGGCGAGGCTGGGCGCTAAAATTCAAGAGTACGCTACAGTGTGTGGCGGTCTAAGCTTCCGTACTCCGTACAGTCCGTACAGGGTTGTTGACATCGACGTCACTAATCTTCGGCATTTGATGGGTTCGTCCAGATTCGTCCAGAGCCAAGCAAGGAACGAGGAACGAGGAACGAAAGGTAAACAAATTATCAACAGCAACTCTGCGTTCGATATATCATTTCGTCTGTACAAATGATATATGTTTCACCTGACAATTCACCTGACAAATAGTCTCTTGTGAGACAATCTCACATCTCGTAACAACCCCGACAATCGCCGCGTGCGCGTGAAATGTCTCTCTTCCTGCCTTCCCCTCTGAGAGTCCCTGCTGCAAGTAAGCCGCAAGTAGTATGGCGCGGGGATGTCCCCGAAGGCTAATGTAGCCACAGCGCCGAGAGGCGCACCGACGGCGCACCGACGGCATGGTTGGGAACTGCACAACAACAATAGCGGCCCTTCTCCCATGACTCCAGCCCGCATCTGACGATGCCGCCCCCTGCACATCTCATCCAATCCGGCAATTGAGCAGCGGAATCCCTGGGCGCTGCCGGGGTTGGATCAAGTCCCCCATCCAGACCACGGCTAGACATTTACCATGATGCGGGGAAAGGGTAATAATTGTCACAGTTGTTAAAGGACCGATCGTGGCGGAGGCGTGGGCGCGGGGTAGCTCCACCGGGGGGACCGTAGGACCGCTGCTTACGGCGATCACTATATCACGATGTGGGCAGACCGCTGCGTCATCTTGGAGGGTTCGGCCGGACAGGGCTCGCACTTGTTGGATTCCAGGGTTCAGTAAACAAACCCGCTACCTGGTGCGTGGTGGGTTATGGATTGCCCACACTACTTGCTCCACGCGGACTATTTTCCCCATCTCATGCGGGGCTTGTTGAGAAGCTGCACATCAATTCCAAGACACACGGCAAGTGGCACGGAAACATAAATCCTTGGAAACTTAAGTCCTTGGAAACATAAGTCCTTATAAACTTGCGGAGCTCCCCCGGCGATTCTCAAGAGGATGCTTTATGCTGTGCAAGGTTCTGTGCCACAAAGAAGTCAAGAATAGAGACCGACCAAGTAGACGTTGGCGACGATCGCCCCAGACCCAATTGATTATCTAGAGTCAATCCCAGGAGAAAAAAAGTAGAAGTACATATCCAAGATGTTTCGATTTCTGGTTGCTACTCTCGCGGTGTTGAGCTGCCAGCTCTCACCTGCCAGAGCTGCTCTGGAGGAGCAAATGGATTTCTCAATCACAAATACTAATGTATCAGCTGTGTGGAACCAGACCGATTGGTCTCTTACCACCGTTGATTACGTGCCGGCACAGTACCAGTCGCGGATCTCGCTCTCAAACGGGTATGTTACTCAATGTTGAATTTGCCGCGGCGACGAGCATTTTGAGACTGAACTGACTATCGTTTAGATACGTTGGTGCTTCATTGGCGGCAGCGGGCCCATTCTTCGAGTATGATATGAACCAGACAAACCCCGACGGCGATGAGCCTGCAAATGTGTGGCCTCTGTTTTCGCGCAGACTATCCTTCTCTACTATCAGTGGCTTCTACGACCTTCAGCAGAATGGCAGCGGCACAAACTATCCATGGCTGGAGCAGTACGGATATGAGTCGTTCATTGCTGGAATTCCACACGCAACTGGGATTCTTTTCACCTTCGGAGATGCCACGTTGGATAGCACGGCAGATCCAAGTGAAGTCTCCAACTTTGAATCGAGTTTGACCTTCAAGACCGGAGTAGCCGCTTGGACTTACAAATGGAGCCCTGCTGGCGTTTCGACGACGTTCCAAGTCAGCTTCAAGGCCATCATCAGCAGAGTAGCGCCGAATCTTATTGCGGTTGAGGCGCAAATCACTCCTTCCGGCGATGTCAATGGCAAGGTGACAGACGTGTTAGATGGCAGGAGTGCTGTCCGGTCTTACTTGGCAGAGAAAAAAATGGACGACCAATCTACAACCATCCTCTCTGCGGTTCATCCCGACAACCTCCCCAATGTTACAGCATATGTGGTATCAACTGCCGAGTTTGACAGCACATATACAGACATGTCTTCCAGAGTAGAGGCTTCATCACCGATCGTCAGCACAAACGAGACAACCATTGGACAGACCTTCAACATTGCGTTAAAGGCAGGGCAGACAGCAACCTTCCACAAGTACGTTGGCGTTGCGTCAACCGACAAATTCGAAGACGCCGAGGCTGTGGCGCGTAAAGCATCGAAGGATGGAAACGCCGCAGGATGGAATGCTGCGGTCTCGGATCACGTCTCTGCGTGGGGAGAGCTTATGACAGAGGCTGCCATTGACAACTTCACGGATCCCACAACCGGCCAACTTCCACCTGATGCAAACATTGAAATCCTCCAAATCGCCACTGTTGCAAACAGCTTCTACCTCCTCCAAAGTCTACAGCCCGATGGATCTGGCCTCAACGACAACAGTATTTCAGTGGGCGGGCTGGCATCGGAATCATATGCTGGTATGATTTTCTGGGATGCCGATTACTGGATGGCTCCAGGACTCAACTTGCACTTCCCCAGCTACAGCAAGCAGATTAGCAATTTCCGAGCTAAGCTGTTCGACCAAGCAAAGGCGAATGCGGCTTTCAATAACTACCCTAATGAAAGCGCCCTATATCCGTGGACTTCAGGGAAGTTCGGCAACTGCACGGGCACAGGACCTTGTGTCGACTACGAGTACCATTTGAATCATGATATTGCATTCAACTTGGTGCAGCTTTACAATATCACGCAGAACAAGACGTGGTTTGATGATGGCCCAAGGCAGATTGTGGAGAGCATTGCGTATATGACAGGGGAGCTCTTGGATTACAATGAGACAACCAAGACCTACTGGATCCATAACATGACTGATCCAGATGAGTACGCTGTAAGTTGTCCCTAACCTCCTCAAAAGCAGGGAACTAACAAAAATAGAACCATATCGACAACGGAGCATTCACCATTGCCTCTGCTGCTGACCTTCTACTCGTCGCCAACGGTCTTCGTCGAAACAATGGCCAGGCCATCAACGAAACCTGGCAACACATGTCGGAGAATATCGAGTTCCCAACCGCGCCCTCTGATATAACTCTGGAGTACCAGACCATGGACAATAATGTCAATGTCAAGCAGGCCGATGTTATCTTGCTCGCCTACCCATTGGACTATGACCAAAACAATTACACTGAGGCTGATAAGCTGTTGGATCTGGATTATGTTAGTTCTCAGCATCCTATTCCCTATACATCGCTAATATTTTGCAGTATTCCAACCGACAGTCTCCCAATGGTCCGGCTATGACCTACTCCATCTCTGCTATTGTAGCTAACGCCATCTCCCCATCCGGTTGTGCTGCATACACTTTCACCCTGAACGGCTTCCTTCCCTATCTCCGTGCGCCATTCTACCAGTTCTCAGAGCAAAACGACGACAACGTCGTGAGGAACGGCCACCAGAACCCAGCCTTCCCATTCTTGACCGGCCACGGCGGCTCCAACCAAATCGCCCCCTTCGGCTTCCTTGGTCTCCGCACTGATCGGGAACACATGTTCATCAACCCATCACTCCCCCCCCAAATCCCGCACCTCAAACTGCGAGACATCTACTTCGCCGGCGCCGGTCTCCGCATCACCATGAACCGCACACACACCACCATCACCCGCTTCTCAACCGAAGGCATCCCCACCCTAACAGACAAGTACGCCGGTACCAGCATGCCCATCGACGTCGGCACCCCCGGCAACAACCAAGCCATCTACAACATCGACGTCGACCAAACCATCTACGTCCCCAACCGCCTTTACTTCGATAACATCACCTACACGGGCAACCTCCTGCAATGCCAGAAAGTCTCTTCCACTGACTCCTATGCACCCGGCCAATTCCCACAAGCCGCCATCGACGGTGCTATCGCCACGGCGTGGCAGCCCATGGCAAATGGCTCGGCGAGCATCCTCATTGATATGTCTGGCGGCGCGTATGAGAAGGTCAACCAGCTCTACTTCAACTGGGGCTCGCGCCCGCCTCGCCGTGCGATGGTGTCATTCGGTAATGAGACAGCATCCGACTGCAACGGCCAGCGCCAGCTCAGCGGAAAGGTCGTGCGTATCCCGCTTAACTCCATCAAACCGAATGATCCCTTCGATGCAGCCGTCGCGGCTGCCGCGGTCGTGAAACCGTATATCGGCAACGAGACGTTGATTTCCGTTCCCGGAGACGCCTGGTCAGGGAACTGGGTGAAGTTGGAGATTGAGGGGTGTTGGGCGAATGGGGATGAGGATGAGAAGGGAGCGACGGTGGCGGAGTTTGTGGTTGTGGGAGGAGGTGCGGGGGTTGTTGGGTGAGAGGGGTGGGATGGGGAATGGAATGTATAATGGGGGACCGGGGAATAATAATACGGTCCCAGGGACGGGGGCGGATGGGGCGGATGTTGGGGCGGAGGTTACGGGGTAGATAGAGAGAGATAGGATCTAATAGGTTCCTTTGTGTTTAATGTGAAGATAAAATTCTACTCCAGTCAACGCAATTAATTCTATGAAAGTGAAATTGATAAAGAAATGTGTCACATAGTACGTCCAAGGCTCAAGACTAGCTCTGTGTGTTCGTATATACTGCACTCGAACTTAGCCATTGGCGGGGTAGTGGGGTAAAAAAAAATCTTTCGCACAATTCAACGCCTCGCTTTCCAGAAGAGCTTCAAAAAAATACTTGAAACAAATATAGCTCATAATTGAATAATTCATAAAAGAAAAAAATTGCAAAAAAAATGCAGCTTTGATGGATTCGAACCATCATTTATCTTCAATCTCCTGGCGGGACTGGGAATCGAACCCAGATTGAAACGGGCTTGTATGTTACAACAGATGTTATACCACAACGTCACGTGCTACCATTACACCATCCCACCGCGTTTAGCGGAAGGAGACCATATAGGCTGGTCAATTCGTGGCGGATGGATGATTAATCCACTTTATGTACTTAGCTTGGGTGTCACATGACGGCGCAATTGGATTTTGGGGGATCACGTGTTTTCGAGTTTCCTGGACGCGTTTGGTTTGCTGGACGGATTCGCGTTTGATTGGGGCCACAAATACGATGGCAACTGTTCCAACTGCAGGAAGATAAATGATGCCGCCGAGACCTATTGTATAACACCGGTGATCATTGTTGAAAGGTCGGTGAAGCTTCGGGGACTCTCCAAACTCATTCATTGTCTTCCTCCAACACCACTCCCCCCACCACCACCAACAAGACAAACACCCCGCCTCACCACCACAATGCCTCGACCCTCCGAAAACCGCCTCGTCCTCCCCGTCTCATTCGCACTCCTCGAAAACATCAAAATCTACTTCGAAGAGAACCTCCGTACTTCCCCTCCCCCCCCCAACCGAAGCCACCAACCCCACTAACAACCCCCCCAGCAAACGACGCCCTCGACCTCCTCCAACACCTCGTCATCTCCGGCAAACGAACCACCGCTCCCCCCGGCAGCAGGCGTAACTCCGTCCTCCCCCCAGCGTCGTATCTAGATCTCATCTCCACCCTCCCCATCCACCCGCGCCACACCACGTACACGAAGTCGCGCGATGATCACCAGGCCGCTATAAATGCTATTGGCTACCTGCAACTCCTCCCCGCGCTGGTAAGCGTCAAGGATTCCGGGATGGGACAAGCTTTCCGCTTCGAGGAGGGGAGATCGGCGGAAAGCCAGCGCTGGGAGAGGGGAACGAAGAGGAAGGCTATGGTTGCGCTTGGGGGGGCGGAGGCGGTTGCGTTCGACGATGATGTTATTAACCACCCCATAGCGCGGGATAGTGTCTGGACCCAAGCGAAGGATTTCTGGCATGTAGTAGGGTGGGCGATTAATTGTGCCGTTTGGCACCGGAGGAGGTGGGAGTATTGGCAGCTGTGGTTGGAGTTTATGATGTTGGTAATGGAGAGGGATTTGGAGGAGAGGATTGCCCTGCGTGATGCGGGTGATGAAGGGGAGGGAGGGAGGCTGGAGGAGTCGATTCTGGGAAGGTTCCTGTTGCTTAATGAGCCTGGGGAGGGGAGGCAGGTGTGGAAGAGGGCTGCGAAGGCGATTTTTGCGGATGGTGAGGAGAGGGCTATGAATGAGTTCCCTCCGGTTTGGAGGGAGGAGACGAAGGTACTCAAAGACGACGATATGGAAATGTATAAAGCGCCGTCGATATACAGCGACGTCAAGGACCCGTCCAAAGATTGGCTCAGTCGCACCGGTCCAGGAGTGCGAGACCTCCGCATCCGCCTCATAACTCTTGTAAGTCCCCCCCCCCCCCCCACCCCACACATCCCACCCCCCCCCCAGACCAGAACCGACACCCCCCCCCCCCCCCTTCCTTCCTCGTGGAGGAAATCGACGCCGTCGATAGTTCTCTTAGCCGCTTCCTGCTTAATCACCTCCCCAACAAATTTACGATCGCCAAGCACAGCCGTCCCACGTTGCAGAGCGAATAATGGAGCGCGCTCACAATCACATGCTAGCGCCTGACGAACGACCTCCCTCTTACACCCCGTCTGCGTCGCATCACCCTCTGAACATGCAACTATCAGAAGCACCGGCTCCTGAGATATCGTCGGCAGGCAATGACCGCGGCAACGCACACGGCTCCATGTCGCAAGAAGAATCGTTATCTCGACCGGCCGAGCCGCCTGTCGAGCCGCCCGTCGAGACGACTGTAGAACCACCGCCTGTCGAGGAGACATCGCAGCCCATGGCGACCGCTACGACGACGACGACGACTGTGTGGCCTTCCTCGAATCCATTCGTTTCATACTACCGCCCGCCTAATGGCTCGCCCAGAAGTGCCCGAGGAGTGGACAGTCCTGGTGCTATGGACCTTGATGATAGTCGTGGTGTCAGAGGTGGCAGTGTGCTCTCTATTGATGATCCTGATGTGCGCCTCGCTGCCGAAGCTCTGGGAGACCTTCGTGCCGGTATGTAATCGCCTGCCTGATACCGAATTGGGCGCATTGTACTGACATTCGTATAGACTTTGTGCAGTCCCCACCATCTTCATCTCGCTATAATAGACACCGCCGGAATGTGTCAGGGCAGCCAGAGCCTCTACTCTCTCTTCTAACCACCTCGCACCCTCTGGTAGGGAGCACCATCAACAACTCGATCTCCGCCTACTCCGCCTCCAAGAACTACAGCCCGCGCTTCAAGTCGACAGCCGAATATGTCGAGCGTCGCTTCACACCTGTCGTCAATAAAGTCGGCACAGTGGGTCGCCATACAGGAATCGAAGGCAGCGTGCGCTGGTTCCTAGGAGGGCGCAGACGTGCACACAATCGCCATTCTACAGCAACGACGAAATCGACAGACGACATGTCAAGCAAGCGCCGGAAGACGAGCGAGGACACCGATAGGACATGGCCCATGCGCCACTCCACTCAATCGTTAGGAGACGAACAGCAACTCCAGCACCGTGAGCGACGCAATAGTGTCGCCAATAGCCTAGCTTCGTCATATGTTGAGAGCCTACCTGCATATGATGAATACAAGAGCCCAAGCTATGAGGCTTCGCAGACTACCTCGCTTGTTCGCTCCGAGGAGAACGATGCCCCAGGCTCACCATCATCCTGGCAATCGCGCCTTATCATGTCCACATCCGGCCTCAGCATCGCCATGTCCGTCGAGTCCCTCCGCTCCCTCAAATACTGCCTCGGTCTCCTCCGCTGGGCAAACGAACACATCGGAAAGAGCGTCACCACACTAAAAGAGACTCTCGAGGACTGCAACAGCAAGACCGCAACCCCCATTGCCGGATCCTCATCCGCTACCGAGGGCCAGAACGTCGAAGATATCTTCGTCCTAGACTCCGAGAAAGACCGAGAAGTCCTGACCCAGAAAATCGCCGAGCTAAAATACGACGTCCTCAAAACCCTGAAGGACGTCGTCGACGTCGTTTCCAAATACGCCGGCGGTGCTCTCCCTGAAAATGCACGCGTCCTCGTCCGCAGCCACCTCACCAGTCTCCCCCAACGCTTCAAAATGGCTAGCACTAGCACACCACCCGACACCGACGACGCGACGGCGAAGGCGGACTGGGAGATACGCGAAGGCGCGAAGAGGGTCATGGTCCTCGCTAAGGAGGGGCTGGATATGATGACGCAAGTCAGCGGCGTGTTGGACGGGACGATCGTCAGCGCGGAGGAGTGGTGCGAGCGCCTAGGAAAGAAAACGTATTCCGAGGAGACGGCAGAGGATATTCTCAAGGAGGGCATCGTGAAGCCGCCGGTAGATGGGCAGCAGCAGACGCCGGAGGTGTTTGCGGATGGGGATTATAGGATGGTGGGACAGGCTCTGTGAATAGGGGAGAGCGGGTACAACAACAATTACGCGGCGGACGCCCGCCTTTTTTTACTCTCTTTCTTTTTTTTTGTGTTTGGGGTATTAGGCTTTGAAGGATAGAAGCTGGAGGGATTAGGGATAGCCTTGCCTTGCGCGAATACTGCGGCAATGGAATGGGGGTTGTGGGTGTACTTCGGGGGATTATATTGGCGTTTTGGGGTGGGGGGTGAGATGGAATGGAATGGAGAACTATAGGGCTTTGCTTGCAAATAGATATACCACTTTTTTTTCTACACTTGTACTTAAAGGCTTGTCTTCGGCTGTTTTTCTTAAATCTGGTTAAATAAAGGATACAAAGAAATAAATCCCTCTCTTTTCAAAAGTCTCGCTTCAATTTTGGTGTTGCGCAGCATCGTGAAATCCGCACTGTCCACAGATATATCATTAGCGTATTCACCGCCCAGCCCACCACAAATTATTCTGCCGCCCTGATAACAAAATTCCTCACACCCTTCAAAAACTACCCCACCAAAACCTCACAACACCCACACATCACACACACAGCGGCAAGCCACAACCACAACCATGGCGACCGAAACACCCAAACCCATCCACGCCATCGTCCTCGACGCCGCGCCCATCATCACCAACACCCCCCCGATCTCAACCCTCCTCACCCAAGCGACGGAACTCTACACCGTCCCGCACGTCCTCGCCGAGATCCGCGACGTCGCAGCGCGCTCCCGTCTCGAGACTACGTTGTTGCCGTTTTTGAAGCTCAGGACACCGAGACCGGCGAGCATCAAGGCGGTGACGGATTTTGCGAGACGCACGGGTGATCTGGAGGTGTTGAGTAAACCTGATGTACTGGTGTTGGCGTTGAGTTATGAGTTGGAGTGTGAGAGGAATGGGGGGGATTGGAGGTTGAGGAGCTTGCCGGGGCAGAAGAGGTTGAATGGGGCGCCACCGGGGAGTGTGGTTGAGGGGGCTGAGAAGGAGGGGGGGGAGAAGGTTCAGGGTGGGGAGAAGGAGGAGGTGAAAGAGGAGGTGAAGGAGGAGGTGAGGGAGGTGAAGCCGATACCTGAGAGCAGGGGAGCGTGGGGGACAAAAATACCTGTTGCTGAGCCGGTTGTGGTGGAGGCTGAGAAGAAGGATGTTGAGATCCCAGCGGAAGTTGTGGAGGTCCCAGTGAAAGACGTTGAGGTTCCGGAAGTCAAGACTGAAGAGCCAACGCCTGAATCCACAGAGGCGCTCGCAGAGGAGAAGACCGAGGTGAAATCCACAGAGGAGTCCCTAGCCGCCCTGTCCCTCGCGCCTTCAGAAGAACCATCCACGGAAATCACCCCCGACGCCCCAGAAGAAGTCGAAGAGTCCGAGTCCGACGAAGACGACGAAGGCGGCTGGATCACGCCCTCCAACATCAAAAAAGTCCAAGCCAAAGAGACCGCCGGCTCCGCCCCGCAAGAGCCAGAAGTCAAGACCATGCAGGTCGCCTGCATCACCTCCGATTTCGCCATGCAGAACGTGTTGCTACGCATGAACCTCAACCTTCTCTCCCCAACCATGACACGCGTGCGCCAGCTCAAGACGTGGGTGTTGAGGTGCCACGCCTGCTTCGACGTCACCAAGGACATGTCGAAGCAATTCTGCTCTCGCTGCGGAAAGCCCACGCTTCTGCGAGTGAGCTGCTCCACAGACAAGGACGGGACGTTCAAGGTGCACTTGAAGAAGAACAAGCAGTGGAGCTCGAGGGGGAACGTGTATTCCATCCCCAAGCCCGTAGCGGGTAGTGCGAATACGCGCGCGGGAGGAGGGGGTAAGGGGGGTTGGGGACAGACGCTGATTCTGGCGGAGGATCAGAAGGAGTATGTGCAGGCAACGGAGAGGGCGAAGAGGACGAAGGAGAGGGATCTGATGGATGAGGATTACCTCCCTGGACTGCTGAGTGGGAGCCGTAGGGGGCCAGGGGGACGACCAATAGTTGGGGCGGGGAGGAATGTTAATTCGAAGAAGAGGCATTGAGGGGGTGGGGTGCGTGGGCGGTGGTGGGTAGGCTGGACGTAAAGAGACATGGCGTTGATATGGGGTAGGAGTTGGGATATAGATATATGGGATAGATTATATCGGGCTTAGAGAAAACGAAATGACATTTTTGGATCAAGCCTTTTTTTTAATCATGCAAAGTTACTGGATTGGAGATTGGACACATGCGTAAATGTCGTTTTGAAGTGACTGGCCGCGTCGATTTTTATTATGTTTTGAATTTTTCAAATTGTTGTATCATTTGGCTCAGGGCAGCCTAGACTTTTCACCCCTCCACCGAACGCCTTCAACGCCTTCAACATAGTCCAACATCTTCCATCCAACTCTCCCTCTTCCTCTTCCCTCAAATCCCCCTTATCCTAGCAAATCCAATCTACTGTCCCAGAACCTTAAGATCCTCTGCGCACCGAATTAGCTCCATCCACTATCACTCGGAAAACTGGGAAGAACTCACTCTGCTGCATCAACAAAAGCCCATAACGCTTCTTCAGCGTCACGCGGTGCCGGCTGTACTTGTCATCCGGGCTGAAGCGCGCGGGATGCGCGCTCTTGGTCACCTCTCCTCCATTGATCTTCTTGAGGGTGTAGACACGGGTGCCCTCGGCGTCAAGGGTGTACATGAGATGCATGGTTGCGGTAGCGGAAAAAAAGATCTGGATAGGCTGTTAGTCTACTGCGCGCTGGGCTGGGCTGCGGATTGGGGAGACGTACGAGGTGTTGGCGGTGAGGTTTGTGGTTGGGCGGCGGCGTGCGGTGGTGGTGGTTTGAGTTTGGTGATCTGGAAACTTTTTGATGTGGAGGTTTGCGGGAGGCGGCGCTAGGCGGGATTGGGGTTGCGTGTGGGGCTTGGGGGGATGGATGCAAGGCTGAGGATTTGGAGCGAGGTGCTGTGGTGAAGGCTGGAACAATTATTTTTCTGAACAACACTTGGGAGTTCGGGATTTGAAATGGCTTTTATTGTAGTGAACGATTAAATGGCTTTGGGTAGTTTGAATCCTCGATATATCCAATGTGGGGATTTCTTCCTAGGCGATCTCTCGACAGCTAACATGCAGCGCCAACCACGAACTTCTCATACGGATTCCTTAAGCAAAGACGCCGAGGTGGCTTGCAAAGAAAGCTCTACCTACCATTGAACGTGATCCAGGGCCCAACCGCGAGGGAGGTTGTAGTGAGGAACGCTGTGAAGCTGTCCGCAACAACAGCCTGAGGGAAGTGGACGATACGAGGCATGTTTTCGAGACCGTGTTGAATGCAACCATACAAACGCCCGTTGTGGACCGATGCCTGCCTTCAGACATTTAACCACCACCTCTTCTCACCGCCGCCTACGTATTCTCACCACTGCTATTTTCTCACCGTGCAACTATTCCCACTGCCTCCACTCCCCCTAGGAGAATATCGCATCGTAGCCGAAGATTTTCTGGAAACATTCGACAGGTGCGACTGCCGCATTAGTTGTGTCACCAAGGCTAGCATGGAGTCGCTCTCTGCCAAAAATTTCAACCCCAGCTGCAACACCTTATATATTGGCGTAATAACACAGCAGCTCGCCTTCGTTGGCTGGATATCAGGGTACGAGATCCCCCACGCAGTTTCTCACATCATACTTCTGAGTAACGGAACTTTAGAAGAATTGCGAGGATCAGTAACAATACACAAACCAATCTTCTTAATGCTAACTATGTGGCACATAAGCCTCCTCGTAATATAAATACAGGACCAGTAGAGCTGAGTATCTCAAATCAACAAATAAACGCCTCCACCCCCATCTCGTAAGATGTTTCTTTACCCCTATCGTATCCCCCTCTGCGCCGTTCGCTCAAACCACCAAAATATACATCCATCATATACACTCACTCCCCTTTTAGAACTCTCCACCGCCGCCGCCGCCCATCGCTGCGGCTCCCCACATGCCAACCAGACCCCACATCCCGACTCTCCAGCCTCGCCAGAGCCCTTCGACGCCTTGGCCTTGCTTGACCTTTGGCTTCCTGGTTGTCCTCGTGACTGGGCCTGAGAATTTGAGGGCGTCGGGTTCGTCTCGCACGCCCTCTTCGCGGGCAATCATCCACATAGTGCCGATTGGTCCGCTGTAGGGTCCAATATCGACAACGGTGTCTAACTCCTTGCCAGTGTAGTATGGTGGCGAGTTAAGAACTGACATCTGGCCACGGCGGAGGACGGTTTCGAGAGGAAGCTTCACAAACAGCTCAACTGCTTGTGAGAGGAACGAGGCGACGGAGAAGATAGCGGGGGTGCGGACTGGGTCGATTGAGAATTGGGAGCTGAGGACGAGGGGCGTGGAGTGGATGATGACGGGGGATATAATGCTGTGAAGGACGGTTGGGACGAAGATCTTTCCGGGGCAGACCCAGGATGGGAGTTGGCCCAGTTCGTTTACGAGGCCGCGGCGCGGTGCGTTGGTCGACATGAGAATAAGTCTATTGCTGGTTAGTGGCGGAAAGGGGCGGGATTCTCTGTTGTGCTTACTTTGTTCGTACAATGTCTAGCGGTGCGAGCGTCAGACCTGCTATGGCAGCTGCCCCAACCGCTATTCCAAGGGATGACCATGGGTACGGCGAATCTACCATATCAAGGCCACCACCGATAATCCCCACAATCCCTGGGTCCGGAGCATTGAATACAGCAGAGAGGAAACTCCTTGCCCAGTTCTCAAAAGTCCTAAGCAAGGCGCTGTATATGAAAGTCGAGTTCGTTCCCTTCCACACGCCCCATGCCCCTTCTTTCGTCCATAATTGGCCGATTATTTCGAGGATCGAATCAGAGTGTTTCAGAGTAAGTTGGTTTGGGCTGGGCGAGTCATCCGCGGAGGGCAAAACGTAACCAGCGCGGTCGGTGGCATGTCGCCGTGAGCGAGTTGGAGAGGTGTAAGTTGTAGCTTCTGGCGCATTGGAGGTGAAATATGCAGGCTCGTCTGGGTCTGAATCGTCTGAAGGATACTATCAAGGGGATTAGCATGTGACAAGACTGGCGGAGCGCTGCGGGTTACGAACCTCTGCATATTTAGATTCCATAAAGTCAGACGTCTCCTGCCTGCCATTCCTGGGAGAAAACGCAGGCACTGATGTGTCTACCAGAGCTTGCGACCGGACCTGTAGGATCGTCTTCGCCACATCGAATGGCTGCGCTATCAACACCGACATGTATTTGTACATTGCCTCATCCAGCATTTGTTTAATCATATCCACCGTGCTCTGCGAGCCCTCTGACACGTAATCCGAGTAATCGATGTCGCTGAAGATGTCGCGCGCCGATGACGCGTAGGAAGTCGAGCCATTCTGCCCAGCTCCCCGTCCGGAGCTCCCTGCATTCTGCGCTTCTGGTGGGAATCCAATACTCGGAGGGATATAGTACGGCCTCAGTGGATTTGGACCTTCGCGCGGGTTCGCCATGCTTGAGGCGGTGTTTTGGTGAGTTCAAATGTCATTAGTGGCTGGGGAAAGGGAAACCTGGTAGTACAGTTGTGATGTCAAATCCGTGCATGGAGACTCGCCTAGAATTTTATGCGGAGTTTACGATAACGATCGCCGAACCTCGTCGGGAAATATTCTTGGATGCGCCTCACTCACAACCCTTAATTTTTTGTCCTTTTGCGCCCTGCACGATGAATGTCTCAAGGTCGGCTGTAAGGTCTTCGAGATGGTCGAAGCCCATTGAGCAATTCCTACGAGAATCTACACAGACGTCACCGAGACGGGGGTTTGCTTCCGCAACAAGAGTCACGGCTATACAGAATGCACAACAACCACGTCAGCAACGGCTAGCAGGACAAGCAGGCGGTTATGGCAGAGTCGAGCAGAGAAGAGCGTTTTCATACACGCCGATATCTTTACACGGGCATCTTGATCCGCCGAAGCCGGGAGAAGAGTAGGTGGTTGAGCTATCTCCGGAGCTGACTAGCCGCTGATACTGTTTAGGCTACACGTTACCTTCATAGACAAGGACGGGGACGAGCAGACTATCGTAGTCGCAAAGGGAGACAATCTCTTGGATATCGCTCAAGCCAACGATGTTGAGATGGAGGGTATGAACTTTGAACCCCGAGACTGCCCGAAAACTATGCTAATATCTATCATAGGCGCATGCGGAGGCTCTTGCGCATGCTCAACATGCCATGTCATAGTCGAGGACGAGGGATTGTACGATAAGATGGAGGAGCCTGATGATGACGAGAACGACATGCTGGACCTTGCCTTCGGCCTGACCGAAACATCACGACTGGGTTGCCAAGTGAAGATGAACAAGGACCTTGATGGATTGAGGGTCAAGCTGCCATCTATGACAAGAAACCTACAGGCAAGCGACTTCAGCCAAAAGAACGAGAGATCTGATAATTAGCATGGGATACCTGGAACACTGTTGTAAATATAACCGATTCCCCACCGGAACATGTATCATTATTGGAACCAGCGGCTAGAAGCTTGCTAGGTTTTAAAAACATTACTACTCCAACGCCAATATGCGCCATGCTGTGCAATTCATAAGTGATACAATCATGCCTCCTCAATGCCTCCCGTTGGCAACCCTCCCGAGCCGCCGGCGATGAGCGCTAAGAAGCCCTGCTTGCTCATCTCATTGACCTTCTCTTCCCTCCTCCCATGGCCAACCAAACCTTTCTGCCTAGCATCCTTTGCAGCCTGCTCTCCCTTGATCTGGGCAGACCTCACAGCATTGAACATGCGCACCACACCTCTTTGCGCTGTCTTTCTCAAACGCTTCTCCTCCTCCATAATCTGCTGGACCGTCGCCGTTGGCTCACCCTCCTCCTTGTTGGCAGCGTCGAATGCCGTCGAGGCGCCCAAAACATCCTTGACACGGCCCTTGTCCATAGCCTGCCTCTTCTCCTCCCTCATCTTTTGCTTTGCCTTCTTTTCCAAGGCCTGGTCGGTGATCTCTTTCGATGCTTGGAGGGCGTTCACACTCCTCGATAAGACGGGGTCGCTTCGCTTGCTTGTGGAGAGTTTCGAGCCCAAGATCTTGGACATGGATGTCGCAAAGGCATCAGGATCGTTGCGCTTGTTTCGTATCTTCACGTTGTTGGGGTTTGTGTCTGCATCAGACATGTCTGCGTCCGAGTCCGAGTCTGAATTCGATGCATCGGTGACATCTGATGCAGATGCATCGTCCAGATTTGGCTCATCGTTCTCCTCCTCATTGTCCGAATCTGCCGCGACATGTGTGGAAAGCTTCACCGGCGCAGATTCTTCCTCCTCATCCGAGTCTGCGAGGTTGACCGCTGCGAAGTCCTGCTTGTCCCCAGTCTCGGAATCATCGCCGGAACCACTGTCGTAATCTGTTTGTTTCTTGAACTTCTTGACCAACTTCTTGGGTCTCCCTTTCATGCTCTCCCCCGCCTTCCTTTTTGTTCTCATTGGTCCACCCATTGCGTCGTTGAAGAGGATTTGAATTATTGGTTTCGTCGTTCAAAATCGCATCCGCCATATTATTTTCAGTCGTCAATCTCACTTTTTGCGATAACCGGATTATCTTCTGGTTGGTCGTGTGCCAATATGTGGGTCCACCGGAACAACCGCTGGATTCGCTTGCCCCGCGATTCCTTAGCCCACATGGACATAATTCGACGTCTCATGGAACCTTGAGTCTCGTTGTATATTAAACTGAGGTTCAGACTGCCTGTCAGCGCTATCTGAGCTATGGTTCTTCAAGATCTTGGACGGCGCATTAATGCGGCCGTCAACGACTTAACTCGATCGAGCAATCTCGACGAGAAGGTAATGCCACGTCGCTACTCTGTAAGACTACAGCTTCTAACAGACATAGGCATTCGATGGCATGATCAAGGAGATCTGTACCGCTCTCCTCGAAGCCGACGTCAACGTGAAGCTCGTCGGAAACCTACGCAAATCTATTAAAGCCTCCGTGAACTTCAAGGACCTCGAGCCAAGCGTCAACAAGAAGCGCCTCATTCAGAAGTCCGTCTTCGATGAACTGGTCAAGCTTGTCGATCCCCATGCCGAACCGTTCAAGCCAAAGAAGGGCAAGCCGAATGTCATCATGTTTGTTGGATTACAGGGCGCGGGTAAGACTACAACATGTACGAAACTGGCACGACACTACCAATCGAGAGGCTTCAAGGCCTGCCTTGTTTGCGCCGATACCTTCAGAGCCGGAGCTTTTGACCAGTTGAAGCAAAACGCCACCAAGGCGAAAATCCCATACTATGGTTCTCTCACACAGACGGATCCAGCCGTAGTGGCAAAGGAGGGAGTGGATAAGTTCAAGAAGGAGAGGTTCGAGATCATTATCGTGGATACGAGTGGAAGGCACAGGCAAGAAGATGCTCTGTTCCAGGAAATGAAGGATATTCAGGATGCTGTGAAGCCAGATCAGACTATTATGGTCTTGGATTCCAGTATTGGTCAGCAGGCTGAGGCGCAAAGTAAAGCCTTCAAGGAGGCCGCAGATTTCGGAGCTATCATTATTACGAAGACCGACGGAAGTGCAAGCGGTGGTGGTGCCATATCCGCAGTCGCTGCAACACGAACACCTATCGTGTTTATCGGTACTGGTGAGCACATGCTGGATCTTGAGCGATTCGCGCCGCAGCAGTTCGTCAACAAGCTCCTCGGTATGGGCGACATGCAAGGCCTCGTCGAGCACGTGCAGTCGCTCAAGCTTGACCAAAAGGATACGATGAAGCACATCGCTGAAGGTGTCTTCACTATCCGCGATCTACGTGACCAGCTCTCGAATATCATGAAGATGGGTCCCCTGTCTAAGATGGCCGGTATGATCCCCGGCATGAGTGGCATGATGCAGGGCATGGACGACGAAGAGGGTTCCCTGAAGCTCAAGCGCATGATCTACATCTGCGACAGCATGACGACTAAAGAGCTCGACTGCGATGGCAAGCTCTTCATCGAGCAGCCAACGCGCATGACGCGCATTGCGCGCGGCAGCGGCACTAGCGTGCGCGAGGTCGAGGATATCCTGACGCAGCACAAGATGATGGCCGGGATGGCAAAGAAGATGGGCGGCAACATGAAGAACATGCAGCGCGCCCAGAGCGCGATGGGAGGCGCCAACAAGCAGCAGCAGATGGCGGCGATGCAGAAGAGACTCGCGAGCATGGGAGGTGCAGGTGGTGCCGGTGGTGGTGGCATGCCAGACCTGAGCTCGATGATGAAGATGTTTGGTGGCGGTGGAGGAGGGGGAGGAATGCCTGGAGGCATGGACATGCAGGCCATGATGCAGCAGATGGGGGGCATGATGGGAGGTGGGGGGATGCCTGGTGGAAGTGGCGGTGCGGGGAGAGGGAGGAGATAGAGTCTAGTGGGGCCTCTGGTGGTCGTCTGTCTGGCGCGCCACAAATTTGAGCATAGCGAGGAGCCTGGAGTTAGGGATTTACTTCCGGCATGTAACTGAAATATTAACGTTGAATAACGATCACACGGAAGATAATTTAGGTCATGAAGTAGTGGGTGGTCGGCGTGTCGTAAAGGGTATTGACTGAACGATAAATTTAATCGCCAGCCGCCTACACCAGTCCCCAACCAGCTAATATCTGTGATATATTTTATAGTCTCAAACTTCCTCGTTCACCGCAACAGTCTATTCACGATAAATCGATACATCGATAGAAGCCACAACGGCCATGGGTGGCCGCATTACGTGGGCGTACGGTGGCTGGACCATAAAATTTCCCGCCCATGCATATGCTTCCCCGCATTCCCAGCCGGAGAGTTTTTCCCTTGGGTTCAGTGGTAAGCCGCTAAGTCACGTTCCTACATTATTTTTCTATTGGACATTTGATGAGAGGGGTGGAAATGGAGAGGCCAAAGCGCAACCACAGAACAGATGCTATAGAATACCAAAATATGTGCCGTCTTTGGCGTCTTTGGAGCGGTCTGTCAACTTTACCCCTCCACGCCCAGGACTTCTCCTCATTACGGGATCCACAAGCCGCTATGCCTATACCTGCCGGTGCATAGCTACGCCGGCCCAATCTCCCGAGTATATATTGCAAAATAGAGCCAGTCCCATTCGGGGTTCATTCTACAAATTAAGGAAGTCTCACTCCTAGTCTCAGTTCCACTCTCTCACCAACCGCCTTCTCCCGACGCGCTTTGGTGGCGATGGGCGTCGCAGTCGCGGCCCGTACGTTGCCATCAGATGATGCGGATTGGGCAGGAAGCATTAGTAGAACCGGCCCAGGATATATGAGCTGGTTATGCGGAGAATAAAGGGCGGTATGGCGGCTAATTCAAAGGTATGGGTATATTCTTGTTTCTCGATATCATTCATTGGACTCTCTCAAGCATCACCCATGTTCTCTCTTGGCATATAAAAGCCGATAATATAAAGCACGGTATATCCCACGACCCTCGATATTGGTATCGATCGTCGCTCAGCCTAAATTCCCCCTGCGTTAAAGTTGGGATATATATTCCCTTCTTCCCTTCAACTCCACTCTTGTCTATCTCCCGAAGCCAAGCCTTCTCATCAATATCACCACCAGACACTAGCAATATGGCTCTCTCCAAACTCACCCTCCTAGCCCTCCTCCCCTTCTTCCTCGCCACCCCTTCTCTCGCCGTCTCTGGCACCGGAGTAACAACCCGCTACTGGGACTGCTGCAAACCGTCCTGCTCCTGGTCAGGCAAGGCCTCCCTCAAGACTGGCCCTGTGCAGTCCTGTGACAAGAACGACAATGTGCTCGCCAATGTAGACGCCAAGTCCGCCTGTGATAATGGCGGTCCAGCCTTTATGTGCTCCAATGAGAGCCCATGGGCCGTCTCGGACTCCCTGGCTTATGGATACGCCGCGGTATCGATAGCGGGTGGGACTGAGGCGAGCTGGTGCTGTGCCTGCTACGAGTTGACGTTTACGAGTGGCCCGGTGTCAGGAAAGAAGATGATCGTTCAGGCTACTAATACTGGCGGTGATCTTGGCCAGAACCACTTCGATCTCGGCGTGCGTATTCATTTTCCTACTCCCCCCTTTCCCTTTCTACTCCACTGGCCCTTCCCCGCCATCCCCGGTGCCCTTTTGCGCAGGATGTCCCAAAATTGACATCCCCCAGATGCCCGGCGGTGGCTTCGGTATCTTCAACGCCTGCACCCCTCAATACGGAACTCCCTCCACCGGCTGGGGCGCCCAATACGGCGGCATCTCCTCACGCAGCCAGTGTGATGCCTTCCCCGCAGCTCTCAAAGCCGGCTGCTACTGGCGCTTCGACTGGTTCCAGAACGCCGACAATCCCTCCGTCAGTTTCAAGAGCGTCGCCTGTCCGCTGGCGATCACGAACAAATCGGGCTGTGTGCGCTCGGACGATACGCCAACAGGAGACGGAACGGTGCCGACGGCAAGTGTGGTAACGCCGGTGAGCTCAACGAGCGCGGGGACAACGACGCCGTCGAGTGGGACGGGGACCGGGGGGGGGACGGTGGCGAAGTATGGGCAGTGTGGGGGGTCGGGGTGGACTGGGGGAACTTCTTGTCAGGCTGGGTCGACCTGTCAGGCGACTAACCAGTGGTATTCACAGTGTCTGTAAGGTGTTTTTTATGGGTGGGCATGGAGATGGGTTGTATGAAGGAATAGGGAAATGTTGGTGGGAAATAAATGGTGAGATGAGCGCCGATTTTGCTCTTTTAACCTTGGCTTCCTGTGTTGATGGATTAGGTTGTATATATTTAAGTTATTTTCGAAAATTGTATCTACAGGAATCGCAGTACGCTTCCGAGCTCTGTGTCCACTTGCAAGGGATCGCTTCTTCCTCATCTTCACATCAAATCAGTGCTAATGCCATATCACCAACTGCTTTGCACGTAGTAAAAGTCGGCGACCTTTGCCTAAAATCGACCCCTGTCTTCGTCAATACAACGTGCTTCTACAGCAAGGCTCACTTTTGAGCTCGTGGGTTTCCTAACGCGATATACACATTTACGACCTGCATCGAAGGACTGAACCGCAGTATACAACTACAATTCATTTTGCGCATTGAACTCACGGCAGTGTGAAAACTCCAGCAGTAATGTCGTTATCTTGGCCAGAACGGAGTCGGCAAGAGCGCAGGTTCCTTCGGGACTGTTGTCCCAACTATTGGGGTTTCGCAATCTATCGGACGGTTTACACTCCAGAGTCTGATTTGTTGTGGGAAGGCACGATTGCAAAGTTGGATGAATATGTGATCAATTCTATCTGGAGGTACATGGGGGTTACGAACCTGGAAGTGGAGGAGGGAGAGGACCAGCTCGATCCTACACCAACTCGCGAAGTCTGCGCGCGATACCGGAACCTTATCATGAGCGACAGGGAGAAGTATGATGGAGCGTCGATCGATGAGGTTGCAGACCACTTCACCGACTGGGCTGATGATCCCAACAATGATAAGAGTAGCAACATCAACATGAACGTTTGTCTTCTAATTGACGAGGAGGATCTATACTGGCTAAGAGATGCACCACCAGCGACGACGGAAGTTAGAACAACGGGAAACGCCGATCAGAATGTGTGTATTAAGGTCATCGATACTCTTTTTGACCCTGAAGACATGAGCGAATGCGACCCTAGATACAGAGGCTGGGCGTTAGCAAGGCTAAACAGGCTCTGGGATCTTTACTCTCGTGTGTATTCTGGAGATTGTCCTTTAAGCGTACAGATTTTCAATGCTCGGAGCAAATTCGAGGGGGGGGTCTGGTGGTGGATATAGTACGATTATATGACCAAATAGGAAATGCCGCCGACATATACAGGCTGTATTTCAATCTAAATTCTAAGTGTCTCGATAAACTAGGCTAATTTTTGCAATATGATGCCATTATTCCCTGCTTGAATTTACGCCTTTAGTTTAATGTGTATCCTGTTTACCTTCTCTTTCCCACTTCACGACCATTGCTAGGTCTATTAGGTATTGCATAGCGTTAAGCTAACCCCTCGCAAGAAAAGACGCTGTCATTAAGTCTAAAATGGTACACGCTTCAACTATTCAATTTCTCCTAATCAGATTTTCCATCTTTACTCTGCGTGTGATTTCTATTATACCTCTAATTATAACGAGTATATACTCACTCTGTTAGATCCGCCACAGATCTGAGTCGCATTGCCTGCACAGGCCATAGTACACCCTGTACTGATGGTGCCTGTCGTTTGAATGGAATTGCCACAGAAACACTGCTAGCCAAACTCAACGCCTAAGTATATGTAACCGGCGGTTCTACAGGTATTCCGACATAGGTCAACCGTCATGATTGCGCCCTCATTCGCAATGGAATATCTATTTGCTAGCGTGCGAGCCGTGGCTGAATCTGAGAAGCAACCAACATATCTAGACTGCGGTCTTGCTAATATGGTTATGCGATTTGAACCTCCGCAGATCTGGTTTAAGTTACCAGCGCATGTCATATCACATCCACTCGAGGCAACAGCGCCGTTGATAAAGTTATCACAGTAGCATTCCCATTTGTACTCAACGCTAGAAATTTGATAACCAGCTCATACTTAGTGTGTCATTATTGTTGTTTCCTTTGGAACCGCAACACGGTTTCTTAGAGTACGTGACATAGAAGAGTCGACATAACATCCAACAATCGTATCATCGCCGATTGAGTATACATTAATCCTGTTACTGCCACCGCACATCTCGACAGTGTTTGCTAGGCATGGACTGGTACAGCCTGATGTCGCAGGGCCATTATTCAGTATGGAGTTAGCACACTAACATTAGTGGGCGTATTCGAGGCTAGCGAAAGTATATCCATTCGATCGACATGTTTGCTAACAAAGCTCAACTGTCATCGTAGTGTCTTGGTTCGAAAGTATAATTTGATTCGCCAGAGTTCGTGAAGTTGTAACACCTACGTAGCACCTAAGGGAAATCTAGAATTAGAACACCAGAGGGCTTGCTACACAGACAGAGTATCCGATAGAGAGATTATCACAGGCAGTATTAAGATAACCGTTCCAGATGACCAATTGTGATCGTGAGATTCCGTACGCAGAATTGATTGTGTCGCACGTATCTCCATTCTTAATGGTATACCAAGAATTGCACTGAGGCGGTGTACCAGTGCTAGTAGGAGCAGGGGCGGCTGGATATGTGGTTGAGCTAATAATAGGAACGGTTGAGGAAGTAGCCATAGTTGTAGTTTGAGGGGTTGTAGGGGTGACAAAAGTAGTGGCTGTAGAGGATGCTGTGGTTGTAGACGACGGTCCCATTTCGCGCCAGCGATAGTAAGGCGCAACGCAGTAGTACAAGTTATCGATGAGATCGCTGTTGCAGGTTGACTTTGATAGAGATGGATTTACTTCCAGGAACAGAGCATACGGAATAGAATTTGCCAGACTAATTTCCGCACAGGCTGTCCCAGCCGTGACTTGGTAGAAAGAGCCACAGTACGGGGTTGTACCCTTTGCAAGAACAGCGCCGGTTGGTGGCTGGACAACCGTATCTGAATACCCATCGCGCCTTTCCTCAGTAGGCTGAGGAATAATCGATAAACGGCTCCATAGATGGTGAAAAGGACCAAAGAGACAACATCCGAAATACGCCTTATCTCCTTCCTCTTCCAAAACCACCTCTTCCTCGACCTAGAGCATCCTGCGCCTTCTTCGTCTCAAATTTCTTCTCTTCAACAGCAAGATAGTCTCCCGGCAAGCTCCCTCGCAAATCACGCAACGTCTCATTAGCTCCATAGCGCTTTAACAGATCTAAACAATCCTTCCTCAAGAACCTCGAAGCGTAATGTAGCGGAACTCTCCCTGCGACGTCTTGCGCATTCACATCAGCACCGCTCTCTAACAGCAAGCTAACCGATTCTTTCCAGCCGTCCTGGCTCGCTCTATGCAGCGCTGATGCTCCTTGCACGTCTCGCATGTGCACATCCGCTCCGTGCTGAAGAAGAAAGCGCAGACATACTGGCTCAGAACATGCGCTATGGAGAGGTGTGCCACTAATCGGAGAGTCTGAACATGTGTTTATAGCTGCACCTCGTACGAGGAGGAATTCTAGCACTGGAAGGCAATTTGGGTCAACCTCCACGGCGCGGTGGAAGGGCGTATAGTGTTTGTTGTCTTTGGCGTCTATGATAGCTCCATTGTCGAGGAGGATCCGGGCGATGGAGACGGCGTTAGCAAATGCCCGACTAGGGTCCTGCCCCTGATCATTCTTTATCCAGTCCCATCCCTCTAATAAGTAGTGGAGCGGGTGCTTGCCTTCGTAATCTGGCAAGGAGGGATTGGCACCAAAGCTGAGTAGAAGCTGCACGAGTTCTAAATGTGCTCCCCAGACAGCAAGTTGGAGTGGGGTACAGTGGAACCCGTCTCTATGCCACCCCACAGGTTGTGGTATTCCCCCGCCGTCATCATTAATATCCATTCCATTGTCTAAACATTTCAAAACGACAGCATGGAACCCATATCTGGCAGCACCATGAAGGACGCTTCTTCCAGAGCTATCTCTTGCAGAGAGATTAGCACCAGCGCAGATCAACGTTTCTACTACCTTTTCTGTCGCTTTAAAGTCGTCATCGTTGTGGAAGAAATTTGCAGCATCCAGGGACAAAGAGCAAAGTAGCGGCGTTTCTCCACCGTCGTTCTTTGCTTCCAAGTCTTTTAAGCCTCCTCTTGCCAATAGCAGCTCAATTACACCGACATGGCTCGTTGTAGCAGCGTAATGTAACAGAATTATTTCATGATCCCCATGCTGAATCCTAAGGTTAGATCCACACTGTACTAACAGGAGGTCGACTACGGCCACATATCCGAAGCTAATAGCTATCGTTAAGGGGGTCCCGCAACGGCCATCCTCAGCATCAATACGGGCCCCATTTTCAAGTAAGAATCGCACAACTTCTACATCCCCTTCCGCAGTCGCTGCGTGCAACGGAGTCCAGAATTCGTTCCCCATCGCCTCGTTAACTTCTGCACCGTTCTCTAGCAGGAGCTTGATGATCTCAATTTTAAGCTTTGGCGACTTGGTGGAGTGGCACACGGTGTGCATAGCAGCCCATCCGGTATCTGGATGCCCCTGCTTCACTACTTCATCAAGTCGCCTCCGGACTGTTTCGATATCACATTGCTCCAGAGCTTCAACAACTGTAGGGCTGAAGGGAATAAAGGAGTTACGTCTTATTTCGAGGTTTGCTTGCTCCGCCTGCTCTTCTACCAGCTTTACTGGTTGCGTGAGCCGCTGACATTCCAATCCGGGTGGTGAAGACATTTCGTGGAACATAGATGTTCTGTTGAGCGATCCGCTAGATGCACTTGCTTCCTCCGACTGTGAGCAACTGGCGGACTCGGCGATTATAGCCTAGGGAAAGCTTGCAGCAACTAATGGCCGAGAAACCTTCTCTGAGTTTAATTGGCACGGTTGCGTTTCGAGATATACTTTCGGCCTCAGGCCGAATTATTACTAAGCAATGTGGGGTTCTTAACCGCATGATTTATCATGCGTGGAGTCGTTTTAGAGTCGTTTGTGGTGTAATTTCCTAAAATCACGTGTAGTTATAGGGTATCATAGACAGAGTAATCGGATACTATGAGGGCTGGGCGACGAGACGAGGTTGCCAGACTTTTACTCCAGATCAGATCCCAATTGGCATCTATACGCATATCAACTTCGCTTTTATAAAATCTCTTATTTCATTCATGTTGACGTATAATTTTAATGGCGTCAACATTAACTGGGAATATCCGCAAGCTGAAGATAGAAGTAGGCGTAATAAGGACTTCAAAAACTTTCCAATATTTCTTAGTAAACTGAAATCAGCATTACAGTCGACAGGTAGGAGAGATGGACTCAGCATCACCATTCCCGCCTCTTACTAGTATCTGCAGCATTTCGACATCAAGAATTTGGCTACGGTAGTAGATTGTACGTATTCTCCCTTTCTACATTATATATCCTATAAGCAGATCAGTATATGGTCATATTACTGCCTAAGATCTATATCAAACTACATCACATTACACATACCGCTAATAATATGATATTAGTTTTCAATATTATGACATATGATCTTCATGGGTACAGATTCTACAACATTCAACTCTTGTTGTGCATTCTGACTGTATCTATAGTGTATAGGATATTAGCAACAGGTAGCTGGGTACGTTCCTGAATGCACATGCCAGTCTCACAGAGATCGCTGATTCTCTTGATCTACTGTGGCGTAATAGAATCCCGTCAGGCATGGTCAATCTTGGACTCGCTTTTTACGCCCGAACCTCCACGCCAGGTAACACTCTCTGCAAGACCCCAGGCTGCGCTTATGTCTCAGCTAACAAAGTTAGGCCGTGCAGTAATTCTGTCGGTACTCTTACTAACGCCGAACTTGCGGATATAATCACAAAAAACAACCTCAAACCCGAGCTTCTCGAAAACGAAGCTGTCAAAATCATTACCTAGGGTAGCTAATGGGCAGCATACGATGATAGACACACCTTTAAGATCAAGGCAAATTTTGTGAAATCCCAGTGCCTTAGTAGGGTGTTCGTTTGGGCTATCAGTCAAGACTCCAGCGACAGAGCATCTTCAAAAGGTCTCGGAACTGCCGTAGGGAGAAGCTTCGTTCCAGCCTAAGAGATTACAGCAGGCACACCCGACGCTGTTAATAAGTGTCTCTACTTTACAGAAACAGTGCCATTAGTCAAGCTGCAGAAGATTGTGTCCGGCAGAGTATGTGACAGTTGTTCGGGATGATGTATAGAAGAATTATGATAGAGAGATTATGCAAGATGACACGTTCTGTGGAGGAATAGGGGAACGCTTATTGTGTTGCCCGGATGATTTACAGAGACCAAAATGCGGATGGTACTCTCATCACAACGGCAATTACGACTCCACATGCCCCGATGGATATGTCGAAGTAGGGTCCTATGCAAAGGATTGCAAAAATATTAACCATTACCAAGCAGCATGTTGCGAGGTACGTGTCCATACCGCTGTTTCATTTTTGATTGATGCGGCAGCTTTGTATAACCGGTGCTATTGGAATGGGACGGCTCCACACTGTGATTCCGATTGCGGTTCTTCCTAGAGTATCAGCCAGCCTACCCGCTCATGGTCAGGCAGTGGTGGAGTTAACTGCCTCGAACACACTCCTTATAGGTTCGGGATCTCATATAAGCGCAATTTTGAATTTAAGCCATACTGTTGCTACGGGACGCCAGACAAGAAATGGTCATCGTGTAACAAGAATACCGACATCGGAATCTCCCCTTCTAATAAGAACCCGGATAAATATTACAGGTCGGAATGCCCTGCTGGCAAGACGCGAGTTGCAATGAACAACATGAGATTGAAGACAAAAAACTGCTTGACTAGAGGCGGCGCAGGCGTATACTGCTGTGAGGCTTATACAACCTCACTAAAGCTATTCCAAACCCTCTTCTTGACACGTTCGAGGCTGCCCTTAAAGACTTTATTTCAGCTCCAACTTGTCCAGTAAATGTTCCAACTGCCATTTCAAAAAGATATTCAGAGGAAGAAGATGGATACCTTGCCTCACGCCACGCTAGCTATGGTGATATTGCTATTCGTGCAACACCAACGACTAGTGAGGTTTCTACAGTTCTCACAGCTCTCACAGGATTAATATCTTCTGTCCGCCATGGAGAAACCAATCCATGGGTTGAACAGATAAAAACCATATGGACAAGCGGAGTCAAGGCCACTCTCCCATATTTTGCTATGGCGACATTGAGTGTCTTCCTAAAAACGTGGATAGGCTCTAATCTTGTTTTATTTCAAGCATCGGACGTTGCAAATACTCTTCTATGCATGCCGCACACAATGAACGAAAGAATTGGCGCTACGGCCAACTTCGTGTCATGCTCGATTGGCCACTGCCAAACTGACAATTGTGATGATCCTAACGATGAAGATCGCCCATCGCATCGCAGGCTCTAATAGGCGACAACTACGACGATGAGGGAGACTTTACAAAGCGCTCGTTGCAATCACCAGAAGAATACCTTATAGCTCGTGGAGTTTCATCTGATCTTATATCGTCGTATCCTGCGGATGAACACATATTCTTGCAAGGACGGGCTTCAGCTGCACCGAAAAAATTCATAGTTACTTTAGCTGACGGAACCACACGAGAAATTTCTTGGCCGCAGCCTACTTGGCGATCGTCTGGTAGCTGGCCCGCAAACTCGCTGATATACACTTACGTTCTCATATTAGAAGACCCGACGGATTGTAGCAATTCAAACTTGATGATTGTACCTTACACTCGAGTGCCCACGGGCGTGCAAATTTCTAGTATGTATTCCATTCCGTTTTTTTTTGGTTTATAGTAGTACTGACCTCCTCGTAGCTGAGCACATCGTTGAGGGAAACACTCCGCAAAACTTCTTCTCGGATCGACACCATGGGCTTCTTCGCTCTAGGCAGGCCTCGAGATTTGCACCACAAATCTCTGCTTTCTGGACTGACTGGCTTAATTCCTCATGGATGACCAATACTGTGGCTCTGTCAGGGAGCCTTAACCCCCGTGTTCCAGTGCATCGTCTTATGGAATCTCTCGGAAGTCGACGCAATACCGAGAACTTTCTCATTCTCCTTCAAGTAATCAATCAGATGAAATCAACAGTGAGCATGCTGAAAAAATCAATACATATTCTAGGCAAATGCTAACTGACTTTACTAGATCTGGCAACGCGGGAACAAAGAAGAAGATATAGCAGATCTAGTGGCTGATCTAACGCAGCCTAGTATACCTCTCAATACTATGTGAAACGTAAATAGAAGATCACTTTAATGGATTATTTGCTAAGAGATGATATAGGTGATAGCTGTATGGCCGTACTACAGTGATCCGGTCGTTCACAGAAACATGGTCCGAGGTGCTAATGCATTCCGTGGAGTCCTCGCCGGAATACAGAATGGCTACAATGCTATTAATCTTGGCAGAGACATTATCGATCCTGTTGGCCCTTGGGATGAGTGGATTCGGGATCATTTCCGTAGCATGGCAATCAGGTCATTGGAGTTTATAAACACCAATATTGCAGCCATGCGAACTGCCCACCAACCAGGAGGCCCGACTAACCCTATCACTTTACAAGTATTTGAGCATTTGGTCCGCTTGGCGAGAGATGCCAGGTACATCGATGCCAACACCCTCATTATTGGTCTCAATTAGATAAAGGTAGATCTACGGGACTTAAAGAGCTAGTACCGTCAACCGTCAAGATGAAAGAAGAGGACATGTAAATTTGGCGCAGTGGGATGCGTATCTATAACAGTAAACCTTGGTTGGGTTGCGAACTGTTTTTTAACTGAATGGAGATATATAGACTAGTTCGAAACACATCAAAATAGCTTTCATGGTGATTAGTCTGCATTAAGTCTCAGCGTACTCATTCTTTAGAAATTTCAAGTCTTCTTGTGATATTAGTCCAAAAACGCCTCTATGAGGTCTGCGCCGTAGTTTCTTGGGTAGATTCGGTTGGGCTCATAACCGAGGCTTTCCCAAAGCCGTCTATGTCTGTGGTTGTGGAACATATGCAGCAGCAGTGCTGCTGAGCCAGACACACCTCACAATTTACACAGAATCATATCCTCGCGAGTCGCCCACTGGAGGGGCTTCGTAGGCTGAATGCTTGGATTATTGTATGAGGAACTGCGAAATGTATGGTGTGAAGGAGGCCAGTGCTAACATACCTGGCGAACGTGTCATCAGGATAAACTGCTGCAACCTGGGATGGAAGTGGCGATTTTGGTTCGAGATATATGAGGAAGGACCGTCGGGACTTGATATCCAGATCATCTGGCCCTTAAACAGTAAGTGGCCTAGCTGTATTACTAGTGGCTGTCCCAGTCCTTTTTGCTAGCAGTTACCCTGGATAGCGGCTTCAACTGTGAGCTTTACTATCCCAGCCGCCACACCTGACAGCGATTATCTGCTCCGCATGTAGCATATTGGCCTCCAGGTTGCACGAAGTTCTGGCCCCGCACGATTCTACCTCTCATGTGCGCAGATTACCATCAGGGCAGGGAGGTAAGAGATAACGGAAATATAGGAGATGATAAGCAGAAAAGGGAGAGGAAAACGCAGGATAGTAAGTAAACCGATGACCGAAAAAATGCTTGAAGTTAAAGAGAATCAACATACCGTCGCAAACTAAGCGGTCAGAGTATCTGTGCAATGCAGGCCTCATCTATCCTCCATCTCAAGCCGCCAACTCGCATATCTCGGCCCTCACTGTGCCGCTCTCACTTGGCACGGAAAAACAACGGCAAGCCGACACGACCGGCCAACTCCGCTCCAATGCCAGCAGCTTCCAATATCAACAAGCTCATACCAAGCCTTCCTAGCATCTTAGCAGCTTCCATCCTCGGCGAAGCTCATCTCCCACTTATCACCACTATCTCCTCCCAGCCGCCCAGCCATCCGGGTCACAACACCCCTTCCAATCACCAGCACCAACATTCATTCACCTCAAGCCACCAAAACGCTTCGCATTCTCCATCCCAGCACCTGCAGCCGTCTCTCCTCTCTCTCTTATCACCATTTACTCCGTATTGCACTTATCTCCCCAACCTTCTCCCATACCCATGCCCCTTATCTGGATCTGTGCTGAGACAAGCTGACGCACGTGTTTGCCAGCCTGGCCGTCTTATCGCGCCAAGCCTAACGCAACGGAGGCAAACTCGCCGTCGAACCGCGACCCACGATGCACTCCAGACCTGTCACCTCGGCATGTGGATACAGTCGCGCAGCCCTCGCGGATCCCTTGTGTTTAATCTCAGCGCAATCCGCCAGGGGTTTCCAGAAGGAAGGTAAAGAAGGAAGGTAAAGCGGCTGGGGAGCGGGCTGGTCTGTGTGGTCGCGTGTTCCCGATGAGGTTCGGCTTGCTTGCTTCTCTACCACTTCGCGTCTGGGGTTGGTGGAGAAAGATAGGGATTGTTTGGAGGTACGTATGTACGGATTCTGCGTTGACAGGAGCGAAGGGTGGGCCGCTGCCAATCAGTTGGGCGCCGCGAACGTTGCATGTGGCGCGCCTGCCCGTCTCGGCCCTTTTTACGTATTTGTGCGGTCATGGCGGTTTTGGTGGCGGAGGGACGCATTGGGGAGGAGTAAGCTGCAGATATGGGTGAGATAAGTTTCGGAGAAAGCGAGGATGATATCTTACCGTATCAACTCAACTTTAGCGGGATCAACTAATTGGATAGACCTAATTGTGTCCATTGAGCCTCCGAGCGATGAGTATCCCCCTGAGCCACAGTTGTTGGTTGTACTGTGTTTTAGCCACAGCACTCGTATCCCGTACGGTACTGTGTTCCTGCCCTAAACTGCCGGACATGACCGCCCCTCCCCTCCACCTTCCAATTCCAGCCGCCCCACGCCACCGATCTCCCATACGCCGATCGTGGCTGCACCCATCTCAATCTCACCTCCATCTTCCCCCTCATTCGTCCCAACGCCGCGTCGAGCTGGGGTAGTATAGCGCGCCACCAAGATCACGAGGGCTAGCTCAACCCTGACCTCACTCCACTCAGAAAAACGAACAACCACAACCACTGGCAGATACCGGTCTTGGCCTCGACGACTAGACTCTTGGACAGACACGAACGCACTCAAATTGCGCTTATCGGAAAAAATCCTGCATGTGGGGAAGAGAGAACCACTGTACTAAGATGTTCCACCCAGCTGCTCCACGCGGGAAAGCGCGTTAGGATGAGACCGAGGATGGGTATCACTTTCCTCATCGGGCGTGGTACAGCGTGCGCGCTGCAAAAGATGCCCTGCCATCAGCACGCGGCGAGACCCGTGAAGGGTAAGGTCAAGCAAGGCAAGGTAGGGAAAATGGGGACTACGTACTACGGAGTGGACCGAAATAAATAAAGTCTCCGCGCACGCGGACGACACCTCTCTTCCTTCTTCTCGTTTTTTTGTGTTTCTCGGATTGCTTTTGGGACTGTCGCGTGAGGGCCAATTCATTCAACATTGCCCCCCCTTCTAACGAAGTAGTGAGAGCAGAGTAGCTATGCAGCATTCATCTGCTGAGGTGATTGAGGGTGTGGACCGGGCGGGGCATGCGCCGGGGACGACGGCGACGGAGATGGACACGACGAGGCTGAGGAATGGAGGTGGGAGTGTGCGCGCGCATCCGGTTGATGATGGGATGTACCCCACGACGGATAACAAGGCGTCGACCGACCGTGACAGTCTACGCAAGGTCGATATCGAGAGCAATGATACGGATGAGGTTAAGGTGGACAGGGTGGAGGAGGTGAGGAGTGAGGATGAGGAGCCAGGGGCGATCAAGAAGTTTATTGCAAAGTATCGAAAGCAGATTCGCATTGCGATTCACGTTATTGTTGGGACTGTGATGACTGGGTGAGTTCCGCGTGCTTTCTATTCTATGCGATTCCCCCCAATTGTAAAGTGGAAGTCCGCACTGGATTCCGCGAAATGGCGGCGCATGCACGACGTGAACGACGACTAACTCCTACAGATGGTGGATCGCAGGCCTCGTCCTCCACCGCAACGACTACGGCTGGCTGATCCCCTTCCTCCTCTGGCTCTTCATCATGATCCGCCTCGTAACCTTCTACGTCCCCTCCCGCTACGCCATGATCCCCATCGCCTTCCTCTGGAGGAACATCGTCCAGCGCGTCGTCCACATGATCCCCTCCCGCTTCCGCCTCCCCCTCGGTGCCCTCGGCACCGTGGCCGTCATCCTCCTCGGCTCCATGGTGAGCGAGGAGACCAAGGACAACACGCGCGCCAACCGCGCCATCTCCTGCTTCGGCCTCGCGGTCTTCATCTTCCTCTTCTGGGCGACCTCCAAGAACCGCAAATTGATCAAATGGCACACCGTGATCGTCGGCATGCTGGCGCAGTTCATCCTCGCCGTCTTCGTCCTGCGCACCAAAGCCGGATACGACATCTTCAACTTCATCGCATACCTCGCCAAGTCCCTCCTGGGCTTCGCAAGCAAGGGAACTGAATTCCTCACCAACGCAGACGCCTTAACGCTGGGCTGGTTCATCTTGAACGTTATTCCGCCGATCGTCTTCTTCATCGCCCTGGTCCAGCTGCTCTACTACCTCGGTACCCTCCAGTTCTTCATCACGAAATTCGCTCACCTCTTCTTCTACACCATGCACGTCTCCGGCGCTGAGGCCGTCGTCGCTGCCGCCTCCCCGTTCGTCGGGCAGGGCGAGAGTGCCGTGTTGATCAGGCCGTTCATCCCGCATCTCACGGATGCGGAACTGCACCAGGTCATGACGAGTGGATTCGCTACCATCGCTGGCTCTGTACTGGCTGCGTATATCTCGATGGGGATTAACCCACAAGCTCTGATTTCCAGCTGTGTGATGTCCATCCCCGCCTCCCTCGCCATCTCCAAGCTCCGCTACCCCGAGACCGAGGAGCCGCTCACGGCAGGCCGCATCGTCGTCCCAGCAATGGAAGATGAAGAGCGTCCCTCCAACGCCCTGCACGCTTTCGCTAACGGCGGATGGCTGGGCCTCAAGGTCGCGGGTATGATCGTCGCGTCCCTCCTCTGTATCTTATCTCTGCTGGAGTTTGTCAATGCGATCTTGACATGGTGGGGACACTACCTGAATATCGGATCCTTCGATCCTGGGGAGACGAAAAACCTCACCATCCAGTTCGTGCTGGGCTACCTCTTCTACCCCGTCTCTTTCCTGCTGGGTGTTGACAGGAATGGCGGTGATATCTTGCTGGTGAGCAAGTTGATCGGGATGAAGATCATCACCAACGAATTCGTCGCTGTAAGCTCTAATCCCCCCTCCTCCCCCAAAGAAAAATAGAAACTTGGGAATAACAGATACTGACTCCCTCCCCCCTCCCACAGTTCTCCTTCCTCACCTCCGACATCGAATACGCCAACCTCTCCCCCCGCTCCCGCCTCATCGCCACCTACGCCCTCTGCGGCTTCGGCAACATCAGCAGCGTCGGAATCCAAATCGGTGTCCTCTCCCAGCTCGCCCCCGGCAAAGGTGGACGGGTAGCGAGAGTAGCGTTCAGTGCCCTGCTGAGTGGGATCGTGAGTACGCTTACCAGTGCCAGTATTGCGGGGATGTTGGTTAGTGACCAGGCTACGCTTTTTAAGGTCTCGTCGAGTGCTTGAAGAGGGGGGGGGTGGGTAGGGGGGAATGTGAGATGCTTATTTATGGTTTTGACGTTTTGTGTGATTTTGGGGAGGAAGGTTTTGTTGTGAAGCGGTGAAAGTTTCTTGTATTGTGAGGGCAAGTGTGGGTGTGTTTCCCATCCAGCCCGTGTTCCCAGTCCGGTCTCTGTAACCCCTGTCTGTCTTGATATCATCTCACTATCTCCTATCCCACTCCCACCCACTCTTTAACAACTTCAATATCCCTATCCATGCTCACGGTATGTCAATATCTCAATAATCCCATCCCATCTTCCATCCATCCCCAAGAAAATAATTCGCAGGCTCCGCAAGACAAGCAAGCAGCAAGAAGGTAGCACTTAAAAGACCCCCCAAAAAAATATTCCCAACGCCGTGCCTGATGCACCTCCCGACCCGCCAATTTCCCATTCCGTTCCCATTTTAGTCATCCTTATCCCGTCCCATCTCCCATTCCCAAACCCGTAGGCACTGCATTTTCCATGCCATGAATTAAAAAACGGACCATCAGTTTCTGGCTAACCATTCAAGCAAGCCACTCCTCCTGCCTCCTCTTCCCCATCATCAACCCTTCCTCCTCATCCTCACTCTCCTCCTCCCCCTCCAACCCCCTCTCCACCCTCTCCACCGGCTCATGCATCCACGTCAACCCATTCGCCGCCTCCTCTAAGGGGAAAACCTCCCTCGCATACTCCTCCAACCCCCTATACCCCTCCCACAACCCCATCGCAGCGGCGGGGACACTCTCCTCCTGGGCCAGGTCGCCAAAATACGGCGGCTGAGCCTCCGCATCCGGTCCGCCGAGGGAGAAGAGCTGTTCTAGCGCGCGAAGCTGTCTGGCGTACCCGCTGGGAATGGAGACGGCGATTTCGATCGGGCCGCGCTCGTAGCGGACTGGTCTGCGCAGGGCGCGCGAGAAGGCGCGGCAGGCTTCGCGGGGGGAGAGGCGCTCGTATGCTAGTGCGATTCTATTTGGTGGGGATCCGGGCGCGGGGGGTCCGTTCTTGAGGAGTTGTAGCACGGCGGGTCCGACGTCGTGTTCGGCGTCTAACCAAGGGAGGGGAGCGTCGGGGTGGAATGGGGCGCGCCAGGTGAAGGAGCCGTCGGGTTGGAGGGCCATGCAGAAGAGGGGGTAGGGGAGGGAGGTGAAGTTGTTGTTGTAGATTCCTGTGTCGACGAATGTGGCGGGGAGGGCGAGGGAGCGGATGTAAGACTCGACGCGGGCTTTGGAGGCCCAGAGGGGGAGGGCGGGCCAGTCGGGGGAGATCAGCGAGTGGTCCGGCATCGAGGAGTAGATGTAGTGCTGGATCTGCGCCTCCTTCGCTGCGTCCGCGAGCGCGGTCCCAATAGCCACCTCATCCCCCCAGAACGTAGTATTAATGAAAGCGACCTGCGCGCCCTGAAACAGCTCGCGGATCAGCGCCGTATTAACGCGCCCCTTATCCGCGCGCGGCGCCAGCTCGCCAACGAAGACGGACACATTGGGCAGCGCCGCGATCTCCTGCGCCACGATGCCCTCGAGGTTGCGCAGCTGCGCGCGCACCCGGTAGCCCACGGCGCTCGCGACGCGGATCAGCGACGCGGCCTGCCGCCCGCTCGAGTTGACGACCGCGATCGTGCGGGTCATGGGGGTGTGGGGGGGGTGGACGGGTAGGGAGGCGGGGGAGGCCTTTGAGGCGGCGGCTGGGGGGGAGGGGCGCGGGCGCAGGGGCAGGTCGCTGGGGCGTGGCGTGGCGGAGGGCATGAATGTTGTGTGTGTTATTTCGATTTCGATTTCGGTTTCGTTTTTCTTTTTTCTTTGTGGCTGGGCGCTGATGGAGGGGTCGTGGTGTTCGAAGGTGTTTGAGTGTCGAGGGCCGGCCAATGGCGGGTGGGAAGCTGCAAGTGAGCGATTGAGTTTTGAGGCGTGTGCGTGCAGCGGGTTGGTAGTGCGTGCAGCTCTCAGCAGGTGAGATTCGCGCGGGGTTGTGTGTGTGTTGTGTGGAGTGGTGTGGTGTGATTTTTTGGAGGGGTTTTTAGGTCGGATTGCGCGTGTATGGCGGGGTAGTCGGTCGTGTGAGAGGAAACTCTTTCGCTCTGAGTCGGCGAGGGGGGATAAGGATTATGGAAAAGGGGGAAAAAGAGAAGTAGAAGTAGTAAATAAACGAAGAGAGTTCACGATGTTTATTTTTAATTTTTTCCCTGTCCGGGGGGTGGTCAGGTCAGCGATGGTCCCGAGGGGATTTGATTTTCGGTGGACGCCGGGGGTGTGGAGGGGTTGAGGGTACTTTTTTTTGAGTACTCCGTAGTTTTGATGGTTTTGGGTGGTCTTGGGTAGTTTTGGGACTTTCGGCGTCTGAACGGTCGTTATGGTTGGACGGGCTAGATCAATCGCCGTGGGATATTTGGTAATGAGAACTGGAGGTCACGCACGCGCAGGCTGCTAACGGCAGGGACATGAAGGGTCGGGGTCACTGTCCCACTGTCCGTAGTCTTCCGTCACTTCCGCCCGCCGTAACTTTCACGTGGTGTTGGTTGTTTTTTGGTGGTGTTGCGTAAAGTTTGTTGGGGGTTCGAAAGGGTTTTGAAGGGTTTTGAGGAGTGCTGTCCAATGGGAATGGCGGAGGATGAAGGCGGTGAGAGTCGGGGGAGGATGAGAAGATGTAAATTGTAAATTGTTGTTAGATTCGTCCAAGATTGTCGTGAGGGTTCTCGTGAGTTGTCGTGACCTTTAAAAGTGACCTTTGACTTTTTGGTGGGATGGTGGGATGGTGGATTGTGATTGTGGAGTGGCGTGGAGGGGTTGTGTGGCTGTTGTGTGTCTGGAGAGACTGGAGAGTAGTGTAGTATGCTGTAGTATACTGTAGTATACTGTAGTGTGTTTTGTAGTGTAGTATAGTGCTCTGTAGCTGGTTGATGGCGTTGAAGCGTGATCGCGCGGATATTTATTTCGATGGGGCCGATGGGTCGAATTGGGGGATTATAGCGGAGAAGGATAGCGGATAGGATAGCGGAGAGAGGTTTCGATGCAAAAAAGATGGGGGAAGAGAATGGCCGAGTGACCTAGGTGGAGGGGTAAGAAAGGTACCACTGGAATTCTGGACTGTACTGGACTGTATTGGGCTGTACTTTGTTGCTTGTTGACCTGGTTGGCTGGTTGTGGCTGGTTGGCTGGATGATTTTGAGTGGATTGGTGGGGTTTTGTGGATGGGTATGGAGATGCAGTTGGCAGGGTAGTAGGTACGTAAGTAGCTTCGTCGAAGTAGTCGAATAAGTGGACAGCGGGTGCTTGAAATCGATCGTCGTGGAGCTTGAGCTGTTTCTTTCTACTCTTCTTCGAGCAGTTGACCCGATGTGAAGCGAGGTGGGTAGTGGTGTCGAGGAGTTGTTGTTTGTGGATGTGGTTGTGGTTGTCAAGGTTGTCAGAGTTGTCAAAAGTTATCAGGCTGGCGCCGAGTCGAAGCTAATGTCGTAACCTGGATGGCGAGATGGACGATGGTGAGATGTGAGATGTGTGATATGTGATGTGTGATGACTCCTTGCTCAAATGACCGAGGACGGGGGATTGAGTGGATGAGTGAGCGAGGACGAGGGATTGATTGAGTGGATGAGTGGATGCGTGAGCGAGGTATAAGTGATTGAGTGAGGTATAAAAGATCGAGTGGACGAGGTATGAGTGGATGAGGTATAAGTGATTTGAGTGCGGTATAAAAGAGACCAAGACGGACGAGGTATAAAGTATAAGACTTCTCCAATGCCCAATGACGGAGTGGAGAGTGAGGGAATTGATGGCGCCGAGTATAAAGTATGCCCTTCCTTGCTTGCTTTGCTGACAGACAGAACGCCTCTCTGCTCTAGACTCTGTTGTTACCAGGAATATCCTTCAATCAATCAATCGAGTCCTTGCTGCTCCGGCTGAAGTGGTTGGGCTCAATTTGTCGTGTCGTATGTACAGTACGCGTCTGGAGTTATAAATTTTTTATTGCGGTAGGTAGGGGGGTGGATTGGGTGTGATGCTTGTACAGTACGTACAGAGCGAGGTAAATTGACGATTTCTGACGATGGGAATGGCGGGGGTGGTTGATTGATGATTGACGATTGACGATTGAGGGGCAGATAGATGGAGCTCCGAGGTAGGAGCGGGGAGAAGAGGAGGAGTGGAGGAGTGGAGGAGGGAGGAATGAGGGGATGGGGATGATGAGGGGATAGAGTGACAAGGGATGTTAATCGGCGGCGAGGAGGAATTGAAGTAAAAGGACGACGAAGAAGTAGAAGGGATATGAAACCCTTCGAAAGATCCTCTTAACGATTCATCGATGGCTGGATTGATGGATGGAAGGAAGCTTTTCCCAAGAGAAAAGAGAGAGAGGGGAAGGAAGGGGGGAAGGAAGAGAGGGGGGAGGGGGAGATGGTGAAGCTGGTGATATATATAATAATCCCTCGCACGTAAAGAACCTCATCAACCCGACGACAGCCCTAGCACTTTTACCGTCCACAGTTCACACCGTACACCGACCGACCGACCGACCGACCGACCGACCAGACCACAGACACCAACCATCACCAACCATCACCAACCATACGACACCATACAGTGCAGTGGTAGTATCGGTATCGACTGTAACCTCTCTCCCTCCCAAAAAACCTCCAAATGTCACGATCCCCTCTCAAATGATGCCACCTACCCCCCTCACACGCCAACCGCGCATTCGATCTCGTAATAGCAAGGTACCTCACCTCACCTCACCTCAGCGCGCAACAACGCACACATCCATCCATCCAACCCCCCACCGAGCCGAGTGTGAAGCCCACGATACTGTGCGCGCCGGCGGGTGGGGGGATAACTAATACCGCCTACCTAATCGCTCCCGGCGGCGGCGAGGACCCCGCCACGACCCCGTCAGGACCCCTCGCTAGAACCCCCGTCGTCCGTCCCCGCCATAGAAAGTCGTCACCGTGACCGGTTATAGGAGGGTTAGGTGTGAGTGAGGGTTAGGAGTGAGGGGTCCTTCTTCCTCAGGGTCTGGCTGGCTGGGCTGGGCCCGGAGCTGGCTGGGCTGGGGGCTGGAACGAACTTACACTCACGTACATTTTTAGTGGTGGTTAGTGGTCTACAAAGTACCGGGCTAACACGGGGTACCCAGGCTAAACCAAGGTCCACAGGGCGAAGGGGAAGTCACTCGGTACGGGAGAAGCCCTGACTAACGACAAACCCAGAGGTGCTAAGGATGCTGGGCGGTGGACAGGACGGTGGACAGGATAGCACGCACGCACCACTACTATCCACCGCCGCAGCCACGACCACGCACGCAGAGGACCGACCGGCACTCACTGATAGATAGACAGAAACTAGAACTGTACATCCTCTCCACACCGGTGGAAATGACAGCGAGGGTTTGTCCAGTCACTTGACATATCATCTGACATCCCCATCCTTCTAGAGAAAAGAACTAACGACAATCAGCACCACCACGTGTCGAACCGCCGCCCAATGGAGGAGGGCACGCACTCTTCCGTTCCCCATGTGAAAGGTGAAAGAAAGGATGCTAGGCGGCCGGGCAGTAGACAGCGCAGCAGGAAACAAGCTTAAGGTACATCACATCACATCACATACACATTTACACGAAACCACAGAAGCCGTTGGGCGTGGTAGTGTCGTGGTGGCTGGATCTGGAAACCCGATATACCCAGACCACGTGCGTATAAGGAAGGAAACGGACGGACAGGCGTGGTGGTCTTAACTTCCCTATACGTGTACGACAGGCCTTTAATGGTTTGTGCGTACAGAAGGAAGGAGCGATGATGCTAGATAGATAGATGCCACCAAAAGGAGGAAGTAACGACGACCACCGCCTTATGAGTCGTCCCTTCCGTTTATGGTAGATGTAGATGTAGATGTGCTTGCTCTTGCCTCCCCTCCCCCATCTTTCCTCCCTCCACTCCCGCTCCCTCCCGCACATCACATCATCGCACTATCCCATCCCATCCCACCACACACCACCACACACACCCCTTAGTTCCGCGGAGATGCTAAAACCGCGGATTACGTAATTACGAGGCTGTAGGGCGGCGGATGTGAGGCGAGCGGCGGCTGGTGCGCCTGTCGTGGTCGTGTCGTGTCGTGGTGCGGATGTGTGGTAACCTTGCACGGCTGTTGTTGTGTTACTAGATGGGTATGGGGTATGGATGTCTGGGTATGGGTATGGAAGCCTTGTTTTTTTGGCTAGAGATGGGGTGATGGAAGGGGGTGGGGGGTGGGGGGGTCTAGAATGTGATTTTTGTAGGTGGTAGGAGGTGGGGTTAGAAGGGTAGGAGGGGTGGGAAAGGGGGAGAGAAAGGGGTAAGAGAGGAGTAGCTAATACCATTAGAGTTGTATGCACGTGAGTTTCATTATGTCCATTTCTATCATGTTTGTATGTGTGTTTCATTTACATCCATCTCTCTTCCCAGCCGTTGTTCCGTAGTGTATGCTATATACTATCTCCTCGGCCTCATTCCACCTATTCCTATTTCTTTCCTCCCCTCCGACCCCCTTTCCGCCCATCAAGTACCAGCGAAAAGAGAGGACATTCATCTCCACCCAATTCCTGGCCGCACACAGCAAGTTTTGCACCCCTATCTTACATCTCAGACTTATACACATACCTCCAGCAAAACAAACAAAACGTCAAACCACAAAAAATAAACTCCCCCATCGCATCCTCAACCCCCCTTTCAACCAGCCACCATCTCCCTACCCCTCAAAACAACCCCTCTCCCCAACCACCCCGTCCCCCCTCCCCATCAACACCAAACAATCCCTCACCGCGCTCGTCGCGCTCCCCACCTTCCCCATCAACGCCATCAAGCCCCTAACCCTCTCCCCCAACCCCACCACCTCCCCCCCATCCCCAACCCCTCCAACCCGCCCACCGCCTCCACAAGACACTCTCTCGCCTTCTCAGCGCGCTCTTCCCAGCGCATCAGGCCCGCAAATGCACTCATCAAGGCTGATTCCGTCATTCCCTCCGGCCCTCCCTTTGTCGCAGCAGCAGCCTCGCCGTCCTCGCCAGACGCGCCACCGACAAGGGCGGCGAGACAGGGGATTTCTCCGGCGAGCTTGATGACGTCGATCCATACGAGCGCTTTTGCTGCTTTGACTTGCTGGCTGTGGCGGGCGAGCGCTTCCGCCTCTTCGGCGGCGCAGGCGGCGCGGATGACGGATGTTGCCGAGTCAAGTTCCGCGGGCGTGGGGGGGATGTATGGCTGTTGTCGTTGTTGCTGTGGAGGTGGTGGTGGCGGCGGTGGCGTTTCACCCGGCGTCTGGGAATGCGGTTGTGGGCTCTCTAATGGAGTGAATCTTGACTTTCGCGGGCTGGGAGAGGGGCGGGGACTTTGCTTGATTGCTTCAGAGGGCGAGGGCGAGGGTGAGGCGGTGGGCTGAGGGGTTGGGAGAGGTGGCGGTGAGGTCGAGGGAGGCGCTGGGGGTAGTGCGGGTATGTCTAATAGCTTGGGCTTGTGTTCTGCTTCTGTTGGGGAGAGCTGGGTTTTGATGATGGTGGGCATGGTGACTTTGGGGGCGTCAAGTGAATTTGAACGGGCCCTCATGATGCGGTTTTCGGAGGGGGCTGCGAGAGATTGGTCTTGCTCGTGGGATACTGTGGATGAAGTTGATCCGCGTCTTGCTCGGGGTTAAGGTGTCGGGGTTCTGCTTGGCCATTCAGAGGTAAGGGAAGCGATGCTCACCGTTCGCGGAATTGTGGAAACGTAGGAGGCTTTCGGTGAATTGGTTATATTGGCCAGTCGACCCTCGTTCCTTCCGCGTGCTGTATATGCATGTGCTTGTGAAATATGATGATGATCCGGGGGGTGTCAAGCAAAACTCACCCTCTTTGATCCTCCTCATACCCTCATCGTGAATTTCGGTGATCTTGGTCGTGTGCATTTCCTCGAGGAGGTCGGTGAACTCCTTCCGAGTCAGAAACCTCTCGCCGGGCTTGTGATGCCACTGGGTATCATATAGCCTCCATAAACGGCTGATATTTTCTGGGTCGAATCGCTCTGTAAGTGGGTGAATTAGTGGTTGGCTTGCGGGATGTGGCGTCCGTTGTAATCTCACCGTAAAGTGCTCGCGGGGATCTCTCGGCGGCGTCGCCGGGGCCGTCAGGGTCGTCCCAATCTCGGGTTTTTCTCTTGTCTGATCGGTATGATGATCCGCCGCCGCTACGATGACGACCCATCTTGCTCAAGATGAAGTGTGGCCGATATGCTGGTCAATGAAAGGAGGGGCAGACAAAGTGTTGTGGAGTTGTAGTGGCTTGAAGTGAACTCGATTATCCGCAATGCATCAGGTTGACTTTGTCTTCCAAGGCATCACCGTGTACAATCGCGTTTGATGTTTCGAGGAAGAAAGAAAAATACAAAGCATGTATTATGTTGGATGAATTGGTCGGGACTGTGACCTCGATGGTGAAGTACGGATTGGGTAGGCGCGGGCAATCACAGTAAACAAACAATACACATCAAGTAGGTACGGTCGAAAACACATAACAATTAGACGCAAGACGCAAGACGCAAGACGCAAATAAAATGGTTGCCATCCATTTTGCAAACTAATTGAGCGATGATGTCCCTCCCACCTCCAAATAACGCCTTCCCTTAAACACCTAATTCTGACCTACAACCATATCTGTAACACGCCTCCATCCTCACTATATTCACATCCCAATTCCACCCCAACCTCACACCGCGTCCTCCTCCCACTTCCCCTTATTAAACTTTCCCCCATAAAGCCCATACCTCCACCCCAAATACCCTCCCACCCCCACCAAATTCCCCAACCCCGCCCCTCCCAACCGTCCTCTCCATCCCTTCCCCCTCGCCACCAACGCACCCATCACCGTCCCAACTCCACTCCAGGTATCAACCTCCACCTGTCCCTTATTCGCCAACAATCGCCAACTACGATCTCTCCACTCGATCTCCTCTCTACCATACATCCGTCCCGCCAGCGCCAGCGCCAGAACTCCTGTTCCCACCACCGTTCCCATGCCTGCAGACCTCAAGACAGCAAGAGGCAGGGGGTATTTGAGAGGGCGGAATAACATGATTGGAAAAGGCGCCAATGCGCCGACAAGGGCGCCGGTGGCGAAACCGCGATAGAGGACGTGCCCCGTCAGGATGGCATATGGATACCGCTGGTCCTCGGCGTAGGTGGCGTGGGGCAGGAATTGAGACATCCTGGTGTTATGGAGGGAGAGGAGGTAGTCTTGGTGTTTGGAGGGGGTGTGAGCGGAGTGTTTTCGAAAGCGGAAGCGTCGGCCCCTTGGCATGCGATGGGGGTGGTTTAGGTAGCACGAAGCTTGAAGGTGTGGGTTTGAGGGTGTGGTTTTGGTCGTCGAAGCTAAAAATGGCTTTGATAATGCGAAATGGAAAGTTTTCCGAGCTTCTTGGAGCTTTAGATCGGGGTATATGGTAGGATATGTTGTGTTTGCAATTCGTGAGATGAGAAGATGACGTTGACGTCGTTTTAGTGCCAAGACGATCTACAAATACGGCTGGGGCCGCGGTTTTGCGGGGAAGCATGCATGGGTCACATATTCCTTGGCGCGCGCTTTAAGGCAGGAACCACAACACCAAGTTTAGCGTTGAGACGACATGATATTGAAAAATTTGTGGCAGGCGCTGCATCTTCGCTCTACACATTTGAACGACACTATGATGCCTAGATAGTCACTGATGGAAATTCGGAGTCTTTCGTGGCGCGTACGTTGCATTATCTGTGGTGAGTGTCTAGCGTCATGGCTTGATTCGAGGGTGTCTCAAATTAGGGTCTCAGTCAAAATATGCAGGGAACTCTATGGATCAGGCCCGTTTTGACTATTCGGCCTAGAAAGTAAGACAGAGGATTCTCTCTATCTTCTGTTCTATTCTCCGTCGTTATTTATCTCGCGCATTCTATTTCACTCGACTCATCTTGCGCCGCTAGAGGAGTCGACATCTATCCCATTCTAGCTCATTACTAAGAAGCATATAATTTCCTCTTAAACCCAAAAAGGCTCTCTACGATGTATGGAATTACAGCTCTCGGTCTTTGCAAATGTCTACCTACCAGATGCCCGACTCGAGGTATAAGCGCCTTTCATTTCGCGCACCAGATTATGGCCTTCTCTACAACCTACACAAACGCATCTTCCCCGTAATCCTTACGATCCTCATTATTATCGCCGTCTGTGTCGTCCTCGCCTACTCCCTAAGTAGCCGCGCCATTCCACGCCAGTTCGTTGTCGGCATGTGTATTACCTTCTCCATCCTCGCCGTGCTCTGGACAGTCGTATGGGCGATCAGCTGCTGCCGGCCCAAATGTGCCGGAAAACACAACCTCCGCCTTGAGTCTCCCGCCGCGGAACCTACGCCAGCACCCGAGACGGCAGCTCCAGAATGGGATGGTTTAGGCCCTGGTGATTTCTACGACCGGCCCAAGCAGGCGCTGGCAGTGACGAGGCGGAAGCGGGAGAGTTCGAGACTGGGCGATTTATATTGTCAGGTCAAGCAGCTGATGAAAGTCTGGGCGGACGAGCATTATCCGCGCTATATGTATAGTGTACGAACAAGAGCACCGGCACACGCATCACGGGAAAGAGACCTGACTGTCAGTCGTTATGCTCCGCACAATCGATATGATAGGTGGCGAGAGGATACAGCAGAAAGCGAAGGTATGCTTACACTACGACGAAGAAGCTCTTTGAGTCTCTCCGATTTAGGAATGACAAATGCTGAAGCAGAAGACCTCTACCGCCGGCAAAGGGATAGGGATTACAGGGCTGCTCGAGACGATGGGCGGCGTCGTCATCATGCGTACTGTGAGACTGATGACAACCGGTCCCAAAATTCGGATAATATGGAGGTTGAACCACCACGGGCTGTGTTGAGGCAGGAGATCCACCATTACAATGTCGCGCCGAGGGAGCTGGACCGGGTGCTGAAGGAGAAAAATGTGTATGTGAAAGTACCTGATCCTGCTCACAGTGCGCGGAGGTGAGAGGTGGGATGGGGGTTGTTCTGTAAGAAGGATGGTGTACCGGCGCTCGACTTGGAGTAGATGATGTTGGTGGCGATGTGGAGTTGATATGATTTGTTTGTTTGGGTTTTTAGTTGATTGGAACTTTGGAAAGGCTTGGGGAATGGAAGACCTGGTTTATGACCCCTATATTGCAGCTCAATGGCTAAATCCCGCGTGAAATGTCTTATACTTCATGATTTCTGTCATAATTGCCAAAAGGCCGCTTTCATATTTTGGTATCTAAGCCCCTGACTCCAATTCAATGCCCAACCACAAACTTCGCTCATTTCATTTTTCATAATAATACAGCATTACCCACAGGCTGCAAATAACCCAATCCTCGTTTCGCCCCCTACACCCGTCGGCCTTCGCCATCACTCAACCCGCATTCCATTTTCTCCACCAGTATATCCCAATTACTCTCCTGTCCCACCCTAGCCACGCCCCTTAAGCCGACGAGGACAAAGCGTGATAGCCTATCTAGTTCGGTCTTAATAAATCGAAGACGTTCCGGGTATGGCGTATCTTTCTGATCAGGGAATATGCTGAGATCCCCCTCGTCTTCGGAATCAGAACTGCTGTCAGAGTCGGAATCCGTTTCTGCCTCCTCGGGCATCACTTTGGTAGGAGATGTCGTAGGGAGAGCGTGCATTGCTTGGGCATCTTCAAGTGCGATTGCCAAGTCTAGGATCTGCAGGATAGTTTTGTGGATGAGTTCGAGGCGTTGACCAAGTAATGCCTGAGTGGTGACCTTCTTCAGAAAATTTTCGTGGATTTCAATCATATCATCCACCTCGTCAGCGGTTGCCATATTTTTACGCATCTCCTCCATGCTGATCCTCAGCACTATATCAGTGAGATAGCTGTAGAGCGTGTTACTGAACCACAGAAGTTTCGTACGTAGGCCGTAATATAGCGGTGGCGCGGATGTGGTGCGAGATTGTGACCCCGAAAGTATGTAGGAAGCACGGCGGATTTGGAGGAGGAATATTGCTATACATTTGTAGGCGTTGAGAGTGATTGGGCGGATGACAAGTGCTACTTTCCAAGGGATATCATAGCAGATCTCAATAGTAGCTAGAGATTTTACCGTTCGCCGAGCGGTAAAGACGTCAGCTGTGCTAGGGGCGGTTTTGATGCTAATACGCTGCCTGCCAACTCCATGTCCCATCGTGGACCGCAAGTGGCTAGTGAGTGAAAAGGGGTTATTCCATTCTTCTGTGCCCCGAGATAAGTCGTCAAATATGGAGCTGGTAAAGGCGTTGGATATGGCACCATTGGTCATGAAGTAGACCGTGTCCAGGCCATCTATAACGGTGCCGAGATGGTGAGACTCGACAAGTTCTGTCCGAAGGATCGAGGACGTAGAACGGTGCTTGCTCGTTATCCACGCTTCAAAGGCAGAGTCGAAGAGCTCTGTAAATGGGAGGAGGGAATTTCCGTGGTCGCCACAGACGGTTTGAAAGCTGAGCACGGGCTCCATCGACTCCCACGCCAGGCGCATATACCTATATTGCTGTAGCTCTTTGAGAACAACGATGCTCTTGCCCGACGTAAGGATTTTGTGTGCACTTGTGCGGAGGAATTTCGGAGTTTGGTATGGTGCTCCAGTTTCGTCATTTTGAATGGTGTACTTCTCCCATATCCTCATTCTGTCGTTGTTCTTTACATCTTCCTTGACGAAGAATCCACTCCCTTCCTTTAGCTCACCGTCTTCCATCCACGTCTTTATCGGTCGTAGATATATTGCAAAGCACTCGAAGAATATACTGCCCATGAATTCGTACATGTCGTTATTCTCTGCCAATTGAAACTTGCACGTTTCATCGTATAGTGCTTCTAGCCATCGGAAGGGCGGTGACTTATGATGCTCCTGAACCAATTTTGCAAGAGTTTCGAATGGCAGCATACGTGAACCTACGGCATGTTCTGTCGCGGCGAGACTGACAATCACATCGCTCATGGGGGCCAAGTATGGCTCTTCCAAACTAGAAAAGATCTCATCGAGCTCTCGTAGTCGAGTTTGAAACTGCTCATGAAGTCTTTGTAGTAAAGGGAGTCTTTTGTCGACGGGAGTCCAAGTACGTAGAAGTTTGAGAGAAGTGCCGTAGCTGGAAAACTTGTCCAGAATATTATAAAAAACATGATGGGAGACGCCAGATAAGATGAATCCAGAAGCAGGCCGGATAATCGCCTCAACGGTATTCGGATTTGATGGTGGAGAAGCATATTTGCTGTCTTTTGTCGCTGCCTTGTCTAAACCAGAGTATAAAGTCGTCGGAAGGCCCCTAAGCATGAATAGTGTCTCTCGAATTGCTTGTAGATCTGTGATAGGGAAAGTTGGTGGTTTCTCAAAGTAAGCATCCACAACGCTCAGAGGTTTTCGCCTAGTGGCTCTCCAGAATTGCTCCTTATGTAGCCTGCTAAGGCTGGTCGGATCAATAGCAATGGCTAGATCCGACGGATGACTTGCATGTATGCCAGAAACGCTTGATTGGGTCGTGTCAGTGGGCGAGGGTGGTTCAAAGTCGCTATCCGAGTATAAGTCGTCATCTTCCGAACTATCCTGCGTATAATCGATATTCCTCCATATCTTGTCCCGTAGTAAAGGGTCGTCCTTGACCAAGTCTTTCCATTTGTAGGTCGGCTCAACGTGCACTTCTGGAGGGCTGAGGAACTCAAGGTCTTTCAGCCTAGATTTGTGTACAGGACGGTCTGATAACTCTAAGAGAAGATGGAGTATCTCTGGCGTCCATTTCGTAGATTGGGCACCGAGTTCGTCCAGCCTCTGCCGGAAGGCATTGGCTAGGCCATCTTTATTATAGACCCTGAATTTCTCCTCTAGGCCAACGAGGTTCTGCTCGACGTCGAACTGATTGACCCTGGGGTAGTTTCCATATCGAAATGATCGTACAGCTGATTCTCGACATGCGCTGAATCGAGTTGGATTATTCTATCATCGAAGTCAGCTATTGCTCTGGGGTTGTTAGGCTGTTCGACGTGCGGGGCAGAAGGCGCTGACTGATAGGTAGATGGTTGGAACGCAGGACAACCTCAGCTTATCTTACTTTTGGAGTCAAACCCGTCAATGTAGTAACCAACTCATCAGTGAGAGCCCCAATCTTTGCGATATGCGACATAATGTTGAACTGACCGCATTGTTGTCGTGCCAATTAACTTTAAGCTAGACGCGCTGCATACGCGACTGCCCGCGAGGCTGAGACATAAAGAAAAGCTGCCTTATCGGCACCAGTGACGTTGTCGCACGCGATTGCAAGGGCCCCCGGCAGTTGCCGAATTTCAGGAGTTCCACCAAATTATATGTCCGCAAATGAGTATCCCGCTGCTAATCTCTCAACTCTTCTTCATGCAGAACCCAAAGTCGACCGAACTATGGCCGTAGCGAAACCCATACGGGCTTTGGCGTTTGCATCGTTTATGATATGTATTTTTTTGTTTTATCAGATTTATAAGGTCGGCGTGCAGCCGCCGAAGGGTCCAGGAGATGTTGTTACCTCATATGATGGAGGGGATCCTATGAATGAACGTATGTACATTGAGATTCTAGGCCACTGGGCAAGAGCAATCGCTGATGTCATATAGCTGTTGGAGAACCAGCGGGTGTGTTAAAACGAGAGACGGAAGGCTACGCGCCAGGCCCTGCTGGTACAGCTCGGATCAATGCGACCCTACTTGCGCTGGTTCGGAATGAAGAAGTTAAGGGTATGGTACAAGCAATGCGAGACCTGGAAAGGACATGGAATCACAAGTTCAACTACCCATGGACTTTTTTCAACGATGTTCCCTTCACCGATGAATTTAAGGAACTTACCTCTGCGGAGACGAATGCTGAATGCCATTATGGTACGTATTCAGACCCCACCTCGTCGACTACAGACTAACCTTGCCATCCAGAGCTGATACCGAAAGAGCACTGGGAGGTCCCTTCCTGGGTCAATGGCGACCTATTTCACGAATCCACGAGGCTTCTTGCCGAACAAGACATCCAATACGGCGAGCAGGTCTCTTACCACCAAATGTGTCGATGGAACTCCGGACTCTTTTACAAACACCCAGCGTTGGCGAATACTCGCTACTACTGGCGCGTTGAACCGAACGTCCATTTCTTCTGCGATGTGGACTACGACGTCTTCGCCTACATGCAAGACAATAACAAGACATATGGCTTCACCATCAACCTATACGATGCTCCACAATCGATTCCGAGCCTGTGGCCAGAGACAATAAAGTTTCTCGCCGAGCACCCAGAATATGTACACGATAATAACGCCATGGAGTGGTTGACGGATAGCCAGAGAAGGCCAGAGCATAACAAGCAGGCGAATGGGTACTCGACCTGCCATTTTTGGAGCAACTTCGAAGTCGCAGATATGGACTTCTGGCGAAGCCAGGCATACGAGGATTACTTCAACCACCTTGACCGGGCAGGAGGGTTCTTCTATGAGAGATGGGGAGATGCGCCTGTACACAGCGTCGCTATTGGGCTCTTTGAGGATTCGAGCAAGGTCCATTGGTTCCGTGATATCGGCTACCAACACATCCCCTTCTTCAATTGCCCCAATTCTCCAAAGTGCACTGGCTGTGTCACCGGCCGCCTCACAGACGGTGACTCATGGCTCCATCAGGAAGACTGCAGACCCAATTGGTTCAAGTACGTGGGGATGGGTTGAATGCCTTTCCCTCGTAACCAAACAGCCTTTGACGACCCTGTGGTGCCTCGTGCTCTACCACCCTGTATATGACCGAGAGTACATATGGTGATAACGAATTGTTTGCTTGAGCTACAGTATATACTTCCTAGCGAATAGCCGGACCTGGCGTTGCGTTGTTTTGGGGGTTTTCTTGCCTGGATCATAGCCAGGTAGTTAATGTATTATAGATGATACCTTGCACATCTGGAGCCTAGTGTATAGGTGTCAGAGGTATGACCCGGCAATGGGAGTGGAGGCCAACCGGGCTTGGATTATGAATAATGAGTTGATGAATTAGAACAGAAGATATTCATCAATTTCTGGAACACGCCCCTGGCTATGTGTCTCCACAAATATATAGTGAAAATGCGGGGTATCTATTTTCTTGATATGTAATCCAGCTCCTTATCATATAAACCATGCTTCCCGCTTTTAGTTATCTACCACCTTCCAGTCTGCCATTTCCTCTTTTTATTCGCTGTTTGATGCCCAAGGTTTCCTATTACATTGTCGTGCGAGAAATCACAGTTCGTTGTAAATAGGCGGCTGTAAATTTACCATCTCTGCAACTCACAATCTTATAACAAAAAATGGTTATGCCTCGGTTGAAGCCCTTTTCTGGCCAAGAGCCCAAGGCAGCCAGTCCAGCCAGTGAACAAAAGCCACCTCTGGATCTGAGCCATCACTACTCTCGAGTGACCAAGGCCCGGCAGGAGAGCAATATTAAGGCATTTTACAAATATTTTGCTATCCCTGGCATTGGAAACTTAGCAGGTGGTATGTACCGAAACTTTCCGACCCTTGCTTACCTGTTGATAGCTAATTGCCAATTAGGTCTACCAAACGCATCATACTTTCCATATGATACCCTACAGGCCAGAGTTGCTCTACCTGACCGCTTCGAGCCTACTTCCACCACTTCAACCACCTTCTCACCAAAATCAACTGAATCGCGGATAGCCTCGGAGCCATTCGCCCGTATTGTTGTGCCCCGCGAGTCCTCTTCTTCCGACCCTTCATCTAAAATTGACATCACTACTGCCCTTCAATATGGTCAAGCAAGCGGATATCCACCTCTTCTCTCCTTCGTGCGCCAATTTACGCGCGAGAATCTTCACCCTAATGTCCCTTACGCAGGTGGACCAGAGGTGATACTTACCAACGGAGCACTCGACGGACTTTCCAAGGCAATTGAGTGCCTGAGTAATTCATGGGACAAGACCCGCGATTGGGTAAGTGATCGTGAAGGGGTTCTCTGCGAAGAGTTTTCCTTCATGAGTTCTATCCAATCTATGAGGCCGCGAGGCTTGCAGATTGTGCCAGTGAAGGTCGACCTTGAAGGGATACTACCGAGCGGTCCTGGTGGACTAGAGGATGTTTTGGAAAATTGGGACATAAGCAAAGGAAAGAGGCCTCATCTTATGTACACGATAACGTAAGTCTTTCTAGTCAATGGTTTCCGACTCAACGCCTGACGTTCAAACAGCATTGGCCAGAACCCCACAAGCGGAATACTCTCTGTCGAGCGGCGGAAAGAGATCTATTCGATCTGTACTAAATACGACGTTGTGATCATCGAAGATGATCCTTACTGGCACCTCCAATACCCATCAGCAGCTTTATCCGAGGCATCCGCACGCAACCTCCCCCCTCCAGCACCAGTTACCACAATATCATCATCGCAAAAGTCCTCGGGCTTCCCATTCCTTGACTCTCTCGTCCCTTCCTATCTCTCAATAGACACAGACGGTCGTGTCGTCCGCCTCGACACATTCTCGAAATCAATTGCGCCCGGATGCCGGCTGGGTTGGGTCACCGCACAGCCCAAGCTCATAGAACGCCTCCTCCGCATTACAGAAGGGACAACGCAAAACCCATCCGGCTTCGTCCAGGCAATGGTTGCGCAGGTCATCATGGGTCCTCAGAGCAACGACCGCAACAGCGGCCCCACTGGGTGGAAAGTCGACGGGTGGGTGCGCTGGCTTGAAGGGCTAAGGGGCAATTACGAGCGCCGCATGCAGATAATGAGCGCGGTTCTCGAGGAGGGAAAGTTCACAATACAGCAGAAGCGGATGGCGAATGACGAGGACGCTGAGTGGGCCGTTGTTAAGAAGGCGGAAATGTACAATTTCTGCTGGCCGCGCGGCGGGATGTTCCTATGGCTGAGATATAATTTTGATTCTCACCCGCTAGTTGGACAAGTTGACGGTCCCCGCCTTGCGAAGGCGCTTTGGGTCTGGCTCACGCGGAAGCCATATTTGGCGCTTGTGATGCCGGGAGAGATATTCGATGCTGTTCCGGGGTCGACAACATCGGAGGGATGGAGATTTTGTAGAATCTGTTTTGCGGCGGTGGAAGAGGAGGATGTACAGAAGGTAAGTATCGGGTTTGCAAGGGGTGTTGAGTCATTTTGGCACCTGAGGAAAGTGAAGGATATAGAGGGGATTGAAGCATGGGCTGCAAGCGAGGAGAGGGAGCAGCAGGGAGTGACGGATTTAGGGGCCGGCTGGGCCTGTTGAGGTTTCTATATGGACTGATCTAGGTCCATTCCCCAACAACCCCATTACATAGTAGTACGGCGGTGTATATTTGAAGGATATGATGTGTACTTAAGGCAACGAGGCTGTTCTCATATGGTGTTATGTAAATAAATGGTCACTAAATACGCATCACTGCTTCTCTTCATTAGTGTTCATTCAAATATCATAAATTCAACGTCCTAACGTCCGGTTGATGCAACGCTAAAGGCTCAATGGCCAGAACTTATCCTACGTCGCGGCAATCTCCAGATATGCCTTCTAACCATTGCTCCAGCCTGACCGGCAGCATCTTGGATCATTCAGCTGCTCTCAGCTAGTGGAGTTGAGCCACCTTCCTCCCCACGATTACCACCACCGTCCCTTCCTATTTATGCCTCAATTAAAACATCCCAAAGCCCCTTGTACCCCTCCTCCTCAGATCTCCCTTCCTTAGCTTTACACATCCCCACGAAATCATGCCAGATCACGTTAACCAACCACCCATCCTTAGCCACCCCATCCAAAAACCTCCGGCTCTCCTCTCCACTCTTCCCAAACACCGCAGCCCACTCCTCCCACATCTGCCACGCCTCCTCTGCCCACGCGCGGAAGCTGACCTCCTCCACAATAGTCGGGCTCACAATCTCTTTGCCAGGGAACACACCCCACGTCACTGCGTTAGTTTCAGACCCTTCCTCACCAGGGCCGAGGTCCAACTTCGACTTCAAGAACTCGCCCGAAGCGCTCTGTGCCAGGAAGCTGACTTCCCCGTTGCCTTCCAACAGAGGCTTCAAGCGCGCCCAGTCCGAGGTCGGCACGAAGAGCTCGACAAACGCCTTCTGGAATACCCAGCCTCCCTTTGGTCCCCAGCCAACGACTTCGTCCTGGCTGCGCGCGCCGTTAACGGCGGGTTGAGAGGCGATGGTCCACCAGCCCTTCTGGTTGAGCTTGACGAGCTCGTCCTTGATGAGGTTGGCCTCGGCGGCGATGGGCTCGTCGCTCCAGGGAAGGGCGGAGAGGGTTCCGTTAAGGTACTGCACGAAGATGGAGGTTATGTCAGGGCGCGAGGTGGGGTGGTTCCATAGAGCGAGGGCTTCGGCGGGTGAGGTGTGTAGGGTAGGCCCGTAGCCGTCGATTTCACCGTATGCGGGGGAGCGAGCGTCACCCCAGCGGCCGTTAGGGAAGCTGATGCGCGTTAGTCATATTGGCTTCCCGGGTTTAAAGCTTAAGAAAAAAGGTTGGTAGCCTTCACTAGAAGGCCCCACAGTAGTATAAAAAAGAACGTGGGGACAGGGGGCCATACTCGTCCCAGGTTGCTTCTCTACCAAGCGCTCCCTCGCCTTCTGAAATTGCGAGGGTGTTGGCACGTGTGTTGACGCCATCCTTCGGAACTGCAGCCTCAGCTCCTGTAGTCTCGAACCCGGATGCCTCTTCCCTGTCAATGATGACGAAATTATGCGGGCCGGAACCAACACTTGATTGTCTCCTGTTCTTTCTTTCTCCATTAATCAATAATTGCGGCAGAGGGATGGTGTCGGTGATGTCATCAACGGCGAACGCATCTGAGGTGAGGACAGGCGTGAACGATGGGATAAGGTTCACGCGCTCGAGAATAAAAGCCACAGCTTTCTCCAGGTTCAGAGTGTAGAAGTGGAAGCCCTTTGGACCTTTCGTGCGTTGTTTGGTGGCCTTGACGGACTCGACGATTTCGGCGAGGATATCAACGCCTACTTTCTTAACCATCTCGTCGTCGGTACGCACAGCATCCAATCTATCTATGATGCTCTCTGGAAGCTTTGCATTGCTCAGCTTCGTTGTTCGGCGAAGGATTTGGTAGCTCTGGATTGGCATCAAGCCGGGAATAATCGGGATGCTCTTGAAAGCACCACTTGAGTGGTCCCTCAAAACCTTCTCGAAGTTATCGTACGCATCAACATCATAAAACAGCTGTGTCATGATAAAGTCTGCGCCCGCTTGTACTTTATCGACCAAGTATGGCAAGTCGTGCTCTAAGCTCTGTTCTGTAGGGTGGCTGCCATCCGCATGTCCCTCTGGATACGCCGCAACTCCCACGCAGAAGTAGTCGCCATACTTCTTCCTAATATATTTCACCAAATCAATAGCCCAGACAAACTCGTCCTCGCCCTCCTTCCCCTCCTCAAGCGCATCCTTGTACTCGCCTCTGGGCTCGTCCCCTCTCAAGGCCAAGATATTCTGAATACCAGCTTCCTTGGCTGCTTTCAGCGCATCGTCCACGAGCGCCTTGGACATGTTCGTGCACGTCAAATGCAAGCATGTTGTGAGTCCCAAGTCGCGCTGGCACAGTTCAGCGAGCTCCATAGACCTCGATGCTGTAGAACCCCCAGCCCCCCACGTCACAGTAACGAAGAGGGGTCGCAGCGCGCGGGACATGCGGTCGAGACGCGCCCGGAGATTCGTCGACCCCATCGCCGTCTTGGGTGGGAAGAATTCGAGAGAGAAGTATGAGGCATCTTGACGAAGTGCGGCGATTTTGTCTGTGATCTTGTCCGTGGTCGGGGAGTCCGCCATATCGCGTTCTTTGCTTGCAGGCGGGAAACGTAAGGGTGGTTGAGTGGCGAGTGAATCAATTGTGTCCGTAGGGAACTATTATAAACGTCTCGGGTGAGGGGACCGATCCGAGGAGCTGAAATAATGTACAATTGTTGACGATGTGTGAGGTGGCATAGGAGACGGACGACGTCAGGCTAGACCGTGGGGTGAAGGGTGGGATGAAAGCGTGGTCGGCGAATAATGATGTGGGGCAGATATGCGGGGTCGTTGTCCCTCCAAAAAAAGCAAATTGAAGTCAAAATCAGCTACAACTCCCACTCCCCATCGCTGTTTGATGTCGCGGGGGTGGTCAGATGAAAGCGCATTTTCCGGTAGATTCGGCCGTTCTTATAAATACAGGTAAAAAATATATGTAGCTGTTTTGTGGCTATTTTGGCCTTGTCTCGTGCTTCTTGCGCCAAAGCGGCTTACTTCGGGCAGCTTCATCGGCATACATGCAGGCGACCCCAAGCTCCTTAATGGAGCCTATGGGGTGAGAATCCGTATCCCAGAAATACCAAATAGTGTTGCTGCAAGTATGGTTAATTTGGGGGTTTAAATTTCATCATCGTGGGGGGATATATATATACGTGGGTTGGCTCATCACATGTGGGGTTGCACAAAGGGTATCACATCACATTCGCAAAGAGAGGGGGGCATGGCACTGTTGACTGTCAAGTGCTTTCATATTCACGATATCTGAATGCTTAATTGTTGAGTGCTTTCGTATCCACGATATCTGAATGCGTGACTTTTTCGCTGATTCCTCCCATTGAATTCGGTGTATCGAGTGAATGTGGTAGACTCCATAATCCATGAGCCTCAGACTCCGCAAAACATCGCAAAGATCTCAGCCCAGTAACAAATGCCACCAGATCTTCCGATCCCAAGCTCTTCCAGTGGTTCCAGTAAAGAAGCACTCATGGCATGGGAGTGCCACAGAAAGAGAATCAATAACAAAATGCAGAGTTGTGCCGGTTTGGTCCAGTCGATGAAAATTAAAGACCTTTTGGCAAGTGTCGAATCGATGAAAATTAAAGACCTTTTGGCGAGTGTCGAATGTAAAAAATCAAATATCTGAGAACCCATTTTTCGAAATCCCGGTGCTTGGACTCCATCATCATAACCCAAGACGAATAAACTCCATAATCAAAGCCCATAAAATTCTTCTGGCCATAGCTCAGGTATATAAACTCCATGATCAAACCCAGGTGTATATGTTTCTGAATCGAAACGATCTCTCCAAGGATGCCGCTCTGCTCATTGACGAAGAAAAGAAGTTGTGTGAACCCTCCGCTCGGGCTTGGTTCGCAAATTGATGTTTGGAAAGCCAGCGTCGCAAACAACCTCGAGCTTGAAGGAGCAATTTAGACAGCATCGTCGTCGTAACCGATGCCAAACTGGTTGTTGCGAGCCTCGTGAAACTCGTCTTCATCTTCCATATCATAGCCACCGAGTTGGCCATTGGAGTGGCCGTTGGAGTGGCCATTGGAATTTCCGTTCGCAAAGCCACTGGAGAAGCTGTGGTGACCGAAACTGTTTCCAGCATGATCGCCAGCCGCAAAGTTTTGAGATTCCTGGCCGTGGTTTGGAGTCACCGCGCCATACTCATTCGACTCGGATTTGACCACAATGCTTGAAACCTTCTCCTCGGTATACTCGTCGGCATTGTCATCATCATCTTCGTCCTCCTCCGCATCTGACTCGACGTAGGTTGGAATCGCAGCAGCGGCCTTGCGGGGGGTGCGGGCCTTGGAGACACGGCCTCCTTTGGTCTTGTTCAGCGACTCCTTGGGTGTGAACTTGGACGGAGAGATCTCCGGCTCCTCTTCATCCTCATTATCCTCATCCGATACATTCTTCTTCACGGCCTTCTTCTTAGGCGTTCTCGGGGCCTTTTGGGCGGCACTGCGGGGAACATCACCGTTAGTAGAATTCCCAAGCCAAGACGGCTCTTTCTTCAGGCGCTCAAAACGGGTGGAAACGGCTTTGGCTGTGACGCCTTCTTCGTACTTATCTGCAATTGCTGGGGAGTGTTAGCAGTGGCACCCAAAAAAAATGTGTGTGCAGTGATGAACATGTGAGAAATGGAAATTGCAATGACGGGGGAGTATGTACGGGCAATGCCCTTCTCATCTCTCATTTGCTTCGCTGATTGCTTTATCTTCCTGAACCTATGGTCAAGGGCATAGGGAGTGCAGTCCCCATAGTACGCCGCGATCTCTGTGGAAAATTAGAGACGCCAGTAAACATAATAATAAAATAGAGTGTGTGGTAATGTGCAGTGAAGGGGACAAATGGAATATAAACAAATGAAGGTAAAGTAGTACATGGGTTCCTGCCCTTGGCACCCGAAGGGATGTCAAGGCTGATTGGATCGAGGCCAGATGCCAGGGCATCACCGATTCTCTTTGCATCAGTCTTCAAAGATCTGAAGCGGTTGTCGATCGCCCATTTGGTACAGTCTCCCCCAAATGCCTTGGCGATTTCTGGGCATTGGTCAGAGCGAAGGTGGGAATGGGGCATGTGGTTGTGAAGGCAGAAGGGAACTGATGTGTAGAGACGTACCAGCGTAGTTGAGTTTGAGATCGGGGTGCGCGGCGAGGATGGCGGAGAGGAGGCGGACGGAGCTTTCGTAAGTCTTCCAGTTGGGCATTTTGAAAAACGTGCGGAGGTCGTACTGCTGTAGAATATATGTTAATTGCGAGTTTGAGGATCAGGATAACCCGAGTTGTGGGTGAAAGAGGTGAATCCTAATATCGCAACAAGTGAACCTTGAAGAAGTAGGAGATGTATGAAATTTGAAGCTAGTAATAATTCAAGGCTGTTGAAAAGGAAAGGGTGGATAAGTGTGCTTGAATATGTGTGTGAATGGTTGCCACCAAAGTGGGATGGTGACATCAAAAGTTGAAGGCAGGAAGATAAAAGTATTATCATAAACAGTAGCAAGACTGAGACTAGGTGTGTGAAAAGTGAAAATGACTTACCTTGGTTGTCGAGATACTTTTGGGCTTCTGATGTGAAGCTGAAAAAGACGCTGGGTGTGGCGAATGCAACAGCTTGCAGTTATCAGGTCTAGAAGAAGGCGTAAGCAGTTGTTGAGGAGTCAAAGGTTGATGGAAGGTTGAAGAGTAAAGAGTTCAAGCTTGATGGTTGATGGTTGATGGTTGAAGAAGGAAGAAGGAAGGTTGCTGAAGGTTGTTGAAAGTTGTTGAAGGTTGCTGAAGGTTGCTGAAGGTTGGAGAGACGAAGGTTGCAGAGTCGAGGGTTGAAGAGTCGAGGGTTGAAGAGTCGAGGGTTCAAGAGTCGAGGGTTGAAGAGTCAAGGGTTCAAGTGTTGAAGTTTGGCTCTTGAGGAGGAGGTTGCAGACAAAGGAAAGGAAAGGCTACTTACTGTTGACCAGCTGAGTTTTTGAAGGTTGCAAAATGTAAATTGGTATTCGAAGAAGTCGAATGTAGTTGAAGCTTATGGTAGTGTAGTTGTTTTGATGTGAGAGTCTAGAGGTGAAGGAGGAAAGCTCAAGATCGGGTCCGCTTCGAGTTTTTATATTCGACTTGGAAACAATGAACTCGGCAGTCAAGGCAGCACAGTTGGGGGGGAGAGAGAGAAAATTGTAGAATTGAAGCAAGTTTGTGCGTGGGACGCGTTCTTGAAATCTCTCAAATGTGAGAAAAAGATGGACTCAGATAGACCTCAGAGGCTTATTACACAACATCTAATAAACTAATCCATAAAACAAACCAAAATAGCTACTAAAATATTCCGCGACCATCTACATATCATTTACAGCTCACCCTGCCTCTTTTGACTTCATAAACAACAAATTATTGATATTTGTTGTTTTGACCTGTATCCCCGGTTATCTTTAATAAACGCCAATTCTCGCGAAGTCACGCACTTTCGCGTCACACTGCCTCGTCGCGCTCTTTGTCCCCGCACAGCGGTGTGAGATTCCACTCCCTCCCTCGCCTAGATTGAAAATCCGCTACAGTAATATGCACCTTTTATCCCTTGGGTGTTAGGTTTATCCACTCGGTTTACGCTGGCCTTGAACTGGTTGCACTTTTTGGGAAGTGCAATGATCTTCTGGGTTTCCAACATGGTGCCTCGCTTTCGACAACATGCACGGTGTAAACCCCAGCCTGTACGAGTACTTGTATCGGATACTTGCATTCGCACGCACCCTCAGTTAATCAGACTCTTTGGCATTGCTCCAGGGCTTGGTCGCTTTCGCTTTCAATACTAGGCATGACTCGGACTCTCTGGGCTGTACTTCAAAACAACCAAGGTTATTGCAACCTTCGCGTCTACGCGCTTATATTATTATTCTAATCATCATCTTGTCAACTATATCCATCTACAAACTCCTATACCGAACTAACAACAGTCAGTCATAATACAATGAACTAATCACCTTCTGGAGGCCGTCTCAGTCGTATGGCACCGCAGCATCGCACGGCATGTATACACCCGCCTGTCGTGCTTCTATAATACACTCAGTCCCAGTTGGACCGGATCTCTCTTCAGTCTAAGCGATCATCTTTCTCCAACATGGGTATATGGACCGCTCTGGGAGATCTCGGTATCGAAATACCACTGTGAGCGTGGCTCGGAACCGCCTCCCCGGTGCCGTACATGAAGTATTGTACGCCGAGGAACGAATCGCAGCATGCCTGGAACATGCCGCAGAATTTGAACGCCCATGGGATCTCCGTAGTGGCGGTGAAGAACCACAGCATCTTCATTGCATCTCCAGCAATCCAGCTCACCAGAACTGAGAAGCGGAAGCCCTTGCAGGAGCGCGTCCTGTTGTTTGCTAATATCTGTGGAATCGGTAGCGTCGCTTCAATGGCCAGGCCGAGGTAGCCAATTGTCGACGAATAGAAGTCGTATGCGAAGCCGAATGGGGCGAACATGAGCTCGCATGCCATGAGGGTAATGATGAGGTAGAGGAGGAATTGCCAATATCTGTGTGGGTAGTTAGCCAAGAAGCCCAAGCTTTTTTAAGCTTTAAATCCATTTGGTAAACGTACGGTTTAGGGGATCTCCATTGCCAGAAGTTGTACGGCCTGGCATTGCCAGACTCTCCATCCTTTATACCCGCAAATGGTTGTGATGCTTCCCCCCCTTTGGACGAAGGTGACGGCCTGTTTTCGAGGGCGACGTGTAGCAGAATAACTTGGACTATGATCATAATGGTTGCTTGGATTAAGAGTGACATATCATATTGCGCTCCAGGATAGTAAAACACGCTGGTCAAGAGTTAGCAAGGGCACTTTGTTCGTCTCGCAAATAGGGGCAGGGGGTGAGTCTGGTCCAAGGAGAACATACCGAAGAATCGACGCAGCAAGCATTATAAGTGGTATATCAAGAGAAAACCCAGCACTCGATTTCGATCTGTATATTGCAGCAATCTGGTCGGCATATGAGGTAATTGGCGACACGATGATAAATACCGGCGCGACGAAGCCGGTGACAAAAGAGAGTACAGCACCCATGATGGGTGGTTTGTGCCGGGCGGCAAACAACAAATATGAAATAAGCAAATGCTAATTACAATTCCATGGGAAGATTTCAAGAAAGAGCAAACTGCACGATAATTCACTGTTGGCGCATTGATTATTTGAACGTAGTGTCCAGCAGAACCATCTTCGTGGACATTGAAGTCGAATAATTTCGGATGCACAGCCTTGCTATCCGACTTACATAAGCAGGAAAGCGTCGCGTCCGTCGTGGCGGGCATTTTCCTGACCGCCCGCTCGGATTTATGATAATCCTAAAGCCGCTCCCACCAGATTATTCTGACGTCCAAGAGGCGACCCCGCGGCGAGATAGACTTTTCACCCCTCAATCGCGAATTGACTGGTCTCCTCCAAGAAAATCGGACATATTGTCACGTTTACAAGATGGAGTATCTCACTCTACTTGGAGAAGATGCTTATACATCATCATCGGCACGCAAGATCCAAGATCTGATTGCGAAGACTAGTTCCGCCAAAGTTGACGAGGTTTCCGCCGTCTACATTCACTATGCCCGGTTGAAGCAGGCAACCAATGACGTCGCAAAGGTGAGCACAATTTATATTTATAAAACTTTGGAATGCCCAATTTTTTATAAGTTTCCCATATGCTTTTTTGCTTTGCTAGAAAAATTGCTGTTTTCGACTCCGAAATCGCAACGAAATATATGCTATACCCTAGTCTGGAAAAACGTGACTGTGACTAACATTATCAGGAAACCGATGCGAAGCTGAGGCAGCTCCTGCCCAACCCGCGGCCAGACTTCTTTCGTGAAGTTTCCGGTCCATCTGCTGCGAACTTCAAGGTCTACTATGTTACTCCCCGCAACATTTCGCCATGGAGCTCCAAGGCCACCAGCATTGCTGCCGTCTGCGGCGTGAAGAGCCTTGAGCGCATCGAGAGAGGCCGTGCCATCTTGGTCAAATTTGCTGAACCTTTTGAGGGATCTGACGATTCATTCAAGCATGTGCTCTTTGACCGCATGACAGAGAACATCAGCAGTTCTGAGCCGGATGTAAAGGGCATGTTTGCTGAGGGCCAGCGCATCCCTCTTGAGGTTGTGGACATCTTTGCCGAGGGTGCCAACCCAATTGATATCCTTAAGGGATACAACAAGGAGAGAGGCCTAGCCCTCGATGAGCCCGAAATGGAGTATCTCATCCAAGCATATTCCAAAATCGGCAGGTCGCCCTATGATGTGGAGTTGTTCATGTTTGCACAAGTCAACTCGGAGCATTGCAGGCATAAGCAATTCAATGCAAACTGGACCATCGACGATGTTCCCATGGGCAAGTCTCTCTTCGAGATGATCAAGAATACCCACAAGAACAACCCTAAGTGGACCGTGTCGGCCTACAGCGACAACGCCGCCGTTTTGGAGGGAAACTTCGCCAGCTTCTGGGCTCCAGACTACAACACTGGCTCTTGGAAAGCAACTAAGGAGATGGTCCACTACATCATCAAGGTTGAGACGCACAATCACCCTACCGCAATTTCTCCTTTCGCAGGAGCCGCTACTGGTTCGGGTGGAGAGATCAGAGATGAAGGAGCTGTTGGAAGAGGATCGCAGCCCAAGGCTGGGCTTTGCGGCTTCTGGGTCTCTGACCTCTTGATCCCAGATTTTGAGCAGCCGTGGGAGATCGACTTCGGCAAGCCAGCTCATTATGCCAGCAGCTTGGATATCATGCTGGAGGCGCCCATTGGAAGCGCAAGGTTCAACAACGAGTTTGGTCGCCCCTGTCTCACGGGGTGCTTTAGAACACTCCTCACCGATACCGGCAGCAATGAAGCAGAGGATTACAGAGGATACCACAAGCCGATTATGATTGCAGGTGGTGTTGGCACTGTCCGACCCCAATTTGCTATTAAGCGCCAGGGCGATGTCAAGCCCGGAGCCCATGTTATCGTTCTCGGTGGACCAGCTATGCTTATTGGTCTTGGTGGCGGAGCTGCCTCTAGTAACGCATCTGGTGAAGGATCCGCTGAATTGGATTTCGACAGTGTCCAGCGCGGCAACCCAGAAATGGAGCGCCGTGCACAGATGGTCATCAATGCCTGCTGTGCTCTTAACGATGCCAACCCTATTGCCATGATCCACGATGTTGGAGCCGGTGGATTGTCGAACGCGTTGCCAGAGCTCGTCAAGGACGCTGGTTATGGTGGCAGATTTGAACTTCGCCAAATTGAAAGTGCCGACAGCAGTATGAGCCCGCTGCAGATTTGGTGCTGCGAAGCACAAGAGCGCTACGTTCTCTGCGTAAACGAGGAGGGCCTGAACAAGTTTGTCAACATTTGCAGTAGGTACCCTCGATGGCTATGATGAATTTACAAAGCTAACACTTTAGACCGCGAACGCTGTGGCTTCTCCGACGTTGGATCTGTAACCGGCACAATTGGTGGAAACGAATCTACACTTGTTGTCACCGACCGCGAAGGCAATGAATACCCAAAGCCGATTGATCTCCCGATGACGACACTCTTCCCTAGAGACAGGAAGCTGGAGCGAAACGTCAAGACCAAGAAGAACAATCTGAAGGCCTTCGACAGTTTCCAGAGCCTCTGCAGCCTCAAGACCACGAAGTCTTGCCGCGGCAGTGCCGAGTTCCTCCACAGAGCAATGGAAATTGTCCTGAAGGTCCCCGCTGTTGGTTCCAAGGCATTCCTGATTACCATTGGAGACCGTACTGTCGGTGGTATGACCACTAGAGATCAGATGGTCGGACCATGGCAAACACCTGTCGCAGATGTTGCGGTGACCATTACCTCGCTCGCAACAGGAGGCATTCAAACTGGCGAGGCAATGGCTGTTGGCGAGAAGCCAGCTTTGGCATTGATTTCCCCTGCTGCTTCATCCCGCATGGCGGTTGCTGAGAGTTTGTTGAACCTGGCCGCGGCAGATATTCAGGGAGGCCTCGATCGTGTTCGCTTGTCTGCGAACTGGATGGCAGCCGTTAACCACGAGGGCGAAGGCTCTGCCTTGTATGAGGCTGTCCAAGCAATTGGTATGGATATGTGCCCCAAGCTCGGCATAAGCATTCCTGTTGGAAAGGACTCTACATCCATGAAGGCTTCGTGGAAGGATAGCTCCAACGGAGAGTCCAAGTCTGTTACGGCACCCGTTACAGTCGTCATCTCAGCCTTTGCTCCAGTGCAACGTGTCAGCCACACCTGGACTCCTGCTCTCCGAAGACTCGAGGATGTTGGCGAGACAGTACTCATGTTTGTGGATCTTGCCCAAGGCAAGCAAGCTATGGGTGGTTCCGCATTCGCCCAGGCCTGTGGACAGCTTGGAAATGAGAGCCCCGACGTTCATGACGTCGATCTCATCGCTGACTATTTCGATGCGGTCACTCAACTTCATGAGTCTGGTATTGTCTTGGCATACCACGATCGCTCTGACGGTGGTCTCTTCACTACTATTGTTGAGATGATGTTTGCCGGTCGTTGTGGAGCTGAGATCATGCTCGATGGCGTTGCTAAGAGTGACGAGACAGGTGATGTTTTGGATGCCCTTTTCAACGAAGAATTGGGGGCTGTCTTCCAGGTTAAGAAGTCGGATGAGATCAACTTCATCAGATGCTTCGCAACTTGCGGTCCTCCCCCAGGATTGGTCAAGAAGATTGGTCGCATCCCAGCTGCCACTAAGCAAGAGCTTTCCATTCGTTACAAGGCAGAGACCGTCACCCACCTGGACAGGTCAACTATGCAAGAGTGGTGGTCCTCGACCTCGTACCAAATGCAACGTCTTCGCGACAACCCCGCCAGCGCTGATTCGGAGTTCTCGCTCATCAAGGACAACAAGGATCCTGGACTCTCGTACAACCTTACTTTCGATCCGAAGGAGAGCATCCTGCCGATGACGACTCTTCTCAGCAGCCCATTTATCAAGGCTCCCCGCGTCGCCATCCTCCGTGAGCAAGGTGTTAACGGTTACGCCGAGATGGCATTTGCCTTCAAGGCTGCTGGCTTCGATGCGATCGATGTTCATATGACCGACATCATTGGCGGACGATCTCTTGCAGACTTCGTCGGTATCGCTGCATGCGGTGGCTTCTCCTACGGAGACGTCCTTGGAGCAGGACAAGGCTGGGCCAAGTCCATCCTCATGCACGAGGAGAATGCCAGACCAGAATTCAAGAAGTTCTTCGAGAGGAAGGATACCTTTGCCCTCGGTGTCTGCAACGGTTGCCAAATGCTCAGCAGGCTTTCCGAGCTGATCCCTGGTGCCGAAAACTGGCCGATATTCGTTGATAATGAATCTCAGCAGTTCGAGGGCCGTGTCTCGATGCTCCAAATCAAGGATAACAGCGAGAACCCATCAGTCTTCTTCCACGGCATGGACGGCAGCTCCTTGCCCATTGTTGTTTCCCACGGAGAGGGCCGCGCCCAATTCAAGAACAATACGGACTTAGAGGCATTGACTGCAGCTGGGTTGGTTCCAATTAGGTACACAGACAACTACGGGAAGGTTACGGAGAAGTACCCACTCAACCCCAACGGCTCCGCACAGGGAATTGCTGGTGTGACAAGCAGGGATGGCCGAGTTTTGGCTATGATGCCTCACCCCGAGCGTTCTATCATGGCCAGCGTGGGAAGCTATATCCCCGATGGCATGACAGAGGAGTGGGGTGAGTACGGCCCTTGGGTCCGAATGTTCAAGAGCGCAAGACGCTGGGTTGGTTAGATGAAGCTCGAAGACGGTATTCACCTGGAGATGGGAAGCGTCACAAAATAAATTGGTTTACGGAGTTATAAGGTAGGCTTGAGATGGGGCGCATGCATTAATAAAAATGAACACAATGAGTTGTTCTCATTGTATATATCCCATGATCAGATTGTGCAGTTTTCACCTCTGCCTCAAACTGGGACAAATAAATAGTTGCTATTAAAATATTTGAATTTAATATAAATTTATAAATCTTTTGGATCTATAATTTATCGCTGATTGTTTCGAAGTATTTTTGGCTCTATCTCCGAATACCCAATATGCCAATTATAGCTCTTGGTGATTGAGAGACTTCATTTTAGTTACAGTTACTGTAGTCACTCCTGTCATGCATAATTGCTCTTCAGCCTTCAGTCTTTTGTTTTTTTGGGTAGCACGAGTATGTGAAGTGAATTTCTGATGGACAAGGCTGAAGTTCATCGAGGCGATAAGTGCGATAAGCCAGGGCCGCCTTATTCGCGTCTCCCGAGAATCGACAACGCGACTGCCTTCCCCCCGCACAGATAAACTTCAAGATCATGACAACCTTGCCCTTCGATCCTATTGATAGTTTATGAACCAAGCCGTATGAATTGAATACGAAGCATGGAGAAATTCTTGCGTGATTGGCGTCAGGATGCATTGAATAAACATCAGTACGACTCGGCCATCTTCATTGGAGACAAACTGCTGGCCTTGACGAGTATGACCCCTCAGGCTATTGCTCCAAACAATTTAACTGATGTATTTGACAGACAATGACAAAGATGCATTCTGGCTTGCTCAAGTCCACTTCTCCACTGGAAATTATACTCGCGCCCAGAGCTTCCTGGCGAAGCAAGACTTGGTGTCGAGGAACCCATCATGCCGATATCTAGCTGGCCACTGTCTCATAAAGCAAGGGAGATTTGAGGAAGCTTTAAATATACTGGGAGAGAACAATCCTACACATTTAATAGGAACGGCGGGCAACAACAGGCGGAAGATGCAACATACCGGTGGACATACCAGGACCAACTCAGTACACAGCAAGACATCGAAGTCAAGCAAGCGAGACGAAGCAGCTCAAGAAGAGGATGCAAACATACGATTTGAGGCGGCAATGTGCTTTCTGAGGGGCCTTTGCTATGCCAAACAGAACGCCTTCGATAGGGCAAAGGAGTGCTACAAAGATGCTGTTGGAATTGATGTACAATGCTTCGAGGCATTTGAGCAGCTGATGAAGAACTGCCTCATGTCGCCAGATGAAGAATGGCAGTTTTTGGAGTCTCTTGACTTTGATGCCATATCTGCAGATGACCCATCATCACAAGAAGCAGCTGAGTTCACCAAAATGCTGTACACAACACGCCTCTCCAAATACAAAAATCCTGTCGCCTTCACCACAGCCACTGAAACGCTTTCCACACACTACAACTTAGCATCAAACCCCGACCTTCTTCTCTCCAAAGCCGACCTTCTATTCACCCAATGTCGTTTCAAAGAAGCCCTCCGCATTACGTCCTCTATAATCCAAGGTGACAAGTACAACTTCGCCATTTATCCACTGCACCTCGCCTGCTTGTACGAGCTAAATGAGAAGAACGCCCTATTCCTTGTCTCCCACGATCTGGCCGACAACCATCCTGATGAACCATGCACTTGGCTTGCTGTGGGAATCTATTACCTCGCCACGTCTAAAATTGCAGAAGCACGGCGGTACTTCTCAAAAGCATCGATGATGGACCCGCATTTTGGCCCTGCATGGATTGGATTCGCGCATACCTTCGCAGCAGAAGGCGAGCACGACCAAGCTATTTCAGCCTACAGCACTGCCGCAAGACTGTTCATGGGCACGCACTTGCCACAGCTGTTCTTAGGCATGCAGAACTTGCTTCTTAATAATATGACGCTGGCGGATGAGTTTTTGAAGACGGCGTATGGACTATGCAAGACTGACCCGTTACTACTGAACGAAATGGGGGTTGTATTTTATCATCAAGACCACCTCGATAACGCGGTGACGATGTTCAAGACAGCTTTAACGATTGCCGTGGAAATTGACAGCGAACCTTCTGCCTGGATCTCAACACAAGCAAACCTGGGCCATGCATACCGCCGACTGGGTCGCTGGGATGAAGCCTTGGAGTCCTTCGAAGAGGTACTCCGAATGGGCGGCAAAGATCCGCAAGTTTTCTGTGCAAAGGGCTTGGTGTTGATGGAACAAGGAAAAGCGTTTGAGGCAGTAGGAGTACTTCATGAAGCCCTTGGGATTAGCCCGCAAGATTCAATTGCAACGGAGTTATTGAATCGTGCATTGGAAGAGACAGCCGAAGGAGGTATGGGCGATATACTTGGGGAAGTTGATGACGAAGCCTGGGAAAGGGAGCTAGAAGAGAGGAAACGAGAGGCTAAAGTCAGGGAGATGGGAAAGGGGAAGGAGAGGTATAGAAGCGCCATGAGGGGGAAAGGGAGGGGAAGCAGTAGGGGGGTTGAAGTGGACAGTTTGATGGAGTTGAGTAGTGATGATTAACGATGGATGAACCGGCCGAGCCGTGGATGGGCTAAGTGACGAGCAACGCTTGAAGGGAATTGGCATATTATTGATAAAACATATTCCACCAGTGCATGACGCTCCACAAAACACTGCCGCTTCTGGGCGGCTCTCACAAATCGCTGTTCGTCCCAGTTGTTGGAATATTTGCAAATGAGTTCTAAATATCTTTACATAAACCATCGACATCCATATTCTACAGCGCCATTCCACCAGGCGAATCGTACAACTCCAATGAACTGCCCCAAAGGCCATGTCTGTGCCACCCACTGTTCTAACGTTCACACACCCGACAAGTCCTCTATTTCTTCCCTTGCTTACCCCCCCCTCTTAAGCCCCTCTTCCCGGCATTAGCCACCTTTCGAACTGTAGCCTTCTTCCATGCCGTCCATCTATCCCTGGGTTTGAACGCTCTGACTTGGATCTTAGCACGCTCAGCCGCACGACCGATCTCCCAATTGGCCTCACGGTACATGTATCCCGGTCTCAGCGTCAACACCCTTCCTTCCTCTCCCTTCCTCTCACGGACCTTCTTTGCTGGCGCTGGCGCTGACACCTGGGTCTGCACGGCGCCTTCCTCGCCCTGTAGCTCGGCCGACTCCTCCACAACCTCTGGAGTCTCGGCGACGGTCGAAAATTCCATCTGGCTTGCAGCAAGGCCTAACCTCCGTCTGCGCATCGAGTTTCTCGGTAGGGGAAGGACTTGGTTTCGCTCGAAGACTACGCCAATGTATTGCCTCTTTGGGTGCCTCTCGGGATCTTTGTAGTACTTCACGTAGCCGGATTCAGTCGCGTAGATGGTGTGGTCGCGGCCCATGGCACAGTTGTCACCGGGGAACCAGTGCGTGCCTCGTTGACGGAAGATAATGTTGCCTGGGATAACGTATTGTTCTGTTCCATGTCAGTCTGCGGTCGTCTCCAAATGGTGTGCCCTGGGTGATCCTGTCATGCGACATTGGACACCTGGCACGCAAGAGAGCAAACAAACCTCCAGACTTCTTGCAACCCAGCCTCTTTCCCGGACCATCCTTCGCCTTGTTCACTGCTCCTTGCGCTTTATGCGTAGCATATCGGACGAAGTTCAAGTTTCCGCCCTGAGTTTCCTTTTGGCACAACCTGAGCGCAGCAAATGCCTCATGAAGTCCTGTATGCGAATTCGAAGCTCCCGATCGAGCAATTGAAGTTAACGACGCCCTCAGCGGCGGCTGTAGCCGTTGTATCAGCATCTTGCCGTGTGGTGGTGGTATCTACCTATTTCGCTGCGCTTGGGGATGGATGTCAATGAATAATTTGAGGCTGTCCCCGGTTGATTAGTCAGCACATGTACCATCCGGGGACAACTTGTCCTAAAGGCGAGGTGATATATTTGGCTACTGAGTTTACCAAGAATACATTCAGTAACTCAACTTCAAAATGTTTGGAAGAGTAACTCTTACAAGCGTTCTGCTTGTCGGTGCCCTGGCGGCGACCGTCAATGCACAGTTTGGAAATATGTTTGAGCAGTTTATGGGTGGCCAACAGCAACGACAGCATCATCAAGCTCCACAGAATGTTGCAAGCGACTCAGCTTGGTATCAACAGACATACGGCAATGGTATTCCTTTCTCAGATCCTGTGTATTGAGGGACACAATGCTAATATTCCACAGCCCATTGCAGCAATTACCTCTGTCCAGGGACACTATGTAAGCTTTACAATACCTAGGCTCACACCGACGACTAATAATGTCTATAGCATGTGTGTCCGTTCCCCACCACTGCCCATGTCAATTCCCGGCGGTAGAGGATAAATTTGAGTTGGGCGATGGATCAGCAATTTGCGTGTCGAAGGGCGGCTTCAAGGCGAATGAGGCTGCTCGGAAAGTCGAGTTGGCAAGGAAGGGGCTGTTATAAAAGACAATACGATACGATATATGGCGTTTGGGATACCACATTGCGAAATATGGATGCGGGAATTATGAATCTACATATGATTGCTCATGCACGACAAGGACTTCAAAGTGGTCATCTGGATCATTGATACTTTGCCAGGCTAGTTCATCTTTTTTAACACGTCCAGAGTTACAGAGACGAATAAGACAAAGTCTGAAAGGCGGACTATTTCTTTGCTTCCTTGCCCGTGGGAATGTTGAACAACACAGCCGGCTCACCATCCTTATAGGCCTTGTCGACTCTGTAATATCCCTTGCGCTCAAACTGGATGATATCATCAACCTTCAGATCCTGAACATTTTGGTCGCAAAGAGCCGCGGATCTAAACTCGGTGACTGGGGTAAGGAACTTCTCCATCTCATCGTCTTCCTCGAGTTTGTCTTTTGTGATCAGGTAGTCAAAGTCAACCAGCTCCACTGGGATCAAAGTCTGCCCCTCGAAAGACGCCCATGTAACCTTCTTCTCTGTCTTCTTAACGTCGCCCTCAAGGTGTAGTTCAAGCTCAACCGAAGTGATTGGGTCCGAGCCAACAATCTTGCGGACAATCGCGTTACCCCAGGCCATGAGCGTAATTTCCTCGCCCTCCTTCATGAGCTTGACATCAGCCTGCTCAAGAATAAGTTCACTGCTGAAGGTGACCTTCTTCGTGCCAACCTCAGGGTTCTTATTGTGCTTTGGCTTCTCCTCAGTGTATGGTTTGTCCGGTCCACCAATGATGGTCGCCCGAACTGTGTTTTCCTTATCAATGGCAGTAAATCTTGGCGCGACGGCATCAATGACCTTCTTGTTGGTGGCCCAAAAATTGGTCCAGTCCATGTTGACGATATTTCTGCTCGGCCCTTGCTTCAAGATAAAATCACGCAGGGCTGGGATGGTCATGCCTCTGCGTCTTACACCACGGATAGTGGGCATACGCGGGTCATCCCAACCCCAGACTTTGCCGGTATCAATAAGCTTGGTGAGCTTTCGCTTTGAGAGGAAGGTTCGGATGAAGTTCATTCTTGCGAAATCCCAGATGTGAACTTGGCGCAGACCCAGGATATCAATAAACCACTGGTACTGATCATTACGATCAGCGTACTCAGTGGTTCTCAGGGCATGCGTAACACCCTCCAAGGCATCGACGATGGGAACAGCCAAATCATATGTAGGGTACATCTTCCACGTCGTTCCGGTTCTGTGGTGGGGAAGAAGGTTGCAGCGGTAGATAACCGGATCGCGCATGGCCTTGTTTGGGTTGTCAACAGACATCTTGGCTCTGATGCAGTTCTTCTGGCCTTCCTCTGAAGCAACCTTCATTTCCTCGAAAATGCGAAGGTTCTCCTCGACCGTCCTTTCACGGCGTTCACTGGCAATGCCCTTCCATCTCTCATCGCGCATTTTCTCCTGCTCGGTGTCATCTGCGTATGCGTGCCCCTCGGTAATTAATCGGATGGTATGTTCGTACAAGACCTGGAGATAATCGCTGGTGTAACTGGTCCTGTCTGGCTTAATACCCATAAGAGCAAGATCCTCGATGATCGAATCCTCGAACTCTTGCTTCTCTTTCGAAGGGTTGGTATCATCGAAGCGCAGAAGTAAGGTTCCCTTGTACAGGTCGTGGGCAAAGTAATCGTTCAGAAGAGCAGCCTTTGCGTGTCCAATATGGAGATATCCACTGCTAGCTGTTAGGGAGTATTACCATGCATATTGAAATGGGTCTTACGATGGCTCAGGAGGGAATCTAGTGACAACACCCTGGTCGGCATCTTGAAGTGCAATGTTATAGCTTGCACCGGCCTTACTGAGAGCAGCTTTCTTTGCTTTCACGGCATCGTCTGCAACTTTAATCTCTGATTGGATTTCTGGGTGAGACTCCTCAACAAATACAAACCAGCGAGTGAGATTTGCGAGAGATCCCTTCTTCAAGAATGCGTTTGTGACTTTGTTGCTTCGTAGGGTGACCCATAGCTTGACATCAGCGTCACTGATACGGTATCCATCGAAGTAAGTTCTGAGCGTGAAATATTTGTCTAGTTTGAGCAAATGTGGCTCAACCGCTTTGTAATCCGGCGCTGAGAGCGCAGACACAAGAGTTGCAACCTCGTCGCTGTTCATCTTTATTCTGGTCCGACACAGTTCGTGATTCACGTTTGTGGCGGGGTTGTATTTACCTGCCCGCAATAATCTGTGGGAGTGGGCCATTTTGAAGCTAATACCTTCGGAACGGAGTTTTATATCTCCGACGTAATAGCGATATTTGTTGACCATCACGGACTTGAAGGGGCCAGGAACAAAATATACAACTACAACAAGATGGCGTCTACAAGGCCACTCTTGGCCCAATTAAATAGGCTCTGTATATCATCGGGTCCCAGGCCCATGGTATACCGCCCTGCAGCCCTCATACACAACTCTATCCAGCAACGCTTTGCTGCCAAAAAGGCAGGCCCGAACAAGTACGCCGAGAAAAGGAAAGCCCAAAAGCTGGCGGAGAAAAAGAAGAGAAAGCCAAGGACTTCCTACATTCAGTACAACCTTAATGATGCCGACCAATTTGCGCTTTGCGATGCCATGCGGTATGTGTGGTTCCCACGACTTTAACGTTCTGGACTAACGCCATTTTAGCTATATTAGAGCCGCAGAGGTCGGCAGGCCTGCAACGCAAGTCAAATACGAAGTGGCGCTGAAAGTCAAGTCAGTCAAGAACGGGCCTGTTATGCGCAATCGACTACGCCTCCCTTATCCCGTAAAGACAGACCTACGAATCTGTGTCATCTGTCCGCCAGATTCGAAATACGCGGAAGCTGCCCGAGCAGCAGGAGCATCACTTGTTGGCGAGGAGGAGATCTTCGACGCGATAAAAGATGGGAGGATCGAATTTGATCGCTGCATAGCGCAGTCTGAATCGTTACCAAAGATGAATAAGGCTGCGTTGGGAAGAATCCTCGGACCAAGGGGTCTGATGCCCAGCTCAAAAACCGGCACTGTGGTGAAGGACCCAGCTGTTGCTGTCAGGGAAATGGTTGGAGGCGCAGAGTACAGGGAACGTTTGGGGGTAGTACGCATGGCAATTGGGCAGTTGGGGTTCACACCGGAGATGGTGCAAGATAACATCAAGGTTTTCGTGGAGTCGGTAAAGAAGGATATGGCACAACTGAGCGAGAAAGTCAACAAGGAGATTGCGGAGGTCGTGTTGAGCTCGACAAATGGACCGGGCATGACTCTGAGCGGCGATTTCAGAAGCCCGACGTCAACAATCAGTCCAAAGGATCTGACAGTATTATAGAGCAATAGCTTGTATTTTTAGTTGTACAGTACAATATTCACATTGTCTTTCCCGGGTATAGAATTAAAACGCCTGAGCTATGTGTCCCCAAACTGCTGCTACCCTCGAAACTCTGAACCATTCAGCACCTTCACGGCCTCGGCAGCTTCATCCATCTCTCTGTAAATGCCCATCACCTTGACCAGGCGCGCTCGAGAAGAATCGTCAGACCCATTGGCCTCTTTTAGGGCCGTATTAAGATCTAGAAGTAGGACGCCCCTGACTCTCCCTATCCGCTGCTGCTGTGTAGCAACGAATGCATTTTCGTGGCCGGCCGCTCGAGCCATACGAACGACGTGGCAGTAATCCTTTACAAGACGCTGCAACTTTCTGATGTTGGCACCTCCTGTGGCCATATCAGGGGTGAGCCCACCCTCATCCTCATCGTCTTCGCTATCACTCCAAACCTCGTCCCGGGTCTGTCTATCCACAGAACCCATCATGAGATTCTCCTCCAATTCTTCTAACGTGGCATCGAGCTCCAGCATAGTTCGTGCCGCACTGATCTCCTTGTTGATCTGTGACTTCTCGCTGAGCAGGCCATCAACATCCTGGCCCTTGGCCTTTATCTTGCCCCTCACTTCTTCAAATCCTCGTTTGAGACCTAGGAGGCCCACACGAACATCCTCAACCTTCTCCTCTCCACCACGAAGGTCCGAGCCAAGACTTAGAAATTGCTCGTAGTTAACATTGACGAGATCGAGGAGCTCTTTAGACAATGCTTGGGACCGTTCTCTCAGATCTGTACGTAAGTCCTCCAGGGTTTGATGGCGGTCTGCAAGGGTGGAGAGGTAGTCGGATGCGTCAAAGTTGGGAACCAAGAAATCACTCCTCGGGAGAGCTTCTGGGTATGGTAGATTGTCCTCGTCGTCTGCCGATGAGGCGCTTGCAGAGTCACCCCCAAAGTAAAAGCCATTCATGGTTTCCGGTTTCTCTCCCAGATTCCCTCCTTCCCTGACTTGGAGTATCTCGAACTAGTATAATGGTTTTGATACGTGTGTTTTGATGATGAGGATCACGTGTCGTCATCCCTCAGGATTCCGATGAAGGCATTGGCATAGACGCTAAAACGGTGACAAGGGCCCACAAGCGCTCGTTTCTATTGGCCCTAACTTAGCGAAGCGGGGGTGTGAAGTTTTTATCAGATCATCTCATCTAATCTGATCCGATAAAGGCCGCCTCTCCCACTCATCCGCGGCACATTCGTACACAGTCATTGCCCTTATATCAACCCCTCCGCACTCCTGCAGTGCTTCTATAGCTGCAGGTAACTACTTTTGATGATAAGCAACACGGAGAACTAGATTGTAACAAGAAAATGGCCTCACCGTACTCCACAATGAGCACTCCGTCATCAACAAGCTCGACAGCAAACCTGGCGCCTGCTCCGCCAACTCTTGCTATCAAACCTGTCTCTCTGGCGCCCAATGCAATGGGAAGTCCTATGAACAGCTGTGACAGTCCTGTGTCGTTGGGACCGAGAAGAGAATGGGTCATCCCCCCACGACCAAAGCCGGGAAGGAAGCCCGCAACAGATACCCCACCAACGAAGCGGAAGGCGCAGAACCGAGCTGCGCAGCGAGCTTTTAGAGAGAGGAGGGCGGCAAGAGTTGGTGAACTCGAGGAACAACTGAAGGAGACCGAGGAAGAAAGGCTCAAGCGAGAAGCACAAACGAAAGCTGAGCTGGACGAGGCCAGAAGTCATGTTTCAAAGCTAGAAGCAGACATGCAAAGGGTGCTCAATGAAGTTATTGAGTGGAAGCAGAAATATCACAGAGCAGAAGATCTATTAGAAGCGGAACGAGCAGAGAAGGCAGCTCTTAATACCGAGTTAATTTATTTACGGAAGGGAGCACGAGCAATTGGAACAGATGCTGTTGTTCTACCCCCGAGACGAAACAGGTCTCATCTCAAACCAGAGTCAGCTCAACTTCACAACCCAGCTCCAGCAGCGAATTCAGATCCTCTTGGATGTGGTAACTGCACAGCTACCAGTGGATGTGCCTGTGTTGAGAAGGTCATGGCAATGGCTACGTCAACATGTGGACGATGTTCTATTGATAGTCATTGCGAATGTTTGGAGGAAACATTGAAAGGCCCCGATAGTGCCATGGAGGTTGAAGTGAAGCGGTCGCGCGACTCGTCACCTTTCACAAACAGCAAACGGACACGAATGTCTATTGAAGATAATACTCCACAAGAGATTGATTTCACCGCCATGTTCTCTAGCAAACCTATCTACACCCCAGAACCACCACCTCGAGACTATGGAACAGCCAACACAGCATCCCGCCCACCACCGGGAGAGTCATGTGGCTTCTGTGACGATAGCACGTACTGTGCATGTGCTGAGGCTGCCGAAGTTGCAGCCCGCGAGCTAGAGCACGAGAACCGCCTTCCACCCCTAATGAGCGAAGTTACTCCACCACCTTCAGACAGCGATGTCAACGCTATGGAGTCTTACAAGCTACCCTCGCTGTATCCAAACCGCCATATCCAATCTTTGGAACCACCGCCAAAATCTTCAAGCAATCCTTCTAATTCATGTGCCAACGGTCCCGGCACTTGCCAACAGTGCCAAGATGACCCAAAATCCGGGCTCTTCTGCCGCTCTCTGGCCGCCATCCGTGCCGCCGACCCATCGTTCTCTGGATGCTGTGGCCAAGGTGGTCCTGGTGGATGTTGTAAAGACACACCATCCCAACCACCACCACGGCCAGAACCTCGCAAGGCTAGACCAGTGCTTCCGGGCCCATCTCTCTCTTGTGCAGAGACCTATAAGACGCTCGCTAGCCACCGCAACTTTGAGGCGGCAAGCGATGAGATTAGTAAATGGCTGCCAAAATTAGCAACTGCCCCGCCACGGTATCCCGGACGCGAGGCGACAGATATTGATGCAGCAAGTGTGATGAGCGTTATCAAGTATTTCGACGTAAGGTTTGGACGAGAATAGAGAGATGTTACACGACTGATGCCGCAAGGCGCATACCCCGGATGTGAGAATTAAGTGATAAGGGTTTCAGGGTCTGGGAAATAGGATTGGTTGGTTCTGTACTATAATTACCCTAACGGATTTGGAGCCTCATGTTTCAATTGTTTCATTGAATTACTGGTGTCGCCTAAAAAGTCTGAGAAGGGATCATGGATTGGAGCACTGTATATAGCAACTTTTGCCAAGTAAATGCGTTAGGAGTCACATATAAATGAACGTAACGATACAAATTATATTACTTTCAATTGTTAGTATTTGTCTTGAGCTATACACAGTCCCTCTTCAGACTTTTGAGCGGCACAACTACGGATAGCGAAGTGGAGGTTCTCATGTCACATGCTCTAGAATAAATGATGATTTCTTCTCTCTGACTTTGAGTGTGCACAACTACATTCGTGATACCCAATAAAGTAAACCTGTTGACCAGTCTAGCGGGGGGGTCGGCGTAAGAAAGTGCGAGGAGAGGATGGAAACGACGGGTGAGGTGGTGTTGCGTCTGCATTAGTCTCATATGCAGGCGAGTATGCGTTGGCATTTCTCTTCGGCTATTTTATCCGCCTCCCTGACTCTCTGACTGTGTGCAACATCCTGCCAGGTCACTCAGTGGCGATGGATGAAAATGAAACGCAAGAAAACGGCATAATGATTAATGTGAGTATTCTCTGGCCAAAATAGACGATGGTATGGTCTGTGGAGAGGGATTTGACACTCGGACGTTGAATTGCGCGCATGCTTATGCGGCCATTTTGGCGGCCAGCGCATCTATGACGAGGGCAGCGAGCGAGTAAGTGCTGGTTCAGGGAGGAAAGGATGAGATGATATTTGTGGCACGTATCTCGTGATGTGGTGGTTACTTCGTGTTTGCCGTCAGAAGTACAGAGGGGGCCACTGCGACCGGATTGGTCTCGATGTCGCAGAACGGCTTTGAATCAGCTTCTGGTGCTGTTTGCACAAAGCTGAAGATGCTGCAGGACGCCTGTAGTAAGATGCTGTATGAACAACAACGGTGCATACTATGGGATGTGACTGGTACTCCTGCTTTTTGCCTCCGTATATCACAGGGCACAGGTAGAGAGGTAGCGCTTGAATGCCGTCCAGTTGTCCAGTCGCTTCAAAGGCACAGGCTCATAGGAAACGACATATGAGCTGGGTATGAGCTGGCAAAGTGAATATTGCCACTCCAGTACATGGCCCGTACTGGCATCGTTGTTCCTGTCTGGCTGTTGTTTCCACCATGTTGCCTCGTATCTTATCTAACTCTCACCAACTTTGTCCCTCCGCATATCTGCATGTTCCATGTTCCAGCAAAGCAATTTGTATTCCATCCCCCCTGATGGTAATGGTAGGCAGGTGGTAGGTAGGTACCCTCGTCAGATTTCTCATCTGTGGCAGGCTGAAAAGAGATCCAAAGGCTGGTAAAGGCTGGTAAAAGTCAACTCCGTATTCTCCATATTCAATACTGTATTGGCCGCCGCTGTCGCCAAAGAAATCCTGGTTATCGTGGCCTGTGCATCACATCGATGTCTGGCCCATGGCGTATGTTGATTGGCCGTTTATATTCCCTGGGGGAGGGATGATTTGCTGGCAACGTGGGCCAGCATGAGCCAGCACGCCCAGTTCCTCACCACTGTGGGTGATCTGCAGAGTCCGGCTGGCAGTTGTGCTGGCTCTGCACCATCTTAGCTCCGCTGTTGCGTTGCGCTGTCGCCGTATATATTACTATCGCGAACCTTGAGATATCTTTCTTCTTCTCGTATTTTGCTGAGCCTTGTTCGAAATTGCTGCGCGACCGGACCCTGGGTGTATTAATATAACATGACTTGGGACGGCGACGGGGAGCTCTTATCAATTGGTTTATCGGTGCGGAATTCGCCCCGCTGTTGACCCCCAACGTGTGCCAGCGACAACAACGAGAAGGCTGAGCAGCCTCACAGTCAACTCGACCACTGGTTGGACTCATTTCACGCTCGAGAAATATATTTACCCGCATTTACCTACCATTTCTGGTGTCTCGCAGCTGAGAAAGCTCGAGACTTAGACCAGAAAACACGCAGATGGAGTGATGATCCAAATGCAGCGGTCCACCTCCCTTCCTGGGCCAGCTCACGCTTCTCCCTGTATGTACTGGAAGACCGGAATGATCAACGAGAGCAGAGCAGCGAGCTAATGAATCTTTTACTAGCTCTACCGACAAGCGAACCTTTGTTTAATTCTAAGAATGCATTCAATCAAACATCACGGCCCCCATCCTCGAACCCGCGGCACGCGCCCGAAAGGCAGAGCCCATATGCATCATTTTTAAAGCCTGCCGATCAGGGGATACGTGATACTAATGCACAGGAAGATGCCACCAAGACTCCTAGTGCAGAACCTTCGAAATCGACATCTCCGACACTCCATAAGCCGTTGCTCGAAGACGTGTCCCAATATACGACTATTGATATGCGCGATGCAGCTATAGAGGCCAACTCTACCACACTTGAAGAGCTTGCTCACCTAGTCAGGCTTTCCACATACCAGGAGCGAAAACGCCGACAAACCCGGGTCCGGCTACAACGATCACTGGTGTCCACTGCCCTCTCCGCCCGTCTGGCACGTTGCGGAGAACTCGCCCACCGGACTCTGGTCGACAGTTTTCGCTCGGATGATAAAAAGACCTTTGCCACACTTAACAATGCAATCCATGACGTTAGCAATTCTTGCGATGCCACCAGGAGATTTGCTGCGTTGGAACCGGACCCGGATATTGGACAACCTGGCCATGGTCGTCCAGACGAGCCGGGAACCTACTGGACTTTCATGCATGAGATTCCCACTCAGACCCGTGATACGTTACTCAACTTTTTGACTCAAATTCGGACGAATCCTGAATACTTGGCTACCCGCATATGCGCTCTAACACCGTCTGAGTTGACGGCATTGACTGTATTCCACCAAGGATTGGAGCCCGTCGATTCCGTTCTGCCATTCCATACACGTCCTCGAGGACAGGCTGCAAGCCTGAACCGGCCTTCTGCACATGCCCCTTCTCCAGTTGAGCGTCTACTCTCTTTCCAGCGTCATGACCCCTTGTCTGCTCTTATTCATACTTGCTTTGCAAATTCAGCGGGCCCTGATTCCTCGGAGCACCTGAGACGAACCGAGATATGGGCCACGGTGTGTGCTAGACTGATTAGCACTGAAAATAAAATCGCCATCGACCCGTTCATATGCAGCGTGTTAAACATCTGGACTGCCATGAGGGAGTGGTCCGGCCGCAGCAATCTAGAGTGGTACCTCATGAAAATCCTAGAAGACGGGGCCTTTATAGTGGAGAAATCCGAGGGACAATCTGGTATCCGGGCCCATGGAGAACCAAGGAATGTCAAGGACTCCATTGCTGCCGAGGAATTTTTTGATTCTGCCATCAAGGGACTCTTTGAGATTGTGGATGACCCAGGTGCCGAGGGGATCCCGGAGAGCGTTCTTGAACTAGGTAACGCAATCCTTCGGAAACTAGATCCGAGGAAACATGGAGCCACCAAGAGGTTTCTCGTGTCCAAATGGTTGTTTCTTGATTTCCTCCTTAACGCTATTGTTCACCCCGAGGTATTTTCCATAGAGCCATCTATGGGTATGTTTGAGCTAATGGTTCTGCAGTCACATGGGATGATGACGGAATATCATATTTCGGAATATGCAAGACAGCGAATTCTAAAGGAAGTTGCTTTGAGGGCTGGAAGACTAGTTGTTGACCTTACATGGTAAGTAACCTACATTTGTATAAAATGGCGAGGAAATTAACATCTGCCTAGGAAACAATCGCCAGCCACTCCACCTGACATCAAAGTCCACATCGAAAACATCATGGGCCGTTTCCGAACATCAAAGGTTTACAGGTCAAACCCCAAGTTGCTTCCTGCCAGGTCAATCACTTCACTCAGAGAAACTGCCGAGGTTCGCCCTTATCTGGTCGTAAGCCCGTCTGATCTGGTAACTATGGTAAATGCCTTATTCCCAGAGCGGCGTCCCACGTCTGGATCCGCGGCTAGCGAGTCTCATTTTGGCGGGTTCCCTTCTTCTGCATCGTCCATCTCTGGATTCTCCGTGATATCAAGGCCACCTTCCATGGCTCCCACTTCCCGGGGATTTGATACAGCATCCATAGTAAGTGAGAGTGAGTCGTCCATCTTCAGTGACGTAACGTCTCGAGAACCTCTCCTTGATGACAACTCAGTTGCCACTCACCGATTTTCGTCCACCTCCATCTCATCTATGAGCCAGGGTCCGAAATTCGACGATGAAGGGTACCGCCTTCGACAGGCAATCAGAGAGATGTCGCATACATTAGGACAGGACGTCATATCCGGATCGTGTCACCCTTGCGCTGAACAATGGACCGTTCTATTTATGGAATTAGATGGAACACATTTATCCACCCAGATGCTCCATGACGAAGATGAGATGGAAGATGAAGAAGAGACTTCGAGCAGTGATAGCGATGCGGACACCCAACGATCCAGACCGGACCTTGACAAAGACTATCATCAACTGCGTGATTCGATTTTGAAACTCGTCGGCGAATATGAAATACCCCGATCAATTGACGATACAAACGATTCAAGAACATTCAGTAACAGAGCAAACATCTTAGAAGGCCGGAAAGCGAATCGCCTTTATAGAAAGAAAAATTCCCGCGGACTGGAGGCACAATCTAGAAATCCGTACAGGGCACATACACTCGCATCACCTACAATCCCAGATGATATCAGGGAAGACCAGCAGGATGACAAGACTCGCCATAACGAGGCCAATGACGCAAATTCATCTGTTTTACTAGACATGCTAGAAGCAGCAGAGAAACAATGCCAGGCACAATCTGACTTTGTAAATGCTCACCTCTACTGGAAGACGTCGCAGCAGCTGCATTCGCTTTCATCCTCTTCTCTAAGACAAAACGGCTTCGTTTCGCTTCTGAACATCTTTTCACGTGGACCGAGGGACTCAATCCGACGTTCTGCAGCTGCCATCGAGGAATACGATGCCTGGCTTGTTTGGCTCAAGCAGTTACAGGAGCGGCACGACACAATGATAGAGGCGATGATGAGGAGCTACAGAGCGCTACGAGACAAGATGTGGTACGTCACAGATGTAAGAAATTCGGCCGCTTATGATGGTACTCGTAATGTGGCGCTTGCTCTCAGGGCGATGGCAAGGCCCAAGAATAATAAGCGTCCAATCTCTGCGACCTCGCGCGCGCGTAATATCAACAGGCCATCAACCACAAACAACTTCCTTGTCAGGACTGAGACTCAAGTCCTCGATATCCTAGCAGCATCCGACGAACATGGTGGCCCCAATAAGCTATCCGACGAACAGTCTGACAAAACATCAAAGTGGCTATCGCAGTTTGGTATCGAAAACTTTTGCAAGGGGGAAGAACGGATTCATCGATTCTGTCTTGAGATTGATAGCTGCATCAGCAAACTGGTTGGAGATAGCTTGATGGATGGGCCAGTTCTGTGGTCCAGTGAGCTTTTCTATCGCGATAAGCGGTACCTAGACACTGGCAGGCAAAAGGGGGACTTGGTACTAAATGGATTTGGAGGACTCGGCATATCCGGTGATGGCACTGATCCGGACTCTTCCCAGCGAGGTTCTTCAAGGGGCATTGATATCAACGCCACTGCTCGTGCAAGCCCCCGGGATCTTCGATCGATGTCTATGAGAAACGGTTCTCAACAGAGCTTCGATTCAAGTAAATGGGGTTCATCTAGAATGAGCGTTTCTGGCGACATTATGGATTCTCAGGATTATTTTGGTCATGCGAGCCCAGTTCTTGCTATCGACACGGCCACAACATTTTGGTCACCGTTTAACCAGCAGGTACGATCACCGACGCCAAGTGTTAGAAGCTTCCGTCCTGGAACATCATCGACAACAAATGACACAGTGATGGATGCTGGCGCAGAAACTATAAATGCCCCAACGAAGCAGACTTTCTTGATGGAGTTGAAACAGACTCTTACTGCTTTGCTGATTAGCGATCTCGGAAGCTTGGTCTTCTCCCGTGGAAGCGAAACAGATTCATGGTTCTCTGGCGACCTTGGACAAGAGTGCATGGACAGGAAAGCACGAAAGGACCGAAAGGCTAAACGGAAGAGCAAGCGTGGCCTTGAGAAGAAGAGGAGCTTCCGCGATTTAAGAGCGGCTCACAGCAAAGAGACCCAAACAAGTGAATCTTCGGAAGTCCCAGAGAAGATCGCTACTCGCGATTCGTCTCGACTAAGCCATGGAAGCTCCACGCCTTCTCACCATTCTCGAACGAACAGCTCTGCAACTTTGGATGCATCCACCGGGGTCTCCATGAGGCAACAGACCAGAGAGAATACTCCGACGGACTTCCCGTACAAGGCTGCTTTCCGCAAGCTCCTCACTATGTTTTCAGTACACCCCAATCCATATTCGAAGCTAAACGCATTATATGAGTTGGAACATCTAGTTATTGCTTCTTTGACGACAATTCCCCGTCGAAAGGCAATGAAGCATGGTTCATACATGGCTTCACCGAGATCGTCAACCTTTCCAACAGACTATAGCCGTGAGCCAAGCTTCGTGACTCCTCGGGCGAGCAATGTCGGCGAGGCGATTGATAATTGCAAAGAACGCCGTTCGCACGCCATTTACGAAGCTGAACCAGCTCCGCCAGCACGCAAAGCCGAGTCTCGTTCCATGACTTCACCGGCCCCTGCAACTACAGATATGATTGTTGATGTACTTCAAGATCTTTTCCGCGAGGCCGGAATGCGTCCCAAGACTTTATTCCGCGACCTTCAGTATATTGCAGCATTCATCCCTGCGTCAGTTCTTGACAAGACCGACCGCGGGAAGGCTTTCTGGGATGCCGGTCTGGCCGCCCTCGGGTTGAAGCAAGATGTATGCCGCACTATGATCGATATTGCAGACGAGATTGTCCAACACTACACATCCACACGCCAACCTGTCCCGCCGCCAATGGCCCCGGGTCAATCACAAAATTCTTCGCGTGGATCTGTGGATTCGAACTCAGAACCTGAGATCATGCAATATGGAATGCAAGATGCAGCTCGCATGTGGACTATAACAGCAAAAGAAGGAGACCCAGCGGCAGAACGCGAACTTGCTATCTTCTATCTCACACACCCAGAACTAGTCGAGAGAACGACGCTGCCACTGTCAAGACCGAGAGAGACGTTCAAGGCCCAGGTAATGGAAATGCATGCTGGTGGTGGAGAGGGTGATAGAGAGCGAAGTGATCCAGCCACCATGTGTGCGGCGTATCACTGGATGGAGTTGAGTTCACAAGGCGGAGATGAGCTGGCCAAGAAGTACCTGAGGCAGAGGGAGGAGCTGAATGCATTGCCATGAAAACTGGGACTGGCGTTGACAGTGCGGGCTATGTAATTTTTTGTGTCATTTGGGCGATGCTATATCTATACCATTTGCTTTTATGTTTGCAAGCATTTAGCGCACGTTATTTGGGAGGTTATTTGTCTTTTTGTTTGTTTAGTTCGTTATCGTATATAGAATGTTTCTACCTATGAGAAACAACCTGTGCAGGTAAAACAGAACTGCTACTGAGGGTTAAAAGGAGATTTGAATTTATTATGCCCATTAAAATACCCAAACTTAATGTAATTCTAAGATTCTGCGCTATCTTGATGGTGCATGTTTGGAGACTTACGGCAGCCAAATATAGTTTGAGCAACTCTAGCACAAGCAAATAAAACACAGAATTTATTATAGGAATAAGTCTCTAATTGCTTCTGTTTGATAAATATTATATTTCGAAAACCGGGGTTTGTTGGTGGCATGGAATCCAGTGAACCCCTGTCTAGTTGTACACGCGAGTTGTTCCAAGTGTTCAAGTGTCTCTCTCCGAAACTACGGGGAGCGGAAGCAACCAAGATATCAATATTCCAACAACACAGCCATAATTAGTTTGCGATTAAAACATCAAAGCAATGCAACTCTACTACACTTGATTCGCAGCCGTTTTCTCTTTTTTGACGTTCAATGAACTAATCACTGTCCCTACAGCCGCCCAATGGATGACCTGAATGGCCTGGAGTGGTCGGCCAGCTCCAACTCCAGTGGAGGGGCCAGCAAGGTACCCCCAAGAGGGACTGGCAGCTACTTCGGGTCTATCTCAACACAGCAGCCAACGCCACCTTTGGGAGGCTCTCGCACATCCACGCCCATTTCAGCGCAAAGATCAGGGGCTGCAAATCCAAATCCCACCAGCAAACCCGCAACCGACAGCTTTGCTAACCTCGTCTCCTTTGGCCCCGCGAAAACGGCGACGTTGACGCTCCAGCAACAACAGGAGAAGCTTCTTGCGGAGAAGGCGAAGAAGGAAGAAGAGAAGAGGAAGCAATATGATAAGGAGTTTGGAAATACAAGCTTTTGGGATGGCCAGTCTGGAAAGGCTGGGTTTGGGAGGAGTCCAACTGGGTCGATCGCCCCCTCTACGACATCCCGAAGCCCCGCACCTCCTACACCTTCAGCTCGTGTGAATACGAACCCGTTCTCGGCGGCGAACCGCCAAAATATCGGCAAGACAAATGGCGAGGAGGAGGAAGATCTGTTTGCGGCTTTCAATGCTGATACAGAAGTTGACAAGTCGAGCTACTATCCGCCACCTTCAGCCTCCCCAGAGACTAGCGCCCCTACTCAGGACAACCAGCTGGATTTAAGCAACCCAGCAGCTTGGAAGCAATCGGCGGGGACTGATATGCTAGAGGCATTTCAAGATGACGACGATCCATTTGGATTAGGCCAGATGCCCCAGCGGGGTAAATCGCCAGCGGTCACCGTGAGCAAGGCCGATGACGACGATGACTTCCTTGGCGACCTCGGAAAACCTGTTGAAGAAGTCAGACGCCGTGAAAGGGTACCGACTCCTCAGCAGGCCCCACCCTCACCGATTGAGTCTGAGCGGCCGGTATCTGACGACCCATGGGACAAAGCCGTGAACGAACTTGTTGATATGGGCTTCACCGCCGAGAACTCCAGGCGAGCTCTGACCGAGAGTGGATCTGGACTTAACATCCAAGCAGCAGTAGGGTGGTTGTTAAATGACGCGCATCGAGTAGCAAAAGAGAAGGCGCAAGGGCGATCAGGTTCTCGTCCAAGCGAGCCAAGTCGGGAGTCTAGCTCAAATGGAGCCCGAGCTGCTGCAGAGACGTCCGGAAAGGAAGCGATTCCATCTTGGATGCGGCAGGAGAGAGGCCAATCGCAGTCAAGACGTGAGGACAGCCGATCACCAGCTAGTGATAGCGATGTGGCTGCAAAAGCTGCCGCGGTAGGGAGCAACTTGTTTAAAACTGCCAACTCTCTATGGAAAACGTCTCAGAAAAGGGTACAAAAAGCCGTTGCTGAATACCAGCAAGATGTAGACCCAAGCCAGCCGAAGTGGATGCGTGATACCGGCGCAGCAGAGGGACAAAGGCCACCAGAGAAGGCGCCCCTACCAATTGATCCGCGTGAGCGAGGACGGAGAGGGGAGCCGTCGAGTTCGTCCGTGACCGACGAGGCTTTGATGCTTGAGATAGGGTCTCACCCACCGCCAAAACGCAACGTTCGAGCCGAGCCTAGTGATCGAGCACCATCTTCAGCTTCTTCCTCTCGAGGTCCCTCGCCTGCAGTTTCTAATGCCACAGGCGGGCGGTCTACACCTCTGCCCAGGCGGCAGCAGGTTGCACCAACTTCTGCCATGGATGCCAAATCTCGACTTACCAAACAGGCATTGGAAGAACAGTCAGCGCAAGCATACGTGAGTCCATCACGACGAAAGAAGGCGACACCCAGCCCAAAACCGGCAGAGGAGCCAGATTTGCTTTTTGGAGATTCGAATGGTAAACAAACGAGCCTTCCTTCTCGACCTGAACCACCAAAGACAAATGTCCCGGCCACCAGAACCCCACAAGCCAGGCAATCTAAACCGTCTGCGCCAATCCCCGTACGACCGAAAGCCCCTGAAAGAACAATCCCGCCAGTGTCTCCATCAGCCCTGGCGATGTCTCATCAACATCGTCTGGCTGGTACTGCGCATTTTAAACGGGGTGACTACGCCGCAGCCAATGATTCATACTCCCAGTCTCTATCACCCTTACCACAAGGTCACCCTATTACCATCATACTACTCTGCAACCGCTCACTTACCGCCATCAAGACGGGTGATCCCAAAACCGCTGTGTCCGATGCCGACACAGCGCTCTCTCTCATTGGCCCAAGCCGTGGTAGCAATGAGGTGATAGACCTGCAGGACCAGTCCACCACAGACAGTAAGAAAAGTATGACAGAATTCTACGGCAAGGCATTGATGCGTAAGGCGGAAGCTCTTGAACACATGGAGCGCTGGGCCGATGCTGGTGCTGTATGGAGACAAGCTGTGGAGGGTGGCGCTGGCGGTGCGATCGCTATCCAAGGAAGACTACGCTGTGAGAAAGCGTTGGCACCTAAACCTAAGGCTCCAACGCCGCGTCCCCGAGCGACACCGCCTTCCCGCCCTACCGCCGTTGTTAAAGACTCTGAGGCAGTAACGCGAATGCGCGCTGCCAATGCTGCTGCGGATAAGGCAGATGACGAAAAGTTCGAGCTGAGTGATAGCGTCGACGCGCGGATAGCAGCTTGGCGAGATGGACGGAGAGATAACCTAAGAGCGCTTTTGGGAGGATTGGATAATGTCCTCTGGGAAGGGAGCGGGTGGAAGAAGGTTGGCATGCACGACTTGATTATGAATGGGAAGGTCAAGATCAACTATATGAAGGCGATCGCCAAGGTCCACCCCGACAAGGTAAGCTATTCATATCCTGGCTGGCTAATATTTTAAGCTAATACTTTTCTTCGCAGTTATCACAGGGCGCAAGTACGGAGGTGAAAATGATTAGCTCTGCTGTGTTTTCGACCCTGAATGAAGCGTGGGATAAATTCAAGGCGGAGAACGGAATGTAATTACGCTGGGACGACATTTTGTAAATAAACAATTTGACGGAACAGTTTGAATACTATAACGTACAGCAGATAAGATTCAATAGCATTGTTCCCATCTTCACATGTCAAGTTCTTTCTTATACTGTACCTCAAAGTGATTCGGGTGGGGGCCGTAGGGGGGTCCCGCCGGCAAACGGTGCACGGACCCTTAGAGAAGGTGCAGTCTGTTTAAGGTTTAGTTCACCAACTTGGGAGCTACTCGGCATGACGTATACGACGATTGCCGGTGACGAAGAAATGAGCGAGACAAACATAACAAGGAGCCGGAGGGATAATTCCTGTTATATTTCATAATTATTTCGATTGCCGGTTCTTATACCTACGCGCATTGCCCATGATAACTTCCACCGCCCTCGTATCTCTCTCTGTTGTTTCTGGTTTCAGCATTTAATCGCAATGGCTTGGCAGGATCAAGCAACTGCTGTGAGCTCAATCGGCTTGCGATTGGCGGCTTACGTCTTTCTCAGATGGGTATGAAATCCAGTATGCGCCTTTGAGAACCTTAGCTGACAAGAAAGCCAGATTCCTACTCCCGTATGCCCACCTATCATCTACACGCTGTTCGCCCTTTATATCCCGTCGTTTATCGCGTCCTATCTGGGCCGGTCCCAGTACGATGTTATCGCGGATGAGGTCGATGTGAAGGTCCACAACACCCAAGCAAACGGACAACCACAATCATATGCGGATGCTGTGGCGGGATCTAGCCCGGATAATGACGACGGGGGTCACTCTACAACCGCCCAAGAAGATTTTGATGTCGAAGAGACTATTATTCTCGAGAAAAAAGGCCCCAAGGTATTGAAGACTCTCTTGACAGGTCTCCCAAGCCCGACTAGCCGCTTTATATCAATTGCGACTTTTCTCATCAATCTGGGACTAGTTTTGGCAGCCACGGATCTCATATACCGTGCCAAGGTGCAATATCCTAGCAACGATCTTTCATTTGCTCGCCTTGGATATGTGTCGGATTCAGAGGCGAAGCTACTCGTTCGGGAGCCAGACCGAGCCAACCTGCCGATATACGTCTCTGTACGCAACCTGGATCCACACAGTGGCGTGGCAGATTCTGGATGGCGAAGCTACGGTCCAATCACTAACCTCAGCAACGACACGGATTACACTTCGGCGATTTCTATTCCACTCCCGAGAACAATAGGAAGAGCCGGAAGGAACAAGTACGAGTATGTGACGTCGAACAACCACAAAGGATTTATTACGAGTGCGCCGAGGATTGGCTATACCAGTGAACCCGATGGAAAGTTTACTTTCTTGACTTCTAGTTGCATTATTCCAAGGTTTCCGTACAACCCATTCAAACACCCGTTGAGCATTCCAGGATTTAAACATCTTGCGAAGGTTCTACCATCTTTGGACGCGCAGTTTATGCTCTTCCTCGGAGACTTCATTTACATCGATGTCCCAAAGCGCTTTGGTTATCATGTCGAGGACTATCGCCGCGACTATCGACAAGTCTATGCCTCCCCAGACTGGCCAGCAGTTTCACAGAACCTGAGCTGGATCCACGTCATCGACGACCATGAAATCGCCAATGATTTCGATTTAAACACGGAGGACCACGAGACAAGTCTTTACCAAACAGCAATTGAGCCTTGGAACAACTACCAGGGTGCAGTCAACCCCCCTGTTGCCCGCAAGTCTAGCATCTACAACAGGGACCGAACAGACGCCACATACTTTGAGTTCACCCAGGGCCCAGCGACCTTCTTTATGATGGATACTCGCAGGTACAGGGACCTCAATGCCGGTCTACCCGCCAACGAGACTGGGAAATCCATGCTAGGAAACGAGCAATTGCATGATCTACTCGCCTTCCTTGCCCGACCAGTGCCTCGGGGCGTGAGATGGAAGTTCGTGGTCAGCAGTGTTCCCTTCACCAAGAACTGGAAGGTCAACAACCTGGATACTTGGGCAGGATTCTTGGATGAACGTCAAAAAATCCTTGAGGCTATGTGGGATGTTGGCTTGAAAGGCGGCGTTGGCGTTGTGGTGTTGTCTGGTGATCGCCATGAGTTCGCCTCAACGGCGTTCCCACCCCCTCTAGGCGGAAAGTGGCCACTTAGTTCCACGGTGCATGAGTTTTCGACGAGTCCTTTGAGCCAGTTTTACTTGCCTATTCCGAGTTATCGGCAGACGGACGATGATGATGTGCTCGTGAAGTAAGTTTCTGAGCTCTACCTTTTGACGCATTTCTAACAATTCGCAGGTATATTGCAGAAGGAAATTCGAAGTTCGGGTCTGTGACTATTGAAAGCCCAGAAGCTAGTGATCAGAGCCTTCTGAAGTTCAGGCTTTTCATTGATGGGGAGGAAGCATGGAATTCTATTCTCCTATCTCCTCCGATGCTGAAAGGGAAAGGAAGGAGTAAAGATGCGTTGTGGGGATAGAATACGATATGGTTAAGTATATATAGTAGAAAATAATAGTCTTTGTTGCGCTGTACAGCCATATATTGTCGGGCTAAGTGATACAATGCCTGTATATGTAAGATGATGGCATATTAAACGGCGCCGTTGAAAGTGAGACTCATGCACCTTCATCACGAAAGGCGGTGTGCCTGGCGGCAGAATCGACAAGGCTACCAAATATCCACAAGGTTCCATGGGCTACAGCGGACCCCTCCAACAATACAACTCTGAACATCTGATGGGCAAATATTCTCTCAGCTTGCACTTCCACCGAACTATCTTTCGATATTGACAATACAATATTTCCTTTGGGATAGCTTCGCTAACCAAGACCACGGCCATGTCGACTCAAGCTGATCTGGGTGCCAAGGCCCTTGCAGCCAAAGACTACGCCTCCGCCATCACCCATTACACCAACGCTCTTAAAACCGCGAACTCACCCCTATGGTTCACGAACCGCTCGACTGCATACCACCGTGCCGGGCAATACGACCTCGCCCTCCAAGATGCCGAAGCTGGAGTTTTGGCTGCTCGCCAAAGAGCTCGACGTGAGCTGATCACCGCCGCCCAGATGAGGAGAGCTATCGCACTATACAGTCTGGGGCGACTTGGAGATTCGCGGCTCGTGCTGACGTGGGTGAGGAAGCTGAATGAGAAGGAGAAGAGCCTGGGAGTTTGGCAGTTGAAGGTTGCCAATGAATATGAGAAGCTGCCTGAAGACTCAGAAGGGAGGAAGGTTACAGTTACGGAGGTGCCTGATGAAGCTAAGTTGCCCGAAGTGGGCAAGACAGTGGTAGCGGAGGAGAAAGGCAAGGCCGTGACTCAGGTTCCTCAGACATCAACCACTCCAGCACAGACCCCAAAGGAGAAGATCAGGCATGAGTGGTACCAATCAAGCAATAAAGTTACGATCACGATCTTTGCAAAGGGTATTCCAAAGGAGAAGGCCGAAGTTACTATTGCCGAAGATTCTGTAAGTTCTACAATCATTTGAAATACCCTCCATCGAATTACTCACTAATCCCACGCAGGTCGAAGTCAACTTCCCGATCGGCGCAAATAGTAGCTATAATTACTCCCTTGACAATCTTTATGAACGAATCAGCCCCTCAGAGAGCACATTTTCCATAACTCCCAATAAACTCGAAATCACACTCCACAAAACCAGCGGCACGAAGTGGCCAGCTCTAGAGAGTGCAACGCGAGTCCCCGCTCTTGCCACCACAGACGACATCAAGGACTCCACTCCTCAAACCCCCGCCAGTACGGCCGAAAAGGCCCCCTCATACCCCACCTCATCAAAGCACGGCCCTAAGAACTGGGATGCCCTCGCTATTAGTGCACTGGCCGCCGAGTCCACTGGTGATAATAAGCTCGGTGGAGACGATGATGATGAGGCGGACCCATTGCATGGGTTCTTCAAGAAGCTGTATAAGGATGCGGACCCGGATACGAAGAGGGCGATGATGAAGAGCTATACTGAGAGCAACGGAACGGCACTGAGCACGAATTGGGCAGATGTGAAGAAAAAGCCGGTGGAGACGAATCCGCCAGAAGGGGTGGAGGCTAAAAGCTGGGGAAAATAGTGGACACGCTCATGAGCAGTGGCATGTGGGTATGGTGGACTGATCCTATTATATCGTGGAAAAGGTGGGCGAAACGTGGATCTGACCGTCTGATCATCAAAGAACTACAGAGGGAAACGAAATAGAGTATCCCGGGCGTTCTATACGTTCAATAGCACGCAATTAGTAAAACGGGAAGGAATAATACTACTTGAACAAGCCTCATTGCAGTGCCATTTCACAGTTGTTATAACAAAGAGTTATGATAGCTTCAATCATAACGCCTTCTATTACAGTACATATGCAAATATGCTACATCCCCAACTTTACTATGCGTAACAAAGGCCCTGAGCACTCCCCAAAGTAGCAGGCTCGAAAAAGGGCAACCTCCCAAAATATCAAACGCAGCTACAGACATGCTCGAAGCAGCTTTCTGGCGCAACAAAATTCCAAATTTCATCAATCATACACCGCGCCCCTTCCGTCGTCTAGGACAACGACCTCTCCAAATTAAAACTGGGAAATCAAACAGTCGACAAATCTATTGCCATAAGAAAAGTACAATGAGCTCCACGATTGGCGTGAAGCGATGATTCAGAGGGCAAATTCTGAATGCTAGTTGATATTTTGATGCGTTGCCTGGGGTATAAATTCAATGCTATGCGAGTTTTTTGTATGCAAGGCGAGCAAATGTTGTAAGGTCGACAATAACGCAGACATTGGTTAGTACAAGGGCTCGAGCTGGGTTGCTAGAATCATAGTGCCCCCCAGCGGTTACGAAGCCCATCTGCCCAACGTCCATAAAGGACGTCGGCGAGTTGTTTTGTGTGTTCCATCCCGGGTGTGACTTGCCCGGGTAGGTTGTGCATCTTTTCATTCCACTCCCTATCGGCGACTTGCATCGACTCACGTCGCTGGCGGTGGCTTCGAAGATGCGGGTTGTTTTGAGCCATGACTAGCTTGGGGCCTGGTGAGACTTGCGCCTGAGATGACTTTCGGGGGGTGCACACAGGAGTCTGATCTTTCGATGGTGATGCTGATGCTAAGAATCGCAGTTTTGGATCCGCCTGAACTTTCTCGAGCATTAGTTTCAGCAGCTGAACCTCTCCATCTGGGTCAATTGCATCAAAGGCACTCCAGGCGTCTGCAAGACGTGAGAGGGCTTCGCGCTTTTTCTGACTGCTTGTCTGTGCGTGTACCTCCTGGAATGAAGGATCGACGGCCTTATTATATGCTCTGCGACCCAACTGCGCCTCCTTGCTGATAGTTTCCACAGTTGGCGGCCGATTTTCGTCTCGGATCTCAATTGACGAATCGACTACTCCCGCAGTTGAGTTATCCGAAACACGGCGGAAGAGACGGACTGTGGAGCCACTGTTGCCAAAGTTCATATCCGGCTGCAGTGGCTTCTTAGGGGATGTGTTCTTTGAAGACTTGGTCGGGGTTAACGGCAGCTGCATGATCGACGGCTGCTTCTGAACTGTGCGTCGTCTCACAGTGCCTGGTGAAGGAGATGACATTGTGAGTGGGGCATCTTTGAGGTCTAGACGTCGCAGAGCTTCCTCTGCCCCCGTTTGGCCATTTTGAATGTTGCCTGGTATAACGGACAGCTTCCTCCTCTTCGAAGTAGATTTGTGAATTGTCTTTGCCTTCACAGTATCAAACACCCAAGCATCCGAATCGTCCTTTGGTGTCATTGAGGTCAATACCTCCTCATAAAATCTCGGGTGAGATGGGCGGTTCCGGCCTCCATCCCATTCTTGCTTTCTTTCCACCAATTCTTGCAAAGCTTCGACTCTCCCCGCAGATCGGATGAATTTGTGCTTCAACAGTTCCTTTGCTGATGGACGTTTGCTGCACTCCTTGACCAAGCACTGCGCCACAAAATCTTTGAATTCGCGACTGTGGTTGTTCCCTTCGAGCCTAGGTGCTGGCGCTTTTGGTATAAGAAACAGCACCTTCATCGGATGTGTGCTGGCATTGGGAGGTTCGCCATTAACCAACTCCATTGCAGTGATTCCGAGAGACCAAATATCTGCTTTGAAGTCATAACCAGCCTGCTGGATGACTTCAGGGGCCATCCAGAATGGCGTCCCTACAAATGTGTTTCTTTGCGATTTGATATTGGTGAGCTGCGCTGCAACTCCGAAATCTGCCAATTTAACCTTTCCAGTCGAGGATAACAATATGTTTGCAGCCTTTATATCTCTGTGGATCTTCCCTTCTTGGTGAAGATAATCGAGGCCGAGAAGCAGTTCGCGGCAAATGATTGCAATGTGAGCTTCGTGGACCGGACCTGGTTTTAGCTGCAACAAGTCAGCATTCAGTATCCAGATAATCATGTCAGCTTGGAACGAACCAAGTCTAAGCAAGATCCACCACCCAAGTACTCCATAACAATCCATAATTTATGTCCGCGGAGAAAGCTCTCTTTATATTGTGTAACAAAGGGGCTGGCACAGGTGCTGAGCACCGAGATCTCTTGCTGGATTTCCTGTATATCATCCTCACTTGATTCGAGATCAATCTATGCGGAAGCAGTCAGTTTCGACAACTTTTCTTCATAGTAGTGAACGTCGTCCTTACATGTTTGATGGCGACAATCTCCCCTGTTGCCCTCTCGATGGCCTTATATACTACTCCAAAGCTCCCACCTGTACTTGTCAGTTACTCCTATTGTCTGGTGGATTGATGGTTGCTCACTGCCCAATTCCTCCAGGACCTGGTACTGGCTGCCAGCCGCATCATCAGACATCGTTGCGAGGGTGTTCAGGGGAAGCGTAAGATTTCAATTCGAAGTAGCAATTGCGTGACTTTCCAGTAGCCAGCAAATAGAAACGAAAAGTACAACTGCGCAGTATTCTCTCTGTTTGCAACTGGAATTGCTGGAGAGGAAGCTGCGTTTGAGATGGATAGGCGGAAGTGGAGCTATGATCATGTAAACACTGATTGCCCCAGCCAACGGACTAAGCCCGGACCATCAAATGCGGCGAAGTCGACGAAGATGTTAACCAACGAATCTTTGATGGTTTTGATGTCAGAAGCTCGTGTCTTAAAGATTATTATGTCTTAAATGGTAGAACTGTTTTGAATCCCTATGGTAACCTTTTTACTTCGACCCTGAAAATCGCCAGTCAAAGACAGTGTCCTGGGGTTGCTGGGTGCTATTATCCGATAACGTTCTGGTTGCCATGTCAACCGTGATATGTTCCAGTTGGACGAAATCAGTGACGGTATCCAAACACACAGCAACCGAAAGCTTCAATACTGCAAGTACTATTGCGCTTAAATGCTTGGACTCAAATATCACAACCAGCCAAATAATAACAGACAGCTCTATTTGCACGGACATCTCTCACGACTTTTTGGTCGGTGGTGCTAGATTCTTTCTATTCCTCTCCCGAACAATCTATATGGACAACTAAGAAAACGCCTTTCGTCGACAAATGGTCGTTGGCACGGGAGATATTGGGTGCGGTACATACTGCAAGTGTTAGAAACTCCTTGTGGTTTGCGCGCCTACAACTATACAAAGCGAGAGAAAAAATCTGCCATACCAGAATGGCTCTCGAACCGCCTGGGCTTCCATCGCGCTTTCCATGTTGGTGTCGAGCTGTGTACTCCTGGGGCGGAGAGGTGAGTCCTGCAGCTCCTATTTATGTCACAACAAGCGGATACTGATTTTATAATGTGCAGTCAAAACGAGACCTAGGATTTATAGAAGGAGACCTTATAGAATGCCTGAACGCAGGGGACGGATCATGGTGGATGGGGAGGCTGCGACGAGACAAGCGCGTGATGGGGCTTTTCCCATCAAACTTCGTACAAGTTCTGGACGACAGCTTTCAGCCAGCAAGTAGAGCTACAAGCCCTATGCCAGATCGATCTCCAAGCCCAAACCCATACAACCCACAAGCGCCGAAGGCAGCCAAGGCGAAACCATTTAGAAAGCCGTTTCAAGCATATGCAGCTCCCGATTTAGCAGCTCAAAAGAGAGCCGAACTGCAAAGGCAAGAGACCATAGCGAAGCCAAAGCCCCCGCCTCCAAAGCCCTCGCCTTCAAAATCAATCCATGACAGGATCGGTTATGTGCCCCCACCAAAACAAATCGGGGGTTATGGCGCACGAGCATCACCTCAAAATCCGCAACCTACGCAGGAATCTCGTTATCGGGCCCCATCACCCTACGCGCAACCTACACATGAGCCTTATTCTCGGGCCCCATCGCCATATGCGCAACCTGCGCACGAGTCTCATCCCCGGGCCCCATCTCCTTATGCGCAACCTGCCCACCAGTCCTACTCTCGGGCACCATCACCATGTCCACCTATGAATCACCAAGAACCCCCGCGCCAAACATCCCCCTATGCGCCATCTACCTATGAAACCCACTCTCGAGGCCCTTCACCTCGCCCGCAATCTGCATATCAAGCATACTCGCGGCAACCTTCACCTTGCCCACCAGCTGATCCGTACGACAATTATAGAGCGCCTTCACCTTTCCCAGATAATTCATATCAGCCAAATCAGCCGGAAATGCCATCCAATTCGAACCGCCCAAGAAGAGACTCTTCTCCGCCTCCGCCGCCTCCGCCTCACAGACACACATATGTTCCCCACACAACTGACAGCCAGACGTATCAGAATCAATCGAATGCCTATCATACTCCGCGTGCGACAAGCCCCTGCCCTCCTTCTCCTGGAGCGACTGGTCTTACGCCTTCACCCCTCAGGAATGCAATGGATGATGTGATGTCATCTTTAGAAGGTATGGGACTTTCGAGAGAAAATGAGACACCGGAGCCACCTTTAGATCCATGGTCGCCGGAAGCCTTTGATGAAACATATTCAAGGGCCTCCAGGCGAAACGGGCCCCACAGATCAGCAGCATCTATGGATGATTATAGCGCAAATCAACAATTCGATGGGCAATTCCAAGATCCTCAACAACAAGACAATGAAGCCCCGCAGCTTAGCAATTACGTGCAACGGATGGAGAGTAGGCTTAGGCAACGCCACCCCCGGAACTCAGACGAGAGTAGTATAAATTCAAGTATGGGACCTCCAACAGTTCCGCCGAAGTTCTCGTCAGTGAGCCGGCCGCAATCTTCTATGGCTGATCTTGCTCAATTTCAGGACAGGCCAAAATCTTCTATGGCGGGAGCGTTTGGTGAGCAACCAACATTACGGCACAAGGCGTCATCTTTCGGAACTCAGGAAGCCAGAAAATTGCGACATCGGAAATCTGCATACGAGGTTGGGAAACAAATGCTGGGAAGGACCTTCACAACAAAGTCTACATCGACAAACTCATCCTCTGGGGTTCAAAGCACAACAACAAACGAAAGCGCAAGCACTCAACTAACTGACCGGAGTATTATGAGCGGCCACTCTGCTGGTGCATTTAGCGCCACTAGTGCTGGGAGTCTTGCTAGAAAGAAAGATTCTTTTCACGTCAGAACTAGAAGTGCACTCGGAATGCGAGGCAATGATTTTGCTGCCATTCAAAACGGTTTCGAGCAAGAGAGCCGGCCTCACACTCCCATTAGTGGAGTTACTTACCACAGCAGTCATGCATCGGGGCCCCCAAGGGCACAATCACAGATGGGGTATAATGCCGACTCTTCCAGCGCACTTGGAGGACTTATGGCCCCAAAGCCCAAGAAAAGCGGCTTTTTTAAGAAAATAATCGAGTCTGCAAAAACAGGCGCAGCAAGTAGCCGAAAAACGATTGTTACAGGAGAAGCTTCGCGTCCACTGTCATCACGGAGTATGCTACCAAATGGTATTACTGCCATTGCTGGAGGACTTGGCAGCGGCCAAGGAAACAATGGCCTGGATGGGGACGGTTCAGGTGCCGACTGGGTTCAGGTCCGCCGGGATGTAAATCGATCCAATTCTCTCAGTCGCATTGAGCGCCTAGAGCGAAAGGAAAGATGTCAGATGATGGACTATCCTGCTATAAGCCCCGTTGACGAACTTTACGATACAACCCAGGGCGATGAAGCTGCGGATGGAACGGCAGTGATGGAGCCAACTAACTATCAAACCGTCAATTTAAGTTTAGTGGACAAGAACTCAAGGTTTATCAGTAACTTACCGCAAACAATGAACCCAAGCAGTTTGGCCACGGGCTATATCTGTAGGCCATACAGAAGCGATGTGCAGCGGCTTAGAGCTATCTTTACCTGGGTTGCTGAAAAGATTTCATGGGAAGAAGATTTCGATGGGGAGGACCCTGTTAACCCGAGGAGAGTAATTCAGTCGAAACGAGGCAGCCCAGAGGAAGTATCGGTTTTGGTCATGGAGATGTGCTCTGCTGTTGGCATTCACTGCGAGGTTGTCCGTGGTTATCTGAAGTCGCCTTTAGAGGCGTCGGAGGTTGGACTTGTTCCCAGATCCAATCACTGGTGGAACACAGTGCTCGTCGATAACGAATGGCGAATTATGGACTGTTCTCTTGCAAGCTCGACGAATCCACTCCGAAGCCTTTACTCCAGCACAGGACCAACATTGGCGGAATCCTGGTACTTCCTTGCCCGGCCAATGGAGATCTGCTGGACTCATGTGCCAGAGCATCATCAGCATCAACATCTCTCTCCACCTGTGGCCCACGATGTCTTACTCGCACTTCCCTGTGCCTGCCCTCCATTCTTCAAGAACAACATGCAGTTGCAAGATTTCAATACGTCTCTACTCAGGCTAGAAAATCTCGAGCTTGCTCAGGTCAGGTTCACTGTTCCTGCAGACGTAGAGTGCGTTGCAGAAGTCGAAACGCGCGCCTTCAAGCGCGATATCGATGGTGACGTTTTCGAATCTGGCGAGATTGTTAAGAAGCGTGCATTGGCACAAGCGGAATGGGTTCGGGGCAGCAAGCAGTATACTATCAAGGCACTTCTCCCAGGCGACGAGGGGTCTGGAAACCTCAAGATCTATGCCGGCAAGAGAGGCCTTATGCACAGCATAAAGGATATCCCTCATCCGATTGCACTTTCTCTACCAATCAATCATACTGGAAGCAATCCAGCTTACGAATTCTTGGTCCGCCACCCCACGCCACATGCTCAACGCCACGATTTATATGTTGCGCAACCGCAATGCCAACTGCTTGCTATAAACAATACCTTTGTATTTGCAATCCGCCAACACCCGTCGTCTATCGTGGCTAGCCAAGGTGCCATGTCGCCAGTTCCATACTCTCGGCCCGAGAGCGCGATGAGCGTGACCGCCTCATCAGCTTCTGGCTCGAACCCTAGCACATACGCCTCAAAGAAGCCAGCCAAACTGGCTATCCAGTCGCCAAGCGGAAAGATATTGAGACTCATGAGAAAAGAAGACCGTGGTGGCGGCATTGGAACTGGAGGTTCGACTGAAATAGGGGATGGTGGGGTCTGGGAGACCATTATTAAGTGTGGGGAGAAAGGCGTTTGGAGAGGATTGGTACTTGCAGATAGAAGTGCGCGTTGGTGTGTTTTTGCGGAGTGGACTTGTGCTTGATGAAACTTTTAGGCTTCATGATGGGTTTGGGGACATCTTTAAAACGGCTGGGTCGGGGGAAGGGGGTTGGGATTTGGCGTTTGATTGAGTATTGCATTTTGGAATGGTTAGAGTGTGTTGTATAATAGACGTCTGTTTAGCACAATTAGTGCCCATCGAATATGAAGAGAACGACAAGAATTCTACATTCGAGAACCTATGGTTGTCATTTTCTAGAGCTCCCGTGCGAATATCTGCAATCACTGTCATTCCCAGCGCCAACTGTAATGTAGTTCTGATGCTTGAACACGTTTTTCTCATTTATCCTCAATAAACTCCATACACGCCAACGCTACGTAGACCCAACCACAATGCCAGATATTGTTACCCATCCTCACTCCCACGTCTTATTGTAAAACTGATCTCACAAACCCAGCATCCTCCGGCACCCATCTCTAACCCTCTGCTCGTACTCTGCCCTATGCTCCCTCCACTGCTTTGCAGCCTCCACATTCGCAGGGCTTTCGTCGTTCGGCTCCGCTAGCATGCTCATCACTGAAATCAAGATCTTCTCGACACTCTGGATTGGCGACCAACGCTCAGATGCATGCTCGTAGTGGTTTGGGTCGTCTCCCGGGGGGTGAAGAATCGAGATGCAGACCAGTCCGCTTGGATATACTGGGTATCGTTAGTCTTCATCCTCACTCCACTATTAAGCCCTCGGTCGAAGCACCACTTCACATGCTTGCCGTTTGTGTGTTAAACAGACTGGACTGAAACTAACCATTAGGATGCCAGACTTCGCCGATGAATTTCATAGACGGTGGCGCGAGCGGATAATCTTTCGGGAACTTGAGCTCGGCAGGGAATACACCGCCCTCGAATGGCGTCCCCTCGGGACCTTGGATCAGCGCTTCCCAGTGTAGGAGATCGTCTTCGGAGACGGGGCCTGCGGTGATGCCTTCTGGTGGGTTGTTGGTCAGGGCGCGGTATTCTTGGAGGAGGCGGCGGTGGGCAGTTGAGGTCGCCATGATGGCTGGGTCTTTGCGGTACAGGTCCGATTATGGCAGACTTTCTGAGATGAGGCTGCTTAGGTTCGCCGTAACTTTATAGAACGTGAAGAGTGAGTCGTATTATCAGAGATAGGTTTGTAATGTTGAAGAATGGACAGCTTGACCTCGGAAGCCGGCGGTGCGCCAATTCCGGGATGGGGTAGTCAGATAGGAGTCCAATCGCGCGATAAGAGCACCCAGATTTTGGAGCTGTCAATTACCCCTCCAGGCCCACCCCACCTCAGACAGTTCTTCTCCGTCACACTGTCTGACTAACTTGTCACCACAAAACTTCGATAACACTCGAATATGTCTTCGCCTCTTCGCATTGGGTTCGTGCCTGAGCACTTCTCGACCCCGCTCCACTTTGCGCAGAAACACTTCGGTCTTGATGCGACGCTGATTCCTTTCCCGTCAGGAACGGGACATATGATAACTGCCCTCAGGGCTGGGGAAATAGACGTTGGTATTGGACTTACGGAGGGCTGGGTCGCAGGGCTTGGGAAGGGAGATATGGAGGGGGATGGAGGTTATAGGATTGTAGGAACCTATGTTGACTCTCCCTTGTGTCAGTTACCTTCCTTCCGCTCTTACCGGTTCCCTGACTTGGGTTGAGGGGTGCCCAAGAGTCCCAAACCATAAGCTGACTGAAGATTCCAGGCTGGGCCGTCTCCACTGGCGCACAGCGTAACGACATCCAAAGCATCGCCGACCTAAAAGATTCCAAGATTGGCGTCTCCCGGATCGGTTCCGGAAGCTATGTCATGGGAACCGTGCTCGCCGACCAACAAGGCTGGCTCACCCCCGGCACTCCCCCCTTCACATTCACGCCTCTCCAAACCTTCGCCAAGCTCCGCGAGGGCGTCAATGATAAGACTGTCGACTTCTTCATGTGGGAGCACTTTACGAGCAAGCGGTATTACGATAATGGCGAGATTAAGAGGGTGGGGGAGATTTACACTCCGTGGTCGAGTTGGTTGATCGTTGCATCGACGAGTATTGGGGAGACGGACTCGAGGCTAAAGGAGTTGTTCGAGAGTCTTGATAAGGGGGTTAAGCACTTTTTGGAGAATGAGGAGGAGGCGGTGAAGTATATATACACTTCATTGGATTACTCGGAGGAGGATGCGAGGGAGTGGTTGAAGACGGTAAAATTCACAAATGGCATTAGAGGTGCAAATGAGGCTTTGGTAGGTAAGGTGAGAGATACTCTTTTGAAGGCTGAGGTGGTTGAGGAAAGTGGCTTGGGAGCTGAACAGATGGTTGCTATCAAGAGATGAGTGGTGCAGTCTAGCAATGTTATCCCAAGTTCATAGGGCATGCGAGAGAGAAAAAAATGCAGTAGTACTCATGAACAAAGCTTCTAAATTGTTTATAATCTCGACGGAATAATTCACACCGGTATGTATACGGCGGCTACTTCCCAACAGCACAACCAACCTTCATTCGGCGCTATGCTACAATGCAAGCATGCCCGCATCGCTCCACGCCCAATAACTCAGCAGTCAACCAAGAGAGTCTACATCTACTCGTCCACCACGGAAGCGAACTTCTCGTTCATATCCGAGATGAGTTTCTCGTACTTCGGCACAGTTAGTAAAAGCTCTTCAATGGGTGGGAAGGTGATGTTGTGATGACTTACTTTTGCCACGATGACCTCCTCTCCATCGCTAGGGACCTCGAACTTCATGCTGCGCAGCTGAGACTGGAGATCGCTTGTTGCCTCACGGACCTTGTTCCAGCTCTGTCCCTGGGAAATCACCTTCTGTGCCTCGTCGTGGAAGCCCATCATAGCCTTCATCATCCACTCGGTCTTCCAGATAGGGCAGAACTGATCGTAGTCGGAGTATCCGTTTTGTTGGAGGAAATCTTCCTTCAGCAGCTGTGCAACATCAAGGGTGATTTTGTTGGTGTCAGACAAAGCAGATTTTCCAACAAGCTGAACCACCTGGTCCAATTCCTCGGAATCAGACAGTAGCGTCTTGATGCGGTCACGGAGGCGTGGGAAATCCGGGTAGTCCTTCTCGTAGTACTTGTCGAGAACAGTCGTGTATCTACTGTAACTGGCCGACGTGTTGATCGACGGGAAATGCTTCCTTTGAGCGAGCTTCTTGTCGAGACCCCAGAACACCTGGACAATACCAAGGGTGCTACTTGTGACTGGGTCGGTGAAATCTCCACCAGGTGGGCTGACGGCGCCAACGATGCTGACACTTCCCTCGCGGGCTGGGTTACCCAATGCCTGCACCTTACCAGCACGCTCGTAGAAACTGGCCAGCTTGGCTCCCAGGTACGCAGGGAAACCTTGATCCGCGGGCATTTCACCCAGGCGACCAGAGAGCTCACGAAGGGCTTCGGCCCAACGGGATGTAGAATCAGCCATCATGGCAACGTCCTTGCCCTGGTCACGGAAGTACTCCGCGACGGTGATACCCGTATAAATCGAGGCCTCACGAGCAGCCACGGGCATGTTCGAGGTGTTGGCGATAAGAGTTGTACGCTTCATGATAGGCTCCTTGCGCCCGTTGATATCGATAGAGAGCTCCGGGAAATCCATCAAAACCTCAGCCATCTCATTACCACGCTCTCCGCATCCAACGTAGATAATGATGTCACTGTTCGAGAACTTGGAGACTGACTGCGAGATGACAGTCTTGCCGCAACCGAAGGCACCTGGGATAGCAACCGTTCCACCCTGAACACTGGGGAAGAGAGCATCGAGCACACGTTGCCCGACAATGAATGGCTTATCGGCCGCCAGCTTCTCGGTTGTCGGACGAGGCACTCTGACGGGCCATGTGTGCATCATCATGTGCTCAGACTTCTTCCCGTTGAACTCTATTTCCAAAATCTTGGCGTCCACCGTGTATTTCCCTGCCTCCGCAATGCGTGTAATGGTACCCCTCGCCCTCGGTGGCAAGAGAATCTTGTGGTCGTCCAGAAGTGAATTCTCATATACGGTTCCAAAAATGTCTCCTCCTGTGATGTGGTCTCCGACCTTCATGAGAGGCTTGAACTCCCAGAGCTTCTTCCTGTCCAGAGCCGGCGCTGAGATACCACGTGGGATATAAATGCTGTTCGACTGTTCGGCAATGGCCTTCAATGGGCGCTGGATACCGTCGTAAATCGTTTCCATCAAGCCAGGACCCAGCTCGACTGACAGTGGCTTTCCTGTTCGGATAGCTGGATCTCCAACAGTAACACCAGCTATATTTTATGGTCAGCCTCTCAACTACACCTCAATCATCATGGCCACGTACCGGTTTCTTCGTAGACTTGAATGGTCGCCCGGTCAGCTTCGATTCGAATGACCTCTCCTACCAGGTTGTCGTGGCCAACTTTAACCTATATGCAGACGCATCGTCAGTACCCTGCATCCCAATGTAATGTGCAACACTTACAAGTTCGTACATGGCGACTCCAATCATGTTCTCGGCAACCACGACGGGGCTATGGACAGTTAATACCAGCAACAGTAACCCATTCTGCTAACGTACCCTGATACCGAGTAGATAGAGCCTTGAGATAGTCAGACACAATGCGCTTTCAGTAATTGAACGGTATGACTTACCATACTGCTCTTCTGCCTCTACATCCTTAGCTCCCTCGGGCTTCTTCTCTGACTTCTTCTGTGTTCTTGGATCAGTATTTGTCCTGGATTATCTGCACCACCCTAACAAAATGCTTACAGGACCCATAGTGATGTCGGTGTGTGGAAGCGTAACAGGTTCGGGGAGAGGAGCTACCTCTTCTGGGATCGAGCTGGTGGATTGTGGCAGAGAGCGATGTCGTTGATGAGTTGGCGACGTTGGAAGAGGGATGGTGGAGGCTATCAGGTCGTGGAGTTCCTTGTGGAGTCTGGGGTTCACAACAGGGAAGCTATCAGCAGCAAGGTCGGGTCGGGGTGTAGTGGCAGCAGATGACTTGATAAGATCGTAGAAGGAAGGTCTTCCTCTCAACCGTGGCCTAGGAGTAAAGCCAACGTTGTGCATACGAAGTTATACAAGTTAAAGAGTTGGAGAAGCTTTCAATCGGCGTATACGCAAGGTACATGTTGAGGTCCAATAGCTATGGGGGTTGCCGATAGATAGCGTTATCGCTACAAGTAGTTCTTGAGGCTCCCGTAGAGCAACGAAACGTTATTAATACTCGAGTACGGTACGGATTCCGTAGCTGGTAAGAAACGCAGTCAGGCATCCATCCATCCATCTCATATGGAAATAATTCATTATTTTGAAATTTAGTATAGGAAAAACTACTCACAAATGCCTATAGTATGTAATATTGCTTCTTTATTAAGCCGGGAATATATTACAAGCGTTCTGAGAGATATCATACAGCACATCTTCCCTTATTTCCTATGTTGCTGCATGTATGTCACCATAACTCTCTGCCTCTACTTACTACTGTACTGTAGTACTGCATGTCCAGTACCCCTCCGGCCAGCTGCACCTGAGAATTAATACTCTACCAGCATTTACGCCGATAGAAATTATTATTTCCACTGTATTTTTGGGTACCTATTCTAGACAATTATAAGTCCGGGTGATAAATAGCATTTATTTTACTTGCAGTTACTCTAAATAATCCCATTATGTGTAGTCCCTCTTCGGACTTTTGGTCGGCACGAGCGTAGTGTCTCCCAAGGTATCCCGTGGTCTCTCACCAAGCGCCGTGCAGTCGTGACCGTCGGTGGCTATCTTATCAAGCAACCCACCTGGCACATTCCTCGGACCGCTACTCACAGCGGCCTCTTGCTCTTGGACTTGGACAAGAGATCATATACAAACACACACCCAAGAGTAGGAGCTCACGACTTGAACCGCGCGCTCATACGCTCATACTCTCGGATTACCTGCGGCACTCCCGCCATAGTCGTCCTGGCAGACGACAACTCCCCAACGCCATTATTACCTCCCCCATCCACTTCCGACGACCCAACCACTTCGACACCCTCTCAGCCAACTTCCAGCACAGAGTCCTCAGCCCAACCTTCAGATACAGCACGAAACCCGATCGTCGACAACAGAACATCCTCGACTCCAAACTTGCTCTCGAGCGAGAACCCAGACCCTGTTCGTACGAACTCACCCCAACTGCCTCGTGGAACGCAAAGCAGCCGCCGTAGACGGCGAGAACCATCCCCAGCCAACAACAGAGAAGCCCAGGACCACCGAAGCTTTGAGAGCTTAGGTCCGCCGGGTGAGACCACCAACGAGCCTCTTCCCAAACGCAGGCGCAGGGATCCTATGATGCGACTTGAGGGAGATAGTAACAATACAAATGGCGGACCTAGATCCTTCACGAATGGCTCTACGGCGGAATCACCGGTGTCGAAATCACTGAATGGGTTGACAAAGACCGTGCCGGCCATAAACGGGTCTACGACAAGTAATGGCCTTGCCGAGAAAGCTGTCACTCAAGAGTCCGCTTACTTCGGGCATGATCGCGAGGAAGTGTCGAGACTGTTGATACAGGCTCTTTCAGATCTGGGTTATAATGCCTCTGCTGAGAAACTGGTTCAAGAGAGCGGATACGACCTCGAGAGCCCGACAGTGGCTGCCTTTCGGAATGCCGTTCTTCGAGGTGAATGGGCGGACGCGGAAGAGTTACTATTTGGTCATGCGACTCCGTCAGTGACTGGCGGCACTGGTATAAGCAACGGGCTCGTACTTGCTGAAGGAGCAGACAGAGATGAGATGCGGTTCTGGCTCCGTCAACAGAAGTTTCTCGAGCTATTGGAAGCTCGGGATACCGGCAGGGCGTTGATGGTGTTGAGAACCGAGCTGACGCCGGTCTATCACAATGTCCACAAGCTCCACTTCCTCTCAAGTTTACTCATGTGTCCCTCGGATGAGCTGATGTCAAAAGCTGAGTGGGATGGCGCTCATGGTCAATCCCGGCATATTCTTCTATCCGAGTTATCAAGTAAGTCAACCTGAAATGCAGTCCCTGTCCTACCCAAAAGCATTCATAGGGCTTGTTCGTGGCTAGGAGCAAAATGATAGAAATCCTGTGTGGATACAGATAGTCTACACTTCCAGTCGGCTACTTCAGCACAGCCTCTACGAATGATTTTTGTGTGTTTGGAACTAAACAGTAGCCTCGCTAACAGATCTGCAGAATGCCTTTCCCCATCCCTGATGGTGCCTGAACACCGACTTGCAGTCCTACTAGATCAAGTCAAGCAGTCCAGGATCGCCAACTGCCTGTATCATAACACAGAAATTTCGTCGTCGTTGTATTCAGACCATCGTTGTGATCGAGATAACTTCCCACTGGAGGTTGCGGCAGAGCTACACCAGCACAGCAGTGAAGTATGGTTCGTGGCTTTCTCACATGATGGTACAAGGCTGGTTAGTTGTGGCGCCGAAGGAAAGGCTTTAATATGGGATATGCAATCGTTGCAAGTGGTGCATACCCTTCCCGATCATACGCAGGGCGTCTGCTTCGCATCATGGAGCCCGGATGATAAAATGATCATCACATGCTCAAAGGATAGGTATGCAAGGCTATGGGACACAGAGGTAAGTAATTCTAATCTCTCCCCGTCGTTGAAGGTATCTAACTGAAGGCAAAAGACTGGCCAACTTCTACGGACAATCAGCCGCTTCGAGGAGCCCGTGAGCTCTTGTGCCTGGGCACCGGATGGAAAGTCGTTTATTACCGGCTGCCTCTACAAAGAACGAAATTTGTGTCAATGGAATCTGAACGGCGATCTCCTGTACGACTGGAACCGTCCTCACAGGATCGAAGCACTGGCACTGTCGCAAGATGGCAGTCTGTTGGTTGCTACGGACACCGAATGCCATCTCCATGTCTATAACTTTGTCTCCCGTGAGCTGGAGTACGAGATGGATCTGAAGGTCAAATTAACGTCGGTCAGTGTCAGCAGGGATTCGAAGCATGTCCTCATCAGTAAGGTTGACGGCGAAGCTCTCCTCTTCAGTGTTGAGGACAGGAAATCAATCAGGACATTCGCAGGACAGAAAGCGGGAAAATTCGTAATCCGGAGCGATTTTGGGGGTGCCGACGAGAGCTTTGTCATAAGTGGTAGCGAGGATGGCTACGTCTTCATCTGGCACAAGGAGAACGGTTCCATTGTGGAGAAGCTGGAGGCTCACCGGCCAGGGTGCTGCAACAGCGTCTCATGGAACCCCAAGAACCCGCGGATGTTCGCAACCGCCGGCGACGATCAGAGTGTCCGAATGTAAGTTTTCCTTCTGCCAGTGACCAAGACCCGCACTAATGTTCTCGGTACCAGATGGTGCAACCAATCCAACTCAGGCCCTCTACTCCAGAGGGGCCACCTCGGCTAATAACACGGCGTCGCTCGGCGTCAGTGATTCGGTGTAAATGATGGACGGGTCAGTCACTGGGAGGGGGGGGCTTGGGCGTCAGTTGATATACTTGGCGATAGGGGTTCTGGGTTCTATGGGCTTGTATCAAGGGCATCTTGCACGGTGTTGGGAAGAGAAGATTGTGGTGCCTGTCGCTGGGTTTTTTTTAGCGCAGGTGAGTATTCATACCGGTAGCTAGAGCTAATAGAATCTCTTACTCTGGCCAATGTTTTCAGTGACTTGCGAATTGAAAGTCTGCCGCCAGATCAGAGTTGTTTAATTAATTTATTGTTTTGTGAACTCGTGGAACGACATGGTTTGTGGGTTTTTCCAAGCCTCCAGGTGGCTATTATTCATGGTCCATTCTTCGGACTTCTGGGCAGGAGGGTGACCTTTGGCTGTATCTTGTTGGGTGAATTGGGAGGTGGTTCGCATACTTGGTGATACGGATTATGGTTTCTATAAATCTGCATGGGGGCCATCATGTAGGGTATTCAAAGAGAATATCAAGACGTTTGCATGGTATTAAAGATTCGAAAGTGATAATAATTCAAATTCTCAAATAGCTAAAGGGATTGTCGCCATTTGGCCTTGATCAGTCCCAGTTGATCTCATCTGACCAAGGAATCGCCTCTTGTGCCCCTTGTCGTTGCACTGTCAGCTCCGAGGCTTTCGATGACTTCCGCACAGCTTCCTTCAGATCCCAGCTCCCCTCCTTCTCAAGGGCCTTCACATACAAGGATCCATAGGCACCGACAAATGTGTCTCCAGCACAAGTGGTATCAACGACCTTGACTTTGTTTGCACGCAGCAAGCTTCCTTTCCCAATTGCACTCGAAGAATATGAGCCCTTTCCTCCCAGCGTGACGACAACGTTCTTCACACCCTTGTTCAGGAAGTCATCAGTGACGACGTCCCAGTCAAAGTTTTCGGCGTTAACACTGTCAACGCTTCGCCCGGAGATAATTGCGGCTTCCGTCTCATTCACAACCAAGTGCTCAAGTCCCACAAAGACTGTGTCAGGCAAAGGCACGGCTGGAGCAGGGTTCAGGAGAACGGCGACATTTGCGGCCTTGCAGAGCTCAATGATGGTGAGAACGGTGTCCAGCGGGATCTCCAGCTGCAAGATTACCAGATCCGGCTTGGGAGTTCCGAGGTCCTTAATATTGGTAAACTGTTCTGGTCTGAGGGTGTAGTTTGCTCCAGGATTAAATAATATCCTATTCTCTCCAGTCGCCTCCTCAACAAGAATGACGGCAACGCCCGTACTCTGCCCCTCCACTACTTTGATTCGAGTGACATCCAGGCCATCAGCTTTCATGCCTGCTGTGATCGAAGGGCCGAATGGGTCGGACCCAACGGCTCCAATAAACCTGACGTCGACATCGGATTGCAATGCCTCCGCGCTTGAAGAGTTCTTTGGATTGGACCGAGACGTTCGAGCGGCTGCAACACCCTGGTTTGCACCCTTTCCCCCAGCTCCAGTACCAAACGATTTGGACGTAAGGGTTTCGCCGCCTTGAGGGACACGGTCAGTGACTGTCACCAGGTCAGCATTTATAGAGCCGATAACCGTTATTACGCGTTGGGGTGCCATTGTAAATTATATGATAATGATTGTCCAAGATAGTAAGAGGGGTTATGGCGGGGTGTTCCGATGAATCACGTGCTCAAGTTGCTAGGCCGACACGTGCCGTTACCTTGCGGTGAGCTTCAGCCTCCTTGGCATATTATATTTGTACCTAACATCGCAGGCATAGTTCTCAGCCACAGCTGCGTAACGGGTCCACGCATTACCATCCAGCGCCCACGCGCACTTTCTTCTATTTCACGATCTACCCAGTCTTCTCCTTCACCTACTATCACAATAATATTGTGACTGCTTTCTGGACACACCTTGCTCAGACAATATAACTATATCCACCGGCGCCATGACGTCCAACCAGGGTGGCATCTCTGATCCGGGCCTCATTACGTTGGTGCCTCCTTGAGATAAACTTACCCCTGCGGGCAGCATCGTTAACTGGTTTCACTAGGCTTGTCAACAAACTTCAAGATGTCTTCACAACAGTTGGTGTGCAGAATCCGATCGATCTGCCCCAGATCGTTGTAGTGGGCAGTCAGTCCAGCGGAAAGAGCTCCGTGTTAGAGAACATAGTCGGCCGCGACTTGTGAGATAACCCCTCTTTCACCAAGAAACGATAACTGACAACAATATGCAGCTTACCTCGTGGCACTGGAATTGTTACTCGACGACCCCTCGTTCTCCAGCTGATAAACCGACAACCGCCTGAGACGACGACAAATGGAGTAAAAGGGGAGGATGAGGTGTCGAACACAACCGATAAGGAGGCAAATGTGGACGAGTGGGGAGAGTTCTTGCACATTCCAGGACAGAAGTTCCACGACTTCAACAAGATCAGAGAGGAGATCGTCAAAGAGACAGAGGCAAAGACTGGGCGCAATGCCGGCATTTCACCCGCGCCCATCAACCTCCGCATATACTCCCCAAACGTCCTCACCCTCACGCTTGTCGATCTGCCCGGTCTCACAAAGGTCCCAGTCGGTGATCAACCCAGGGACATCGAGCGTCAGATTAGGGAGATGGTTATCAAGCAAATCAGCAAGCCAAATGCGATCATCCTGGCTGTCACTGGTGCGAATACAGATTTGGCCAACTCCGACGGTCTCAAACTTGCACGCGAAGTCGACCCCGAGGGACAACGGACGATTGGTGTCTTAACCAAGGTCGATCTGATGGACGACGGAACCGATGTTGTTGATATTTTGGCTGGGCGCATTATCCCACTCCGACTGGGTTATGTTCCAGTTGTGAACAGAGGACAGCGCGATATCGATAACAAGAAGGCGATCACAGCTGCATTAGAAAACGAGAAGAACTTCTTCGATAACCACAAAGCATACCGCAACAAGAGCTCTTACTGCGGAACCCCTTACTTGGCACGGAAGCTGAACCTCATCCTGATGATGCACATCAAGCAGACCCTCCCGGATATCAAGGCCCGCATTTCCGCCTCTTTACAGAAGTATTCTACTGAGCTTCAAGGGCTTGGGGATTCTATGCTTGGCAACAGCGCCAATATTGTGTTGAACATCATTACGGAATTCACAAATGAGTGGCGTACGGTCCTGGACGGAAACAACACTGAGCTGTCCTCAGTAGAGCTTTCTGGTGGAGCGAGAATTAGCTTTGTTTTCCACGAGCTCTACGCAAATGGTGTCAAGGCGGTTGATCCCTTTGATCAGGTGAAGGATGTTGACATCAGAACCATTCTGTACAACTCTTCCGGATCCTCGCCCGCTCTATTCGTCGGTACGACTGCCTTTGAGCTTATTGTCAAGCAGCAGATTAAGCGCCTGGAAGAGCCAAGTTTGAAGTGTGTTTCCCTGGTTTACGACGAGCTTGTTCGTATCCTATCTCAATTATTGGGGAAGCAGCTCTTCCGTCGTTATCCTCAACTGAAGGAGAAGTTCCACGCTGTTGTTATCGCATTTTTCAAGAAAGCTATGGATCCGGCCAATAAATTAGTCAGGGATTTGGTTTCCATGGAGGCTTGTTACGTTAATACCGGTCACCCAGACTTCTTGAATGGACACAGGGTAAGATGTTCTGATTCCTGACTGCCATGACGACATACTAATATTACATTACAGGCTATGGCAATCGTAAATGAAAGGCATCACCAAGCAAAACCGGTTCAAGTCGACCCAAAGACCGGCAAGCCACTTACTGCAGCTCAAGCTGCTGCCGCCCCTCAAAGAGCCGCAAGCCCGTCGCTGGATGGCTCCACCGATGCTAACGGAGGCTTCTTTGGTAGCTTCTTTGCGTCGAAGAGCAACAAGAAGAAGGCGGCTGCGATGGAAGCTCCCCCACCATCCCTGAAAGCGTCTGGGACGTTGTCAGAGCGCGAGACCGTTGAAGTTGAAGTTATCAGTAGGTTTCCAACATAGTCCATGGCCATGGCGAGACAATCACTGACGAGATACAGAATTGCTTATTAACTCATACTACAACATTGTGAAGCGCACAGTTATCGATATGGTTCCAAAGGCTATTATGCTGAACTTAGTCCAGTGAGTTTCCCTCGGTATATTCTGTGGAACCCTCGTGTTAACAAGCAAATCTAGATACACAAAGGATGAAATGCAGCGTGAGCTCCTTGAGAACATGTATCGCACCGACACCTTGGATGAGCTTCTTAAGGAAAGCGATTACACCGTTCGTCGGAGAAAGGAGTGTCAACAGATGGTTGAATCCCTTTCTCGTGCGAATGAGATCGTTTCCCAGGTCGGATAAATCTCGTCACAGACACTACAATTTTCTTCGAGCTATAACGCGATGACGACAGATCGACAACCAGATATTAGGCAACCGTCGAATAACGCAATCAACCGAGGCTGTTCAAATGCCACAGCGTCTGCCGTGCTACTGGTTGCCAACCATTAGATTTCATTACTTGTCAAGTCGATCTGAAATGATAGCTCGCTGCGTTTCCCCGATACCCGCAATTCCGCAACGCGTAATGAGATAAGATGGCAGATGGCAGGAGTGGAATATGGGGCTGGAGGTCCATGCTTCATTACTGGTGGTAATACGGGGCAGGTATGATGCGGGGCGTTGAATAGCCACTGCGAGGTTGCTCAGTTGCATTTTGTTGTTTCTTTTGCGAGTTTAAAGTACATGCAGCGGGAAGTAGATAGACGAGTCAGTGTAGAATAGGCCTACCTAATTCATGATCCAGTTATCCTCTTGCGATCTGATGCGAGGCTGCGTTCCTGAGAACTGTTAGGTGATAATTCGAAGCACAGGTTATGACGACTCGCCCAGCATGCAACGCTACATTTACGCCTCACAGATCCCCAACGGTTTCCTACCTTAAACAGTCGCACAAAGTTCCTGTTTCTCCCGTGTTTGAACCGCTCAACCCCCCTACACCGGCTCAGAATCGCATCAGATAACAACAGATTCACCAACCTTTCATCTTTCGGATTTAAGAGCTTGGTTCACGTTGGTTTATACCGCCACGAATTTGACACGAGTGTCTTTGATTGGGGTAATTTCCTCCGAACACAGTTACCTCCGCAAACTCGCGGGCAGGCACATAATTTCGTCGTCAAGGCGCAGTATGACGTGTATATGGCAAAGCCAGAGAAAGCGCCGAAACAGCATGCCAAATCATGAGCCTCGCGGTATCGAACGAAATCGGAGGCGGGCTGGTTTTGGGCAGGGCTGGCGTGAGGCTTGGTGATTTGTTGTCAACGTGTTCCGTGGGGGAAATGGAGATCATGGGTTTGGGGGATGATTCGATTATGTTTGCGCGTACAAGGCGGCATGAATGTGTGCTATTTGCTGGATGCTCCAATATTGTTCCTCACGGAGAATGTGGTATATAAAGAGGAAGCTTGAACGGATATTTCGAGATAAGTTAACAAAAGACTGATAGAAGCTGCTCAGAATCACTCTCACACAACAAAAAAACTTCATTTGGCTTTTTTTCTCACCGAGCAGAATCGCCTTCCAAGTTCCCCAAAATCATTACATCAAGAGACAAGGAGCGACATCATATGGCAAGCGCTAATGAGGAGCCTCTATTTTCAAGAAACCTCACCTCGATCGGACGAGAGTGTCCAATGGCTGCACGGAAGTTAGGGACTATGTTCTCAGACCTCAATGTATCCTCAGAAGTCGATAGATCAAGAAGTGATTCACCATCTCCTCCCCCGGGACCGCCACCAAGCCCGGCACTGAGACCAAGAGCTGGACTTACAGGTAGCAAGCCAGATTCAAATAAAAGTATTCAGGCAATACCATATGCTAACAAACAGTCAAGTGCAGATTTGATGGGTGGAACTTGAGTTTCTTGCCAGGGTGCATGCCTGCTCAATAGTTTGATCGGCAGCAAGAATGAGCATTAAAGGCATCGGGGGCATAGTGTTGTTACCACAATCGGTGGGGATAATGGAATTGGCTTAGACGGGAGATGCGCAAGCTGTGTACCATTCAGTCATGACTCGGGAGCTTTTAGTACATGGTTGATAGTTGCTGCAAAATTAACTGTCTAAATCTTTGCCTTGCCCTTTAATACCAGTCCTCCATTTTGGACTTCATATTGATTTGATCTGGACCACCCTAGCCACTCCTGTAGTACTTTCTCCCCTCCCTGGCTTGGCCTTAAATTGAATCCTGTCCATCCGTCTCCACGCACCCCTTCTCCTTGCCCTGTTGCCGGATCTCTCGTCGAGGGATTATCGCGCTTGATGGCCAAACCTGGCGTTCCTGTCAAAGTGACTGAAGGGCGCACATCTCCTTCTCTGCTCGGGTCGGTTTCCAGTTCATCGAGATCAAGAACAGGCGTTACACAGGCATCTGTGCCATCGAAAATGCCCTCCCACTCCGTCCTCGTCTTTTCTTTGAAGAGCCGTGTAAACAGTTCTCTCATTTCAGGCCATGTGGATCTATCATACCGAGTTTCCTCAATACCACTACTTTCAAGACCTAGCCCCTTGACAAGCTCATGGAAAAACTGGGGCTCCAAAGCCCCGACAGCCATGTATTTCCCATCCTTGGTCTCATAGGTATCATAGAAAGGGGAGCCACTGTCAAGCATATTGTCTCCCCGCGGCCCATTCATCAACGGTGTCTTGCGGGCAAGCCTTGGGAAAGTGGCGAGGTATGCACTTCCATCAACCATATTTGCTTCAACGACTTGTCCTTTGCCGGTCTTTTCGCGAGCCAACAACGCCAGTAACAGGCCTTGGAACAGCGTGGCACCTCCTCCAGCAAAATCACCCAAGATGTTGACGGGTCCAAACGGCTTTTCTCCTTTTCTGCCAAGGAGACTCAGCGCTCCGGAGACTGCAATGTAGTTGATATCATGGCCGGCCATGTCTTTATACTTTCCATCCCTGCGGAAACCGGTCATGCGACCTAGGATGATGCGTGGATTGACGGCCTTCAAATCACTGGGTCCCAGCCCCAGTTTCTCAAGAACACCAGGTCTGAATGGATCAATAACGATATCGGAATTTTTTACCAATGCCTTGACAAATTCAACTCCTGATGGATCTTTTAAGTCTACTGCAATGGATGCTTTGTGACGGGTTAGCGCATCGGTGGTTGGCGGTGGCAGCTTGTCTGAGTGTGTAGAGCCAGGGACAGCTCGATCGATGCGGATAACTGAAGCGCCATTATCGGCTAATAAAAGCCCAGCGAAGGGGCCTTTTGATAGGTAAGTATCCTTGTTTATTCAATTATTAGAGGTGAATTCCGATGCTTACCTGGCGCAAGCCCAGCAAATTCTAGAACCCTAATACCAGCTAAAGGTGGTGATGCCGACATGTTTCCGAATATTCAAATGTTAAAATATGCAGGTTCGGTGGTAGTATTATATGTCATCTACTAATGTTACACTTGTATTTTAATAAATAATTATGAGAATTACCCCGGATATAATAAAGTTCAAATAGCCTCGCCCACCTCCCCTTCCCCGCTTAATTGGGGTGCCGAGGCAGTGATTCGGGCCGTCGCCAGCCACAGCACAAGGCTAACGTTATCCTTTTGACTTGTGCGTTGAAGGCGGAACAACATGCGGTCGCTCTAGCCACAAAAGCTAGAAGTTATAAAAGGCAGCAACATAATACGAAGCGATCATAGCATATAAAATAAAATATACACATGTCATTAGATTTTAATGCGGGTTTACATCACTAGTGTTGGTCCAAAGTTGTCTGGCGACAGAGATCCCGTTGCCAGGTTTCTTAATTTTAGATATTCTTATTCTTGTTTATCATCTCAGGGCAAATTATGCCATAATTTAGTAAGAGGCCATGTGGCAACCTCACTAGCATGATGTTTCAATTCGTGAGGAGTCGTTTCTTAACTTTTTCAAATCCTTGCACTGTCCTGTCCCAAGTCGAAGCTCTTTCTCTGGGCAGGACAGATTTGATAGTCATCTCAAACAAGGCCGATACAGGCCTATGGTCTGATACCCGCACTTCATGGCGGCGGTAGTCGAACTGCTTGATGCGGTTCACGACATGACCATCGCGGTATAGAATCCTGTCGCACCAAGCCGGAGACCTCTTCTTTTCGCTCGTATCGTACGTATCAGTCCCAACGTCATACTTGTATGTCGGGTTAAAGGCAATGGGCATCTCCTGGAAGGCTCGTAGTCTGAAGCCCGGATTTTTCCGCTTCGAGACGAGCAATTGATCTCTTTCGAGTAACTTAGCCAAGTTCCCGGCCTTGACCGCGTTGACGACAGCGTCCCGGCCCATGGTATCAATTCTATAGTTGAGATCCCCATTGATGATGCAGACCTCGTGGTCGAGAATCATGGATCCATCGCCACCACCAATATAGCTATCCAGGCGTGCACTCGAATCTCGCTCGACAGGAAGGACATTACTTTCTAGAATTGCAGATATATCGTGGTTGCGTAGTTTTGTATGTGCCTGGCCTGCAGCTAAATGGCAATTGACAAAACACATCGAAGTGTCATCTACGACGAATCGAACTATCAGGGCACCCTATCGCGGATATCAGTCTCGTATAATTTCGGGGGGGAATTGTATGCCACAAACCTTATTTCCGTGCAAGCCTCCCATTCCGCGCTTGACTTCGGAGGCGCTGAGATTCTTAATCCGGTCTCGTAGGTGAGATTTTACGAAGATACACGTGAACAACCCAACGAGCGTCGATGACTGTAGCAAATGATACAACTCATTCTTGGGCATGAAGTCATCCAGGCATCGGATCAGATAGTCTCTCCAATCTCTGTACTGATGCGACATACGCTCTTGGTCAGAGTGGGCATCTTTCTTTTTGGACTTAAAAAAGCTCACTTGAGACACATTAGTATAATAATGGGCTGTTTATTAACGATGATGGAACTTACTAGCAGTTGCTTTCTTGTCTTCTAGGTCAACCAACTCCTGAAAGCCGAAGATAAGAATGTCTGGCGACCCGCTCGAATTCAGTAAATTCCGAACGAAGCTAGCATCTTGGTCCGAATTACGTAGGCTGCTGGGAGTCGAGGCGCCGGCATTCCATGTCATGACGAGAGTGCGAATGTTTTGAAAGGTACAAAACTCCGCATCTCGTGCCCGCATTTCATTCTCTATTTGATAGTTAGTATCAATCAATTCGAATTTGTTCATGGAATGCCTACCAAGCCAGTCTTCCCGTAGCAACCCATCCCATTGCTTCAGCAAATTATCTGCACCGAGAGAAATAACTTGCAAGCGATCAAGTCTGCGTGATGAGTTCCTATCAGCAAGAATTCCAATGACGGGATTTTCATGTGCTCTCCAGTCCTTTTTCATAACCCAAGGGACTTGAGTGGTGTCGTAAACACAAATCAATCCCGTGTTGAAACCGGCCCACAAATGTTGGCCGACCCCAACTAAAGAGTTTATTTTGTACAAGCTAACGTTTATTATGTCAAGACATGTAAACCTGTCGCGAGAGTATATGGTGACTTTCCCGTCTGTGTGTCCGAAATATACCCGATCAGGCTGACTGTTAATCGTTGCTCCAGAAACAATCTCGCCAGCGCTAGACTGGCATAGAGGTCGCTGAAGAAGCTGGAACGGTGCCCCTTCACTGGCAGTTGGATCGAAAACTCGAAGGTCTTTCCCTGTCGCATACCACAGTTCATTGCCAGCAACAAGGGAGAATGTGTGGCCTTTAGGAACCCGGAAAGTTTGGGCTAAAGCGTCGAAACTTTGCGTGGCTGCCCTATTTGGGACCCAGATATGTAGCGTCCCAACGTCATCGAGAGTCCACATTTCGTCTTTGTGTCGATATATCTTAATAACCTCATGACGGCTATGTGCTGCACTTTTCGTCGCTACGACGCTCTGTGAAGCAATGTCAACTTCGACCAAGTCGCCGACATTATTGCCTAGCCACAGACGTTGTCCTTCCTCTTCAGGGGCGGAGAATGCCTTGAAAGAAATCGACATTATCTTCACTGTTTCGCCGTGGTTGAGGTTCAACAGTTGATCGCCAGTTACCAAGTTCCAGGCTCTTGTGAAGGTACCTGATGAACAAGCGTACTCGCCAATAACATCAAATATTCGTGCATCAAACTTTATCGGTATTTCTCTGACGGATTGGCTAATTATTGGTGGTCGGCGATTCGATCTAGAAGGGTCCGGATACTCGACACTGCTTGGAGATGTCTCTGCCGTCGGAGGTTGGGCTTGTGAAGATCTTGGAATCGACGCTTCTGGGGCTTCATATGTTGTTCGGGGAGCGTGTTGAGAATCAGTCAATTTTCTCATGCCAGTCTGATCGACTGACATTGATCTTGGATATGATCTCGGCGGAGTGGGCGGGTGAGAACGAGACGCAGATATATTTCTCTCGGGCGTCCTTGATAGTGAAACACTGCGATCAACAATATGGGGATTTTGAGCGTAGGGTTGCAGGTCTTGCTGGTTGTTCGCGCGGGTATCGGGCATCACATTAGACATGGATCGATTTATGAACGGTTTGCTTGGAGGAGGCCTTGGTCTTGCAGGAAGACTGGGTTTCTGCTCATCCGAACTCTCTACCGCTACTGACCTAGAAATGGGTTCAAACTCCCTTCTCTTCGCTGCCGCAAGGTTAATAGGCGCTGGAGAGTACAGTTCAGTGTCATGAACAAGTGGACGAGACGGTGCTGCTGGCGCGACCATGAACGGGCGATTAGGGCTGACCCCCCGACTGGTTGGCATGCTGGCTGGAAACTCACGATACGCTGTAGGTTGTGTATCTACAGGTGTCATAGCCTCCCTATCAGTGGTCTGGCCATATACAGAGCTGCGCTTGGCTGGTATTTTGGGCTTCTCTAGGCGGTTGGGTATAGGCGCAGCGCGTGGAAGCGGTTTTGCTGGGGGTTCTCTTCGTAATTCACCAGACCTCCTAGGAGGTGGAGGCTCGGGGGGCTGTGAAGCTGGCGAGGGCGATAATAATGGTGGTTTTCGAGATTCCACAAGCGGGGTCTGGGGCCTGCTTGGAATCCTAAAATGCCTCGGTGATGCGATACCTGGTGCCGAAGTCGCTATTGGTGTCTCCGGGGCCAAAGAACCCCGCGAACCCGGTATTGTCAAGCTGAGATTGCTCGATTTAGGTGGCGACTTCGGTGGCTCTATTGTGACAGCTGGCGAGTATTGGGAACCAAATCTCGGGCCAGTAGACACGGGTCTTTGGCGCCCAACTTCAGCTGCTGTTGGCTGAAGCCGTCCAGAGCCATTTTGCCAGTTATTGGGGGCGAGCTCTTGTGTGTGTAGCCCTGTAGGGGATGCAGGGCTGCTGCGGAGAGTTTGATGGGTTATTGGATTGGGCGACTGAGATCTCGACCGTATGCTGTTGCCAATCGGTGCGGGGGTGGTCAGTTGTTCGAAATGCGACAGCAACGAAGACACTGGTTTCTGTAATTTGGTTAGGATAGTGAGAATATAAATTATCAGAGAAGGCTTACAATGGATGAAGCATCCGTATTATCGGGGCCATTGCCGCTCATATTTGCGTTTTATGTTTATTTCCACTCTTCTAGGGACCCCACGTAATGAGCCATGTAACAAGTCGAGCACTTTTGAGATCCTGTCGACATTATCGTGCTGGTCCACTATCCATAGACTACAGATGCCCCTCAAAGCGCATTATTGTCGAAGAACACACTCGGCGAAGAGAAAGCTGGGATGTCGTTGTTGAATCACTCGCAACTGGCAGTAAGACCAGTATTTGTGGAGACTCTTTCGGATAAGACGCGGCGGTTTTCGCTGAAGTTACAGGCGCAGTATCGTCGTCGACTCTACCTTGATCGCGTCTCAAATAGCAAAACCAAATTATCGTAATAACTAGACAAATACCCAGTGGCTTTTCTAGACGTCGGCGGGCCGTTTACCGGCTTGTGGATTTCTTGAGGTTGCTATTTCTGGGCAAGTTCCGCCACAAGTCGTCAACCTTGGAGGTTTACTTGGTTGGCAGGGTTCACGTAGCGCATTAATACCTTAAATGTGCGGAAGCCATACAGGAACCGAACATGTTGTGCATTAAAGCGAGCACTACGTAATCAGAGGGACAGTGCTGCCCCGGTCCCGGTCCATTGACGTCCGATTTTGAGCTCATCAACATAAACTCTCCACGATCTCCCGGCCACAACATCAAGCCGACAGCATCTTTTGTATTACGACTTTTGAGAAATAGACTCCTGGAAAGTGACTACGTCTCGTATTCTTCACAATGAACACTGTCAGTACATTCGCATCGCGCTCAGCTCACAAACAGGTTACTGATTTTCGTACAGGTTAAATCATTCTGGTATGGTTCCTACCTCCAATGGAGAAGGCAATGGGAATGCTGACAGTATCTGCATAACAGGGTAGGATGGGGCTCCTTGTGTGTTGGTAGGTGTACATCCATTCCAGAGACTGCGGTGTACTGACTGTAAAAAACAGCCGGCGGGGCAGCATATTATTTCGCAAAGAAGTCTATCAACGCAGACCGACAGACCCGATTCCAAGAAGCTGAGGCAAAGCGACGCCGTTTAGCATCGCTTGAGCACCCCGGATATGGCCAAGGCGGTGGTTCATCACAAAGCGGCAAAGGAGGTGGTTCGAACATGTCCCCAAGTCAAGAGGCAAGCTCAGACCCGGCTCCAACGCGGCATGATCCAGGGAGTGAGTCCCAACGGGTGATTGAGAAGAGCAAATATGAAGCAAGCCAGCCATACCAAACGAAGAAAGGCGACAGGTTCAGTTGAGGTGTCACGGAAAGTAGGCTCTCAGGCCTGGGCTGACCCCGATAGTCTGTTCACACTGCACTTTGGGACAGAAACAGAATAGAAGATTAGAGAGATTACAGCCATGGTTGGATGGCAAACTTCTCGTATACTGTACTATATTACCCTCCTCTCCGCTACAGACAGATGTATTATATGAAGTGGCTGTGTAGATCAGATTAGCCTCCTGACGTGCACCACATACACTTGACATTTGAACACCAGGCCGCAAAGATTTGACAGGAAAAACTATTTAAACTCCATTCTATACCATACAGTACCATCAGTGGATTTGTGTGGCGCCGTGTGAACTTTTCGTCTGCTCGATCCCATGGCGGCGGCTGGCACATGAAATTTGACGCCAAGAGACAAGGCTGACAACCCGAGAATCGTCGGACCAACTGGACGTCATTGTTGATGCCAACAACGGACAATTCGCAACGCGTCAAGACCAAACTTGGGAAGTAAACCCAGAAATATGGCGTCTCATCAAATAGCCATCGCGAAGGCTACATTTGCAGCAAGTTTATTGAGGCCAGACCCCGTACCGGTACCTCGCGATGATATAGCACAATTCCACACGCTCCTTGGCGTCGTGTCGACACAGTGCTCACCAACGAATATCCAGGTTTGGCAAAATGCTCCCAGATATAACTCCATACGATGGCTAAAAGACGATCGGTGATAGAGGTGCAAACGATGGCTTCTTTCCAATGTCATTCAGTCTACAACGCGAATTACAGCTCTCGCGAAATTTCTAGCCGCGCTCTCAGCCTCATTTTCAGACGCAGAGAGAAGTACGTTGGTGTCAGCTAAGAGGGAAACTTCAGCGAAAAGAAAGCGTCTACACATACTATACCTGATTAGCGATCTGATTTACCATACGAAGATCCGCGATAGAGACACCTCCGTTGCCGACAACTTCCTGCCTCTTCTCGCCAACCTTTTCTCCAGTGCCACCTCTTTCAAAAATAGCCCAAAGCATTTACGGAAAGTTGAGAATCTGCTTGACATATGGGCGGAGAAACACTACTACTCCGCAAATGATATAAATAAGATCCAGCAGGCAGTCGAGGCCGCCCAGCGATCGAATTCGACAACGAACGAACCGGCAGACTCGGATTCTAGGGCGATATCTAATATCGCAACCAAGTCTGCCAAAGATGTCCCGTTTACGATGCCTGCCATGCATGGCGACCAAAACCTACCGTGGTATGATTTGCCAGCGGGGAATCTCATGCAGCATATTATACCCAATTCAACGAGGCCAATCGATCCGACCCTTGTCAAGCCTATGCGGTTCGTACCAGGGCAGGTGGATGAAGAACTCGTTGCCTCCGTGAAGGCGTTTTTAGAAGAAGTTGAGACTATATATGACCCAGTCGCCTGTCACGACGAAAACGAACCTCCAACGTGGGACGTGGACGAGGTTGGCCGGCGAATTTACAGAGACGATCTGGGCGACGTGGTTGCAGGCGACGAAGGCTATTATGGATGGTCAACTGCGCTCTGTGAGAAGATGAAGAAGAGGATGAACAAAACCAAATCAGATGGGCCTTCTGGAACGGAAAGGTCCAGAGCACTGAGTCGCAACTCCAGCAGGAGTCGAAGCTCAAGCCGAGACAGTCATCACGCCAAGAAACGGCGATATGCTGGTTCTCATGGAGGCAGTAGGAATAGGAGCAGGAGCAGTAGTAGAAGCCGGAGTCCAAGCCAAAGCAGGTTCCGAAGCAGAAACATCCCTTTCGAGGGTGCAAAGCCAGAGATTCCCACGCCACACTCTGCCGCACCTCCGTATCATCAACAACATCAGCAACACTTCCCGCCGCCGCCGCCGCAGTCAACACCTCATCATGCTGATCACGGCCAACAATACAAACCGTGGCAACAACCTCCCCCTCCGCCACAGTTCCCAGACGCATCTCAATGGCAGCAGCAACAACCGACGCATGGCTACAAAGCCACTCCGGGGGGCTGGGCCCCTCAGTACCCTCCTCCTGGCAGAGATTCTGGTCAGCAACCGGGGGCACATGGTGGAACTGGTCATGGCCATAATAACAGTCATCCTGGATATAGAGGGTACTGATTGTACCATAATATTCAGATTATCTTGCACTGCTTCCCAGTAGTTGAGATACCAGCAATAAATACCAGAAATTACCATGTGCCGGAGAGAGTTTGGAGCTAGCTCTACATCCCTCGTATTTACCGTGTGCAGTGCATAGAGACGATGAGATCGTCACTGGGTGGGCATGGATGAGCTATTTCAACTTTTGAGAATATCAGACGGGCCCAACCTCGGTACTATAGTTTATATATGGCGGTGATTATATTACGGAATACATAAGCCTAATGTGATGTACGACAACTAAGATCACAGCAAACGAAAGGTACACAATAAGTCGTCTTCAATTCCGATTCCGAAGGGAAGGTGCCAAAAGATAAGATGATTATGCCATACTAGAGTATTCAGCGTCTAGCGTTTAGTGATAATCGTCTAACGGGTGCCATTAACGCCCAATTAAAACTCCCGTCCACGCCCGTTATCAGCGTCCGGCTCAAAGCTGTTCCCCGCACCTAATCATGCACGACACATAATTAGCCTCTCTACTTCGTAAAATTATTAGCTACTGTAACTCCAAGGTTCCCCAAAGTTAGTGGTTCATGGTAGCGCACAGAGATAAGCATCTGGACCCCGTAGATCCTTCCATACTTTCTTTTGCCTTTCGGGTTCCAACTGACAACTGATAGACGCCGCTTCTCGTCTCCCCTGGGATATGTCTGCACAATAGCATGAAACGGGGTCGATGAGCATCGCAACTCGTTCATATAACCCCATCTCATTGTTGTGTCATACCTAACGATAACAAATCAGGTGGATACATAAACATTCACCTAACATAGCTCATAACTGGCGTTTAGCCTTTTGAAATAAAGCCCGTTGGAGTCATCTTTCAACGCTCAAATACACAGAAGCCGAAAGCCAAGGAAATCCAAATCCCAGACAAAGCCGCCAGTTTGCGGAGTTAGGAGGCCAGCATCTGTGTAAGGCCAAATTGGCAATTAAGGTCAACATGACCGCCCATATATCGTTCATTGTAAGCACATAATCTACCTCTCGGCTGATTGCTGTTCACAACCCTGGTGTTGTTGGACCCTGAAAGATTGTTATCAAACCTCCAACGCCAACAAGCGGTCCCTGCGTGCAGGATTTGAGACATAATGCTAACTGGCATATACAGGATGGCAACTTTAGCCTGATTCATATCCCGCTGTCTCTCTATTCAAGCTTTCTGCAGCCAATACTGTGTGTCTTGCTACCTCATGATATCGTGGTACCAAAATCGGCAGAGGCACGGGACCACATGCCAGACCCGTCCCCAATTCATGGCAAGCAAGGATTCATCAACATTAGCATTACGCCAATAGAATGTTCGATCGTGTGTCGAACAGACTATGCTGAGAGGGTCTTCCAGCCAGCGATCGAGCTTTTGCCAAAGGAAGCGCGTGAGCAGGTCACCATCTCTCGAGATCCCTATCTAGTTTTCTCCATCAGCAGCGCTGGGATGGAGGCCAGCCAGCGAGTGATGGACCTTACAGCACCTCTGGCCATGGCGGGGATCTCGATCTTCTTTATCACGACCTATTATACGGACTTCATTTTGGTGCCTGCCAAAGACCACAAAACCGTGGTCCAAGCCCTGTTGGAACAGAAATTTGAATTCTCAGAGAGTGATGCTGCATATGTAGCTCCGTCTGGGATTTCACATTCCAGAGACACCAGCTCCGAGGCTGCGAAACCATCTACTCCACCACCATCGAGTGTTGTTGAACTTCAGGAACGCACTTTCAGGCTCTTAAGCCAAAGAAATGTTGTCCCGTTTACCAAGGACGGCCTATATCTCGCCCAGTGTTCGGGGAAGGAGCTCGATTCCAACAGCAACTACTCATCACGGCCTATTTCCAACGACAGCAATGATGCACCAGCTCATTCAACCTGGCTGCAAAAAGTGGAACCTAACCTATATCTAAGTCTTGTGGCTGCTTTGGCAATACAGCCGCGTTTTCTCTCTGTAACGCTGACCAAAGATGATGCACCATCGCTGCTCATCGACAAGGCTTTACTCTACTTGTTTGGAAACTTCATTGCTGGGGATACAGACTGTGACTTGGTTCCGATATTTTTGGATCTTAGTAACCTCCCGTTAGAGTCGACGGGTATTGTCTGCGGTGTCGCTGGCAGACTGGTAGACCAGACGAGGAGCTTCGACACTGACGGGGGAGAGCTGACATATTTATCGACAGCCCGTGCTGGGGTAGTAATACTCCCTTCCGAAAGATCAGAGGCAGCTCTTACAGCATTGGTACCTCCATTAGAGGCCACATAAAAGAGCTTTGCCTGCCGAGAGAAGCTAAAAAGGAGCTCTTTCACTCATGGCACGAATCTCCAAAACTTTGTTGGCGTTGGTCATCTACCTGGAGTATATCATGTTTGGATATGAAAATTGAGAATTGGATATTTACAGATTACTTTACACATCTTACTGAGTACTGTCACCAGGACGAATCATTACGGTATCTCCGACAAGTTTACATCTATATAGTGGCAAAAAGTGTTGCGTGTTGGTATGCCTGTTAATAATACCTCCCCAGGGATCGTTGACGTCATCTACTTCCGGTGATACCACAACAAGCCCAAACATTTCCCTGATGGTCTAGATTTCGTGTCGTATCCCAAGAAATATATCTACATGATTGGTAACTGACAGTCTGGTTACATAGTCACAATTTCGTGTCTCCATGCCATGCCAAGTTTCTCGCAGATCGAGACACGATCTTGTATATCTTCCAATCACTATAGCTAGTTCCCATATAATATCCAATCACATCTACAAAGTCTAGACATAGTCTTGAGTTACCTACATCATCCCAGGTCTCACCTGATACTGCTCATACACTATTAATGAGCAGCACGTTGACTTGATAAGTGTCCCCGAACCCCCACAATCCAGGTCTTGATCTAAGACCCTTAACCAATTTTTCCATATAGTACCTATATATCCTACTCTTGACCGTCTTATCCTTCTTCTTCTTCTTCTGGAATCCTAGTTTTTGATCTAGCTATATTTCCTCACAGTACTGGACTTATCAATTCTGCACGAGACGTTCTCAAAAGTCGACAACATGCTAGTCGATCCAGTTATGCCTCAGTATACAAAGCTGAGCAGCTTGCTCCCAACTGCAACTGCCCATCCATCTGTGGCCCCAATTGTGAGTATAGCTCTTAAGGAGCCATGATTTCTTCAAACACTTGTGCTTTAGAGGGGACTCAGACTAACCAGAATTTCGTGCAGCCCACAGTTATCCCAGACCTGCCTGTTTACCAGGAATTAGGCCATGCCGGACATGTCGCCCTTTGGGTAGGCTTCATTATTATGCTGCTATCCACTCTCGCCTTTATTAGCATGGCCTGGCGTGTCCCAGTGGTGAGACCCCTCCTTCCCATTGAATAATTCCACAGCAGTATTGACAATTTATTAGGAAAAGCGTGTGTTCCATATTATAGCGACCTTCATTGCGGCATTCGCGACTATCTCGTACTTTGGCATGGCTACTGGAGGAGGAAATTCTTTCGTGCATACGATAGCCTCGAAGTACCACAAACACACCGATCCAGTACACCATATTGATGTCTTCCGGCAACTATTTTGGGCCAGATATGTCGACTGGCTCCTCACGACTCCTTTGATACTTCTCAGCCTTGCACTCCTTGCTGGACTTAATGGCGCCGATATCCTTGTCACTCTCGTGGCAGATGCCGCCATGATCCTCACCGGCCTTTTCGCAGCTCTCGGCGAGACTAAGGGGCAGCGTTGGGGGTTCTACACCATTGCGTGGCTGGCGTACCTCATTGTGGTCTATCAACTTGTCGTTGGGGGCCGACGTAACGCATCCCGGAGAGGAACTGGAACCGCCAGGCTTTTCGGTGCCGTTGGAGGATTCATTCTTATCTTGTGGACAATCTACCCAATTATCTGGGCTCTCGGGGCTGGAAAGGGCAAATTGTCAGTTGACTGCGAGATCATTTGGTACGTTGTACTGGATGTGCTGGCCAAGCCGGTATTTGCTATTTGGCTCTTGTCCACTCATGCTCGAACGGCTCCGACCATTGAGGGATTCTGGAGCCATGGCCTGAACAATGAGGGCGCTCTGCGTCTTGATGATGACGAGGCTGCTTAAATGGAATGCCTCGAGAAACAAAATATTAATAATTTGAAAATTATTGGCCGGCGGATAGGAGGTGGAGATGAGGAAGCATGAACGTTTGGCGCAGTTGCTTGGTTCTCTTTAGCAAACCACTGCCTCAAAGGGATTTTTTTTAACGAAAACTAGCAGTTTTATATGAACAAATGCATATTTTTCTACTGGAACTTTTCATGATATACTGTGAATCGAATTTCATTCTCCAAACGCTAGTCTCCTGTCTGATGGTGCATATATTACCTTGGCGTTTCGGCCAGGGAAGCATACTCCTAGTGGACCAAGGCAGGAATATTCATTCCACGGAGGAGGAATAGAGCTGCTGAGAAATCCGGTTCGACTTCCAACAAGTCGGGAAGGAATGGGTGATATAACATGTAGACCAGATGGTCCGGAACAATGATTGGCGAGTAGCTCTTTAAAATAAGTCTAGTCAGCCATTTGGACTCGCGAGCTGGCAGTCGCTGGTACAATCTGCCAAGTGACGCTGTCCGAGCACCGCACGTCCCATCAAGCGCCAATGGTCTCGCGGGTGGTGGTGAAAGGGGAGTCTGGCTAGCAAAGGATACCAACACTTGCTCGATATCTTCGATAGTAACTCCGCTTGCTCGTGACTGCACGGCAGTTTCCTGGGAGTCATAGTTAGCAACAAGAATTGTAGTTGCAGTTCTTCGATTCTGGTAACTGACCTCTTTTACATCTTGATTCACCACCCGTTCTACACATGCACCTAAATCGCCCACTCCCGCTCCAGGCTCCCTCCAGCGCGACAGGTCAGTAACTCGTGAAGATGGCAGCGACAACGCCCGGCAAATTATTTTCTCCAAATTTTTGCTGTCCAACTCGTGCACTCTCTGGGTTCTCTCAGGGAACAGCGTCGATAGCAAAGCTAAGCCATTTGCATCGTGTCTGATCTTTTGCCCATGCTTCTTGAACCAATATAGAACAGCGTCCCGTGACTTCTGTGTAGCATCCTTTGGGAGATATGGTGGATATCGCGAATAAACCTGGTCTAACCGTTCAAGGAGATCGCAGATGTGCGCGAATCGAAAAGGCATGAACGCAACTAGACATCTCAAACCTAAGGGCTCAAAATATGGGCCAAATAGAATGAGGTTACAGTATTCGCTCCAGTTGGTGGTGGGTTTAGTTCAACATTGCCGCAATAGTAATTTGGAACGGGAATGAATACTGGGGTTAAGAGATGACAAGTCAATGCGGTTGCAGTTTTCGCGAGGATAACGCGAGTGCACGTGACCATATGGCACTTTCTTCGAGTCAGTAGCGGCACCCTACTAATTTAACCTACGACATGGATCGGTGTTTACTCGTACGTACAGGGCTGCATTTGGTAAGGAGGCCAGCCAAACATCAGACCGCCACTCAACAGTCTTTCCAATGACATATCCTCCGAAACGAAACACATTCGCTCTTTACAAAATATTACACTGATTCGCATACACATACACACTCGTGCCTGGAAGCGCCACAACATGATATCTCATTGAACAAGCTACACTCATTAAGCCGTGACGACATCTCCCTCGCGGCGCCACCCCCCCGAGACACGATGGATACGACGAAGCAACAGCAGGCTTCTAGCTCGAAGTTAGCTGCATCCCCTACGATACTGAGTGCGAACGATATGCCTCCCGCAATTCCGGAGGCCACACCAGCGCCAGGAGAGGAGTCGTCAATGTTGCCCCCTCCTGTACCTGAGCCGAGGAGCAGGCCACTATCATTAGTATCAAAGAAGAACAATCGGTTATCAATTAGCTTTCCAGTGCAACCATCCGAGACAATGTCCCCTGGGAGACAGACACCAACTCAAAACTCCGCATTTCCATCACCCCTCGTTGCCAATCAATCGGCATTACCGTCACCGCAAGATTCAGCAGGCTTTATGCAAGCTTTAGCTGGACAAGAGCGAAAGGTCTTCGAGCTTCGAGAAGAACTGAACCGGGCGGAAGTGGAGCTTAAGAAGCTTAAAACACAATGGGCAATTCACGAAGCAGATAAGAAGAGGGCAGAAATTAGACTGGTGCGGAGGCTGGAGCCGATGCAACTAGAGGACACAATCCAGGGCCAAGCCACTCCATTAGGCGATGAAGATATTGCTAGAAGGAGTGCTGAACTTGATCGCCGAAAGGCAATTCTTGCGGCAAACGTCACCAAAGTGTCGCGGAGGAAAATAATCACGGGTGGCCATACTCGTGCGCTATCGTTATTATCTCCAGACAGGTCTCCGAATGGACAGTACCCAAGTTTCGATACCGTGGAGAGGAGTAGGGATAGTTTTGACGTTGGCCCCGGTCTTCCTGCGATACCCAGGAAGTTGACGATGCCGGATACCAGCCAAGGCCTTTCTAGGGTCACTTCAGATAGAGCAAGGCATTCTTACCAGGGCAGTACGACTATTGGCGTTAAGCAAATTGCGGAGGATCTAAAGGCAGGTTTATGGACGTTTATGGAGGACTTGAGACAGGCAACTGTCGGCGAAGATGCCCTCGAGCGATCTCCCATAGGTGATGCAGAGGATCCTAGAACAGTCGCAGGTACCGGGGGAACGAAAAAGGCCAACCATGGTCTGATAACAAAGAAGTCCACCAGCAGAGACCGTGGGACAGCCTCAACATCGAAGTCAGTTCCAGTATCGAGGGCAAAGAATACTGGCCAGCAGTCACTATTACAGACGCAACCTGCCCAGCCGTCGACTCCGCCGCCGAATAAAACGACCATGTCTACCTCGACAGTCGACGATGATTGGTCAAATTGGGACTCCCCTTCTTCAAAGGACGCTTCACCTCGGTGGAGCAATAGTACCATGCCATCGTCGGATGACGCTAGCGAGGCAGGGAAACCATGGTGAGAAGAACTTAAACGCTCCAACGACCTATTGTGAGATTTTTACTTACATGTTTCAAGCGCCGAGTCTAGTGAGCTAAAACAATCTCTGATAACCGACACGCCTCCTGTGGAAGAAGAATCTCCGTGGGCGGCATTTAATAATTTTACTCCTGTGAATTTGAAGCGCACAGCATCGAATTTTATTAGAGAGTTTGAAAATAGTCTTACGCCTCCGCCACAGTCACCAAGCAACGGCCGTGATAACTCCGAGATGCAGTTGTCGAAGGACAAAATCATCTCTGACAACGAGGCACGACTCCTACTGAACAACCTGCCTTAAATGGCTAGATGTATATAATGCGCTTTACGAACTTATTGATGCTGGATGCGGACGCTTATTGACGCTGGGTCTGTACGATTACTGATACTGGATATCGACGATTTTTGATGGTAGAAGCTTATTTAGATTCTATACTCGTGCTTCTTAAATCTCTTGAAGAGTGGCAGTGCGTACGAGAATATCAATTTTGGATATAGATCCGTTTGTTCTATGTTGGTGTCATATGTTATGAACCCCTACATGCATTGCAGAGGTGCTATCAGCGCTCCCACAAATACCCTTCTACACTTCTCACAGCCACAAGCACTGTAGTTCATCCCCTTTATGCTTTGCCACTCGAGCCGGAGAAGGCAACAAAATTAGTTGATTTTCACGTGCTCATTTAAAACCCTCTGATTCTCGAATAATTATATCTTCAAATAAGAAGCCATAATCAATACCATAGATATATATATTATACGTTATCAAGTTCATCAAAGTGAAGAGTTAAGTTGGGAGTGAGTGGAGAGTTCAGCCATGTCCCGAGGTGGCCCAGAAAAGCTTAGCTAAGCGGAGTTATATGGCAGAATTTATATTTCTTATGCCAACCTGGAGGGACACCAGTACGACCGCAACACTCAAAGGCCAGCCACAGCGCCGACATCCAGATATCGAAATGAACGGGCCTATGTTTGGCGGGTTTGGTGGCGGTGGCCAGCAGATTAATGGAGGTGATGCGGACGCTATGGCTGCGGTGAAAAATGTTGGTCCAACCCCAGATACAGATCCCTAAAACGGGACCGACCGGACAGGGAGATGCGCAATGCCAGTTGGCGCCTTATCACTTGTTACTGACTTTGATAGATGCAAATGATTATGGAGTCGTGTCCTGCAAAGACCGTTTTGTCTGGAACGATGGGATTTGCTTTGGGTGGCGCGTTCGGTCTCTTCATGGCATCTGTAAGTTGACCAACCCCTCGGATGATAGCCGCGCATTCGATCCACCACTCATATCAGTTTCTAACTTGCTGCTACAGATGTCGTACGATACTCCTCTGACCCCAGAAGGCCGAGCCATGGGCAACCTTCCCCTTAAAGAACAGCTACGAAAGGGATTCAAGGACATGGGCCAGCGCTCTCTTTCGTCCGCGAAGAACTTCGGCAAAGTCGGCGCCATTTTCGCTGGCACGGAGTGCTGTATAGAAGGTTATAGGGCAAAGAATGTCCTCTCGAATGGTATTATCGCTGGGTGCATTACTGGAGGCGTGCTTGCTGCGCCGGCTGGTCCGCAGGCGGCTGCTCTTGGATGTGGCGGCTTTGCGCTATTCAGTGCGGCCATCGATTCCTATATGAGGCAACCGAAAGAGGACTGATTGTGGAAGTTGCGGTATCATGGGTTAGGGGGGATATGTTCCAGTGGCGTTAATGGAGAAACTCTCCGGTCCGGTTGTAAGATTATGTATGTGTATGGCTTGTACAAAGAGGTGGAAATGGAATATGCATGAGCGGCATGGCGTTTGGAAAGCGGACTTTATAGACTTGGAAGATATCAAGTCTTTGATAGTTGGCTGCTATGGAATGAATTCACAGCAATTCTCGGCGAGAGCTACTGAAGGGTAATGTTGTATTACATGTAAATACATACACGAATTATATTTGATTCAAGACATCAAGCCTTTGGGATGTATTTCTATATATTACGTGGACCACGACAGTGGCACTTTCGTATTTTGTACACCAGGGAGACCCCGCGCTCCTTCCGCTAACCCTCTCTCCATGCCATAATGCTACATGCCTTCGAATCCAAATGGCGCCTCCCATTGTAATATTAGCTGCTGGAAAAAACCGTAATCTCCTTTCCCAATTTGAATCCCACAAAGTTCCCCAATGCTCATGCTTCATCGTCATCGTCCATCCTCGCGCGCTTTGACGCCCGTGGCTCGTCAGCTTGGATACCGTATCTCTTTCCACTTCCGCCCTTCTCCACCTCTGAAATCAGCTCCGCGACGTTGAAAGGGTCTTCGCCGGTATCTTTCTCGAACTGAACAGGTCCTTCACGTTCCTGCAGAATATTGTTAGTCACATTGTTCAATTTGTGCTGGGATATATGATCGCTTACCTCCGCATCCTCTGCACCCTTGAAGCCACCGCGGCCAAGCACTTCAAAGCGACTGGATTTTTGTATCCTCGACATCTCGTTACCTGCAGCTTCTTCATCCTCCCCATCATCCATGTTTTGCCGCGGCCTGTATATGCTGCTAATGGCGTCTTGTGCTGCGAATAACGGCTTGTCATATGCCTGATCTTCGTTGAACCCGGTATCAAATCCACTCGTCTGGTTGAAGAGCCTAGAGTCCCACATGCTTTCTGTTGACTGAGTAGGTTTGGCAAGACCGAGTGCCACCTTTTCGGATATGTCACGGTTTTGCTCCCTTGCCATCATCTGGACACGCCTTTCTGCTCCCATTCTTGACTGCCTGAGTTTACGTTCTTCCTCCCGATGCCTCTCCTGCCGTGCCTTCTCACGCTCCCGTACCTCCTGATCCTCGTCACTACCGGAGTAATCCGATTCCGAGCCCGAATAGCTTCTAGACCTTGATCTCGAGTCGCGTGACCCTCTTCGGCCAGCCCCGGCATTTGTTCGCTCTTCGCGCGCCTTCTGTGCAAGCATGCGAAGGTGGTCCTCCTTTTGCTCCTTCTCCTTCTCTGCCAGCCTCTGTTGCATAATTGCGCGCTGCTTGACTTCTTCTCTTGCATGTCGATCAGCCGTGAACAAAGCTTCGGCAAATTGCGCAAACTTGTCGTTGATCGTCACGTCTTGTAGGCCGCGCCCATCTGCTGCCAGGCGCTTATCCAGCGGAACAGTATAACCCTTTGGATTCTTCCAGTTAGATACCGGAGGAGGGATCTTCCAGGCCTCTTGGTCCTCTGCTGTCAATTTTCGGGGTGGCGAATGCATAACAGGAGGTGGTGGACTGGGTGGGCCTCTTGGGATCTTCTTGTGCTTAAACTTCGGTGGCTCCATCGGATCTTGTTGGCGCTCCACGATTTTCATTATGCGGTCATTCTTCCTTGTATTATCGCCCATCTGGTTCGCTGGTGTATACCGCACATATGTCGGGTCCTTCCTCGCCCCTACATTAACGTTCTTGGGTTTTTGTGCAGCGACCGCACCGCTGACTAGTACTGCCAGGGCATTCTTCGTCTTTTCTGTCGAGGCCGCCACTTCTTCTTCGCTCGGGCGACTTAGGTTTATGTCTCCAGCATCAGCGCGCTGTCGCAGAGGAATCAGGTCCTTAAAGGAAGCGTGAACGATTCGGTTGTCGCTGTGACCACGGCGGGCAATAGCATCGTATTTCACTTTCCCTTCGGCGTCTACCTGGACAGCAAGTGCGTTGCTGGTTGCTTGCCCCTTCCTGCCCATGTCCATCGGATATTGTGCTACTGGGATTTCAGGAAAGGCTCCCCCATCGCCGAAGTCGTCTGCGCCTCGAGGCCGCCATCCTGCTCTCCGTCCATAGGGTGGTGGACCGGATTTCTGCGCGGTCAAGTCAGAACGATTATACCGGAGCATACTGGATTGGGTTGTTACCTTTAATACTATCTGGGATTCGTTCAAAGCCTCAGCACCAACGATGCGCGGACCTCGTTGCTGGGCGTGCTGTGATATCGTCTCTTCTTCGCCAGTATATTTGGGGAGAGGCAAAGCCTTAAATAACGAGGATGATAAGGACGCCATCGCGCGTTGCTGCAATGTCGGGCAGGTGAGTTTACTTTTGAGATTCTGGAATCATGGCCAAGTAAAGAGGATGGATTATGCTGCCATGGGGCGAGCTAAGCTAAACTGGTATTAGCGTGTGCGATAAGCGCGTCGCGCTACAAACTGCCACGGTACAACAAGATATGTGAACCTATAGCCGCCGCAGGATAACTTCCCATTTCCAGGGTGAGCAAGAAATATCGACGACTCATCAGGCCGTGTCACGATTAACGTGAAAGTGGTTAATTGTGCTTAGGAGTCAGAACCCAGGAAACGCGCTTCAGTTGGGGTCATGTGATTTTATATTGTACTCTACTAAGGTTGCCACGGTCTCCAAAAACAATGTGCTCCTTCGTGCCAGGCATGCTTGCCCTCCCTGTTCGTTCCAATCGTGTTGCCACATAAAAGTCCAGGAATCCCGTAACGCCATGCAGTTAACTCTCCCAACATCTCTTCATACATAGCCCTTTCTGGCGCCCTGGGGTGACAGCATGAGCTTCTTGACTGACTGGTAGTCCACCGTGGAGCTTACCTGGAAAAAGAAGCGAACGATGAAAACTTGCAACGCAGCCATGGCAATCATCATCAAGCTTTCTATTATGCTGAGGTTGAAGATCCTCCGCTCTGTGCTCCTGACGGTGCTGAAGTTACGGTTCTCGCGCGTGCGGAAGTATTTCTGGTTGCGGGTGATTGTTGAGAGCTGGCCGGAGAGCTTGAAGATGGACTCCTCCAGGGCGGAGGTTTGCTCGGGCGAAGTGCCTTGCTTGGAGGGCAAGCTCGTGCGCTCTTCATTCTCGACCTGGAGGGGTATACAGTCAGCGGTTGGTTTAGGAGCAATTCGTCGCACGTGTCCAACTCACAGTTATCTCGAAATCCACAAACTTCTCGGCGAAGGTGCTCATCTCATTGTTGAAACAGAACCTGTACTCTCCAACCTCAGTAGCCGTGAAGACGAAGTCTCCCTGTCGCTCCTTCTGGCCGTCCATCATGATCTTCTCGTTAGGGCCGACAACCTCATAATCGACATCGAATGAGCCTCCTGCTTGGACCTGGGCGCAATTGAATGTTAGCAACTCGTAGATGCAGTAACAACCAATGTAACAGTTCTTACAGCAAAGTAAAACGCAATCTTGGCGCCCGAATGCTCAACGGAGCTGAAAAAACAGGCCTTCTCGTTGGCGTTCAACTTATATGTGAGGGCGGTCGCAGAGACGATGGGCGTTAACGACGCCAGGACGCCGCAGGCCCATACCAAAAGTCTCATGGTGTTATTGTTGAGTTTCCTCGCCTGAAGTTTGTGGGAGGAGTTTGGTTTGCTGTTCAGAGAGCTCTAATGTCAAGAGTCGCGAGATGGTCGATGGTGATGACAGAATGCCCCTTGGCTAAAGTGGATGCGCCAGGCACGGAAGTTGCCGCCACACAAGATAATAACCGTACTGTACATACAATCACTTTGGAAAATGAACAACCACAGAACATTCCCAAGTGTCTTCAAACTATGCACATTGTTGTTACTACTATGGTTTGTTGTTGTACAGTTTGTATAAATCCATCGAACTGTTTTAACCGCTGCGCTGCGCCATGCAGTTTTCTACCACTTCCCCTTAAAGCTCCTATGAATAGTTTACCACAACCCATCGTGTGCCAATCCCAATATCTTTATTTCCAGTCATGACAGGCGTGACAAATCATCGCATAGCTCTTTCAGAGTCTCATAAACCTACTTGAGGAACAGATCAACTGCGCCATTGCGTGCTAATCTCGTCCGGTCAACATGGTCAAGGCCAAGAAGGTCGTCATCGTTAGTAGCAACGTCCCATAATATATCATCTGATGACAAGTTAGTCTATTGCACAAGAAGAGTAGGACAGGAGTAGTTGTACCATCTTCTAGGTATGTTGGCTTTGAATAAGAGCTACGCTTAACAACGGCAAATTTGATCTTGTCAAAATTCTTGCCTTTGATGCCTGTCCGCTTCTCGAGGCGTTTCCTGGTCTCAGAAAATTTCTCATCCTTCGACTCGTTAGTAAAGTATACCAGCAAATAGGGGGACTTTCTATTTTGACTTACACGCTGAATAGAGAATTTGAAAGGGAATCCATGGGGTTTGTTAGGTTCGCCTTGGAAATGGAAGGCTTGGATAAAATGGCCAGGATCAACATTGACGTCCTCTTCAGGAATGCGCTCCGCAACAAGTGTGATGTATTCGGAGATGCTCGCAACGCTGTATTCAGGACTCATCTCCTTATACACCTTATTGTTGTGGATCCCATAGACTCGGATGGGACCTGCAGTCTCCTCGTCATCTAACTTGGCCTTCTTGATGAGGCCTGATATGAGATCGGTGACATTTCCGCTCTTGGGGACAAGTACATCAAAAGTTTCCTATAACATTGATTAACTGGCTGTAATCAGGCACAAACAAGGGATACTCACGTCTTTTGTTATCCCTTCGCTGAGCCATATTATCCTGAGGCTTTTCTTGGTGTCAAGCTCAGACAGACTCATTTCAAGAACTTCGAAATATAGCTCATCCACTCTCTGGTTGTTATTTCCAAACGTTGTATACGGCGGAGTGAGAATAGTGTGTAGAGTATGGTTCAAGCTTCGCTTTATTGGTGCTTTTGGTGCTCCGGTTGTGGCATTGACCGTATGGAACCGCAGGTGGGTAGGGTCGACGTTGATCTTCTCGCCTACCTTTGCCGCAATTTGGTCATACGAGTATTTCGAGCTCAGCTCAATGTCCAGGACCTCTTGCCTGTCGACAGCTGTTTTAGAATATGGTAGGAAGTGAACTATTTTTCTGTACAAAAGATAATCATAGAACTGCTGCGCATCCTCGATCAAATCTGACGGACGAGGTGCAGAGGGATGTGAAGGTGAGCGGTTAGCATTACTTAAGAAGTCGACACTGGATGAGAGGCTAGTGAGACTCCTGTTATTTTTGGCACTGCATAACATTAGCTACATCACTTCAACGAATAGCAGAGTATAAACTCACTCTTTTTCAAGCTCGTGGGCAGCTTTGGCGCCCAACGCTTTTTGGAAGCAAATAATATCCCCATCTTGCAATTCCGCTGCTTTCAGGGTTTGCTTTCCCTTCATGGGGTCGATCATTTGTGGCTTGATCTCCTGTAACAATCGTTAGAAAATACGGCAAACAGACATGAAGAGGAAACGTACCTCGTAGAGTTTGAGCTGGGTTCGATCGCCACTTGGTAATTTATCCGGCCATCCCATTTTGTGGAGAATTAACGGGACAAGATCTTCAACCTTGCGCTCTTTGCCAATGTAAACATGGCCAATGCACCTCAGGGCCTGGCTGTCAATGTCAAACCATTTCAAGAAAAGCAGTATGCTGTCACTCTTTTGCGAGCCATTGGCCTGCGGACTGGGAAGTCCAGGCCAAATTGGTTCGCCAGCCGCGTCAACTTCTTCAGCTTCTTCTGCCCATAACCTGATTTCTTGTGTCTTTGTCCCAGATAGCTTTTGGTGTGCCTGTTCAACTGTTTGGTTGACATCGGTAATTGGCTGGTCTGGCCTAACAGTCTTGTTCTGTCTGTTGACCATGAACCAGAATCGAATCCGACGCGGATCTTGACCGATATCTGCACCAACCCGGGTTGCCAGATCTTTAATGGTTGAGCTCCTCAGAACGCGGAAGCTCTTCGCACAACCCGGTTCCCTTTCATTGACATCGAACGTCGTGAGATCTGTGCTAGAATGTTCTTTGAAAGTTCGATCAGTCATCACCCGTGCATTTAGATACAAGTGCTGCTCTTCTCGCTCCTTTCGCCGAGCTTCCCTCAGAGCATTTTCTTCGTCTAACTTCTTTTCTTTATGGATGTCAGCTAAAGCTCATTTTTATATTGGCCAAACTTACGGAGATGTTCAGGGGTGTCCTCTTTCGTGACCGGCAACAAAACTTGATCCAACCGGGAGCGGCGGATGTAGACAAGCATGTATGCACTGTTCTGTCGAATTACTGGAGGCTTTTGGAAGGCTGGCTTTACTTGACCATTCACATAGTCGACTTCGCCGCCAAAGTTGTCTTCTAGCACCTCTCGCATGGTCGCTCTTATTACCTTGTCGTCGTCACATCTGTAGAAGCATCCATCCTTGGTTGGCTTGATAAATGCATAATAGTGGCCAGCATTCAGATCTCCGCTGTGAACCAAGACACTGTGGAGTTGGTATATATATGGCTCAGATTTATCAGCATCTTCTGCCAAGTAGGGTGATGCGTCGAATGTCTCTGGGAACTCGTAACGGTCGTTTGTCTTCATCGTCGCATCCCGTTCCATGTCATACTCAAAGCGCTTCAGTTGTAAATGTAGGACTTCCGGGAAGCTTTGGAAGATAACCCCTTTGTTGGCATCCTGTAATTTGAACACCTCCCCTGCGAAATATTGATTCTCGCCGTCCATCTTTTCAACCCCGATGTAGTCTTTGAAACTTTCCTCAATGTCTTTATTTCCAATGACATTCAATTGGATATCCCAGAAGTCTTCCACGCGGCTGGATTCGTAGTCGACGTTAATGCATGAAATGTATGTCTTCACTTTCATGCAAAAGAGCCTTGGAAGAACATTCTCGGCTTCGGTGCCCTTCATCTTCTCCTCCATTCGCTCCATAAGTTTGCGTGAAAGCTCCTGGACATCCTGCTGCTCGAAAATATGCCTGGTCTCCCACCCGAACGACTTGGTTAATTCGTTCGTGCTGACGGCAGTAGGCGACGTTTGCAGTTGGTAAAAAAGGCGTTGAAGGGTATAAGCACTGTTAGCAAGATTCTCTTCGTCCTCTGTCGGTATTTGATACACCGCCTAAGAAAGTTAGCTTGTCATAGTTGTCCCCGCGAATAAACATTCTAACCTTTCGGAATGCGTTGGTAAAGTATAGAGACTGGAGTAACGAGTTCAAGTAACACGTGGCTCCTTGATTTTTCAATCCGACGTAGCCAGTTTCCTTCTTGGAGTCGTAGTTGTTGAATGTGTGCCATAGAACTCCAGTCTCGTCCTTCACCACGCGGACATATGCCGTCATGTTTGCCGCTTCATTTTCGACCAGGGGCCTGCCAGATGAGTCCCACTCAACATTGAAGAGCTTTCGCAGCTCTACAAATCTTGTGAACCCCCAGTCTCCTTCTTCCTTTGTGAAGCGGTGATGAGCCGTATGGGATGTGTACAGCGAAGGGTCGTTCGGATTCCACAGAACCAAACTGAACTGTGCACAGCAGTACCAGTCATCAGGCACTTTACCTTCCTCGAACCCTTGTTCCAGATAAAACGAGCAATGTTCAACATTGTTTCCAGAAGGAAACATAAGAACGCGCCTATCAAACGTCAGCATCTGGACGACATATTGGTCGGCAACTGGGCGCACCATGGGTTGCCCCCAGCCTCAAAAACAGGGCCATGTTCTTTCCTCCCAAGTTCCGTCCACCGCTCTATATTCCAGGTATGTACAGCATCCGCCAAAATTTCGGGATCTTCAATTAAGCGTGGCAGAACCACGGCCTTCATCGCCTCATCTGAAGAGAATAGTTCAGTATCGCCACCCAATTTCTTTGGGAGTATTGAAGACATACAGTTATCAGCCGTTGGCAAAGCAGCAGTCTGCTCTCCGTCCTCGTCTGTGTTTATTATGGCGACATCGTCCGGCTCGCCCTCCTGAGGCTCAACAACGTATTCGTCGCCGTCCACTTGCATGCCAGTTGGAGACAGAGTCTCTCCATCGAGTGCCTGATCGCGGTCGCAAGAGTAAGCTATTGAACATTCTGAAGACGATGACATGTCGCCTCGCACATTCAAGGGCAGATATGGAGTGGTAGGTGGGGTTGAAGTAGGGTGAGAGTGAAGTAAGAATAATGTTTGTACAGTACCTGGTTCATGATGATACAGAGCGCAGCAGCGTCACAAATGGGACTGCCGGACTTTCTGATTGCGCCTTCCCAAAAGGAATGATGGGAGCTACGACAGCAATGGTTGCCCTTGAAGCACGTATCTCGCGCGCAGAGGTTGTGGCCAGGTCGATTTTGAGGCGGAAGGAAGTCGTAATGTGGATGCTTTTGCTCAGGTTCGGGCTTGGATCGCTTGACTGCCGACAATGACGTCCAGCCTAGATATGTTGTATGTACTCGGTAGAGAAAGCTGACGGACGCGGTTGATAAAGACAACTTTTATTACTCCAAAATGCGCGTCAAATGTTCACTTTTGTCTCATACCGTGAATCAGCTACTGCAGATTGAATTATTGTATTATAATGCCTGGAGAGAGCAAACTGGAGCATGGATTCACAGAGCTACACTGTACTATATGGAGGCCTGGCGGCGCAGTGGGTGGGGTTAACCATAAATCTCTATTGGCGTCTGGATTGATTGCTGTTGTGTTCTCAAAGCCATAATTCGCCCGCAAGATACGAAGCGTGCTCTACTGCATATCTGGCATCAAACATATCCATTTTATAAGACTTCATACTATTATTCTTTTGTGGTATATCAACATTAACTTTGGCACGGTACATACATGCTACTTTGATTCTCGATTACGAGCTCAATCAACTTATCCGCCACGGCTGAGTCAGCAGGACCCCAAATGGTCCCTCCATTAGCACGTGAGAACGCGAGGGCGAACGCCACTGATAGCTAAGAGTACCAAGATGACTACTACGTCGTCCTTCACTTTCTCAGTTGCTGCTTCGCCCAACCAACTTTAACAGATAAAGGCTGGCACAATATGAAATTCTTACACTGACATCCTGAACTATCGTAGCTCTACTGTATGTCATCCCCGACAGTATAATCTCTCTCTCTCTGTGGAAACTCCCCCGCTATCGGCACTTTGCCGCTTCTGGACCTGACTGAGAGTAGGCATCTAATTTGATATACCCCTTTTCTGACTGTCTCGCATGGAATCGCCGGAATGTTGCGCTCATGTACGCGCCATGGCGGAAAGACATCGTGGTTGATGAGGTCGTTGGCCAGACATCAAGGTTCCCGCGAGCTTCCTGCCGGCGCTAGGTTGGCCGCAGCTACGCTCGTTTGCTCAAAACAAGGATACACACATGCAGCTCCTCCATGGAGGCCAGCATCTGTGCTGGACGAGTGAGCCTACCCAGTTACCGTACCCCTTGTGTCCCCTTCTAACCCGAGCTCAGATGGGTTGCAAAAGAGGCAAGGCCTATCAGTCTACGACAGCTCATGGTTTTCGGGAGGTCATTATCAGAAGCTCGTTTGCTAAGCTCAGCAAATTATGTTCGAACAGAATTGCCAGTCAGGTATTCTATTTTGAACTCTCTCGCAGATAGCGTCAGCTGACCGCCACCGCAGGCTTGCCCACAGGATACGAGACATGCAGACGTTGCCATACGTCGTCGTATCAAACCACCACATCAGTGAAGTGTATGAATTATATTACCAGGCGTTCGAGAACCTTCGCCGCATTCCAGAGATAAAAACGCTCGAAGAGAATGAGCGGTTCTGCAAGACTATCAATCAGACATTGCAAGAACATCTGATTGTCATTCCAAAGCTTGCAATGGGAATTTTAGAATGCCGAGACCTCATGAAGCCCGAGGACATGGATAAGTTCATGAACACCATACTTCGCGCAGTATTACTCCCTACCCAATAATGTCTAGGTTCATTGCTAAAATTATTGCCAGCGAATCTCGCGGCGTGTCATAGCAGAACAACACCTGGCGTTGACTGAGACGTATAATTCGCCTTGGCACTTTCCGGATGCTGCCAAAAATACCACCGATTCGGAGTTCATTGGCGAGGTTTTTCTCAAGTGCAACGCCAAGGAAGTTGTGGAACGCTGTGGTAAAGAGGTGCAAAAACTTGCAAGGAGTGCATATGGGCCTGATGTTATATTGCCAGATATCAAGATAGCTGGGCATCAGGATGTCACGTTCCCTTATATCTTAAGCCACCTCGAATATATTATCGGGGAGCTCCTGAGGAATTCGATTCAGGCGGTTGTTGAACACCAAGGCCAAACCCCTGGAGGGGCCAAACCCCCTCCCATTGAGGTCACAATATCTGAGGCTCCTCAGCACGTGTTCATACGAGTCTCGGACCAAGGTGGTGGCATAGTCCGAGAAATCCTCCCGTACCTGTGGTCATTCTCCAAAGGACCCCGTAGCGAGGCCCGACTAGAGAACCTCCACCACGTGCCGAAAATGGCGGCTACGCTCCAGGAGTTGAGAGACCCGGGCGATCCGTCCAGGCCAATACAGGCAAGCCATAATAACTCACTATCATCTCTGTCTAGCAGGCCACCAAATCTGCGGCTGGGAATGGGCCTGCCCCTGTCTCGGATATATGCCGAATATTGGGCTGGGACTTTGGAGATACAATCTCTCCACGGCTATGGCGTTGACGCGCTTTTGCAGATATCGAAGCTAGGGAATAAGAACGAGCAGCTTACTACACGAGCAAGCATGGATGCTGTTTAAAGGGCCTTGGCTACATAGTTTCAATTATAAATATTACAAATAAGCAAACAAAATAATAATATTTTGGCATATCAGTTGATTATTTATCCATCAACTTTAATTTAAACTAGCTAATAGTACGCAAGAAACCTTTATATATTATATTGCTCGAAAAGCAGTATAATAGTAGTAAATATTAATTTATATAACCCTAGCTATAATATTTATATTGTATTCATATAATTAAAAAATGTAGTAGGTACTCAAGCTGCTCAAAAATCCGAAGAGGAGCGGGACATAAAAGTAGCGATTACAGCAACTATAATTCAACTAAAGGCATTCAAGCGCTATCAGCTTGAATGAGGCAATGTTGCATTTGGAAGTAATGTTCAAAATGTGTCCTCACGGCATCTCAGTGGAAAAAGCATATTGAATACATTTAATCATTAAAACACATCGAATTACATCCGTTGTTGGCTAGCTAGAGAACGCACAGGCAGAGCATCTCTCATCGGGAAGTATTACCGCCTCAAGAACAGTGACTAGCAAAAGAGAAAAAAGAAATATTACGCTGCCATTGACTCGCTTGGAACGCTCGAGACAATACCGCGCTTTTGGATATCGTTTCCCACCCACTCCCTGAACTCTCACCCCAAGTAAAAATCAACAAGTGTCGAATCAATTGTGCCTTAACGGCGGCCGTGGCTCCGTACGGCGCTGCCCTGCATCTGCTCAAGGTCTTGCTCGAGCGACTTGATGGCAGCATGCGTACTCTCGAGATCCTTGTTGAGACGGTCACGCTCGCTGATGAGCTTGGCCTCCCATTGACGGAAACGGTGCTCCTCAATCTTGACCTGCTCGGTGAATCTCTTCCTCAGGCTCTCCTCCTCCTCCTTGAACTTCGGGTTGTCAAGCTTTCTTGGTCTGGCCTCGCCGAACTTGCGAGTCTCCATTTGTTGAGCCCTGTAGGCCTCGTAGTGTGCCTCCTCCGTCGTGTGGATAAGATCCAGCATGTGGGTGCGGATCAAGATAGAGCGGAGCTTCTTGAAGTCGCAGTGGTCCTCATTCTCGACCTCGGCCACACCCCACGAGTATTGGCGCCCCTTAACGATGCGTCCATCACCAGTCTTAACATCTTTCTCGGAGCCGATGACAGCGAACGGCATGGCAGCCATAAGGCTCCTCGCGTGCTGAGCAGCAGGCTCATCATCCTCCTCGATAGGTGGGGTATAGATCTTAATGCCCTGGGCTTCGATAACGGCACGAATCTATCACAAATTAGAATGGGCCCCTTATATATACGTATATGAAGAATCGCATACCCTTTGCTTGAAGCGCGCCAAATCAGCAGGGCTGAGAGTATCCGCCTTGGCGACCACGGGGATCAGGTTGACTCTGGAGCTCAGTCTCTTCATCACCTCAATATCAAGCGGCTTCAGGGTGTGGCCAGTTGGGCGGATGAAGTACAGACATGCGTGCACGCGCAAGTCGATCTTGTCCACTCGGCGTGGCTGTTGCTCTTGCAACATGTAAGACTCATGCTGATCATCCAAAAACTCGATAATAGGCATCCAGGAGTCGCGGTTGTTGACATAGTCGCCGAAACCTGGGGTATCGATAACCGTTAAGCGGACTATATCAATGTCAGCTACAATTGCGATTCAGGCTCAAAATATTAATTACCCTTGAAGAACTTCTCCTCGAGCTCGGCCTTTGTGATCTCAATCTCCACGGTCTTGTCAACCTGCTTCGCGTGTCGGCGCTTGTGGTCTGCGTAGTTCTTGATCGTTGTAGAGAAGAGGGTGTTGATGAATGTCGTCTTTCCAAGTCCTGACTCGCCAGCAACCTGCAGAAGCTTGTATTAGCAGTCGATCAAAGAGTATCGCGGCCTCATTTGTATAGTACCATAATAGTGAAGGCAGCTCCACGCTTGGCGACAATCTTGTGTCGCTGATTCGGAAGATTGGCAATGCCAATCGGCGACGCGCTCTCAACAGCTGGGGCCATGATGATTATTTGTTCGAGGGATCTCTAATATCAATTGCAAGTGGGAGATAATATTGGCCTCGGTGGTTGTAAGCGGGATTTGGAGATAGGAGGAGAAGTTTAGACCCTTATGTTCAGGGGATGAAGCGGTAGATTTCTAGGCGCGGCTGCCCCTTTCGCAAGTTGCTGGGGTTATGTGGGTCTAGTACGGAAACGGGTAGTGTTGTCGGGCCGGATTATCAGGTTTTCCGACTTATCGGAAAAAGTTGAACATTTGACGATAGGTCCACCGCAGATAGTAAATATCAGATCTGCGCATAACGATGCAGAGGTGACAATGAAGACGGAGTTCAAGGTAAGCACTGATCCATATGTGAGACTGATATAAATACTGACATTTCAGTTCTCAAATCTCCTCGGGACTGTTTACAGCCAGGGAAATTTACTATTTAGTCCGGATGGAACTTGCCTGCTCTCACCTGTAGGAAATCGAGTTACAGTCTTCGACCTTGTGAAGTATGCTGCCTTTCCTGTCGTTCAAGGCGTCTACTAACATTTTACAGCAATAAATCTCATACACTTCCCTTCGCCCACCGAAAAAATATCTCTCGCCTCGGATTGAACCCGCGGGGTAATCTCCTCCTCTCCGTTGACGAAGATGGCCATGCGATCCTAACAAACCTGCCTCGACGAATTGCTCTCCACCACTTCTCTTTTAAATCACCCGTGTCCGCGCTCGAATTCGCACCTTCAGGGAGGCATTTTGCTGTTGGAGTAGGGCGACACATCGAAGTATGGCACACACCCTCGACACCTGATTCGAACAGTAGCGGCGAGTTAGAATTTGCACCATTTGTGCGCCACAGAGTTTACACAGGTCACTATGATACCGTTCAGAATATAAAATGGTCTAGCGACTCTCGGTTCTTCCTGAGTTCAGCAAAAGACCTTACGGCGCGGATATGGAGTTTAGACCCAGAGGTTGGTTTCCAGCCCACCACCTTGGCGGGACATAGGGAAACTGTCTGCGGCGCATGGTTTTCAAAGGACCAGGAAATTATATACACAATCAGCAAAGATGGAGCGGTGTTCCAATGGGAATATATGCGAAATCCAAATGCGCCAGAGTCTGAGGCGGTTGACGAAGACGGGAATGAAATCATTGATGCCAACTCAATGCAGTGGCGCATTGCGCAAAGACATTATTTCATGCAAAACAATGCAAAGGTCAACTGCGTCGAGTATCACCCGGAATCGAATCTCCTCGTGGCGGGTTTCTCGAACGGTGTCTTTGGTCTTTACGAAATGCCCGATTTCAACATGATTCACACCCTCAGCATTTCTCAGAACGATATCGATTTTGTTACGATTAATAAGACTGGCGAGTGGTTGGCTTTTGGAGCATCAAAGCTTGGGCAATTACTTGTGTGGGAGTGGCAATCGGAGTCATATATTCTCAAGCAGCAGGGTCATTTCGATTCTATGAATGACCTAGTTTACTCACCAGATGGGCAAAAAGTCATTACTACAGCAGACGATGGCAAGATCAAGGTGTGGGATGTTAATACCGGCTTCTGTATCGTGACTTTCACGGAACACACAAGTGGAGTCACAGCGTGCGAGTTTTCAAAACGAGGCAATGTCCTCTTCACATCAAGCCTTGACGGCTCTATACGAGCCTGGGATTTGATTAGATACCGCAATTTCCGAACATTCACAGCACCGACCCGACTTTCCTTCTCCTGTCTGGCTGTCGACCCCAGCGGTGAAGTTGTCTGTGCCGGCTCTATGGACTCATTTGATATCCATATCTGGTCGGTCCAGACCGGCCAACTGCTCGACCAGCTCTCCGGACACGAAGGCCCCGTATCATCCCTGGCCTTTGCTCCCAACGGCGGCGTCGTAGTCAGCGGAAGTTGGGATCACACGGTGCGTATCTGGTCTGTCTTCAACCGGACTCAAACGAGCGAGCCTCTTCAACTACAAGCCGATGTCTTAGATGTCGCATTTAGGCCCGATTCGCTACAGTTGGCCGTTTCCACACTCGATGGGCAACTTACGTTCTGGTCGGTCTCCGAGGCTGAACAGCAAGCAGGCGTTGATGGGCGCAGAGATGTTTCAGGAGGTCGCAAGATCACCGATCGCCGCACCGCAGCTAACGCGGCAGGCAACAAAAGCTTCAATACCATCAAGTATAGCGCGGACGGCTCGTGTGTCCTGGCAGGAGGAAACAGCAAGTATATCTGCTTATACTCCGTATCATCTCTGGTTCTCCTCAAGCGCTTCACTGTCAGCGTCAACCTGTCCTTGTCAGGAACCCAAGAATTCCTCAACAGCAAGCTGATGACCGAAGCTGGGCCACTTGGCCTAATCGACGACCAAGGCGAGGCATCAGACTTGGAAGACCGCATCGACCGCAGCATGCCCGGTTCAACACGCGGAGGCGACACCGCCTCGCGCAAGAAGAACCCCGAAGTCCGCGTCACAGGTGTAGCCTTCTCACCAACAGGCCGCTCATTCTGCGCCGCCTCCACCGAGGGGCTGCTCATCTACAGTCTCGACACCACGCCGCTTTTCGACCCCTTTGATCTCGACATCAGCGTTACCCCCGCCTCGACTCTCCATGTCCTGAACAAGGAGAAGGACTACCTCAAGGCCCTCGTCATGGCATTCCGCCTGAACGAAGCGCCGCTCATTCGCCAGGTCTACCAGGGAATCCCGCACTCCAACATCGCCTTAACGGTTGCGGAGTTGCCAGCTGTGTATATCCCCCGTCTGATCCGCTTCGTGGCTCTCCAGACCGAGGAATCGCCGCATCTCGAATTCTGTCTGCTCTGGATCAAGGCGATTCTCGATTGCCACGGACAGTGGGTGAGTGATAACCGTGGGTCTGTGGAGGCGGAGATGAGGACAGTGAGTCGTGCCGTGGGAAGGATAAGGGATGAGTTGAGGAAGCTGGCGGATGAGAATGTGTATGCGTTGGATTATTTACTGAGCCAGCCGGTTGTGAGCTCGGGTGGGGATAAAGGCGCTTTGGAAGGGCAGAAGGTCATTGGGGATGGGGATGAGGATATGGAAGAGGATGACGATGATGCGGAGTGGATTGGTCTAGATTAATTTTTAGAAACGGATATGTTATTTTATGGGTTTAAACGTGTATTTTTTGCACACCACTTATTCATCTGTAATCGGCCTGAGATATGTGTAGTTGTTCTCCTGAGACTATATTCCATAAACCTAAAGCTGGGGCATGGCTTTCTACCCAAGATCTGAAGCCCCTCCAGACGTGTTACGAGAATGAAACCTCCCTAGCCAGCATCAAATAGATCTGCTCATCGATAGGCCACACAGAGTCTGCAAACACCTGCAGCTTCGCCCGCATGGTTGTCGCAAATCCAGTATTCAACGCCCCCAACCGGAGAACATCCTAACTTTGATAGTAACCCCGACAATCTGCTCACCGACATTCCCAAATGAAAGCAAACAAACTTACGATCACTCACAACCCAACATTGAACACAAATACCGCCTCCAGAATGAAAGACGCACACAACACAGCAATCCAACAAAAACCAACATCAAATTCCCCGGACCCCTATCCAAAAGGAGATATTCAACCGGGCCGCCACCCCTTTCGTGGGGAATTTGTGGCACCTCCAACAAGCTACATCACGGTACCAGCAGCACCCCAAAAGAGACATCGACCTCGAAAAGAAGACACTTCGGCGAGAACCGAAAGAGGAAAAAAAGCCAACTTACCAAGATTTGAGAGAGGTTGAAATCGCAGCACCGACACCGCCGCGACAACAGTGCCTGCCTACCACCCCCCTCAAGGCTGCAGACTCACCTACGCACCCAGGAGAAGAGGCGCTGAAGGATCCCCTGGGCGGTGTAACACAGAATCCCCCCCCTCGCGGCGTACGCACGAATCGGCAAAAAGAGCCAGTCCAGGCGCAACCAACACGGACGAACCTACTCTAAGTAGAGTGCGCCGTGCGACCAACTCACCTCGTGCGGACTGCTTAAAAATAGTCCTACAGACAACCCACAACCTATATTGCACCGCTTGGCAGCTCATCGTTCTATGGGGCGAGGAATGTTCCATGGACCGGCGGGGGGGGGGATGTTTGTGTGGTGTGTGGTTGTGACGCCGGGGGATGGCGCATCGGCGCGCGTCAGTTTGGGGGCCGCGCCCGCTTAAATTGATTGAGGCGGATGGGGAGGGGGCGGGGGTGGTGCCTCCATGTCTCCGTTCAAAGAGGGCCGTTTGCCGGGCAGAAGGAGGGGGTTATGGCAACATACTGATGATTTGCGGCGGCTTGATGGAGTCTCTGGATTTGATCAGCGAGCTGTATGGTGGGAAGGGAGGATTCGCGAGGGGCGGGAGAGGCGGCGCAGTAACGGTGCTTCTGGGGGCCGATCAGAGCGACGGAGGAGCAGCGGTGGGAGATGGGGGATCCTCTTTTGGGACATCGTCACACCGTTGGTTGCTCCGGAGGCATTTCATCCTAGCAAGCGGAGACAGAGAAACATGTATGTCGTCCATAAAAGTTACACCGCACCGTGAGGCTGATGGGTGGCCCACGACTCATGTGAAAGGGACTGGCTGGGCCCTTCCGGCACCTTGTTGGCTGGTGCGCAGCGGAGCTTCTCCAGGCGCACCGGTATTTCGTCCCTTCAAGCCGATACGGCACGTGCGTTTCAACTATCTATCCACCCACCGGAATGTGCGTGCGCTCTGCCCTCTTTCGAGTTATCCGTCTTATATAATTTATGCCTGTGCTGAACAGTGAGACGAACACACTAACATGCCTTCTGGCTCTCCTTACCTCATCGCCCTTGCTCGGGCCCGACATGTGTGTGGTGCTTCTTCTAATATGCTTTGGTGCAGGTACTGTGGGGAGGCGCAAGAGATATTGGACAAGGAATTATAGCACCAACGCCTGTTGTGCCTATCAAAACTACCTATCTAGGAGATATGAAGTCTGTGCTCCTGTACCCTCTCGACCAGGGCACTCGCTCCATTCCAGTAAGGCGCCATCGTCTAGCGGGGCGAGCCTCTCGTAATGCTCACATCTCTCTTCTGGGCATCTACAATATGCGTATCTTCGCAAGCATATATCGCTCAAGTCATGAATGAAGGGGGAGTAAGTAAGTCGCCAAGTCTCACGAAGAACGGGCCGTAAACGAACGGAGAAATGGAGGAAAGGGCCGATATGCGTCGCTTGCTCGCTGACAACGGCTGGAACAGGGGGGGTGCTTTGGACTCAACTCAGGCGCGCGCCAGCGATGGCAAGCTGTGGCGGTCGGTGGCTGCTGATGCTAGACAGGGCAGCTAGGCTTCGAGGTCGAGCTTGACTGGGTGCGAGGCGTCTATCAGGGGGTGTGATACCGGCGCGGGTGAATGGAAGACAGCAGCACTGGCTACGCCACCGCTTAGGGTTGCTCTTTTGGACCTCCTCTCCCTGGGAGCTTTGTTGGCTGTGCTGTGCTTGGTATCATCATCAGTCTGTACTCGCGAGTACTTGCAGCGAGAGCAAGGGATGCACGGCACGGGTGATACGGAAGTCGAGATTGTCGTCGCCGTGACATCGCCGAGGGGCGCGTTGTGGGTCGTGGCACGCAGCTTCGAAGGATTCACGATCCATGGCGGTGGGAATCTTGGCTGTTAGGATAAGTGCACTATCGCATGTAGATCCGTAAAGAACTGCCTTTTGGGCGTGATGGAAATCCGGGTTGCAGATGCTGTATGGGCGCGTTAGCCCTTCGGCGATACATCAGTCGACTAGCCCAAGTGACCTCCAGCTTGGGACCATGTACGCGCTACTACGTTTCCTCCATGCTCCAAGTCTCGTGCCAAGTAACTGTACTCGAGTATATCGCTCAGAGATGATGCGGTTATGTTGACTTTGTGTCTGCTGCTCTCCACAAGTTTGTGGACTTCCATGACGACGCCGCCGCCGGACCCCCTACGCCTCGTCTGAATATCCCTTCCCTCCGAATGTTGGAACATTCCACTTCTCATCCTTTACCCGACCAATCCAGAGCAGCGAGAGCTCTCCCTGGAATCGCTTCAACCAGGATGCGTCCCCAAACCCGCGAAGCTTGTAGCGAACAAACGCCCCCGATCCCCAACGGAATATAGAATGCCGGCTCCTGTTGATTTCTCCACGACTGGCATGGAGCACTAACACACACCTAGCAATCATCCAAAGAAGCCACCTGCAGCTACCAGGGTGACACGACACATTGGCAGCAAACAGCAGTGCGTGCACCTCATTCCACCCTTTGGACCCAAGGGCACCTCCCCAGGCGTTGCCCTGGCCATCTTCGTATTCGACACAAGGTGTGACAGACGCACCCCTGCGGACGAATCGCAACGCTTCCTCGCCGAAGCCAGCGTGGTCGGCATCAGACCATGATGCTTGTTTCCCGCGAGGTCGCGACTGGCGCTATCCTCCGCTCCCCCAATCTTCCATTCAGAGAAGGTGAATAGAGTCTGGGGGCCAAACGGGGTAGCGAGAGAGGAGCCAGCTGATTCCACGTCCCGCTGTCTGATGCCACCATCGTCCCTGCGTCGCAATGCGACGTGGAGTCCTCTCATCCTATCTTCGGCATATTAGTGAGTGGACAGAAAAGGTCTCGGCACATGGTCGCTTGGGCGGGATACGACGACCTGAAGCGACGTGAAGCCCAAGCCACGCGAACGACTCCCCTTCCTCCTTCGAGCATGCAGCTCGCTCGTACCGTCCCATCATCGCCCCCCGTCCCAATTCCGCCGCGTCATGGTGAGCAAGGGGGTCATTCAATAGTGCCATTCCAGAAGAGGGCGAGCGTTGGTGCCAAGCGCAGCAGGATTCCCCACCCAGGACAATCTAACGGCGCCAACAAGGACCCCCATCGTGCCGGGGTGCCCCCACCGGGCTCCCTGGCCCTGGTCCGGTCTGCCATTCCTTCGAGAAAAAGAAGAGCCGAGATTAAGCTGGTGATATACCGGTGTTATGCATCTCGAGCGCTTTGTGTGTGACGCAAGCACAAATACCCCGGGCCGGCATGCCTGCCACATGGACGCCCCGTTATCTGAGCGGCTTATTGACAGGAGAGGTGCGTGGAGAAGGGGTGAGTGAGATCTTAGTTAGTTAGTTAACCTGGCTTGGGAGTGGTTGGACTTGGACCTGGTGAGGGCCGGGAGGGAAGGGGACCATGGACCTTAGACGTTTGTGGTCCCTTTGCGATAATGAACCCTTACGCCGCAATGCGGTACTACGACGCTACAGGGATAAGTTATCTCATTTTGTCTCGGGAAACCTTCGCCGTTCTCTGAATATGTCCGGCCGATTCTCCGGCAGGCGCAGCAGCTGCCAACAACAGTACAGAATGTAACTACGCCGTACCTGCCGTAACGGTACCTACCCCATCCACCTCCTACCACAGTACGAACAAGTATGGTACGATTACCATCTCATATTCTCCATAATGATCACATCGCACAGCAGAGTAGCACCGTCGTTAGCCACGACGAAACCCCTCGCACAACCACAGCAAGGGGTTCGGCCACACAAAATAGTCCCGGTATGGTACTCACTCTACTCTAGTTTCCTCGACCCGACCGACCTACCTCTAGTCCTCCCTCGTATCAAGCTGATCACCACATGAACGACACATGGCTTACCCCTTGCATCCCGCCCAACGGCACATCCCCCCATCCCGCCTTCCCTACTCGTCGCATCGGACAGGAAGAGGAAGGAGAGGCGGGCGGCGTGCACGTAATCAGGACCAAGAATCCCCCCCTCGCACATCCCGAAACTCCTAACCCTCTCCCATGGTCGCGTAGAAGCAAAATCAGTTCTCGTTTACATACCAATACCATCAACAACGTCGTTTAAAGGTACATGCCCACCTCCCTCGAAGCGGCACTTCCTACCTCCCCCACCCCTGCGCAGCTCACTAGACACCTCCCCAAGCTCCCCTAGCTCCCCCCCATCCGCCGCCCTCCCCATCTTGGCACGCCCATCACCTCCCTCAGCACATCCTCCAATCCCATCCCACCACCCTCTACACACCCACGCACCTCCCCAGCCTCGCCACGTGGGATCCTACCTCAGCGCTTGCGGGATCGCCGAAGAAAAATGGAATGCTGTGGCTGCATCTTCCGTCTGTGGGAGAAGGAAGCAAGTTCGCGGCGTGCGGTGGTGCGTGCGACGAGTCATCTCACTCACTCACTCTTGGGTAAAGTCATACAGTACGTGCATGATGCGGGCTGCTCGGGTGCTGGGACGAGGGAAGGCACGTGGTGAGGTGGTATTGTGTAGTAGCTTAGCAGCTTCCATTTAGGCGGTGGTGGGCGTGGTCGGGTTCCGTGGTATGGGAGGGGCAGGGGTGAGGGGGGGAGAGGGTGATGCGCGAGAGTCCGGCAGAGGGATGGCAGTTTGAGGTACTGTAAGGTGGGATGGGGAGGAGAGGTTACCAGAGAAGAGGGAGGGGAGAGCGCATTGGGAGTGCCTCACTGGACTTGATGAGAATGCTGTGTAGGTGTACTGTAGGTGAAGGTGTATGTCAACGTGGTGTCTATGTATGGAACCTACTACATGACATCCTCCCATCCGCTTCCTCTCAAGGAACCGAACGGATCTCGCAATTGCGTGTTACTGGCTGCAAGGGAGGAATTTAGAACGACCAACGACCAACGACCCCTTAGTAGACACCTTTTCTTTTTGCCTCCCTCCAGGGCTACTAGACATGGGATGGTAGTGAAGCTGTAAACAGCTATGCTAAGCGGGCTTATTGCACTGACCTTTCGTCTTGTAAGCGATGATAAAGTACATACATACAGTACGAGTACGGCAGAGCAGATACCGCGGCACAGGTGTCGTCCCTCACCCTCACTACCGGCATCGCCTCCAAAACTCCCCGCGTATCCAGTCCGTGAGATAGAGATAGGGATAGTACAGTATCGACATTCGTCCGAGCGCCCTTCCCGCCGCCCTCTCTCCTGTGCTCTGGCTGGTCCCATTCTAACATTCCAAGGGTCGTCGAGATGGGGATGGCGAAAAGGAAACGCCACGGCAAAATGCAACGTTAGTAGCTACATACCACCTAGGCCCAATTCTCCACCTATCGGGTCGACTAACGGCGGGACGTTTCGTGCGAACTTCCGATTGCACTGCTGCGCCCTGCGATGCTACGGTGAGGATGGGGATGGGATGGGGATAGGGTGGTAGTAGGCGAGTGGTAGTAGGTGGTTCGTCAGTCAGGGCACAATTACAGATCCTGCGGTGTAGTAAGGGGGGGCCGGAGCGGAGCGGCGAGTGTGGTCGCACCGCGCGATCCCGCAATAACTCAGTTGGGCAAAGCAATCCACCAAGCGTGCGCTCCCTGCCTGTCCCCTGCGGAAAATCACCCCCAAAAAAATCCTAGCAAGCAAAAAGAAGAAAGAGTGCCCATAGCGGAAGACATCCGGCCACCACACAAACAGCGGGAGGCGCAAGCAAGTCCCGATGTCCGATCCGGAGATGATGAGCACAACTCCCCGATCAGATACGTGCGTGCCCTCGTACGGTGATGTGGAGTTGCTACTTGCTAGGCGAGGGTCCGACACGGGTCTAAATAAGGGGTCCCTCCCTTCCTGATCGAGGAGGGGGCGGTCGGCACTGGGGGGGTAGTTGAGTTGACGGCGCTGGTGGGCGCGATGGGGGGAGGGGGGGAGGATACTAGAGGGAGGGTGGTTGCATGTATGTACAGTGCCGAAGGCGGAGGAGGACGGACGGCATCGAGGAGTGGCAGTGGGAGTGGTAGTGGGAGTGGGAGAGGTGGGATAGCTCGGTCGGAGGACTGTCTTCCCCGGCCGGCAGCGAGCGATTGCGATGGAGTTCGTTCGCGTCTCGGCCCACTCGCTGGAACTCGGCGAGGCTTGAACGACCAATAGCTGATTTGGAATACCTCACTCGCATCTTAGTGATGCGTGACAAAGACGGAGACAAAAGCAAACAAACGGCAATAGAAACAACGGCAGTAGAAAACAACGGCAATAGGAACGACGGATCACACACCACACTCCACTCCATAATCTCCATACACCATACCATACCACCATACCATACGTCCGTAAGCCGCAAAAACAAAACTCCAGTCCAGTCCACCACTACACGAAACGAACGTGCACATGCACCATTCGCAAAAACCCGACTCCACGGTCGACATGCTATATCTCACCCCCCCCCACCATCCCCTAGCTCCACCACACAGCACAGCAAAACCAACACCATCCCAATGCAGCAAGCTGTTTGCTTATCGGTCCTTCGCTCCGGATCGATGGAGTCTGAGCGAGTGAGTGAGGTGTCGAGGGATTTGACTCGCGAAACGAGCGAACGGACGCGCTGGGACGTGGTCGGGTCCGCACGCACGCACGCACGTACGTTGGATGGAGCTTCCCGCCCCCATTGAGCAGGTGCGCTGCGGGAGGTACAGTTGAGAGGGAAGGTAGGTAGGTAATAGTAGGGTAGGTACTTGCTTTTTTACTTACTTCCTTACGGAACCTTCCTTGCTTCCTTCTGCGAGGATTGCGTGCGTAGAAATGCGTGGATTTGCGCGTGTTTGCCCCCCGTCACAAGCAAACACAGCCTCTACATTGTTGTTGGGCTTTCTTCTTCCAAAAAGGCGTTGTACGACGGGTGGGTGTTGGACCCCTCGCCTTCCAACACGCCGGAAGATCACATCCCATCCCTCCCGCTTTGTTCTCAATCAATATACCGTACCCTCACGGATAAAAAGAATAGCGGGCGATCCCCAACTACCGCGTCCGGCCCCTCGTTAGTAAGGCAGTTTACCTCGTTCTCCCCGTCCACTCCGTCTGTCTAGAGGACAGATCGGCCGCAAACGAGCCGTGGTATAGTACAGTAGTACACAGTACACCCAGCTTCCGCACTGGGCTGATTGGCTCACTTGTGGGGAGAGAGGGTCTACCGTTTCGCTAGATTCTGGTCAAAATACACGACTCGACGGCAACCACTGCTGCACGCACCGGCATACAGCGAGGAGCGCGACGGACGCGAGATGGGAATACCGAGGGTGGCAGGGGTACCAGGCGGGGATCTGCCGGCGTCGTGCGGCCTGGGTGTGGGAACTTTTGGTCTGGGAGGGGGGGCGGGTGGAGAGAGACAGGCAGGCTAGGGTAACCACGTCGTGGGGAGAGGGGTAATGGTGCGCTGATGATGCACAAGGGATGGGAGGGAGGGTTGGCGAGGATGGGTGCAGTAGTAATGTAATCTGGATGTACAGGTATTATAGTAGGGTGCATGCTCCTCCATGCTGGTGCTGTCAAAAATAAACCGAGGTACCTAACACCCCTGGCTGGGCGGGTTTGGGTTGATTGTTTGTGGTAATAATATCGAGGGTTGGTGAGGCGCATGCTGGTGATATATATTAATTGGCATATGGCATTGGCGCTGGAGGTGGTCGGTACCTTCCGTTTGCTTCGTGGGCTGTGCGATGGGGAGGAGGACGGGAGGGAGCACTATACGTGCTGTCATCTACTGCCGCTTCATCTCTCACCTGACCTGGTAGTGGTGGTCCGTTCTCGGATGGAATAGCGCGTGGAAGACTGATGGAAGACTTCGAATATAGTGTTTCCCGTCAGTGCCATAGTGCCGTGCGCAAAGTAAGGCGCCGTTACAGACATATCATATAGCAACCGCCGCTTCGGCAGATGATCGCAGCCACGTGAGAATGTCAGACTGACCTGCGAGACTACTGTTGTTGTAGCGTAGTATGGTGTGGATGGAGTAGTGTGGTTGGTTCGTCTGATGTTAACCGCCCACTAATCTAAGAGATGAGATCTCACTCACACACACAAGATGAAGTAGACTTTCTGAGGGACAGACAGCGAGATGCCGCACGCACGCACGTTGACACGTTGGGGTCTGTGAGATGGTCTGGACTTCAGGACTTTCTGGCTGGCATGTGTGTGTGTGTGAGTGCATGTACTGTATGCACGTATGTACTGGGCAGATTGGAGTTTGTTGGAAGTGAAAGCATAATCTCCCGGCTAGAACGAAACGGGTCAGATTAATCGCCGAAGGGGGCGTTGCGTTGGATGTTGGAAATGATGGGTAGGTATGGAGTGGCAGCACAAACGGAGATTATAAAAAAAGGAAGTACAATCGATTCAATTGACAAACAGATGAGGCCGATCCAGTCTCGGTGGTAAAAGCAAACATTCGGAATGGGGATAATGCGAGGGCAGGGTTGGCGGGTTTGAGAGATGTGTCCGTGGGGCTGCCTGGCTGTCCTGGCTGGGTGCTATTGCTGTTGCCTTGGTGGTGGGTGCAGTCCTGGGTCCTGGTTTTTATGGCCTGAGGTCTGAGGCCTGGATGGGGCTTCTTTGTCGGTTTTGCTCGCTTGGCGAAAGGACTGAGCGGGACTGAGCGGGCACACGCGGGATACGGGTAGAGAAGTTCCGGGGAGAGTTCCGGGGGGGACTGGGATGGATTGGATGGGTTATGGGTTGGATGGATGGATGGGTACTTTGGTAGGAGTGGGAGTAGGTGTTGTGTTATTGGGGGAATGTAATTACGAGTCGTACTCGTTAGTAGGGAAGGAGGGAAGGGGTAAGGTCGGCTTTACGGAGGAAGTGGAAAGGGGAATCGGAGGAAAGAGAAGGAAGGGGAAAGAGGATGGATTGATAGACAGGGCAGGCATGGTTTACACGCAAAAAACCAATATCATAGTAATCTACGACCACTACCTACAATTTGTAGTACTGTACTCTATCAACTCTACTCTACTCTCCAACTCGCAGGCGCGGAATGCCCCGGTCGCCGGTGCCGAGCCGACTCTCCATACACTCTAGTATCCAGTATTGCGTGGTCCATGCATCCATCCACATCCACTCCAACCCTCGACTGCAGTTACCTTCGCATATACGTACATCCACACCGAACCGCATGTACTCCCCGTCCTGTGGTTGGTTATTATCTGGCAATTTGGCGTTATGGGCGTAAATCATAAACCGTACTTTTCTCCCTAAATAAACCCGCACACACAGAGAGAAAAAAACAAACACGTTTGTTTGTCTCTGTCCTTGTCACATGCCGTTACCCGGACCGGAGAAACCGATAAACGTTTTTCGAAACCGCCACCATCTTTTACACACAGCTAACCAACCAACCACCCACCCTTTCCCCCCCTTCCCAAAAGAAGGTGTAAAGTTACATGGTGCAAAGAAGGAAATAAAAAAGAACAAAAGAATTTCCCAACCAACGCAGTAGGGAAATTTGAAATAGCAGGGGCGCTGGGAGGGGGAATGATGCAAGCCACATGTCTCACCCTCACACTTTACTTTCCCCTGTGACAATCCCATCACGTCTATACACTGCCACTCACACAATCGCCATCCCCAACGTGATTGCCGTACCTGATCAGCCCGTAGCCGTGATCACCCACTACCACTCAAAAAATAACGGTATTCCCCATTCCCCCCCATACCCAAGGGGGGGCCGAATTCATAATCATCCACCCCCTCTCCTCTAACCATCTGTTACCACTTACCACTTACCACTCTTTTACTACCTCTACATACCGCGTCCACTAACCTCCGCTACATGCCCTCACTTACCACACCTTCGCGTCTACTGGCTTTATCCAGAGGGTGTGGGGACGGGTGGTACACAGAATCTCCAGATGGACAAGTCCTCGGCCCGCGTCTAAAGTATTGGACCGGGTTGTTGAGGGGTGGGGGAGGAGAGGCCGAGAGGGGAGGAGGGGCGGGGGTGGAATGGGGCGGAGGGTAGCAGCAGTTTATAGGACGAACACGGCACATCTGGTGAAACGAGGACCAGGTTTATGAGGGGATGTTGAATGTAACTGAGGATCCATTCTCTCTTGCCGCGATGTTATGCACTGTCTGTCTGTGGGTGTCCTTATTATAACAAATTATAGACGGCATAGGCAAGGACGGTGCGCAGAGTTTTTAGCAGGCCATTTATTTTCAGATCTCGCTCTTGTGATTACACCGAGGAGACGAGGGTTCGATTGTCAGCATGCCATTCTCATTATACTCTCTAGTGAAGTGATTCATGCAGAGATTTTACATGCTATACGTAGTACTACTAGGAAATCAGTAGAGTAGTAGAGGAGTAGAGGCACCTACAGATAGGATGACGGGGATAGTGGGGAATAATGGCCTAGTAGGTAGTCTGTTCCTTCCGCTCGCGTGGATACGGACTTACCTCGCACTTGTTCGGGCCTGTTCGCACTTGTTTTTTTCCCTTGCGCGCTACTGCTGCTACTGCCATTTACTTGCCACTTACTACTTCTTCCCTTGAATCTACTAGATCGACTATGGAGTAGTAGAATACTAGACTACTATAGTGCTTTTTACTACTATGGCTGGCAGTACTCCTACCTTCACTTTTCATAATTAACCCGTAGACGCGAGATCCCATTCCCCGCCTTTATAGAGAGTCCCGCTCTTTTTTCTTGTGATCCTCACTTTATGGAGTTAATCGAGGCATTCCCTACCGAGAGAGCCCACTTTCTCAAACTCTCCAAAGATACTTCCACCTACCTGGCTCTTGAAATAACTTACCAAGCCAGAGTAGTAACGAAAAACTCGGCTCTTCTTGCTTCAGTAACTACTTTTACTATCTACTACTTTACTACTACTTTACTACTACTCTACTACTACTAAACTATTATTGTGCATACCATCCTATCCTATCCTATACATACGCACGTACGAGTCGTTCCAGCGGATCCAGGAGATTATTCTCGCCTTCAGAACACTCAATCGCCTTCCTGTTTAATATACGTTGCAGTCCAGTGCCTTGCCTAGCTGTTTTTTCCCGCATCGACCCCACAGCTATAATCCCTGAGATCGAGACGAGCCGGCAGCATCGTGCACGCCCTGCTCTGTCTATTATCTGAACCATCCTATCCTACTTCGTCCTCGTACATACCTGTACTCTCCTGCCCTGCCCCTCGCCGCCCACTCTCCAGGAACCCTGGAAAGGACCAACAAGCATCCTTCCTTCTTCCTTGGCAAAGAGAAACCACCACCAAGCGACCTTGTCAGCAACGCTCTCAGAAAGACACAGGCATCTCTTCTCCCCGGAACCCTACTCAGCTCGCCCTTTTGGGGAATTCTTCTCGAATCAACTTAATCTTCTTCCATCTTCATTTATTCCCCGTCAAACAAGAAGGCTCGGACACTACCGCAAACTCCCAAGCCACCTCACCTCGCCTACCTTTCACATTCTCCCCTTCCCTTACATTCCTTCCTTCTTACCTGCATTTCACCTGCAGTTTTCTATGCACCTCGAGTAAGTAGCAAGGACAGGGCTCCCCCGACCCATAACCTGGTTGTCTGCATTGGCGAACGCTCTAAAGAGTCCGCTCCAAGGCCCGCAAGGGACCCTCCCAAAGGACCCTCTGAGGATCCCCCCAAGACCAAGACGCTTAATATAAACCGTCCCTGATCAGTCCACCCGAAACTACCAACCCGGCTGGACGAGGGGAAACCGCTCCCATCTAAGGTCCTTTGGGGTTGCATGTATTGTTTCTTCACAGTCGCGACCTGACTCTTGGCTTGGTACTGTACTTTCTGCTACAAACGAGTCTACCAGGGAGACAAGGTCCCTCCTCCCAAGTACCGGTGACCATAAAGACCGCCCCCAGAAATCGAGCGGAAGGGAATACCCACATCGGCCCTCTTTTGAGAAGAGCAGACGCCCCCCCCAAGACTTCACCTGGTCCGTTATCCTTGATAGCCACTAGGCCTTCCTCTATCGTTTATTGCTCTCGTCAACGAAGCACGCACTCGCCATCCCGCCACTCCATTACAACAAAACGGCGTCGCTTCCCTACAAGAACCTCCCCCAATCCTTGATCTACGCCTCCGCATGTTAGATCTCCACCGGTTGATCTATTGACATTTCCAGCTCCCAGAAGGATCAGAGCATCCGTGCGGCGCTTGTGTATGGGCCTGGGATAAGCTGGATGACCTTCTGAGCAGCCCCGCGAAACTTCAACCCCATTCTCAAAGTAAACTCAGGACCAAATGTCGCAGATGTACGCGCAACCGCCCGCTATCACTTCCATATTTGAGCGGTCCTACGCCCATGACCAGATCAAAATCAACTCCCTTAAGCTTGGAGAGTTGAACAGTGGTCGTATGTATCCCACCTCGTTACCTGAACAGCGCGAAGATCGCAGTAGTTGGAATGCACCACGCCCCGAGCCACTCTCGTTATCAGAACAGCACAAGCGCGGACCATACACCATCCCGCCGCCAGACAGAGCTTTGGGCGATGAGTCTGCTCGCCCGGAAATAAGTCCGAGGACTACAAATGGAGAGCGACTACCGTCGTTGAGCAGCCTGTTCAGCTCAGCGCAGGCTCCGTTGCCTGCTCGATCCCCGTACTCTAACCCGAGCCCAACATTCAAGCCAAGGTCTCCGGAATCTGCAGCGAGGAAGGCAAGTGCGAACCATTTGGATCAACTATGGGATCCGTCATATCGTCGCCCTCGGTCTGAGCCGTCTGGCCAATATCCTTACAACCAATCTCCCCATTCAGTCTCGTCGGATCGCCTACCACCTCCTCCGCGATCTGTTCTGGACCACAGGAAACCAGAGTCCCCAGGATACGATGCAGTGTCAGAATATAGGGAAGCACAGTATGGCCGATCATCGGCGTCGTCAGTACGGTTCTCACCTGGATCAGAGGCGTCGTATCGTGGATATTTCCCTCCAATGCCCAAAGATGCAACCTCGCCCTACGGACACCCCAGGGACCAGAAAGCTTCTCCGCATATCCAGCTGCACGAGCCGGATATGAGACATTCATACGCGGGATCCCCTCAATCACATGCCATGAGGAACCCATACCACCAGACCCCTCCCAACGCATTATCATCTGGCCCAACATCTCCCAAGGACACGCTTGGACCTAAGATTTGGACTGGCACTCATTTCCTTCCTCGATTTGTCCGTCAAGCTGAAGTCCCTGGCGAGGGAATCTGCTACTTCTACGACGATGGGACGCATTGCAAGACTGTTATTGATGGCGAGCCGGTCAATGCACATTGGGGTGTTACGAAGGCGGGCAAGCCGCGGAAGAGGCTCGCCATTGCTTGCATTACCTGCCGCGAGAAGAAGATAAAGTGCGACCCTGATTATCCGAGATGTGTCCAATGCGACAAATTTGGACGGGTCTGCAAGTTCAAGAATGCGTGAGTTGACTCCTTTTGCTCTTCTAGAATGAAAACTGACATTGTGATAGCCCAAGAGGTGGTCAAGGCTCACCCGAAACTCCACCAGCGGATCCAGAAGACGCCGTGACGCGCTCGGTATCCCAATTATCAGAGCTTGATGGAAATAAAGCTGAGAAGCGTGACCTTCATTATGCGCCATACCAGCAAGGACAACGTAGCCCGGGATCGGAAATCGATGAGAACGCACCGAAACGGCACAGAAGCGCGTATGACGCGTATATGCCCGTGAAGGCCGATAGAGCAGAGGGGCATTTCAACCCAGTGTATTCGCATCAACAACCCTCTCCGAGCTTGAACTACCGGTCTTTGGACTGGTGCACGAGACAGGCGACCGAGAACCCGTTTGAGACGAATGAGGCACTCTCGTTTGATCTCCTAGACAATTTGTTCCTTAACACCTCATGCACTACTTACCGCTTTTTGCCTGAGCCACACTTCCGAGCATGGGTCGCCGATCGCAGCATAAGGAAGAGCCCCCAGGATATCATGCTTTTATATGGTCTACTTGCGCTTGCGACGGTGTTTTCAACTGCAGAGGGCGCCAAGCAGCGAGGAGAAGAGTTTGCGGCTGTCTGCCGATCTGCTGCTGAGGGAAGCGAGTTCAACCTGCATCTTGTGCAGAGCAGGCTGCTCCTTTCGCTATACTACGTGGCTATCAACAAGTACCGCGAGTCGTTGGATTTCTGCGGCTCGGCCGTTCGTGCGGCGACGTGGTTGGGCTTGAACGTGGAGTTGGGCGAGTCTGAGAAGGGCTCGAATACGACTATCTTCAACCTCGACCGTGTTGCCTATGCGGAGTGCCGTCGCCGAACGTTCTGGTCGTGTTATATTATGGACCATTTCAGTACTTTCTGCAACGGCCACCTCAACACTATTAACCCGAATAACATCTTTTTGCGCTACCCAACTACGACAAAGAACTGCGAAGCTCTGACTGACGCCAGCGCGCCGTTTTTCGTTCCGTCTGGAGCATTGGCCCAGAGCAGCCTCAAGGATGTTGGTATTACGGCCTACATGATCAACATCTTGGCTATCTGGGGAGATATACGTGATTACAACTATCGTGCTTCCAAGTCGCCCAATGTTGCAGTTACAGAGCCATTCTCGGCATTCTACGCCACGACCATTGCGCGACTTGAGGGATGGCGTGCATCCCTGCTACCATCCGCCGAGAACACCTTGGAGAATCTAGATGCCGCGGTAAAAGACGGCAGTGTTGGAAGCTTTGTGAGCCTGCACTCTCTCTACCTCGTCTCATATGCAAACCTCCACCGCTATGGACGATTCGATTCCGCAACAACCCCCACTCTCAAAACCAGCCTACGGATCACCTTCGAGCACGCAAACGCCATCCTCGACCTGGCGCAGAACATGGCTAGCCGCACAGTCCGTCTTCCGACCACTCCCGCTGCTTCGACGAAGTTCTCGAGTCCGTATTTTGGTTTCATAATCGTAAACGCCATGGACATCCTGTCTGCGAAGGGACGATTAGCTGATATCACGACATTCCACGCCCGCATCGAGGGGCCGAGCAAGATCGTCGATGAGCTGGCTAGCTTCTGGCACAGCGCGCGCCTACAGCAGGATCAGGTCAAGGCGCGGCTCGAAGCGCTCTTGTCCCTGCCGCTGCTCACGAATGGATGGAATGCGGCGAACTCGTCGGCGGCGGATGCTGGTGTGAGGGGCGTGGGCGAGGCGGTTGTGGATGCCGAGAGGGGGGTTTTTGAGATGAGACGCTCGATCAATTCGCTGGAGGGGAGGGGGGCGAGGGATAATGTTTATGCGGCTACGTTTGAGGTGTGGGAGGATGCGGTGAAGCTGTGAGAATGGATGATGTGAGAAGTGAGAGGAGGGTTTGGGATAGGGATTGGAAAGTCCCCGGATGGATGGATGGGCTGGGTCTTTGGGTTTTAACTGGAGTTTTTGCTTTTCCATTTGCAGGCGGCTGTTTCTATATATATGCATCATGTAACAAAAGTTTCTGGGATTGGGATTGTCATCATCTAGGAGGATAGATGGGAGCGAGGGGGGTGGATTTTTGAGCAACGAGGGTTTTTGCGAAGTGGAGGGACAATAGGGGATACATGATGGAGGGGTGTTTGTATAGGAGAGAGTGATAGAGATGAATGAGCAGAGAAGAGGGGGTCTAGATCAAACGACATGGATATATAATCTTAGTATAGTAATCTACCTTCATCAACAACAGCTTCTCATTCAAATCCATGAAATCGCTCAAATCCCCAAAGTCCCAAAAGTCCCTAAACTCCCACATCCTCACAATCCATCCCCATCTCCCCAAACATCCCACCAATTCCACCCCTCTCACAAACCCCACAAACCAAGCCAAAACAAACAACACAAGACATGTAGTCAGAATAAAGCCCACGCCATCCCATCCCATCCCCCCATCCCATCATCCATGACACACCCACTAGTAAACGCACCACCCCTCCCTCCCCCGATCGATCGGATCGCCCCCCCCATCCCATCCCTCATGAAGGCTCTATGCCCGCGCTCCTCTCTGGGCCAGAGAGAGCCGGTTGGCTGAAGCGTCGGCGGTGTTGCTCGATTCGGGTTGTGACGGCGAAGTGGGTGCGTGTAGGGTGTAGGGTGCTTGGGGGCGGGTAAGTGATTTGCCGGGGCGGTGAGGGAGACGCGGCGGCTGGGCGAAGGGTGGTGGTGGGTTGGGTGGAGGTGGAGGCGGGTGGTCTAAGCGCGAGGCTGTGGGTTTTTGTGGATGGGATGGGATTGAGGCTGGGTGAGGGTAGAGATGGAGGGATTGGATTTTGACGACGACGACGCTGCTGTGTATTTACTTTCCGGACGGGTTCGATACTTGACGACGGGGATTACTCGCAATGCACCAACCCATCTAACCACCTACCTCCACACCTCATTTTCGACCACACCATCCCCACCACCAATCCACCAACATAAACCCAAAATGACGACGACCACGCCCTTCCCATCCACCCCCATCGCCTCGCTCCCCGGAACCCCCTACCCCATCCACGCGCTCGCCTACTCCGCTGCCCCGGCGGCATACATACTCACTGGCTCGGGGGATAGGGCGATAAGGCTGTATAACCCGTTTCCGGCCAGCGGCGGGCCGAGGGGCGCGGTGCAGCCGGGGAAATTGGTGCAGACGTTTGAGGCGCATGGGTATGAGGTTTTGGATTTGTGTGTTGCTAGGTACGTCCCCTTTTTCTTTTCGCTGGTGGTGGAGACAGAAGAGCAGAGGCTAATGCGATTGTCCTGTAGTGATAATGCGAGATTTGCATCTTGTGGAGGGGATCGAGGGGTGTTCCTCTGGGACGTAGCGACAGCGAAAACGACTCGACGGTTCGGCGGCCAGCACGGCCATACAGCTAGGATCAACACCGTAGCCTTCGCGGGCGTGGATGAGAGTGTCCTCGTCTCCGGTTCCTTCGACGCCAGCGTGCGATTATGGGACGCGAAAGCCTCGTCGATGAAGCCGATACAGGTATTGAGTGAAGCGCGGGATGCGGTACAAGTTGTCCTCGTCTCACCTGCGCGGCCGGCAGAGGTGCTAGCGGGGAGCGTGGACGGAAGGGTCAGGTGCTATGATATCCGCATGGGGCGGTGCGTGACGGATGTTATCGGGGAGCCTGTGACTAGCCTCTGCGCGACGGGCGACGGGGAGGGAGTCCTCGTCGGGTCTCTCGGGGGGGTGAGACTGATGGATCGCGGGAACGGAGGGTGTTTGATGAAGTATGAGGGGGCGGTGGGTGGGGAGTTTAGGGTGAGGAGTTGTTTTGGGGGGAGGGGGGAGAGGTGGGTGGTTAGTGGGAGTGAGGCGGATGGGGAGGTGGTGGCGTGGGATACGATGACTGGGGGGGAGGTGGCGAGGGTGAAGGTCCCGAAGGGGGTGGAGAGCGGGAAGAAGAGGCTGGATGCGTTTGGGAAGGAGAGGGAGAGGAGGAATGTGGTTAGTTGTGTGGCGTGGAGGAGTTGGAAGGGGAGGAATCAGTGGTGTTGTGCTGGGACGGATGGGGCGGTGACGGTGTTTGGTGATGCTGAGAGCTGAGATGTGGGGGTGTGAGCGGAAGGCATCTCGGAATCGAGGAGGCAGGTGATTGATACCAGATCGGCTTCGGGTTGGAGATATGATCTCAGAATATGCGACAGGGCCACCGGATTGTTGAAATGACTGGCCTTTGATAATCAAACTATGTCTGGGATTCTTCTGGTATTCGCCGTTCGAATAGAAGTGTGTCTGGAATGAAGCGGGAGCTGGTGTTAATGAGACCAGTGCTGGAAGAAAAGCTGAGAGTCCTGAAAGCTTCATGGATCCGACCTGTTTGATGCGGATGAGCTGGAATAGAATACTCAGGACAGAATGATAAAGCCTGGAAGCATGCCCTGTGCTTGCAACGAGAGCGTTCAAATCTTATCGAAACAAAGAAATCTAGCGTGGTGATATGCGAAAGGGGGCGAACAACGTCAACAAAAGCTTCAAACAATGAACGCCCAAACAACCCCCGCATTCGACCTCCCTCACAGCCTCCAAAAGCAGGCCCCAGAAATATAAAAAAAAGCCAAAAAGAATGGTCTGATCCAGGATCGAACTGGAGTCTCCACTGATTCTCATCCGCAAGCCCGCAAGTATCCAAGGAGCTTGAGTGCCATAGGCCCAAAATCGGAAGTTGAGAGGCGGTGTCTTACCATTAGACCATCGGACCTTTGGAATTAAAGGGTTGCCGCTTGGGCTGATGAGTATAGTTGCCCCGGATGCTTATCGAAGCTGGAGCCTCAGGAACCAGGTCTCCCTCCTCCTCCCACTCCTCAGGCAAGCGGAAGCCAGCTCAGCGGCTGTACCTTGCCTAGGGGGGACCTGGTTCCTGAGCTCGGCCGGAGACGCTCCCCGCTGGTTGGCAAGACGAGCATTTTCATACGCCTTGGCCCTACTATTCGTTCAATCAAGAGAGCCGTGCAATACACAAACTATAAGGTCTTCTTATAACAGTCTAAACAAAGCTTTTTATATTCCTGATCCAACCCTACTCTATGTGTTATTATGATACTATTTGTCTGAAGACGGCAATTCTAGAATCCCCTTTGCGATCTAAACCTCACCATCTAACTCCGCCCTCTCCTTCTCCTCAATATGGAGCAACGCCCCAGCTTCCTTCAACAATGCCGCATTCTGCAACCTACCCGCCTTGTCTGCCAACCCAAGAGGAGTATTCCCCGCCGCATTCCTCTCATGCACGCTAGCACCCCTTCTCAACAGCTCTCTCACAACTTCAACTTCTCCACTGACAGCTGCAAGATGCAGCGCAGTATTCTCTGCATAATCCCTCGCAAGCAGCAATACATGCGACTCTGAATCTAGCATCGACTTGATCTTATCCAACTCTCCCGCCGCAATCGCGTATCCCAACTCCGTGAACCTGACCTGCTCAGTCGACAGGGACGCACCAAGATCAAGGAGTGGGAGATGTGCGAACTGGTGCTTGGATGGGAGTGCCGTCATCTCACCACGCAGCGGGATGGACATCTGGCGCACGATCTCGTCGTATGAAAGACCAGGCAGCGCGAGGAGGAAGAAGAGCTTCGTCAGCGCAGCCTCGGTGGTCAAGTCGTGTCCGAAGACGACACCGGCATTACCTAGGATGGTGGCGGGTTCGTATAGAGGCGAAACGGTACCAGAGCGGCACTGCGAGACGCTGACGATAACGATACCACGCCCAATAGCTGCCTTGATGACGTCGATGAACGCGCCATCTGGTCCCGAGGGTGCGTTGCCTGCACCGAATGTCTCGAGGATCAAGCCGTGCAGACCTGGGACTTTGAGAACGGAGTCAAGCAGCGCAGGGGTGATACCAGGGAAGATGCGCAGACAGGCCACGTGAGCGGTGTCGAGGGCGAATTGAACGTTGAAGCGCTTTAGAGCAGTGGCGCGGTGGATGAGCGCCCAGTTCACATCGATTCCAATACCAGTGACGCGGGCGAGAGCCTCGCAGTTCGGGGAGCCGAAGGCATCGAAAGCAGTGGCGGAGATCTTAGTAGTGCGGTTACCGCGGTAGAGGGTGCGATGGAAGAAGAGGCAGACTTCTGGAATGAGGAAGGTACCTGCTATGATGAGGGCGCCGAGGAGGTTATCGACGGCGTCGGATTGGAGAGCGAAGATTGAGGCTTGGGAGCCTGTTAGGATGACGGGTTTGCCGAGGGCGGAGATCATGAATGAGAGTGCTGAAGCGGTGTAGGCGAGACTGTCTGTGCCGTGGAGGATTACGAAGCCGTCGTAGAGGGCGTAGTTGCTTTGGATGCAGGAGGCGATTTGGGACCAGCCGGCGGAGGAGATGGAGGAGGAGTCGAGAAGGACGGGGAATTCGTAGAGGGCGTAGCGGACGTGGCGGGAGTACTTGGAGATTGGGGTTCGGAGGGATGGGCGGTACTCGGTGGTTTTGTCATTGATGATTACTGGTAGTGGTTCTGGGTCTGTTAGACGGGGAACTTAGGGCAGACCGCAGATTATGAGAAATGATGCAAAATCACTGGGGATTGAATTGAAGTATGGAAAAGTAGGAGGTAAATTGGTTGCTCAATTGCGTTTCTAGACGTCACATTACTCTTGCACTAGCAAGAGGTGTGAGCATCTCAAGGATTCGACTATTTGTTGGATATTGCATCCTGCATATCTGTATGCGGCCACTCTCTATCTCTCTCTTATTCGCCCCCTTTTTATTTCTCTTGTCTCGCATTCGCTAAGTATAATAAACTGAATGGAAAGTTAGGCGTACCGCATATGCTCCCATCATTAAAGCTCGGCCTTGGCCTCATCGCCTCATCCATAAACCCCGTCGCAGGAACTAAACCCTGCGGACTCTCCTTCATACATATCGTGCCTCCGGTCATAATAATCAGCACCCTGCTCTCCGGGTGCTGTATCGCCGCCATTTTGCTGTCTAGATTTTGTTGGGGTTGATCTGGTGCCACGCTTGGAGAAGAAATTTTGGGCAGAGAAGTGACGACGTGAAAGAGTCAATGCGATGAGACAATCAAATAGATTCCATCAGCATCCCTTTAACATCGGTGACAGGTCCTGTATCGGACAGAGTCCGGCCTCCCGTCGTTGAAATCTGCGATGACCTTCCCCATCCAGCCCCGCCTTACCCCGCCACCCGCGAAATTTAACGGTCACCACGTGCCCCACAACGGATGACTTGAGGGATATTTACGTAAATCGTTCTAGAACGTTTTCGTTGCGAATTACAAAGATCTACAAGAAGAAATATGCGGGATATAGCAATAAATGATAAATAAAAACTTCGTATTGGCACGGTCTTTTGATGGGTGGGCGGTGTGGTATTCTTGTGGATAGGTTCTGTAAAGACGTCATTTTGTGTTAATAAAATTCAAAATAAAATCCAAAATGTCAAGACCATACGACTGTTTAAATTCCAAAACCAGTCTTATTCGTGCTGCCTAAGAGACTGAGAAGGACCTATGAGAAGTCTAGAGTCGGTCTCTTTAGTCAAAGCTAATAAACTCTGCATAGATTGATTTCTGAGTGACGGGCTCATTAAAATACCGTAATATGATAGATATAATTGCAGTGACTAAGACGCATCATTCTATTTATAGTTGCTATAGACAATCACACTAACGAATCTAACATTTATTCCTAGTTTCTTAGTAACTGTTATGCGTGGTAGCCTCTTTAGGATATTTCAGGCGGCACGAGTGCCGTTGACGGACGTTTCAAAAATGAGCACAGGCATTATAGATCAAAATTTAAAGGGTAGAGACAGTCCATTTGACATAGCTACATATTTTTTCAATTCAGCGAAGGCTAATCCCTATGCGTTGAGACCTAGGGATACAGTCGGCACCGTTGAAGATTTGCCGCTTTGCCCGCCCTCGATTTTCACACCGGCGAGCTTTAAGCAGAGCACTCAGCCTTTCTCTGGTCAAAGGCCTCCAAAGCAGCCTCTGCAGCTTTACAACCAGATAGGACCATGGCGCCAAATGTAGGGCCTGGCAATTGTTAGTATTAACACGTCTATATGGACGCCTGAAGTAACTATAGTTAACTTGGGGACTTACCCATGCGGTTGGATCCGTCGATCTCACTCAGCTCCATTCCTCCAACAATCAGTCCTGGAACGATCTCCCTGGTGCCCTTGACAATGGCATCCTCGGCGGTGTTCATGTCCAAGCCACGCATGCCATTGAGCTTCTCAAGCTGTCCCATAGACACAAGGCGCTTAACGCAGAAAGCTCCGAATGGTCCGTCATGGCCGGTGGTGGAGATGATGATAGGAGCATTGATGGTGTTGGGGTCCATGCAGGACTGGTCATCGTGGTGCATGGTCACGAGGGTCCAGTTGGTGACGACACCGGCGATCTGGACGGCGGTGGGGTCGGCTGGGTCACCAGCATTGCGGGTGATGAGGTCCTCGACGCAAGTTGCGTTGAAGAGCTTGATGTTGGGGAACTGAAGGACCTTGGAGAGGAGGGTGGAGGTGAACAATGCCTACAGAAAAAAATATTAATAGAAGGCCATGTGAAACATAGAAGAGTGACCTACAGCGTGCTTCACAACGACAAAGTCTCCTTCATCCTCAAACTCGACGCCGAGGTCGGTGAGGAAAGCATCAGCAGGCTTGCGCATAACCATCGCCGAGAAGAGCTGGCCTCCCAGCCAAGCTCCGCCACCAGGAGAGACCGAAGCCTCAATGATGGCGATCTTCAAGTCTGGGCGAGCCTTGCCGAGCATGTACGCCGCGCTGAGACCGCAAGATCCAGCACCGACGATGACAATGTCCGACTCGGCGTAGGTGTCCAAGTCCTTGAAGTAGCGACGGGTCATGGCACGCGAGACCTGAGACTCACGGATTGGGGCGAACGTGAAGTCCGTCTCCCACTTGCCGGCCATTTCGTCCAGGGTCTTAGAGTTGGCAGAGCGGAGGGGAATGCTGTTGACATTCGGCTTCTGGAAGGTCCTCACGGGGGACACTGGCTCGATAGTCATTGCGGATGGTGGAGACATGATTGATCACGAGCTAATGGGGGATTAGCACCATCGTTGGGAAGGGGGAGGAAGGCATGATCCTTTCGCTGGTATTATCCAGATCAAGTTCATTTAACCGTATAATCTCAGAACGAACTCCGCGGACTTCCAGGCACTACCATATCTCCTACGGATGTAGGAGGTGGATGGTAGCGTGTGGAGGGGCTAGAGAACGGACACCGGTTCATGCTCAGAGCTCTTCTCTGTATGTGATACCTTGATAATTTCGGGATAACGCCATGCTAGCAGATGGCATGACTTCCATCATATTGATGGTAAGTACTTGGTTTCTGAAGAAATATCCTAGACCTGTGAGTTAGCATTCATTAGGATGCTGGCAGCATATCCGGAGTTACTTTAAGTATTTTAGGAAGCTTGAAAGGCGAATATAATATCTGAGGCGATTGCTGTAATGTTGATGAGAGGAAAGAAAGAAGAGGAGGAGGGTGGGCTTCGATGAAGAATAAGTAATAGAGGAAGCCGATAGCGGGGTAGATTATGACTGATGTAATATAAGGTGCAGCTCGGAAAGGAGCGGATGAACCCCTCATCCCCTACACCCACCCCCACTATCCTCCACAAGATAAACAAATATTATATAACATCCAATAAAACGAGGATAAATCCAACCACAAAGGTTGTCGCCCTGTCAGTTTACTCCTTCCAATAGGCCAAAGACGTTGATATGCGCTTAGTCACAGAGAAACCCCCACTATATGCCCCCAACGGATTCGGAGACGCGTCAATTGAGTCGATCAAGAAAATATCAATTCAAGGGTATTTGGGATTAGAGTGGACAAGTTTGAAATTGTGCGGCCGGCGGAAAGTCAGGGCTCACACAAATCAGGGGAGAAAGTAATGCGAAGAGAATATATACAATATATTAAATAGATAATGTGCGAATTTGATATCCAAGCCTCTCATCCAAGCTCCTACTACCATATCAAAGACAATTCGGGATCCATCGTGCTGGCGCAAAAAGAATCTATCCTCTCCACATGCGTAATAATTCAGACATCCGTCCTCCTCTTCCATACCTCCTCACCACGTGAAAAACGCCAAATCGATACTCGGTTTCCTACCAACTCCAGGCGTAGACTGAACTCCTTGCTACAAACTTTCGACGAAATCCTCCTGAGCAAGCAAATCCCGGGTGTTAGATGCTCATCCTCTTTTTTATCGGTCTTGCAGATCCGTGTTCTCGGCGGGTCGGCTGGGGAACATGTGTGTTGCTCCTTGTAACAGGTTCAACTATACTTGCTCCATCCCCTCCCCCATCCCCACCGCCGCCGCCGCCACCGCCGTTGCCGTTGCCGCTTCCTGCTCTCCATCCTCCCGTAGAGCTTTCTCTCTTAGTCATCGGCGGACGATGATGTCTTGGTACCATACTCGGGCCCGGATGTAACATGCTGCTCAAGAAATTGCTCCCCTGCCTGGCTCTCCCTCTGAAGCCCTTGGGGTCCTCGTCTCTACCGGAAGCATTTGTGGTCGCAGTATCTAACTCCTCGCCTCCTCCAACAGTCGTGCCGAAACTGGAGCGGCGATGGCGTGCCGTCGCGTCTTCCATCTCGCGCTGGTGAAGCGATTCCGAAGGTAGCAGGATGGCGCGGTCGAGTTCGTATGGAAGGCCACGGTGCCGGCCACGGACCTGCATAGCGATGATAACCAATTTTCCTACGACATTGAATTGCCCGGAGAAAGATGCGTTTGTACCGGGATACCCCAAACTGAGCCCGACGGTACCGTATGCACTAATAATCTCGAACAGGCAGCTGAAGAGATTGAATGCGGGCTGGAGCGGGTCTTGAATGCGGTGGGCTTCTGCAATGGCCATGATGAACCACCCTAGTGTCACGAACCAGAGATCGAAAGACAACTGTCGACGGATATGGGACCCAACGTATGAAGGTTCCGCACTTTTGCTCTCAGCATCGTCCGTACCGCCACCCCAGATGCCAAGCGACTGTTCTTCATAGACGTTTGTACGACGAACCGAAATGGCGATAGGGAATACGGAAATGTACATCATGATCATGTACGAAATTTGAATCGCAGGATGTAAGTCGGCGATTGACACAACAGCAAACCCGGCCGTGCGTGTGGCTGTAGCTTGGAACCAACCGTCGAGAACCCGGATGTTAGGAGGAAGGTCCGTTACCACTGGATTACCGAACTAATATAAATGTCAGCATCTTCATACTCATTAGAATCAAATATGGAAGAGGGCTTACATCAAGAATGATGAAGAATATAAGATCGATACCGTTCAAGAGAACGAGGACCCAGAAAAGCCACCAGGTTGCAGTAGACGGGAACAACAGCGTAAAGCATCTCCTGGGATGATCAAGCAGGAACCTTAGTTCTTCCCATATCCCACTCGTCTTAGGCACCAGCTTGGAAGTACAATAGATGATGAACCTCAGTAGCACTGGAAACCCGGTATTGCCAAAAATAATCATGAAGGACATGACAAACAGAGGCCAAATGGCAGTCTGGAACGAGACCATACTGTCAGGAACGAGAGAGAATCCCAAATCGTTGAAACTTGACATCGCAGTGAAGAAACCCCACCAAGTGCGACTCATACCAGCGGCATCGACGATTGGACCATAACGGGCGTTATTAACAATCCAAGGAACGAGAGATATGGTAGTAAAGATGGTTCCAAACCAGAAATAGGACACAAGGACAATCGCAAGGGTTTTCAAGGAGCGGTATTCGATCCCACCCAATTCCTCCCTTTCAGCCTCAGAAAGATCAACGAATGCTGAATTACGCCCTATGGTCGGTTGGAAACTGATGTAAGGCATAGGATCCGATTGCTCTTTGTCTTTCGTGAAGTGGCTTTTCAACCTTGTCAAGGACATGGCTCTTGATCTCGACCTTTCCGTCTTTTCATGTTCGCCATGAACCTTGTCACCACTCAACAATCTCGGCTTTCGGAATCTTAATACACCCAAACTGTGTGCAGCGGCGCGTGTTGACTCAGAGGCATGCTCGGTTATACTCGTATATTCCCTCGGACCATAATCAGCTGTTTCAGGGCGGTTCTCACTGGCGCTACTGCGATCAGAAGTACCTGAATCTGTGGTAGGGCTCTGTGACGATTCGGGCTCCGCATTTGGTCCATTGAGTCCCTGGGGCAAAGGCTCGACATCAGAATCACTCCGAACCATGCCTCCTGACATAATATGCGCTTCGTCAATCGTCTCTGGTGCTACACCTCTATCGGCATCCCTAGGACCCGGGATCCGCAAGGCGCCTCCAGTAAGCCTCCGTTGGCGCTCCAAAAACTCAATGTGTGTTTCTGGCTCCCTCGTGCTGGGCACTCGCAAGTATTCACTGTCAACGCCATCGCTTCGTTTAACCTGGTCTGCGAACTTGATCGTTGGTGCGGTTTTCAATGGTGGCGCCTCATGCTTTGGGCTCAATGATATACTGTCAGACTCCGACTTGTCAAACGTGATGGCGTAATCGTCTAGGTTTGGTGCGTCTGGTGCCCTTGATGCATTTGCGTTTGTATTTTCAGCGGTATCCTCTTCGGTCGCCGGATGGCCAGCTGTGCCCATACGTGTGGTGTCATGGATAACTCTTATCGTCCGCCCATTCACACCATGTTCTATTCCCGCTGTGTCTCGCTCTCCCTTCATCTGCGATCTCGTTTTCGACATACTCCTCCTCGCACGCTTCGCCTCCTTGGCGATGTGCTGGAACCGCTTCTCAAACCAATATAGTCGTAAAAATACAACAAAGGTATTATTCGTGATTGGATTGGTCATCATGGGCAGGAGATATAGAACGATCTGTTGGAAGGTGTTGAGGTTGTTGAAGTCGATCGGATTCAGGCCGCTCTGAGTGCATGAGCCGGTTGAGAAGAATAGTGCATCGATATAATCAATCTTTCCTCCTGCAATGACGAGGAAAGAGCCTAGGAAGGCCATACCGACGATCCAGAAGTCTACGACTGTGTCAATATTGCAGGGTACAGGAGGACCCCAACGGCTGGGCTGACTTACAATGGACAGTAATGAAGTTAAAATGGGGTTTCCGGCTCAAGAATGATGGCTTCATGGCCTTGACTTGATGCCAGACATTGACAAAGGGTTGAAACACCATTTTGACGGCTGGTGAAAGAAACGCAGACAGGGAAGGTAGTGGTCCAAGGCTGGACGGAAGATTGGCAGAGTATGGCGCGGCACGAGATTATCAGGAGCGGTTCCCAAGGACAACAACCACGACAGTATGTCGTGATATCCTGCCCGAGATGTAGTGTTATGAGGAGGTGCTTGTGTTGTGATTGCGACCTGTGAGAAGCGGCATTGCGTTTGAATGAAGGTCGAAAGTGGCGATTGAGAGGGGTAACAAGTGGGCAGCGTGTTATAACTGGATCGATAGATGTGTTGAAGAGAATTTAAACATGTCTGAAGCCAGATGGGTATATATGTAGTATACAAATGCTCAGTTGGCGGATAGGAGATGCAAAATCATTGTGCCGTCGTCCTGGCTGGATTGCGCCGAGGCGAAGGTGGGGATTCGCAAATCCACGGGTTGAGTCTAGCCCGTCCCCGGGAGTGCAGTGCCAAGAAATTTTTATCGTAGTCCGCGTCCTCGATTTTGTGGGTTGAAGCTGCCAGTTACCCACTGGAAAATGGAAAACCACAGCTGAGCTGAGCTGTATTGCCCTTGTTCCACAACGAAAGAGGGTCCTACGATCAGCCAACGATCCACTGCCTCAGACCTGCATACAACTCTGCATACGACTCTCCATACTACTCTACATACTTTTTTCTTGACCAACATTGACTGTGCACTACATGAAAATACATGAAAATTATCAAGGATAGACATTTTACCATCCACCCAAAGTCCAACCCAGTCACACGTGGATGGAATCTACCGTGTTTATGTTGTACGAGTAAGCACAGAATATTCTCTGTACTCATCCGGCACGGTACTCACCAACCCGAAGCCGCCCGGTATGCATTATCTCTACCTACATATCAAAGTGTGCGGTGAGGCAGTGCAGGAAAGAGCTGCGTAGGATAAGGTCAACGGCCAACAGAATCAGACGGAACAGGATATTATCCTAGGGCATCCCTTCCTGTCAATTTCTGGTAGAATATTTTTATATGAGGGGTTTATTTTAACCTGGGGTAGGTATAACATCAAGCTTTCTTGAAGGGAGCGCTGGAAGCATGCACTGCCACATATTCACTTTGGATACTGACAAGAGCACCCTTTTCAGCTTGGCAAGTGAGTTTCCCATACGCATATTCCATATCACACTGCTCGCCATGATGTTACTGTTTCACCGCTATTCTACTTGGCCACAATCTCTACCATCACATTCAGCACGAGCCAGTGCTTGGATCTGACGCAATCTGTTATTATATTGTATTGTTGGTGACGCCGTGCTCGAGATTACTATGCATTCTGTCTCGGCAAACAATTTTTCGCTGTCCCTTATGCCCAATGCCATTGATCAGCGCTCCCTCATATCTATGCCCATACGCCCTAGTACAATTTTATATATCCTATACATCCTAAATGCCAAGCTTCCGCTTCTGCGCGTCCCTCTGCAGCTTCTTGAAGAACGGGTTGCTCGGCTTCTTATCCTTCTTCAGCTCCTTATTCTTGCTGCGGTTCTGTTCAATGTAGGCCATATCTTGCCCTCCAGAGAGCTCAGCCAATGTGCCGGCCGTCCGACGAACTCCCTTCTTCCTGAACGCGGCGTTACGGTTGCCACCTGCACCAGCCACACTGAAGAGATCATCGGCGATTTTCTCCGAGTCAAAAGCACCTTCGTTCTGAATCATCACGTTTTGCAGCAATTCGCGACGTTCTGCTGGTGTTGAGAATGCCAAGCCCGGCAGATTCTCGATTCCCTGCAAGTGGGTGATGACCTTGAAGGCGTATCCCTGATCAACAAGGAAGGCCTGTCGCTTCGATGAGTAGTACATCTCTTGCGTGTCTTTAGACACAAGAGAGTAAAAGAAGGCGTTAAAACCTTCATCATTACGTCGCTTTGCTCTGAGAATTCTCCCAAGCCGCTGAGCTTCTTGGCGACGCGAACCGTAATGGGACGAAATCTGAATAAGGCAGGTGGCTTCGGGAAGATCCAGCGACGTGTCTCCAATTTTGGAGAGAAACAGCGTGTTGATGTTCTCATTATGCTGGAAATTATCCAGAATACGCATGCGCTCAGCTTGAGGAGTTTCTCCGTAAATGTATGCCCTTCCCAGCTTTTCAGCATACATTTTTAGAGCGTAGACGTTGTCAGAGAAGACGATAATTTTGTCGCCGCGCTTCTCGTGGTAGTCGATCAAAAACTGGCAGGCCTGGAATTTCCTTGGGTTCATAATGTATAAAAGGCCGCGTTTCCGATGGGTTTCGCGCAGGTACTCCGAGTAGAATTCTGTAGTCATCGGGCACCAGACTTCGGCACATTGAACCTTGGCGATGTGCCCTTGTTCTGCAAGCTCCATCCAGTTGGCTTCGTAGAGCTTGGGACCAATCAGGAAGTTAAGATCATTAATCTTGTCATCTTCACGAAGAAGAGTGGCTGTGAGACCAAGCTTTGAGTGTGTCTTGATAGAAGATGTGACTTTTCTGAAGATGTTCGCGGGCACAACGTGTACCTCGTCCAGAATCATAAGACCCCATTCTCGGTTTTGTAAAAATTCCATCATCTTACCAGCATCGTATGAACGCTGCCGCGTCTGAGTGACCATGGAATATGTGGACACGATAATACCAGTATTCCGCGTAAACTTCTCCTTGTGATCAGAGGTGAAAATAGCGATATCATTCGGGTTGATGTTCGACCACTTGAGGAATTCTTGCCGCCATTGAACCACAGACATGGAAGAGGTGCATAGAATGATGACTCCCTTTCTGATGGTGCAAGCAGCAGTGATACCAACAAGTGTTTTCCCCGCTCCACAGGGTAAAACGATAATCCCACTCTTTGCTCTGCCGTTTCCGAACATCTTACTCAAGCTCTTTTCTTGGTAACTTCGAATTTGTGCACTCGGTTTCAAATCAATCTCAAGATTCGCATTTGCTTGATCGTTTCTGAAGTCGTACTCTTCGAGGATGGGTAGAGCAAGCTCCAAGCACCGCTTTTGCACCGTTTCAACTGAATTATCCTGAATCTCAAACGAATGAACAGCCTCTGCATCGTCATCATCATCGTCATCTTCGTTCAGCGTAGCATATATGTCGTCTTGCTTCGGAGGTTCTTCGCCTTCTCTCAGTGCCACTTGCTGAGTCCCCGCTTGTTGCACCCCAGCCGCATTCTTCGTTCCTGGGATGACCAGGCCTTGCATGGTGGGCGCTGACGATTTCGTGATATCCCCAGAGCCTTGAACGCGAAGAGGCCCGATAACCTCATCTTTCAGCAGCCGCTGTAACATCTCAGGGTCCGAACTCTCGACGAAACGCTTTGTATTCTTCAAGACCAGCTTGACTTTTCCAAAACTCTGCGTACAACTTGTGATGTATTCTCGAATGTTGTCAGGTATTGGAATCTTAGAGAGACGGTCTAGCGTAGATATAATATCATTTGGATCGAGACCAACAGACACAGCTGCATACAGACTGTGTGGCGTCAAGGCATATTCGTGGAGGTATTCGGGTCGAGACAGGGGTTCAGCAATAGTTGTCAGGAAGTCCTGGGCTTGGGCAGCGAGAGGCGAAAAGCTCTCTAATATGATGCGAGCCTTATGGGGATCTATCCAAAGAGGGCGATTATCGTGATCAGGTTTAAGTGACAGGTAGGAGAAGTCATTGTTGCCAAAGTGATGGCTTGCTGAATCCCTCTGTGCTGGACGAACTTGTTTCTTAGTCTTGTAACTCTCCGCTGAGAACTTATTTACGGCATTATCAATATTCTCCTCTTCGGTCTCACTGGCTTCTTCGCCCGAGAAGTTGTCATCGCTGCTGTCTATACTCCTTGGAGTGGCGGGACCAGGCGTAGACGTCGCCGAGTCTCGTCCTGTTTTTGGCGGTCCACGGACACCTGGTTATGTTAGTGACGCACATTACAGTATAGCAAAAGGTATGCCATACTAGAGGATGCCTTTCTCTTGGGAGGCATCTTCGGATCTGTAGATGCAACCCTTGAGGTTGTTGTGAGCAAGAACAGTTTCTGGAGGGCCTGGACGATCTTGAATATCGTAAGGCTGAGGCCCACCTGAGTCATCAAATGCGCTAATCTGAAATAGTCCGAACGCGCCCCGCGTTCCTGCCTTTGCGCCTGTGAATATCCGTAGTGGGTGAGATCTGAGTACGAAACGTCCCCTTCAGCGAATTTATTCTTTGACTATCCATTTATTGCGTCAACATGTGGTGAGAACATTCTAGACCTTTGGAATATCCAGGCTTTCTAACGGTCCACAGCAAACACGTTCTCAACGCCCAAGTTTCCATCCGTTCACCATGCTGTATGGCTACCCCAATACCAGACTAGCCCAGTCAACGAGGCAGCTTCTTAACTACTCAACAGGCCGAAAATGGTTTGATTGCGCCGAGTGCCATCACGAGACCGAAGACCATGAGTTACTCCAGAAGATGGACATGGTAAGACCCCCATTATCCCAATCCGCAGCAACCCTGAGCAAGCCTAACACACCCCGCCCGCCAGACCTTCGCCTGCAAAAAGTGCAAAAAGGCCTTCCGAAAGGATGCCGCAGTGTTCGAAGAAAGTGACGAGTACTGCCCGCACTGCGATAACCATTTTGTGCTGGAAGCCAAGACACCAAAGCCGATGCTGAAATTTGAGGGCGAAGATGCTCGAGTCGATAACAGGATGTTGATCGACCACAGAACGCGGCAAGAGGAAGCCCGGACCATATTCGACGTCAAGGACGCCCCTAATAAGCTGGGTTGAGTACAAATCGAGTGGGGGAAAGGGGGGAGCTCAGGGGAAGGGGAAGCCAAGGGAGCGGGCAAGGACTGTCAAATATCCACATTAGCGGCATGAGTTACGAGCGCGGGTCTGTTAGTTTCACAGGCGAATATATCAGAGGGAACTTAGAAAGTTTCGCTCATTTGCTATAGTATACAGTGTCTAAAGAGGATATCGTGGCGCCGTTGGACAAGATGAGGGGTAACATAGAGTTATCTATTTATCCGCGTCATCTGGACCTTTCGTCAAGATGGCTGCCTGTCCAGTACCAGGAGTACGCCCAGTCTTCTTCTTAGCTGCCTCCTCCTGCTTCTCCGTCTCAATGTTCTTGACGTAGCTCTCAATGTCCTCCACTGGCAGCATCTCCACCGTCTTCCCAGGTGCCATGATGGCAATCTCAATGTTCTTAGCCCCGGTCTGCACAACCTCGAGGAGCGACTTGATCGTCAGCCTGATTGTCTCCTCACGGTCCATATCATCCTTGTGATTCCGCTCCAAAAATTCGCGAACTGTCTTGCTCGATCTACCGATGGCGTTCGCCTTCCTATTTGAGTTGTAAGTATATAGCCATGGATGTAAATAAAGAATAATTGGGGGACCTACCATGCCGAGTAGATTCCAGATGGCTCCGTCTGGTAGAGTCTGGGTGTTGAGTCGTTGGGGTCGAATCCAACAATCAAGGTGCTGATGCCAAACGGTCTCACACCTCCACTCTGCGTGTATCTCTGCTGAACACCAGCCACATACTTCGTGATGTATTCGATCGAAACCGCATCCTCAACAGTCAGGCGATGTGATTGTGCCTCTAACCTCGCCTTGTCGACCAGGATTCTGGCATCTGCGTTCAGGCCCGCGAAAGCAAGGCATACATGTGTATCGACCAGTCCGATCTTCGAGGGCGTAATGCGGGTGTCCTGTAACTTCATCGCCGAGCGCTTCTCGCATCCCAAAACCACGATATCCTTTCCCTTCACACCGACCGCGCAGGTTCCTGGGTAGAGGTCAGTATGTATGGTTGCGTCGATAGGGACGGGCTACGCACCTCTCTTCACGGCCTCCAGTGCATATTCGACCTGGAAAACGTGTCCATCAGGACTTCACAGCTGTTAGAAAGGCGAAGGCAACATGGCACGTATGGAATTACCTGAATACTATGGAGCTATTAGCTTGGTCCCCAACGGACGGATACAGTAATGGAGCTGATGCTTACCGGAGAGAGCTCTGTCGTATCCTGACATCTTGAATTATGACCTTTATGCGTTTTATACCCAGGAATCGATATGGATCCAGGTTACTGTAATGAATTGCAGCTTGTAATAAGGTCGTTGAGTTGCTTGTCAGTGGTCTGGTCTGGACTTAGGCTACGAGAGCATACGCATGGAGAGCTACGCGACGGGAGCTACACAGTTACTGTTGCCTCGTATGTCAGGCAAACACGACAAGGCTGAGGAATTGCGAAATCGGCGGGCTTGGCATCGGCGGCTTGGGTCTGGGGTTTACTTCAAGGGTGCTCAATCCGTACATTTAGAGCATCAAACTAAAAATGGCTTGTCGGTCGAGGATTGTGCCTACGCTGAAGCGTACCAGGCTTTCCCCACGGTACGCCGTGAGCGCCCAACAGCTCAGGGCGCCCCTCCAATGCCGATGGCAGACCACCGCAGCTCCAGATGCGAAAGCCCAAGAGGGCACGAAAATTATCAAATTCACCACCGACTCATACCCAGAGATCAAGCGTGACAGCCGCTTTGCTGAAATCACTCCTGAGCATGTCGAGTATTTCAAGGGCATTCTTGGCAAGGAATCTGCGCTCATCGACGGCGTCACCAAGGATGCTACCGACGATATGGAGCCGTTCAATGCGGATTGGATGCGCAAATACCGCGGGCACACGAAGCTAGTTCTCAAGCCGGGCTCGACGGAAGAAGTCAGCAAGATCCTGAAATACTGCAACGATAATATGCTGGCCGTAGTGCCGCAGGGAGGGAACACGGGATTGGTCGGCGGATCGGTTCCAGTCTTTGACGAGATTGTTATTCAAATGGGCCGCATGAATGCGATTAGGTCGTTTGACGAGGTGTCCGGAACATTAGTTGCGGATGCTGGATGCATTCTCGAGACCACCGACCGCTATCTTGCAGACCGTGGACATATCTTCCCCCTGGACCTCGGCGCGAAAGGCTCCTGCCATATCGGCGGCAACCTCGCGACCAATGCCGGTGGATTACGGCTCCTGAGATACGGCAGCTTGCACGGCACGGTTCTTGGTGTTGAGGCTGTCCTCCCAGATGGGACAATCGTGGACGAGCTCTCCAAGCTACGCAAGAACAACACCGGTTACGACCTCAAGCAGCTCTTCATCGGCGCAGAGGGCACAATCGGTATCATAACCGGCGTCGCCATCCAATGCCCCCAACGCTCCAAAGCCGTCAACGTAGCATTTTTCGGCCTCGAGAGCTTCGAGAAGGTGCAAAAAGCCTTCATCGAAGCCAAGGGCCAACTAGGCGAGATCCTCTCCGCCTTCGAGCTCATGGACCGCAACTCCCAGCGCATGGTCAAGGAGTACACCAACAACAAATCCCCGCTCGAAGACGAGCACCCCTTCTACTGCCTCATCGAGACCAGCGGCTCCAACTCAGAGCACGACACCGAGAAGCTGGAGAAGTTCCTCGAGGACGTGATGGAGAAGGAGATTGTCCTCGACGGCGTCGTCGCGCAGGACGAGACGCAGATTAAGGCGCTCTGGAGCTGGAGAGAGGGTGTCCCGGAGGCGATTGGTGGGTTCGGCGGTGCGTATAAATACGACGTCTCCATCCCGCTGGCGGAGATGTATACCCTGGTCGAGGACACGCGGGTGCGTATGGAGGAGGCGGGGTTGATTGGCGACAGCGACAGCCATCCGGTTAAGGACGTTGTTGGGTATGGACACATGGGTGATTCGAATTTGCACCTTAATGTCTCGGTTAGGAGATACGATAAAGCGGTTGAGAAGGCGCTGGAGCCTTGGGTGTATGAGTGGATTGAGAAGAGGTCGGGGAGTATTAGTGCAGAGCATGGGTTGGGGCTGGCGAAGAAGAAGTATATTGGGTATAGTAGGAGTGAGACTATGATTGGGCTGATGAAGCAAGTTAAGAATCTGTATGATCCGGTAAGTCTATGTTTTCCCCGAGGCTTGATGAGATTGCTAACGGGGAGTAGAATGGGATTATGAACCCGTATAAGTATATATAAGCACCTAAGTTCGCCTCGACTCAATGAGAGCACGCGGCTGTATATACCCCTTAGCATCTGTTGTAAAACCAAAAGTATTTGGCTTGCTGATAGTTAGAATATTACTATTAAATCGGTGCAAATTAAGGCGGTGCAAAATCATGAATACAATCTAGATCTAACTCCGATATCCTTCTATCCAATAGCCAATCTATAACCAACTATTGGTATTTTACCAATCCACATCTATCTCTCCGCCCTCTAAATCTTCGTCTCCCCCCCCAAGAACCCCCCCAAAACAACAGCCTGCAACAACTGATTCGCAATCGCCGTATGCCCCGGCAACCTCAAATCGCCCTCCTTCCTCCCCTCTCCCGGCGCCTCATCCAACCCACTTGTCCCCGTCTTCAGCGCCACCCTCACCGTCTCGAAATCGAACCACTTCGCCTGCTCCAACTCAGGATCATGCTCGAGATTAATCTCCTCCCCCCCCTTCACCGCCTGCCCAATCGCGCCAATCATCAAGTTCGCCGGATACGGCCACGGCTGTGAACTATGCACCACCACTCTCCCAACCCTCACCCCGCTCTCTTCCCACACCTCCCTCCGTACCGCCTCCTCCACGCTCTCCGCTGGCTCGCAGAAGCCGGCAAGAGTACTATACCAGTCGGTAGGCCAGCGTTTTTGGCGGCCTAAGAGCACTTTCGTGCCGTCGTGGGAGATCACTGCCATGATGACTGTGGGGTCGGTGCGGGGAAAGGAGAGGTTAGAGACTACGCCGCGGGTGGCGCAGGGGCCGCGGGCGGAGGCGCCAGGGGCGAGGTCGGCGGTGGGACAGACGCGCTTGGTGCCTGCGTGGACGGAAAGGGTGGGCTGGCCGCAGCCGGAGCAGAAGGGGTTGCGGGCGTTCCAGTCGAGAAGGGCGCGGGCTTGGGCGAAGATGGCGGCTGGGGGGTATTAGTGAGGTCTGTGGGGGATGGGAGAGGGGGTGGTACCATCTGAAGCGTTGAGTGTCATGGCGCTTCGGCCTTGGAGGAAGATCAAATTCTTCGCCTTTAGGGTTTCAATGACCCCCTTTGCGGCCTCCTCATGCGAGCCCTTCGGTGTGATATCCACCGCGAAGTAAGGAACTCCCTTATATGCCTTATACTCAAACCCCTCATGTCTCTTATCATTGATACCCAAGAACAAGATCAACGGCGAAGCCACCTTACTATTATACGCCTCAATCATCTCCGCCTCCGTCTTCGCAAACGGGTTCTCCCCAATCACCGCACTGAGATCAGCATGGCTCACATACGCGAGGTTCGCGGCATCGCGGGCAGCCGGGGCGAGGTCGTCGACGGCCACAAAGGCGGTGCTGTGGTGCGTGAGGGCGGCGGCCAGGAAGGCGTGGTCGGTGCGGAGGAAGGAGAGGCGGTTGAGGGGGGAGCCGGAGAAGTAGTTTTGGACCTCGGGCCCGAATTTGCGGGTTAGCATTGAGTCGAGGAGTTCGGGGGCGGCGAGGGGTAGGTCGGGTTGGGCCGGCATTGAGGGATTGGGGGGAGGCGATGAGGTCGAGGGGTGGGTTTGAAGGAGATACTGGGGATGGAGATATATATGAATCTGAACTGGGCAAGGATAGAAGAAGGTTTGCCGATAAGGAGAATAGATAGAGTTGCGTCGGGCCAAGTGTTGGCGAAAGTGTGGGGTAAGGCAGCCCCGCGTTCTATTTCTTAAGTTGACCCTCGGCGCGATTTGTAATCAAAGACGTGCTGGCAGTGCAGCATGGAATGATAGCAAGGTTTGGGATCTTGAGGGGGGAAGTGCAATATAGCAAAGCAATCAACCTCGATACATTTTTAAAATAAAGAAATACTCGAATACCTTCTAAGATACGACAAAGGAAACAAATCTGATAGCTCTTCGAACCCTGGAGGGATTGACAAGCGCTTTCGGGGCGATAAGATCCACTATCAGCATGTGACCTTACTTGTGGAACCATCCTCACTGGGACGAGCGAGACAGTGTCGGTTACCGCCACATATTTAAGCCTTTCTTTGCCCTTCATTCCATCCTATCAACTCCAATAGCTGGGGAAACACCAGATTTCTCTTGTCCAGCTTCATTCTGGTTATTTCTATGCGGAGGGAATACGCAGTCCCTACATTACCCCAGCATAGGTGCCACGACAGACCGCACGCGAGACTCGGAAATGCCCACGTGACTCATCATCGAACGACAACACCATGGTCCCACCGTCTCAAAGCCTCAATCTAGACGCAGAGGCTATCAGTGGTATCCTGGGGTCGATATCTATTGCATGTTGGGTCACGTAAGCCGTATCATCCTCCGTCACCCTCGCAGTCACTAACACATGCCAGTGTTTTCACACCCCAGATCCTCGAGAACTTCCGCCGTGCAAGCGCCGAGTCTCTATCCCTGGAATTCATAGTCATATGGAGTCTAGGTGACCTCTTCAATGTCTTCGGCGGCATCCTACAAGGCGTTCTGCCTACGATGCTCATCCTGGCCGTATATTACGTCCTAGCTGACGTCGTCCTCATCTGGCAATGTCTGTACTACCGCGGCGTTCCCTCGCAGGAAGACTCCCCCACGCCGCCCTCCGAGAGTCAGCCGCAAGCTGAACCCAATGGGCGCCGTCCCAGCGGTCCCTCGCGCCGATCCAGCGTAGTGGACGCAACGCACCTCTCCCCGGCCACCCCGTTGGCAGAGCCCACCAAGCCCAGCAGGCGACGCTCGACACCCCTGCAGACAGCCCTGCTGAACCTGCTCGCAGTCTTCATGGTTGCGGGCGCTGGGGTGTTCGGGTGGTGGGTGAGCACCGGGTCTCAGCGTGGGCCACAGAACCACGACCATGGGCACGGCCCGGCGCCACCGCACCGTGAAAAGGGGGAGCTGCCTTTGGATCCCCTGGGCCAGGCGTTCGGCTACGGCTGCATGGTGATGTATCTCGGGTCGCGAGTGCCGCAGCTAATACTGAACTGGCGGCGGCAGTCGACGGATGGCCTGTCGGGGATGTTCTTCCTGTTTGCGTGTCTGGGAAATGTGACGTATTTCCTGTCGATTTTGGCGTATGAGCCGGCCTGTGTGAGGGAGGAGGCGGGGTGTGAGGAGGGCGAGGCGAGCAGGGTTTATGGGAGGTATCTGCTGGTTAACCTGTCATGGTTGATAGGGAGCATTGGGTGCTTGGTATTTGATTTTGGGATCTTATTGCAGTTCATTCGATACAGCGAGGCCAATGAGCTGGTCACTGCGAGTGAGGGGGAGAGGAGGCCGTTACTGGACGGGACTGATCCAAGGGAAGAGCGATGATGAGAGATGTGTGTCTCTCCTTGCTGCGGAAACACGGGATATTTCTAGACATCCAACTTCAGAGATGCTGGCTGGATCCACGAGAACTGATTTGTCTGATAATGAATATGTATCATATACCGGGCGAGTTATTGCGATGTGTCTGACAATGCATCGGTGATAATCGCCGTCTGACTGACACGGGCGATTTCATGCACAGCCCCATGAATCAGGCACCCGGTTTTTTTGAGACCTGCTGGTAGCGATCGAGTCGAGTTACCTCAGCGATAGTTACCTCCCCTCCTTCCTTGGCTCTCATGTAGTACCTACGACACGGCATCGGACGAGCAGCAGTATCGGGAAACGAGTAAAGTGTTCGGGGTGCGCAGACATGCATAAGCGTCTTGTGTACTATCCTGTGTACTATGGGTAGAGCAATGTGCGGTCGTGGGGTGTTTCGGGGTCGCCGAAGTCATGTGAGGAACGACGCGAGTTGGTTGGCGGGCGCGTATCTTGATACGGTTCTAGAATAGAAGGGGATATCATATTGCTGCCTGGAGGGGAAAGTGGGATAATACAAGCCCGATTTTTGCAAAGTATACTTTTTCGTATTCTTGGCTTGTGAAACAGAAACAGAACCTGTTATTTCTGATGTGGTGGTGGTGGTGGTGATGAACGGAATGAGCCAGAGCAAGAATTCAGGTAATCGGCTGGTGCTCTCCTATAAGGCGTAAAAGACAGCTATAGTGGTGGACAGAGGGTGGTCAGAGTGCTGGTGGGTGGCAGACTTGGCAGCTAATTTAGGGGACGTGGGGAGGGGATGATGGTGCAATTAGAGCCAGTAACAGAGTTATCCCGCCGGCGCATCGGCCGCATGCTGTCTGTACCACCCGTAGATTACCGCCATCTGGTGTGTATCTAGTGGAATCTAGTGTATCTCTCAAGTACCAAGCCCCGTAAGGCTGAGCAAGCTGGACACCTAAAACTGCTGATCAGCGGTGTTGATCAGCGTACAAATAGTCGCCATAAAAGCCCTGAGAGGAAAAGAAAAACACGGCGACATTGAAAACCCGCCCCGCCGCCAATAGGACAAGCGGCCCAGATATCTGGTGTGGTACCTGGAAGCTACAAACTTCAAAAAACTTGGTCCCCATAATGCGGTATAATGCGGTGGCCTTGCGCCCTTCCGCCCCTCTTCCCACCCCTTCCCAACCCTTCCCAACACCCTTCCAACCCTTCAAAATACTCGTTAAACGGCCATCCCGGCGCTAGAGTCCTGCACCTCTTGCACCTCCTGCACCTCTCCTCCCCCAAAACCTCACCACCACCCACCTACCCACCTCCCCCAATCTCAAATATGCAGCCCTACGGACCAAAACGGACATTCATAGGTTAGGGATGACGAAGGGGGGGCCATCTTACCCGTTGCCTCCTAGTCCTAGTCACTGCGAGTTAGGAGTACTTCGGCGGGTTTATATCCTGCCAGTACCTACCTCGGAGCCAGCAGCAAGCACCCTTGGTCGTTATTTAACATTACAATTACACTACATTACACATCATCCCCGGCATTCCTCACAGAAACCAAATATTTTTTCTCTGATATATCTGTCGTTGCTGGTCGATCACCGCCAGCAGCTGTCCTAATCTTTATCCCGGACGTCGTATCTCATCATCTTTTCATTCATATTCCTCGTCCTATCTACTACATCATCGTTGTTTTGTGTTCACCGTGTGCCCGGTTCCGTGAGATAACTACCCAAGCCCCCCTATCCCCCCGCCGTCCACAACTGGTTGGCAAATACAGGCATGTATCATGGTGTATGTCCTCTATCAGCCCTCATTCTTCACAACCAAGCTCTGTATTAACCAGCCCATGCAGTGGCGTTCCCGGCAAATTCAAAGGTTGCAACACCTGCCGCACTCGCCGAGTCAAGGTTGGATTCCCTTTTCCAACTTCTGTATCGTCAACAGTATGCTAACAATGCACAGTGTGACAATGCTCGGCCAAAATGCCAGAAGTGCGTCGCTTCTGGCAGGGAGTGTGGAGGTTATGAGAGGCAGATGATATTCATCGTTGGCACGACCAACGAGCGCGGTCGGTGTATGTTGAGCTCCCCCGCTATCCCGCTAGCCGTCCTGACTTCTAGAAAGGCAGCAGTCACCCGCACCGCTCTATCCTGACAGCGAAGCAGAAGATGGAGAAAGAGAAGGAAAGGGAGAGGGAAAGGGAAAGAGAGCTGTCAAGGCCGCAGGTTGATTGGCAGAGCCATAGTGAGGGAGAACATTCTTCAACGCTTCCTCCGACGCCGACGCCTATCAATGGCACTCCAACCCCTGAGATCTCGTGTGCTTTCTTACACTCGCCGTCTCTATCTCTCAATCCGTCTTTCGAAGCTGAAGGAGAGGCATTTTCTTTGCCAGGGCTCACTCACTCTCTGCCCGAGTTTAGTGACCCGGATTCGACTCGCGAGTTCTCTCTGCATGCTTACTCATTCGTACGAGAGCCGGAGGCAACGCATCGGTCACGCCCAGCCGATGGAGATGTTAATCCACGAGCGAGAAAGAAGGCCCATCTAGAAGTTGACACATACTCGACATCAAGAAATGGCCACGCCGAGCCTGTAACGACCCTCCTCTTTGTCTATAACGTAAATTAACCACCCAGCTTCTCCTGAACCATCTAACACATCCACAGTCAACAGGAGCACCCGCTGGAGAGGCCGGTCCTTTCCACTGCCTCCACGGTGGCACCTCATCCGAGATAAAATCCCGCGACCCCTCATCCTTCCAAAAATTCCCCGCCCACCAATTCTTCGCAAACCTCTACAGACCCTTCGCCGTACGTCCCGTCCCGTCCCCATATCCCAGCCCACCACCCCCCCCACTAACCAACCCAGTGCTTCGACGCAATGTCCCGCCGCCAAGCCACCTTCCTCGCCCGCCCCGAATGGTGCGCCGCGCCCTGGGAAGACATCCCCAAAACCGCCATGGACCGCCTCCTCGACATCCAAGTCATGCTCCCCGGCATCTTCGAGCGCGCTAGACGCACAGAGGCGTTCCCTCCCTCCGCTTACAGGAGGTTAAAAGCTAAAGACCTGCTTGACAACTGCACCCGCCTCGATAAGAGTTTCGAGGAGTGGTACAGCGATTTAAAATCCCAGTCCGACGGCCCACTCTACTGGACCGTCGACGCCGCACACTCCTTCAACCCGAAACACCGCAACGAGCTCAACGCCCTCTTCCCCACCGCCCTCGAGTTCATCGACATCAACACCGCCCTCCTCCACCTTAACTACTGGGCCGCCCTCTGCCTCTTCTACCAAACCATCCAGCAAGTCCAGCAGAACTGCATGGAAGTCGCCCCCTCCCCCCCCGCACGCTCATCCTACACCCCTCCCGTGCCCGCACACTCTACCTACTCCCCGCCCAGCACGCGTGCGTTCGCGGAGGCGGGGGGGTACATGGGGTCTAGCCCTTCGTACTCTACGCCCTCCCCGCACGCATCCGTTTCCCCGGCGGCGGATTTGTATAACCCCGCGCCGTATGAACAGAGTACCTATGCTGCTCAACAGGCCTACCCGACTTACCAGCGAAACGGCGCGTATCAGGCAGCGCAGACATACACGACTACTTCATCACTCTCATCCACCTACCCCGCGACCGCGCACCCGAATCTGGGGTATACACTCCCCACGCCAACACCGCTTTACCCAACGAATCCCTACGACCTCTCTGAGCCCTTCCTCTTCACCACCACCCCGCCTGACGTGTATCAAAACCCGTCCTCCCTCGCGTCGCTTAACCCGTCGGTGGCGGCGGGTTCATTCCCTTTCTACCTCGCCCCTCACTCCCTGTCCTCCCCGCAACAACACCCACCACACCAGACACACCAACGCGTGCCCTCACCCACCCCACCACCACTAGACCAGAAATTCTCGGCCCAAGCAACAGGGGAGCTAGCGAGGAGGATTGGGATGGGAATTCTTTATGTGCTACGCAGGGGGGGCGCGGGGGAAGGGGTGGCCTGGCCGCTGAGGTGTGTGGGGGAGGTGTTTGGGGGGGAGGGGTGGGTTGAGGGGGTGCGGTGGTGTGGGGAGGTTGGGAGGGTTGTTAGGGGGATGGGGTTGGAGAGGGGGGTGGGTGGGTTGGAGAGGGAGAGGTGGAGGGTTGTTGGGGGGGAGGAGGAGGGGGAGGAGTAGTGTGGGGTGTGGGGGAGGGGTAGGTGGGGGTTGAGGGAAAGAATGGGGGTGTACGATATATCATAATTTTGGTGGGAGTTTAGGGGGGTGGAGAGGGGAATGGAGAGGGGGGTCTAAGCATAGCTTGGTCGCGTTGAGCGCGAATGCAAAAATGAAAATGAAATCATCTGATATAATACAACAATCACTCTACCGTTTCGACTCTACTAATTATGCCAAAATTATACGTGATAGCAGATCAACAAGTCAAGAAAAATCCATTCAAATTCAATAGAAGGTCAATTATAATCCCCTCCCTTTTATATACGCCTTATTTTATATAACTAGGAAAAAATTTAATAATTTAATAGGTTTATTTAGTTCCGTATCCCTTCCATAGGAAATTAGAATAAGAATAAGGATAGGCCACCCCTCGTACGAAAGGAGCTGCGTATACAATCAACCTATGGTTCACCCATTGTTTATGTGTGCCTAATATCAAATATAACGTTATAACTACGTTCATCGTTCTATCCCATCCTACCTCTCAATCCAGGAAGAATTTAAATAATCATCATCACTTCCACAACAGCATACACCACAACCTACACCACATCCCACATCCCACCCCCCCCATTACCCCCATTACTCAGCAACTCACCTCCCAATCAATCCACTCACCCCCCTCTTCCCCCCCATAAATGGCAGAAAAGATCCACACTCCCTCAAAAACCAGTCGCGTACATCTCCGTATCACGTGCACCCAAAACGCGAAATCACATGACACCCACCCTGTCTCCTACCTAATCCAGCCTAGTCCCTCTCCCTCCGTTCCTTCCACATCCCCTAGCTCTACAGTACCTAGCTCCCTCCCCAATTTCGCGGAAGTGCAAAACAAAATGCCAAGACCGAGCGACATACAAGCCCGCAGCACGCCCCCCCCTTGTCTAACCGACCGGTAGTACTGGAGGTATCCAGGCATGTGTCTTGTCACTTTACTGACTGGACTGGGACTCTGGTACTCTGGACTGATCCATCAGTGGAGATGTGGCGGCGGCGGGTACGGTGAGGTGAGGTGAGGGTAAGGTAAGGTCGTATGCGGGGAAGTTCAAGTCAAACTCGAGGTCGGAGTCACAAGAGATGGGGAAGTTTTAGTTGGGAACGGACTGCTGTACTGCCGTAGCGACGCTGGGGATTGGTCTGGGTCTGGACTGCGGGCGAGGGGGGGGGGTGGAAATGGCCCGATTGAAATGTTTTTGGGGGGGAGGGATTGGGTTAGCGTGGAAGGGGTGGAAGTGGTTAGTAAGGGAAAGGGTGTGTTTGGATGGTTGTTTGTTTGGTACGGTAGGGGAAGGGGAGGGGGAGGGGATGAAAACGAATGATGGGGGAGGGCACGTGATGGGGTGTGTTTGTTGGTGGTTGTCACAAGAGCAGGAAGGTAGAGTATGGAGATGGGGAAGGGGAGGGAGAGGTGTGATTTGTATTTTTGGGTGTTCTCGTGTTGTTGTGTTGTGACTGTGGGATGCGATATGGTGTATATACATAGATACGATACTGAAGGTGATCTAAGCTGAGCTGGCGGTATCGTATCGTATCGTATCTTACGATGCTACTCTATCTCACGATCCTCCTCACGATCCTCCTCAATGCCGAACTCCATATCGTCGCCGGTATCACCACTATCACAAGCCTCCTACCACCTCGTACATCCCTCCCTCCCTCGCGTGGTAGTATACCAACACCACAACGCGTGAGTAGTCTTCCAACCAACACCACACAGCCAACACCACCACACCCCCCAGCACGAGCACGACCGGCAATCACCCCCTCCGTGCCGACACAACGCCCACTCCTTCCCCCCGACACGCCCACTCCTCACTCCCGAACCCACCACAGCAAGCCACAGCCTCAACGTTACTACCGACCCCCTACTAGCGTGTCCTGCACCCGGCACGCCACACGTCAGCCCGTATCCTACGTTACGGAAGGTTATTTTGGGGTGTAGGGGGGGGGTGGGTGTGTGTACTGGGTACTTGGAGATGGGATCTGCAACGTGATGGGATGGGATGCAACGAAGGCGCGGTTAGGGGAGGGGGTTAGGCGGTAGTGGTCGGTTGGTTGGTTCGGCGGTTCGGTTTAGCGGAGAGGCGTGGGGACGTGGTGGATGGGGAGATAGTGAGATAGGGAGATAGGGTGCTGGTAGGAGATGGGATGGGAGATGGGATGGGAGATAGATGGGAGATAGATGGGAGATAGATGGGATTGTGGATGAAGGGGATAGTTGAAGCTGGGATGGTAGTGATGGGATGGGATGGGATGGTTGATGCTGGGTGGGTACGTTGCAATTGTGTACCGGAGAAGATTGCCGGCAGGGAGATGGAGTCGGAACACCGATTCAAGTACAGTGGCTGCATGTACAGCAGTTATTACAGTTTGCTTGCTGTGCTGCCATGTACACCTATCGCACACTTCCTGCACATCTGCCATATCTGCCACATCTGCCACAGTTACATAAAGTATGCTCGCTACCGCACAATTCCATCTCCACCTCCTCTATCAGAAGACAAGGTACACAGTACAACCCACCACCAGACTCCCACCACCACCACAACACACCCGAATGCAACCAGCAACTCACAAGTGCCCTACCAAGCAACAAGCCTCGCCGCATCCAGCTAATCAACAAACGTCGCTTAGTCGAATCTCGAGGCTAGGGGAGCTAGGGGCTAGGGGCTAGGGTCGGTCGTGTGCATTCGTGCTACCTTCCTTCCGCTCTCACGCTGCCCACCACTGAGTGTCTGTATCCCTTTCCGCGCTTCATCATCCCCACTGACTAGATGAAACGGGGTACTTCTGTCATCACCCACTTCGCTACTGGATGCTAAGTACTGGAGTAGGGGGATAACTGGGGATAACTGAGGATTACTGGGGATAACAAGGGGTCGGCTAGCAACTTAGGCTTAGGTAGATGCTACCGAGGCGTTATCAAGGTGTTCTCTTCTTCTACTACTCTACTACTGAGGGAACAGAGATTGTCTCTCACGTGCCCCTCTCCACACCCTTACCACACCCTCCACAATCCTTCTCTCTCTCCCTCCCCCACAAAGCTTCGTTTGGGTACATACGGCCGAGGGAGGGTATGTATGTACTGTAGTATGTACTTGTGGTGCTGTGGTACATTGCCAGATGTGCTATGTTACTGTACTGTATACTGTATTATTACTCTGCAGTATGCGCCTGTGAGTCTGTCTCTCCCTTTCCTTTCTCTCTTCACAATTCCTAAGTCACAGTCTCTTCATTCTTCCCTTTCTCCCTTCTTCCTCCCCTCCCCTCATCTCCACCTCCTCTTTCTCCTCTTTCTCTCCACAAACTTCACCTCCACATCACGTCCCTCCGTCTCTCCGTCCTCCTCCCTCCACTACAACCTTCAAACCAAACCAACCCCATGCATAAACGCCTCAATACGCCCATACCCGCACCCATACCCATCCCCCATCCACATCCGCCACTTGCCCCAGAATACAACACAAGCTACTACTACTACTACACGCCAATCCCGCCCGTTGATGTACGCCGATACCTCCACACTACTACTTCCACTACTACTTTCACTACTCCCTTCTCACACTACTACTCTACTCCTCTACTACCCTACTACTCTACTGACTAACTCTACTACTATACATAGAATAGTACGGGTAGTACTACCGTATCCTCGCTCTTATTCCATCTACCCTCGCCCCTCGCGAACCACTGATCCACCTTCATCCACTCTGTCCACCTCCACACCCCCCCTACGCCCCCAATCCACCTCTCCACAACATCACCCTAACTCGCCGTAAACTGCTCTAGGTAAGGTAAGACACCCTGCAGACGTGCCATCCCAGATAACACCCCTGCTTCCACACCCCCAAGCTTATCTCCTCCTTCCCGCCTTCACTTTTCTATATCATCCCTACCTCCCCCTTACCACCGACGCCCTTCTCTCTCCAAACCGACCTGAGTCGCCAACTCCACCCCCACCAACCTTGGATCGACAATTCTCCTTCCAAAGCCATGGCCGACTCAAAGGAAACCTACGAAGCTGCCACCGACGCGAAGGTCGCCGACGCCACACCCACCTACGAAGAGCACGCTGTCGTCGACAATGACGGCCTTGGCGCGCTGCCCGGGGATCGCCCAGCAGGATGGATGTACCGCGAGCGCAAGATTGGCCCGGTCGTCGTGACGTGGTACGCGTCGCCGATGTTCCAGCTCTTGATGGTCTCGTTCGTCTGCTTCACGTGCCCTGGTATGTTCAACGCATTGACGGGTCTGGGAGGTGGTGGACGCGACGATCATGAATTGGCTTCGAATATGGTAATTCTTCCACTTTTCCTACTCGCGTCATGGTAGTAGCAATTGCTAGAGATCCCCCCGTGGGTGCGGGGGATTGCAGGGGATATGCGACAAGGGAGGATGGGAGATGCGAAATAAATAAATCACTTTACTTTACTATACCTATACTAACCACGTGCGCAGAACGTTGCTCTCTACAGTACCTTCGCCGTCGTGGGTTTCTTCGCCGGCTCCTTCGTCAACCGTCTCGGCATCAAGGCCACCCTCTCCTTCGGCGGCATCGGCTACTGCATCTACGCCGTCGCGCTCCTCGCCTCTCTCCACGCCGGACCCAAGATCAACGGGTTCTGCTACTTCGCGGGCGCGCTCCTCGGTGTCTGCGCCGGCCTCCTCTGGACCGCCCAGGGCACAATCATGATGTCGTACCCCCTCGAGTCCGAGAAGGGCCGCGCCTTCGCCTGGTTCTGGACCATCTTCAACCTCGGCGGCGTCGTCGGGTCGCTCATCCCCCTCGGCCTCAACGTCAACAACCCCCACGGCGTCGGCGTCCAGGACGGAACCTACATCGCCTTCATCGTGCTGATGTTCTGCGGTGCCGTCCTCGCCCTCTTCCTCTGCAACGCCAACAATGTCATCCGCTCCGACGGCTCCAAGGTCGTGCTGATGAAGAACCCCTCGTGGAGCTCCGAGTTCGTCGGCCTCTACAAGACCATCATCTCAGACCCGTACATCCTCCTCCTCTTCCCCATGTTCTGGTCCTCGAACTGGTTCACCACCTACCAGACCAACTCCGTCAACGGCGCCTTCTTCAACATCCGCACACGCTCCCTCAATTCCCTGCTCTATTGGTTCTCCCAGATGATCGGCGCTATCGTCTTCGGTAACTGCCTCGACATCGAGCGCTTCCAGCGCACGACTCGCGCGAAGGCTTCGCTTGTTGTGCTCTTCGCTCTTACTTTCGCTATTTGGGGAGGCGGGTACAAGTGGCAGACTGGATTCACTCGTGAGAACCTCCCGGCTACGGGTGACTGGACCGATAAGGGATACCTCGGCCCTATGTTCTTGTACATGTTCTACGGCTTCTACGATGCCGCTTGGCAATGCTGCGTTTACTGGTACGTCCTCCTAATTCCCATCTCCCCCTACTCCCTCTTTCCCCTCCCCCTTCCCCCACCATCCACCCACCCACCCGCACCACCGCAAAACAACCCACAAGCTAACCCCCACCCCCAGGTACATGGGCGCCCTCACCAACAACGGCCGCAAGATGGCCAACTACGTCGGTTTCTACAAGGGCATCCAATCTGCCGGCGCCGCGGTAATGTGGTCCCTCGACGCGCACAACATGTCCTTCATGGACGAGCTGATCTCCAACTGGGTCCTCCTCGCCGGGTCGCTGCTCGTCGCTGCGCCGGTTATCTTTATGAGGATTACGGATCATGTGACGGTGGAGGAGGACCTGAAGTTTAGCGATGGGACGTTGGCGGATGTGTTGCCGGAGGGGCATGCGGAGAAGAGTGTTGGTGCTTAGATGGGGAGGGTTGTTGTTAGGGAGTAATTTTTTAAGAGGGGGGGAGGTGGTGGTGGTTTAATTTGTGGGGTGGGTATATCCAGGGGGGTTGTTAGGTAGCGGGTGGCATATTGATGTGTTTACTCACTCATGAGTGGTGCTGGTTGTGATTAGAGTGTGTTTGCATGCTTTCTCCCCTTGTGAATGTTCGCTATGTTAGATACACGTCTTTTTAACGATGTCGACTCTACTTTACCGACGCGCCACAGAAAGTCTAAACGGCCCCAGGACAGCCTACAGTTACTAGGCCCACGTATATGTTGGAAGGCTGACCTAAAGTAAGAACTAGGCTCTAGCCTAGATAGTTGGAGTCGTACACGATACGGAAATTGCGGTGCAATCGCTGACTACTGCGGCGCTGGGAACTGCTATTCTGGCGCTTGCGACACTGATATTGGCGGACCAAGCATTAATGGAGAATGTGGGCCTTTGTTCGCTGGAAACAAAACATGCACCGGTACCCAATTTGGTACATGTTGCAGCAACGATGGATACTGTGGAAGCACTGTGGACTATTGCGGATCTAAGAGCTGCTACTCGGGTGCCTGCACGTAGTATGTCTCATAAAATTGAGCTTCACTAGCTTCAAAGGTGATCCGTTTGGATTACGTTTTACAAAACTCTAGTTGGAATCATATGGCTAGAGTGGGTGTTGGGAGTCTATTGATAAGTGACGTAGATGGCAATTAGACAGCAATATCATTAATAGAGACATGGAATAGTTTCTGAATGCCATCTCATTTATCCCGTAAGCTACGGCCCCCCTATCCAGTCTCTGGGTTTTCACGCATCACAGAGTAGCCATCTAGCCCTGCTCTGAATACTGATTTCTGTCTCGGTATATCAATCGTGTCATAACCGTCGGTCTATTTTGCAAACTAGGCCTCTAACAGAGCAGACAGCTAACCTACCATTTCATATGAAGCTGATACATGTAAGACCCGTCCTCCGTATCCGCCTCTTTAAACTTCTCAATTCCACCTACCACACCCTCTTCATCTACTTCCCATAATCCAGCTTCCACAATGGCCTGCCATTGACCCAAAACATCTGCTAACTGCGGCTCATGCAATGGGATAAAATGATTATACCCCGTTTGGTATAATTCATTCCTCCGGCCGCTAGGCCTTACCTTCGCGCTCTCAAGATTTTCGCCGATAAGTGTGTCGTCCGTACGCCGCGCAAAGCCGCGGGCGCCAATATTGAATGGCAGGATGAGTCTGCAGCCGTCTTCAAAGACGTGGTCGCCATCTCTGTTGACATAGGTTGTCCACAGGCCGTACGGTAGATTGGAGAGATCTTGCAAAGGGTAGTGCTCAAAAATAGGCGAAGTTGACTTGGTGCCTGTGACAAACAAAGGGATTGGGAGAACGGGGTTTGGAAATAATTGAGGAATGTCAACATTCTGTAGTGGGAGTGGCGAGAAGTCGGGTTCTGTAGGAAGGCGCAGACCTGGCGCTATGTATTTTATATTTGCTTTTGGTCGCCGAACCGATGTGAGGAACTCTCGGACGAAGCCCTGTTTTAATCCAGCCCTGTCCAAGACTTCCTTGGAGATAAGGCCCATTTCATTTTGGGAGCGTGGCGCATCGAATTTGGCAGTCGCAAGAGCGACAAGCTTTGCTTGGTCTTCTAGGTTGTCCTTCGGTTGAAGTGACGGGTTTTCGACCAAACTCTCAATCTTGAGAATCAAATTATCAAAATAACTGACAGCAGCTTCGAGATCCATTTGGCTGTATGGCTGAAGCTCCCATGGGTCGGCTTCTCCTGGTCCTCTAACGGGCGAGGGCCTCGCAACGATCTTTCCAGAGTCAATCATACCTAGCCAAGCAGTAAAAACGACCTCGAGAGGGTCCCAAACTGTTCGACCATTGTTTGTAATAGAATAGTTTGAGACATCGGCGTGAAAAATTGCCCGGGACATCTCTTGGTCGAAGCTAAATGGGTATTGGCTCAGCCATCATTCGAACAAATCTATGAGATATTTACTTCAAGCCATCTGGGTCACTACCCATATTCGGATCGGCTAGCGGGTACAGACACATTGTCCCTTCATCCTCATGACAAGTTTCAAACAGATTTTCTGGGCAAGAAATGCCACGGACATAGTAGAAGAAGCTCTGGTTAGGAGCCTCTTCAAATGCTGCTTGAAGAAATTGCTTTAGAGTTGGTGACAGGCGAGCTGACCATTCCGCCTCGAGGGCTGGATCCGTGATATGTGTTTGCCACCAGGTTTCCCTGGGCATCTCCGTCTCTGGTTTGCCTCCTGCAGCCCACCCAAGCCTCAGAATTAGATTATGGAGAGCAGCGCACCGCTCCCAGTCCATGCCATTCACTTCACGGACTGGGGTTTCCGCCGTGACTCTCCACGTGGATTCATCGTCGATAGAGAAAACCATGACGGAATCCTTAGGGGTTAGGGTTCAAATATCGGAGTGGTGATGGTAACACGAAAACCATTGTTGTGTGCACTGAATTCGGCCCTCGGCCACTCGGCGGAGTTGTTGATCCGGCACCAACCCTGACACAATTCCCCCCACGTCAAAGAGGAGGCTGATTGATCCCGAATCTCCGATAAATAATAAATCACGAAAGTGAAGTTACTCGTGAACGCACGACACGACATACACCAAAGCCCTTACTCGTCATCCCAGCTCTGCATCTTCCTCGGCGACTCCCAGCTTGACGATATTGAAGCGCGATTGCTCCGACAGCCCCGCGAAGATAGCACACGAAGCTACCCCTCCTTCGAACTTCACCCCGTTGAGCTTTTTGTACGGCATAGTAGAGCTCATTCTGGATTTGCATGGCCGCAATTAGTATTTGCCCCTTTTTATTATCTCTTCGCCGGTTAGTAGTCTTCGGTACTTATTATGAAGCTGATGCATCGATCGTGTTTTGATTATCTTGAAATCAATGATCCTCCACCCAATTATCCTCCACCCAATTATCCTCCACCTAATTATCCTCACCCAATTATCCTCACTTAATAATGATCCCTAATCCTCTATCGTTATCAGCAAATTACGCCTCACAACATCATCTGCCACACTTGGCAACCACAACCACAATTTAAGCCACAGTTTGAATTGCAATTTGAGGACAGTAGTTTATATTTTTCATCTTATGACATATGATTCTCGTCCTCATTCTTTACCTTCTTGCTCACATAGTTTAAAGCCTCGCCCTTCGTGTCTTGCGCCTTTCGCTCATCATCTTCGCTCTTTCTTTTCCTAGACACATAGTTTGAACGTGGTTCCTTAATACAATGCACGTCTTCAAAATGAGCTTTAAAATCTAAAAGAGACTTAAGATGCGCGTGGCACATAGGGTGCGGACATTCCGATTCTGCATAAGTAGTAAGGTGCGTGTTAATATGATTGAGTAGCGTGGACTTCGTCATCCATTACGGCATCCTCTAGGATGGCAAGAGGTCCTCATTACCTAGGCAGAAAGGACAGTAGCCTGCTACTACTAGTGTGTATCGAAAGGATAGAAGCCCGCATCTTAATTCTAGTTTTTCAAGATGAGATTTGCAATGGTTGTCCCATCCATCTTCGCTACAATTCCACTCGTAGCATGCATAGCAATATTCCGTAAATGGCAGTTTGCAGTTGCGAAGCTAGCGAGAGTATAAACTAGGCTGTTAGCTTAGCGTATCTTATAGCTCATGTTAGCGATAGGCATAGATGTGTTTTAATTGCATTGCAATAGGCAATCTAGATTAATTAGCGTTAAAATGCTCTTTGCAAATTCTATTCTTACTTAATCATAGCTATGAAACAGCCCTCGTGAGGACACATTCTACTAACGGGATGTTCGTTTAGCTGGTATGCCACCTAGTTATCATTAACGCATAGGCTATAGATGTCTTGTAAGGCCGCTTAACTTTAGTTAGTTTCAGTGAGTATTGCATTCGTAATACGATCGCATGTAGGCATGAATTAACGAGTTAATTGAAAGATGCCTAGCTGTTGTAATTTTGCTAGAATGATTTTATCCTCATCTTCTAGTAGTTACACTTGCTGTAAAGCCTCCTCATTATAGCTTATAGAAAACCATTCCTCTCTATAGGACTTTTTAGCCGATTAGAGGAGGCTTCCATTCATACTGTATAATTTCTACTACTCTTTAAACCTAGCTAGGTGTTTAGTAGGCTTATTATCTATGTCTCTCGTAGCCTATGCTATAAGCATGTTTAAGTGTTAAACATTAGGTCTTTAAAAGAACTTAGCCTTCTCTTTTGCTAGAAGGTCATTAGGAGCATTGCTATCACGTCGATAATCTATACTTTGCAACGTCTCGATGTTATCAGTAGGCGCATTAACGCTACTGTACATTAAGAATCTATATCCCTTAGCAATCTTTAACTCGTAGGACTTGTTGTATATTCCTGTGTTTGCGTGATCTAAGAAACGTCTATGCACTTCTAGGTCTTAGAAGAATTAGAGGGAACTCTTCTAAAACAGGATTAGACTTACCTTTAATCTTATTTGCAACACTAGCACGAATGGCATATATCTTTAGAGGATCTCTATAGCTAATTTCATAGCTGAGATGCACTACCTAGTTCTATAGTGTAGCGTAAGTAAGTGCTCTAATTTTGTCTACGCCCTTTAGAGATGCCATCTGTAGTATAGGAAGTTCGTAGGCCTCCTCTTTCCATTTAAGTTCCTATGAATCTCTACCTTCTAGCAGACGAGCCTTCATAAGGGCATCTAATGTATCATACTATTTTACAGCATTGTTAGCAATAGCGAGGGCAAAAAAGAACATTAACCCGTTGTACATTAAGCGATGCTTGGACTTAAGAATAATATAAAGGCTGTTATCTATTAGCTTTTATTCTAGATATATTAATAGACTTTGCGTACTTTTCGTTCTCATCACTACGTTTCCCTTTTATATACCTTTGAATTATTTCAAGTTTAAAAGTAAACTCGCTACTAGGTAGCCGTAATAGATGAATATGGCAGTCCTAGTTAGTTAATTAGGCAGCATTATATGCAAGGATTTTGTGTACCTTATATGCAAGCGCCTAATTCGTTCCTCTATAGGAGCTTAATTCTATAATGGCACTAGCTCTAGCCCCACAGCTAGCAAATAATATGAGCATAAACGACAGCTAGACTCTATAGCGTTCATAGAGGTATTCATAATCGTGAAAGCACTAGAGATGTGTTATCAATCTTGTTAGATCTTTAAAAGTCACTAAGTATTTGTCCCGTTTCTTCATGCTTAAATCAAGTTTCTGCCGTAAAGAAACTCCAATAAACTGTTGCGTATGTTAAGTGAAGTTTTACTAAGTAGAGGGAGCTTTGGGATCTTACAGCAGCGACATCATTAACTAGTTGCCAGTCTAACTTAGAACTCGTAATGCAATTTTGATAGCCTACAAATCTATACTAGACAGTAGCTATACTGTGGACTATTAGAAGCTCACCAATGCGTCCATAGTATAATGAGGCGTAATATTCAATAAAGTCTTTCAATATAACGGGTTCAAGTTGTAGCGATGCATCCATTTTTAGCCCTTTTACAGCAAGGAACCTAATATCTTTATAAACCTAAATATCTTTATGAAACAACCTCTTAGAGTTAGGAGCTTATACGTACTCGTGCCAAATCTCTCCTACATGCTCGTGTAAATCTTTGGCGGCGCTAGCGAGAAGGGATTGCTCAGTCTAGCTCAATTAGTTTTGTCGATCAAGTGTACTCTGCGCAGAATAGCCTCGACTCTGTGCTAGAGCAAGCTGATCTTCAGAAGTAAGGGTTTTCCGTCCCATTGTAGCAGATATTGAAAAATTATAAAAAGTTGCAGACAGAGGACCTTGAAATGTGAAGGCGGGAGACTGGCCCTTTATACCATTTTCTGGGCTCAACTATACTCACCTTCCTCACCTATCTAGCTCACCCTACTCACCTTGCTCACCCTGCTCACCTTGCTCACCATGCTCACCAACTCACCTAGCTCACCTGCGTGCATCCAATGTCGCGGTGCAACGCGTTGTCAAAAACTGACCCACTTTCGGGTGGTCGAGGTGGTCGGGGTGGTCGCGATCACAAAATAAGGGGCAAGGGCGGCGAGGCTCACCCACTAGGCCGGATGGCACCGATTTAAGTATTATCTAGATATTTGCTTGAGATCGGTGGATTAGTAGTTGGGTGGGTGACCACCAGCGAATACCCACTGTTGTATGTTTTTTGCCATTTTTTTTTGAT